TCAATGTGTTGGCCAAAAATTTTCGTTAACTGCTCATTGGGAATTAAATGAGATTGTCCGACATTCGATTGGTATGATACCATCGTTGTACCATCTATTACTTATAAACCAACTGCATATCGGCCAAGCGTTTTATATCTAGTAAAACAATAATTGAAGTATGGATATTCATCGTTTTGACTTTTTTTCAGCAGGCTGCTATCACGAAGATGCGCCATTGTTCCCTTTACGCGGCATATACTCAATGGGCTTTCAAAACACGATTGAAGATCAAAATGAGAAATGTGACAAGTCTTGCTATTTCCCAATGGCGCCAGAACACCATTTATGCTTCGTGGAATGCTTGGCTTGCTTTATTTAGACACCTCAAGGATTTGGTATCCTCAAGATATGAGATTGCATCTCAAAAATGCTTGAGACGGCAGATGATGAATGCTTGGTCCGCTTGGCGTTCACAAGCCGATCATCATAAAAAATTGCAAAGCATCATGATACAAGCCGTTTCACAAGCGCGGATCTTCACGACGAAAATGTGCTTCAATTCATGGAAACAAGAAGCTCATCGAGTTGTTATATTGAACTTCAACCTGCGCCAAACACTCCAGAGATATGCAATGAGCAAAATAGCCTTGGTGTTTTCCAAATGGGCATTGCAAATTCGCGACGACAAAAATTGGAGGCTGAAACTGAGAGCGATATTGTACAAAATGCTCAAAGGACGCCTGGCACGGGCATTCAATGGATGGCATGAAAATGCAAAAAAGATTGGCCTCCACCGCAATCTTGTTTCCTCGGCGATTGCACGACTAAGGCACCAGGTGAATTCTGGCAGAAAACAATTCAATGGCAACACCATTTCATGTGACTATGAATGAGTTCTTGGCCCAAACGTGTGCACTTGTGCTCATTAATTACAACGGTCCAATATGTAAGGTATAAAATGTGCATATGCAGAGTTTGTCCGTTGCTTGGTCAACATGGAGAACAGAAGGATTGTACAAAGCTTCCAAAAAAAATATGGTGACAAAAGCATTGCACTTAAAAGTGCACACAAGCTTGCAATGTGCTTTTGGAAACTGGCGCACCTATAAAATTACGCATATTCACAAACGCGGACTGTTCAATGCAGCGGTCTCGGCATTCTTTCACTCCTCATTGGCAAAGGTGAGCATGACTCGTGTACACGACATGTTGGGCACCAAAATCCAAACATGCATTGCAAAACAAATAATACATGGAATGATTCGGGGGGTCAACCTCCATTTCAGACGTTATTTTGATATTTTTTCATTAATTCACAAGAATACTGGTATGATCTCAATTTGAATTGGTGCATCTTTTGCATATGCAGGCCTTTGCTGCAATGTCACGGTATGCAACAGAAAAGAGAGCAATGAAAAGTGAAATTCTGAAGATTTTGACAAAATGCAAGCACGATACACTTGCAAATGCTTTCAAAGCAATGCGTGGTCATGCGTCCACAAAAAGATACATGCGTTTGACGATGGTCAAGGTGGTGTCCATCTGGTGGAAGAAAAGATCCATGTTAATTTTTGCAATGTGGAGAAGTATTGCACAGATTGAACGAGAATTCAAGCAAAAGGTATCTTTACACTACTTAAACGCATGCAAAATTGGTCCGCTTGGCGTTCACAAGCCGATAATCATAAAAGATTGCAAAGCAGGTTACACAACAAAAACGAGCATGTTTTTGCTAGCAAATTTTAAAAAGCTAAAGACCGACTACAACGATTTTATCGCGACGCTATAGATACAACAATGGCAAAAGCATGACGCATGGGACATATCTTAATTATGGTTGCGCACTGCACCCGATTGACATTCTTTGTTTAAACATTGATTAAATATTTATGTTCTAGCAGAGCTGTATGTTGCATGCAGGTTCTAAAATCGACCTTTGGGATTCAAAAAATATTACTTAGGGATACTTTTGCCAATTGGCATGGCAATGCATTATGGCAATCCCACAAGAAGGCCATACTGCAAAAGGCACTCTTGCGCATGCGATTTTTGGCCATGTCAATGGCTTTTAATGCATGGGTTAGGTCAATCAAAAAAGCAAAAGTGGTTGAAAGAGCAATGTTGGCACTCCGTCACCACTTGCTATGGAAGGCATGGCGTTCTTTCAAGAAACATCACAATCTCGTCATGACAACAAAAGCAATCCAAAAACACCGGCGCGTCCTATGTACAAGGTGACTTTACAAAATCGGACTTAGTTGTACGTTGATGACACTCAAGATGGTGCACATGGCATGGGATGGATTGCCTAATAATTCCCATGTCCGTCATAGGGTTGTTGAGGCATGGTTTACATTTGGAGCTCGTTCAATGGCGAAAAAGAAAGCAGCGGAGAGGGCATCTCGGAAAAGAGTCGACAAATTGTGCATGAAGGTTTTCAATATCTGGAGAACGTACGCGCAAGTAAGGAGACATCTCACAGTGGGGCTTAAAAACTACCAGGTTGGCATGCCCCTTTCAATGTTCATAACGTTATTACGTAACCTAACTTTTTCTTATGCATGAAAGTAATACGTAAACGTTGTGTGAAATATTGAGAACAAATTTGTTTCTTTAAGTGTCGCAAATTTCAAGCATGTACAATTGTTGCTGTGTGCCCACCTTTACGATGCCATTTGGTGTACAGGTGAAGACAACGAGTGAATACTTCCAACAGTGGCGAAAGTGTTCGGCCTACATTTCCAAACTTGCGCGCCAATCCAATCTTTTGCTTTCTAGGATGAGAATGATTTTTTTGCGACGCGCTTTTGAAACTTTGTGGGCAAACAAGATGCAAAAAGAACGTCAACGGGAGATCGCACATGCAATTTCGCATAATTTTCTACATGGTTCCAAAGCCCGCATTTTCCAGCTTTGGCAACAAATATCCAAGGCAAGTGTACTTTCATCTAAACGATGTAATTCATGCGTGCCGTATACGTAGTGCACAAAGCATGGCGAGTAAATTAAGGCAAAGTGTATTTTTTCTCATAGCTGGGTAACCCAGCCTGGGTTTAATCATGCAATATTGTACTGTAGGATCTAGCAAACAGGCGACTGACATTCTGGGAGAAGCAATGTGCCGTACGTGATGCCGTTGAGAGGGGAGACATGTTGATACATAGACAAAAGCTTGATCTAATGGCGAAATCAATTGAATCATGGCAACGTGTGAGCAACAAAAAACGACTATTTGCCTCACGGTTTGCAATTTTGCAACGCTCGTACATTGCGCATGCATTACAACAATGGGATGCGTATGTGACTCATAAGGTAAGGCAGCATATGCATATATGCATAAGGTGCTGATAAAATCTACATGAAATCGCTTTGCAGCGTGCATTTCATGACTAAGTTGCGACCGACCGGACTTGTGTTGTGAAACGATTTCCAATGTGACCATTGTTTGAGCTCAAATAGGCTTACATGTAAGCAAATAATACGTTGAATAATAGTCACTTGTGTTTACATAGGTGCACAAGACAACCATTAGTGAGATAGCAAATAACTTTGCTGCGCGCTCGCACAAAAGTCGCATGTATTTATTGTGGCGCCTCTATCATATTCAAACTATAGAAGAAGCCGCAACGCAAAACTTGTTTGCTATCCAATTCTCGATGCACAAGAAGATGGGTGCGTAGCTACTTATTGATCTTACAATCTCAGTCTGTACACTATGGTAAAGTATTGAAACAGAATTTTGACGCATTATGAATTGATGTGCAGGTTTTGTTCTTGTCAATTGGTTGGCATATGTACGATTGCAACGTCTTCAAGACGAAAGAATTGCTTATTTCAAGGCAGCTCTCAAAACAAAACATCAGCAAATTATCTTGTCATTGTCATTCAAAAAATGGCAAAGCTATCGTGCATGGACGCACAAAGTTGGGGACAAAGCGGAATCTAAAGCACTGCAAAAGAATATGAGGTGCGTGCATCCATGTACTACATCAACCAAGGATTTGTTCATCCACCGATTCATTGGTGTTGGTTTGCAAAGATACAAACTGCATGCATGTAAAATTTCTTGTAGGAAAAGCTTGATGCATGCAACGTTTGTACCATTATTTTTCAACGTTGAGAATGCCATATCATGATCGCTTGCAGGCTTATGGAGCAAGCCTTTTCCTCATGGGCAGCATATTCCATTGTGATGGTGGCTAAGCATTCGCCAACATTGTAGGTTTTGCTCACACTTGTAAGATCATCGTAATCCTGGTCTGTCCAATGTACATGCTAGAAAAGACTGTCTATACCAATGCATACATAGGGAAGCCTTGAAGGTGTATTTCAAGAGGAAGAGGAACAAAATATTTGACGGTTTCCAATTTCCTTATTCGCACGTTTTGAGCTCAACAGGCTGCTTGACTATAAGACTCCTCATCAAATGTGCGCAAACCCTTCAAGTTCAGATTTGTGGTTGGCCATGTCCTCACGAAATTTCCAATAGTTGCATCAATGCCATTGGCCACCCGTACCTTTAAACCCGGGTTTACACCCAAGCAATTGCCCTATGCTATAGCTGAACGTGACTTATAGCTATAAGTCACGTTTAGAAGGGTACATGTGTGGCCCATGGGTGGCTTGAAATTATGCACGCGAAAAGAGGGGAAGGTAATCTGTTAACTCTTGGAGGCATGTCATTGGTGGCATGAAACCGTGTGCATGTGGGTGGGCAAGAGCCACTTGAGCAAAAGTGGCTCCACTCTTTAAGATGGTGTGTCGCCTGATATTAACAGAGAGTTGTGCATGACTTTAGCTAGGTTGCAACTTGCAACGCATTCGTTCAAAAATTTTAGATTGAATGAAGCAGTGCAAAGGAAAAACACATGTCTCTGACACAATTTGCATAGGCAGCGCGACCATGCAGGCATGCCAAGGGCGCTTCCATACGCAGTGTGAAGAAAAGCTCGATTGGAAGCGTGCAAATGGCAATTGATCCATCTCTCAAGATTGGCCCGAGCACAGGTCCACCGGATCCGCGCATCTCAAAATTAAAGATAGGAAGCCTTTGACTGAGCACATGCAGAGGCTTGCATCATCATGGGCATGATGCATGCGGCGCACATGCAACCAAAATTCAGCATCTCAAGGTCCCTTGGGGTGCAACACCAATATTGCTGCATTAATGTGCTGCATATCACTGAAACGTCAAGTCAAACACATCAAGACATCACATATTGCCTCTCCAAAAACTTCGCATTGCACCCCTCTCCGCAAACAAGAGACAGATCAAGCTATCCCAAAAGCTCTGTAGCTATCCCAAAAGCTCTGTACGCAAAAACAACTGAGCTTGCAAGTCCTCACTGAGGTATTTCTTGACCAGACAGCCAATCCAATCTGCTGGAAATCACTCGTGGCAACACTGGAGATCGTTGCCAGACATCTGCACCGCACTGCAACCCAGATAACTTGTGCAAAAACCCGGCAAACTGCCGTGGACAATTACTGCTCGTTCATCGCGTGGATGTCTCCAACACTAGAGCTGGTGTTCATGCCAGTGATGCCAAAGCCGGTCTCATTCTTCCCAACAGTCTCATAGTATGTGGTCGACTTGTAGCCGTCAACATCCTGAGCAAGAAGCAGCCCATCTTCAGCATCACACTGATGAGCCAGCCGCACATGCACAAGTGGGTTTGCAGACCGAGCCAGGTTCTTTCGCTGATCATCTGCACGAGTTTGACTGCACTGTTTCCAGTGCTGCCCCTTCATGATCTGTGAGACTTTCAGCATAGCAGATTTTGTAAAATGTCTGGATAAGTTTCGCTACACTATCCCTCCAATGCTGTTCCTTCTGTGATCTGTAAGAATTCAGGTTTTCTGCACAGAGGGTACTGCCAGCAGCTTGTTTCACATGCAATACTACATCCATGCAAACATAGGAGATCAATCTAGCACAGAAGTGCACGTGCAACAGCTTGCACTGTCCTGTCCGTCGTTACAAACCAGCGCATGCACAGACAGCAGTGTGAGGCAGGGCACACCTTGATGACCTTAGTGGTCTCTGTGATGACTGTGCCATCAGGCTTCTTGATGGTCTTGACAGTAGTGAATGGGCCTCTGCCAGGATCCTCGCTCTCACTGCGGCGCGGCTTGTAGTCCATGCTGGGGGGGCGCTTTACAGTGGGCTCCCTCTGTTCACCCAGCAGCAGTAATGGAGTGAGCACATGCATGGCGCTTAAGATTGAACATAGCACTGGGCTTAACAGCATCCTTTGACTCTGGCTGCCGACTTTTCGCTGCTGAGGAAGTGCCACAAGGCAAGCATACCACACAGCAATTTCCTACCTACTGTAAACATACGAGTGCGATTGACACCCCGCAATTTCACCACTCTGGCTTTCAAGGTCCCACAGCTGAGGCTGTACCAAAAAGCAAAGGCAGTGCAGCGAGCCAGGTGAAGTGCAGCACCTCTTCCTGCTCAACCAGCTCGTTGAGGGCGCCCCCCGAGTCCCCTCTCAGGAGGGTCTTCTCACCCTTCTGCTCGAGCGACTTGTAGTAGTTGCTGGTGGTGTAGCCATCATCATGATCAGCTGAAGGTGGGCCCTGCAGCAGGGTCAGCATCCCTTGTAAACATATTAGCTGACGTGAGGACAATATTATAGCATCTCCTCAGGCCAGACAGATCAAGGTCAGTCTCCTGATCACGTGTCTTCTGGCCCTCACCGAGGTTTTGGCTTGGTCAAGAAGCACCAACACTCACCTCAAAGGAACAGCGCTGCAACTGATTTTGCATCGCAGCCCTCCGACGGTCAGAGAATGACCGGCCGGCATCGAAGTCACCTGCAATGATATGAGCAGCTGTTGGGGTTCGTAGTGACCTGGCTGAACTCCAACGGAGAGGAACTTCGTGCTTAGTAAACCAGAATACGCAACGTCATGCGCTTTATGTTACTTAACAGTGAAGTTTTCATTGCCTCGTCGTTAATTCCGTTCGCAAACCTACCGTCGTTGGCCATTGTCACGGAGGTCGAACTGCTGGCTTCTTCTTACCGCCCGTGTCACGAGGCACGAGTGAAGTCTACGATATCAAGAGGAGAAAGAATCCAAAATTGCGTGTCTCTGACAGATTGTTTTGCAATGCCACAGAAAGGAGCCCAAAAAGGTGATATCGTTGCACGTGACGAAAAAAATATCTCTAGGGTTTTGCTTTCGGACCATCCTTTTCACCCTTATATCTAGCACGGCAGGGGGCATTAAAATCTTTAGTACCCCTGAACACGGGGCGGCACATGTCGGCACAGACCTCACGTGATTTATGAGGGGCACCAAGATTCCATTGTGACACATGACGCTGAAAAGAATCGATGGTAGGCGCCGTCAGCATCGTGAGCCACCCAAAAGCGCTGTTGAGGCCCGACGAAGTCACAGAGTGATTGGGTCCTAGGGATCCACCATCCCAGGGCCTGCACTGACTCGTGCCTTTGCACCGCGTGGTGGGGCCACCACCCCGATCTGGTCGGGATCAGGTTGCGACGGCGCTGACTAGTCGAAGAGTTACTTTGCGATCCAGAAGCAAGAAACACACAAGCAGGCTTTGCCCTTTCCATTTGTCAAACGGGGGAAACAACTTCCAAGGAACTTGCGCACATGAGTAAGCTTTTAGGGCTGTTTTGCGATTTTTGAACAGATTCAAGTAATATATCTTGTCCGAAGCAGATTTGAAACAATGAAATTTCTACTTCTTCTTGTGTTGGCGCTCAACGTTGGGGCTCTCCAGGCAACAGCGCAAAACGTTACGTTCAGGCAAGCAGTTCCCTGATGAGCCCTTCTCAACCTGTGCTATAATTTGCTGAATTGAGGGAGCTTTCGGAACAAGTTTTAATTCGGTGTATTGCGTAATTTTCTTGTAGCTTGACTGAAGTGCAGTCGCTTCCAAAGCGCTCTTCAGAGAGAAAGCGTCGCACATAGGAAGGGGGCATTTTTAGTGATATGGCCGATAAGAAGCCACTATTGGATGCTGGGAAGGTCTCACTATATGATCTAATTCCAAATTTTGCCGACCCTAACAGCTGCAGTGCACTCACCGCTAAAGCAGGTGCCCAGAAGTGAAACATCACCTTTTCCTGTGACGTGCGCAGATGGGTCTACCGAAATCCTAGCAGCATTCTGGACCCTGCAGCGATCGATTATGGGAAGGGCAGCAAGAACGGAACAGTCAACAGCTTCACCAGTGCCCTGGACAAGACCTATCAACCGCGCCTGCGGTATAACCACATGGCGACACTGGCGCACATGCCCAATGGGTCCATCATTGCGCAATGGCAGGTGAGAGCTGTTCCCCTAGGAATTCATTCATACAAGTGTGCGTGCTCCCTGCCTTGCTGTGCTGTGGCGTGCATGCATGTCAGACTTCTTTGTCTTCACCTTCTCTAGCACATTCCTATCAGATCTCTCCCTGATGAGCACTGTGTGCTGGCAGGCCGCGACGAAGTGGTTTGAGGGGGTTGCAGATCAGGCGATCTACTACGCCATCTCAAATGACCACGGGCTGACCTGGGGTCCCACACAACTGATGCCAGGAACACAAGACAATCTCCCTGCATGGGGCCCGGTGCTCTACTCCGCGGTGAGCCTTTCTAAAAAGATGTAGCCCACCATCTGGAAACTCACACTCATGCCTCCCTTCCTGGCGATAACTTCTGGCCTCTGGGATAATGTTGCTGGCTTCCATGGCCCTTTCCCTGCACATAGTGGAGAGGGCATGGCCTTGTATTGTCAGAATGGGAAGAGTTCCCAAAAGTGGCCTTTCCCTCCTATTTGACCCCTATGCATTTTACAGCACTGTCTTCAAGGACAATTGGTCGATGTACTTCCTATAAAAGCCTTCTCTTGTATGCATGTGACAGCTCGTAAATTGAAGAACGGTCTGTTGACACATGTGGGGGTGTGTGCGCAGAATGGCACCATGCACCTGTGGTTCTCCAGGTCGCATCAGCCCTGCCAGTGGCTGAGCGAGTCTGGAGTGTGCTGGGCGCCAGGGGGCTCCCTTATGTACCAGACCTCGGCAGACAACGGCACAACTTGGACCAACGCCACGGTGTGCTCCAGATTCTTACCCTTGTGGCCGCCCAAATACTCTATGCATCCTAGAAACAGCACGCAATAGCTGTAGCAGACATCATGGTGCTTGCCAGTCAGTGACTGCCCTGAATCCAGAGCCACTCCTTGGAAGGTTCCTGCACATGGCTGAATCGTCAACGTTATGTCAAGCACTTCAGCTGGGCAATGTATAGAGAGGTGATAGCAGGATGGATTTATTGAATAATTGAGCTGGAGAGCTGTTGGGTGGTGAGCGGTGTTGCTGGTGACTCTAAACAGGCGCTGGACCCCTGGTCTGCGGAGGGGGGCATTGCCAAGCTGGCGTGCAACGGGCTGTCGTTCAACGCGGCGGGCGAGTGGCTGCTGCCTTACTGGCGCGAGTTGGGCGGCGGGCAGCAGTGCCAGAAGGTGCCCAAGCTGCACGGCGTCGCAGGGGTGCTCATCACTGGGGACCAGGTATGCCTCTGGAGACAGACAGACTCCTCTGTCATGCATCAACATGAGTGTCTTAGTTGTGTATGACTTGACAGCAGAGGATGACTCCAGGGATCATTCATACCTGGACTGCTGCCAGTCAAATATTGCCTTCTTTCTGAGTGGTCAGGCAGGGAACAATGTGAGCTAGTGCCAGTCGCTATGTGCTGGACAGATCAGACTCACTCCCTGTAGAGTCAGGCAGGGGGAAAACATGAAAGTGCTGCCAGGCAATGTCGACAGCATGAAGCGGACTCCCCTTTGAGCCAGGGAATAAGCTTGCATTGCTGACAGTGCTAGTATGACAGCATGGTGGGGAGCAGAGCATTCATGCCATGCTGAATTTTGGTGCAGGGGAAGACGTGGAAGAAGGCGGAGGTGCCCAAGGACAACAGCACGTGGATGATCGAGAACGCGATCGCCGCGTACACGGCCGGGGTCAATGGGATGCGCATGCAGCTGCAGATCTTCCGCACGCGCACTGGCTCCTCGATGCAGAGCTGGTCCTCTGATGGCGGCTACAACTGGACCTTCCCCAGCAACAGCACGCTGCCAAATCCCAACAGCCGGGTGAGCCACCAGAATTCACCCTGGCACCTGTGATTGGCATGTCCCTGTGGCAAAGTGACCGCTCTGTCCAGTCTTCAGTGGCATGTGCAACATAGGGGAAGCGCCATCGATCAATTAGCTGAGGCCCGTTGATAAATGGTGCTTGCATTGAGGCAGAGAGAGATGAGAAAGAATCCAGTACATCCCACTTGCCAGAGTGCATGTGTGGGAATTTGTGTGAGAGGCACTGCATGAGAGGCACTGCATGGCAGTGGGATGGATTGTGTGAGGAGCAAAGCTAGCCAAGGTATGCTGATTTTTGTGTGTCGGCTGCACGCAGATGGACGTGATAGCGCTGCCGGACAATGTGCTGGTGACGGCGTTCAATGACTCGCCCAACCGGCGGTCGCCGCTGCGGCTGGCTATCTCCCGGGACGGCGGCCGCAACTGGACGCGCTCGGCGCTGATCGAGGACGAGCCCGACGGCTCCTTCCACTACCCAGCCCTTCTCTACGACGCTGTCCAGGTCAGCACTTATCTTATCTATCTATTAGGAATCATGTCCAGTGAAGAAGGGAACCGTCCGCGACCGGTCGAGCGGAAATAAAAACAATAGAAAGTTGGCAGGGTTGATTTGCTCATGTGCTTGATGACAGTCTTTTGAGAGTATCACTTACTTCACAAGCCTAAATCAGTTGCATCATGTGCCTGAGCCCGGCTTTGGCCTGCACAAGAAGGTGCAGCATGGTAGTTTGTCTTTTGCATGTTCTGTGCAGGACCAAGCACTGCTGTTCAGTGAATTGCCTGTGTCTGACTTGTTTGGTGCATCTGCGCTGCAGGACCAGGTGATGGTGATTTACACGGTCAGCTACCCGCCGCGCCTGGTACCCATCAGCCTGCTGCTGCCGGGCGATGACACATCAAAGGTGACAGCCTTTACCACCGCAGCGCTCTCTCCGGCCGCCGCTCTGGCCGCCAACTCGACCAAGTTTGCGGCGACTGTTGCGGGCAATGTTACGGGCAAGGCCGTGACCGGCCGGCGGCGGCTGCTGTCCCCCGCCGCGGCCCTGGCCCTGGGGGACCTGGCATATGAGTCATCGGCGGCTACTGGGCAGCATCACGTTGCTGCTCTCGAGGATGAAGGCTACATCAGTGTTCCCCACAAGCCAGGGTGCGAATCTCCCGCTGCATGTACAAGGAGAATATTTAATGGCAACCCATCTCTTGTATCTGAGAATTCACAGCGGTTGAGCCCCAGCTGCTAAATGTTATTTGCTGTGCTCATCACATGATATAGCGCCCCACTCAGAGGTCATGGCTGGGTCAGAAAAGATCCTTTTGTCTTCCTGTCAGCTGACAGGAGGAGAAAGTGGAGCATGCGTGGCCAAGATTCCTTGCAAAAGAGTGTCTCAAGAGTTTTGAGCTGGACAGTAGAGCTTGGGGTCTCATGTGGATGCGGTGTGATGCCCGTAGGTACATGCTGGAGCCGGACAGCCGAGGATTCCGCGAGCTGTCGCTTGAGGACGGCCTGCCGGACGGCGCCGCACGGGTCGAGGTAAGCTGCATTCGCACACGCGACCCTTCTGTTGTCATCCTTTTCCATGGTTGTGTCTGTCTGCATTGAAAGGCGCTGTGTGCATCGCTTTAGTGCATGACATTGCCAAGGCTTCGCAGTGTTGCTTTGTAATTGCCTGACCGCCAAGGGCAGGGTCTGCCTTTGGCATGCTTGAACTTTGTCTCCTCATCACGCCTCAAGCTTTGCCAGGGCGCCTGTGTTTCATCTTGCACCGCCTATCTTGAAGAACAATCAAGCAATTCTGAACGGTGATGGGGCGTTGCGAGCAGGAGTTTGGGGCGGGCAAGGTGGCGCACACCGAGGATGAGGGCCGGCTGCTGAAGGAGCGCTTTGTGAAAGAGCAGTCCAATTTCGGCCGCGTCAACTACGGCATGCGCGTCGCCTGGGTGGACCGTAAAGCCCTGGTCGCGGGCCACATCTTCCCCAAGTGATGCGCTGGAGGCCACTCCCTCGGAGACTGTGCCGCATCTGCCAGACACCCGCCAGTGGCTGAAGGATTTTTCACAACCCTGTAGCTGTGGGTGTATGGGTGCAGGGGCGTACCCTCACCCCTGCCCCTGGTCCCCCCGCAAGAGATCAGGCCAGAACCTGTCACCGGCCTGAGTTTAGCGAGCTGAGTGTTGTGGTATTTGTGTCCTTATGGATCACATGGGGACAGCGGGCCAACAAGGGAATGGTCCTGAGCCCAATAATCTTTTTCGTTGATGATAGAGCCCCCGCCGAGCAGCCGTCGCTGCAGGGCTCGCAAGTATGTCTCTGTTGACGGCTGCTGCACAGCGCCTGGTGTGGCTGCTACGGGCAATAAATATTTCACAGGACCAGTTGGGATTAGGTCCTGCCTGAAGCAGCTTGCACTACCATATGAGCTCGTCCGGAGTGGTATTTCTTTTTTAGAGCAGAGCTGCAGTGGGGTGCCATTAGGCGTCCCCTCAGCACTCCTTGCCGAGGGTTTCACAGTCTTTAGACATGCTGCAATTTGTCATAGCGCCTGGAATCTTGATCCAGAGGATTAGTGCAATTGATGGACATAACTGTAGGTCAGGCTATTGGCATGCTCCTCAAGAGCACCATTGAGATTGCTCATGGGTTGCAGCTTGCAACAAGATGACCACAATGCCCCAGATTTTTGAGAGGACACGTGTTAGTCGATCACTGCAATGCCTGTATGACGTTGATACCAGATTGATGCTGAGGTCAGCCGGCCCAAACTCGGAGGTTGGGCCAAAAGTTGAAGTTGTTTGATAGCTCTTTTCATGCCTGCTATCGGTGTAGATAGTGAGACAGTTTTATTCGGGCTTTCATAGATCATGTGGGACATTTCCCGCATGCCCCATCAAACGCTGTCGTGACCCCTTTGGAGGTAGATATCTGCACAATGTGTCCATGCTGCCAATTTGTTGTAGATAGTGTAGATAGATTGCCGAAGCTGGCTGGTTCCAGTCAGCAGCGACATTAAGCACCAGCGCTTGCGAAGGGAGAATGAGACAGAATAACTTCATAGTTTGCCACATTGGGCAGCATGATTCTTGAGTCTGCAGGGCCAGAGTTTGACAATATTGCAGGGCAATGCGCAAGGTCTACGTACATTCTTTATTTTGAGAATCTGCAGCGCAATTTGATTTTTGAAGTATGCCCTGTACAGTACCCATGCCGTGTACACTCATGAAGATGCCAATTGCAATGTAACGACCAATATCTGTTGAGATGCCTGGGCAGCTTGCGGTGAATGTTCCCGATCTCAATGCCTGACAAACTTTACATGCTTGCAGATGCCCGCTGCATGACACCATACCCTCAATCTCCCCAGTACTTGTACGACCCTAATCATTTATAAATGATCATATCGTCTTTTGCTGGCTTTGAAGTCATAAGGACCATATCTTGACAAGTAACTCCGCAGCATATGCATGTGAAATTCGCCATTCTCACTTGAAAAAACTAGCACCTCTAATTTACTTTTTCAGCAAATTGCGGTGGAAGGCACTACATTACTTCAAAAATGCTGCTTAAAGGGTGTAAAGTTAATTGTGCGCCTAGAATTGTGCCATGATCTCCTTCAGGCGCCTGCCCGACTTCAAGCTGCCTGCATCACAAAAGTTGCAGAACCTGAAGCTCGGCACATGCTTCATGTTCAGGGTGAAAGGTACATCCCCACTCTAGTTTGTGGGCACTTCAGGTCACTCATGGATAGTATTGGTGCCAGTAGCTGTGCTGCCAAGCATACAATTACCATGCATGGCAATTGCAGTTAGATTCAGTGTGCAGTTGGCAAGGCACCGTGGACCATTGAGAAACACAAGAAGAGGGCACAGAAGATCTGTGGCTTACTTGAGTCCACATGGACAACCAGGGGAGGTGCAGAGGCAGCTGCATCCTTGATGTACTTCTTCAGGGGCTCAACAATCGCATTCATCAGGTCGCTCTTGGCCTGCCACAAGCATCATAAAAGCTGTCACTTGCTGCCTGATGGATACTCTGTCATTGGCTCAGCTTGCAATGTCCGGTCCACTGGAAGAGTGCGCAATATCAAGTTGCTGTTGAAGGCCTTTATCTGGTCATCCTGGCCCTCATGAGCAGGTGAGCCTACATGCAATAATGGTAGACAATACAAACCCTTTTCATGACATTACCTGGAGAGGACTCGCAAGGACTGCTCTTGAACATGACAAGAGGACCTCAGAAAGAGGGAACCGACTCTGATGTAGACAGGACACAATAAGCAATACAAGATACAGTAAAATGCATGCGATATTAAGTGATATACGTCTTGTACGTTGCACGCATTGCATGAAATTGCCAGGCATTTATGCCTACATGGCGTTCGCGCTGCCTTGTATGTCTTCACTCAATTTTGCCCATCGGGGAGAAAAGAACTGTGACTGCTCACCGAGGGGGCCCAGATGTCTGTCTGGGTGCCGTCCATCATGGCAGTCATGAAGTCTGCTCTGGACGCATACACCACCGGGTCTCCAGCGCTGTACAGCAGCTTGCTCCAGCCGTCCGTGGTGTTCTTGGCCACCTTGCAGCTCGGTGTGATCAGCGTGGCCGGCGCCGTGTAGGACTCTGTGAAGACGGCCGGATCCTGCATGCATGCATGTGCGCGCAATGTAAGGCTGTGCATAATTTGTCTCCAGACCGTTCCCATATCACAACGGAAGGTGCACCTGTCTCCCTCTTGCGTGTTCAGTACACCCAGTCAGGATCCTGCATGGATGCGTGCGTGTGTGCATCTAAGAACACTCTGCACAGCCCAGCAAGTGCAGCAAAGAGTCGGTTGTACGGGTCACTCTGAATGTGCTTCCTTGAAAAGCATGAGCGCTCTATATAAGGCAATGCACAGCATAGGAAGCTCAGCCTAAAAGCTAGTCAAACAATCACTTTTCATGCCCCTTTCGTGAGGGATGCACAAGCATTCCTGCTCGAGTCACCTGACAAGGTATTTGTTCTTTTTTGGGACAAGGGACCGGAGGAATGATAACAGTTTTTCCTGCTAAGTTGTTGTAAACATAAGGTCTTAGCAATTAAAAGTCACAGGAAGGGTGCAGAGGGGCGTGCATGCACCTGGGAGAAACTCAGCTCGGGGGTCTTGCACACAAAGCCCCTGGAGGCGAGCCAGTCATCGTAGGGGTTGTTAGGGTTGGGAGTGAAATCAGTGGTAATCGCGCACGCCCCCGTCTCCAGGGTAAGGGTGAATGTCGAATATGTCAGGGTTGCCGGCACCACGGCTGTGTCATTCACAAACGCCTCGCTGCAGAACCTGCAGCAGCATGTTCCCCAAATTACTCTGCAAATCGCCGCTTCAACGCATCAAGGTACCCCCTGATGTGCCTTTAAAGTGTTTTATGTCTGATCTCCCCTATCTTCAGACATGCCCGACAATGTCTGAAGACATTCGTGCATGTCTACTGTGTCTTACAGGCATGTCTCAATGTCCCATCTCGATCTCGAACACCAGACATCCTCAGACATATTCAGACAGTCCGACAGGGTTGAGACGCCCCTAGACAGGCCCGGACAATCCTAGTCTTTCCCAGAGTGTTTGCTCACGTCTCCAGCCTCCTTTGAAATGGAAATATGGGCAAAGAAAGCATGCATAGGTACGACATGGGTGCACTGAGTCTGTGCCTCAGAAAGCAATGCCAAGTGCAAGGTAAATAAAGGTGAGGTGAGCTGTGGGGAGGGTGTGCGCACGGGGACTTTAAGTCGCTGACGAGTTTATCCAGGGTCTCAAGGTCGATCGTGGCAGGGTTCAGGTAAGTTCCGCTGCTGATCTCTATCATTGGCAGCTTGAACCCCTCCCAGCCAGTCTCCTTTGTGCCCAGCTCGATGTGCGAGTCCTGCCAGTGAAACATCTCATGCTTAAGAGATCTCATATGACATCTCATGCATGCTTGACACCTGGGAGTTAGATCATGAATTGCGGGTGACTTCACTGCCTTCTATGACTGTCACTGTGCGTAATCGCTGCTGCGGAACATGCTGGCCTTTGTCTTGAGATAGCCAATTTGGAGGTAGGAAACAAATGGGTGTTCAGGGAGATGACCCACTAACTTGCCTTCGCCAATGAGAGGGTGGTCTTGTTTCCTGGCAGCCAGTCTGCAATCTTCTGCATGACGCTCTGCAGGGTGGTGTCTAGCAAACCCAGCACTCCTGCATACGTGCATAGCACAAATACGCTCTCTTTGTGCGTACAGGACCCGACCCTGTATTTGATTTCTCATCAAGTTCTGCAGGGCTTCATATTCGGTTGCAGAACTACCTTGTGCTGAGTCGGCGATGTCAGAACCATTCACCACAGTCAAGCTTGGCAACGAGATTGCAGGTGTCGTCTCAACGGCATTGACGATACCCAAGAGGTTGCTGGCCAGTGCTGTCTGTGTCTGGTTTACCAAGCTCTTGTCTAGGAATGAGGTGAGCACGCTGTCCAGTCCTGGGGGCAAAGACAGCATTAAATTGAACGGTTTATGCATTTCCAAGTTGTAAGTTGCGGAGGAAACTTCGATCACTCATAGTGGATGTCAAGTCCTTGCTGCATCGAACCATACCCAACAAGCTGGGCTTACCAGCAATGGGATCGGCCTTGGACTGCGTGCTAAGCACGCTATCGGCTGACACACTATGGACAAACAAAGTAGCTACCAGGATCAAGACCACTTGGCAGCGGCTTGTCATTGCTTTCCCCCCTCGACTCATCGACAGGAGATCGGGAGGTCCTGGAAGCTGTCCCGCTTAGATGCTGCTATGAAAAACTCCAGTAACTTAGTTTCAGAAAATTCCTGTGGAAAGACATTCTTAAAGAACCGTAGTGCACGAGCAAGCAAGGAGTGCAAGGGCAAACCTTGGCACATCCGAGTTCGTATTGTGCATGGTTTCCTCACCCTTGACATTTTCATGGCTCACGTTGGACAGTCCTCCCACAATGTTCAGAAGACCAAGAGTCATGGAGTGGCATCGAAGATGAAACTTTGAAGAATGTGAGGCATGCCAGACGCCTTAGGGGCTCTCTGACAGAGCGAGGGCACGATGGGATCTGTTGTAGACCTCAAGAAGAAGGCCCATCTCTTGGCCCACACTGCATCAGTGCTGAACAGAAACCGTGGGGCAACTGTTGCAGCAGTTTTACTGATTAGTGGTGGTTCCTATTCCTATTATCTGAAGATTCTTGCCAATGCAGCAAGGAAGAGAAAGCACAAGTACGTCATCCTCATCTGCTTCGCAAGGATCCTGGATTGAAGTTGTTGAGATTCATCATTTATTTTGTGTATAATTCACGAAAGACACATGCATTTGGGCCCAGATGTGGGAAAGAGAGCATGCTTCACCCAGAGCGTCATGTATTCTAGTTCTACACACAGCGCACTAAAATGAGCATATGTACCCTTCAGGTCTCAAACAGTTGTGATTGGAAACAATGCAAAGAAGAGTAAGAAGAATGGGAAATCGGGCGACTCTCTCAAGAAGCTGCTCAACTTTTTGCTGCCCATCGCTGGCAAGCGCATCCTTCTCCTGCTGGGCCTGGCAGTCGTCCGCACCGCCTTCTCCAACAGGCTTGCGAGAATGCAGGTGAGTCTCCGTGTATATTTTTGCGACATCCAACAATAAACTGTCTCCTCATGCACTAGTGAGACTGTCATGGAGTCAGCGCTGAAGCTGTGTGTCTCGGGGGATCCCAGGGCTTCATGTTCCGCGCAGCCTTCCTGCGGAAGGTCCCTCTCTTCATCCGCAACTTCACAGAGAATGTAGTCCTGTGCCTGGCGGCCGCGGCGATAGAGTCGACCTCCAACCGCTTCCTCCAGCTGCTGAAGCTGGACTGGAGGAGCGTGCTCACCTCGCGCGTCCACAAGCAGTACTTTGACCAGATGGTGCGCCAGCACTGCTCGTTCCTTGTCCTTCTCAACTGCCGCAAACCGCTTATCCACATAGCATGGAGCAAGCGTCAACGCATGCTCCAGACTGTGTTCAAACAGGCACTGAGGGGTACTATCTTACCTGGGGATGGCATCAGTCTGGCATGCAAGCTGCCTTGTGCTGCTTGGCGGCACCTGAGTCTCATCCTCAAGCTATGGACACGGATAGCATGAGGCAAAGTTGGAGCAGAGAATAATTGCTGTGGCGCACCGCAGACGTACTACAAGCTGTCCTACGTGGACCGGCGGGTGACCAATCCGGAGCAGCGCATCTGCGAGGACATCCCCAAGCTCTGCGACGGCCTGGGGGACCTGGTTGGAGAGTGGACCAAGTGCGCGGTCGACGCCGTGTTCTACTCGTGGGTGCTGCGCAGCTACACGCGCACCAACAAGTACACCGCTGTGATCATCGCGTATGTCTTCGGCGCGGGGGCCATGACCGTCTCCATGTCGCCCAACTTTGGGCGGCTCTTCAAGCGCCAGGCCGACAATGAGGGTGCGTCACTGCATTATTTGTAAAAACAATTGCGTGCAGCTTTTTGAGCCATTCCTGCCTGTGTAGGGTTGCGTCGCCTTCCTTTCCTAGTCAGCCAGGTTCTGGATCAGAATCTGCATGCACCTGCATTGGGATACATCAGTGCCCTTCAATTGCCTTGGGATTCTGGAGAAGTGTATGGGAAGGTGTAAGGCTGAAGACTGGCATTTCTAAACACACCTTCCGATGGTCACTTCAAATTGTGATGAAGTGAGGAATGTAGAGAACCTTTGCTAAGGTGGGGAGTTAAATTGCAGGGTCGTACCGGCAGCTGCACGCACGGCTCCGGACGAACGCGGAGCCAGTGGCATTCTATGGGGGCATTGAAAAGGAGGGCAACCTCATAGTGAGCAAGTTCAAGGAGCTGGTCAGGCACCAGGTCAAGCTGCTCAACACCCAATGGCGCTTTGCCATGTGGCAGGTGCACACCCATTCACCATGCCTCTATCAGTGCGACAGTCTGGTTGACACCCCTCTTGCAGCGGCCGCACTTTGTTCAGTGCTTGTGTTGTATGCTTGCCACCTTGGCATGCACAGGAGCAGAGAGCGCCCCACTACCGGTCTATGCGGTTCATGGAAGTGAGTATAGGGGCATTCATTGGATGGTGGTGCATGTATGCGTAACCCTCTGGGGGACTCGAAGGCATAAAATGAGACAGATTGCTCAATTTCTTGGATGGGATATTTTGAGGGGCTGTCGCTGCATGCATCGCCAGGACTTCCACACCAAGTACCTGGCGGCGACGATGGCGGTGATCCTGATCATCGGCCCCTTCTTCTCGGGGCACCTGCGGCCGGGGGAGACCACGCGCGGACGCGCCAGCATGCTGGCCAACATGCGCTACCACACGAGCGTTATCATCTCGCTCTTCACCGCACTCGGCACGCTGGCCGCCTCCTCGCGCAAGCTCATGAAGCTGGGCGCCTACGCCGACCGCATCCTCGAGCTTGAAAACACCGCCAAGGAGATCTCCGCAGGTGCGCTGTGCAAACCTTACTGCGCTTGTCTTGCCAAGTGGTGCAGATCTCCTCTGCTCTGACCTCTGCATGAAAGGTGTTCTGCTGCAAACCATCCTGCGGGAACAGATGTGGTGTACCTGCTACCAGAGTAAATTCTTTGCAAGATTTGCTTGGCTGCAAAAGTGAAGAGTGAGGCACTCGTGTGAAGTTCACCCAAAGGAGATAAAAAGATCAGGGAGGTGGGGGCCCTTTATGATAGCTGTTGACCAACCGTCGGTGCAGGCATGAATGCGGGGGAGCAGGCGAGCCGCGGCCGCATCGAGGCAGCGGATGACGAGATCGCGTTTGAGAATGCAATGGTGGTCACTCCGGCGGACGCGACACTTGTTAAGGACCTGAACCTGCGGGTGCAGAGCGGCACCAACCTGTTAGTCACTGGGCCCAACGGCTCCGGCAAGTCCAGCCTGTTCAGAGTCCTCGGCGGCCTCTGGCCCCTCACTGCCGGCACGGTGAGCCCCCTCCAAAAAAAAACCATGATCGTTTTCCATGGATCCTCCGTACCGGCAGTAGCAGCAGCAGCAGCTCTCCTTGACGTAAATTGAAGGCTGACTGTGTGATGGCTTGCAATCTGCATTCCTCAGCATGTGCAAGCGGATCCCTTTGACACGATCTTAAGGCTAACATTGCAACGCTCTCTACTCCATCATTGCAAGCATCAAAATGTGCATCTAAGCCATGTGCATCGACGCTGCAACGTGATGGTTTGAGATGTGTGCATTTGAACAGGTAAAGAAGCCTGGCGGCCCAGAGGGGGGCCTGGCGCATGAGATTTTCTACGTGCCGCAGAGGCCCTATGTCACGCTGGGCACGCTGCAGGACCAACTCATCTACCCTGTTGAGCGCCTAGGTGCCACACAGACTTTCACTTGCACTTGAGCCCATTCTTGCTTGTGCCCATTGTATATGCCTGACCGCCCTACTCCTATCCATCTTCAGCTGGCAAGTGGTCTTGCACTTCCGCTTGTGAGCTGAAGAGATGAAAGCTGGACTGTCAGATTGGTATGGGAGGCATGGTCCATATCTGTGTCCTGATCCTGGGCACACTTGATACTGTTAGAAAGGCATTTGTTTATGTGCACTGCTGGCTGCAAAAAACGACTGGCTTTTGCAAATGCTCCCTGCATGTGAGCAGACAACTGTATCGATGCATCTTCTCTGGCTGACTGCCCTGCTTTTTGCTTCAGTCAACTCTTAAGTGGACAGTAAAAAACTAATCCAAGCAACCTCCTTGCAAAACGAGATTGCCAATGGCAAGATATAAAAGAAACCGAAGGTGGCAATACACTAACTATACCAAGCGGTTTCCTGAACATGTCGACTATATGTTGGCTGCAGTGAGCGAGGGGGATGTGATCCCCGAGGCAGAGCTGCGCGCGCTGCTGCGGGCGGTGGACTTGGAGTATTTGGTGGAGAGGGAGGGGGGACTGGACGCCGTTGTAGACTGGGGCACCCAGCTCAGCCTGGGGGAGCAGCAGCGGCTGGGCATGGCGCGGCTATTCTATCACCGCCCCAAATTTGCCATCCTCGACGAGTGCACCTCCGGCGTCACGGTGCGCAGCTACTCCTGCCTCACCCTTGTGTGTGTGCTTTTTATCATGTTGCTCCCATCAAGGTGAAAGTCGACTAAGTTCCACCTGTTTACTGCCTTTGAGAACAACAGGTGCTGCACCACCCTGCCTTACATGGTGAACAGCTTTCAGGCGGCTTTTTGTCCTCTGTTCAAGAGGTGTTCTCAATGGCAGTCCATGGGTCAGGAGACCTGGGAACTGGTATGTGACCTTTCGCTAAGCAAAAAGGGATGTGAAGCCCCGCTGCACGTCATATTTTCTGCCTGCTGGTGATTTACAGTAGCATGTGAGCAAGGGGTGGGAGGGATGATGACTGTGACGTTATGGGCGCGCAGGTGGACATGGAGGAGCGGTTCTGCCAGATGGTGAAGGAGCTGGGCTGCACGTGCGTGACCATCAGCCACCGCCCGGCGCTCATGGCCTTCCACGACATCGTCCTCGCGCTCGACGGCGAGGGCGGCTGGTCCCTGCACCGCGGCGCCCGCGGCCTCTCCTCCGAAGAGGGCCACGCCAAGCCAGGTGCCTGCCTGTTTTACTTATTTATCGTGGGAAAGCATATGCCAGTGTTGGTAGTCTAGCTTCTAGCCTAAGGGGGGCGGTGCCTGAGCACTTGCCGCGCAGCAAAGGATCCATTGCCCACGCACAAATCTTATGAGAGCCCACATTAATTTAAGCTGTGAAAGATTGGAGATTATGTAAGTGTGCTTTGCACATCGGACAAGGCCCCGGCAAGCACATCAGGTGCATCACTCAACTTGCAAAGTATTGCGGTGAAATGCGTGCTTCCATGGGGCAGGTGCCGCATTGCGGAGCGGCGGGGGCGGCAACTCGCGCGGCACGGACGCGGCGGAGTGCCTGGAGGGGCTGCAGAGCGGGCTGCCGCAAAAGGCGGCGGCTGCCGGAGGTAACATCATCGCGCGCGCGCCGGCCTTCGACCCGGCGCGCGATCTGGCGATCGTGCCGCCAAACCTGGCGCTGCAGCCGGCGCGGCTGAGCACGTGGGCGCGCTGGCGCACCGTGCTGCGCGAGCTGCTCGGCCGCGGCCGCGGCGCCTCCGGCCAGCTCAGCGCCATCCTGGTGCGCCGGACCTGACCTGACTCACATTACCTCTATTTTAGAGCTTTCATATTTTTAAGCTCTGATATTTTGATTTTAGCCATGCTCATGCTTAAGCATTTGATGTTACCATGCTCATGCTTAAGCATTTGATGTTACCATGCTCATACTTAAGCATTTGATGTTACCATGCTCATGCCTAAGCATGGTATTTTCAACATGTTGAAGGAGTCTGTATTCTCAAAGTGCTTCGCATGCGCCTGTTGATAACGGCATCACCTTCGGTTCAGTGTAACCACAAATTGGTGGGCGCTTGGGAATAAGCCGCTGAATCTCTGAGTAAGTACTGAGTTGGACTGATGCGCACACAGGTGGTGGTGTCGCTGCGGTCGTTGCTGCAGGACCGCATGGCTGCGCTGAATGGGCGCACGGTTGAGTACGTGCTCAAGCAGGACAAGGCCGCCTTCGTGCGCCTCATTGGCCTCTCCGTCGCACAGGTAACCCCCTTCACTTGCCCCCGAAGCTTGCCAAGAGCCCATCAGACCCCGTAAATATGGTGCAGAAATTCTCCAGTCTGCAATCGCACAGGTAGGGCATGTGGGGTGGCATGCAAAAAAAGGAATCTTGTCACCCCATCTTGTGTTTGCGACTTAGGAATTTCCAGGAATACTTGCGTAAAAAAGCTACCCTGCTTGATGTGGTGGTGACGCGTGTATCTACTCTTCTATGCAGGCGCTGGCGTCGGCGATCTTGGCTCCGTCGCTGCGGCACGTGGCGGACTCGCTGGCGCTGCACTGGCGCAAGCAGCTGACGGCCGTGACTCACAAGCGCTACCTCCAGCGCATCAATTTCTACACCGTCTCCAACCTCGCCGGCATGCAGGTCCGCCTCCACCTCTTTTCTTCATCCCGCAGGAAAGCACATGCGCAACGTCCCACTGGCCCGTCTTTCACACTGGAAAAAGCTGATTGGGTCTGAGGAAAATTGGCTTGGTGGCACCACCAATGCACATGGCTTGGAAATCCGCTGTCCAATCAGCCGTCACATGTTTGTCTTTTGTTTGCGCTCAAATATGATCACTGCTACCAGCATTTTGGCTCGCCGAAAAAACACTGGACCTCCAGCTGGCCATGCACAGCGCGCCTGAACAGGCATGGCACGGCACGGCGCTGTCTGAAGGGGCGTGCCTATTGATTTGATTATTTACCAGTCTTTTCAAATCTCAAATTTCAAACCGAAAATGTCCATTTTTTGCGCAGGACGTGGACCAGCGGCTGACGCGTGACGTGGAGCGATTATGTGATGACCTGTCGGCACTCATTCCCAGCCTGGTCAAGCCAGTGGTGGACATCGCCTGGTTCAGCGTGCAGCTCTACCAGCTGACCGGCCGCCGCGGAATGGCCATCCTCTACCTCTACGCCTTCCTCGGCTTTGGCGCCCTCTCCGCCGTCACCCCGGACTTTGGCGGCCTCGCCCGCAAGGTGCCTTTCATTGCCGTATTCCTTTTTGGCCTCTCTATGGCCCCCTCCTGGCTGCCTGCAGGTTGTTGCTGAAGGATGCGATCTGCTTGGCCTCTTTACAGTGTCATGCTCTCTGGGATTAGCTCTTCGCTCCTGAAGAGCGCTGGAATAAGACGTCCTGTTCCCTGTGCACCAGCAATCCATGTTTGGGCCGCACCACATGGGCAAAGTGAGAAGGATGTGCTTGGTCTGACTGGCATTCCACGGAGCCAGGCGCCTGTCCTGTTTTCCAGGGAAAAATTCTTGACACCTGAAGGAGCGGATGTACCATGCCCTGCGCTGCAGCCGTCGCTCTTCGAGGCAGCACTTGGGCAGATGTTGAGCAGTGCATGTGACTCTTTTGCGCATGCATGGCGCAGGAGTACTTCCTGGAGGGCGCGTTCCGCAACATCCACACGCGGCTGCGCACGCACGCGGAGAGCGTGGCCTTCTTCGGCGGGGGCGCGCGCGAAGGGTCCACAATCGCCACCGTCTTTGACAGCCTGCTCGCCCACCTGCGCTCAGTCGTCGACGTCAGGTGTGGCTTTCACCTGTCCAGCACCGTTGTAGCCTTATTGATTGTCATCGTCTGCTGCCTTTGCCGCAGGTCAGCAAGGTTGCTTTTTACAGCTGCACTAGATGTTTGATCTCAAGGTTTGCAGGTGTCGCTTGTAAGCTTGCCTGTTGTGCGGCGGTGGCAGCAGAATGGCGATGGGGCCAACAGAGCGAAATAGGCCAATATGCCGCTGGGGCAGCATATTATCAAGTCTGCCGACCTCTTGGCACGGGTTCCTGCTGCAGAAGGCTTGTGATGCAGAGTGTTGCTGTAGATGTTTCCACACGCTATAAGGTAGGGGATGGCAACCTGGTGAACATTTGTGTGTGGATATTTAGGGCATCCTTCCCATCACTGGTTGCAGGTGGCTGTACTCTGTGGCGGATGATTTCTTCACAAAGCAGCTACCGCACAATGTCACCTGGGGCCTCACTGTGCTGTATGCGCTGGACGCCTCCAAGGACCTTAACGACCTGGCTGCACAGGTGGGAGCCACGGCCCACAGCCAAAAACACTCGTGTTCTATAACGCTTGAGCCTGCACATTGCTCTGCATCGTGGTGTCAACCCTGGAAATGCAGTTGTATCCCCAAAGACCTCTTGACCTGGCTGCACGGGTGGGACCACCAGCCCGGAGCCTCTTCTACACCTAAGCTTTTCAATGCCTCTGTAATCGCCAGTGTGGTGACTCATTGCCAGCGGCAATGGTGTCCCAGCTGCTTGACCTGCTGAGACAGGGCCTGGAAGCTGGCGTGCCCTTTGGGTCTGTGCTTACATGCTGCCTTGCCTTCTTTTATGTTTGGAATAGAAGTGACATCTTTGGGGTGTGATGTCGCAGGGGCAGCTGGTGAATGACATGCGCTACCTGGCGTCCGTAGTGACGCAGTGCTTCACCGCCTTTGGCGAGCTGCTGGCACTCAATAAGCGCTTCGCTGAGCTCAGCGGCGGAATCACCAGGTTTGTACCATCTCCCTTCTCTACCTTCCATCCACCGACACCGCATATAGTACATGGCTGAACTAAATCAATTCATCCATCTTGATGGCGTGTCAATGCGGCGTCGGCTCTTCTGCTCTATTTAGACCGCACAACACCATGTGGTGCCTTCAAGTATCTGTTTGAGCCTGCCCAAAACGACATAAGAAGAGCCAGCAACTCTGCTCCTGCATGCACCCAATTCACGACTCCTGGCCATTCCAATGTTCTTGGCACACCCCACAACCCATCAAGCAAACGCTCGTGTTGCGGACACACTTGTCCCCTTGCTGAGCAGTTGTGTGGCGTCATGCAGGGTGTCAGATTTGCCCATGTGCGGACATGTTTGCCTAAGAGATGCAGGGTGTCAGAGAGATGCACATCTGCACTTGTGTAATGTAATGTTATGCAATGTTTGCCTGACGGGGTAATTATTCGTATTGTGCAGGGTGTCGGAGATGTTGGAGGTGGTGCAGAAGGCGGACCGGCTGCACGTGGAGGAGAACCTGGAGCGCTCCATGAGCGCCAGCCCCGCCTCGGAAAACCAGTCCATCATCCAGTTCAAGGACGTGCGCACCATGCTATCTCATCCTGTGATCCATATCTCTATCTTTTCTACCCCTTCTTTCTCAGTCATTGTCCTGGTGCCTTTGTGCACACAGCAGTGAGCTGGATGACTTAAAGCTCAACACACCTGTATAACTGCACTTTATGTTAAGAAACGGTCATAAGGAATAAATCTTCAGTCAAATGTGTCATTATGTTTGTATCTGACAGGTTCTGTGTGACATAATCATTTTGCTACTTGGTTCGTCCTCCGTGCAGCTGCAAAGTTGCGATGTGTGCGCAGGTGGACGTGGTGACCCCGAATGGCAAGCTGCTGGCGCGGCGGCTGAGCCTGCTGGTGCAGCAGGGGCACAGCGTGCTGGTCACGGGCCCCAACGGCTCGGGCAAGAGCAGCCTCTTCCGCATCCTGGGCGGCCTCTGGCCCCTGACGGCCGGCGCCATCCGCCGCCCCGGCTCTGCCGACGTGGCCGCCTCGCGCCACATCTTCTACGTGCCGCAGAAGCCCTACACCACCATCGGAACCCTGCGCGAGCAGGTGCCTCTTTTGCCCTTCCACCCCTCTTGCCCAGGGGTCTCTAAATTAATCATGTGGTGTTGTTATGTTGAGTTCGAGTCTTCTCCGTTGCCTCACCGCCTGCCGCGCTTGCCAGCCAGTGTCGCATGGCACGCTAATCCGTTAGATCAGCTAGGGGCCGGGATGTCTGGTCTTACCCTTGATATGGTTACTGACACTCTTCAGGCATGAGGTGTGAAAGACTTCTGAGGAATGCCGCAGCTCCCGTAAAATTCCCACTGCCTGAGGTGTTGAATGCTGTGCAAGGCAGAGCAAGAAGCATCCTTCCGTGTAAATTGACCGTGATCTGCCCGTTGGCATGCTTACTGATGCTCCAGGCTTCATCTGTGCGTCTATAATTATGTCATTTCATTTTAATTATTCATTTCATTGAATGTAATTTCATGGCCCGCCCAGGTGGTCTACCCGCTGAGTGTGGCGGAGGCGGTGGCGATGGAGGGCGAGGGCAGCGATGCAATAGAAGCGGCCGCGATCCTTGACGCTCGGTTGGACGCTCTGATGGGCGTGGTGCGGCTGCAGTACCTGGTCGCGCGCGAGGGCGGCTGGGGCGCCGTAGCAGAGTGGGGCGAGACCCTCTCCCTCGGTGCGCTGCCGCTGCTTTGTTGAGACAGAAGTGCCTGATCACAAATCAGTCCCTACTTGAGGACTTGTAGGGTCTTCGACTAGACAGCAATTGAGGACCCTAGATGTGCCTGGTACTTGTAGGGTCCTCAAAAGTAGCCCACACGGCTCTGCCGGATGCTTGTGCATGTGCAACGGATTCCGTAGAGGCAGGAATGCCAAGTCCAGTAGGAGACTTGGTGAGGATGTACTTGTTGGCGTAGCCCGGCAGCATGGGACTGCTTGATCTAGAGTTCCATGTTGCCCTGTTTATTTTCATCGTATAAGAAACAAGAATTGCAGCACTGTAGTGATAAGGTGTGTGCTGCGGGGCTGCAGGCGAGCAGCAGCGGCTGGGCATGGCGCGGCTGTTCTTCCAGAACCCCAAGTTTGGCGTGCTTGACGAGTGCACCAACGCTACCAGCGTAGACGTCGAGGAGCATCTGTACAGGTCTGTCTTTCTTCCTCTGCCCATACCTCATCTGGACACTTTTCATCTGCCAACTCCTGCAGGCTAAAGACTGCCACCTGCCGGAATTACTATAGAGCTCCTGTCCCTGGCACAGCAGTCGAGTGCTCACAGAAAGAGACTTCTGGCACTTGACCGCAGGCTCCATGCAAGTCCTGCAATGAGCTAGGATGCTTGCACAGACAATGACAAGGCGTGGTGTGTTCTGGTGCAGGCATGCTGCGGAGCTGGGCATCACCCTGATAACGATAACACAGAGGGCGGCGCTGCTCAAGTACCACTCAGTTGAGCTGCGCCTGATTGATGGCGAGGGGGACTGGCAGCTGCGCACCATTGTGCCCGAGGACAGCTGAGCATCGGCCGTTGCAGCTGTTGCAACGCAGCAAAGCAGTCTGTCCTGTATTCTGTAACATTGCAGACTCTTATGCCAGGCAGTGACACTGCAGTGTCTCAGTGTCTATTGTGGTGCTTCTGGTAGCAGCGCTGGGAGCAGCCTGAATGTATGATATCTGTTTGCGTGCATGCAGCTGATTTGTGGCCACCCTAGAAGGCTCAGTTGCTTCGGCTTCCTATGTGGAAAACTTAGCTGTGGTGAGGGCGTTTGGGACATGGTATATATGCGTGAGGCAGTTGTGCAACTGAGTAAGCAATCCAGCGGATCGAACCTGAGGATGTTGTAGATTGAATCAAGCCATTGCATCTGCCATTACTAATTATTGCAAGACCTTTCTAAGCAATACAAATTGGCGACTGCCAAAACTCGCCCAAGTTCTCATGTAGGCGAATACACTGAAGCTATGGGCACGCAAGCTCACTTGAAAAATGTCAAATCCACACATGAAGCAGCATCTACTCTCGCCAAAGCATTCACACCAAATATTCAGAAAGAAATACATTCAGCACCCCTTTATAACTGCATCCATAAAGCAGAAGTGTGAGAAGGCGGCATTCTGCAACATCAGCTACTGCACCACAAAGCAGAATAGTTCAGGCGCCATTCTGCGACGAGGTCCGCAGCTGCTGCTCGGGCGAGTGGAACACCTCAGTGCTGTCCACAAACGCCTCGGCCGCCTCGTCCTCATCAAACAGGCCTCCCGACACCCCCTCTGGCAGTTCCAACGCCTCCAGCTCCTTGTGCAGATGCTTCTCCAGGACCCCCCCGCTGCCCATCAGCGGCTGGCCGCCGTTCAGCGAACCGGCATCGTCCAGCGACGCCGAGTGCCGCGACAGCAGCTCCTCCGACAGCGGTGCTACCTCTCGCGGTGCACCGCTGCCGCGCCGTGAAGATGCATCCCCTGCTGCCGCCGCAACACCCTTGCGGCCAGCTCGCTTCTGCTGCTCCGATGCGACGGTCGGTGCCGGCAGGGCATCCGCGCCGCTGACGGCCTGGCTGACGGAGCGGCTGAAGTCCGAGGACAGCGAGACGCTCTCGCCGGCCATCGCATCGGCGCTGCCGCGCTGCTGGCCGAGGTCGAGCCCCGCTCGCAGCGCGTCGGCCACCTCTGCTTTGCGCCTGAGCGAGCCGGCGCCGCTGCTGGGCACGTCTGCATCCTCATCCTGCAGTTGCTCCAGCACTTGAGAAATCAGACTGTATGGGACGAGCATCTTCTCCTTGACAGACAGGAGGGTTCTGTCCACATGCATGCATGCGGATGGCAATATATTTTATATCAAGGATGTCCTGCAGTGGATACCAGTTGCACAGACCTGCATCTGAGCTTCACGAATGGGCTCCAAGCCGGCCACATAGGCTGTATGGCCGTCCGTGGAACCAGAGCTCCTGTGCGTCGCGTGCCCCACACTCGCGCTGTCGTCGCCCTGCAGCCAGTGCACACCAACCGTCAATCAATCTCCTTTCCGCAGCAATCACCCAGATCATAAAGCACGCTGCACAAGGAGCCCTCATCTCGAAGCTCAGAAATAAATCTCTTGGGAAAATATGCAGCTGAGCTTGTAAATCGAACACATGCTCATGACGAGCTGCGGCACTGCACTTATCAAGCTCCCATGCATGCCTTACGCGCTCGATAACATAGATAGCAAGCAAGGCATTTTCAACCACTCCCCGATTTGCGCATTCTCTGCATTCAGTCATCCTTGCGCAGGGGCCATGCTACTCTTCTGTATACCAAATGGCTCGCACCACGTCTCCGCGCAGGGCGGCCTCCAGCATGGATTTGAAGTCCGGCAGGCGATGGATGCCGGTCTCGCTGCCGCCCTCAACCGTGGAAAAGTCGTCCGCGTCAAAGTCCCCCACTGTGGATGGCGCAGCCGAGCTGATGCCGGCGGCGCCCCACTCGGGCAGGGCGCCGGGGGGCACGTCCCCCAGCGCTGCCTGCGGTGTCTGCCACCCCGGCAGCAGTGGCCCAAGCCCTCCGTAGGGGTCCTGCATGCATGCGAGGGGCGTTTATTGCATGCCTCCCTTCTCTGGGAAAGCCATGACTTGACGCAAAGCCAGTTCCCCTGGAACTGGAAAAGCGGAAAGAACACAATATGAGATGACATAGCTTATGCACACACCGTATTCCCTGAGGAGCGCAAGCAAGATTATGTGCTGTTGGGGATTGGAAGGCACCTGCAGATACTCTGGGGATCCAAACAGGTGGGGCATGGGCCGTTCTTTTGGGGCCGAAGCCTCAGCTGCTTCCACTGCCCGTGCACCAATGCGGAGCGCCTCCAAATACCTCGGGTGCACCACCTGTTGGAGATTGAGGTATCAGCTTGGATGTAGCTGAGGGCAGCAAAGCTCGGAGTGCACGGATCAAGGTCAAACAGAGCATGTCTCAAATCGGTTGCTGTACCTTGTCGAAGTTCTCTGGCGTCAGCTGCACAGGTTTTGAGGAAGAAGCTGCGCGCGTTGATCCCACGTGATCCTCCTCGTTGTCCATCACGCCCTGCAAGAAGGCCGTGCTTGTTGTGGAGAAACACAAGAACCAGAATGGCATTATTCTCCAAGGAGCTGAATGGCGCAAACTAAGGCTCCTAAGGCGTGCCTAGATATCTTTGCATGTGCTTACCTGCTCGATACAATGCGTGTGCGCCAGCAACCTGAACCTGTTACCAACATCTGTCGCCCTGATCTCGGCCTCCTCGGTGTGTTTCACCAGCTGATCAAGGGCGGCCTGTGTGTCGTTGATGCGTGAAAGGAACGTGGCTGAGAACTTCTGGAGAGAAGCCAGCAGCTTCTTGTCAGACTCGAGACTCCAATGGCCACCATCTTGTTGCTGCACCTCCATGCAAGGCGCAATCTATCGAGGATCTTCTGATGTTGACTATTTGACTAATATCATCCTTAATCTGATACGGCAGACAGCCTTGGAAGCGCAACAAATACCCCTATTACAGATCAGAACAAAACGGATTTACCCCTATTGCAGACGATTTCTATTAAAACAACAGATCAAGGCAAGAAACTTTGGAGATGGCTTTCCGAGGTACCCCGCACACACCTGCAAAAGGATCTGCACAGGATGCCTTAATACTGCAACGGGATGGAACTGCACACTCTGGCACAGCATGTCTGCTGCGCACGTGGGCAGAATTCCGTTTAAATTGCTCTTCTGCAAATCTGCACGGGTCTTAGTGGCTGCAAGACTCTCTGGGATGGGGTCCAAAAATGTCTTTATTGGTGAATCAATGTTTACATCGAAAGAAAGAGAAAGATAGCAACTTCATCAAATTTTGTGATTGGGCCAACGATGGCAGCAACAAAGAATACGTTGGCAGCCCTATGGGGTAAGAAGCTTCAAGACGAGCGAAAAACCAAATCAAGCGATCACGGGTCTGTGATATCCACCAGAAGCCGAGCTCCCGAGGACAAAAATGCACATGAGAAAGAGGCTACCAGCAGGCTATCCAAGCCCGAGGAACAGGCATCTGGACCGATTGAATTGCCAGCGGTACCTATCGAGAATGTCATTGATGCGAAGGTGCAGCAGCCACCATCAGCATGATAAGGATGTCACCCTCTGCAGCACGCATCGTGTTATCTTGTTTATGTAATCAAGCAATCTTTCGTCGTCTGATTCATTTGAGAAGTCTGTGTTAGTGGTGTGTAATAATAAGTGAGAATAAAAGACTCCAACCTAACGTGTGAATTACCTTTGTTGTGACAGAAGCCAGAAGAGCAGGAGGATCAGCGGAAGAGGAAGAGAGCACATGCAAGCAAGGAGCAGCTGGAGGAGTTTTTCGCTGGCAACGCAAATCCCAGCGCTGCCGAGAAGGCCAGCTTGGCAGAGCAGTCCGACCTGACCGTCCAGCAGGTGTCCACATGGTTTGGAAACAGGCGCAAGAAGGCTCGCTTGGCCCAAGCAGCGCAAGCGGACGGTGCCGCAGGGCCAGCTGCCGCTCAGGCGCCTGAGCCAATCATCATAGATGACGAGGACGCAGATATGGCCGCTGAGGATATGGTGGAGAGTTCAGAGCATGCTGCCAGGACCGCCGTGGCAGAGCCAGCTGCATGCATGCCAGAGCAGCAGGCAGGGCCGCCTGCAACTCCAGCAGCAGTGTGTAGCGTGCACAGAGAAGAGCAGATCAAGCAGCTGAAAGAGGAGATCGCAGAACTGGAGAGCTATGTCACCTCACGGCCCCATCCCATCGTCACCTTGGACTTTGCGAAATTTGAGTTTATCCTGCAGAAAAGCCAGGTAGCGTTCTGCCACACGAACGACTGACCCTCCTTATCCTTTGGCTGTCCCCCCCACAGCATGGCAGACTGCACAAGGTCAGCGCAGTCCTGACAGCACTAGCTGTGAAGACTCATGAAGGGCTGTTTGTACAGGTGGGGATCTGGTTGGTGGGCTGCAGTCTGCCACTGTCAGAGGCCACCGAGAAGCTCTGGTACCACTGCAAAGGCGACTACAACCCCGGGTCACCCCTCACAAAGGCGGCCATCCGCAACATGATCATCGAGGTCGCCGCGCGAAAGAGCTATGCTGCCAAAGACGGTGAGGACATATCACCCTCTTTTAGCTGCACTCATTATTCCCCCCAATACTGGGGAGGTGCTCGCCGATAATGGGGCGCCAGACATGGTCTCCCCAAACCCAAATTGAGCTGCGAAAACAGGGGTTGGGGGCCTGGAATCAACAGCAAGCAATGGATGAAAGGGTGGAGACTAGCTGTTGTCGAAGAAATTGTCTGCATGCGGACCGTCTCTAATTTGCATGTCAATCTTGCCAAGGTGTCTCCTGTGAGCATGTGCTCGGGACATCACTTTCTCCCTAAGATCAGGTTGCAGGCCATTTAGCAAACACTCTGGCAGGCGTCCTCCTTCTGCAAGCTGCAGGCGGGCGTGAAGGGCCAGAATGTGATAAGCATAATTGAAAATTGGGATGCTGTTCCATGTGTGCAGCTGGCAGTGACAAAGTGGATGCGCTGGAGGACACAACAGCCAGTTTCCTGTGGCAGTGGGAGGTGCGGGACCAGAAGTACCTGCCTGTGGCCCACCGCAATGAGGGCATCCAGCACAAGAAGCAGATGCGAAAGGTGCGCATGCTGCAACCACTGTTGCCTTGTTCTTGAAGGCACAGCGCTGTCGTGGCTTGACTCCCGTCCAATGCACAGCATGCAAAGTCTGATCTGCAGAATAGGTACCAAGAAGTGATTCTGTTGCACACCAGACCATTGAGTGTCAGCCAACAGGTGAACAACCTGAAGAAAAGCAAGCACCGACAAGGGTTTTCAAAGCAATTCAAATTAAAGCAATTTTTGGATTGTTATGTCAGGTGGCGGCTCGCCTGACGGCGCTGGCCGCAGCGTGCAAAGCGCTGGAGGGCAAGGGCACAGACAAGCAGGTGGCGAAGGCGCTGGCTAAGCTCGACAAGCTTGAGAAGCCCCTGCTGAGCCCAGCTGCAGCCGCCGCAGACTCAGCTGCGGAGAACCCGAGCGCCTCGCAGCCGGCCCCCGCTGTCGGCCTTAGTCAGCCACAGGAGGCCGCGGGGGCACTGCCCCAGGCCCCAGACACTGCTGCAGCTGCCGAGCCTGCAGCCGCCACGCTCCCATCACAGGCATGGCATTCCTATCGTGCAATTGCTTCACTGCAGTTCCTCGATTACCTGACTGCTCTGAAGCAAATTGCTCAGGATGATATTGAGAGTCGTTCTCATGTGATTGCATGTGTGTGCATGCAGGGTGGGGAAGGGACTCCCGGAGCGGATGCGAGCAGTGTGCCAGCGGCTGACAAGGAGGCGGACGAGGCAGAGAAGGCCAAGCCTGCCCAGGAGAAGCAGGAGGCGGATGCCCAGAAGGAGCTTGCTCGGCTAGAGAAGCAGAAGGTGCAATTTTGCCTTCAAATCCTCGTCACAATAGTATTCCCTCCTGAGCGTTTCTGTTCGTATGATATAATATTCAAAGCAGGGCTGCAGATCCTTACCGTTGAGTTGCTTCCGCTGAGTGGTTGTGCTGCCTGCCAACTTCAGCATGGGCTTTGTTGCTACAAGGAGCATAGTATGGAATTTCAAAAACGAAGTCTACTAGATGACATCACACTCGTCAAGATAAAGATTGTGTGCTGCCTGGCAGGCTGCTGAGGAGAAGGAGAGGGCGCGCATTGAGGCAGCCAGGGAGAAGGAGCGCCAGCGCCTGGAGAAAGAGGCGCAGAAAAAGGAGAAGGAGGCCGAGAAGGAGAGGCAGAGAGCTGCAAAGGAGGCGGAAAAAGAGCGGCAACGGGCTGAGAAGGAGGTGTGTCCTGATCCATTGCAAGAGTTATAACTGGCCCTTTTTGGCTTGAATGAGTTGCCGAAATGATGCATGTGAACAAGCTCTTGCGGTCTCTGTTCTCCTTGTGTTGCAGCCAATCCTCATGTGTCACACTCCGGCCCCCTTGTGTTACAATCAATCTCTCGTGTGTTACACTGTGGCTCCCTTGTGTTAAAATCAGCCTCTCATGTGTTACACACTGGCCCCCTTGTGTTACAATCAGCCTCTCATGTGTTACAACGCTGGCCCTCTTGTGTTATGATCAATCTTTGATGTGTTACACTGTGGGCCCCTTGTGTTACAATCAATCTCTCATGTGTTTCACACTGGCCCCCTTGTGTTGCAATCAGCCTCTCATGTGTTACAACGCTGGCCCCCTTGTGTTACGATCAATCTCTGATGTGTTACACTGTGGGCCCCTTGTGTCACAATCAGCCTCTCATGTGTTACACTCTGTACCCCCTGGTGTCACAATCAGCCTCTCATGTGTTACACTGTGGCCCCCTTGTGTTACAATCAATCTCTCATGTGTTACACTGTGGGCCCCTTGTGTTACAATCAATCTCTCATGTGTTACACTGTGGGCCCCTTGTGTTACAATCAGCCTTTCATGTGTTACAACGCTGGCCCCCTTGTGTTACGATCAATCTCTGATGTGTTACACTGTGGGCCCCTTGTGTTACATTCAACCTCTGATGTGTTACACTCTGTACCCCCCTGTGTTACAATCAACCTCACAGGGTGTACCTCAACCTCACCAGGGTGTAACACATGAGGTGTTACACCCTGGCCCCTTTGTGTTGTCTTTTTTTCGGGACCTCCTCCATTTGTCCGTTGTGTTATCCCTCGTGTTTCTGTCAGTTCACCATGTGTGTTTTGCCACTGTTCAAGAATGCCTTGAATATTTTCCTGGTATCATTTTGTTTCATCCTTGCCTTTCTGCATGTTCATTTGTGGACCCTGATCACACTGGAATTGCAGAAGAGCTCTGCAAATTACTGTACTGCCCCTTTATCAGCAAACACTCTAGCTGCATTGTTGTGACCATGGTGTGTGCTGGCAGGCTGCAAAGACAGGATTCGAGTCGCGTGACGCCCTGTGCAAATCCCGCAATCTCATGAACGTGAGTCACCCCCTTTTTTGCTATTCTTCTTTGGAACTGTGCATGCATGCATGCATGCAATGAACTTTCATTCTGGGTTGTAGAGGCCAGAGAATTACACATCCAATGTGCAGCAGGTCCCCCTGTCCTGTGAGGTGATTGATGATGTATTGTTTTGATTGCCGCAGAGGTTCTTCAAGACGCCAGCGAAGACTGGCGGTGAAGCCGAGGGCGGCAGCAGCCAGCCGCTCAAGACTCCCATGTCCGCGCTGCCGCTGCGACACCCCTTCCATGAAATCTTTACCCCCGCCCCCGAAAGCGCACGGTGCAGCTCTATCCTTTCATGCTTACTTCAGCGCAGCAAGTCATCTACCACAAAGGATGTCTTGCAGCTGAATGAGGATGGCCTGCAGCAGGAAGTGGTGATCCAAGTGCTGAAGTATTATTGCCATCTACTGAAGTATACGGTAGTTGCTGTAGATCAACAGGCATAGCATGCATCAATTTATTACACAGAAAACCTCATATGCCATGACTTCAAAATTCCGCCTCATGTAAAATATTGCTCACTACATTGCAGGCTGCCCGTGCCCGAGGACATAAGCGCAGCATTTGATGAGGCAATTGCGGCGGCCAAGCAGCGTGGTGTGTCTGAGCTGGAGGAGGGCATGCAGCACATCAGGCAATCTTGGAAGTCCCGGCCGCGGCATAAGCGCATCCGAGGTCCGCCCTCTGTTTCAATCCCAATCCCTCCCTAGCTGGCCCACTACAACTTTCCTAAATGGGCAGAAGAACACATGCCCATGCTGCCACAGATCACGCTGGCTTTTGTCTGGGCTGTGCTGGCCTCTATGAAGGCAATCAGCGAGTACAGTTGCACAATGCTCTATCGAGTGAGGCTGCCCTTGAGATCCTTACTTTTACCTTCCGTAGTAGAAGCTGTTAAGAACTGAGCACCGTACCCACCCTTGATGGGGTCTCGCTTGGATTGGCGAGTCCAACAAGGGGTAGGATATTGGCAGACTTTTACTGCAGCTTGTCTGCCGAAACACCTTGCCTCTTGGCAGGAAAAGCGTGAAATAATAATAATAATAATAATAATAACAACAACAACAATAATAATAATAATAATAATAGTAATAATAATAATAATGACAATAATAATAATAATAATAATAATAATAATAATAATAATAATAATAATAATAATAATAATAATAATAATAATAATAATAATAATAATAATAATAATAGTACTAATGAAAATAATAATAATAGTAATAATAATAATGATTGAAGGTGTGTATGTGTGTCTGTGCAGGGCTGCCTCCGTCCTGGGCGCGCATGAGGACGGCTGAGGAGCATGTGGCAGAGTTTGGGCGGCTGGAGAAGGCGCGGCTGTGGCGCCGCAAATTTCTGTGGTTCGCCGCCTCCAAGCGCCCGGCCTACTACGGGTCGTGGTCCGCCGCCAGGTGCACCAAGCCTGCCATGAAACACTGTTGCGGCTTTGTGGCTGTCAACAGAAAAAGTTTGACATTGCGCCCAGGAGGTCCATGCCTGTGTTGGCAGCAATGGAGGTCTCACGGGAGACTTCTGAAGTGATGGGCAGTTTGCAGATTTTCTGGAAGCTGGGTGTTATGAGTACGGTGTTCACTATCCAAATGCGCCTCTGCAAAGGTCTTCCCCATAGCGGACCCCGATTTTGGGAACGATGTTCTCTGGCAATCATCTTTGCAAATCAGGCTGCGGCACGTCCTGAGTTGGCCACCGTTGAGGCATGATGTGAGTAGCGAAAAGTAGAACAATGACAGCGGCGGCTTGACAAATATTGTGGTGCGTGCCTCTCAGCCCAACAGTGACGGGGCGGCGCCCGTTGGCGAGGGACGATGCGCTGGACTATGAGGTCATGAGCGACGAGGAGTGGGAGGAGGAGCCCGAGGGAGAGAACCTGTCGGTAAGCCTGCAGCAATGCCTTTGGTCAGCCAGTCAGATTGGATCTGACGTGATCTGTGACCTCAATGGCCACCAACAGATAGCTGCCGTCCACGGAAGAGAATTTGACTGGAAGAGTCATATACACAAATACGCAGACGGGCAGGGCCTAGGGAAAATGCCATACGTTGACATTGACAATATGTGATAACATGAAAGCGGCATGCCGGTGTTCGTGAGTGAATTTCCCAGAAGGACTGCCACAAACAAGCCACAAATTGCAAGACACTTCTCTTCGTCAAGCACAAGTGAACTTGCTGGGTCTTGCTTATAAGGATACAACGCACATCCAACTAGCATTCGGTATCTGGAGGCAGGGTGTATTACACAAGAGAGGGGAGTTCCGGTAAGTGTGGGTGGGGGTCGCAGGACGAAAACTCCATTACCTGCACACCACCAGGACAGGTGATACGCTGGGGCCCTGCCTGTTAAGGCTGGGGTCTCTTAGGCAGCCTAGGCAGGGTTTACTACAGACTGCTTTAGTAACCCCTGTTTTAGAGAAGGAAAAGGTAGGTGAAGTGGTTGTTGCGCAGGACGATGACATGGAGGAGGAAGAAGACGAGGCGGAGGATTCGTGCGGGGACGGATTTGTGGTGCCCAACGGCTACATCTCGGACGACGAGGGCGTCGCATCCGTGCAGCAGGACCTCGACGATCTCGCCGCCGAGCTCGACGGTGCTCTCTGCTTTATTATATCTGACACACCCGTTGTTCTCCCGACAGTCAATTGCAATTAGCTTCCTCTTGCACTCACCGCAGACAGGATGATGCAATGCTTCTGCATCCTCCAGATACCACAGATCATGCATGCACGAGCAACAGAAAGAGTACAGATGTGGCATGCGGCGAGAAATCTCAACAGGGTGCTTAGAATGCAAAGATGTCTTCTTCTAGACCTCAAGGCCCCAGCTTGAACTCCAGAAAGCTATTCCTCACTAGATAAGATTCTGATGAGACCCTCTCAAATCTACGACCTTGCATGACTAATGAATTTCTCCACGTGTGCAGACGAGGCGACGGGTGCGGAGGTGGCGGCCGGCGGCGACGCAGTGCAGCGCGACCGGCTGCGGCTGCTGAATGCGGCGCTGGACCGGGCGACGCGCGCGAATCGGCCCATCATCATCACGCGCCTGCCGATGCCGCCCGCGCCGTCCCAGGACTCCGCGCGGCCCGCCCACCTCACCGGCGACCCCGCCCTCCTCTCCGCCCTCCAGCCTCTGGTCAGTCCTGGCACCTTCCCCTGCGGCTCAACCTCTACATGACAAAAGAACTCTTGTCGGCAGTCCTCCTTGTCATGTATCGACGATGGGGGGCCTTAGCCGGGCAATTGGGCCAGGAAACGCATTATCAGAAGAGTGGTATGGATTGAAAACCCATTGAGGGCAGCCCGCTCAAGCACTGTGAGGCAGCTGTGTCGTGGCAGCACAATGTTACTGTGTTATTGGCAAGCCAATTTTCCGATTAAGACAGATAGCCAACAGCGCACAACTAGGAGCGCACATGTCGAGCTTGTCTCTTTGGTGACAGGTCCTGACGACCAAGGTCAAGATCCGGATGCTGCCGCCACCAGAGACCGAGGACGCTCCCGGGGATGTCGCCGCGGACGGCGCCGCGGGGCCGGCAACAGCGCGCGGCCGCGGCCGGGCGGCCGCGCAGGAACAGGAGGAGCTGACGCCAGACTTGGTGCAGTTCCTGCTCTCGCACCCCGAGCTCAAGGCGGTGGCCAAGGTCGCAAAGGTGCGCCTTAGGGCCTTTTCCACAGCGCAACTTCCCCATAATTAGACACTTCGCCCTGGATGCAAGCACCATAGGGAGCCCTCAGACACCGAAGATCATGTCTCCATTCTTACATCACCCATTGGGACCAGAATTTAATTGGCACACGGTGGACATTATTAGATTCATGGTGCTTTATTGGGATGTAGGCGTTCACTGAGGCGCACCCGGATCGCAAGGTGGTGAAGAAGTGGGTACACAACAAGGTGAAGGACATCGCGGAGCACTCCGGAGGCGCCTGGGTCATCAAACAGAGCTCTGCCAGTGCCCAGCAGCCAGCCGATGCCGAACAGTCTCCAGCATCCACACCATTGCAGCCGCGCCCATCCTCTGCAGGTATTTGAGCTTCGCACAACAACTGCTTCTACTTCCTGTACAGCTTTTTTCATACAAAACAGGCTTGCTAATTGTCTCTCCAGCCGCTCAGCTGCCCCATGCATAGCTCAATTCAAGGACTGCATGAGCTGTCAATACATACCTCTACAAGGCAAGCTGCTGAGCCCGTGCACGTTGCCTTGTGCAGACCAGCCGCCGCTCGCATCACACCCGGCTGGCGAAGCTGCGACTTCAGCGGCGGTGACCCCCGCCACTGCCGGCCCTCTGGACCGTTTCCTGCGCGCCGGGTCACAGCCGCAGGCCACGCCGCAGCCGCAGCGCGCGGCTGCTGCCGCCGCTGTGCAGGGACTCGGGGAAGTGGTAATTTTGGATGAGGACGAAGGCGCTCCTGCCCCTATGGACGTGGACGCACCACCAGCTGCCGCCGCTGCGCAGACGCCCAGCACCAAAGACGAGGTACTCATTCTTACTCCCGCTGCAACAAATGGAAACTCTTCTTGGTTACACGCTGTGTCTTAATGTGGCAGCTTGAGGCATGCCATGGCAGAGCCCAAATGCTGCAAACTCTGGCAGACCTCCACAATTCCCTTTGCTTGCATGGCCCCCACGCATGTCACAGACGGCTGAGGTGGAATTCGAATCCTGGCATGGACAGATACGGGGGACGGCGGATCCGTTCTGGAGGGGGCTGGCGGAGAGCATCGCGGCAAACAGCCTGCAGGTGGCGGAGCAGCTGCAAAGGGGGTTTAAGGCGAGCGCGGCAGGGGAGTTGGTGCGCGCGGTGCCGAGCTTTGTGCTCACGGCGATGGTGAAGGGCTTGGCGAGCGGGCAGTGCTCGCGGCTGCTGCAGTCCTGCCTGCTCAAGGCGCTGGCGCAGCTGCTGCGCCTGCTTGTGGCGGCCGGGGACACTTCCAACCGCGTCCCCACCCCTACCAAGGTGGGCACCCCACTCCTAGCCCTCTATTATTGTGGGTAAATATGTGTGAAAAGCAGTGGGGTAGAAATTGTCCCAGCCCCTCTCAGAGCTTCTGAGAATTCTGAGGAACTTGGCTGGGCAAGGTCAAACGGCTGTTCTGATGAGGGTGTGGTCATCTCGTTTAAATAGGCAAACCTGCCTCGAATTTTATACAAGAAAAAAACATATGTGGAGAGAAGGTGAGTGTTGCGCCGCAGGTGTTTAGGGACGAGCGGTCTGCCCCGGTGGCGGTGTCTCTGGATGAGATGCTGGCCTGCCGCAGCCTGCTGGGCGCGCTGCAGGCATGCATGCGCGCCAAACAGAACCGCATGCCGCAAGTCGCGCAGCCCGCCGCCCAGCTGCTCGGTGGGCACACCCTTCCTGCATTCATCTGGTCACCTTTGTATGACCCGATAATCTGCGTGCTGCAATTAAATGTGGTGCAAGTAAATACGCCTGACGGGTCTGGGCCACTCCTATGAATGCCTCTCCAAAGAATGATGCACGGCCCAAGCACGTCAGACATGTCCGCTTGCAGCATTGTCACAGTACAGCCCGGAGATGAATGTGCTGGGGATTCAGTGACACATAAGGAGCCATCATTGTTCTCTTCCAGGCATTTTTTATAAGTCCTGCTTTGCTCAGAAGACAAGTCCACTCTTGCTGATCCAATGTTATCTGGCTGCCGCAGCGGCGATGCTAGCGGTGGGTGCTGCTGAGCTGGGCACCCCGGCGGCCGGGTCACAGGAATCCCAGCAGCCATCTCTGGCAGCAGCGGCGATCAAAGAAGCCGCAGAGCTGCGCTTGCATGTGGCCCGGGACGACGCCTGGCATGTCCTCTTCACAGAACTGCTGGGGCCCACAAGCGATGCCTCTGTGGTGGAATGCGTCGCGAAGACTCTCGGCACGATCGGCCGTGATGCAGCAGCTGCACGCACACTGCTGCAGCGGTACTCGGACATCTTCAGCGACAAGGAATTGCATGGGAAGCTGCAGAAGCTGCTGCTCGCCGCCTCCGCGGTCGCCACCAAGCATCGGCAGAAGGTATCCCGATGAAGCTACTGGCACATGTGCAGTGATTCTGGCAGTTTGCAATCAGTATCTTCCAACGAGATGTAACAAAAACATTTTTTCTCGTTGGCGACATGGTGGTACATATATACCCCTGGTTTTCATACATAGGAGGGTAGTTGTAACGAGAACCTCAAACTGCAGGCACAGAAAAGTTTAGGCATTTGTGCAGAATGATCTGCAATGGGCTGATGTGTGATTTGGCAGCGGGCCATGGAGGACTGCCTGAGCTTCCTGGGTGACCTGCTGTCACTCCAAGAGGCAGACGGGCCGGTGAGAAATGCGACAGCCGTCACGAGCTTTGGCGCCCTGCTACGATCGCTGGAAGAGACTGTCAGCGCCCACATTCCAAGCGAGCCGGCTGACCCTCCAGCTGGGAACACCCGATGCCTCCTTGCCGCCCTGAAGGTGACTAACACGCTGCTCACCCCGTGCCTACATTAATATTACTGCTAGAACACGCTTTTCCTGCCAAGACTCAAGGTGCGTCTGCAATAAAGCTGCAGGCAAGGGCTGCCGAAATCCTAATCCGGGTGGAGGGGCCTTGTTGGATTCGCAACATCCAAGCAACCCCCAAGCAAGCGTGGGCAAAGTGCTCAGTACTCATATACCGGCTCCGCCAGCCGACTTGCTCCATTTATTTCAGGCTTCATGTGCATGAGCGTGTGTGTTTGCTCAGTGAAGAGTGCTTGCAGGGATTGGAATGGAAATGTGGATAACAGCTTCACAATCTCTTAAACGATTGTGTTCCTTGCACGCGCAGGTGGGGGCATTTGCAGCGAGGTTCGCAACAACCCACAAGCAATGCCTGAGCGCCATGCAAAGGTCGCTGCCCGGACCAATTGCAGCGCATGAGAGTGTATGGGAGAAGCTCCAGGTGGCAGACATAGCGCAGGCACTGCTGGCACAGCTCAGCACTGCCCCGCCACAATAGATTTGATTTGGTGCCTGGACATTTTGGGCATGCACCACACAGTTGGGACGAATCCATACAGTGTACTTTGGATATTTTATACATTATACAATGAGGACATTTGTTTGAGTGACATGCTGAAAAGGAGCCTGGACATAAGTGACTGACATCCATATGGATCATGCACGGCATGCTCTTTCTGAGATTTGCATAGGCTTTGAATGTAAATCTTAGTCCTGCTTAATAGCATAAGTGAGGAGACTGGACTCTGCATTTTGCAATAAATACTACTTTTAGCAATCCGTAGAGATTTCAGCAGAATCTCTCAATTTAAAAGCATCCCGCTGAAACGCAGTTGGACTTCAAGCACACATAGCAGGGTTTTGTCCAAGTATGTCAAGCACGCCGTTTCACGAGTTTTCAGGATCAGCAACTTCAGCTTTAAGAAAGAGACTGCTGTAGTCACTTAGATGCCTGTTGGACTCATCACATCAAAATTAGCATGCCTGCACCAATGCCATCGGTCTCTACTGTCTCTCTCACGCACATTTAGCTCTCTCTTCTCTCCTAGGAAATCTCCAGGCCTGTCCTCACAGAGGCTGGCATGCATCTTTACCATTCTGCTGCCTCTCACTTCTTCTCGTCCTGCTTTGCGGGCAGAGTCATCCTCTGAGCTGGCGTGCCGAGCCTGTCTGCTCGGTCTGGTACAAAGTAGCTGTAGTTCAGCACCAGCGGATCCTTGTCCTTGTCATCCTTAGCTTCCCTGCTTGCCGCAACAGCACACAGGCTCTCAATACATGCAGGTTTGAGCCATCACCGTGGAAGTGCAAGAAGACTGGTCAATATCATGGCGATTGGCATGCGTTCAATGAAGATCATCCCAATCATGCTATTGGAGCAACTGGGAGCACAAGGTGGTCACCTTCCCTCTCCCTTTGCAGGGTTCTGTCTTGCCTTGATCTCTTCTCTTCGCTCCTTTCCCTTGCTCTTTTTGTTGTTCTGTGTCTTGCTCCTGCATCATCAATACAATGTGAGTTTGCGGGTTCCCACCTGATGCTGGGACTTCTGTGCCTAAATTTAAGAGGTGGACAAGGGATCTCACCCTCTGCTAGCCTTTGGGAACCTGAAGGCGCTTTCACTCTCCTGCGCTTTCTTGGGCTTCTGTGATTTTGCCTGCTGCTGCTTTCTCCACCAGGCAAAGCCCACGAGCGCTCCCGCCACTGCCAACAGGGACAGAAGGCCGGTGCGGGGCTCCCGTTCTGACAACGACTTTGCTCTGCGAGCACACCCAAGTCTTTTCTTCGCATACGAAGTTGCTGCACTGTCCAATTGGTGTTGCTTGCATCACATCGTGCGTGTGATCTCCGCTAATTGATATATCCAAATATCTAGTCAATGCCCTGCATTCATGTGAACTGATTTCATCGCAACATGGCTGAAGCACAGCAGAGGATGCACGTTCACAAGTGCTTGCTCTCCTGCAATTCCTGTCAACCCGCACACCATCATGCCAAAGCAACGAACCTCTGCGTTGTCTTCTTCCTCTGCTGCTTGCCACTCATTGTTGGAGGTCCCGTGAGTCAGCCAAGTGATCTAGATCGAAACCTGCAGAAGATGTCCCGCAGTCCCAGCCAGAGGAAGTGCACGTGACGTTGTGAATAAGTTTTGCTCAATTTTTGTGCATCAATATGAACAAACAAGATTGCTTGCTTGCATATTATTTGGATTGTGGATGAATTGGCAGTGGGGCCCACTACTGCCCGTTCTGGGCAGTTGCATTGTGGTGATTCTGGCCCAAAAAACTGGAATTCTGCATCAAGGTCCCAGGAAATGGAGCCCACCTTGCAACTTGCAATATCAAGGCTTCAGTTGAGCAAACATTCATCAAGATTAGAAAATTTCATTACTGTAAGCACCACCCTCAGTCCTGCTGTGCTGCACAGAATGCATTACCCATACTATGGCCTTCAAAGTCAACGATTACAAGAATAAACCGAGAACAGTGTGGTATCCCTATTGTGGTACATTGTAGGCAGTACCACGTGTACATCCACCTGAATTCTGAGAGAGACTGTCCGGTTCTACAAGCCAAGGGCCACACATGAAATAATTCCAGTACACCAACAGGCATGTATCCTGATGTCACGTTGGTCATGCATCTATGCAACACAAACTGCACCGGACTTAAAATCGCACATGTCATGTTCCTCTTTGTTGCCAAATGGGGTCCTACTACAACTCAGACGGGCCCATCATACTCCATGCGTTCGATGTACTTGTCATAGAACTGCGCTGCAGTGTCAAAGTTGCCCATCTCTGTGTAGATGTCTGCGATGGTCCCGTACGCGTCTGCGTCGCCCACATTGTCCCCCATCTCCTTGCTGATCTCCAACACGCGCAGCAAGTGCTGGATGGCCGCACGGTGCTGGCCCTGCGCACAACGCAAGAGTGCAATCAATCACTGGATCTATCTTCCTGTCTCCATTTCTTCATCTCCAAAACACAGTACTCGATCATTCCCAGTGCACCTCCTGAGAGCATGGATCAGGCTTCTGCCGGGAATAGGCACAGCAGGTCAAGTCAGTCATTGCATGCATGCACAGCCTCGCACCTGCAGGCGAGCGGCAGCGGCGAGGCCACGTGTGGCGCGGCGTTCCTGGCACTTGTCAGTAACCACCTTGGCCAGCATCAGGGCGCGCTCAAACCTGACCATTGCCGACGCTCCCTGCCGCTCCTTCAGCAACCTGACCACCACAGCAGCTACTCACCTGCTTGCTTGCCAACCTCACACCAACAGTGCCAGGTCAATTGGTGTGGTCAAACAGGCGCATAGAAAGCCTCACCGCAAGGTGTGCCCATCTGCATTCTGATGCATTCCAAGAATGGGAGCAGCATCGGCTGCCTCGGAGGGCACCAGATGCATGCAGTGCTGAGAAAGGGAGCGCACCTCTTGCCCTCGCGCAGGGCTTGGATGCACTGCCGCGCCTCGAGACTGAGCTCGTCCTCGTCTGTGGACGCCAGCACGCTGGAGGATGCCAGCGAATTGGCCATGGCTGTCGCCGTCGGCTCCGCCGCCCTCTCCTGCACCGCCACTGACGGCTGCGCACCCCAACCCCTCACCTCAGCACCCGATCATTTACCCAAGAAGCAGGCAGCGTCAGCGCAATTGGGACACCGCCCACTTTGCTGCGGCATGGGTTACCGCAGCAAGCTCCTTCCCGGCCAGGAGGGAGCATAATCCACAGAAGGAATGGTTTATCCTACAAAGAAAGGTTCCCCAAGACACTGCTGGGAGCTGGCAGGCAATAACGAGTCGGCGTTTTGATGCAGGTCACAAGCCAGATAGACCTTGCAGCAAGGACCAGTGCGTACGTGTGTCATGCAGGCCTTTCTTCTATGACTTCGGAAAAGGGGTTCGACAACTGTGTGACGCAGGAGCTTTTCCTCTCTGCGATCCCTTCCAGAGTGGCAATCACCAATATATATTTTTTCATGCCTCTCCTGCCAAGACAGGCAATTAGGCAAGAAAAGGTACGAAGATGGGCAGAGTGGGCACCTGGACGCCGTTGATGAGCTGGATGGCGGTGTCTGTGAGCTCTGCGAGGGGTGCAGAGTCTAGCGAGCGCTTGGAGGGGGAGGGCGGCAGCGGCAGGGGCGCGTAGTTGAGCCCGGGCGCGTAGACGGTGCCGGCGCGCGCCTGCTGCCGCAGGCTCATGTTGATCTTGCGCAGCTGCTCGTTTAGCCGCTCCAGCTCTGCCTTGCGCGCCCGCGCAGATATGCCTGCACATTAAACTTCTCTAACCATCCTGTGGCATCACTCTGCACTCTGCAATGTGGCGCCAACGGCACAATGTCAACAGGCTCGCAAGACGCTCCCAGGGAATGCCTTCAAGCAAGCATGGCTGCAGGATTTCTGCCCTCCTTATAGTCTTTGCCCTCTGGGAAAGTGCCCTGTAAGACTATACTGCACACAAGGGCGGTGTTCATGGCCTGACATCCATGGCTCAGCATCCCTCGTACTATGGAGTACTACCATGTATATCAGACCTTCTTGGGTTACTACAGCTCCGAAAGGGACGGGAGCGGCAGCTGCATGGGGGGTGCGCACCTCCGACGAGGGCGCCGGTGAGGGCGATGACCTCGGTGATGCCCACGACGTCGACGCCAAAGGGCGTGGCGCAGAGCTTGCCCGAGGAGGACGTGCGCGCCTCGTCCTCAAGCTGGGCTCGCGCGCGGTTGAACTCCTCGCGCGCCTCCCCCTCCACCTCCTGCCGTAGCCGGAACAGCTTCGCCTCCTCCTCCACCAGCGGGCCCTTCGCGCCTGGGCAGCACCACATCATGGAGAGCTCAGACCATTCTGAGCCATGAACAATGCAATAAGTGCGTCAACCAGGGTGACAGCACAGAAAGGAGGATGAGCCAGGGTAATTTGTGATGTGAAAAAACTGCCATTTGCCCCAGCACACCCACAAGTTGTGGGCCACAAGATTGGGGCGTGGCGATTAATGCAGCAACCAAGAAAGAGCATGGCTGGCCACGGCCAGTTGTCAATAGTGCTGCGCTCCCAAATGCACTTGTTTAGGTGTCCTCCGCAGTGTTCAGGAGCCTCACCGGTCGCTGAGAGGAAGGGCAGGGTCTCTGCTAGCGCTGGCGCCGCACAAGCCAGGCTTACTGCTGCAGTGGCGCTTAGAACGCCTGCCAGTAATCTCTTCTGCAAGCTGCTGTTGGGGCTTTCGCCTTGTGACTGCAGCAGCAGGTCTTCAAGGTCAGCAATTGTAAGAAGGTCTGAGCTGTTTGTCAGCCTGAAAAAGAAGACCATTATGGAGCACGAGCTATCGCAAAGATGAATGTGATGCAAACCAAAAGTGATCACAAGACTCTCGTGCTTATGGAGTGGAATCTCTGCTTACCTCTGCTGCTCCTCCTTGTCGCCGATGAGAGCGCACTGAGACACATCCTTTCCTACCGTGATTACTCTTTATATGTGCTATATAAGTTCGAGCAATGCAGGCATCTTGTCTCAACCCGCAAGGTTGTGTTGTGTTGCAGGTCTGCATCATTTCTTTCCGAAGCCCAGGATTATTGTTATAATGTGTCTTTCTCTAGGTGTTGAATCGGATATTTCCTGTACACTCCTGTACACCCGTGATGAAGTCGCGGGAGTGTATGTATGAACTGTATTGTGTCGGACGCATGCCTGATCCGAGCCTGAGCCGATTGTGCCAGCGTGGATCTCCAGCATGGCACCGGTGCCTAGGAGCGTTTCTTCTTTCACTGCTTCCAATTGCATTTCAATTTCATTAGGCCCTTATTATTTCCTCCTTCACATCTGTCCCTGTGAGAGTATAGAAGGAACAATTGGAATGCACCTCTCGATATGATGGGTGCGATGCCCATGTGGCCAAACGCAGTGAGATCCTGTTGCATGTCATGAGTGTGAATAAAATTCTATCAAGGATTGAAAATGCTACAACAACAGAGGCCGCCTATGAGGCCCAGCAGATGCTCAAGACTGTGTACCATCGGCTCAGATCACGGAAGAAGCTGACAGAGAGCTATGACCTGCTCCAACAAGGTGCTCGCCTTCAGCTGAAAGGTGATCAGGTAATGGAATATTTTTGCATACCGTCCTCAACCTGCTACTGTTTATCATGATGCTGGTTGATGCTGTCGCTCCACAGATACATGTCCTGAGCTGACAAACTTGACCCGTCCTCAGCACCATTTCTGAACACCTGCAGCTGACATGTGGAAGCGAGCTGGCCCTTCTCCTGATACACGATCTTGAGGCAGATGGCTTTAAGCTGTCAGAGTTGCATCGCATCACCGACCTTCTCGAGTGCATCAGGAAGCCATACACAGAGAGCAGGGACAGCCCAGAGATAAAGGAAGCAACCAAGATCACAAGCGCTGCCATACGATGGGTGAAGAAGATGGTGCGCTCCTACATATGATACGAGTCATATGCCGTGGACATACCTTCCATAATTGCAGCTATCCAACTCCAGAGGGCCTCTAGGAAACTGCAATGTTCTTGCCATTGGCAGGGAGATGAGGAGGCTGCCAAAAAGCTGCACAGCACGCTGGCAGCGCTGATCTGCAAGTGTCAGGGCGCAGAGGGGCTGCTGGCAGCCAGCGAGCACTTCAGCCGCGGTGATGACCCCGCAGCCTTCGCAGCCTACCTTGCAGATGTCTCGAGCAAAGGGTCCCACAGCGAGCACGACCTCATCCTAACCCGCGCTGTCCTGCAGGTACCATTGCCCTGCTGCAATGCTTGAGTGGGTGTATCAACATGCTTGTGTGCTTTGCATTTCTTGTGGGCCCGGCACACTGGAGACACGCCATATATTGGTTGCCTGGTTCCTGCTGAGCGCATGGTTTGTGCCGCAGGTTTTGGCAGTGGGCAGGGCGAGCCAGCTGGATATGCAGCTGGCATTTGCCAGAGAGCTGATGGGGGGCTTCAGCAACAGAACTGCATCAGCTGCAGCCTCTATATCCACCCCACTCACCCACTTCCTGGAGTTCCTGCTGCAGGTAACTGGACATCACACTATTGCCTGTTGTCCATCGTGACCATTCTGAGCAATTGCTGGACTCAGTAAAACACATGCTCATATTGAGGGCCAGTCATCACAAAGTTCCTTGCGTTCTTGAGCAATGGCAACTGTGGCTTAGTTGGGTTGTTTGCTTGATGGGTCAGGCTCTGGATGGGCGCTCGCTGTCGCTGCTGGAACTGCTGCAAAAGGAGTATAGCCACAGCCTGGCGCGCGACCCTGATCTGGGCGAGATGCTGGAGACTGTCAAGCAGACGTACTTCCCCTCGATGGGGGGCCAGGGCATGAGCAGTCTGCTGGGCAACATCTTCCAGATGATAAGCACTGCAGAGCCACCCGCCTAGGGGCTTGTTAGTACAAGTAAATATGGTGCAGCTTGTGACATTGGGCAGCCAATGGAGCACATGAGAACTGTGGGTTGAGACTGTTCTTGAAGTGAGGCGTAGTGCTCCATTGCTGGTTGGGGCGTCTTCTGGAGTAGCATCTGTGCGTGCTGCTGGACATGTTACAATCTGAGTGTCCTTCTGGGCCCAGAAGGCTGAATACACATAAGGAAAGAAGCTGCTGCGGATGCCATACGTAAGTATACTAAGTGGTTATTAGGAGCAAGGGCTAGATAAGGGTGATGTTGCCACCATGATACCACAGACCGTACCAGGATGAATGCTCAGCATCAGGCTGACATTCTGTTTATGCCATAAACTTTATGGAGCTCGACTAGGTCTGCTTGCCAGGTTTAACATCCCCTGGACTTGAGCCATAAAGTCAGTGTTGAGATTTGCTGCAATGGGATTTGGGCCTGCCATGATGATGATCAGTGACTCAGGCTGTCAGCCACTGCTGAGCGAAGGTATGTTGACTGGCTGATGTGCCGACGGTGCATGACCCTGGTGGGTTACAGCTATGGGTTACTGCGCACCAGCTGCAGTGGCAATCACCGGTGCACCGGAGTACGATCTGGAATCTAGACTAACTCCCAAAATGGAGCACACCTCGACCACAAACTTCCATTTTTTCTTCCAATCGCCTGTCTAAATTTAGCTTGATGCCACGGTGGACTGATAGCGAGATGACTCATCAAGGGTGGAGACATCAATAGTCCTGGCCTCAGTCCAACTTTACAGCATTGATGCAGTTTTAGGCATGGATTTGGACGCAACGATGGGTATAAGGAGCACAATACACAATTAGAAGTATATTGGAAGGTATGATACCTGCTATTCCTCCTCAGTTGTTGAAGATACCCCTTTGCACTTCTGGCAGCTTGGGTGACCTAAACATCGAGCGCTGTAAACCGCCCTTCAGCGCGTAGTCGATGCGGATGTTGCATCGTGCCTACTTATCTAATATGCATGCATAATTAGTTTGCCAATCGAGCCAGCATCGAAGCGGATACCACGGCCGAGGCGGGAGGCTTGTTGTGCGGCACTAGTACTCGATAGAAACATTACGGACGATATCTGGCAGCCCTGAAGGGTGTGTATTCGCAGGATCAAACATCGTATGGATCCTTCATGGGCGCAGTCAGCGGACCAAGTCGCCAGCGGGCTGGCGTCCTTGTATGTTGAGAGCAATGGAGCAGGCCAGGGACACAAGCTTGCGGGGCAGGGGAACGGCTGGATGGGCGGCCCTGCCGCCACCAGGGGCCCAACGCCACCTACAACGCCACACTCAATGATCCCCAGCGGGCAGAGCCCCAGTGCGCAGCAAGTTGGTTGGGGCGGTCAGGTACGGCTGCTGCGTCAAGGAGCGCCCTGTTTTGGCCGCAAAATTAGGGCGTCGTACTAGCAACTTTAACGTCTGGCGTTTGCTGTGAATTTATCAAATTTATTCCCAACAGTCACATCATTCGACGTCCAAACCGTGCCGTCAGTCAATATGCAGCTGAGCTTTCGGAGCGATGCTGATGCAGACGATCCCAGACTCGCAAGGGTTCCGGGTGCCCTGGTTCGGACGCAGCCGGGGCAAGGGCGGGCTTCCTCCTGGAGGTAGAGGAAGAAGAGGTCGCGGCGGGTACGAGAGGGGAGGCAGGAGGGGCTTCCGGAGGAACTGGCATGGTGGCGCTCCAGATCAGTATGGGCAGGGAGGCGAGGAGGGCCTCAGCGTGGAGGACATCGTCAGCATGTGCCACAGCCTGCCTCAGAGCAAGCCAGTGCCCGATGCAGCCTACCAGGCGCTGTTCCATTTCGACTCCAGGGCCACAGCCCTCCTGCTCAAGGACCTGAGCAAGGCCGGCCTTGGCTTCCGCGCGGTGGAGATATTCGAATGGCTGCGCAACCTGGATGCCAACCACCCCCTAGCTTCCCTCTGCGACGTCTACACCTACACAGCCATGATCTCCATGTGCATCTACCAGCAGGTGCGCCCGCCGCTGCCGTATCCCTTTGCCCGGCGGCCAGCGCTCGGCTCTGGTTTGCATGCACCATGTCTAATCATCTTCTGGCTGCTCTATTCAGTCTTCAGCTTCCAGCAAGCCGCACTGTGCTGCCTGTTTTTCACACATCACTCTGCTGTGTGCACAGCCCGCCGCGCACAGCCAGGCGCTCGGTTCTGAGGGGTATCTCTGCCTCAGCGGGGTTCATGCAGGTGCATTGCCATGAAAGTTTTACTATCTGCAGGACGTGGACCGCGCGATGGACCTGGCGAAGGAGATGCGGGTGCGCAACATAGAGCGCAACGTGCACACCTACACGGCGCTCATGAACGTGTGCATAAAGTGCGGCAACTGCCCGCTCGCGCTGGACACCTACAACCACATGCGCCAGGACGGAGCCTGCCCCAACGTCGTCACCTACAACACCCTCATCGAGTGAGCCTGCACTCTGCTTCTTGTGTGATCAATACGGCTGCATGCCCAAGTTTGGATAACCAGATGGAGTCCATGCAGCAAAGTCCACAGATCGGCTGGGGGCACAGCAGACGTGGTGGTGTATTCATGTGTGTTTGATGGGGCTAGGTGAAGCGGCTGTAGACTAAACTGTTGGCTGGGTTGTGGTGCAGCGTGTATGGCAAGATGGGCCTCTGGGAGCAGGGCATCAAGGTCCTCACCCTCATGAAGACCGAGGTGTGCAAACGACAGCAATCCATGACGCCCCATACAGCGGCACATTCGAATCCATGCGCAGCTGATTTTTGGGCACTTGCAAAATTGCGCTGTTCTTCATGTTGCATTGCTCAGATCGGCACATGCTGAGATTTCCACATGTCGGCTTGCTAGGTTGCTAGTTTAAAGTCAGCAAGCCATGACGTGGGCACATCAGCATGTCCACATCTGCCCTCATCAAAAGTTCCCTCACATTCCATCCCTGAGATTTGCATATGCTGAAACTGTCCCCATGCCGGCTGGCTAGGTTGCTGTGCTCCACCAGCAAGCCGTGAACCGGGCACCTCAGCATGCCCAAAACTGCCCTTGATCACATCTGAAGCTTCAAGAACTCAAATTCGAATTAAAGCCGGCAATAAACCTGCGCAGGGCGTGGAGCCGGTGCTGCGCACGTACAACACGCTGATCATAGCGTGCAACATGTGCGGGCAGCCGCGCGAGGCCATGGCAGTCTACAAGCGCATGCTGGACGAGGGGTACTCGCCCAACGCGACCACCTACAACGCCCTCATCTCCGCCTACGGCAAGGCCGGCCAGCTCGACAAGGTGCGCCACCCAGTTGCCTCCATCAATTTCACTATCAACACCCTGAAGATTGGACAATTGTATATCAGGAGTTGGTATTCTTCTTATGCACTGCTTGAACTTCTGCCCATGCCTATGTCTCTGCCAATGCCTGGCTTGGGCAGGATGTAGGCAGCGCATGAGAAAGTACTGTCTGAGCTGCTTCGTGAGACCCTGCCACCTATTGATGCTTCACAGGATGCAATGGGGTAAAAATTTGATGTTGCCACAGTGCTGGGGGTGTGTTACTTCATTGCATGCGGTGCAGCTATGCTGACATCACCTCCTGGGGGGATTGCAGGTGATGGAGGTGTTCCAGGAGATGGTGCACAAGGGGTGCGAGCGCAGCGTGATCACCTACAGCAGCCTCATCAGCGCATGCGAGAAGGCGGGCCAGTGGGAGCTGGCGCTCGAGCTGTTCAACGAGATGGCCGGCGAGGGCTGCATACCCAACACAGTCACTTACAACTCCCTCATCACCGCCTGCGCCCAGGGTGAGCACTGCAGTTTGCACGGGCCCCTTTTAGAGCAGCCTTCATGTGTGCTTGATTTTGGGTCTCACCCTGCGAGGATTTCCCATGGATGCGCCATCCACAGCACTGGGCAGGCAATGAAGGGGGCCTTAAGCCAGAAACCCGTCTGCAGAAGCACCTGCAAGAGACCCTGACGCTGTCATCACCCAGGCAGGCAAATACAGCATCCATACTGCCACCAATGGGCGAATCTGCAATCATGCTGTGAGACACTTCAGGCAAAGTAGTACTCCCATTACTCCAATACTCTGTGTCTTGAGCAATATGATGTTTCAGAATCATGCTGTGTGACACTTTAGGCAATTTTGTACTCCCAACATTCCAATACTCTGTGTCTCAGCAATTTGATGTGTCAGAGTCACGCTGTGAGACACTTCAGGCAATCTAGTACTCCCAATGTTCCACAGTTCTGTGTCTTGAGCAACTTGAATCTGATCTGTCAGAGGTCCCGACTCAGAATGCTGTGAAGCGCATGCTGTCTCGCATTTGATTGATTGGGAGGAGATGCTGGTGCTGATGGGCACATTTGTCAAGCTTGCAAGACAGCAGGTGGAAACCTGCGCAGCATCAGATGGCTGTTTGTGATGGCAGGAGTGAAGAATGTGTCACTTTAATTACACCAAAAGGTTCAAACATCTTTACCAGGCATCCAATGCAGAACGAGGCAATCAGATGGGCATGTGTGATCTGTTCGGATGTGCGCTGGTGCAAGTGTACTGCCCATCTTCTGTTTCACGGTCATGCAAACACACAGTCTGAAGATACGCATGCTCCTGCCATGAGCAGGCGCGCAGTGGGAGAAGGCGAGCGAGGTGTTTGAGCAGATGCAGAAGGGGGGTTGCACGCCGGACGTGGTGACATTCACGGCGCTCATATCCTCGTATGAGAAGGGCGGCCAGTGGCGGCGCGCTCTCGGCGCGTACGAGCAGATGCGGCTGCAGCGCTGCAAGCCGGACGCCATCGTGTTCAACGCCATCATTGACACCCTCTGGGAGACCGGCGTCATCTGGGCGCAGCGCAAGGTGCAGTGCTTAACTTTAATCAATGAGCTTTCCTTTTTCTGTCAGCATGATGCATTGATGCGGGTTGGCATGGGTAGCAAGGGTAGGCATGAGTGGATCTACTGAGTGGGACCGGGCTGTTGCATTCTCTTACCACGAATGATCTTGAGATCCATGGTTGGATTTTGAGCAGTGCAAGATAGGTAGCTGTAGCCTATATGGCTGTTGCTCTGCCATATGCAAATTACTTTCGTCACAACCACAGGTGCCTTCTGTGTGAGGGAGGATTGAACGTACACATGCATGTGCCTGCTGGTTCGTGGTTGGATCGCCGCATTTGACAGCGGTGAGTCGTCTGTGCAGGCGCTGGCTCTGTTCCAGCAGGCGGTGGAGGACGGCCACTTCAAGCAGCAGCGCTGGGACACCTCCGGAGCACAGCGAGCAGAGGCGCGCACCCGATCACGGTTCCCGCTTGCTTTACTGCTGTCTCGTGCGCTCCTATGCGTAACAGCTAAAGACTGCTTCTGTGTTGCATGGCTCCCATGCTGCACATGTGAAGTCTTTGGTTCTCGGACACATATGCGCATGTAAGAGGCACGAGACGTTCATTCTGCCGTGCTACAATCTTGTTGCGTTGCATGTGGTAAGCAGTAGACCTGTCAGTGGGCTTGTCAGCAAAGCAATGCAGGACCCTGGAGCTAATCATGCCCCTTCTGCCCTCACTCCTATAGTCGAGATGCCCCACCGACATTGACTGCTGGTGTATCCGCGCGTTGCAGGTGAATCTGCATGCGATGACGGCAGGCGTGGCGATGCTGAGCCTGTACTGCTGGCTGCTGGGCATCAAGCGGCGGCTGCTGGGCGCGGGGCGTGGCTGCCTGCCGCTGCAGCTGGCCATCGTCACCGACAAGGGCAAGGGCGCCAAGGAGCAGGGCAACCTCGTCGTCAAGGAGGCCGTAGCCGCCATGCTCGCCGGCTGGCACGCCCCCTTCAGGCACGCCCCTTTTAAATACCTTTCTGCCTTTGTTGAAGACCTTTTTGTCTTTGTTATAGACCAACCCCCAGATGCTGTACTGCTGGCGCGCCCCCGTCACGCGCGTGCATTTCCACCACGTAAGCATGTTTTCACACCATCCTTCCCGTCCCGAGGGTGACTCTAGATGCCTATAGATCCAATTGCCTATTTTTTATTTGGGCAAAGTCATCTGCCTCCATGGCCCCATGTCCAGGAGCTAAATGGATGGAGCCCTCCCTTTCCCATGCAGCCTGCTGGGCATGACCATGATGATTTCCTGGCGATGCTTGTGTGTCGAGACCCCTAATTTCTTATCTATGTTGCCCACGCTGCTGCTGCGATCAGCGCGGCTGGCTCACGACTGCGCAAAGGCTGCCACTTTTGAAGCACTCGACGCGGTCATGTGCAGTTGCAGTCAGCGCAGCAGTGCCTGGTGGTTAGCCTGGTGCACGTTGAGCTCGAGCGACCTTTGATCAACACCAAGGATATTGGCTTATGTTGATGCTTACCTGCAAGAGTACTTGATGCAGCATATGACGGCGGTGCTTGTGCGTGCATCCAGGGCTGCGCCGGAGAACATGCTGTTCAGCGGGATGCTGGAGGCGAGCAGCGCTGCGGTGGAGGAGTGGATGCTGTCGCCCGAATTTGACGCCAAGCTCTTCTGCTACTTCCCCTGCGCCGACCTCACGCCAGACCTTGCCAGCCAGGCAAGCACCACCCTGCCTTTATCTCAATAATCATACGTGTGTTGGTTCATCTCATAGGTTTGGCATGTTGATAAACTCTGCTTGTACTGGTGTGCCACAGTTCGCACTAGATTCAGTAGACAGGTCCAGTAGACCGCTTTGCCGCCTGCAGATGGAGACTTGACAGTCCCCACATGGTTCCTCTCCTCTCGCACACCTCAACCTGCATCTTCCAATGCCTTCTTGTCATAATAATTTACTAGGACCCACGGGTTGAGGTGCTACCGAACAGCCAGATTCTCTCTCCCTCCTGACACTTCATGCTGGGCAGCCTTTTGGCTCAGCAAGTATCAGAACGCAGGCCCAGGAGGAAGCATGCGCTTTTACATCCTTGTCCAGATCGGGATGCTGAGTAGGAGACGTGTGTGTCTGTCATAGGGCGTGCGCGCGGACGGGACTGCGGATGCGGCGGCGGCAGCGGCGGTTTTGGACGACTACGACAGCAGCAAGGAGATGGCGGTGGAGATGCGCTGCCACGACGCATTCACCGCCATCCTGCACTTCGAGCGCACCCACTGCCTCGCCCTGCAGGCACGGCCACTCAAAACGCCCCTCACAATGAACACCCTCACAGAGTTTTCCACCAAGCATAGTCTGATGAAACCAAGGGAATCTGAGACAGCACTGTGAGGAAGTGCAGCTACAAAGACTGATAGCCAGGTTTGATTCCTTTCCCAATGGAACCTTGGGACAGGCCTCTATGGCGGTGCATCTGCTACTCCGACCGGGAGGTTTGTTTTTAATATAGACATTGGTCAATGAGCGCTTCAACTGTGTTGCTGGGAGCATGATGCAACCCGATGTGATGTAGTTGTGATTTATTTGATGCGGGCTGAGGATGTGTGGGGGAATTATTTTGCAGAACATGGGACTCATGTACCAGCAGCGGCGGGTGGAGTTGGTGGCGCGCGTGCTGCACTTTGCGGCTCGGCTGGGACTGGCGGATGACTACGTGCACGATGCTGTGCTGCTCATGGACCGCACCATGTCTACCAGCCTGCAGGCACGACTCCTGCTGGCCAATATACATATTTATTTTTGGGCATGTATCAGCGTCTTGGGACTTGCAAGGACATCGGATCATACCCACACGTGTCACCTGCATTTTATCACTCGAGGCATTATGTATTACATGTCTGGAGTGCCTTGAATGCGGCTGACACACATGTAACGTGGTCTTGTGACCCTTGGATAGTTCTCATGCAGGCATGGGAACCAGCGAGCCTGTCTTGCTGCCTGTCAATTAGCATAGTGGAGGTGCCCTTGTCAGATCTGCATGTCGCTCAAATCGTACCTGCAGAGGTCTCAGCAGAGGAGCAGCCATTGCGGCATGAAAGTGGTCGGGCAAATGATCACGATTTTCCAAACAGGTGAAGGATGATCTGCTGGAGCTGCTGGCGGTGGCGTGCCTGGTGATAGCTGCCAAGCAGGGCGAGCGCTCCTCCCAGCTGCCATCCAACGCCGACATTGAACACGTCACCGGGCTGCAGGTCAGGATGCTGCTTGCATGCTATCATGCACATGGTGTAATTTCGAATTTTTTTAGCTGAAGCCCATCTGTCAAAGCATTGAGATTGCCTAATTTCGACAGCAACACGGGTGAGCGCGGTTTTTTTTCAATATGGCAGCGCCGGCCCGATCAGGGGAGATCCTTATCTGGATGCAAATGCATTTGAATGGAAGGGGAGCTTCAGCCATGGTTGTTCACATGGGTCATTTGCAACTGTGCATGATGGCCTTGGAGTAAGGGACGCATCGGGGTTTGCCGGGCATTGTCAAGCACCCGCAGGCAACTTTTGCCATATATGTAGAACAGAGCTCTCCTTTGCCCTGGAATTTCTGCCACTTCTGCACCTGGCTCACAAACACCGTCAATGTCTACAGGAGGAGCGGCAACAAGTGCAACTATTGTTACAGAAGTTGCAGTCAAAAGCTCCCCGGTCGTCAACGAAAGCCCTTGCAAGAACGAGTACTGATGACGGCTGGTCTGGTGCCCAGGCTGGGCTGGTGGGGCAGATGGAGTGGAACGTGCGGCGCGTTCTGGGCAATGACACGGCGGCCATCTCAACGCTGCGCTGCCTCAAGCTCTACCTGGAACGCATGGGCTGCAACTTCCTCGCCCAGGAAACCGTCCAATCCCTCGCCGGCTCATCCTTCGCCCTGGTGAGAGCCCCTGAACACGCTTTGCTGACAAATTGCCTTTTCATTGGTGGCTCCCAACAGGCTTCTGAGTTAATACTTTCAAGATATCAACTTGGGCCATTTTTGCATCTCGGCTGAAGCATGTATCACGCTGTGAAACCGCCCAGTGCAGGATTACCTCCTAGAGTTGCTAGAATATTATTGACGGAGCCCTGTCTCATGCTCGGCTACCAAGAGGAGAAGCTGCTGATCTGCTGCCAGGGATTTTAAAGCACGCCCTCAAGGAATTTCAACCCGGACCTCAAGGAGTGTAAAATGAAGCGTTGGTTTGACGGGCCTTCAAGGAGTGTGAAATGGCACTGACATCGGCACATGCGCGCAGGTGACGGAGTCGCTGACTGACATGGCCTTCCTGAACTGCCGCCCATCGGTCATCGCGGCAGCCGTCGTCTACGCGGAGCGGCGCGGCCGCGGCATCATCCCCTTCTGGCCCTCCATGCTCGCCAAGCTGTCCGGCTACCAGGACATGTCCACCCCCGAGCTCTCCGTCGCCATCAAAGCTGCGCAACGCCTGGCCGCCCGGCTTGCCGCCTCGGCCGGGCCATCCCCTCCGCGCACCCCCACCGCCCCCGGCGTTTGAACTCAGTTTCGAAGTCGTCGCCCGATCTGGCACCGCATCTTTTTGGGAGGTTATGCCTTATATGGCGTGCTGCCTCATCAGGCGCAAGGATGTGAGTTCAGCGGAAGCTTTGACACTGCCTAATTTTGACAGCAACACCGGTGAGCGCGGTTTGGTTTCAATAAGGCAGCGCCGGCCTGATCAGGGGAGATCCTGTGCAACATCTACAAGGAAAGTGGCTCGAAGCGCATGAGACCAGCCCACAATGAGATGTACGGTGCCCTGCGGCATTCTCCGATGAGACCCAGAAGTCAGCAGCGTTAGAGCATTGGCAGTAATAAAGTAAGAGAGACGTGGCGCACAGCAAACGAGTCGCACAGAGTGCAGCAGCGAGCGGCAACTTCTCATCATCTGCGCCCTGCACCGCCGGCGTTTTGGGACGGCTGCCGGCCGGGTGCAGGGCGCTCCCTCGGTTTTGTCTCTTAGCCTCCGCTCAGAGGTACACCACTGGGATGATCATCTCATGAGGATTTTCCTGCAGCACTTTTTGCGCTGCTGCAGTCCGCACTAGCGCACGACCTTGTCCCTCCTCAAGGTGACAGGCCTCGCACCCACCCCACCTTGCCCTTGCTTAGACAGGCTCTTGTGGTAGCTACCTGTTGCCTAGGACTTTGTCAAAAATTGGACGGTTTGGCTTGGCTGATCCAAGCCAGCACTGTAGGCGGGGCCCAGGATGTCCTGGTTGGGGGCTTTGCTCTGGAATATACAATCCTAGAGAGGAGCAAAAGCTTCAGCGGTGTCAGACCGGTCCATGGTTCGATATAGAGGAGGGGCTGCCCAGGAGCTGGTGAGGCGATGGGAATCTGCCTGCGCACTAGAAACTCAAATGCTGAACAGAGGCCCCAAACAAGCTGCACAAGGGATACGATATTTTCTTCTTTCTCTACGCGCCACCTGTGGTACTGGGTTTTTGGCTTGCGTAAGAGCGGCTGCTGTTGCCACTCTTGCGGTGGTGGCAGCCAAGCTGTGTCTTGCAAGGGACTACAAATGCTGCAGACACTGCGGGCTTCAGCTGCAAGGCATGATGGAATCTAGCAACACGACACTACAAACTTAGGTGCAACAACAGCATGCCTGCCAGACAAATGTATCTGTGCGCAACAACGAGGAAGGGCCAAAGTGTTCAAGATTGGGAGACTTCTTGCTGCCTGTTTTGTCTCTCTCAGGAAACGTCGTGACATGCATAGCAATGATTCGATAGACAGAGCGGGTGTTCAGGCCAGGGAAGAAGACCCTCCTTGGTCTGGGTTGCTCTGAGGGAATGTGAGTGGTAGGAATGTCTTGTGAGGGTGCACGCATGTGGGGTGGTTGTCCTTGAACTGCCTAACGCTGCTTGGACCGTGAGACAGCTGCATTGGCTTTTTGGAATGCTCCTTCACTTGTGAACATGCTTGAGCGTGGTTAGTATGTGGGCATGGACATACCTGGGGATTGTGGGAGTGTTGTGAATTAGTAGTTGGGAAGTCACCCTGCAGGTGTCCAAAGATTGTCTTGCATTGATTGTTGATGGATCATGTTTGCATTGAGCACGTTGCCTGTGACTTGTCAGTGTTGAATGAATGCAGTGTAGGATGAGGCTTGTGCTGCCCTAGGCATGTGTGAAGTGTGAGTGTGCATTGGATTTGAGAACCTCTACTAGACCTGCGTCCGGTAGACCTGCCTGCTTGTGTTGCCAGGCATGCATTGGCTGTACATTAGGAATTGCAGGATGACATTCTTTAGCAGCGCTAGTGCTGATTAGTCGCCGCCTGCGCATGCATGAGGCTTAGAAGGCGAAGCGTACAGATGTGGTACAGCGAATAATATGATGCATGCAGTGTGCCCTGACAGAGAAGGCAACGCGCTTCATCACAGAACGCAACATTGAATATGACATGAAATGTGATGCGCGTACAGTGACTGTAAAGCTGATTCCTGCTGTATATTGACCTCTGTCTCATATTTGCGATGGGTGGAAAACCCGGTGCATGAGCTGATGCCCTCTGTGAAGCAATTTATTTGTCTGCAACAAAAGGGGCAAGAGACATCCTGCTCGATGACTAGTAGAGTCCTCTGCCTGCTGTACCGAGCTGCTTGGTCTGTGGAGGAGCAAAGCAAGGGGACTGGGATTGCTCCCGCAATTGGGCACTTTCCAAGCATTGAGCAGCTTTCTGCATGGTTGTCCCAATGTAGAATGTACCCTAGTATCTCAATGTACTGTATGATGCACCCACTGCACCGTTCTTCCTTTCTCTGAGCATAGTTGACCCAGCTTCCTGACCTGAATGTTCACCTATATTCACAACTCAGTTCAGCGGCTGGGCCAGAGGCACTGTGCGGATGTGACTCCCAGTTCAATGACGCACTGGCATGACGGCTGCATGCAATATGCATTATTATTTTTATTACAGGTCGGCAAACCCAAAGCCAGAGGCCATAGGGCATACACGCAGGGCGTCTGCAGCCACATCTGCGGGGCCTTCATTAGTCTGCAGCCTATCACTCACTCATCACATACATGCATGCATTCCCTGCCCCGGATGAGTACTCCTCTATATACGGGGCCTTGCAGGAACCTCTTGACGTGAAATCGTCTCTCAGAAAAGAGGCGGCTCGCTCGAAAGGCGACAAGGCATGCATGCTATAGGTGAACAGACCCTGGAGCAGTGCCCTACTCTCGCCCCATTCGATCCATGCCGCCTTCAGAAAAGATCCCATCCCATCAAAAACGTCCAGAGACAGGCACGTGAGCCAACGCGGGCATGTTGTAGGGTGAATCTAGGGTAATATTAGGGAGGCAATAATAATTTCCAACATTCGCCCTCTCAAAATCATGGCTGAGACAGCTGCAGAATAATCTGCACTGTGAGTGCAGCCAAGAGCAGAGAAGTGTAGTGAAACAGTGGAGCCTGCTTTCTGCAGAGTATAGTCAGTCTCAACCTCCTCGCCATGGCGCAGGTTTGTGTAGATGAGAGCTGCTGGCCTGGACCTGACACTGCTGAAAGATCGCTTGTGAAGGACCGTCCTTGCTGAAGAACATGGCTTCAGTGGCTTCTATGATCGGATTTGGGGCATCGGTGCTGCATCGATGAACACAGCAACAGACACACTACATCTGGCGACGCAGGGCACTTCGGCGGATGACTTCTTGAGATATACAGGAGTGGACTTGGCTACAGCGATCGAATGCTTGAGAGCCGGATGTGTGGAGACACCTGCTCACTTCGCGGCTTACATGCGCCAGGGTCGTGGCCATTCTGCAGAAGGTCCAGCTTTCCTTCACGGCAAGGAAGCGGGCCTTCGCGCGAGCGACAGGCGCGCACCCTTCCGATCCCACGCGTAATGTTCTGCGGAAATTTTCTGCAATTCCTCAGCCGCGCCGCTCACTCGCCATACCGGGCCTTCTTCGACTGCCGCTCATGTGCACGCCTGTTCATTGCGCAGCCTCGGCTCGCTGCTACGGTCGTCCGCTAATCAACTTCTGCACGGGATTTATTCCTAAAATTTGGCTGCTCACAGTATTTCCTTCTGCTGGTCGCAGGGGAGCATCTTTTGATGGGCACTCTGGGACAAGCTACCTGATGCCTTCCCTCTCTTCTTCGCCAGGTGGCAAGACGGATGCGCACAAGCTCGCCCTTGGAGCACTTCAAACGGTGAGTCGGACTCGAAGGCAATATTTTATCCAGCGTGTTTTATATTTAGTGGCTCCAGCAAAACTTTCTTGCGGATGCTTTCAATGTCTTTCTAAAAAGGCAACATAGTATCCGGAATCGCCAACATTGCGATCCATTTTGTTTTCTGAATGTCGCAGAGAAGCACTTAGGTCCATTGAATTGTCATACAGGGTCAGGCGCAGCAGCCATCAACTTTCTCTATGGAAGCCGAGAATACCAATTCTGAGGAGACTCCCAAAACCCAGGGTAAGCTCCAATGATCATCTTGATTTGCATGCCAACCTGGTGCCAAGAGACTGGCCCTTTCTGACACATATTCGGCCTGTGCTGCAGCAATGCACTTCACACCAGCACGGTCCTGTGCACCTGACAAGAGCACCGGGACACCAAACCTAAGGGACTACATCCCCTCGGATCTGCCGGAGCCTGATCCAGAGCAACAAGAAGATGAAGAGGAAGCAGAATATACATCTTCACAGCCACAGTGCGTTCATCCCATTGCTCAACATCGCATAGCTGTTCCTCAGTGTGGTTTGCGTGGGACTTTTTGCAGGTCAAACAAGACAATGAATGTAGCTTGATTATTGGCAGTCTCTAGCCCCCTGCCGCTTATGTCAAGTGCTGCAGGATTGCGTTCATGCACAGACAATTGTGGCGGTACATAATGGCATATTCCGCAGCAGAGATGCAACAGGCTATCTGTGAGCAGAGCAGAAGGGAGCTTTGTGTCACTGTGGCATTGGTCTGCTGTGCAGGCCAGTGAAGGCAGAGCAGTGCGATTTGGACAAGGAGGCTGCTCTGCTGTTGAGCCTCTCAGACAGCATCAGTGGAGGCCAGAATGCCAGTCAGGAGGGCAGCCGCAGAGCACACCAGCTTCCAAACATGCCTGTCTTCCCAGAAGGTGAGTCATGAAGTACAAACTGAAGGGGCTGTGACCCTAGCACAACTGGCACACTGGGAACATTCGTAAATTGTGTGCATGCTTGTTTGCGAGAGTTTGCCACAGCATCTTATCTGTCTGACAGTGTTGTTGCCGTCTTCCGGGTCTCATTTATTCACCCAAACGCCCAACACGACCAAACCAACCAGCCGCTGCAGAAATGTCATGCAGCCAGCCTGCAACGCAGAGCAGACTTGTACTGGTGTCAAATCTCATTATTTTGATCCAGGTGCCCTGTCCACTCCGGAGCAGCGTGTGGTACCAGTGCCGTCTGATGACAAAGACGTTGTCAACAACACGGTTGGCAACGACCAGCGCTCTTCGCCAGAGGAGCAGGCAGCTGCAAATCGTAGATCTGAAGCTTTGAAACCGCCAGGCCAGGGAAAGAGCGAGTACGTGGGAGTGACCCCTTTCAAGAATGGTCGCTGGAAGGCTGAGTGCTCTCATGGTGCGGGCCGTGCCGTGCTTTTGTGTGTGTTGTACACCCTGCATGCATGCACCCAACAGGTGTTCCCACATTTTTTAGCAGATTATCGCATGAGATGTCTTCTGTATTGCAGGTGGAAAGAAACATCACCTTGGCATATTTGACAAGCCAGAGGAGGCGGCCACAGCCTACGATCAGGCTGCTCTGTATCTGAAGGGGCCCAGAGCCCGCCTGAACTTTGCAAAGCCATATGGAGAGGTGCGTCAATGCAACTACTCCCTGTCCCCAGGATCCAGCATTCCTGCCTGATTATTTGAAGCCTCTGATCAGAATGAGAGCTCCCCGTGGCCTTAGATGGTACTCTATCTCAGTGCTGCCATACACTTGCGCATGTGCAACCTGGGATTGCATATGGAGGCTCCGGTTGCAGCACATCTCCTGTGTTCAGGCTGTGTGGAAGAGTTTGTTGCAGTCATGACACCTCATGTGTCGATACTTATCAGCAGACATGCTGCAGGTTCCCATCGACACTTTGGGCGGGCCTGTGTTAAAAACAGGCAGGGAGGGAACTGCCCCGGAGACAGGCACCAAGCCTGCAGCAGCCGCATACAGGAAATGCAAGGCTGAGGAAGCAGCTTTCACGCCTGTGCCTGCCGATGAGCGGTACTCTGCGCGTGCTGAGCGAGTTGCAAAGCGCATCGCGCGGCCTCGGACCAGCGCTGACATCATCATGCCGGCAGCCGCAGCGCAGGTACGCATAATACCACTGCATGCAAGCTTGCGTGGCTGTACAATCATCCTTGATTCAAATTCTGGATCGTGCCTGAGGGGCTGAAGACGCAGCAGAGTTTGCATGCAAGGTCTGATGAATATCTGAGTTGCGCATTTAAAATCTAAAATGTTACGCCGCATGCATTTTCCAACAGCTAAGCCATCAGGACACATGCAGGTCTGTTTATCTTTGGAATCAAACCATCACAGCGTCCTGACTGAGACATTCTTGTATCATGCTGCAGGCTCCGCGTGCAGTGGGAACAGGTGCTGGGATGGTGACAAGCGGAGCACTTGGAAGGCCCGTGCCCAATAGGCCGGCCCAGAGCAAGCAGATAATTGGCGCGCCTGTCCCAGTGAGCCCCATTGAGTCATATCGTGCGGTGCGTCCACAAGTATAATCCCAGGCCTTGTGACTTCAGTACCCCTGCTTGATTGGCAATCAATGACAAGAAGCCGAGCACAAGGGTTACTGAGCACTACTTCACAAGAACCCTTGCGGCGAGTGCAGATAGAGCGTTACAGCTTGCAGAAAGAGCCCCAGTTGCAGCATCGCTGTTCTGTGAGAATGAGACAATGGTCTATACTGCCAAAATCCGGCACTTGAAAAAGCAATCACTCATGAGCTGCCGTGCTTGCAGGTTGCGATTGACCTCTTGGGAAAATACGAGGAGAAGGCAGGCAAGGGGGCAGGAGCCGCAGAGACAGGCCGGAGGAAGGCAAGAGGCAAGGCAAATGCTCCGGAGACAGGCATGCCTGCAGAGCGCGCATGCAGGAAGCGCAAGGGCAGCGACAGAGAGGATGCGGTGATTTGTGCTATGATGTCTATGCCAGTCGAGCAGCAGGGCGCTGCGCGTGCTGAGCGAGCTGCAAAGCGCAGCGCGCGCACCCGGACACTGGCCAGCGCTGACATCCCAATGCCAGATCCTGTCCCACTGGTATGCTCACTATCTTGCCTGGCTTCACAGTCACCCATCCTGCAAGTTGGAGAGCCTGCCTGGAGGCAGCAGAGCTTGCATGCATGACTTGCACATGATTTCAGCTGCGCATGCCAGTGCATGCAGTGTTACACGCTCTATGCTTACAGGGCCCGGATTTGTTTGCGATACATGTATCCTGATGTGTGCGTGCTCCTGACCAAGGTGCTCTTTGCTATGGTGCAGGCTCCGTGTGCGACGGAGACGGGTGCTGGATTGATGACAAGCGGAGCACTGGGAATGCCTGTGATCCCAGCAAGCCCCATTGCGTCCTCACCAGAAGCGTCCCCAGCCACCTGCCTGCCATCTGCGCGCTCGAGGAACCGCAGGAAATCTGCTCCCAAGCGCTCTCCCTCCTGAGCCGCAGCACTGAATATTTCTCGTCAGCTTCTGTTAAATTTTTACAGAGTGCTACATATTCCGACGTTGGTTGAGCAGATGCTGGGGAGCTTATGCTTCTCTTCATGTTCCTCACCGGACAATGGTGCTTATCTGAAGCCCCAAATTGGTTGTACTGTTTGACCAGAGAATCAGCATTTCCTGAGACAAGGAAGATTGAGCTGCCCTAGATCCGGTGGACGTGCTCCCACCTGTCTGTTTCTAATGAAAGATGCCATGGTTTAAAATAAATTTCAAGGCGACATGACTGTCACCTCAGGTGACCTGGGTGAGGACAGTTTCAGGAGCAGGGCACTGATGCTCAAGGGTTCCAATTTAGATCTCTTGCATGCTTGCCTGTTGCCAACTGCTGTCACTAGCTGACTTGGGTTGAAATTGCAACTGAACACAAGTGATTGCTAGCTAGGCATACAGATCAGGAAACATTGGCAACCATACTTACAGAGAATATTTATAAATGGAGAATGCTTTTGAAAGGACACGAGCAAGGTCGTCAAGGGAATGCAGTTGTTTCAGATTTGGCAATCAGGGGTTTGCCGCCATCATCAGGAAAAATATTTACAAGACTTTTTCAAGAGAAATGCCACCTCTCACAAGGATGCTTTTACACTTCTCTCTATCTGAAACTGAGGATCAAGAGGCAATGCAGGGGCACCGGTGGTACCACAATTGGCAATGCAATCAACTTCCTCTTAGGCACAAACAAAGCATCGCAGGCAAACATCTTGTAGGTGGCATCTCGGAGCTCTACCATGATCAAGAGCCCAAGTAAGAAAACAGAGTATGCTGACTCTTCTTGGTGAGACAGTACAACTAAATCCAGGCTTCAGACAAGCACCACTGTCCGATGAAGTCCCTGAAGAGAAGCATAAGCACAAGCTCCCCAACATGTGCTCTGTGCACAGCTGACGTCGGAATATGCAGCACTCTGTAGAAGGTTCACAAAAGCTGACCAGAAACACAAAGCTATTGGAAAGGTAGTGCCGTGGCTCGGGAGGGAGAGCGCTTGGGAGCAGACTTCTTATGGCTCCTCGAGCCCGCAGATGGCAGGCAGGCGGCTGGGGACACATCTGGTGAGGACGCAATGGTGCTTGCTGGGATCACAGGCATTCCCAGTGCGCCGCTTGTCATCAACCCAGCACCCGTCTCCATCGCACATGGAGCCTGCACCATACACAGAGCACCTTGGTCAGGAGCATGCACACATCAAGATACATGTATCGCGACCAAACTCGGCCCCGGCAGGCATAGACCGTGTGACACTGCATGCACTGGCATGCGCAGCTGAAATCATGTGCAAGTCATGCATGCAAGCTCTGCTGCCTCCAGGCAGGCTCTCCAACTTGCAGGATGGGTGACTGTGAAGCCAGGCAAGACAGTGAGCATACCAGTGGGACAGGATCTGGCATTGGGATGTCAGCGCTGGCCAGTGTCCGGGTGCGCGCGCTGCGCTTTGCAGCTCGCTCAGCACGCGCAGCGCCCTGCTGCTCGACTGGCATAGACATCATAGCACATATCACCGCATCCTCTCTGTCGCTGCCCTTGCGCTTCCTGCATGCGCGCTCTGCAGGCATGCCTGTCTCTGGAGCATTTGCCTTGCCTCTTGCCTTCCTCCGGCCTGTCTCTGCGGCTCCTGCCCCCTTGCCTGCCTTCTCCTCGTATATTCCCAAGAGGTCAATCGCAACCTGCAAGCACGGCAGCTCATGACTATTGGTTATTCAAGTGCCGGATTTTGGCAGTATAGACCATTGCCTCATTCTCACAGACAGCGATGCTGCAACTGGGGGTTCTTTAACCCACGCTGTAACCCACTGTCTGCACATGCGCGAGGGTGTTCTTGAAGTACAGCTCAGAAGCCGTCGTGCACTGCATCTTGTCACTGATTGCCAATCAAGCAAGGATACTGATTTGCAAGGACTGGGGTTATGTGCGCGGACGCACCCCGTGATATGAGTCTGCATAGTTGAGGCGGGCTTTGGCGCCCTTTAATATTAGCATCTCCCGATCGTACACCCTTGCAGCCTCCTCTGCCGTTTTGAAAGGCTCAAACAAATATTCCAGATTACCTGCACCCCGCAACGCAGCTTTGACCATTTGCTACCTCGTTTTTGGGAGAATCCTGCTAGGTGCATGGGTATACAACACCGACAAAAGTTTAGTGGACATGTGACGCACGATGACTAAATTTCACTTTCCAGCGGCCGTCGCTTCTTCGGTAAACTCCCCTGTAAGGGCCCTTTCCCCTGGTTGACAGTGTCAGCTGCCAGTTGTTATGCAGAATATCTGCCTGGCCTTGTGTGACGGCCTGCGCCTCTGGCGACAAGCACAGGTCTTTGCCATCAGTGTGATTGCCAGAGTCTTCATGATCTGACGCCACTGGTGTCGCCCGCCGCTCCGGAGTCACGGCACCTGGTCAGGAGGAAAGAAGAATTTACACTGGTCCTGTCACTTGGTTCTGCATTACAGTGCTTTGGACTGGCTGATGTGGCTGGTCGTGTTGGGCCTTCCTATGAAAACACCACATGCAGCAGACAAGTAACACTCTCAGGTAGCACCAGGAATCTAGCACCAGGGATTGGAAGCTATTGCAGTGGCCACAAAACAGCATTTACCCTACAGAAGAATGCTCTCACTGTGCCTGCACAGCAAGAATTACAGCTGCTTCAGTTGATTTTTGACATTTTATAACTCACCTTCCAGGAAGACAGGCATGTGATTCGGAAGCTGGTGTGCTCTACGGCTGCCCTCCTGACTGGCATTCTGGCCTCCACTGATAATGTCTGAGAGGCTTAACAGCAGAGCAGCCTCCTTGTCCAAATCGCACTGCTCTGCCTTCACTGCTGGCCTGCACAGCATGCCAATGCCACAGTGACACAAAGCTCCCTTCTGCTCTGCTCACAGCAGCAATGCAGCTATGTATTGCCACCAAGCTTTTTGAGTGCTTGAAAACAATCCCAGGAGCAGTTGACATGAGTGGCAGGTGGCTTGAGTATGCCATTAGTCGACCTGCCATCATTGACTTGTTCAACTTGCAAAGTACTGTGCAAACCGCAAACACACTTAATTATGCAACAGATGTGCAGTACAGGCAGGGCAATGGTGATGTGGGATGAACGTACTCTTGCCATGAAGATGTGTCATCTTCATCATTTTCCTCTCCTTCTTCTTGAGGCTCTTGATCATTCTCCTGCAGGTCCGAGGGGGTGTAGTCCCTAAAGGTTGGCGTCCAGCTGCTCTTGTCAGATGCACCCGACTGTTCTGGCTCCGTTTGCATCACAGCTGCAGCACAGGCCACAGTCTTATCACAGACAGGAAGTCGCAAAGCATGCGGATTTGTTAACGTGAAACAACAACTGGCTGGTGATTGCGTGTGCAAAATCGGTCACTCCAGTTCTCCTCAATGGGCCTACCTTGGGTGCTGGGAGTAAGCTCAAAGCTGCTGCTGGTGTTGGCTGTCATGGAAGCCAAGGACGCCTTTATCTGGTCCTGTGTGCACAAGGGAGTACTTATTAGTGGGACACGAAGATGTCTGGTGCTTGGCACTGACAGACCTAGCAGGAAAGATTGGCCTGAGCACAAAGACATCTCGAGTGTGCTTCCTCATGGAAATGCTTTCTCGATCATAATGAGCGCTATTTCTTCTTGAATTTGACCGTACCGTCTGTAATGGTCCACCGGCGGGCTCGCGCACGTCGTTCAGTGCGCCCAAAGACGGTTTGGAAGGCGTCAGGCAATTTGTCCCGCACTGCCCACCATTGGTTGAACCAGCATAAGCCGCCCTGGATCCAACGAAAGGATGCAAACTTAGCAATCGCATTCGGGAAAATAGCGGGGCTGCACGATGTTGTTGGCGTACGATTGTTTTACCGCCTAGTGGGGATAATTGATGTACACAGGAATGGCAGTCGAGCAAACCCCATAGATCTGCAGCTCCTTCTGATACAGCGGACATGTGAAGGAGGTTGTGCTGTCAGTGGGATCGGTAAGGTGCGCGCCTGTCTCCCGCGTGCACACCCGCTTCCTTGCCGGGATGGACAGCAGAATGGCCGGGACCCTGGCGCATGTAAGCCTCGAACTCGGCATGTGCCTCCACACATCTGGCCGCCCAGCAGTCGATGGCGTTAGCGGAGTCCAGATCTGCGCATCTCCGGCAATCATCCTCCCACGTGCCCTGCATCGCCAGACACGGATTTCTTACTATTTCTTGCTACCTCTTTCAGTGCAGCAGCGATGAACCACCCCAGTCGTGGCGGCGATGATCGCCACGATCCCTTGCAAGGGTAGCTTTTACACGCCCTTGATGAGCCAGTCAGGAGCAGGCCAGCAGGAAGCAGCGACGCGCACCTGCTTTGACATGGCGTTGTGAGATTGGACAGCGCTCTGCTGGGGTTTCCGTCTGTGCACTCTACTGCTCCACTATCCTTCTCTGCTCCTGGTTGGACTCAAGTTGCAGATTATTCTGAAGCTGTCCATCGCATAGTTTGGAGAGGGCCAGAGTTGGACATTTTAGGGTACCCTCCACCCTAGGGGTAATTAATATACCCCTAGTTAATATAGTAATTACCCCTGGTTGGCACATGTACACACGTGCCTGTTTCTGCAAAGCTTCGCTGCAGCTCGACCCTCGCGTAAAGTTCGACGGATTTTCTTCTTGATGCACACTCTCTTCGAATAGGAACGTAAGGATTGGCGTTCTTCACAGGGTGCGGCACAGTAGCTCGTGCAAAATTGTCTTCCCTGTACAGTCAGTCAGTGACTGAGGTGTCAAGAGCTAGCTCGAAGGCAAGCGAAGGTGCCATCGTACGATTGCTTTGCCTTTCAGGTGTGTGCTTCCTTTCTTTCAGCCTACTGTTCGAGGGTTTCAGGGTAGTCGGGGTGCTGTCTTCGACGTCCTGTACAACGATATCCAAACCTTGTCAGCACGATGCAAAGGAACGCAAGCCTCGGTCTTTTGAAGGAATGTTGTCTAGGAGCGCCACGCCATGATATTAATTAGATGAAAGAAGTGCTTGTGGAGATTGAGGGATGCCATTGGTTGGCTGCCGTTCCCCTTGTGTGGTTCGTTGTTAGATTACAGGAGTTCCAGCTGTCTTCCGCGCATTTTCGATCCAGCAGACTCACAGTGACGAGCAATCATCTCACGGCCCATTAGGTCATGCCTTTCTTCCTATCGAACGATTCTCAGGAGAACTTTTTTTATTACTTGCAGAGCTGACTAGGACGCGGTCAGTGGGGAAGGCTCTGGGCACACAGAAAGCCTGAGATCTGCAAGACGTTCGAAATGATTGTACGTATGCAAGCCCTGCCAAACATAGGCAGAAGCAATGGGGCACAGCTGCGGCAGCCTGCCCCAAAGCCTGGCTCAGGAAGTCCCATGACTGTAACACCACGCAGGCGCAGTGTCGGCAGGCACTCGCAGGCCCCTTTCCCAGGCGAAGACGCCCCTGGCACAGGTAATTTATTTGCCAAGTGCAAAATTTCTTGCCTCCTGCAGGCGCCTCAACTGATGCAAGCTTGTCCCAACCTAACTACCTACCTCAGCACACAGAATTGTGCTGCATGGAGTGCCGTTACCTCAACTTGCTTCATGCATGGTAAGGTGATGGCCTGTGGAACCATTATCTTATACATCACACACTTTGAACTGTATAATGGCTAGCTTTTGGAGACTGGTACGCCTATAACATACGATAGATATTTAGGAAGTGGATGCATGTGCGCAGGTAGGCGCCACTTTCCTGAAGAGGTGCCAGAGGCGAATGTGAGCGTGGCGGAGCGGCCGGAGAGCTTTGAGATGCGGAGCACGCAGGACATGTACAAGGAGTTCCCTGGCCTCATCCGGTCCAGCTACCCACTCTACATCCGCACTGCCGGTCCCCAGGTGCGTGCCCAAGTGGCTACGCCCCACCGCTGTGCCTGGTGGTGGCCTGTGTCGTGCCTTAATCTACTCAAGCCATCAGCGCCTGGGCTCCATGCTCCCTGGCACACACACCAGCCTCCCGGGGTGTGGTGATCGAGCGCTGTTGTCTTGCATGAATGAATGGACTGCTTTCGTGTGATGCATCATGGTGTCTCCTTGGGCCGTTATTGCTGCTTCTCAGATGTTAAATAGAAACGGCATTATCCTGGTGGCATGTGCCTCTGAACTTCAGCAAGGCGTGTGACTGTGCGGGCATGTGAGGCTGTTGTTATGGGCTTCAAATGACCCACTTGGAGTAGATGTGGGGAGGCAAGATGAAGCGAGGACGCCCCAACGAAGTAAGATGGGTGCCTTCCTCTGAAGGTGCTTTCGTGGTTACCAGGTCAAGCTGGTACCTTCGGGTCGTGTGGAATACAAACAAGGCATTAAGGAAGCATGCTGCGCTGCGCAGGAGCCGTTGGGGGAGGTGGAGTTGCGCGCGGAGGACGCCGGCCCAGCCACGCGCAACCGCCGGCGGCCGGAGCCGGTCGACCCGTCGCCGCCGACCGCGCGGCTGCACCACGCAGAGGACCCAGAGGCGCTTAAGCGCGAGGTTGCCAGCCGCAAGGGCTGCTGAGCAGATTGTGACTAATCCCTACCCTGTCAGGCTGGCGGTCTGAAGCTGCAATGTGTGTATTTGTATTGTTTGGCCGAGGATGGTGGTACCATGGGCTGCCGTCTGGGCCGACTTGCAATGTATGCATAGGTGCAGGGCTCTGGAGTTCAGGTGTTCAATTGGCATAAAAGCTGGTTGTGAAGGATGCCAGGGATGCTTGTCAAATGGTGTGAGAGCGGCTCTCTTGGAGGAAATGCTTTGGTTTGAAGAGTGAATGCTAAGCAGTGGAGGTTGTTTGTTGTCGGCTGTGTGGGATGGGCGTTGAAGGGCTGTCCTTATGCTGTGGCACAGACGTGGAGATGTTGTATGCTCCCGCACTCGGGAGCAGTGTACCAAAAGTGTATGTGTTGGAAAGGTCACTGTACATTTTCTCATGGATCTAGATAGTTTGTGGAGCTGAGTAGCTCGTTTGACACTTCAGCCAATTGAGTTTATCATCTAAAATTGTGACATTACGCTGTCTTGTAAAAGCTGAATGCTGCAATGCATTATTTCCTATATGCCACATGGCTGATCTGGATATGCCTTTCAACAGATCCACGTCCCCGCCTCATCCGCTAACTAGTGAAGCATATAGATATGATTATTATCTCATCTTATAAGCTTGCGGTCTCCGATGCATCAAAAGTGCTCGGGACCTTACATTCACCAACTGCAGGCCTTTTCATTCATGCGTTCCATGGGTCTCAATTTCTCAAAGGCATCCAAACTATTCGTCCAGAACGTCCCAGACTTATGTTTCTGGCTCAAATGCGAAACATCCCATTTAGGATTGAGCCTAGCAGAGCCTGGCCAAGAATGCTCTAGCACCTCTATGCCTTGCTACTGGTCGGCATTCACTATGGACAGTGCATCCTCGTCTTCAAAATCCTCGTCCGGGAGAGATGCCATGGCACCGTACTGCCACCCGCTGCTGGCGAGGCCAGCGTCCTTGTCAGCAGCTGCCGCCAGCTCGGCGTCGTCAGCCACCGCGGGCGCCGGCTGCTCGGCAAAATTTGAGAACGCTATGAGCTCCTTCAGCAGCTCTGCCGGCGTCGGGCAGCCCAGCTCCTCGTCCATCATTGCCTGAGCAAGGACAGTGTTCTCAGCCATGAACACAACCGCAACAGAGATGTACGCAATGAGGCGACCACAGCGCTAGCAGGACAGCAGCATTGGGGCGCTAATAGCCACAGTGCCAGCATCTTCAAGCTTCGCCCAACAGGACAGGAAGCCCCATAGGCGGCTGTCTTATTCAACCTCCACCAAGGCAGGGCCGATGCCTAACAGACACTCAAGTTAAATCAATGCCTCCACGCACCGTTTGCATTCATTCGTGAGAATTCACATTGACAACCTTTCATCAGCGCAACCCGAGTGAGCTTCCTGCTTCCAAAGACGCAGGAAAGAATGCAGGTAAGGCACCTGCTGGAAGAGGTCTGAGCCGGGGGAGATGTCGGGGATGGCATTGGCCTCAATGAGCACCAGGTCCGCGGACTCAGCATGCATCAGCGCCTCCAGCGAGGCAGCGCCGTTGAGCCCCAGCGCATCAGCCACCATCTCTGCACGCGCGCGCACCCCTGCCAGCACATCCTCACGCACCAAATCCCCTGGCGGCGGCGTCACCCGCACTGTCTGCATGCCAGTCTGCAGCCCGCAGAAACAACAGTCAGCTCCCCATCAGTCGATAAATAGTGGGCCTAGGCAGTTGTTTCCTCTCAAGGTGTGTGCAGTGTGATGATCTGTAAAATAGTCCCAATGGCCACACTTCCCAAGGCAAGCTGCAGGACTGCTTTTTCAGATTTGCAAGCAGCCCTAGGTTAGTGGAACGTGTGACCATTAAAATGCTCAAAGCTCCAGACAATGTGTGGCAGAAAGCCTGATTAGCAGTCATACTGACAGCTTTCTCCAGCAGGGGAATGAACTCCCACGTGTGCAGTCCCCGTGCGAGGCAAATGAGGAGGTAAGAGGACCAAACTGGGTAAGCACCTGGTCTGGGAGCTTGAGGGTGGGCCCCAGGGCGCGCATGGTGCCGACCTGGCCCAGCAGCCCAATGCTGACGTGGAGCCATCGGCTGTCGCCCGTCCACTCTATGCTCGGCCGCCCGTCCTCCCCGGTCACCATCCGCACACTGCGCCCCACACACCTCCTCAGCCACACGCGCTCGTTCCAAACATTCCCTCCCCCACACACTCATCGTAACGCTCACCAAGAAATCATTAAATTCCGCGCTTGTACAAAAATTTGCCCCCTGTTCTAGCACCAATCGCATGAATTTTGAGAAGCGACATTTGGTTGGCTGTACATCTGCACATCTCTGCAAGACCTGTCCTCTGAAAGTGCTAAAAAATGCGAAAAGCACCATGTAGGACAACACAATCACAATGCTGTGGCAGAGGGAATGCAATTGTCAGGCTGAAAGCGCACCTCTCGGTGTCGACAAAGGGCTCAACGACGAAGACGGGGGGCGGGGTGAGCGGCAGAGGGATGGGCGCGCCAGCCTGCTGCCGGCTGGGCGGCTGCTCCAGCACACCGGCCGGGATGGCTGCGTCCCGATCGGCCACGGCGCACGCGTACCATCCCAAGTCTGTGTGGCTGCCAAGCCGCGCCACCGCTGCCGGGCCGCCGTCCGCCGCCGGCTTTATCACCAGCGAGTTGGAGCCACCTGCGGCCGAGATTATGTGTCAAACTTCCTTGTACACCGCAAGGACATTGCAAACCACAGAGACACAGGAATCAAGATCAAATGACGCCCCGGCCACTTGCGCGTCCCACAGCTGCATTTGGGAGCCTTGAATAGGCGGCTCTCTGTGCCGCTATAGAGTAAATCAGCGAGGTTTTTTAGCATCTCTTCAGAACCCTACAATGCAGCCATGGGATGTGCGGCTGGCCAATGAGCTGCCTAATATTTCCAGTGGGACAAAAAGTATGTGAAGCATGAGTGTGGCGTCTCAAGAGAGGGGCGCACCGATGGCGTCCTGCATCTCCTCGAACAGCGCGTGGCACTCCTCCTCATCGTCGGCCGCGGCCAGCAGCCGCTGCAGCGTGACGGGGAACTTGGGCGCCGTGCTCACGTTGTGCACCTCCAGCTCAGCCAACACCTCCGCCGTCGCCGCCTGCCGCAGTGAAAATGTGGATTCAAGCATAAACAAAACAAGTAAACCGATGTAACAATAACGGTGGTCCCACGAGATTTAATTGTTTATTCCAGCGTGGCAACACTGAAGGGCGTTACAGACCCTGAACAGCTGCAGGGTTTAGGGTACAAAGTATGAATGTCGTCCAGCCGGGTCAAAGAACAGCATGGCGACGCAGAAACTCGCACAGGAGTGCGTGGTGTGCGGGTACAAGAAGTATCATGGTGATTTCTGGAGTAAGCCTGACGGTAGCTGCAGTCGTTTTGTCTGCGCTATGTGTCTTTTTGACATTGGGTGTGATGACGGGTTCACGTTCCCGAAAGCAAGCGAAGGGAAAGAAGAAAGGTGCCCAAAAGAAGACGGCGCGCCGCACAGTGAAGAAGAAGGCAATGACATGTGAAAACAAGACTTTTCTCTGCTTCTTCTCAAGCAGTGCTGATGCTGACTTGAGCAGCAGTCATCTTCACAAAGGGCACAAAATCTAGCAAATATTAAGCAAAGCCTGCCAAATCTGGCCTTGATGCCAAAAAGGGACACGACCGAGCCAGGTGAACCCAGATTGCTTGGTCTAAGCAGCGCATGGCGCTCTGGATTCAATGAGTGAGCTGCTACTGGGGTTACATTGCTGAACCGGCACTTAGGCATGCGCACCTTATCGATGGCAACACTGGCGGCGTCCCAGGAGGGGCCCGTAATGGGAACGCCGTAGCCCTGCAGCAGCGCCTGCACGGTGCCATTCTCGCCCATGCCCCCATGCAGCGCCAGCAGCACAACCGCCTGCGCCGCCTCCGCCTCCATCGCAAAGTTGGTCAGGTCCATGTACCTGTGCATAATCATTTCAAATGTCCCTCGGCAATTAATACAGGCATCCCCTTTGTCCTTCAGCTTTGCTGGGCTGTTACAAGACACCACACCTTTCTCTCGTATTTCCATCAATTTTGATGTGTTGTGGTACTGAGCAGAGCATGCCGAATTCCGCTGGCATGGTGACTCGCACAGTGTATCCAGCCGCATGAATGTCTTGACAAACACTTCAAAGACTTCAGGAGGCCAGCTCTACTGTGCCAACCGTCATGCCAAGGGTCACAACAACGAGGTCCTGACAATGCGAGCATCACACATGCAGGAGCAGGGCCGACCGACCTCCAAATTCTTATCCTTCCCTGTTAAAAAGTTGCAACAAAAGATGTGAATCACCTGGGCGGGGGTGGCAGTTGGTTGGGGTTGCCTCCCCAGGTGCCGGCCACGCCGTGCACCTCGGCAGTCACCAGCTGCTGGGCCACGTACTTGCGCAGCTCATCCTCCGCCACATCCTCCTCCGCCCTCCGGTGATCCGCCGTGTTTGCTGCCCTCAGCGCCCGCTCGCACACCTGCAGCAACGAAGTCCAGACTGAAATTCAAGTCCCCATTTTTTGCCTGTTCTTCAAGCTTCCTTGGCATTCAGTTCGACAAATTTCTATGCATGCAACCACTTTTCTTAAATGTACTCTGTCAGATCCAGGACTGCGCATTGTAATAGGCGCACTGAAGCGCGCATGTTGAAACCGTTGCCGTGTTGTTTTCTAACGAAAGAGTTTTCAGACCTCGTGGATGTCTTCTGGGGTGGCGTGCAGCGCAGCCGCATAGGGCACTGCCCAGACGCCCATCACATGCGGCTCCACCGGTCGCAGCGGCGGGCGGCGGATGTTCTGCACCTGCGCAGCACGCCAGCGCGCGTTACACAACATTGACAAACCCAGCCAGTCACATCGACCTGATGTCCCCTGCTATTTCCAGCTCACCTAAACCTGCTAGCAATACAGTGTCATCTTGCACATGCATGAACATTCTCTTGATTTTCATCCCCAGCTTGACGTGCAGAAGGTCTCCCTGGCAAGTCATTTGCCTAATGCACTTCAAGAATTGACAAGCTACTTCCATGTGATCAGCCACTCGATCATACCCATTACTCATGACAAGGCACTAGGCGAAAGTTTCCCACGGGGACCTTCCGCACGTCTCCATATTCCGGGGCATGCTTTCAATGCTTGCTCTGAAGCTTCTGGTAGTAATCCCTCCGCGCACCAAAGCCCACAAGGCAATGCATGGCGGACATTTACCGTCCCCACGTGCCAGCTATGCAAGGATGATTTTTTCTCAAATCAGCTATAAGGCACGCCTCTCACATTCTGTCGAAGGGTAACTATAATAATATTCTTTAATTTATGTACTTCCATTACTGAGCTGTGCCCACGGTGGATTGGATCCTGCTTGGATCTGGCGAGTCCAACAAGGGGTAGGACATGTGGCAGCCTTCACATGCAGTTTGTCTGCAGACCCACACTGCCTCTGGCAGGAAACGCATGTCCTACTAGGAATGCTTACCCTAACACTTGTGGGAGGCAAGGCCGCGCACCTGCAATTCCTCGGGCAGGTCTTCCTCGGCACCCACCATGGCGAGCAGTTCGGCGCGGCGCTGCAGCAGCGTTCCCTTCCGCTCCGCCAGGTCTGCACCGGCATTGCGCGGCGCCAACAGAAACAGCTCCGGCTGCACCTGTGACCACATGTAGCTTTTTAGATCAAACTCCTCTGCTGGAAACCAATCCACCGAGCCATAAGGGGCCCTGGGTCCGAGGCCTAGTGAGCGCATCAAGTGTGTGCATGCCCCTATTTGGAGTACATCCCAAATACCGATGCGTCCTGTTCCTTTGTCTCCCATATATGATGCTCTTCTTCTGGCAGGATGATCTTGTTGGTGTTCAATTTGGCCGATGTCATGCTCAGAACGTCTCAGAGCATCAACGTCAGGCGTTTGTTCAGACCTAAGATGGCTGGAAACTATGAATGCCAAAGACTGACTGACCTCGATCTGAGTGCGCAGCCGCAGCCAGGCGGCCAGGCCGCTGGCGAGGCTCTCGCGCCGCTCCGATGAGTCGCCGCCAGTCAGAATCCAGATCCGCTGCGGCATCACCTGCTGCTCCTCCTCCTCCTCTTCCCTGCCGCTACCGGCCACCTCCTGCGATGACATCAGCAATGATGTCAGCGACGACATCACACCCATTTATGCACCAAATTGCTTCCTGCCGGCTGCATCTGTGCTCCCGTTTTGGGGAGATTATATCTCTGCTGGTTCAGTAAATTTGTAGCCTCGAATTGGAGCGCGTTGATGGTGCTGTGACCTGTGTAGATGGCCTGCGCAAGCATGTACTCTCGCCTGAAACATGCATGGAGGAGAGGACAGTGCAGGAGGTCTGTTCTGGGCTCACCTCTTGGGCCTTCAGGGACTCGTCGACTTGCCTTTCCAGGCCGATGTCCAGACGGTCGCCATACCTGGGGTGGGCCCAAACCTGCAATGTCCAGGCAGATCAACTCTGATGTCTGGTCTCCGTGTGCAGGATGCATGCACTGTCGCACTGTTTCACAGCAGATGTGCCAAAGCAAAATCAACAATGAAAGGAAAGCATTGATGTTCTGAGCAAACCAATGTAGGAACTCAGCTGCAGCCCAAGCTCCCTGTGGCGAAAAGGAAACGAGATTTATGATGTTGCTCACCGGCACGAAGGTTGCATTGGGGTCCATAATCCGCCGTTGGCGCTTGGGCGGCTCGTCATAAGCAGGCCTCTCCACCAGTGCCTCGTTGAAGAGGCCCTCCTCTGTGTAGACCTCATCCTTGGCCAGCTGTGCATCCAACTCACCCTCGTAGTCCTGCATCCAAAACACCACCACCCGTCAGCAACCCATCAAACCCTCTCCCACCCGCTTTTATAAAATACTGCTGGAGCATTTCGAGGGCTAGTACCATTCGAATTCTGCTGCATGCAGCATCCCTGTCTAGCGGACCACTCGATAGACGCAGCAGGCATCTCACAGTAATAGACAAGAGCAGCAGTGGTTCTCGCACCCTGGGGGGAGGCAGCGTCATGAAGATGGTGCGCTGGATAGACTCTGCGAAGGGGGTGGGTATGGCGGGCAGGCCAGCTCTGCGTGCGGCTGAGGAGATCACGTGGCGCAGAGTGGCCTGGTGACTCAGCCCGGCCTCGGCCGCCTGCGCGAACAGCGGCCCCGTCGGCTGGAGGTCCAACGCCGCATGCACCGCGTCAAACATGATCGTGCCGCTGTCCCACCTGCACACAAGAGCTTTTGAAAACAGCTGATTGGATATATAAACAGCATGCACATTCCCAACACAGGTCTTGTCATAAAACAGAGTCCAGGCGGTCATTGGCCAAGATCAAATCATGCAGAGGACATGCTTGTCACGATATCTTTGTTGAAGTTTGTTTTCCTGCAGGTTGGTTAGGAATTTTGAACTTTCCAAATTGAATCTGCTGTAAATTGGAGACCTGAAGACTTGGCAAACCGGACAACAGAGGGGGATGGGAAATGGGAAATAGTCAAGCAGTTCCTAAATGACATGTACCAATCATCAGGGGCGAGAACAGAGGCAGGGAAAGGTGTACACCTGCAGAGGCTGTCTGCAGGCAGGTCGCAGGGGTCATCAACCTCGGGGGGCGGCATGCTAAGCATGGCCTCCTTCCACTTCAGCTTCGCCTCTGCCTCGTCAAATATCCGCTTGTACCCCTGCACGATACCATGAATAGCCCCTCAGCTATCACGTTGCCATGAATCGAAAGAAGCGCAATCCTGTAGGATCTTGCGGAGTCTTGCAGCAAGGCCTATCAACAATAATGCCCGCACCGTAGTAACAACAGCAGCACTGCAACTGCCAGGAGAATACATGTTGCTGCATCAGGGCAGACGTCATTGTGGATGGGCCCAGCCCAGGGCAAGCACTAGCACATACAGGAGGCCCACCAGTAAGCTGCAATGTAATCTTGCGCATGAAGGGAACAGAGGGCAGGCACATACAGCCGCAGCAAGCGCACACATAGGGATGCTCTTCTCCGGGGGCGTTTTCACATCCAACGATAACCTGCCTAGAGCATGCACAGCAGGAAGGGGACAGGAGAGGGGTTTGTGCCACGCAAAGGGCATCAGAAAGGGGCAATGTGGCGCGCACCTCGGTGCCATCGGACAGGTACTCGCCCTGCATGTCGAAGGAGGGATCTCGGTCCTCGTGCACATGCGCTGCCTTCTCCAGGTCGGCCGGCGTCAGCACTGCCTTTGTGCGCGGGTACAGCCGGTGGTGCAGCGACGGCAGCGCCAGCGCAGGCACGGTCACCCCCTCTGCAGCATCGTCAGCACTGCTGGAGGCTGGTTCCTCCTTGGGCAGTTCCACCCAGCCCTCGATCACCGCCGCGTCTCGCAAGCCCAGCTCCTGCAAAAGCATTTTTTTAAACTCGGATTTATTGACTAGAGCAATGTAATGCAATTGTTCAACTATACGCCGCGCCTCCGAAAGAAGGTTCCAAGCCGCCTCTGAAAAAAGACCCTGATGTGCCCAGCCCCTAGGGTTCATATGAAGGGGAGAGGAGAGGTGAATGACCTTACTACTGCACATCTGCAAGCCTATTGCCATGGCAGGATGCAGGCAGAATATACATGCCGGAATGCCAAAAATCAAATTGGACACGATTGATGACAATGCGACGTTTTTGACAGAGGTAGCGTATAAGCCTTTCATGACATCGCAAACGGCATGCTGCACATCAAAATTAAAATGAGAGTGCTATTAAGCAGACAGGAGAGAGCAGATGGCTCGCCTTGAACAGCCGGGCCGCCCCTTGGCGCAGACCCCAGACTAGCTCCTTGGGCAGCCGAGGCGGGCAGGACTGGCGCAGGCGAGTGTCGGGGAAGTCCTCCTCGAGGCACTGCGCGTAGCTCATCCCATGTGTATCCTGCAGCAGTGCATCCCGCTGCCCCGCCAACACCGCCTCTATCTGCTCCTCGCTGTAACCCTGCACGAGCGCACCAATGCACCACTCAGCCCTATCGCCAAATGTGACAATGCTACCACCATACTAGAGTCATGCAAACCATGACAAATGTCCACCTTAGCATGTACGCCCCACCCTCCCCCAGAGCTTGTGAATCTCCACTCTGCTGAAGCGAGTGGAAATGCCTTGACTGGCCTCATCAGAACGAAGAATCAAGTGAGAGGTGTAGGCAGAAGCCCAAGTCAGGGGGACTACATACATGTGATATTTACTACCCTCGTACTAAGCAGAGGATGCAGTGGTGGGTCAGTGAGAATAATTTTGAAGGCACGGCACCTCTCTGCGAGCGGCTTGCCGCTCGGCCTCCAGCCCGGCGTCCAGGAAAGTGGCCTCGGGGCAGATGAGCTCCTCCTGCGAGGGCAGCAGCGCAATAGGCCCCTCCCGCCCCTCCACCACTGCCACGCTCACCCTCACTGCGCCCCCCATGTGCCTCTCCACCACCACACTCTCGTGCCCCTGCACGCAACACAGTTCATTTATTTATTATTCATTTATTTTGCTGCGGGGGTCTATGTCCCTATAATTTATTTTGGACGTTCCCTGAACAGAAATCTTGGATGGCTACCCTTGATTTCCATTTTTCACGTTGATTTGGACACTGGAGACCTTCACAGCATGTAGGGCATCCTCTGATCTCCAGTACCCAAGGAGAACGCAAAAAATAGGAACCAGCCAGTAACACGAAGACCAGGCCCAAAATGCATTGTGTCCAAAGAAAGAAAACGACACTGCCCACCTGTTCCATGAGGTCTCGGGCGGCCAGCGCGGCAGCGGGCAGGCCGCGCGCCATGACCACGTTCGCGCCCGGCCGATCCCCGCGCCCGACCCCGCCGGGCTTTGCAACGAAGACTCCGCTGTGCGCATCCAGCCCCGCTGCCTGCGCCCAGTTCCACAGCCGCCTGCCCCACGGCTGCGCCAGCGCCGAGCTCTCCGCTTCAACATCTATCACCGCCCCTTGCTCGGCCGCCGTCTGATCTCCTGCACCCTGCCCCGATGTGCTGGCCTCTCCCCCTTCTGGTGAGCTTCCGCTCTGTGCCGGCGAGGAGCGCCCGAAGGGGTTGAAAAACACCGGGCCGTCTCTGGGCGGCGACACCGCCTCCAGCAGCTGCTCTTCCTCCTGCCCCTTCTGCTCGCTCAGCGCATCCGCCCACTGTCCTGCGAGCTCTACGACGTCCTCATCGCCGGTGAAATCGGCCACCGTCAGCGCCAGGTGCTGCAGCGTCGGGAAGCCCAGCCGCTCCATCTCCCCCGCTAACCTGTTTGCATTCATTCATGTCTTCGTGAGAGGTGTTCTGACCGCTCCAAAGAGGTTCTGCAAGGAAAGGAACAGTTGCCCATCTGACTTGACATGTGCGACATGCATTGGCAGCTGGCTATTGACAGCACATCTCTCCTGCCACCCACAACAGCGGACAGCCCAGTGCAAGGGAAGGTGGGATGACTGTGGCGGGGAAGCATGCACAGCGAAGGTGGTGCTTAGTTGGGGGTACAAGTTATGGATATGGAAAGCCTCCTTGACAAGTGTTGCAATCCCAATGTGGCAGGTCACCTTGCTCGACTGCCGGCCAGGACCACGGCCTCAGAGGGGCTGCCCACAAAGGGCATGCCAGCCTTCTGCAGCAGCGCCTGCAGCTGGCCCTCCTCTGCCAAGTCCCCTGTCGCCATCGGCACCATCACGTCCGCCACCTCCTTCAGCTGCTCTGCCGCCTCCTGCACACACCGCAGACATTGCAATGTCAGCCTTTTTGTGCTTGACAAATCCTCCAAATCTTCTATCCAATGGCAAGGAGGCACCATATACACCTCCTGGTAAGGACCTTTGGGTGCTCATTCTTAACATAACGCACCTTCTTTGCCATGGAGCTCGCACCCTTGAAAGACCAGCCTTCCACAGCAGCAGTATGCGACAAACCAGCAGAATGCATGAGTCTATTGCCTATACATTCTGCTGGTGTGTCCTTTAAGGCCGCTGTGGATTGGCTCAGGTATGGTACCTTTTGGAAACTGTTTCACTGTGATGGCTGCCCAGCAGGGTGTGTCAGGTACAGCAGGTGGGCAAGCACCTCCATGCTGGGGAAGGCTTGGTCGGTGTGGGCGAGCAGGAAGTCCAGGTCAGCGGCGGAGTGCGACTGCAGCTGCTCCACCGAGAGCAGGTGCGTCCGCCCGCTGGAGTCAATGAAGCAGGGCACCACGTTGATGCCGTACTGCTCCGGGTCCATCTCAACGCCGTGCCACGCCGCTGCACGAAACCACGAGTTCAAAAAGCAGCTTTGATACACTAGTCAGCGGAGGCCGGCTCTTGCCATACCAGCCTATGAGAAAACAGCAAAGTGGAGATGTGGGTCTCTGCGTCAGATCTCCTTTCTTTGGATGGCCACAGGACACATGATTTATGGACCTCTGTACATTCCTGCCACACTGAAGTTGCAGGGGGATGGCAGATGTGGTCCATCTCATGGGACACCATATTCCCGCATTTCAGTCTTCCTCCAAGCCTTCCCTTCATGTGACAAACTTCCCCAACATGACAGATATGGCCCGGCTCCTCAGCAGGCATGCTTACACACCAGCCGGTCAAAATATGGACTCGACTGCAACGCTTACCAGCTTGCAGGTGGTGAATGGTGTCGAGCTGGTCCAGCAGGGTGCGCGCGCTGTGCAGGGAGGCTTCGCGGCTGGCGCCAGTCCCCCCGCAGATGACCCCCACTCGCAGGCAGGGCCCCAGGATGCGCGCCCACCGCTCCTGCCCCTCCTGCGCCACCAGCCGCTCCCTCTCCAGCGCCAGCTGCTCCCTCTCCTGCTCCTGCTGTGCAAAATCTCGCTTCTCGTGAGGCATTTTTAGTAAGTCCTAACAACAGTTGCCCCTTCTCCTGCTTCTACTACATCAACTCAAAGCCCCAAGGCACCTAGACAGTGAGTTCCTGGCCCCACCAAAAAACCAAGAACACATTTTCGTAGGGTGTTTCCAGCTTGAATTCTTTGACCCAAAAGCACTGCTCCCGCTCCTGCTTCAGCTACATCAACCCATTCTCCTGAGGCATTCAGAGCTAGTGTTCTTGGCCTTAAGAAGTACTGCTCTTCCATGCGGTCTGGCCGGGATTTCACACACCGCCTCTTGAGGCTAGCCCCCCACACTCAGGCAGCCTGCTCTGTCCGTTCGGCTGATTGCACAGAACCCAAAGTCAACGCGCAGTTTTTGTTGCCGGGGTCAAGACTTCAAGGGCCTTGTGGACTTGGCTTCAACGAGTAGCAGGAGCAGGACATGGAGGCAGTGGTTCTTGGATCTAAGGTTTAAGCTGGAAACGCCTCTTATGGAGACGAGTTGGTGCGGAGCAGGAGCAGTGCCCTCCCTGGCACGGCTTCCACCACGGACAAACCCCTGAGACGCTGCAACGCCATGCTGGCGAGGGGTCCCGCCCAGAGTCTGCCTTCTGTTGATATGTGCACTAGCAGAACACTTCGCTTTATTTGCACAAATGTCAGATATCTCAGAGCTCAAGCACTTAGAAGCAGTTCTTGCAGTGGCCGTACCGCAGCCGCAGGGTCGTAGTCCTCCTCCAAAACGAGGGCCTCGGTGAGGGCTGCGCGGGCGGCAGCCTCGTCCATGCCTGTGGGCAGGCCCCTGGCCTCCAGTTGAGCCTCCACATCAGCCGCCCTGCAGAATCACAGCACAACCACAATCAGCCATTCCTTCGCCATGCAATTTGTAATCAATTCATAATCCTGTGCTCCCTTCCATACTGTGCGATTGCACAAATGCCTCCCCGTTTTGGTGTTGAGCTCCTCCCGCAAAGACGAGACAAGACCAGCTTCAACAGCTATATGTTGTCCTTTTGGTTGACCAGCTCTAATTCTGTTCAATCGAGAGGACAGCATGCAGCTGCAACAGTTGCGTCTCCTGTAACCTTTCTTCAATCAAAACTTTCAAATGCAGCTCCAATAGTTGCAGAAAAACCAACATTCAGCTGTTCCACATATTGGATGGTACAAGGGTGACATTTGCATGCGTGGCAGACACAGAAAATCAAGGGATGCGCACCCAAGCCCGGCTACAAACTCGGCAACTGCCGATTCACGCAGCAGGAGTGGTGTGAGGCGATCTATAAGCTCGGACTTCGTGCCCTTGACCTGCTGTTCACGCTGCCGCAGCAGATCCCTCAGGTCCGACATCGTCAGGAGGTTCAGGTTTTCCTGCAGCGGCAAACTCACATCATTTTCTCCATTGAGGAAGCAGGACGCTGACCATTCATTGGCTTGGTAACACCTAGAACCCCCAGCAGTCCACATGTAGGGAGGTTGTGGTAACTAGAGCTACTGGGCCAAGAGGAAGCAGCGCTGCATCTGTGACCAATTCAATAGGTAAATAATGCTAGAGAACCACGCCAGGGCACACCTCCAGGTCATCCTCGGAGGAAAACGGGACGGAGTCAGGCACGGCTGTCAAGGAATGCCTTTCAATGGCAGCATCCACCTTATCTTCTTCCAGCAGAGCCTGCGCATGTCACAGCATCATCACTGTCACCCATGCACCTCAGCACATGCATGCAACTGCTGTGCCTTCCACGTCTGGCGATTGTGAGCAGCATTGCGTTGTGCTCTCCGCGGTTGGCAGGAGCTGAAGAAGGCAGCGCACCATCATTTTAGGTATGAGGTTGACACGGGTGTTGGCCCCAATGTTCTTGACTTCCTGCCGGTTCAGGGCTGCCCGCATGTCTCTCACCGTCCACGCTTCCAGCTCCTCTAGCTGCTGCTCCCGCGGCTTGCCAATCAGCGACAGCATGTTCCCTTCAGAACTGCACCCACACCCATGCTTCATGCATCTTTTCACACTGCCCCCGGGCAAAGCATCTGCGAAGCATCTCTATAAGGACACCCCGCATGAGTCCTTGCAATGAAACCACATGTGTCATGCAGTACGAAGGATCACAGCACAATACAGTCAACAGCTTGCCGGCAAGGGCATGTTTCCAAGGTTATTACCCAGCTGTTATTAAAACTTTGCGGTGCTGCAGCCCCAAAAACAGGACAGCCTATTTTCCGAAGGCGGAGCCCCAAATACAGATTTGAGAGGTGATCTGCAAATACCTGCTCTCCCCTTCAAGGTCGCCCATCAGATCATCGTTCTGCGAAGCTCTGATGAACGACTCCTCTTCGGTATCTTCATCGTCACCCACATCAGCTTCGTAGCCTTCGTCTAATACCTGCTCTGCTTCTTCCTCTGCTGCTTCATCTTCATCGAGCTGTTGCGTGTACACTTCAAGCATGCGGTTGATACGGTCAATCAACACCTGTTTCTTCCCTGCAACCAAAGTAACAAATCCGTTACGCATGTGCGAATTGGAGAAGTGGCCTGATCCATAACGGGGTGGGAGCACTAGGACCACCAGTATCTCTGGCATGGAATCTCAAGAAAGATGAGAAATTTGAGATGCGCACCAGTTTTTGATGCGCCCAATGACATGCAGACTTTCTGGAGGTCTGCAACTTTTGCATCGGTGAGGTCCTCGGGCAGATTTGCAAGCATGCCTTTGGCACGCCTGACTTTGTCAGCTAAAATATCTGCAGGCTCGCCGGACCACGCTCTGACCAGCTGCCCCCTCACTTGGCAAGCCCACTTCCCAGAAAATGGTGCGTGAACCGCTGGTAACCTGCATGCGCGGCTCATAATCAGTGGTTGGCAATATGTTTGTGGAGTGCAGATTGACAAGTAGTATGTCACTACCTGTGTGTGCTCCCAAAGACTGGGTATGCATCAAACCTCCAACACACGAACCTGGATAACTGTGGAAATTGTAACTCCTACACGTGAGAGCAAAATGCGGTCCTCGACAATCCCAGTTTCTGCAAGCTTGTACTTGGTGAAAAGCAGGTGGAGGTGTGCGCTTACCTCAATGCGGATGACTGATCTTTCCCAACATCAATTCTGACCAGCACCTTCAGGTTTGAACAAGGTCTACGGCAGAAACTCCGCCGCCTGGATTGCAGGAAAGATGGAAAACAAACACAGCCAGGAGGCCGGTGCCTGCCCAGGATGCCGACACCCATCTCCATCCTTGATCTGCCGAAAAAATTACATTCTCCAAGAATTACCAGGGACTATTGGGAGAAAGCAACATTCACTTTACATATCGGAGGATTGTGTCGAAAAGGATACGCATGACTAGGATCGACTTGGCCGCACCTCGTTGCATACTTCCGGAGTTTGACTTTCGTCCTTTGGAGCCACCGCGATGTCCAAGGATGCTATCGCTTCCTACCGCAAACGCGCATCTACCGACTCCTAAACTGATACAATAGACATCAGACTGTGGCATCACCATTTCTAGTATATCTAGACGCTTTCGTGCCGCTAGGTACCTGAAGTCCACCGGACCACTCAGAGCGTCGTGACTCTGAAAGCGTTGTGCATTTAAAAGGTCGTCGTACCGCGCTCATATGGGCATTTAGTATTGATGAAGCTCATCTAAGGCAAGCTTCCTTCCCTCAGCGCAGGAAAGCTGCTTCCAAGAACCTACCTACGGCATGCATGTTGCCGTTCAACGATGGAGTTGGTGATTCATAAGCTTGTGATGGAGCTGATATTGTGTGATTAAGCTTCGGTACACTGGTGATAGCATGACGTCTTCTGCCAGAACTCAATAGCTTGCCCATGCGTGGAGAACGCTCCGGTGCCTTTTTGCAGTAGAGGCTTCCTTGTCTCGGCAACCGGCTGTACCAATTACGTCCATGCAGGCTGCCAGCCTTGCAAGCCTATAGAATACTGTGGGGAATTTCTCCTTGACCTATCTTCGGTCAAGTAAAGAGATGCAGCTTCTTTACCGACACAAATTTTGGCAAGGAGAGGCTGTCATGACGGACCGTGAAACAGCCTACGCCTTGCAACAGCACTCAATGTTACTTACTCTGAAAGTGGCACCACGCAGGACGCTGCTTCAAGCTGGGTCCTGTATGCACAGGTGGCGTCCAGAGCCCAGCCATGACCTACTCTCTGGCGGACCGCGCAGCGGCAGAGGGATGCCCTATGGTGGAGGTGAGGAGAGTGGCCCTCAATGATGGGTCGCACGCGTCACTCATTCTGGAGAACGGCCGCATCTCCAAGCTGGTGTCGCCCAGCGGGGAAGTGGCCCGGCTGCAGTGGGAGGAAGACAAGCCTTCTCCCAGGCAGTCTGCCAGCTTCATGGGCCCCGTAGCAGAAAATGTGGCGAGGTACGTGGACGGGTGATCATTTCCCTGATGTCCTGCATCTTGTCTTGAGCATTGACCCATCACCACTAAGTGTGTCTAGGGGTGTGTTGACCGAGGGGCTGTTACAGAAACTCCATACTCCAGCTCGTAGCTGAAGATACAGTGCTTGTGTGCAACAGGTGGGGCGCACCAAAGATGCAAGACAAGGAGTTGTTTGTGTCTGCGCGCCAATTCTGGGCGTCCCTGCCAGAGGCTCCAAAAGGGTCGCGCAAGGCTAAGAGCCCTGCAGAAGGTGTGATTCAACTCGAGTAAAACTCCTCACGCCGTCAAGTTTTCTTTGGAACACCCTCCAGCATGTGTCATTGATGCGCTGAGGTCTTCCTTCACCATGCCACAGTGCTATAAGAACCTCATTTTGTGATGTTTGTCTAGCGTGATGTCTATGCAGGCCGCAGCAGCGTGATGGGCTGCAGCACAGCAGGTGCCAGTGACACTAGTGAGGTCACATCGCCTTCTCCCAAGGTCTCTTCTGAGGCCAAGGCTTCGGTAGCTTGCACCACAGACCCTTCCCGGCCTGCAGCTGCCAGCACAGCCAACATTGACTCAGGCAGCAGCGGCAGTGACCTTGAGGGTGCCCTGTCACGCGGCCCAGCAGACCAGTCCCAGCAGTGCTGCGCAGCAGATTTTCAGCCAAGCACCAGCGAGGCAGGGCTGAGTGCTGAGCAAGACACCAGCCAGCTGGCCAGTGACGAGGCACCTTGTGCGTTAGAAGCAGCAGATACACAAAGAATCCCCGAGGACAGTTCAGCAGCGCCAGGGGCACAGGCTGACAGCTGCACAGCCTCCCAGCCGAATGTACCGCAATCAGAACAGCAGCGGCAGCAGCAGGAGGAAGCCAGGCCGCTTGCTGCAGCAGCTGATGCAAGCGCTGCACCCTTGGGCACAGCTGCAGGTTTTGAGCCCAGCAAAAGCGTGGCAAAGGACACCCTGGAGATGCTTCTGGGGGACGCGCCAAAACTGGACCTGCGCAGGATGCGCGCTGAGGTGGCGGGCCTGCCGCAGTTTGTCAGCGCGGAGGATCGCTATGAGCTGGCGGCCGGCGCGCGCGTCAAGCGCAACTGCCGCGGTGCCGTGCCGCGGCGGCCGCCGGCGTCGTCCCCGGCCCCGGCTGCGCCGGCGGATGCCGACGGCTGGCCGCCCCGCTCTGCCATCTTTGAGCCTTCCTACGGCGAATTTAGGCCGGCTGCTGATCCGCCCGGCTCGCCTCCCACCGCCGCTCAGCCACAGCAGCAGCAGCAGCGGAAGCAGCAAGAGCCTGCAAGCAACGCAGCATGCCAGATCAGTGCAGAGGTGTCCAGCGGAGAGTCCGTCGCGAGCCCGGCGGCTGCGGGCAGCAGCGCCGGGACCTCCAGCGGGGACTCGGCCGTGGCGACGGGTCCCAGCACGCACAGCGTGACGTCCGCGGCCAGACGGCGCCACAGCCTTGCGGACATCCGCCGCGCAATCGCAGCCATTCCCAGGTACGGCATTGGACCGAACCAAGGAAGCGTGTCTGCCATAATGTTGTGTCCCTTTCCTCGTCTTCTTGGTCTGTCTCGTGCTCACAGAGTGTCTGACTGACTGACTGACATGACTGACTGGACTGCGCTATCTACTGTCTAATCACATCTCCTGCTCGTGATTGATCTTCCTGGATATAAGTGATGGTGTCAAAGAAGGTGAGAAGGCTGATTGTGGTGCACTGCAGTGGCACCGCTGGTTTGCCCAAACAGCACACAGGCTTGGACCTCGCATCGGCGCTTCTTGTCCCTGCCGCCATCAGCACCACGGAGAAGACCCAGAAAAAGGTGCAGCATCCCCCCTTGGATTGACGCCTCACTGAGAAAGCTTCAAAGTTTTCTCATCCGGTCTCACTTTTATGTCTTGCCAGAAGGCTAAGTTTCCTGCCGGACTTCAATGAGTGGCCTTAATGTGAGATCAAGAGTGGGTGCAAATTTTCAAAAAGTCGCACATTCCATAAGTCATCCATATGACATCATGCTGACTTTCAACCCTGCACATGTCTCACTTGAAACAGCATGAGATGTACTTCACAAGCCGATGACGTCATCAATACCATTTGGAGGACCAGGGGACACCCTAATAAAAAGACACCGTTTTATTGCTGTCATTGACTGATGCGCAGGCCAAGAACGCTGGCAAGCCGACGGTGTGGCGCAAGATAACGGCGGCGTTCAATGCCCGGCGCGTTCAGCCGCAAGACACGTCCGACACGGGCAGCCCGGCGGGCAGTGCGGGTGCTGCCCGGCCGGGCAGCCCCAGCAGCAGCTGCAGCAGCGGCGGCAGCTGCACCAAGCGGACCCTCGCACAGCGCCTCTTTGGAGGCCGCGGCTTCGGCCGCAGGGTCAGCGCTTGCAGCGAGTCCCACTCGCCCGTCAAAGAAACCCACCCAGCGGATTCGCCCATCGCAGTGCGGCCGATGAATGTGAAACTTGCGCCGCCTGCCGCACCTGCCTCTCCCGGTGAGCCGCCAGCTAACCGGTTGCATCTCCAAAATTCTCCCCACATGTTTAAGTTCAAACGCAAACTGATAATCGAGGCCAGCGGACCTGGAATTTCCTGCAGCTTGTCTTGACTGACCTTGCCTTGCCTTGCCCTGCTTCTGTCAGGAACAGCACGTACTGATAACCGCATTGATTATGAGAGTGATATAGGTTTTTACAGCAGAATGTGACGTCTGGGTGGTGGGCTGTGCAGGCAGGGTGTGCGTGGAAGCTGCAGCGCGGCTGGAGCAGCGCGGGGTGAGTACACCGGGGGAGCAGGGGATTGCAACGCCCACAAGCGTCAGCTCTCACAGGAGCACTCGAAGGAGATCCTCGCACCAGGACAAGGCCCAACGCAACAGGTGCCCTTATCACTCCTGCCCCCCCACCTCATCCTGCAAAGCTGTGAGAGACAACAGCTTGTTCCTTATTGCACGCCTGTATATGCTGCGCCTCTGTCAACTGGGCTCACATACTGCTTTTCATTGCCATGTTCTACCTCTAAGACATCTGGTGGGGCGCATGCAGCTTGCAGACGAGCTACTATTTTATGGATTTGGTACATTGCCCTGTCATGGCATCTGTTCCATGCGACAACACCTTACACATCCACTGTGGCCTTCCTTCACACACTCATCGCGTACATTCCTCCCACAGGCTGAGGACTCACCCACAGCATTCCCATATTCATAGTATAGTAAAGCCGTAAGAGTGCTTTTTGTTGGTGGGTTGGCAGGACGGGGATGGCGGGCCGGTGGCGGCTGGAGCCGTGCGAGGGTGCATTGGCCGGCATGGAAGAGGTGGAGGCGCTGTTGGACCTGCCCCTTCTGCAGCGCCTGGCCATGCACCGCGCTGTCGAGCTGGAAATCCTGGAGACCGACGAGGCGCTCACCATCGTGCAGGTTATTTTCTCCCCTCCTTTACTTCTTAACCTCTGCACCCTTGCGCTGGTGCCAGTTACAGGCAAAGGGGGTGGAAACGTGGAGCATATGCATGTTTCAATCTCTGGGTATGCCCCAACTGTACAGCTGTGCAATGATAGCTCAGCGTGACTGTGCAGTGCCAGCTGTGTGCAGAGAGGCCCTGCCGTGGCGCACACCCAGATGGAGTCTGCCATGCACAGCCAGGTTCATGACCGCAGCCTTTTGAGCATGTCTGCATTGTACAAAGACACAGCCAGATCCGCGAAGACCGCCTCCAATGCCAACAAGGTGGACATTAAAGAGAGTCCTGGCAGTGGGACAAAAGCGCTGAGTCAAAGGGTGCATGCTGCACTGGTGGCGGAAAAGAGACTCCTGAGTCGAGGGTGAATGTTGCGCTGCGCAGGACATTCCCCTGAACGGGAGCGGGGCGCGCATCCGGAGGCGTTCGGTGTACGCTAAGAACGGCGCCGTCGTTGAGGAGACGCGCGCAGACTCGCGCGAGGGTGTCCTGCGCTCGCAGCTCACCATCTCCCCCGATGGCCACCTTCACATCAGGTGCCCAGAGAACTGATACTGCGTATTACTCATATTAGGTATGCATGCGAATTGACCCTCTGCCAGCGGGGGCCCTTATTGTGGTCCCACCTTCTGCTGACCATTTGCAGTGACGGCCATCTCAATGTCTGTGACTCAATGAACTTTTTACCAAGCTTGGAAGATAGCATGGACAGGCTTTTGATTGGCAACATCATGTGGCAGATTGGGGTATTATGAAATGTTTCCTGGCAAGGGAAGGGATGCAGATGCAAGGGAGTGGGAGTCATGTGGAGCTTGCTAGGTTGCTGACATGGGTTGTAATGTCTGCGCGCAGGTCGCTGCAAGGGGACCCCTACGCGGCGGTGTTCCACAAGCGCATCAAGATGTCGAGCGGGGGCCACCGCATCAAGGTGGAGCAGAAGTTCCAGCTGCTGGCGCCGGGCGTGCTGCCGGTCAAGTACCACTCCATCTGGCACCGCATCGAGGACGAGAACTCTGCCTCGAGCGCCAATGCTGCAACGCAGCAGGAGACTGTCCTTTGAGAAACACGAGGCATGCATGCTCTGCGTCACGATGTGCATGGGAAAATGCATCGAGACAGATCGCTTGTGGTGTCTTCTGATTGACGGCATAGGCTGCACGCATTCTCGATCAGAGGTGAATACCATGATAGCATGGTGTCACGACACAGGGTAATGCAGAGCCAGTTCGTTCCTGCCAAAATATTCCACAAGCTGGGGCAGACAAGTGGGCATCAAAGTGTTCGTTAGGGGATGCTTCTGGAAAGTAAATGCACACATGGTGCAGCTCCTCAGTTTACTGCAGCCGCAGCCCACACCATCTAGGAAAGCAGGTCTTGAAGGACTGCATGATCATGAGGTCAATATCACCGGTTGTGAGATTAGATGTGTGCGGCTGCTATACTTACATGCGCCAGCATTGGTGTACACAGGTTACAACATGTTAGATCAGTTTGTCAGGAAGCACTGCTTTCACAATAAATTCAGATCAGGTATATGTTGGTCCTGCCAAGTCAGAGCCATTTAGGAACTGTCACAGTGTGTAGCATATATGAGCCCAAGGGCATGCACAATCACTTGTATTTTAGGAGACACTATTTTAGGTGAGCATGCCACCGCGGAGCATGCCTTTGTGGCCATATTTGAGCCATGCATCAGTCATGGTTGGTCAGGTCTTGTCATGAGGAGCATGAACCCAGATTGCAGTGATGCATGTGCACATCTGCTACCTCGCAGAGATCTCAACAGAAAATTTTTGTCGCCTGATCAGTCATGTCAATGTACAGCATGTGATTGTATTGGGCAATGCAAGTAGAATGTTGCTAATAATAATTTTCTTTGTGTTAGCTTTATGGTCAGGCAGGGATAGAAGCCAGCTTGGGGATCATGTACATATGGAAGGATTTGGGTGCAGTACATACATGTCCCCGGCTGGCGGGGGGCGATATAAACTGAGCACCGTGCCCACGGTCAAATGGGTCTTGCTTGTATCTAGCGAGTCCAACAAAGGGTAGGATTATGGCAGCCTTCAACTGCAGCTTGTCTGCAGGACGCACCTTGCCTCTTGGCAGGAAAAGCGTGTAATAACAATAATAATAATAATAATAATAATAACAGTAAACATTTGAAGGTATCACTACTTGCCAGATGGCGTGAGCTTTGTGTTGTCCCAATCTACACGTACGTTCAGGATGAAGTGGTGTTGGCAACCAGGTTGCCATATATAATGATGGAACGAGGGGCTTCGGCTAATCAATTGAAGTATTGGACAAGAAACCATCAAAGAACAGTACATCACAAAAAGACAGCTTGACTGCCTACTGGTGGTGAAGTGTCAGCTGGATTTCACAGCTCGATCAATGCCCTCATCAAGCCCTTTAGAACCCAGCAGCACCCTAGTCGCTATCTGCTTGTCAAACTTTTCCCGCCGGCGCCTCTCTAGCTCATCATATCCCTCTGTCGCTTCCATCACCTGCCACGTAATTCATATTTCACCTTTAAGTTTAATCAAATTGCCATTGAGATATTATATCATGTGGAAGGAACTGTGCCAGAAACCAACTTCCTCAATGTTCCTCTCCTGACAACGCATGTCATGCAGACCACTGGCATTAAGACAATGCCTCGCAGCCCTCTTAGAAAGGTTGAGCGGAGAAGGTGACTCAGTCATGAGTCACCTCGATTGTGATGTGGTTCTCATGCAGTGTTAGCGTGTGCAGCGAAGAATGCTGAGCGTGCAGGGTGACTCAGTAGTGAGTCACCTCGATGGTGATGGGGTTCTCGTGCAGTGTCAGCGTGTGCAGCGATGTGCAACCCTTGAAGACGGCCGGCGGCACAGCAGCAATGCGGTTCTGGTCCGCAGACAGCACCTTCAGCCTCTTCAGGCTGCCCAATGACTCCGGTAATTCCTGTCATGGCACATTATGCAGTGAGCCTTGACTCAGCACTGATGCGTGCCGAGCAAAGCCACAGCTCTCTGCAAGGGAAGATAGCCGGGAATTCTCCAGGATGCTCTCACTCAAGCGCAATATGTTCCATTGTCCTTTGCATCCGTTCAAGGGGTTCCCTGTGAGGGTGATCGCAAAATATAAGGCGCACAGTTCACCTGGAGATAGTTGTCTGCAAAGTCGATCTCCTCCAGTGCTGAGCAGGCCCCCAGCTCATCTGGAATTCTGCTGAACTTATTTTTTGAGAGTTTCAGCACTGTCAGGCTCTGAAGGGAGCTGATGCCGGCTGGCAGGGATATGAGGGCGTTCTGGCTGGCAGACAAGCGCTCGAGCCTGCTTAGCGCGCCGATCTCCTCTGGAAGACTGACCAGGCGATTGGAGTCCAGCACAAGTACCTGTCAATACACCTGGTATTCCATCACAGGTCCAAGAAAAAGGCATTTTGTCAACCTCAAGCATGGCCTCAATAGATATTGAATTTTGACTAGGATGATGAGATAAGGAGAGGAGGACGCCCACCTTCAGGCTGGTGAGGGCTGAGATCTGCACAGGGAGAGTTGAGAGCTGATTCGCTGCTAAGATGAGGCGCTGTAGACTACTGAAGGTACTTATGTTGGGTGGTAAGGCTGTCAGCCGGTTGTTGGTGGCATCAAGGGTCTTTGCTGCAGACCCCACTGCCCACACTCTCTGTGGGAGCTCCTGTGGATCAGTTAGAAGACCATCAAGCCTGTGATGTGGGAAATCTGTAACGTTCGGCCCAACCAAAACACGCCGTGTACCCAGCACCCTATCAACCTGCCTTGAGCTTGCTGTCCCGCACTGATACTGTCCCAGTGGTCATCCAGGCCTGCTCACGACGAGCCTTGTTGCGATTGATGTTGTTGTCATTAGAGGCAGCACCCCCACAGCAGTTTCCCATTGTGTCGGGGTTGTACCCTGATCCCTCTGCTCTTTGTCCCCCAAAGATGGATCTGAACTCTACCAAATCATAAAGCCTATTGAATGAACACAGTCGTACTTATAACAGAGACTATTTCAGGTTTAAATTCTGGTTCCCAAGATTACTAGAACTGTGTGGGACCACGTCCAGCCTTTGATTTACTCCAAAACAGGTGCTTAACAGCTTTAAGGTGCATATAAGTTGTCCCTGAGCGCTGCTTACCCACCAGATCCGAGATCGACAGTTCCGGAAGGCAGGTGGTCCCTTTCGGTCTGTTGAGTTCTACGACCGTCTTGCGGCGTTCCATAAAACAAAATATGCTCTGCAAAAGATTCCTTGAGCGCAAAGTGTGAGGAGCTGTCGCTGGGCGATTGCTCGGTGTGCTCCTGTGATCTTCCTCGTCCATCAAGCGATCAATTGGGGGCGACTCTGGGGCTGCTAGTGCTGCTTTCTTTACGCACGTGCTCTGACCTAGGGCCGCCCGGCTCAGCTGCTCAGCCGATGGTGTGAAAGACGCTATGGTGGTGTGTGACATGGGTGGTAATGGGCTGCCTAAACGACCTGGGAGGCAGCGTTGACATGGAACACACTGCAAAACTACAGGAAGAGAGGGGACTTGACTGGCTTGACCTCGAGTTCTGGCCAGAAAACGACTTTAAAGTAGAGGAAATGCAGCAGAACCAGCACTACAACTGGGTATCACAGCATGTCAGCGTTGAAGATCATCAGGAGCCGCATACGCAGCATCAATTGCCGCAAACAGTAGGACACGAGCACCTCACAGCAGCTCACGCTGCCTTCTCAGACTTTGGGCAGCACAGGGGCGATCAGGCGATTGCAGGGATCACAGGGGTGAGCCTTGTTCCAATGCTTCATGAAAATTCGTCTCTTTCTTTATATTTCATCGGCACATCATGCCGATGCAGGGGCTGATGGTTGTGCATTGCGTTGTACACAGGATCAGGCAGAACTGTTGGAGGCCATATCTGGTACAGAGACAGAACTGGGGCTGCCATACACTGCCCTTGATCATCTGCAGCCTCACCACCCCCAGAACGACTTGCATCAGCATGGGGTTGGCTATGGGATGGAGAGAAATCCATCAGGTAAGAGTCTTGTGATCAGATATTGCTGCAGAAAGGACTTTCAGGATGTGATTTGGACACGATGTGTGGCAGCACTTGCCCAGATTGCTGACAGTAGGTGTGGACTGTGGCCGCAGAGCCCACACAGTCGCAGGGGAAGGATGCGAAGCCGCGCTTGCGCTGGACGCCAGAGTTGCATGCGCGCTTCGTGTCAGCAGTGGCTTCCTTGGAGGGGCCGGACAAGGCAACGCCGAAGAGCATCCTGAAGCTGATGGCAGTGGAGGGCCTGACCATCTACCACATCAAGAGCCACTTGCAGAAGTACCGGCTCAACGTGCGGCTGCCGGGCGAGTCCGGTGACATGATCAGCGGCCCCGACGAGTCTGAGGAGCCCTCGCGACGCAAGCGGCGCAGCCGCTCGCATGGCCAGGCCTCCAGCCGCAGGCGCAGCAGCCGGCAGCGCAAACGGCGCAGGTCTGCCCCCACATCTTCCTGCATAAAATCCCCAAGCATGCATCACCTTCACCACTTGCTGGCATTTTGCCACACTGCCATGTATCGCTGTCTACATCAGGACATCAGATGCATGATAGGCAGCTTCTACAAAAGGCACAGATGCTGTGCAGATGAGCATGCATGCTCCCTGAATAGTCCAGCTGTGCCGTCACTTTGCATATTGGCGGCCGGGTGATCTGCTACTGTGATGCTGGGTGATCTGCTACTGTGATGCCGTGAGATTGCATGCATATTGTAGAACAATTTTATTTTCCCCTTGCTATGGCCAAAATCTACAGTAGAAGCTGAGTTTGGGGCGCCCCATGCAGCAGGTCGTCGGACGAGGACAGCGATGAGGACGACATGGAGGATGAGGATATGGATGACGACGAGAACTTCGAGGAGGGCATCAGCCGCGCGCGGCCGGGCACCAGCGTGAGCGGCATCAACGGCAGCAGTCCCCACGGTGGCAGCCCGCGCGGTGGCAGCCCCCGGGGGGTCAGCCCCCGGGGCCGCAGCCCGCGAGGAGGGAGCCCGCATGGAGGAGGGAATAGCATGGCCTGCCTGCAGGTGGAGCCGCTGGAGGTGCCTGACCTGGACCCCGAGAAGCAGCACAGCCTGGAGGAGGCCCTGCTCAAGCAGATGGACATGCAGAAGCGGCTGCACGAACAGCTGGAGGTGCGCTGTGCTGCCCACCAGTGCCCCTTTCTCTGGGCTGCAGTGTTGTTTTTTCATGCGTGTCTGGATGACTTCACAAGATGTGCTCTCCCGTCATGCTCCTTGGCCCAAGACCCCGGTGTGCTTCATGCATGCCTGAAGCATGCAACATGGGTGTGTGCATTTTGTGCAAGTACCTTATAGCTGTAGTAGTGGTTGGTGGCATGAGGGGTGTTGCTGACCTGTGCGAGTGCTTGGGCTGTGCAGGAGCAGCGGCGGCTGCAGTTGTCGCTGGAGGCGCACGGGCGGTACATCACCAGCTTGATACAGAAGAAGGGGCTGGAGGGGCTTCCTCCGCAGACCAAGGAGGCTTTAGATGCCGCCCTGGTGCCCCCACAAGGCTCAGGTGACCCCCTTTCACCGATCTAGACTCATACTTTTACTGATAATCACACTTAGTGCACTGTCATTCTATTGTGTGAACAGATTGTTGCCCCGTACTTTGTTGGTTGCAGGCCAATTGATGCCTGCAAATAGCATCGAAAGCCTGTCTGGGGTGAGCATGCTGATGTTGTGCAGTGGGTCATCAAGTTTGCCGACAGGGTACGGTGCACTGTACCTCTGTTCATGCAGTACTCAGCAAATCTTTCTGGCTGAAAACAGGGCTGAGCACGCTGACACACAACACGGCACCGCAGTGGACGCCGTCAGTGAGCGAGGGGTCTTCGCTGGCGCAGCAGGTCGGCCATGTCATGCACCACAGCACAGCCTTCATGCTGGGCTCAGCCAGCGCCACAGACCCTGAATCATCTCTCCTTCTGGACACCAATATGCAGGTCCGCTGCCTGCTGCACAGAGTTTCATCAGTCCTTGTTCTCTGCAGTGTCTCATGCGCCGTTCTTTGCTTGTGACAATGCCAAGGGTTAGCTACCATGGAAGAAGCGCTGCACGTGTGGAGTGTAATGCTTTCAATCAATCCTTTGAATGCTGCACATGATTTTATTTGAGTAAAGGGGGGGTGCGGGGGGCTTGTGCTGTTGAGACTGGGGGCAGGAGGGTGCAGCTTGAGCATGTGGGCGGTGTGCAGGCGGCGGCAGCTGTGTGGGATCCGAGCCAGGCGCATGGGCTGGACCAGAGCGGCTCTAAGCAGCTGTATGAGGAGCCAAAAGAGCTGTACGAGGAGCCCGGACAGCTGTATGAGGAGAGGGGCGGCCACGTCAAGCCAGAGGAGCAACTCTGAGGCGTGGCACAATCTGCTGAGGTGCCGCATGCAGGCCCGGGGAGTGCAGAGGGGAGCCAGAATCTGCTTTGTATATATCCAGAAGCAAATGAGAGGGTTGGTCAATTTTCAAGAGAGGAGCGTAGTACAGCGCAGCTGCTTTGGATGCGGTCAGTCCTGCTGTGCAGGACATCTGCTGCTTTGCATCCGCATATTTGTGTGCCCTCCTGTGCTGCGTGCTTATGGGCATGTGGCAGAACTGATGTCAATTGTTAGGGCATGAAACTCGTTAGGCCCGTGGATGTGGAACGGCACCATCTCGCCTGATGGGTATGAATGTTTGAGAGGGTGGCGATCTTTGCTCAGGCTAGCGAGTGTGTGTGTTTGCATGGATTCAGCCAAATTCGAAGGAGTCTAGAGAAGGAAAGCCCGTATTGCTGCGTCTTGTTAGACAGAGCATGGGGGCCAGGAATCAGGCATCTGTTGTGATGAATCTTCTGGTTTCCAAGCATATATATTTGCTTAGAAACTCGCTTTGTCGTGGCTTTCGCAAAGGTCTTGAGGTGTTTTGAATTTTCCTGCTCGGGCTGATCAAGATACAGGTTCTTCATGCTCTGATCAGCCTCTTGATGGCCGGAGATACTTGAAGTGTCAATGAGGAACTTTCTATTGAGGTTCCAGGAAAGACACAAGTATGATATGTCATTTATCCTCTTCCAAGGCATGATATTATGCAGGGTTAATCGTTTTCATCACGACTTGGGCATTCCACCCGCTGCACAGTCTGGATCATCTCCTTTGTAACATCACGGCTCAGCAGCGTAGCCATTCTTGCAGACACCTCAGGCGGTGTGTCTGCTGTGTACACCCATAATCTACTTGTTTGTCTATCAAGTGAGGGCTGAAGCCCAACAAATACATCTTGCAACCAAACACTTCCTTGCAACCGGTTGGTACCAAACGTACAACAGACTGCTTGTAGAACATTCCTTGCAACGTCGCAGGAGGAACAGGGCACACCAACAAAAACTGGGAGACATGGCTCAAAACTATTTTCGACAACCCCATATCACATGCTTTACAAATTTTGATGGATGAAGCTGCAATGTACCGACCCCAGCTGAGATGCTGCACAACACTACCGCAGACTGCGCCTCATCCCAGGAATCACCAAAGATAAACTTGCGGTACTGTCTATTCAGAAATACATGCTCATCTGAAGAAGGCGGCCAGCTTGAAGCCGATGATGACTACCACGGCAAGGGCGATCATGAGTAACATGGTGACACACATGGAGCGGCAGTTGCCGGAGCGGGCTAGCACGTGCTTGAGCTTCTTCTGGGCGGTGCGCATGCGGCTATGAGTCACCTCCACGTCCTCGTCCAGGTCATCCAGCAGCCGCCGGTGCAGGTCAAGCTCCTCATTCACCGTCAGCGCTATGTGCTGCACACAAGCATCCCCCGAGCATCAGTTGTGAAGCTGTCACCCCGTGCACCTTCACCTGCTCTACCTTTGCACAACCCTTGCCACTACAGAAAGTGGCGCCCATTGATGAAATGCCAGCTGGCTGTAACGTGTCCAGAGTTGGCGTTCTGACTTACTTGGAGCCCTCTTGTGCACTTTGAGCAGTGTCGGTGTCCTCAGGTATTGAGCAAAACCCAGGCCACAGGTCCCGGCAAAAAAGGCCTTGCTCTCCTCAGAAACTCGGGGTACCGGCACTGCACAATGTGCGCAAGGCATGAAGGCATGGCAGTACAAACATAGCGTTCCAGGAGATTCAGGGAAGGGAGGGGCAGCACCTTGGTGCTGGTGACTGTGCGCTCCAGTTCCTCCAGCTCAGCGTCCTGCTGGCGCATGGACTGGTCCTGCAGCTGCAGAATGCCCCGGTTGTCCAGATCTGCCGTCTGCAGCGTCTCCGATGCAGGCGCCTTCGGCCTGTTCATCTCCATCAGTGCAGTCCTGGAAACAATCACCAACACAGTTACAATCAAGCCCCTCAGAGACAACAGGAAAAATAGATGCAAGTGTCGGGACTACAACACATGGCATCCATGTCAATGTTGTGAAGAGGGCTCGTTGTCACAAGACTTGATCTTGGACCAGAGCTCTGCACATGCTGCATCGAGTACAGTCGATTGAAATGGTCCGCAAAATGGAACCCCACCTGTTTGCTGAGTTCTGGTCCCGCCTGAGGGATTGCAGCATCTGCTCCCGTCTTGACTTCAGGGCGTTGACCAGATCCCGCCGCCGATTCCTCTCGTTTTCAGTTCTGCACACGCACGTGCTGCCTTCAGAGAGCAGCCAAACAGGCATTGCATCGGGTAAGCAGATCAGGCATCGTTATCTTCCTGCAACACAGAGAGGTGTATTTGTTCCTGTCTGCCTTGACGGGAGGCATGCAGCTCACATGTTTTCAAGGGCGGAGCTTTCCAGAGAGCTTCTCATGCTGTCAACAGCAGCACCCAGTGTCCCAAGCTTTCTGCGCGCTGTAGCTGTGACGCGAGAGGCCTCCTGCCCTCCATGTGGGAACTTGAGATTTCTCTCCTAAAGTCACCAAGCGCAAGTCAGGCCGTTGTGAGCTGTAGCCAAGCTGAAGATGTGCTTTTCTGCAGGAAGGGCACCCTGGCAGAAGGCAGAAGCTGAGTGGGATCTTACCTGTATAAGGGCAAGTGTGTCGTCTGCCAGCTGCTTGGCATCATCATACTCGTTTGTCCAACGATCTGTCCCTGCCATTGTGTCTGCGAGGCCGGAATATATCTAAAATCATATGCCACAGTGGACACGAAGAACAGGGTCAATAGGGAAGTTGATTAACTGGCACACTCCCCATCCTCGCAACTTGACTGTCAGACTCAAGGAAATGTATGCTTACCTGCTTTCGATGAAATGCTTGTAAGACTGATGCCTGCAGGATCGGTCCTACTCATATGTCAAGACACAGCCCTTTGATGGACAACACATTGGCAAAGCCTGGTCGACTTGAGACTGCCGTCCAAGGCCCCCAAACAAAGAACGAAAATCTCCTATAGATCAACGAAACGCTATATGAGTTTATACTTGCAATGCATCTTATTTTTTCTTGCACAAGCCCTCTCGAGGGCTCCCCTTTTCCGCACGACGACCCCTGGAAGCCCTACATAAGTTTGCTCTGGCAACTGGTGAGCCCGCGTTGCGACAGGGACAACTAAATTCACTCATCGAGAATAGTAATACAGTGCAGAAACCTATTTGGTCTTCTACTAGGGCGCCCATTGCTTCGATTTTATTTTCCTGCCGCCTCAGATCGCGGTTGCCGATGTAAATAGTCTCCTTTCTCGCATTTCGAAATCGAAAGCAACTGTAAGCATAAGTATCAATTAATCTCGACAGCTAGTGAGCGCTGACTTGTTCCATTTGTGGTATAATCGGCAATATGGAAAACACGAATGGGCACGCGGAGGAGAAAGTCTCGGAGCTTGACGGCGCTGCGCCAGACAGCACAGACTCGGCATTGTATTTCTGCACCTACGCATACCTTTTCCATCAGGTCAGCCATCGCATTGTGACGCAAGACGACGCTGTCCTTGCTTACTTTGTACTTTTCACAGACCGTTGAAGGATGCAGACTGTAAGGGGCAACCCATGAATTCGACTAGGTGCAGGACATTGGAGTTGCACAACTGCAGTACAAAATATAGCGGCAATTGGAAGCGTTGCATGGGCGAACAGACCCCCCATGCAGCATCCTGAGCTTGGCCCGGTGCTCCGCAGAAAGACATGCTGGAGGACCACAAACGCACAGGCGCCTACTACCAGGCGGTCATGCAGAATCGGCGGCAGTTCGAGGGCAAGGTGGTGCTGGACGTGGGCACAGGCTCAGGCATCCTGGCCATCTTTGCTGCCAAAGCCGGCGCGCGCAAAGTCTATGCAGTCGAGGCCACCAGCATGGCCAAATTTGCGCGCACACTCGTGGATCACCACGGGGTGAGCCCTTAGGCTGAATGCCGTCACCTCTCCTTGGCAAAAACACTGCCAAGTGGGCTGATGATCGCTGATGTCCAGCCTGGAAGAGTGCCTTTATCAGGTCCAGATCCATGCATTACAAAGCGCATCATGATGTGCATCGGGATCCAGAAGCTACGCCAGGAATCATGAGCCAGCAGCCCGGGCATCAGCAATGAGTCATGCACTGTTTCAAATTCAAATTTGCGTGCGCAGCTGGGCGGCGTGGTGGAGGTGATCCAGGGGACGATAGAGACGGTGAGCCTGCCGGAGAAGGTGGACGTGATCATCTCGGAGTGGATGGGCTACTTCCTGCTGCGCGAGTCCATGCTCGACTCGGTTCTGGTCGCGCGCAACCGCTTCCTCAAGCCGGGCGGCGCCATGTACCCATCCCACGCGCGCCTCTACCTCGCTCCAATCCGCTCCAACAATGCCCACCAGCGCCTGGCCGAATTCCAGGCACGCGCCCCCTTCCTACGGTTGTCTCCTTGGGTACCCTGCATGCTTGGTATACACCCGTCTTTACAAGCCAAGTGTTTGACAGGGTACCCTGCATGCTAAGTACAACCCTGTCTGGATAAGGGCAGTTTCTAGGACGGCCATGTCCCTGTGCGCTACTTACAAAGTGCCAGTTATGATGGGTGTTGTGTGCGCTCATGACAGCCCATGCCATTGCTGGTGATGCATGGGTGTTTGCCAGGCCTTCCAATGCCGTTTCAGCAACTGGGGGCTGGCTGTGAGCCTAGAATATATCGCCTTGGGGAGTATTTTGCCCCGGAAGAAATCTAGAGGGCCACTTCGAATTGCTGATTGGGTAGGCTTGAGCGAGGACTACCTGTGCTCAGAATGCGCTCGAGGGCTGGGGGGAGTTCAGCCGGGAGATGCGCCAGTTCTACGGCGTGGACATGAGCTGCCTGGACGACCGGTACAAGCGCGAGCAGAAGGAGTACTACCTGGAAACCAGTGCGTGGGCCGACGTGCACCCCTCCCAGATGCTGGGCCCCCCCGCCACCCTCAAGGAGTACGACCTGCTCACCATCACGCTCGAGGAGCTCGCGCAGCCACTCAGGGTGGGTGATCTACCTTCCTCTGGTGACACAGATCTGCTGTTCAGGGTGGGCGAACTATCTCCCTTTGGTGACAAATATTCACTGTCAATGTGGGTGGTGCCCCTCAGGGTGAGTGAACTATCCCCCCGGGTGACACACATCTGCTGTCAATGTGGGTAGTGCCCCTCAGGGGGGGTGAACTATGCCCCTCTGGTGACAAATATCCGCTACTTATGTGGGTGAGAGCGCCCCTCAGGGTGGGTGAACGACTCCCCTCTGTTGACACAAATGTGATCCACTGGACCCTAAGATGCCAGCTTGACCTGCTTGATATGAAAGGGCAGAGTAGGAAAGGCGGGATGCAAAGACAGGGTGGGCTCGATCAGAATGCGCTGCTGCGGTATGTGAATGCGATGCTGCGGCGTTAGTCTCGTCAGATGCTCCGGCCATGCCAGACATCTGCTGAAATAGGAAAGGTTGCCCTAGGTGCAGCAATTTCCGGGCAGCATGAGTGGATGTGAAAGTTCGCGGCCAGCTTACTGAAACGGCTGAGCGGGAGTTTGATTGATGCATGGCGCATGTACTTTGCCATGTTGATGCTCGCCATCTACTGGACATGGACAGGGAACCTAAGAACAGACGCATGACCGCCCATGCAGGAAAAGTTCCGCATGGATGTTCTGGACGGAGGGCCAGTGGAGAGCCTGGTGGGCTACTTTGACGTGCAGTTCCGGGGCTCCCCAGAGAACCCAACAGACTTCCAGGTGAGCGCCCAGGCGTGAATCTCCTCGTGGGGCTGACATGCTTTCGACAGCCACATAAATGCCATGTGCTCCACAGGCTGTTGCAGCAGTCATCTGGCTCGCTCCTCAGCAAGCAGCATGCATGTGCTGTGAGTGGCATGCCCTGCATGCCTACAAGTCGGCTTTGAAGAGGCTGCAGAGAGGAGCTGTACTGAAGCATGCGAGTGTGATGTGTGCAGGTTCTGCTTTCCACAGCACCAGACCCGACAGGGGCGACGCACTGGGGCCAGCAGACGTTCTCTCTGCACCCGGCCATTGACTGCGCGCCAGGGGACGCTGTTGAGGGCACCATCACTGTTGTCAGGAAGAAGGAGAACCACCGCCTGATGGAGGTACACTCTTTCATCTGAGATCTTCGGCCGTGTCAGACATACCAACATCTGCTACCTTCGAAAGAATGTCTGGCATGCCACATTGGCTACCATCGCTGGTTCATGAAATTCGTGGGCAAAAAGCTGCCTTGTTTGGCCTGGATGCCAAGACTCAAATTTGGCTAGCAAATTGTAAATGAGGCATGCTATGCTTGCAGCTCTGCATGTGTCTATGCGCAAAGAAATTTTATTGCAGCTGGGCACTGTGTGCAGGTTTGTGTGGAGCACAAGGTCTCAGGCACCAGCCTGGTGGCCCAGGCATCCCCAGACAGAGTCAGCCACTACCACATCGAGTGATGCCCCTGAAGGAAGATTAGTCAAAATAGGATTAGAGACCTGACTGTGGTCTCATGCTTTTGTGTGCCTGTGCGATGGCTGTTATGTGTCGAGTGGCGGCAGACTGAGAGCACGCTGCCTGTGAGCACTTGTGCTCTGCTGCTTGGAAGGTTTCCCTTTCCACATTTTCATTCTTGGGAAGTTTGTTAATCTCAGAAAGGCTGATTCTTTGCATTGCCGATTTGACTGCGTGACTGTTGTGCCATTACCTTTGTATGAAGTTTTCATTGCTTTAACACACCAATCAAGTTGGCTGATTGGGAGTCTTTGTTGGCTGTAAAAAGTACCCTTGCAGGCATCCGCTTTTCCCATTACATTTCCTTGTACACCACTTCACATGCATGCGTTACTGTTCGGCAATACCATACTTCTCCGTGAGTACTTGACGAACATGGGAAGGATGAGACCCCTCCCTCAAAATCCTGAAGCTTCCCTCGAGAGATAGATCAACCACTGTAGACCCCGCTCTGTCTGCGCCCACAATGCCTGCATCAAAGACGGCTGCACACTGCGGCCACAGCTGCTCAAAGTCATGGATGGAGGTGGGACTGATTGCACCGCTAATGTTGGCTGATGTAAGGGCAACCGCTCTCCCATGCTGCCTGCAGGCCTCCAGCATGAATGCACTGTCCGGTACCCGTATTCCTGCAAACCCAGATGTCAACATCTTAGGAGATTATTCACAAATGAAGCCCCTATACATTCTGTGCGATGCATGCCTACCCCTCCCGCACACATGATAGTGTATTTGAGGGTGTGTTTCTAGCCCTTCGATAGAAGTTCTGGCCAACGACAACATCCTGGAAAGAGCCCAGAGAGGCAGGTTGGCCAGGGGGTCTCCAGATGGCTCACCAATCGTCTGTACACCGGGATTCAGAGCAGCAGAGAGCGCTGCATCCGGTCGCCGCGCCAGCAGCACAGTCACCGGCCCGGGCAGCAGGTCATCCAGCAGGCCCTGCGGCAGGTGCGCGCACATGCCATACTGCTCCACCACCGCCACGTCAGCCACGCAGATCGCCAGCGGCACATGCGCCTGCCTGTGCTTGATGGCATACAACCTCCCGACGCCCTGCGCACCATGAAAGCCCTTTCCAAACATGTTCTGTGCATCAATGTTCTGTGCACAACACACACATCTATGAAGCGGCCGTTCACAAAATACTGTCAAGAAAGGTGCAGCAGCAGTTGTTGCCCTAATGCGTCACCACAAAGCCCTCGCAAACAGGACACACTGGCAGCAGATGGATGTTTCAGAGTGCAACAAGCCCCCACCTGCTCGCTGTTGGCGCAGGCTGCCAGGCCGTACAGCGTGTCAGTGGGCACAGCCACCACATCTCCTCTTCTCAGCGCCTCGGCAGCCACCGCCGCGCCGCTCTCGTCCGCCGGCATCACACACCCTCTCGGCCGCGCCGCCGCCTCCGCTCCATCCCCCCGCGCCAACATCCCATCAGCCCACGCAAAAGCTGACGCACTGCCATTTTCGCTGGAACCACCCGCCGCATCTGCCCCTGCAGGTTGGCCTCTACGCTGCTGCTCCGATCCAAGCTCTGCTGGTGCACTGCTGGCGCTGCGGCTTTCTGCATGCTCAGCTGTTCCAGTAGGCCCGGCTGCTGTCGCAGGGGCGTCCTCCGAGGGCAGCCATTGCAGGTCGAAGACAAGGGAGAGGTGGTCCGAGGGGAAGCGCTGGGAGGGTAACCAGCCGGCCAGCTCGGCCGCGCCAGGCAGCGGCAGCGCCTCGCGCGCGCACATGCGCTCCGGCTGGAAAAACACATAGTCCAGCAGCCCGCTGTAGCCCTTCACGTAGTTTGTGTACTCATAACGGCCGCCGTCTGCACTTCGCAGGCTGAACGGCACTGTGACATCCACACCAATGACGGCCGGCATGCTCCGCGCGCCATTTGATTTTCCCGGGCTGCAGCACAGCACAAGATCAATTCAACGCGCGGATTTGCCGCAAGGAGAAGCAATTGCACAGCAAACACTCAAGTTTCTTTGAAATGGTCTATGTGACATTCCACAGCCAACAAGGGGAGGTGCATTAGCGCAACAGAGGAGACTCTTCATGGTCAGGAGAGGTGCCTGCCTGTTGCCAGGCTTAGAGCCGGAGGTTGAAGCATGATCGCCGGTGTCCTCGCCAGCATTTCCGTCCTTGACAAAGCGGAAGTCGGCGCCCCAAGCCCAGTCCCAGTGGTCAGGCGGCAGGCTTCCCTTTTGCAGCAGCTCAACAGCGCCTGCACACATCGGCAGCACTATCGGCAACATGAGCCACAAGGGACAGTGCTGGAACTAGCGCACAAGTATGGCTCCAAAGCCATTCATCAAAAGAGCCGTCTTACAAATTAATGCACATTTTCAAGTACACACCGCCATGCTTCAATCAGTCGAATGTTGGGTGTGGATTTACGTGGCATACAGGACATGACAGCAGTGCATTGCATAGTAGGGCATCTCACCTGATATGCCGTCGTTCTTGTCTGAGTTCAAGTCGCCGCAGAATAGCAGTGCAGGCGTCTGCCCCAGCTGCTGACCAACCTCCTGCATGACTGCATGTGCCTCTGCCAGCATGGCGGCTGCATGGAGTGTGCGGATGTGGGAAGCCTTGGGATGGAAGAACAGGTGGGTGTTCACCACGCACAGCGGTCCCTCGTCGGCTGGGGCTGGCTGCCTGGGCGCCAGTACTGACAACTGCGCAACTGTGCTCACCTGCATGCATGCAGTATTCAACTCTATAATGGTTCATCCAATGATCGAATGATATAACCTGATGGGATAGCCCACATCCGCAGCCACTCCAAACACAGATAGGCATGGTGAAATCACATTAAAAAGCTGCAAATATGCACAGATTCAAAAGTTTGTATCTGTCTATATAAGGGATGGCAGCTCACCCTTTGCAGCGCCTGCACAAGGTGGGGCGAGGCATGTAGCAGTGGCAAGAACTGTGCATGGAGCGAGAGGCTCCTGGCATCACCGATCAGCAGCGAGGCGAAGACATTTTTCATCGGGATGTCGACTTTATGCACAAGCTCAAAGCGCGACCGTCGGTAGAACATGGCAGAGCCCTCTGCAGTCTCCCCAGCCTTGTTTGTGTACTGCCCCTCAAAACCTGGATGGCAGCAGGGTTTCTGTATCGTCATCAGTATAAAACTGCTAGTTTATTTTTGTGTCGTCACCAGGAAATAATTTGCGCGATGTGCGGATACCCATGCCCATGACTATAAGCAAAGCAATGTGAATGTGATCGGATCGAGCACATGTGCATAATGCGAGGAAGCACCTGCATGGCTCATGAGGGGCTGGAAGAAGGTGGTGAAAGCCTTCCCATCCACCTCCTGCAGGCAGATGACGTCTGCATTGTAGCCCAGGATCTCCTGCATGATCAGCGGCCGCCTGTACTCCGGTACCATGTACCTGAGCACACAAAAGCAGAGCTTATTCTTACATCGGCGCACGGTGGGAATCAAGCTTCGAAGCCTCTCATTTAACTCACCACACTGATGAACAGCCAGTCACAGCATCATGCGTGCAGTACAGAACAGAAGTTTGTGACAAGCATTGAAGGAGCGCACTCTCTGGGGCAGTAGGCAAACAGGTGCTCCTGCGCGTAGTCTGTGGAGGCATACTGGTCGGCCAGGATGTTGTAGGTCACTACCCTGACTCCAGGGGGCGCCAAGGGGGTGCTGGTGTGCGCCTGGCGCTGCGCAGCGGCTGTAAATGCTGGCCCTGCCGTCACTGGATCTGTCTCCACAGTCACTGGCTTTCCCGAGGCTGCCTCGCCATGAGCGCTGCCACTTCCCCTGAAGTATCACCACTCAACGATTATAATTTAAGAACCAGCCCAGGTCTTGAGGATGAGATATGTCAGATCCGCTAGCCAGCCATTTCCGTTGAAATATAAAACAATAAAACAGGGGGATTTTATTTAGGGGTGAAGGTGACGTTTTGACTTGGATTTCAACAACAGTTGGCGCGACCGATTACTTTATCAGAGGCAAGCGGGCGAACCTCCAGGGGGTGCACTGGAGGCGCAGCCTGTGACCAGCGTCCTCAGCAATAGGGGAGTACACCCTCTCTTGTGCAAACGGAAGTGGCTGCCACGCTGCATCAGTGCCTTCTGTTTCTGAGTCCGGCAAAGGCTGCCTCCTTCGGGGTGATGGAGATCTGCTTCTGTTCACTGATGCAGCCGCGACAGCTGTCCTCTCTGCTGACCGATACCACTGCCATCTGCAGTCTCCCTCATCAGAGAACATGACCTGCCCAGCGCCATTCCACGGATGTTCATCGTTTCCGTGCATGCGCAGGTGCGAGACTCCTCCTGCATTGGACGCTGTTTATTTCTGGATTGTATGGGAGGGTGAGGTCACCTGCACTGTCGGACAGAGAGGGTAGCCCACCATTGGCCTCCCATATACCTGGAGCTGCGCAGACCAAATAAAGCCATTTCATCCTCCATCATCAAGTCTTTCCATATCGTGCATATTGAAAGCAAATTTGAAATCACTGAATGACGTGGTGGGCACGTAGGAACTTGCGTGAATGATTTTCAGTCTCTACTCTTCGTCTATCTGTGAATTTGCTGCTGTTTCGAGCTTCTCAGGCACTGGTCTTGCAGCTCGATTTGCATTTGGGCAGGCCGTAAGAAGGGGGAGACAGATGTGCACTTGAGCTCCTCTAGATTGGGCTGACTCAACACACCTTGTCTGCTGCAGGAGGATTCAAGATGATTGAGAACGTGGTCTCTCCCACTTGCAAGATGCGACCAGGCTGCCAGGCTTCAGCATTAGGAATGCTCCCTGCCACTTGCCTGCCCTCCAGCATATCCTCATATAGCTCCACTGTAATGCTGCTAACTTCCGCTTGTGTTTTTCTCTGCGAGGGGCTCCGTTTCGCCTTCTTATCTGCCCATGCAAAGCTTCACTTGTCATTGCACGTTCCGGTATGTGAGAGCCCCATTCATGGCAACGTACCATGCTGAAGGGCATAAGCGGAAGAGCACCCATATTGAGAGCAGCTATAAAAGCCAAAATGCATGCTTCAGGCCTTGTATACCTGGCACCGGTGCAGCATTCTTCTGAATGCGAGCAAGAGTCCGTTCCAGGGGCTCTGTCTTGGGCCTGTCCATGAAGCGCTGCTTCCCACCAACCATCAGCTCTATCTGGAGGTTCTCCTCCGCCGGAAATGACTTCACCACTACCTGCTGCATGTCTACTGTCTGCACAGAAAGCCAAGAATATCAAGGCCTTTTGCATTTGCGCTCAATGAAAGCCCCAGGTACCAAAAGAAAGCAACAGTGAGCAAGTGCAAGCATTTTCTGCATGCCTGACAGACGGTTCATTGGTCACCTGCTCCAAATAGAGCGACAAACTTACCTGGAAACTACTGGAAGCTGCTTTGAACAGGCTATGCTTGGAGCACACACGTCGGCTCCAAAGAGCGTAAGGAATAGTGGAATGCAGAATGTTAGTTCTAGGTAGCAATTTGGAACAGATCATCGACTCATGAAGGAAAGTGAGTCCGCGTCAAGCATGGGGATGTTTTTTTACCGTGATATTTTATTTGTCTATATACTAAAGTATAAAGGCAGATAATAAGTAGAAACTCTTACACATGCTTTCCCTGCTTTAAAGATCATTTGAAATGTCGCGAAAGGGACAGGAACAGCCACAGGGCGGCCATCGCACGTGACCACCAAAAGTCAATAATTCCCTGCTCTTCCATGATCGCGTTAAAGGAGTTTGCAAAGGAGTTTGCAGAAAGACTAAAACTACCCAGCAATATTTTATTCCAAAAGAAGGAGATTTACGCAAATGCAATCGAAGCTTTCTCCAGATTTATCACTGATGGACTTGATCTGTCCTGACCAAAGCTGTTGAAGGAGCTCAAACGAGCGATCATTGCCAAGATGTACATGGATACACATGATGGTCCGTCCAGCAGCTTTCAGCCAAGAGGCAGGGGTGGCAGGTATGTTCAGCAGAAAAGTTTGATGCGACGAAGCTAGGTCCCTGTCACAAGAAGTCGCCATTGCGCTGGGCAACACTTGCATCAGCTGAGAACATTAAAGCTTTTATATGCATCAGGAACAACAACTCGAGGGGAGGATGGAATAGCCAGGGGGGAAGGAACAGCAGCAGAGGAGGTGGCAGGAGCAATTACAATCAGTATGACAACGTCCACCCACCTCCTCGAGGCCGATACGACGAAGGGAGGTACAATGATGGTGGTAATAGGTATAACAATGGGTCAGGCTTCGGAGGAAACCCTCGGGGAGGCTACAGAGGCAGCGGCAGGCAGCAACCAAGAGGAAGGGGAAGCTGGGGGAACAACAACAGAGGAGGCAAGACACCATCCGTTCAAATCTATCTTTGAGGATCAACGTTGCTGTTATGATACTTTGCCTGCTGAAAATTTGTCCTCAAGCACAACAGGGCCACCTTTGTTTCTCCTGCAGGCAGGAGTGGAGGGTACCGCACAGCCGCAGGACCGGGCGGTGGTGGGCGACTACCACAGAGACAGGCATATGACCAGCCACCCGACATTGAGTTTGTTGCGGCCTTGAAAGGGCACAAGAGCACCATCACTGCCATGGCATATGACAGCAGCACATCACAGGTGCCACCTCCTCCTCCATCTTCCCTTTGCCTTTAATCACTACCGAGACATCTCACACAGTATTCAAGAATATGCTGGCCTGCCTGGACTGCTTCTTTAAAGAGTGTGCTTTCTGGTGGTGCAGCTGTACACTGGCTCCAAAGATGAGACAGTGAGGCTGTGGGATTGCAAAGCTCGAGGCAACTGCTTGAGCGTGGTGGAGGTGGGCGGCCAGGTGGACTCACTGCTGCTGGAGGGCGGCTACCTCTTTGTGGGCATTCGCGTGCTGGGCATGCAACCTGTGCCGGGCCTCATAAAGGTGGGACTCGTTTCCCTTGCAAGCCCTTCTATGAAGATATTACTCTGACGGAAAATCTCGAATTGGACAGACGGCTGTGGGCATGTCTAGCCTGGTGGGATGCCATTGCATGCTGACTCACTTGTGTTCAGGCCCAGCAGTAAGTCTCTAAAGGAGGAGTCATATGCATTAAGTTTACTGTTGCAGGTTCAAAGTGCTGACAGAACGCTTAATGGCAAGCAGGTGTACAACCTGACGACGGGAGCGCAGCACGACCTGGCAGGGCATCAGGAGGAGGTGTTTGCATTGGCGGCTGCCAACGGCCTGCTGCTGTCGGGGGGCAAGGACATGTCCATCCGCGTCTGGCAGCATGACACCGCCTCTGGCACCTTCCAGCCCTCGGTGAGTCATCCCACCTCCTGTTCCTCCTCCTCTTCCGTGCAGTTTGCCGTTGTCAGCCTTGCCAAACACCCGTGCATTACCCTGTGTTGGATCTGCTGGGGATGACCTCATGTGTAAAGGCGAGCGATGACACTGCCGAAGCCACTACAGGAGAAGCAAAAGAAAGAACATGTCCGAACATGATGTAGAAATGAGATGGGCCGGTGGAATGGCTGCAGGTGGTGATCACAGCCGCTCAAGGGGGCCACCAGGCGCCGGTGCAGGCGCTGCTGCCATTTGGCAACTGCCTGGTGTCGGCTGACTGGGCGGGCGCCATCAAGCTGTGGGACATGGCGTCCGGGCAGTGCATGCAGACAATCCAGCAGGCTCACAAGGAGCCCATCATGCGGCTGCTCCAATGGGAGGTCAGCACCCCTTCGACTCTGCTTTTCTGTTCATGGCAGCACATTGGATCCACATCCCCTGTGGTGATGCTGCTAAATGGAAAAGAATAATTTTTGTCTCCTTTCCGTGCTGTGTAAGGCATGTCCTGGTGTAGAATGGCAATGTGTAGTGCAATCTGATGGACCTATTGCCTTAGCAAGTGCCTGGTGTGCGCAGAATGTTTTGATCAGCTGCTCGCTGGACTCCTCCATCAAGGTGTGGCAGCCCATAGACCCGCCCACACCCGGGGCAGTCATGGACATCTCGCCTGTCTACGTGCAGCCGCCCGATGAGGCCGGCAAACCAGTAAGCCCACTGCACCCACCAGCTGACTTACCTGTCTGCCGTTAGCACCTCCGGTTCATTTCCTGTTCCACACCTGCAGACACCAGTTCTGTAGAGCCATCCCGACAAGTCCTCCATTCTGCACGCTAGCAGAGGATGTCTCAAAATGGCTATCAAGCACGGTTGGTGTCTGCATGTGAGGAACAGCAGATGCATCAGACGTGGTTATGAGTTGACATGCACAGATCTAAGCAGGCCATGCTGTCGCTATTTTTGGGTCCTTTGGGCAAATCTTGTATACAAATTTTGAGTATGGCCATGGGCCAATACATGAAGAAGTGTGTCTCATTTGGGTGGTGTGCAGGCGGAGAACTGGGGAGGGGTGCTGGCCATAACCGGGGCCATGGATGGCGGCCAGAAACCGCTGCTGCTGGCGTCCTACAACGACGATGGCTGCGTGCGCCTTTATGACCTGCCCACATTTGCAGAGCGCGGCCACCTGCCGGCCATGCGCGACGCGCGCGCTCTGGCCGCCGCCCCGGGGGACATCCTGGCGGCCGGGGACAACAACGGCGTCGTGAAGCTCTGGCGCTGGCGGCCCGCGCCCATGCCCCTGGCCTAGCATGCTGCGCAGTGGACTTATTAGGAAAGGCAGTCAGCAAGCTCATGCCCAGGAACTGTGCTCCTCATTGGGGGGCTCTAATAGTGAAGAAAGGCTCATAGTGCGGAGCGATGGAGGGTGCTCTATCAGCCTGTAGCGGAAGTGCTCTTCAGTGGGGGCTCTGGATGTGAAGCAATGCTTACACGGAGTAGCAACGGAGGGTGGTAGGACTGCAGCGGAAGTTTTCGGGAAGTGTGGAGAGATGCAATGTGAGGCATAGCTTTTAGGAACCGGTGCGCATGACTTGGTAGAGCGTCTTATGCACCATGCAGCCGCAACTTGGGCAGGTGCCCGCAGAGTGCAACTGATTTGGGAACCCTGTACTGTTCAATGAAACTGAGCATATAATGGATGTGCATGAGAGGCGTGACAGGCAAAATTGCTGACTGTTGACTCACTCATAGAGAACAGTGTCGTTTGCGTCTTGTGCCTGTTCAAGAGGATGGAGTCAGCTTGTGCAAGGACATCTCTCCTGCTCTAGATCAATGAAACATGCTGCTGCATTAAAAGGATATGCAATCTGCAGTTCTTTTTAAATACGCAAATTGTGAATCCCTGTCCCTCGTTTAGCAAGGGCAAGGCAATGGAGAAGTAGCGCGATGTAAGGAGTTCTTTGTGGTGTAGAAGCAAGTCCTGGTATTTTTTGCAACAGCATGCACAGATGCTTTAGGATGTTCTTAAGTGTTGTTCAGCTTCAAGGCTGGGCAGCGGCTTGCATAGCCGCCACAGCCTTGCTCTTTTCCAGAGTTTGGTACGTAGATGCCCCTCATTTGTTTAATATTGTACTTTTGAGCAAAACAAAGTTACAATCCTGCCAGTTCACAGTTCTGCCAGAAAAGACAAAGCCAAAGCACATTACGATATCTTAATATTATGCAGCGGATTGTAGCAGCACTCAACTCGACAATGTATACATCATATGGCTTGGGCGTCATCTGGTTATGCGGCAGATTGAAAACAGATACCATGTATGAGTGTACCAGTTGTGATCAGGGCTTCTCAAAGTCTTGTCTGGATGCATCCTCGGCAACTTAAATCAAAACAAAACCAAGTGATTCAGATCTCAGAAGAAACAGCACTGTCGTATCAATGTCTGTGTGCGTTGGGTGAAAACCTGGCAGAGTGGCTTCTTTTTGTCCTGGATGTTGACATTTCAACAGTGCCCCTTCTCGGTGTTGTTCTGGGACGCTCTTCAGGGCCTCACAGCGCCAATCCACTCCAGAAACTTGGTTTGCTTTTCCTCCAGGCCGTCCTGCGCCGTAATGCCAAAGCTCTCCCCGTAGAATGCCGCCAGCTGATCGATCTTATAGGCGTCAGCTCGCATCGCCTCCCCCCAGGTGCAAGGAAAGAGGCCCGGCGGTGGCAAGACCCCGGGCACCGCCCCGTTCACACCATACTGCACCACACAACTAGCAGCTTCACAATTTGCCGCACAATGCACATCTGATGACCAATGACAAATCAGAAAGAGCATCAGAGCTGCTCCTTGACTTGCACCATGTACCAGATATTACGAAATGTCTTGCATGTTGTACGCATAGCATGGAAACCACGAGGCTGCCCCTCATCCTTGCTTGGGGCTCGCACTGCACGGTATGTCTTGCACTCTCTCCAGTTCTTGCTGTGTTACAAATGCAGTCATAAGGTCAAGAGGGAGGTGCAGAGGGGTGATTCACCCGTTCCCGGCACATCGGCCGAAGCACGGCGGCGCCGTCGGCGACGCGGCTGTTGCGCAGGCGGCGCGGGATGTTCTCGGAAATGGCGCGGAGCTCCTGCTGCATGCGCACCACCTGCTGCAGCATGCTGACGATGTCCGCGGCCGACGCCGGCGCCGCGGGGACGGACGCCTGAAATGTGCCCAGCGGGATCTGCTGCAGCTGCCCATTTCCCTGCACGTCCTCCCCGTGCGCAGCCACCGCCACCGCCACTGGGCGCATGTACCATCAAATCAGATCCCCACAGAGCCCCTAGGACAAACCATGTGATAGACGTGAAGCGCAGTCACGCCTGGTGACTGCTTGAAGCTAGGCGGTGCACAGCTGCTGTGGTGCTGCTTCTCAATTTCATGCAAAAGATGCAGAGCAGGCTGTCTCTGACACCAAAATGCATGAGCATGCGCAAGGCAGTGCTCTGTCATGCACACTGTTTCCAGTGGGGACATGGCAGACACGGTGGAGAGGTGGGCCGCACCACTGTAGGGGGGCATGTGCGACATGATCTGGGGGGCCATGGATGTCTGTTCGAGCATGGGCGCGCTGGGCTCCGCGCTGGCCGCTCCCTCGCCTTCGGCGCGTCGTTTGACGCCCTTGCGCTCGAGCGTCTGCATCTTCTTGTTGTACAGGTGCTGGCTCATGTCCGCCTTGGCCTGCGGATCCACGGCTGCGCAGTCCACCGCCACATGCCGCTCCATGCCCTCCGCCCGCCCCGGCATCACTATGCTGCAGAACCTGCGCGGCAGCCGAATCTGAAACTGAGACGGTTGCTCATGCTCATAGACTAGGGTGGGGTTTACTTCAAACTTTCAGCGTACCACAAGGCAGAGCCGGCCATCTCAACACTGCTGGAGACCGCAAATGGAGTGTGCTTGCACATCTGCTTGGTCAATTTTCGTGCAGATACAGCGACCACGACTAAAAGCTTTCAAAGGAAGAATTGCATGCTGTAAAATGGGAAAGAGTGCCGCACTTGCAACGGACGTCTTCTCGCTTGCTCTTGTCGTCTCGCTTCCTCTCCGTCTCGAAGTACTTCCACACCGACGATTTGGGGCGGCCCCCCTTGCCAGTCGACTGCACATTAGAAGGCGCCTGGGCTTCGCTTGGGCCCGCCTCGCCTGACTGCCGTAGATCATGAGCCCTGCACAGAGGGAAGCCTGCTCACATGCTGCAGACGCAGTCTCAATTGTGCATGCAAAAGCATCGTCCCACGCTCTTCATGACAGGTCTGCTCCGTGGGTCTTGGACAAATCGCTGGGGGCAACCTGAGTGGAGCGGGGGCTGGGAGACCTCCTGAACTGTTGCCAGGATGTGTCTCCAGATGTGGCATCCTGCACAGTGGCAAATGCAGGTGCAGAAAGAGCTGGCCAAGGCACTGAAGACAGCAGGCAGCAGCAATTCCTAAAGGGATCCCAGCAGAAGTGCTTTCCAGCCACAACAGACTGGCTGGGCAAAATTCGGCTGGTCATGACTTTGGTGATATCTGCACATCCAAGGTGCATGCACTGCTTCACTGTGGCCTCACATGGAGGGATGTCTCAATCCCAAACACAGACACACGTGGTGTGCTTGAAAGAGCTGAACCATTGGATACTTATCTATGCAGGCACTTCTGAATGAGATCGGGAACTTACCTCAAAGGCGGTTCGCCAGGGAGCGGTGCCTCGGGATACGGCTGAGTGTCCTCCATCTGATTCGAAGCTGGTCAGCAACTCTGCTCAAAAAGGGGGTAGATACAATCGAAGGAGTTGTCGGCAGGTGAGATTCTGACGGGAGGAGACCTGTCTCAAGAGGTGCTCGGCTGTCGCAAAAGACTTGAAATCTCGGGGAGTTTTCCAAACGAAGAAACGATTTTGACAGCGGCTGGCAGTTGGGTTTTGCGCCAAAGCAATGCAGAGCCGCCTAAATTGGCATCACATGCTCCAAACGATCGATCGCCCACTGCTGGGACATTTCGCATTCCACACCCATACATCTTGGGTATGAAGGACGTCAGTGCGGATTCAGGTGCTGACAGAGCCAGACAACTCTTGCACAAACGAGTCCGGGTGAGAAATCACTATTCCCCTGATGCTGATACATACCTCGCGTGCAGGCCTTCAGTGTCATGCACACCCCATCAAAATGCTACAATAAATGATGGAATATGTATAATTGACAATTTTTCGCTCCGATGTCTTGGCAGGTGCACATCATCGACGGGCGCCTGGTCACAGGAAATCTTGTGTGCATCGACAAACAGCAGAACCTGGTGTTGCAACATGCCATTCAATCTTACAGCACAAGCAACGATCCAGCTGGTGATCGCCACCTAGGCACTGTCATTGTCCCCAGGCAGCAAAGGAAGAGCTGTCACGTAGAGGTGTGACACTGACATCAATCACGTATCGGAAGCAGATGGGCCATGATCACCAGTATTCTGCAGTAGAGACAGGTCCAATATGGATGCGTCTTTGCAAGTTAGTGATGTGCTGACAGGTGATGCCACATGAACGGGAGGGTGTTGAAAATCTGCTTGGGCACAAAGAATTACCTCAGACTTGAGTAGATTTCTTGGAAGAGGAGCCTGCTCTGCAGCAACGTAGCCTGTGCAGGAAGCTTGGCTTGCACGCTGGGAGATCAGCCCATAATATGTCAAGGACTTGTGTACAGCAGAGCAAGAAAGCCATATGGGCAGAAGATGCAGAACAACTGCTTTCTAGCAGCGATAGAGATCTAGCATGGTTATCTTTGCTGCATGGATACTTGGGCTGTTTGCATCCTGGCCACCATCTTCCACAACATCGCTGGAACGGCACATTTGCTGATTATTTTCAAATTTGCATGCAGCAGAGCACCTCATGGTGGCGTATGGTCAGGGGTCTACCAGCTTTCTACGAGTGTGTGCGGGTGTACAGTTGGTTGTTGTCAGATTGCTAGCCTACTAATTGTTACTGCTGATGTCTCAGGTGGCAACAACCTGAGGTTCTCTGCTAAAAGTCTGAGCATAGTGCGTCAAGAATTCTGTGTGTCGAGTGATGCTGTTTCCTCTGTGTACATGTCATTGTCGGGCAGGTCGATAAGATTTAAGTGGTGAGAAAATTACTGACTAAAGTCTTGAATGCCAATGGCACAGCTGGGAAACTCTTATATTATTAACATCATGTATGATGCTGTGCTCTTAAACTTTCATGCTGACTCAGGATGCACCATGATCAACCACTCACCACTGGACCTTTAAACATAAATCTTTGTGAAACCTCTTCTTTGTAATGTTAAAAGAAGTCAAATACATGCGTGATAGCCATCCCAGCTACAGCAAGGTAGCGGTCACCACGCTCTACTGGATGGGACAGCCCCGGGCCGTGCACACACGTCACACTGACGGCGTCCCGGGAGCTCGGGCCGCCGGCGGTGGGTAGCCAACTCAAAAGGTCACTAAGTAACAAATTGTTCTGGATTCTCAATAGATCATGATGTCCTGCACAGTACATACAGCTCTCTGCGAGAGTCTCTCGAGGTTGTTTAGTTCCTGATCACAATCTGCATGCATGTGAATGCACCCATGTGGTGTCCAGTCAACCGAATTCTGACGAGATAGGCTTCTGATCTTGGTTTTCTTAATTGTCAACCAGAACTTCAATTTTACACCAGAGCATCTGCGTCAGTCGAGTAGGGAAGTTTGTTGATCGAAGTATAAGTTGCGATAAATACGAATCTGTAAAGCTCCTGATACTGAAAGGCACCATGATGACATACCATCCTTCCCTGCAAAGGGTGGACGTGGCACCTTCGCGTTGCTCAAGTCAAGCCAGTACGAGTTATTCATCGCTTTTTGTGTCCAAGGATGCGCAATTACGGCATGGTGTGCCCCAGCTCGTCAGAGAAAGTACTAGGAGATCGAGACACCTATGCAGAAGCAGTGACAGCCGAAATGGCAGGACAGACACGATGAAAGAGACCTCAAGGATGTCATCGACGAGCTCGCATGAAAGAGATCAAGTGAGACTATTCATCCTTTGGCAAGCTGCACCGGACGGTCACAGCACCCTGAGAATATGCTACTCAATCGTGTGTTTGCTTGACAAGCAGGACGGGTCATTGGACCGTGATGTCAATCCGATGCCCTATGGGCTGATCACTGTCCTTGCCTCTGCTGGAGCTCTGGAAACTGCCTACCTCACCGTGGTGAGAGGACAGATCCTGCCCCCGCTTTTGCACGTAATATTTTACATCGTGCAATCCTTTGATGTTACGGGCTCTTCAGTATCAAACCATGTCTTTCTGGTTGCAGTCGAAGCTGTTGAGTGCCCCGGTATCATGTCCAACCTCGGGCAGCTGTGACACTGTCCTCAGCAGCGGCTATGCCAGCGTCTTTGGGGTGCCCCTGCCTCTCCTGGGTGAGTCCACAGACCTTTGCACACCCTGGACATGTGTCTCTGATTCACCATGCCTGCCTGAGATCCGATGGCAAACCATGCACGCACATCTCCCATGCCACTTGCTGATTTACCAGCAGACGAGCACAACCCTGTTGGCTGCATCTGCCAATGGTTGTAGACATGGGAGCTCTCGAACATGATACTCTTGCAACCTTGGTGCATGAGCTGCATCCACAATGCCCCACGAAACAAGAGCTTCTAGTGGCTTGAAAAGGTCATGGTGGGTTTGTGAGGTGCCGCACCATTTGTAAAAGTAGTGGGGACTGCCAATGTGGATCACATTCATGCAATCCTGTTACAAATCAGGGCAGCTGCACAACATACAGCACACAACACACACAGAACACCAGATATTTGACAGATGAACGATAATGCCTGGTAGCTGTGCAGAGAGGGGTAGAACAAAAGGTTACAGTGCTGTGTGACTGCGCAGGCTGCCTGGCGTACGGCGCGGTGGCATTCATAGCGGGGCGGCAGAGCATGCAGGAGGCAACGCGCTCGCACCAGTCGCTGGCCGACGGCGACCGAGCGCGCTACGCCGTGCTGGCCGGCTCCACCGCGCTGGCCACCACGAGCGGGTACCTGCTTTACCTGCTGGCCACGGTGTTCAGGGGCGAGACCTGCGTCTGGTGCCTCACCTCCGCCGCGCTCTCCCTCACCACCTTCGCCTCTGCGATGCGCGGCTTCACCATGCGGTGGGGACCTTTCTCCAGTAAAATGTTGGAAGAACTGTGGATCCATGATCACACATTAAAATCATGTGATGGGAGGCGGCAAAACCGGCTGCAGCAGGGTTGCCTGCATTACTCATGCTATGATTCCATGCACAGGGGTATGTGTAGAGGACTGTTACGCACTGTGACACGCTGTACAGATACCGTAGATCTACAACTTGCCGGGTCCAAGTTAGACGAGCTGTGAGCGGCCTAATAAATTGGGAATTTCTGTTCATTCTACTATATTTTCTATATGAATCTGTGCTGATGTAGCATCTGTGTCTCATTGCCTTGTAGTAGGGAACTAGCAGACACTGCTGGACCAGGCAGTGGTTTGGTGGCATCCATCATTCTGGGCCTGGCTTTGGCTTGGAGCAATGTGGAAGCACCCGAGGCCCAGGCTGGAAACTTTGAGCTGCAATACATGGTAAGCCCTCAATTACCACTCCAAGAACTTCGCTTGTTTGCAGCATTCAATGATTGATTGTCAAGAACTGCTCTACTCGAATAGACTTGGTTGCCCACATATGCTCTATTTGTTGATAGTGTAGGGCAATCCATGTCTCTTTGATTACTGATGTACTTGGTCCTGTGCCAAATGTATGTATGTTGAGCAGGAGCCGAGGGTGAGCGAGGTCAGCACACCCAGGTCAGTGGAGTTGGCCAAGAGGCTAAAGGCAGCAGGCGCCAAGATGTATGGGGCCTTCTGGTGCTCCCACTGCTTTGAGCAGAAGCAGAGCTTCGGCAAGGAGGCCATGGCCGAGCTGCCATACGTGGAATGCTACCCAGATGGATACTACAAGGTGGGCTAGCATGGCTTCTTTCCATCTGCCCCACTTCATACTTCGTGATGGAAAACAATGCGAAATACAATGCAGCATTCTTATAGCCACATTATGTGATGGTTGACAGAGGTGCAATGCCATGTTGTGCAGGATGTCAAGCTTGCAAAGGAGTGTGTGGATGCTAATCTCACTGGGTTCCCAGCATGGATCATCAATGGGAAAAGGCTTGATGGCGAGCAGACATTTGAGAAGCTGGAGGCAGAACTTGCTCAGGCCCAGACCGTTGTGCAGTGAACGGCTTATCTTGTCAGATGTCGCTCATTGATAGAAGTTAAACTATAAGATCCGGACTTTGTTGCACTGTTGCAGGCGAGATCTTTTCCAGAAAATTTTTATGACAAGTGTTTCTGCAAAATGCTTCTGTTCTGCTCAATTCAGCAGATCATTTCACTTTGCAGCCCCAATCTAGCTAGAGATGGTTCCTCAGCTGGTTTATTAAAAGTGAAATTACAGCTTGATGCCAGTAGCTAAAGCACATGTGGCTCTCCATAGCTTTCGAGTTTACAATTCAAGCATTCATTTGCAAGCAGGTGTCTCCCTACAATCCTACGACCTCTGTAAACTCATTCCGTGCATCACGCAAAGCATTTCTTGTGCACAACAGCGGGGCCAGTCTCGTCGTAGTCATACTTGCTGACATGGTGGTTCTGCGGGAACACCACCTTGGACAGCACTGCCCCGCCCATCCATGCAGCCATGCGCACTGTGTAGCTTGGCATGTACTCCGGCACAGGGCACAGCGCCGGCTGCAGCGACGGCTGCGCAAGAGCGCCGATCTCTCGCAGCAGCCGCGTGCCCACGCCCGGGACTGCGCTGCCGCCGCCGCACACAAAGATGTTCTCCACCAGTGACTGCCGTGCGCACACATGAAAAGCCTCGGCAGGAGGCAGATGTAACTGGTCCGGAGCCCTTCTTTCCTCATTTCCAAAAAGGGAGTCTCATTAATTTACCAATATAGTTGTCCCATCTTGTGGCGCCGCACATGGTGTGAACCTGCAAGTCTTGCAGTGCGCTGTCCTCTGGGGATGCCCCAGCATGCACGCATGGTTCACATGCATTCCAGACATTAGGCACCCTGCGGCTAGCAACCAGAAAGCAAAAATTTCTGCAGTAAAACCAGGGATCACCTTTCTGATGGCAGGGTCAGGGTGGCTGCTGATGGCTGCGAGCACGCTCTCAGCCACTGACGGTGCATCGATGCCCATCACTTTACCGTCCAGGAGGGCCTCCCCTAGCTGCAGCCCTTCGCGGCCCAGGCTGATCGTCCGGCCACACAGCTGATACTCACTGCTCTCGCACTCCTGAATCCACCAGACCCGCAATAGCTATATTGCTGCAACTGGTACCAATATCGGTGCATGAGATATGTGCTGACTGGGTCTGCCAGCCTCTGCTTTCAAGACAGTTGCCATGCATGCCTGTGGTCAGGGAGGCTGCAGGTGCAGTCACAAGTACAACCATCAAAGCTGTGGGTTGGCAGACCTCTGACAAGGCTGCCTCTCTGCTCTCTGCGACGCGTATGCACTCCTCCTTCAAGCGCTGCAGCTCACTCCTGGGTGCTTCCCTGAAGGCTGTGTCCTGCTGCTGCTGCAGCAACCGCCGCAGATACTCCGTGACGTCCTCGCCTCCGTAGCTAAGGCGTCTCGCTGCTGGGTAGTACATTTGCCCCTCTATCACTGGAGCGATATCTGCAGAAACATGTGAGAAGCTCAAAATCTGGACGTGCATGCAGCAAACTTGAAAATGTGATGCTAAATTTGACTAAGGGTGCGTCGCGTCATTAGAGTAAGGTGCCAGAGCTCACCTGTCTTGCCGTGACCAAGGTCAACGACAGTGCCTGATGTCTTGCCGACAGAGTACAGACTCATGATGCTCTGCTCGCACATGAAAAGCCCGGCAATGTTGAACTGCTCAAACAACAGCATCGTCAACCGCTCCCTATCCGCCTGCATGCCAATAATCTCATCTGTCATCATCATGTCAAAGGAGATGTGCACGGTGCTGGGCTTTATCATAAATGCTAGGCAGTGCCACTGCTCACCCTGGGGAAGAAGAGTGGCTCTGAGACAATCAAGAGACCCTCCTCTGCCTCCTCCCATCCAAGCTGCAAGGCAACGCAAAATTTAGTCAGCAAAAAATGTGGACTTGCCAATGAACATATTGCATGCATGTCATAGAGATTTGGGTGTCCACGTTCAGGGGCTGTTGCCAGCACCTGCCGGAACAGGGCGTAGTACAGGAGGGCTTCCAAGCCATCCCAGCTAGCAATATTCCCTCTTCTGACGACCTGGATGGATGAAGCTTCTGCACTTGTGCCTTTTGATCCCTCCTCTGGGTTCTCTATGTGTGCGACGCGGGTAGGTACCACCTGTAATACTGGCACTTGTCAGACAGATTAAAGTCATCTGTGGTGATACGTGAGTCTCTATTTTAGTCGCTGGATTACAAATTAATGGATACAAGAACACTAGATCAATGGGGCTCCTGCCCTGGACATGGGTACCAGCAGTGTGTCATCGCAAAAGGAAGCCTTCAGGTTGTAATACTGCCATCAGAGGGAAAACCTTACCACACTTGGCTCGCCATCAGAAGGGAAATTGTAGGGCATGCCAGCCTTGAGGGTCAGGGATCCCAGATCAAGAACTGCAACAGTCTCCATCGACTTGGTCGCAGTCTGGGTCTTTCAACACGACATTTCAATCAATGAACACGTTTAAAGAAGCACTTTTTTCACGTGCAGCGTTGGAATTATGCCTTCCTCCGCCTTATGGCCAATTTGTTGCAAGCCAGAAGGAATTGGAAGAGCTGGTCCTGTTTTGGCTAAGCATGCTGACTTCGAATCTGAATGCTACTCTTCAGTTTTCAGAGTGCACCCCAGAAGAAGGTGCCACAGTGCCGTTCAGACATGCATGCCAGAACTTTAATGCGAATTGCCCTTGTGGTCAACTGCAATGGCTGTAGCATGACACAGGAGGTGGCAAGACTCTTTCGGAACCGGGGTCAGCAGGATGCAGCTTCAAAATGGCGAGGAACGATCTTATTGATGCTATTAATTGGATTTGTCACAAAATATTGCGAGCGGGGACCGTGCATGTCATATGACAGCATCCACATATTGCTGCTGATGCTAGAAGGACAACGCAAGCATGCACAGGCTCACAGCTAACGATGCCTGTCACGCTTCCTGTCCTCTCTGTCGTCAACCTCACGCTCATGGCCCCTCTTCTCTCTGTGCCTCTCTTTCCGGTCTCTGTCAGTGTCCCTGTCCTTCCCTCGCTCCCTGTCTTTGTGTTCCCTCTTTTCCTTGTGCCTGTGCTTCTCATCCCTGTCCCTGTGCCGCCGCTGCTCCCTCTCCTTCTCCTTCTCTCCATCGTCCTCAGCACCCCTGTCCACCCCGAGTTTCCTTCAGACCCCTTCAGACCCCAAAATAGACTTAATTGCAGCTTCCAGCCATGCAATTTGCCGCCACCAGCCAGACGTCCTGGACTCGGCTACTCAACAACCACAAACCAAAGTTTGCTTTGCTGACATGTAGCAGTATGCCCGGAATAAGGGCTCAGGATCTTGCTTCACCTTTTGGAGGTGCGCCCGTTCTCTGCGTCGGCCGTCGAAGCAGCGGCGCCCTGCCGGGCCTCGGCCGGCGGCGGCGCGGCGCCCGTCTCCGGCAGAGCATCCAGGTTGAAGGGGTCGGCCTCCTCGTCAGCATCGGCCACCGCGCCGTTGGCGGCCGGCTCCGCGGCGTCCGGCGGCGGCAGCGGCGGCAGGGCCTCCTCCTCCTTGTAGCCCAGCTCGAGCAGCAGCCGCATGACCTTGGCGCGCTGGCGATCGGCCTCCTCCGCGCCGCCCTCGTCGCCGATGGCGTCATGGAACTCCTTCAGCTTGCCGCGCACGCCCTCCAATGTCAGCCCCTGTCCATGCCGGTTACAGTGACTGTTAGATGACCACAACCTCCTTAATATGACATTGATGGGACCCTTGATGCATTGCCTGCTGCACCTGGCGCAGAGGTCCTGCTTCTTTGCAACTTCACCAGTGCTGCGTGGTATCTGATGCTGACATACCGACTGCAGGCAGTGCCAGTAAAATGTCCTGTCTAGGTGAGCAGCTGATGCCAATGCTGTCATGAAGGTCTCCAACTAGCACGGGATAATCACAAATGCACAGGAAGTGAAGGGACCATGCCTGCCGCTGCAGGAGCTGTTGGCTCTATTCTCATGAACGTCTCAGATTGGCAGGGATATTTCACAAATGCTCAGGAGGTGAAGGGGGCACGCCTGTTGGTGCAGAAGCAGCAGGATGCGCTTGCGCAGGCTGACGTCGCCATGGAACCAGAGGTGGCCCAGGATGAGCGTGCACTGCTGCAGCGTGAACAGCCCGGCCTCCATGCGCGCCACCAGCATGTAGTCCTCGTCCATGTCCTCCAAATCCTCCTCCGGCATGTCTGCCAGCCGCTCCTGCACATGCCGGCACATGCTCACCAATTGCTGCTAGGCTATCCCTCTGCAGGAGTAAAGGTCTCTTGACCTGCCAGTCACAGATGACGCACACCTTCCGTTTGTAAATAAAGTGCACCGCAGTGAAGAGATCTGGCGGCACTTGAAAACTCCTTATTGCGCCATCATGCCAGCAAGAATGTATTCAAGAATCAGCATGCATACTCGGCAAAGGTACAAAGAAGTGTCTGGAAAGGTCTCAAGCCAAAGGTCTCAGGCAATCAAAAGTAGTAGTAAACGGTGGAGAGGTTGGGCGGACCTCTTCGGCGCGCACGCGGGCGTCGTAGCGGGTGTACAGCTCCATGATGTGGTCGCACTTCTCAAACTCGTTCTCAACGAACTTGGCGCAGACACGGTCGCGGCGGCTGCCGCGCGCCAGGTTGTTGAGAAGGCTACTGATGATGCTAACCACTCGCTCCTCCTCGTCCCCTTCATGCCCCTCCTCCCCCTTCCTCCGCTTGATCTGGCGCCCGCAATTAAGTTGTGAGAGGCTTTAAATAAGCTGCAAAAGCATGCACATCAGGAGATGGCTGGGCAGTGCTGATCTCCTTGTGGTCTGCAGCACGTTCTAGAAAGCAGGGTGGCCGTTTGCTTTCATGCAGTGAAATTAATTCACAGCAGGCTAAAAAAGTGCAAACTGATGGCACTCCGCAGGTATGATGCATGCAACGTTTTCCGAGTGAGAATGCAATTGCTCACCTTCGACTTGCCCATGAAGATGGAGAAGAGGGTCTTCAGGCCCAGCACATCCACAAAGCGCTCGCAGGCGGCCGGACACCGCGTGCATGCAAAGTCCTGCCACCACATCTTTAACTTTCAACTTCAATTTTACATCCGCAGTATAAATTGCACGAGAATACCATTGCCCAAAGATGATGGCAGGAAAGTGGCAAGGCAAGGGGTCGCACCAGGGCCTTGAGCGCGCCGGCGCGGACAGACTTCTTCTGCTTCAGGATGAGCACCATGAGCTCCACGCCCTCGGCCTCCACAAACAGCTGCCGGTTCTTGGGCGTCATCAGCGTCGAGCAGAGCGCATTGAACAGGTTCTCCACGTACTCCGTCTCGTCGTCCGACGTCGCCGGCCGGTTCTTGTACGGCACAATGGCCTGCATGCCCAAATAAACATGAGCTGCTGCCGCACACCCGCGCAGCAAGAAGATACCACCAAGGGAGCTTCATAGTCAACACATGCATGGAATGAGGTCTGCTTTTATGGCTCCTCTATTGATTGCTCTATCTTCAAACACCCTGGATAGAGAATGAAGAGAAACAAGCGAAGCTGGCTTGATCTTTGTCTTGATCTTGATCACACTGGAGCTGCAGTGCATCTCAGGGAAAAAAACTATGCCAGGGGCGTACCTGCAGCAGCACGTCTATGCCATTGAGGTCTGCCAGCCTCTGCGCATTCTCCTGGCTGCTCTGCAGGAGCACACCCAGCACCTCGCCAACAGAGCCCTTGTTGACATCAAACTCCCTCGACTTCAGTCGCTGCAGCATCCACTTCAAGACCTTTGTGCGCTTCACCAGCTCCTCGGCCACCTGCCATTCATCCATATGTCATATCTGTTTCTGTAGATGTGTGTGAGTGTGTTGTATGCATTGTAGCTACCCTGATCTCTAACAGATTGCGTGATTGTGATCCCTGTAGGCAGTCCCCTCTATTACTTACTCAGAATTATGACCATCAGACTTGGTACCGCATGTTCAGCTGTGATAAGGATGACAATGACCCCAGAAGGATGGGGGCATCCCCATCCAACTCTGCCAGGGGTCTGTATTGAAAGAGCTTAGGCTCCGCCTGCCACGCAAAGCTTTCAGGGCAGCGGAATGTTTGCATTTTGAGTTTTCTTGGCAGGCTGAGAGATGTGATCGCACCGCTGGTGACAGCTCGACCATGTTCTCAAAGATGGACAGCGTGTTTGTGACGGCCACGGCCTCCTCATCCACAGCCTCGTTGAATGAGGACAGCCTCTGCACCAGGGACTCCAGCGCACTGTTCTCAACCATGGCATCCACCAGTTCCTTCGCATCCTCTTCCTGCCCAAGCCAGAGATTGTCATCGTCAATAACCTCCTACAATCTCACTGCCTCGGGCCTCATAAAGGAGAATACAAAGTAGCACGCAAGATTAGACACCAGCGCTTGTAGGGAGATCTGACTGAGAGCAGAGCTGTCATGCAGTGGTGAGGTGTGCGGCGGAGAATGTGCAGCTTACCGAGTCCTCGATGGCATCTGCATCGGTGAGCTCTCGCAGGAGCTCGAGGGCGGACGCTGCAATGTCGCCGTTGTCGTGGGACAGCAGAGTCAGGATGGAGGGCACAGCGCCCAAGCGCACCAGCTCTGGGTAGAGCTCCGGGTATCCTGCAATGGCCTGCAGCCTGCGCACCTCCTCGTCCAGGTCCAACTCGCTGGCCATGAACTTCTCTGGGGCATCCGCATGCTTCATGCGCGCCTCCAGATTCTCCTTGTACTGTGCGCACAGCATAACATATGTATGGCACACCTCTCAACAAATCTGCTTGATTTCCTCTGCAGTTGAATGTAATCCCATCGAACACCCAAGCGGTGCATGCTCTTTGCAATGCTATCCAATTTGTTTCTTGGAGTGCATGCATGCATGTGATCGATGTTGGCAAGGCGCAGTATCACATCAGTAAGTATCAAGGCTCACCTTTCTGTCAAAGGAGAGGACCAAGCGCTTCAAGCCTCTAGCATCCAGAAGAGCCTGCACGCCATTTGCCTCCTCACAAACCACGCATTGATATGATCTCAAGCAGAACAGGCCTGGTGTTCCAAAAAGTACAAGTGTTGTGCAGAAGCTGGGTTCCTCCTGCGAATTTACCTGGTCATTCCCGGCCTCCTCTGCCTGCTCCTCTGCCTCTTTCAGCAGCTGCTCGGGATCAAGTTGCACTGGTGCCTTTTTAATAGGCTCCTCAATTTCTGGCTCAGCAACTTTCGGCTGGTGGGCGTCGGCATAGTACCTACAAAAGCATGGAATTATTGCAATGTAAAATCCTGATATCGGCATGTTGTAGCATTCAATACAGGGAATCGATGCTGCGATCATGTGCACTGTCACTTGTTTCATATATCTCAGACATCGATAGAAATCCATCTCGCGCGTACCCCACTCCCTTGGTTCCGAGAGAGAAGAAGAAACCAGGCTTGGCTCCTTCAAATTTACTGGCTGCAATAAACTCCTGCTGTGTTGCTGCTCCCTTCTGCTTATCTTGCAAACCCCCAACGATGCTGTTGAAGGCAGCTTGCAGCACTGCTACAGGTGCATCTCGCGACATATTTGCTGATCAGAGCCTTTTTGGCCCCCAAGGCCCAGCTTCGAGGCTCTTACACAGCAATGTAGCCGTCAGATATCCCAGAATTTACTCACAGGCTTTCGTAGCATAGGCGATCGTACGGATTTTGATTCCCTTCAGAGAAGAGGACAATTTATGGCTTGTATCACCCTGTTAATGATTTGTAGTCCTCCTGCAAGGCTTGGCTCAAGGCAGGGCAAACCCTCTTCCAGCATGGCATGAGGCATCTAGGGTTTCTTTTCTCGAAATTCCTAAAGTTTGTTAGGCGGAACACTACCAAGCAGCTTGTACCAAAATTTAATACACATCAAAGCCAATAAGAGCTCGATTGATAAGCAATCTAAATCCGGGTTTCCGGCAATTGCATTCCGCAGCTTCTCGTAGATCCTCAAGATGCTGGTCGCCAGGAAGCCAGACACTCAGGTCGCTTACAAGCAACTGAAGCGCCACCTGGTGGCTCTAGGAGCTTGGGTGGCCTTCGTTAGGGTGCTCCCATACGCCCTGCAGGCTGCGCAGAACAGCAAGCAGACTCGCTAAGAGCTCTTTAGTGATTAATAGCCTGCACAGGATGTGCGGGATATTTGGTTATTACAATTACAGGGTGTCTCGTGACAGACGTGCAATATTGGAGTATCTCTTCACGGGATTGCGCCGTCTTGAGTACAGAGGCTACGATTCTGCTGGGATCTCCTTCGACTGCGACCCTGTGCACCCTGTGAACGGCAGCACCTTCTCTGTAGATGGCACCTTCGGAAACGGGGTTGCGCACTCGAATGGCCTCAAGCCTGAGGTGGTGCTCGAGAAAGCCAGTGCCAGCATCGTCAGCACGCCAGTGGTCATCAAGTCCTCAGGCAAGGTGGATGCCCTGGTCAAATTGGCCTATGAGGAGGCGGTGAAGCAAGGAATCGACCTGGACGAGGTTCTGGACAATCATGCTGGCATTGCGCACACGCGTTGGGCCACGCATGGAGTCCCCTCAGCTACAAATAGCCACCCGCAGGTTTCCGATGCAGAACACAAGTTTGTGGTGGTGCACAACGGCATAATCACCAACTACAAGGCCTTGAAGGATTTCCTGGTGAGGCTCTCCTAAAACGCTGGAGATATGCATAGAAAATCCCGTCCACTAACCAAGCAATTTCCACCAATTTCTACAAATGTCTGTCCTCCTGGACAAATATGTTTTCAGCAGTACATCTGAGCAGTCATGCATGTATGTGCAGATCAAGCGTGGCGAGGTATTCATCTCTGAGACTGACACGGAGGTCATCCCAAAGCTGTGCAACTACGTCTACAAGAGCACCCAGGAGAAGCTGTCCTTCAACGAGGTACCACCCCCACCACCCAATTACTGCTTTTGACTGTCCTGCCCGCTATCGCAGTCTTGTGTGCTAGCACTCAGCTCTCTTCCACGCTCTCAATTCCTTTCAATACGTGCCTTTGGTGATGGTTTGGGATGCATGCGCAGCTGATACTGGAGGTGATCAGCAAGCTGGAGGGGGCATATGGGCTGCTTTTCAAGAGCGCATACTTCCCCGGTGAGCTGGTGGCATGCAAGCGCGGCTCGCCGCTGCTGCTGGGGATCAAGGAGGCCGAGGCTCTGCGCCCCCTGCAGTCCAGCCCCATGCGCAGGCCCAACCCGGGCGATTCCTTCGAGGCATTTATCGCCTCTGATGCCTCCGCCTTTGTGGAGCACACCAAGCAGTGAGTGCCCCTTGCTCTTGTTTTATTCATATCTTTTCAGGCCTGCGCTCAGGTGACTTTGAACTAAGTTCAATTATGACCTCCTGCTGCGCTGAATGGCGCATGTCCTGGTTATCTTCTGGCGGTGCTTATGAGCGCCACTTCCATGCTTTACTCTAGCGCTCAGATCTTTGTTGGCTGGACTTTGGACTCACGCTACATCGATGATTGCCCGCCCAAGAGTCCCATCGTGTGTAGTGACATGCAGCATCTATAATCGCCATTTCTGGTGGAGGTGAAGAAATTTCTGAGAGCGCCTGAAGAGAGTGGCAATGCTGGCGCCAGGATGATTGTGCTGGAGGACAACGACCTGCTGCACCTAGCGAGGGGCACGTACGCGATCTACAACGTGTCCAAGGACGAGAGCGGCGCGGCGTACGGCAGCGTGTCGCGCGCGCTGAGCACGCTGGACATGGAGGTCAACTCCATCATGAAGGGCGGCTACGACCACTACATGCAGAAGGAGATCAACGAGCAGCCCGACTCCGTCCTGCAGACCATGCGCGGCCGCGTCAAGTTCGACCGCCAGCCCAAGGTGTGCATGTTGCGGCCTCTCCAGTCAACGTGGGAATCCCTTTGACCTCAGCTGTCTTTGCATCACGCGCATGATGCAGCCTCTCCAGCCAACTCCGGGGACCTCTTAAGTATGCTGCCTTTGCATCACTGTCTCACAAAGTGGAGGGTCGTGACTGCAAATACCACTGCTGTTACAGAGCAGATAGGCATTGAGGTCCTTTGGGTGTCAGCATGTCTGGAAGGGGTGTGTTACAAGATGCAAAATAACCGGCAGCATTCCATTGATGAGTCAGGCAGGGCTGACAATGCATGCCATGTGGCACAGGCAATGGACCCGTCGTGGGACCCCTACCACGAGAAGCGCATCACGCTGGGAGGTCTGGTGGACCGCATATCAACCATCCGCAGCGGCCGCCGTGTCATGTTTGTGGCCTGTGGCACCTCCTACCACGCCTGCCTCGCCTGCCGCCAGACCATGGAAGAGCTCGCCGAGCTACCTGTGCGCCCTCACTCGCCCCCTGACTGACACCACTGTGTATGCTCTTGCTCTAAGCGTGACAATGTCGTCTTCCTGCATATTGCTTAAAGGTTATCTTGTCAGGCGAAGGCGTCAGCATGCATGGCGGCGTCGAAGAGTTGTTGTCTCCTGGATGTTGCTGGACACATGTCATCTTGCTGCGTTTTAGTTAATGCACATCATCTGCCTGCAATTCTCTTTATGCAAGGCACCTTGATGCATCCTGCCCGTCACATGCAAGGGCATGAGTATAATGCTGCTAGGTGAAACATGTCAGTTGGGCGAGTAATGTGTACTAATTGTGCAGGTGTCGCTGGAGCTGGCGTCGGACCTGCTGGACAGGCGGGCGCCGATCTTCCGCGACGACATGTGCGTCTTTGTCAGCCAGTCCGGCGAGACCGCCGACACCCTCAAGGTGCGCGCAAAGCCCCACAGCCCCTTCTTCTCTCTCAGGAGGGCCCCTGACCCAACCCCAATGTGCTGGGTTTGCATGGCAGACAAGTAGTCCCTTGTACGGCGTAAAATGCATGTACATCCCAATTTCAGGTGTTAGGTTTCAAAAAGGGGTAAGATTTGTAGCATTTAATTACCTGCAGACAAAGCCAAGGTAGGATTGTAAAGTGTACAGCTGCGACTCCCGAGCAAGTCATCAGATCCGGCGCATGTTCTGAGGACTGGGCGCAATATTCAGGCGCTGGAGTATGCGAAGGAGAGGGGCGCGCTGTGCATCGGGGTGACCAACACGGTGGGGTCGGCCATCGCGCGCTCAACGCACTGCGGCGTCCACATCAATGCCGGCTGCGAAATCGGCGTTGCCTCCACCAAAGCCTACACCTCCCAGGTCCCTCCCTCTCCCCTGCCCCCTTCCAGCCTGTCTTGTGCGCACGCTTCATGTGTTGTGTGTGCTCTGCGAGGCTCTGTGGGGCAGATGGGGCGCTAGAGGGCAAAAGTATGACGTCTGTGCCCTGTGCTTCTCTGCGAGGAAATAAGCGCGCGATTCAACAGTGAAGCATTACGTAACAGATGCCATCTTTCTGTCCTGTGGACGCATCCCCTTTTTCCACGGAGCATATGCCAGCCCAAGCCAATTGTTCTATGCAGTGTTTATTTCTGCTGCACTTTACCATGCCAGAGAGCTGAGTGTGAAAGGCGTGCATTGTGCAGATGGTGGCGCTGACGATGATGGCGTTGGCGCTGAGTGAGGATTCCATCCGCCTGCGCCCCAAGCGCAACTCCATCATAGACGCGCTCGGGGTCCTGCCAGACCAGATCCGCGAGGTGCGCTCGGGAGCCCCCATTACATTCTCTTCACGTGGGTTTCTCTGCACTTCGGACACTGTCAGAGGCAGTGCAGCAGCGGGCCTTGGCAGCATTTGGCAGACTGACAAGCGCAATGCACCAGCTGAGCCTTGGCTCCCACTGCAGACAGTCATGCGCAGCACAGGAGCTGTGGTCATGTGCATGGGCCAAAGGTTTGTTTGAGCTGTTCGTGCGTGCAGGTGCTGAAGCTGGATGCTGAGATGCTCAGCCTGGCAGAGCAGCTGAAGGAGGAGCAGAGCCTGCTGGTCTTCGGCCGCGGCTACAACTATGCCACCGCCCTGGAGGCCGCCCTCAAGGTACGCACACTCCCTCCCAGGACACCTCCTTTATGACCCCACGCAAGGGGCACTATGGACATCTCCCCTGTGCCAGTAGAATGTGTCCGTCATCTTCACGGTGCCCTTCAAGGGTAGCAGCAGTAGTGTGTACGCAAATTTTGCCGGAGAAAGAGTGCTCTCAGATCCGTCACAGTGTGCTTAACAGTGATCTTCACAGTCTGTAGGTCCCCAATCAGTCCCATTCATTCCCGATCAGTCCTCGTATACACAATAGCTCTTGCTCCTCTCAGAGAGTCCTCAAAATGGAGCTTGAGCCCGCGTTGATTGACTTGAAAAGGGGCGTGCGCGCACAGGTGAAGGAGGTGGCGCTGATGCACAGCGAGGGCATACTGGCTGGGGAGATGAAGCACGGGCCGCTGGCTCTGGTGGACGAGCTGCTGCCCATTATCGTGATCGCGACGCGCGACCGCATGTACCAGAAGATGCTCAGCGTGGTGCAGCAGCTCCTCGCGCGCGGCGCCCGCCTCATCATCCTCTGCAACTCCGGCGACTCCGACATGCAGGAGATCTGCGCCTCCGGCGGCTCCCGCCTCATCCAGGTGCCGCCCGCACCCACCCGCTCCTTGCGCTGTTGACTGTGTATCTTTGAACTCGATGACTTCCAAGGATAATTTTGGGTTGCGATGGTCTTCCGCATGCAATTTTTTTACACGGGAGGAGGAAGCCCATGCAGGCGGTGAAGGTCTTGATTGATTGAGAGGGACAGGCGGTCTTCTTGTTGCGCAGACAAATTTTCTTCTCTGGGGTGTGAAGGATGAGTTGTGTGTGGGCAGGTGCCTGAGACGGTGGAGAGCCTACAGCCAATCATCAACATTGTTCCCCTGCAGCTGCTGTCATATCACTTGACGGTGCTGCGCGGCTTCAATGTGGACCAGCCGCGGAACCTGGCCAAGTCAGTGACTGTGTCTGAGGAGCACTGATGTGCTATCTTCTTGGTTGTGGTGGGAAGAGATCAATAATCTTTGCGTGCAATGCTTCAGTGTTGGCAAGGAATCGTGGAATCTCAGCAAAATGGAGCTTCATTTTTTTGATTTTACAATGTGTCTCTCCATTTGCTTTTGTTGAATGTCACATTACAAAATGCAAGCGTCCAGAGAAGATCATTGCGTCTGTTTGAGCATCGGGTATCTTAGGCAAGCTCTGTGTCATCTATCAAGTCTTCAGGTGGTCAAGATGAACTTCCTGGCTGCGTCCCTGATCTTCTCCATGAATTGTGCCGGCTCGTTCTGCCCTGCTGCCTTCGCAGCGTCGATATTCTGCTGTAACAGGTCTATCAGTGCTGTGTCTATCTCATTGTCCCCTGCATGTGCATGCCGCCAGGATTCAGAAGCACACCAAGCCCTCTCTAGCTATCTCTAGTGCCATAATCCCAAGTGAAAGATTTGTGTCTATGCAAATACTGAAAAGGCAGTCATGCAACCCACCTGCCATCTCAAGCAGCGTCGCTTTCTTGTCCTTGGAGGTGAGCAGCTTCTTCATCCGCTCCAGAGGAGCGACCTTCCCCTCAACTGCGCTGTCCAATTTCTGCACGGCTCCCTTCAGATAGTTCATGAGCAGCTCAAGCTCTGCAACCCGATCCTGGTTGGCACTCGCCTTGAAACGCTCCTCACCTACACAAGCAGGGTCTGATTCACATGGTGCATCCAGGCAAGTAAGTGCTTGAGGGCGGGCAAACAGGTGAAAATACATACTGCAAAGCCGGTTGCTCCATGGAAGAAAGAAAGCAAGCAGGACGTACTGATCTGCTGCTGAAGGTATCCAAAGAGTTCCTCTGTGAGCAGTGGGCGACACCGAGCCACCTCATACTCCATCTCCTCGCTCTCTGTCGTCAGGAAAAATTCCACGGTCTCTGCATGTGTTTGCGGCAGCTTGCGCGCCTGCGGAGTGCACTTGCCTTTCTTAGCCACTTGCGCATGTGTTTGCACTAGCTCTCCAGCCCATCTGCTAATCTGCTGTCTTGAGATGCATGCAGGCAGTGACTCACCTCCCTCCTGGCCTGCAACTCTGCGCGTGCCTTCTCCCTCTCCTTCTCCATCTCTGCCTGAAGCTCCTTATCGTCCACAATTTGCTTCTGCAGCTGCCGGCGTGAAATGTGGCCCCCCTTTGGTGCCGCCAAAATGCCTTCAGGATCCTGCATCACAAATTGATCGTGCTTCATAGGAGGCTGCTTTGGTGGGGCATGAAACACCAAGGACATGGGTGGTGCCCTGTAGTGCGCTTTTATCACTCTGTTTAATCTCTAAAAGTCCCTGCGAAGCTTAGAACGGAAACAGAGGTGCATGATCACCCATCCAACGGCCATAGTCCGCAGCTGACACCTCCGCCTGCAAGTTTGCGGTGATTTCTGCAACACTGCCGAGCGAAAGATCGCATTCCTCCCCGCCAAAACGCTATTCTGCAGCATAATTCCGAAGGCCATCTTTACAAAGATGATCTTCCAACTCCCAACGCAACGAATCTGCTGTTGAGATCTGTGAAATTACAGAAGCCCACGGAACGCCAACGAAGAGCTAACAGACGGTAGGTCGATTGGATAGACTTGAAAATGAGCTTTACTGTTTCTCTCTTCAGTGCACCAGAAGCAATTAATTCTGTGCCGACAGAGTTGGACCATATCTAGATCAAGGTGGCGGTGACTCATGAGGTAGTCATCACGCTCGGTTGAACGAACCTTTCTTTCGCAGAGAGATCCAAGACGAGTCCCAAGCTAGCCCCAAACCGGTGATTAGGATACTCTCGAGTTGCCACATCTTTTCTGTGAACTTTGGTCTAGAAACCTGTCGCGTCCTACGTCCTTTCGCTCCAACGTTCAAGCCTGTTGGGACAATCTGGAAAAAAAATTAGCCCCATTGGATTGAATTTATTCTAAATAGACCTACAATAACAACTACGTCACGTAGAGTAGCAGGAGAAGGGCATCGCTGCCATTCCCGAAAGATCTCATCCTGTTCAGGTAGGATCCAGATCGTCAGGCTTAGTATACAGTGCTTATTATACCATGTGCAGACCATCGATAAATAGGGTGGCATGGATCTGTACATCATCGCGGCACTTGAGAATCCTATCAGCAGGTTCTACTGTGAAAGGATATGCATAGGCTGCGAAGATTGACTGTCAAGGCACTTTGCTGACGTGCACCTCACTGTGCTCAAAAGCGCAGCGCTTTGACACATCTCAACAACTCAATGAATGCGCGCTCTTGTCTTTGTTTCGATCTTATCTGTGGGCTGGTACTCAATTGAGAAGCGCAAAGAGCTCTGTTGCGTGGGACTTCTGTCTGGTGTGCATGCAGCACATATGTACTAAAGCGGTATGTATGGACACTCACAGGACCTTAGTCCAGCATGGCGGAGGCTAGTGATGCTAAGCCCGAGGTGGCAGCACCAGCAGAGCCCCTGGAGGCCTCAGAGGAAGTATCAGAGGCATTGCTATCCCATGAGAAGCTTCCCTTAGAGCTACCTGGCGACAATGGTGCCACATCCTCCCAGGCGGAGGGTGGACGCCCCACACAGGTGCTACATCTTATACGGATGCCACCCCCTTTCAGTGCCGGATTTTTTCTCTGTTACAGCACTGTACTGGGTTCTTCATCTAACCTCTGTTGTGCTGGTGCTCAGGGGACTCCATCTATGATGGCGTCACTGCCAAGCCCAGGCAATGCTTCTCGGCAGCCTGCAGGTGGAGACGACTCCCTTGTATGTCAATACTGTGCAACATGCTGAATCCTTCGCTTCTAGTTGCTCGGACGATAGCGTCTCTGAAGTGATGGATCTTTCACAGGCACCCCTGCCGGCACGCCAACCCTCCCCACCAGCTCCGCCGTAGCCAGCGGGGGCTTGAGGAGTTTTCCTGGCACACCCAACATGCCTCAAGGTATGCAACACACAATGTGTTTTGTGTGTTGCACTATCCTGCCGCACCAAGATCCTCCAAAGAGTTGCGCGTCATCACGCATGCATTGCGACAAGAGTCCTGTTCTAAATTCCATTCAGCCACTCAGTTCCACCTATTGCGCTTGAGGTAATTAGAAGGTATTGAACATATAAGGAATGCGCAGGTCCTCCAGGGCAGATGACCACGCCAGGCACTTCTGGCGTCAGCGGCAAATGGCGAGGCCCGTCTGTGCGGGCGTCCCCTATGAGCGCCACCACTCAGGGGCCACGCGTGCCGCCGCAGGACCCCGCCATCTTCACTGTCACCGACCGAAAGGTACATACTTCACCTACAACCGCAACAAAGTCTCCTATTCCTTGTGCTTCCGCCAAGGTTGACATCCTGTCCAGCTTGCCGCCTCGCAGGAAAAGCGTGTGAAAACTTACACAAGTAACAATGTAGCAGCCGGAAGTGAGATGGCATGTGCTTTATGATCTGCTTGGACAGATTTGCGCAAAAGTTCAACTTGCTGAGTGTTGTGGACAGGTGCGAGTGAGGGAGCACGAGAAGAACACGCCTCTGTACGTCCTGTGCAGAAAGTGGGTCCAGAACGAGCCAGACACAGAGCTGATGCCGCCCAAAGACCGGGCGGAGGAGGTGGCTGCAAAGGAGAGGGAGGCCGCCACAATCAAGCTGCCACCCATCCCCCAACCGACAGAAGAGGAAGAGGCGCAGGCCGCGCGGTTGCCTGAGCCGGAGGAGCCTCTGCCGCAGTCCCAGAAAGAGCGTCCCACAATAGAGGTGCGCAGCTACTGCACTGCCCTTATAAGGCAGGCTGCAGCAGGCTGCATCATGAACATTAGAATGCATGTGTCATGCATGGCTGGTGTCTGCATTTTTCACTGTGCAAACTGTTTGCATGTGTGTAGCCTGATGGGGAGACATAGCCAGAGTTCCCTCAAACCAAAGTCATTATTGGGAGGATAAGTTTCATTTGTGTGTCCACCTTCTCCTGACAAGGGCGTCTCTCTGTGTGGTGGGCAGGTGCTGAAGCGGCAGCACCAGGATCACTGGCTGGGCGTGCGCATGCACAACAGCGAGAAGTTCACGCTCAAGATGCGGCGCTTCCGCAGCCGCCTCAACACTCTCCTGACGCTGTCCGCCCCTCCCGCCGAAGCAGCCTGAGCTGTGTGATTCTGCAAAGGGCACTGAGATGCATGAATGAGGGGGTACACAGATATGGACACAGATCTAGATATGGACGTGTGAGAAGTTAGTCTAGCGATAATGTGCCTGTAACACCTGGCTACATGTTGGCCGAGTTTCTGCTAGGCTGTTTAAGTTTCAATGGCATGTGGCCACTTGTAGTTTGGGCCCCGTGGTTGAGGGTCCGCAATGTGGCAATGTGGACTGAACAAGCTGCTGCAACAGTGCCAAGCAGTTTTCCATGACCAGTCTAAGTCTTGTTTTTAGTTGCTGATGTGTTCCATCGGGTGCAGAAGTGTTCATATTGGTACGTCGTGAGCAGGAGGTGTACATTACTACAGAGATGTCAAACAGTGTGGTCCTGCCAAGTGTCTGCCACCAACTTCCACGAGTTTGCAATGGATCATGATCATTTGGCTCATTTGACTCAGCGCCTTGGAGCCGCTGCGGCCCGGAGCCGCTGCGGCCCGAAATGGATGTAAAGATCTTTGAGGAATTCCGGAAATTGGCAGCGCTGGTCAAAGATATTCTGCATTGCGCGTCGGCTTGCAATGCAATGCTTCTCGTCCTCGTTTGTGTCTCAAGTGGAACGAATGCTGCGGCCAGAGCTTGGGCCCAGGAGTTTGCATGCTTTGCATCACATGCCAAAATAGGGTCTGCGGGGGTCTGCTCGGGGGGGGCCGACGAGCGAGCTAGATTTGATCGTAACATGACATAAGACATCTTGTCTACAAGGAATTTATACATATTATCGTGCGTGCGAAAATCCTTAGTTTCCTGTGAGTCTAAACGAGATAGCGAACGGCGTTTAGTGGCATGTCCCTCAGAATAAGGCATCTCCAATAGTGCATGGCGCCGGAGGTGCTGTGTGGCACGTACCTTGCAGGATGCAAAATTCTGAGAAGGCTCGGTAAAGGATCGTCCGGCAAAGTTTATGAAGGTGCCTGCTCAACACTTGAGTACTTTCAGAGGTACTTCGTTGAGACCTAGGCCGACGCTCTTTCTAACGCCATCCACTCTGTGATTACTTCCAGGCGCTGACGGACAGACAGGCAAGAAAGTGGCAATTAAATTGGTAAGATCTGTCAGATTCAATATCCTGGGCTACTCAAGAAGTCAGTAAAAAGTTCTTGGCAAAGAGGGCAGTGTTGCCTGCAGGGAAGGAAATCATCACTTTCTGATGTCACCTTCGAGGCCAAGATGTACCTTATTTTGCAAGGGAAAGGTCGTCAGCTGCTCATGTGAAACAAATCTCCTTCCCTGATGCACAACTACTCCTGCATGTTTTGCTTCTTCAAGAATCTTCAAACTTTGGTTCAGAGTAGAAAACAACGATGTTCATACAGGTGCAGATGGTATTCCGGAAGTACACCGATACGGAACAGGCTTGGAACATTCTGGTGGAAATGGAAGCTTCATGGTGATGGACCTGCTTGGTCCCAGCCTCAAGAACATCTTCAAGTCATGCGGAAGAAAATTTGATCTGAAGACAGTCCTGATGCTGGCAGACCAGCTGGTACAAACTCCCCTCATTATCAGGTCTAATGGGACAATATCTAGCAAGCACTTTTTGCAGTGGCCCACGGAAAAATTGACAGCTGCTGCGCTCTCCTGCAGACACCACTGCATGGCATATCATGCCCTCTCAGAGTTGTTCAAGTTTCAGCGTGTGCAAGTTGGATTTCAACAAATACACATTTTTTTGCAGATCACATGCTTGGAATATGTGCACTCCAAAGGCTTCACTCACGGGAGTGTAAAGCCTGACAACTTTGTCATGGGGATTGGCGAGCAAGCAGACAAGGTACAGATGCTATTGACTATTTAAAGCAGCAGTCTTATATCCTTCCTGTTTGGTCGCTACGAGCCCAATGCTCATGCCTCTCCTTCAGTGAAATGCGAGGCTTTCTTTCAAGTTCAGCATGGCCTTGCAGGTCCACATCATTGACTTCTGCAGGGCCAAGGCCTGCTGGAACCCAAAATCAGGAGTTCATATTCCATACCGCGAGAATGTGACGCTCAAAAGTGCAATTAAATTCCTCAGCGTGAATGGGCACAAGGGAATTGAAAGATCAAGGCGGGACGATCTGGAGTCAGTCGGCTACATGCTTATGTACTTCTTGCGCGGCTCCCTCCCCTGGCTGGTGCAGTTCTAAGCTTCTCAAGACTTGACAGATTTTAAGATTGAAGCCTTGAGGAATGTCTATTACGTCTTCAAGCGCCGGGTCTGATCATTCCACTACATTGCAACGCAAGGCTTGAGAGGATATAACTATATATATATATATATATTACATTGACTGAAGACCAATTGTGCCTTGCAGGAAGATTACAGCGGCGCCACCGGCAAGGAAATGTTAAAGGGACTTCGTTCAAAAGTTCTAGCGACCTCCATCGACAGCGTGTGCAGGAACTATCCTAAACAGTTTGCAGATTACCTGAAATACTGCCGCTGTCTGGGATTTGATGAGCAGCCTGACTACGCCTACCTGCGCCAGATGTTTACAGATCTCTTCCAGTGCAAAGGTGAGTGGACGCATGCCTTTGATTTATAGCAAGCATGCCAATTGTTTGCTGGACAAGCTCCAGTGATAGCACAGATACATCTACATGAGAAAAGCCAATAGAAGCAATGTCATGCATGGCAATGCTGACTGCGAAGGTTTTCGTTTTGTTGCACTGTTCTGTCAGCATTTGAGTCTACACACAGAATGCCTTCCAGTATATTCAGACCACATAAAGTCTTGTTTTTGGATGCTGTTGCTGATGAGGTTGCGCTGTGCAGGGTTCCAGAGGAATGACAAATTCTGTTGGTCACCCAAGGAGGTAGGCCAGAAGCCCAGGGAGGGCGAACAGTCCCCAGTGTTAAGCTGAGTTTTAAGGAAATCGAGTTAAACGAGGCTTCCAAGTGAGCGAATGCATTCAATCAGAAATGACCTCTTCCTCAGGCTGAGGAGCACCATTGCCTAGCGTTCGCATGCCAAATTTGTCATTAAGGTTTGTTTCTTAAGAGCTTGCCATAGTAATACTGGTTGCACAACATGCACAAAGTCACATTTGGGTGGAACTTGTTAGGGGTGATGAAAGAGTTGTACTTTATTTACCCCTGAACTCGTGGAAGTGCTTTGAGGGGATGGTGCACTTGAAAGGAGGCTGGTGACGAGTCATGGATATATGGAGCTAGCTGTTCAGTGGATTAGGGGTTTAGGGTTGTGTGCAGCTTGAGCGAACGATGTACAATACTACCAAAGGTTGAAAGTTTTGGTTGCGCCAACTTTTCTAACACTGGGTGTAGACCGTCTGACCGTCTCTCGAGGAACTGTAGCTACAGCTGTGGGAACCGTGACGGTCTATCAGAAATTTTGACTCCACGTGGCACACACTTAGGTGTAGCAAAATTGGTTGCTCAGGCATATTTAAGTGGCGACATGGCATGACAGAGTTTCTCCTCTGAGCCCTCCTAGTCTCTCCTTGAGGTGGAGGACTGCTTGCTGCTGCGGCGTGCCTTGCATCACATGCAAAAGATGGGGGCCCGGAAGCTTCCACCCCTCGGGGGGACCGTCGACAAAGACACAAGTGAGCGCAGCACACAGAAACAAATTGGCAGAAGTGCCGTGATGCCGTAGACATACAAAAGACTTCTTCAATTTGCAGATCATTGATGGGATAGCGCATTGCGATCACCGTTTTCTCTCCTTACAATATCGCGGCCGACAAAATGATGAGTGCCAAGTCAGACACTGGCTGCAAGATTTCAAGGAAAATTGGAGAAGGATCATCCGGCGAAATTTATGAGGGTGCTATATTGCTTGTATAAAATTGCTTGTGAGAGTCTTTGATTTGACGCGAAAACTCTACGAAACTGATTCTAAAGCCATCAACTGTGTGCTAGGTGCTGACGAACAGACGGGCAAGGAAGTGGCAATCAAAATGGTGAAAGTAAATTAAATGTGAGAGCCTTGCTGTCCAAAATGGCCATTCAGAACTCCAAGGCAAAACTGACATCGTCACTGATGCCTGCAGGGAAGAGCATCATCAGTTTCTGATATCATCTATGAGGCCGAGCTCTATCAAATTTTGGAGGGGGAAGGTGAGAGGCTGATTCTGTCAATCAAGTAATATTCATCCATGCACAACATATCTTACATGTATTGCTTCATTGAGGCCAACAAAAGGTGGTCTGCGTACCTGTACAGATGCACATGGAATTCCTAAAGTATACAGATATGGACCAAGCTTTGCAGACCCTTGTGAACGTTGCCCCTACATGGTCATGGAATTGCTTGGGCCCAGCCTTGAAGATCTCTTCCAGTACTGCGGGAGAAAATTCAGTCTGAAGACAGTCCTGACGCTAGCAGACCAGCTGGTGCGGAGTTCCCTCATCATGTGCAGAAGAAGAGCTTGAAGCATATAAGAGTCATTAGTCTTCCAACTGGATAGCTGCTGCAGTCACATGCAGACGTTTATCAATAGAGCTGCATGCCCACTCAGAGTAGACCCTTGTCAGTGAAGGGAGGCACTTAACCCTGAAATTTATTTTTTTGCAGGTGTCACGCTTGGAGTATGTGCACTCCAAAGGCTTCATCCACCGGAGTGTGAAGCCCGAAAACTTTGTCATGGGAATTGGCAAGCATGTGAACCAGGTACAAAAGCTACAGAGGGCCAGTCCGTGACACACTGCTTTACAGTGATACCGAACCCATTGCTTGCCTGGCACTTCTCTTCATGCCTCCTCAGTAGTAGCACATGCTCAAGTGAAGGTGATGGGGTTTCCGCCAATGTCCTGTCTCTCAACGCTCAACAGTGTCTGTGCCCCTTTGCCCGAGCCAGGCCTGGTTTTACGCACCCCTGCTGTGCATGCTGTAATAGGGTGCCCCATGTAGAGGTCACCTGGACACTGACTGACAGAGGAATACACAAAACATCTTGTGTTGATCTGCGTGCCCCTGCAGGTCCACATCATTGACTTTGGCAAGGCCAGGGCGTATCGCGATCACAAATCAGGAGATCATATCCCATACCGGGAGAATGTGATTCTCAAAAGTGCATTTTTCTTCACCGGCATAAATGGGCACTTGGGAATTGAGAGGTCAAGGCGGGACGATCTGGAGTCACTTGGCAATATGCTCATGTACTTCTTGCGCGGCTCCCTCCCCTGGCAGGTGCGCCTTCAGGGGATTCTAGATCTAACGAGGGATTAGATATAGAACCTTTGGCACTTTCTACGCGTTTCTAACAGCCTATCCCATGCGTCTTCATCAAGCCAAAGGAGGAATTCAACACAGGTGGCGGTCTGGGGTTGACGATTACTGTGTCACGCAGGATTCTTACACCAGCCGAAGCACACAGGGGCTAGAGAGGCTGCGTAGAAAGATGCTAGCAACGAGCATTAACTCCCTGTGCAGCGGCTTCCCTAACAAGTTTGCAGAATACCTGAAGTACTGCCGCTGTCTGCGCTTCGATGAGCAGCCTGACTACGCCTACCTTCGCCAGATGTTCAGAGACCTCTTCCAGCGAGAAGGTGTGCGCTTGCTTGTACCTATTATAAAAACCTGATGATTTGCTCAGCAGATTCTGCTGGCATGCTCCAGTCATGGCTGATGGAGACTGGCATGCACTTTACCATTAATGTCAGGCCTGGCAAGCGCTTTTTCTCACCTCATAACCTCTGCCAGTAATGGAGAGTAGATTCTATGAAGTTCAAACGGTGTGAAGTACTCTGCGTTGGTGATCTTACCCAAATGGACTCTGCTGTCAAGCTGACAAGACTTGCTGTGCAGGGTTCCAGTGGGATGACAAGTTCTGCTGGACGCCCAAAAAGCAAGACCAGAAGCCCAGGGAGAGCGAAGACTCACTGGCGCTGGTGAAAGAAGGAAATCTTGCTGAAGCTGAGACGGAGTAAAGCAATACACTTGAGAGCCTAAAAGACTCACTCAGAGGGAACGCACTCCGTCAGTCTGAAGTGCGCACTGGCATGCATGAGTTAGAAGCATGCAGTTAGGTACTCTACTGTGCTCACTTTGTCCAGCCATTATGTCCCCATCATCCCATTTTCTGCCATTTGTACTTCAATCTGGTGCACTGCCCTGCAAAGCTTAAGGGGTTGTGTTGCACTTCTTGATAGGGACAACCATGCTTCCTCCCATAAACATGCAATGTGGCATTGCATGATCAGATCCTCATCAGCTTTTGAGCTATCTGTTCAGTGTTCTCTTGTAGTTACTTTACCAACCTGTACATTGCACTGTACAAAAGATGTGTTGGATTGTTGCTTGGACCCATCCTCAGAGGCATGTCCAAGCACACAGATCTAAGCAAGGCCTGTATCTGCACCCTGCCTTGTGAAATTAGATGCTTCCAAGCATAGCTGGTCCGATAAGTCGAGTCCAAAGGATTATGATTGTGGGTTCCAGTGGTGCCGTCATGATCAGGAGGCAGTAGGACGCAGATTTCGAATGAGCGCAGGTTGCGCAATTAGGATCTGACTTGTGGCAAGGCGCAAGTGAACAACGCTGTAACTTCATCCTTCCAGAGTCCCCGAAAATGTCTCAAGAGCTCCACAGCAATTGTGGCGTTCTCAAGCTGCAGCGGTCACCGGCACGGTGCCACGTATTCAAGGCGCCTGCGCAAGTAACATCGCACACATGAGTCCAGTACGAGTCACTTTTGCTGCGGCAATGTCCAGTGCAGTACAAGCAAATGTTGTCAAACATGGCTCACCTCCTGAATGCCTCGGCGTGAGCCTTGTAGCCAGGGACCTGCTCAGCGGAGGGGTGCGCCAAAAGCTGGGCTGTCAGAGCCCTCTTGGCCGCCTTCTTGAATGCCTCCTCACCAGGCTGCAGATGAATGCATGCAGTTTATCGCTGCCATCACTCTCTTGCTTTCGATGTGGCACAATCAAATGCAAGCATAATGGAACAGTGCGCAGCACACAAGCAGATCGCAAAATGTATCAAATCATAGCATGCAATTGGTAACCCCACCATCATATGGCACTCAGTGCAGCACATCAGAAAAACAAACATGGCAAAGCATGCGAAGGTAAGAGGATGTACCTGAGACAACGCAAGTCCGTCGCTGTCCAACATGGTGGCAACATACAGTGCACCCCAGGACGGCACTGCCTTCCCATCGACCTGCACCCAAGCAGCACAATCCCTTGCTGACCTCTGTTCTGATCCAGCAGCTTCAATGCATCTTTTCCTATTGTGGGTTCTTTGGCTGCTCTTCTGGGGATCTAAGAACGATGCATCTCTATCAGTCATTTGTCGATATGTCTTCTCATCCACAAAGTTATCTGCTGAACAGCGCTTCAAGGGGGAAGCAGCACCTCAAAGTGGCCATGCTCGCTGAGAGCGTTGATGAAGACAGGCAGCAGGCGGGGGTGCAGCTTCTGGACATCTTCCAGGATGACTACCCCCTGCGGGCAGCGCTGCAGGAAGCCGGCCAGCAGCTTCTGCACACCTCCCGGCGCATCTGCGTGCCCATGACTCGCCTGCCCGGCCTGCAAAACATGGATCCTGATATTGCTACCCCCACATGGCATTATGAACGTGCAATGAAGTTGGCACCAAGCAATCAATGTGCCATACTGCTAATTACATGAACTGCTGGACCACTCAGCAACCATGCTGTTCAGATGAAATTGGGGATACCATTGCTGCTCCGGCATTGTGTCACCAAAATTTGTGGCGTGATTGGCACAACACAAGTTGGTGTGCCAGAGTGCAAATGCTATCGCCATGCTGGATTAAGCTGTGCAAGTGCCATAGGTAAGTACCTTAAAGCTGAGGAGGCAGCTGCGGCAGCTGCTGGGCAGCGCCTTCTCAAGTGCCACAGCGGCTGCAGCGTTGGCTGCCTCGCTCCTGCCCACCAACAGCACACCAGCGCCCTGTGCACCAGACACATTCTTGCTTTTCATTCACAGCAGAACAGTCATTCTCTGCCTGTGCCCAACACGGGGAAAACATTGTACAGCATAGCGGACGAGGAATTCTTCTAGTGCAAAGTAGTTTGGCACAAGAGAAGAGCTGGGCTCATGCCCATCAGGCACCTTGTGAGGGTCTTCCTTGTGGCCCAGCCAGATGTCCTGCAGCGAGGCCCGCAGCCCCTCGTACACGGGCTCGTGCGAGACTATGGCTACCAGAGCTCCGGCGTCAAGCTGCGCTGCGCATCCCTTGACTTGCTCCACTTTCTCCTCTGGCTTGAACATCTGCACCACCGCAGCAGGTGTTACCCAGGTCTTTTGCAGCACATGTGAATGCCGCACCAGATGTATGCCTTGCAGACATTTAGCTTACAGTGTAAGCCTTACACGACCTAAGATATTGTCCTCAGTGCATGCGGATCTGCAGCCCTGCATGGTATAGACGTTCAATGAAGACTTGAAAATACACCACTCCAAATTCGTGAGTGTGCGTGTTGGGGTCACACCTTCTGCGCCCGTCTCCACAGGTTGTGCACACCATACCTCAACCTGAGCGTCGTCTCGGCCAAAAGATTCCTGCAGATGACATAAGCCTGGTCAGATTGATCCGCACAGCGCCAGTGAAAGAGGATCTGACCAGACGCACTGAGTCACGAGGGCTTGCTCAATGATAATTGCAATTATTCGTTGGGAGATCAATGCCGTCTCTGCGCACCTCTGGCTTTGGGCGTGCTTCTGCAGGGTGCCCTGCCATGCCTTTGCTTTCAGCACCAGGGGTCCGCGAACATAGGCCTCCAAATCCGAAGCCTGAGCCCTTAGGTGCCCCTCAACCTTGTGGAGGTTCTCTTTCAAGAGTGGCTGCCATGCATCCCTGTAAGTGACTGCGAGCGCAGTCCCTGTCGCCAGAGCCAGTATTAGAAGGATCCACTTCCAGCTTATGGCAGAGGGCTCTTGTTGTTGTGGAGATGGCCGCGCAACAGCCTGCACAAAAGTGAACAGAAGCCTGTTGACACAATGGGGCAACTCTGGATGGAGTAGGATTTTGCAGACACTCCTGGGTATGTTGGTGCCCGCTACATAAGGTAGCTCTTATTTGTGATTCCGGCCTGATGGGTAGGCACCTGAGACCTCGGCTTCCTTGGTGATCTTCTCAACTGGTCGGGTGCTGGCACTTCTGCAACGTCGTCCTCGGGCAATGGAATGGATGCAGCGTTCTGAAGGTCATCAACCTCCTCTTCATCCAACTCAACTACAGGCTCAACTTCCTGCAGACAGAACTGTAATGTTTGTAAGGATACATAAGCACATAGAACTGCTGCCTGTCCTTGCAAAGTCAAAGCGCTGCGCCAAGGTAGGAGATGGCCAAAAGGCCATGTGAAACTATCCCAGCCGCACCTTTATAGTCGCAGGTTTCTGTTGCCGTGAAACCTTTCGGCCCGGCGACTGTTCTGTCACTGAATCTGCAGGTTTTGCTGCTGCAGCTTTCTTCTCATTCAATACTTTGTTGGGCCCTTTCTTCGTTTCTTTTTGTTCTTCTTCTGCCGGTGCCTTGGCAGATGCTGCTGCGAATTTCTTGGGGGTATAGCTATCAACAACCTCGCCAGTCTGCTTGCCATTCCTGTGAAGCAAACATGTAATTATCGACTGACTGGATGTTGCCATCCGCTAATGATATTGGTTTTACAGCCCATGCTCAACAGCCACCATGATTGTACAGGAAAATAAACTATTTTAGGTATAATTTTTGAGGGTCCCATGCATCTGAAATTCTGACTGGGACGAAAATGCTCACTCGGTCCCGCGGCTCCGCATGCTCCTTGTTGACACCATGCTTCTGAGCGCGTGTCACGCTTCAAACCTCTTCTTGTTGATGCACCTTATATATCAAATTGAAGCGAAACCTGTTTGTGCAGTAACACGAGCGAGCTGAGCTCCTGGACAAACGAGCACGTTTCAAACGGTCAGAAGGTGTAGTAACCGGTGACTGATAGCTGGATCTGGCTTCGAGCTCCTGGGCCAGAGGCTCTGGCTGAGGCAGAGATTGCGGCGTGCAAATCGCTTTTGTTTGGAATGTGACATTTACTTCAGTTCTGGAGCATTTACTCCGCCTCGAACAGTGGGCTATTTCTTTCGAGCCTTGGGCCATCATGCTCGGAAAGCCGCATGCCCCTCCCGCACAATCGGTGCCCTGCAGTGCGGTGAACAATCTGCTTCTTAGATTAAATCATCCCTTCAGACCCTTCCAGGCAGCATCTCGCCGTTCGGCAAATGTCAGATCGCAAAGGAGCAGAAAAGTAGCAAGTCTCTCAAAAGGTCTGTTGGTCATAAAAAACTCCCCCTTCCAGTTTTTATGATCTCATTAAAAAATTTATATGCACTAAAGAAGCGCTGTGTCTGCAGAGTTGCCTCAGCAGCTGCTACAAAGACGAGTCAAGTGCAGGTCTATCAGCGGAAATGGAGCACAGGAGGTGTGTCAAATATCTGCGTTAAGTGCTTCGCGGTATCTTTGAATATCAAAGATCTATTTCGCGTGACATCTGCCCTGCAGGACTATTTGGTGGAACCTGGAACTGTCAGCTTCATACTGTTGGCTGGGGGAGTTGGGAAAAGGATGGGGGTGCGTGCCGCACCAAAATTTCATTCCAGGATGCTGTAATGTATAGCCAATAGCTGTCGAGCTGAAAGTGACCAGATCTGTTTCTGTAGCCCTGCCCTGTACAAAGTGAAATTTTCCTTGCTCCAGGCAAGCATTCCAAAGCAGTATTTGGAGCTTCTCGGCCAACCCATTGCCATGTACAGCTTGCAAACGATGTCATCCATGCCAGAGATTGGGGAAGTTGTCATCGTCTGCGACCCCTCGTACCGGGTAGGTCATGCATTCCAAGCTGCATGATTGCCTCTGTTCATGGCCCCTTTGAGGCATGCAATATGGAATTTATGTGCCAGTCAGTCTGAGATGTCTATTTCGCATGCATGCCGCAGGAGCTTTTTCAGGGTTACTATGACAGGCTGCCTGTCAAGCCACTTCTAGTCTTTGCTGAGCCCGGCAAGGAGAGGCAAGACAGCGTCTACAATGGCTTTGCGGTGGGCTTCTACAAAGTTGCATCTGATATTGGCCTCTGCGGTTGACAGCGCAATGAAGACTAATAGCAAGCTGACATGCATGGAAATTAGCATGCTGAAGGAATGAAGCCATAAACTTTAATGTTGGTTGTGCAGGCTTCAAACCCGGACTCAGTCCTAGTTGCCATACACGATTCAGCCCGGCCCCTTGTCACAGTACAGGATGTGAGACGATGCCTGAAAGATGGTCTGGAGGTGCGGAGCTGGACACAAGAGCAGCTCTGTACACAGCATGACATTGACAAACTTCATCAACTCCACCCTGAGCAGGGTGTTTGCTGGGGTTATGCATTATGGGGGTGTGCTGGAGCTGAGATGTTTGGGCATCCATTCAGGTGGGTGCTGCAGTGCTGGGAGTGCCGGTGAAGCCCACAATAAAAGAGGTGGACAGTGACAGGAATGTGGTGAAGACACTCGCTCGTGCTGCATTGTGGGAAGTGCAGACTCCCCAGGTACTGCAAATGCCATTTTTTCCTTCATGATATGGGCCAAAAAAAATGTATTCCCACCCCCCACAGTTTGCACATGCAATGCTCCTGCTGTGGAGGAGGTGCTCAAAGGCAGTGCATGAGGCGCTGAGTGTGTGTGCAGGTTATCAGACCCGCTTTGCTGAAGGAAGGTTTTGAGCTGGTCAGAGAGAAAAGTCTGGAGGTGACAGACGATGTGTCCATCATTGAGGCACTTGGCAGGCCGGTGCGGGTCACTCAGGGGTCTTACACAAACATCAAGGTCACCACTCCTGATGACATGTCTGTTGCAGAGCGCTTCCTTAGCGAGAATGAAGCAGCTATTGTCGAGGTGAACGCATAGCAGTACTGAATGTGGCTGGCACTTGACGCCCTGAGAGTGCAGCATTAATGAGGTCTGCGCAGGACTTGTTTCAAATATTGTGCTGACCTGTAGAGTCTCTTGTTTTATACGCTGAACAGAAATACCGTGATTTCAGCTGTTGTAACGTTAAGAGTGGCATTTGGTGAGCATGCAGTTGCCAGTGGCAGGCTGACTTTGCCAGTCTAAGGGTGAATTTAATTTTCACAACCATCAAGAGTGGAAGAATTTGATATGCGATCTGGTGCCGGCACCGGCCGAAGCGCCGCTTGCAATCAAATCAACACGTGACGTCACGTTTACGCGACACTTTACACCTTGTAGAGCGCAAATTTCATTTGCATGCACACTACGGACTGCAATCGACGGAGAGTCACACCAATGGATAAGAACCAGGATCAACACACCAAGAATTTCTGGTAAGGAAGGAAGGAAGGAAGGAAGATTACATCACTCCAGCCGCCTAGGGCTGATTGGATGAACTGGCAGCATCCAAATAATCAAAACAATCCATCACAAAATGTGCAACACCAACAATGTCCAACTGCCACATGAATTGCTGCATCGTCACAATGGCTGCACCAAACAGCCCAGGATATCTGTCCCGAACAGATTGCAAGGCAGGGCACTCAAACACAAGGTGGCGCTCATCCCCAATAACCTGCTGGGCACAACGCATGCACAAACGCTGGGGCCGGGGAATCCTTGCCCAGCGGCCCGAGACATTGGGCAGACTATGACAACCCATCCTGAACTTCTGGTAAAGAAGCACTGCATGCCAACATGCCATGCAGCTGCCAAAACAAGCAGCAGAGCACTCATGCCACATGATGTGGCCGATCAAGAGCAAGTTGATCTGGCAATAGAATTACACCCACCACGTTATCTTGGAGAACAACAGTACGAAGTGAAAATAAAACAAATAGAAAGCTTAAGGCACCCTCATCTTCCGCGCTCGTCTCCTGCAATGGCTACTTGTCAGATAGCTAGGCAAATCTTGCCTTCAGCACCCTGCTCGAAGCCCTTTCAGGCCAGGTGTATAATGAGCAGCATGAAGACATCGAACAGCTGTACAAATAAGCCTCAGATGCTTGCAGATCGTAGCTCGTTGCAGAACAGGCGCAGACGCAGTGTACAGATGAGAGCCCAAGAGGGTGACAAGACAGAGGTAGGTGCTCGCAATTCAGACAGCAGAACAGCTTTTGTCCTACTCACGAAAACCTTTTTTTACTTGTGAACACTATGATGGTTGGCAGCACAAGGTTGACAGTTCAACTCTGGCTAGTCCGTGGAAGAATTATGTAGGAGGAGGTTCAATGTCGACCTTGAAAGCGGCTTTCGAAAAAATTTGGCGGCCTTCGAAAAAATTCAACGTGCTGGTGCAGGTGGTAAATGAAGATAAGCCTGTGGATGAACAGCCAAAGCCAGGTGCCTGCCAGTTTCCTGAGGAAAGTGCATCAGAAATGGCTACATATAATGTCTAATGCATCAAATTACTCAAGCTCAGGTGCTGTGCAGTGAGCTCAACCCCCAAGGCTGAGAAGGGACAGACAACAGCAATTGTGACAGGAGCCATATCCATCATTTTCGGGGTGCGTCGCTCATGTGCAGAATGCTGATCTGCAGGAGAGTCTGGACATTTCCTGTTTGACGCAGAGGGGTTTGATTGAGTCTAAATATCACACTCTCATGGTGCAGGTGCTTTACCTCTTGCTTGTTCAGCTACTAGATTCACGTGGGAACCAGTTGCTGCCTCCACCGCCGGAGGCATTTGGGCCGTAGACGGTGAATCCTGGAATGCTGCTGCTGGTTTTTTGCCTTGACTCCATTTGTGGCTCGGGTGCACCTGCTGCACTGGGAATAGCAGGTGCCGTTGCGTTGAGAGATGACATTGTGAGTGGCCTGACCGGGAGGGCAAGTTTAGGTATTGGTAGTACCGCAAGACCCCAGACAGTGACTGTCTGGCGGCCGGGGGCTGCACTGTGCTGGCAAGCTTTTCCAATTGGAGTCAATACTTGGCACAGCATTTCGTTCAGCACAGCAAGATGATTGGCTGGGATGAACGTGCCCCCCAAGCCTGCAAGCTGCAGCTGATCTCTGGAAGGCTCCAATTTGGCATGGCCGTGGCCACTGGCACAGATGCGTTGCAGCACTGGTTCCATATGGTGCACCAGCCATGTGGAAATCCATCCATTGAAAGCGCTCTGGCCTATGTAAGAAGGCTGTCATGACCCTTATCTCATGATCCCCAGCCATTTTTCTTCTCTGAAATCGCACTCGACCACACCATCATGCACCCCTTCAGCGGTTACAAGCTTTCTGCACATAATATAGTAAGTCAGGACAAGTCATCCGATTTGGTCAGGGAAAGTCAAGGGAGCCGTGCTGACGTCCTCTCCGAGAATTTAATCTTGTTGTTCCATACAACTGTGCATTCAAAGGCTGCAAGTCCGGGGAAACAGGTAGTCTTGTCGAAATCGCTTATCACTTGGCCGGCATCTCGAAGCTCGAAGGTCCTGATTAGTCGAAGTGAGACCAAGAGAGCAATGACATCTCAATTTGCGATCATAAAAGCCATTTTAACCATTTCAATGAGGCTTGACCGCCGCTGACGGATACAGTCGTTCCCGATGGGCAGACATGCAGCAAACCTGAGCAGGCACAGGAATGGGCGCCTATTAGCGCACGCTGAATTTGGGGCTTCGAAGGCGCAAAAATACAGCAAAATAATCACTTTTGTAGCAGCGCTTCTCGTCTTGGTCCAATCGGATGGGGCAGCAGGAACACCATCCTGCACCCTGGAGACCAGGGCCCTCCCAGCAACCGGCGACCTATACACAGATTCCCTGGACTCCGGCTGCCAATTGCAGATGGTCCTCTCACCGGGAGCAGACTGCAACGAGACGACTTTCCTCCACGTTGAAATCTGGGACCTCCGTCAGCTGCTCAACACACAGGAAGCCCTGCAGGCAGACAGCAGCCGAGCAGACCCCCTGCTAGGGATGGCGCAGGGCAGCGTGCCAAATGCCACCTTCACATCCAGCGATGTGTGGGACGTGCTACCAGCGCATGCAGTCTTTGACACAAAGGGGTATGAGCTGATGCGCCCCTACATGCACGTCCAGTCAGCCTACGCTGGCGCCATTCCCAATGGCTCTTGGTACATCAGCCTGCAGAACCTCGACTCCTGGACCAGTGGTCCACTGGACTTCCAGATCAGAGCCACATGCACCCAGCAGCCGCAGTGCCCTGCACCGGTACTGAACACAGCAGATGGCACGCCGCGGGTTTGCTCAGAAGCAGGGCAGTGCAGCAGCGACGGCAGGTGCAGCTGTGAGGAGGGAAAGGGGGATGTGGGGTGCAGTGCAAGGACTCCGGTGCTGGGCTGGGGAGTGGAGGAGGCTCACAGTCTGGCGAGCGCTGACTGGATGTACTGGGAGCTCCAGTTGGAGGAGGATGCTGCAGCCATTCTGGTGGAGCTCACCAGAAGTGCTGGGGACCCTGTTCTCTTCCTGAAGGCCCAGCTCGAAGGATTCCAGGTGTGTGATTATTCATCACACCAACACCATCACTGGACCCAGAAATTTCCGTTGACCTGAGAATACATCACATGACCTGAGAGACAGGGATGCTGAAATGAACCTGGCTTGGGGTCAATGCTCTGGCCCACGTACAAGGGCTTCTGTGATGTGTGCATCCATGCAATGCATATACTGTCTCCATTGTTAATTGCAACTTGCAAGCGACCAGGGTGCTAATGGTGTTTTGTGGCTGCAGGCAGGGGCGGTGCCAGTGGTGCAGGACTATCAGGACTTTGCTGATGTGAACAGCTTCCAGGACCGGGTGGATCTGCACCACATAGTGTTGTCGGATGTACAAGCCGGGACATATTATGTCGCTGTCTACAACAACGATGCCTACTTCAAGGTGAGCAGCAGAATCAGGGAAGCAATTGGGAGGATCTCTGCAGCAATTTTGTTTTTAATCTGGTATCAGCGTCGTTGTGTTCAAGTGTTGCTTGACTTACCTCGTCCGTAAAGACTGGAAAACGTGTAGATTATATTGTCACCATTACCTTTGTGCATGCAAAGCCTGCCAATAGTGAATGTGGTCTATGTCATTCACTGATCATTCCTGATTTGTCCTGCAGGAGACAGCACATTTCAGGATACAGGCGCATGTGCAGCTTGCCGGCGAGAAGCCTGTGTGCCAGTTCGACTGTAACGGACATGGACAGTGCTCAACTCCAGGCATCTGCAGCTGCAGCAATGGCTGGGCCGGTGACGCCTGTGAGGTGCGCAGTCAGCCAAACTCTGCTGCAATCGCTCCGGATACTCTTTTACAATGGAAAGACCTGTCTGATGCCACAGTTCTGCTTGTGATTGCTGACTAGTGCCCCAGGATTTGAAGGAATGATGAATGTCTTTAAATTTCCATTTTTTGCATTGCAGTCAAATACTTGCCTGCCTTGCCCAATCCTGCTCACATCGGGAAAATTCTGGCGCATTTTGTCCCAATGCGCCAGAATGGTGAAGAAATGAAGGACTTGAACTCATCTGCCTGCGCAACCAATGCAGGGCAAATTGAACACACTATTGGTGGAGAGGCCACGGTCGATGAGAGGCTACCTGCAGCCGGGGCAGTGGCACTACTACAGGATGGTGCTTGATCCCACTGATGCAAGCTGGATGGTGCGTGCCCAATGAACACCTTTCAATCCTGTGGCCACTCGCTGACAGTGCTCCTGTCTGAGTTCAATTTGGAAGTGTGCATAAGCTTGCATGCATGCATCGGGCTTGTGCATTTGTGAGCGTTGGTGGAAATATGCAAGGCTGCGTCTGCGGTTCTTTGCAGTAATCAGTTTGTGTGTGCAGGGAGGCTTGCTGGTGGACTTTGAGAATGATGGGGGCCACTCTGTTCTGCTCATGAAAGCAGGCTCCCTGCCAACACTCAATGATGCCGACTTCACATTCCGCTCAAAGGAGCTTGTGAAGGGAGATCAGGTGACACAACCAATACCAACATCACGTCTTTATCTGAACATACTGAAATTCCCTCATGCATAAGAATGGCAGACAAGCAAGTGTTGGGAATGACTGACAATGATTTCTGGCCTTGCAGCTCTTTCTTGTCAAGCCACAAAATCTGCAGCCGGCCACCTACTTTGTTGCAGTCTTCAACGAGAATTACTACCTGCACCAGCCCTACAATTATCGCTTGCAGGCACGTTATCTCCTCCTCCATTTCATTGTGCAGTTGTTGGCCTGCAAAAGTCTGGCACCCCACGCAAATTTGTCAGTCTCTTACTTTTGCATCTGCTGCAGATCTCGCCGCCGAATTCCCCGAAGCTCAGCCTCAGCCCCTACCTGAGCATTGTCCTTGGGGTCACTCTGTCTGTGGTCTTCTGCTTGGCAGCTGGCCTCTGCAGGCGCTACTCCCACCTGACAGCCCCTCAGGCACGCACACAACCCAAACTGTCTGAGCTGCTTGTAAAGCTTGGAGACAAACTAGGGTCTTTCACTTGCTTTGAAAAGGGAATATCTGGCTACAAGACAGGCGTCTGTCACTCGGTTGAAAGAATTTGAAATAATACGTTCTGATTAATTTCATGCATCTTTGCCCCGGCTGGCGGGGGGCGGTGTAGATTCTGAGCACTGCGCAGACGATTAATTGGGTCTTGTTTGGATCTGGAGAGTCCATCGAGGGCTAGGCTGTGTGGCAGCCTTATTCTGCAGCTTGTCTGCAGACGCACCTTGTCTCTTGGCAGAACAGCGTGTAAATCCAATTCCAATAATAATAATAATAATAGCTCATGTGTGCTTTGCCATCAGGCGCCAGTGCAGTCCAGCCCAGCAGCGGCTGTGAGTCCAGGCATTGACAGTGCCGTGGTGCAGACATTCCCCACCTATCTCTACAAGGCAACAGCAGCGCCTGACTTAGAACAGGGCGATGTCGCCCAGCAGAGGTGACTTCCATGCATGCATGCCCTGCTTTTGAGCCCCCGTAACATGTCTTCCTCTTAAACATCCGCAGCATACCCTGTAGCATGCATAGCATGTCATTGAAATGAGGCCATCCCATACAATATAGCATTAATGCTCCTGGCTTGCAATGGAATTGTGGGAAAATGGGCTGAGAAAGGCTGGATGTGGGCTCACTCTGTTGATATTGATGAGCAGGCATGAGGAGGCATGCAGTGTGTGCTTGGGCGAGTACGAAGTGAATGAGAGGGTGAAGCGGTTGCCACCCTGCGGCCACGAGTTCCATGAGGCATGCATTGACCTGTGGCTGACCAACCACGTCACATGCCCCATGTGCAGATGCTCCCTTCTGCCCCCACAGGTGCGTCCAGTGCTGCACTAATACTTAAGCTGTTTTGTTTTTTTTATTCCACGCTGTTCCTGCCAAGAGGCAAGTTGCAACCTGCAGACAAGCTGCATGCAAAGGCTTATCCTAGCCATTGCTGGACTCGCCAGATCCAAGCAAGATCCAACCAACGGTGGGCACGGTGCTCAGTATTTTTACCGCCCCTCGCCAGCCGGGGCCAAAGCTCTACTACATACTGGTAAATGCCACTGAACATGTTGCCATCGTCAACCTTCATCAACAATCTCTGAATCAGAATCCAGGAGCAAATGCAGAGCCGTGCGTGACAAGACTGAGATGCCCTGCTTGCAGGCGGATGCAACACCCTCCGAACCATCAGCGCCTGATGGCGATCAGACAGTCTTACCGTCTGACGGCGAAACTGCCAACGTGAGTCACAATGAGTCATCTCTGGACGGCGTTGCAACCCCGTTGCAATCATGGGAGGCTCCAAGTCTGGCGCAGGCCAGGCAGCTGTCAGGCACGCTGTCCACGGCGTCCAGCGGGGTTCCCTTGCTGCTGGGCCACGCCGTTGAGGCCTCAGACGCCTCGGTTGGGAGCAGTTATAGCCTACAGGGCGACGGCAGCGAAGCAGGCTTCAGGCCGGGAACGCCCCAGCTGCCCAGCTCCGCAGAGGGCCGCACCGACCGGCTGCCGGCCGCGCGCGGCAACCCCGGCCCGACGCTGCTCTCCAGAAATGCATGCGAAGGTGGCGCTGCGCCTGACAGCGCCAAGCAGGCTGGCACTGGGGCAGCCTTTGGAGAAGAGGATTTGGGGCCAGTTGGTTGCAGCTCAGAATCTTTTGAAGACTACAGCAAGAAAGCCTCGGCGGCGGCAGAGGGTCATAATGATGACAACAGGGGAGGAGTCGCCAGTGGGAATGTCTGGGGATTTGCAGCCATGGCTCCTGATGCAGAGCAGAGGGACGAATTGGGAAGGATGGAAGTTGGGGTTATTGAGGGGTTGAGCAGCAGCAAAGGGGTAGCTGGCAGCACGGCTGTGGGAGACCACTTTGGGGATGCGAGGGATGAGATGAGAGATGGAGCTGCAGCAATTCATCACACTCAGAAGACAGGGGAGAAAAGGGCAGGGGTCCTTGTTTTGAATGTCACGGCAAGCAGCTGCATGCATGAGACAATGGCACCAATATCGCCGGCAGGCATCGTGCATGTTGCCAGTCCAGTCAAAAGAACCTCGCTATAGTATTGATCATGATGTTAGCTAGTAACGTTTCACAAGCACATTTCTTAGGGATTTTCAAAGCTTGATGAAGCTCTGGCCCAAATAGCGCAGAAATCTAGAAAATCAATTGCAGAACGGCAAACGTTGTTTGCGGTGCGCTTATATAAGCTTTGCTCATGTACATACAGTAATTGAATATACTAGTCGTCTGTTTTTACGTACAACTTATTGTAGCCTGGTAGGCTTTGATTTTAACAAACAATAGATGCACGTCTGTAATAACACTATCAATCTGAAATGTTCTTGCTCCAACACAACGATCTCATGGCTGGTCTCAGCTCATAGAACTCCTGCTCTGCAGCTTTCACAGCAATGTATGGATCCAGAAGCTGGGCAAGTAAATAATGTGATTGCAGTACAGTCACTGTGTTCTCACCCTGAGTAATCACGCTAGAGCTAGGCGAGTCATGTGACTCAATCTACAGGCACATCTGCTCTGCTGGCAGCGCCCGTCCAACCCCTAATCTGTGCTGGCATCCATCAAGGCATTGAAGCCGTCTAGATTGACCTTCTTCACAAGGGAGACGTTGGGTTCCCTGCCCAATGTCTTGTTCCAGTCAAAGGTGCTCATGCCCCGCGTGAGAGTGCCGTGCAACTCCACTGCACAGTACAGCTCCTCTGCCTCCTCTATGAGCTCTGGTCTGATAGCCACAGCCACAGCCAGTGGGTCACAGGCAATCCAGCCGGTCAGACCTCTCTGCACAGCAAACTCAACAGTCAAGGAATTCATGCCCTACTGACTGTTTGAAGGACAGAAAGACCGGGTCAGCAAGGAAGAATACTGTCTTGAATGATTAAAGAGACAGTGGAAATATTATCACAGAATGCAAGCAAGACAAATGCTCTTGCATCACAACCAGCCTTTCACTGGATTTGTGCATAAGATGAGATAATATCAATGAATACAAAAGCTTGCCGTGTACACTAGCGACTGTATGCAGAAAAGGGTGTTGCTCATACAAATGGCAGGGAGTGCTCGCCTTGTGCTCGTATGCTATGCTGGCCGCTGAGATTGCGGCGATGAAGCGCGATCTGGCAGTGTTCTTTTGGATCCAGGGGTTGAAGGTCTCCCAGGGGATGGCGTGGGCAATCGTGCCTTCCCAGGAGATCAGCACCTGACACAAAGCATGCAGGAAGTGCGTATCAGTCCAATGCCCTCCAAATGTCAGCTGAATGCTCAGGCAGGTATGTCAGAGACATGATCCCTCACCTCTACATGTGCAATTGCAGGGGCAAAATTCCTTTGCTAGACTATTGAGAGCACACTCAGGGTACTTGATCCATGCATCCTGCTAATATGATGGGGGTGTTGCATTGCATTTGACAATGCCTGCAATCACTGTTGTGCAGCAAGGTGGAAGCGCACGGTGCGAGGAAATTTCTTCAGTACTAAATGCGCAGCCTCAGGATCGCAGTGGAAGTTGAACTCTGATGCGGGGGTCACATTGCCGGCTCGCTCCGCCCCGCCCATGACATACAGAGCCTTGATCCTCTCAGGAAAGGAGAGGTCCAGCTTGCAAGCTAGCGCTAGGTTTGTCAAAGGCCCGATCGCTGCTATCACCAGCTCCCCAGAATGCTCTCTGGCCGCCTGCAAGTCACAACATCGGCTGCATAAGCCCTGCCCTGCAGAGCCCCCAGTGTGCAGGGCAGGCAGAACCGCCCCAAACACTACACTTTTCGCTCAAATATTGGTAATTGATTGAGGGCATCAAAGCCCATATTTACCTCTATGAGTTTAAGAGCAGCTATGCCTTGCAGCGGCTCATGGCTGATGCTGGCCAAGGCAGGGTGAGTCTCTGGCACATCGCCCATTCCATCCTGTCCATGAAACTGCGCATGCCATTGAACACTGTCATGTGAAGTCCATATGTGGCTGCATACGCGCTTGAGTAAGGAAAGCATAGTTGACAAGCAAAAATTTGCGGCAACACATGACAGCGGGGTGAGAGATCGGTGTACATACAAATGCAGCGTCAATGGGTTGACCCAGGAGAGGCTCATCGCTGCCCAGGTAGAATGGTACATCCAGTCTCTCTGCTACATGCAATACCCTTGCCACATTCCTCACCACCTTCGCAACGCCCTGGGGCAACAATGCACAACAGTGTAAGAACCTTTGTTCAGAATTTGCCACAGCATGCTGGCATTTTTTTTCTACATGCCACTCGTGCACCGTAGAATATATGACTTACCACATTCCCATGAACAGTAGAGATGCCAATCAAATCCACCTCCGGCGCCGCTAGGGCCAGTAAGAGCCCTGCATGCAGTCCCCTCTTAGAAATTTTCCCTCAGAGATTGCTGCATTTGCCATGAATTGGAAATGGAGCCTAGGCAAGGGCAGGTCCTGTGCTGCATCTGGGGCTTTAAATGCATTGATGTGTCAGTCATGTCTCACTTCTGCACCTTTAACTGGCTGGTGGGATGCTATAAAGAGCTTGAAAACCAATTCTGTCAATTAGCCGCGCTAGGTGGCAAGATGAAAGATGGGCTTCTGATGTACCGTGAGATGAATAGCAGGGACAGCAAAGGTCCTCGTTCACACAGAATTTAGAATGCTTGCAGATTTTGAAACAAGCCATATTCATCTTCTCCAAGGAACAGAAGTTGATGAATTGACTTGCCTTGGGCGTCATCCACCCCAGCATCACAGTCGATCCACAATTTGGTGCGTGGCTGAGCCGACATTCTGACTGCCGAATCACTTGCAGTGACGAAGCTGCGAATCGAGGAGGGCAAAGCCCTGTGTAGAAGTAAACAAAACGTGTCTTACAGGGTCAATCATCAATATAACTTTAGTCCACAATAGAGAATTTCATTTATTTGATATCCGCGTTTAAGCGAAAAAGATGTATTTGGAACAATCGGAGATCAACTGGGTCATCAGATCATACCAAGCTGTTCTATAAAAGGTCCGAACCGTGAGCATGCCACAAGGTGCAACGGTCCCTCTTCGCCATAAAGTTGACTTCTCAGTGATCGAAGAGTTTGGCAATCCTTCTGTCTCCTAAAAATAATTTATGAAGAGATTGTGCTTGTCTTTTTGCGCAGCATCGACATTCCTGGTCAATCTTGGGCGCTGAATAGGTGAGTCACTACCCAGAGGGCGCAAGAAGTCCCTGATCTATATGCATCACTCCTTCACAATGTAGAATAAGATCAAGACTAGTGCAATGTTGAAAATGGTGCCATCATCCCAAGGTGAAGGCAGCAGAACAATCACCTGTTACAGGCACTCGGAATGGTGGGTTAGGGTCAATGCCCTGGTCAGGTTGTAGTGTGTAGCTGCGACTTGGTGCAGGAGAGGTCAATGCCACCTGAAAAAGCGTTTGCATCTCATGTCTAAAGGGCATAACTTGTTGCCATCCTCAACTGGGAGTAGGGTGCAAATAGGATGTCTGAGCTAAAAATATTAGTGCCTTACACAGTTCTGGCACTTGTGCTGTTGAGCACAAGCTGTCGCGGTGTAAAAGAGCCTGGGACCCCTGACGAATGGAAAGGCAGTCTCGGGGAGTTTTTCAGCAGAGTGGACCTGAACGACGATGGCCAGATTGAGCCTCAGGAAGCTGCAGAGTATATCGATGGGGGCGTGGAGGATCAGGACTTGCAGTGCATGCAATCCAATGTGGATGGGGCAGATCATGGCGACACCATATCAGAGGGGGAACTGCAGCGACACCTGCAGAGCTTACTCAAGGTGTGCTTTGTCCTAGCTCTCAAGACAACAAGTGCATACTACTTCTCCTATTTCTTTTCACTTTATACATGTTGAAATTGTGCTCGCATGTCCAGGGGAACAGGGTGGCTGAATGGGTCAGCCACAGTGTGGGCCTGCCGCAGTATGTGAAGGCATTCAGAATGAACTCCATAACGGTGTGTTCAATCTCAAAGATTCCTGCAGTACTGTGTCCATGTGATGCCCTTTGCATTGTGGGCTTGCACACCAGCATTGAGTAAACACTATGCATGCGCAGGTGTTGGATTTCCCCCTTTTTGTAAATGACGGCGGCAGTTCCCTAAAGACAGATCTGGGGGTGCGTTGGCTCTTGATAGGAGCTATTCCAATGGCCAGGGTGCCCTTTATAAATTACTGGAGCAAGCTTCCATGGCAAAGATATGAAGTGTGCGTGAATGCGCAGATCAAGAGCGCGCTGCACAGGCAGCAGCTGACCCGAGCCATGAAGAGAGTGATTCTTGGGCTGGGGACAGCCCCAAGCGCCCCGAGGAACATGCGCGGCAGGCAGGTCTCCTGCAGCAGCGTGCTCTTGACTTGGCAGCCGCCGGAGAGGCTGGGCCACCCGCCATTCCACAAGTACAAACTGCAGCGCTCGGAAGGGGAGGACTCCGGCTGGGTGTCCGTGAACAAGAACCTGGATGATGAAGAGATGTCCTGGGAAGATCGGGGTCTGGAGGTGAGCTCTTCATGTCGGTCTGTACCCTGTCAGATGGTGGTTTTACAAATTAGATACTCTGCGTCGTTTACAGCACATGCATCGGTGACTAGGGGGTGATATACTTATTGCAACAGGAGGGGGTATACCGCTACCGCTTGACAGCTTGGAATGCGTACGGCTGGTCTGATGACGCGCTGTCTCAGGAGTGCACACTTCTGCTGAATGCAGAGGCATGCACTGGTTGCAGCAGCAGTGGTCACTGCAGAACACCAGGGTCTGAGCACCATGCACACTCAACGTGGACTGCACAATATGGCGCTTGGAGGAGCAAAGGTGAGTGATATCCCTTGTGGCAATTCCATTCTAGGAGCCTCAGAGTAGCATGTATGAAGGCGAATTGAAGTGTTTTTGCTGTGACAGGTGGCAGCAAGGAGGAGGGGTTGACCTTGGAGTGCATCCTGGGCACTGTGGCCAGCCTGGTGGCAGGCGCTGCTTTCCTAGTCTATCTGAAGAGGAGGAGGAGGCAGCAGAGACTAGCTGCATCAGGGGAGGCCGTTCAAGGTCAGGCAGCGCCGTGGGGAGCTAAAGTGGGACAGGGTGTGGGTGATGAGGCGAATGGGGGAGGGCAGCTGCCCAATGGGGTGCCCCGGACTTTATCGGGCAGGTCTTATGGGCGGTCAGATTCCAGGCACAGCAGTGGCTCCGACACTGTTGACCGGCGGCGAGTTGCCTTCGCCAGAGACGGCCACACAGACTCTGGCCTCAGGCAAGCTTCAATCCACCACATGCTCCCAGCATGCTGTTCCAGCCCGCCGTGTGCAGGCAATTGGATTTGAGATATGTCAGTTATGTGGGCTTTGACTAAGTTTATGCATGCATGTGGCCCAGTGAGCAAAGCATTGAGGCAGCGTCCGAGTCTTGTGGAGTGCAGCGGTCCCCCATGACAGCTGGGCCGTCCAGGATGCTGTCATCACGCCACGGCAGCCTAGGAGAGGTAATTTCCCGATTTCAACACAGAATATTATCGTAAATAAGCTTGGCCATGCAAAGGGGGCCCCCTGGCTCAAAGGATGTCCCTTTGGGACTGTCACTAGTGCTGTATCAATGGGCAGGATTTGTGGCAACATTTACATGCAGCTTGTCTGCAAATGCACCTCGCCTCCGGCAGGAAGAGCGTGTAATAATAATGACAATGATGTATGCTGTGCATGACACGGCAGACTTATGTGGGTTTGCAGGTGAGCGCTGCCTTTGATGAGCAGCTGCATGCGCTGGAGCCGCTGCGCATAAATAGGCAGCCGCTGGCCTTCTCAAACCCGCAGCCGACGGCGTTCCCTTCCCACACGCTTGACGTAAGTCCCTCTGTTGCATTATCTCCTCTGCAGGCTTGACATCAGGCACTGCAGAGTCCGACGCCCAAACGAAGACCTCTACCGAGCTTAGTGCTTGCTGGCTCACATTGCCCATGCAAGATGAGATGGCTGTGTGAGAATTAGTGATTGCCTGGCACACAGGCCATTGAGCTCTTTGCTTGCTGGCTCACATATTACCGGTGAAGCATGCGGTGGCTGAGTGACGAGTACTAATGGTGTGGCACACAGGATGCAAGGACGGTGGACGGGTGGCTGGGCGGGCCTAGCTTAGGGGGTGGCGCCAGGATGGGACGTTCCCTGTCGGACAGGCAGGACGTAGGCGCAGACATGCATGATGCGGAGGATTTTGGTGTGTTTGCAATCCAGTACATGCTGCACAGTCCTTGTCTCAAAATTGCATGGATAGATGCATGCAGGCTTCAGCTTGTTGGTCATGCACCAATAGCTTTTTTGCTTTGTTGTCATCAGCTTCAACTGATTGCCATGTTAAGGGTGGTGCTATTTCTCTTCTCAAGTGACCACGCAAATGACTGCAGGTGAGGATGTTCCAGAGACACCAGCTGGGGTCAATCCGTGGCGCTGTGGGCACACTGGCTGCCACCGCCAGTTCCGAGGCTACAAGTGAGCAAGAGTCCCCTTTCCTGCTGCATTCAAAGCCTTGACAATCTCCTGTCGTATCTATCTCAGTGATATCATGGTCTTCAAAGTGTAACAGCAAGGTTGACGGAGGTTTGCTCGGTTGCGCAGGCTGAGCAATGTGAAGCACGCGATGCAGCGGCATTTCTGCAGCGTGTGCCAGCGTGTGTTCTGCCACCAGCACACTGCATACTCGCCCCATGGCCCCCTGGGCAGCTGCGGCATGGAGTCACAGTGCATCTGCGAGGACTGCCACTCTCTCCTGCCAGCTTCCACCCAGGTACACAGCCTGCAAGCATTTCCTTTGTCCCGTGCACAGAGCTCACAACACCAATGGGTGGACTTACTACCCTGTGAGGACCTTCCTTGACCATGTGGCAAATTCTTTATTTGTCCATATTGCGTGTGAGACTCCTGCACTGTGCACCAATGTGTATCCTGTGACATTATTGGTGAAGCCTCTTCTGATGCATCTTCAGGAGCGCTTGAAAAAGACAAACAAGCTGGTGAAGAAGCCGGCAAAGGCGGTCACCCACAGCAAAAGCACGGGGGAGCTGGGGGCAGATCCGGATGTGCTCCAGCCATCTGGCCCAAAGCACCAGCTGAGCAGGAACGACCGCAGCCAGCCGAACTTTACAACTCTGCTGAAGAGCTTTGGCTCAGCCAAGAGAGCATCGGTCAAAGCCAACGGCACTCCTTCAGGTCTGTCTACTTTTCAGCTTCATTTGTCACGTACCGCATGCATGCTGCCTGACTCCGTAAGGCGCTGTTGTTTTGCGGGAGTTGATGTGCAGTAGGAAAGCTACCTTTTCCAAGGGCAAGTGCGGGATCCTTAGATCTACAATCTAGAAAATGTGGCAAAAAAGAGTTCATAGGCTCTGACGCAGCCGTTCCATGCATGGCAGGAGCTGCGGAAACCGGCAGTGATGTGGAACCCGAGAGGAGGGACTCCTTTGGCTCCAGGCGGAGGCAGGGGAGGACCGCGCAGCAGCGATGGAACTTTGCGCGCTCAGCCGTCGGTGCGGCGCTCAGGTTCAGGCGCGCCGGCGAGCAGAGGAGAGCCAGCCAAGATGGCTGAGCGGGGGAGAAAATAAAAGTTGTTCTGAAATCACCCGTATGGTGAGCAGGTGCCACATGCGCAGCTTTAAATTGCCAATTTAAAGCATCGTTTGCACGCATGCAAATGCATTACCAAGATTTGGGCACACCAGAGGGCATGATGGGATGTTTCTGTTGATGGGATTTGTCTCCGTTTCTTGCGTCACATTTCATGCCACGAATCGGCATTGCGACTCGTGGCCAATAATACGGCTGTCTGCTGTAAAGTTTGTTCAAGTGCAATATTGCAGGTCTTGTGTGTACCATAGAACAAGTGTTTAGTAGTATGACGAAGGGCAGTAGAATGTGTGTCGTGCACTGAACATGTATATGCGCAGATTGCGAATGGCTGTTGTTTCAATCCTCATTAAGAAGGGGAATACATCCCAATTTACAATCTGAGTGTTGACTCTTTTCCGCACGTGCCCTTCCAAACAAACTGTAAACAACAATATTTATGAAATTCTATGCATGCAAAATGTGACCATTTTATGAATAGATTCCTATTAAGGCCCCGGTTGAAGCCACAATATATAGCCATTTGCATACATCTAAAGTTGATCGTCAAAGTGCATTCAAACTATTACTTGCATGCATTCTCTCCATTGCCCTTACGGGACTTGATATAACTGTGCACAGGAGACTGACAGGTATCAACTGTCCGGCAGCAGCCCAAAAATTGTAAGGCTCGAGCTTCTGGTGCTCAAGTGCAGTACAGGACAGAACAATGACATCTGCACCCAGACATCATGAATAATATTATTCATTCCCAATGGTCGCGTTTTACTTTGTGATCAGGGGCTGCTACATCTTTGCAGTGCAACCGCTGATGACCAGTTCTTGATCACGGTCTCTCGACGGTGATGTGAGCTTGACAGATCACACACTGGAACACAGGACTGTCAGACAGGTGATGGTGGTGATAAGAATGCTCTCTCATCAAGTCTGTAGCGCCACAGGACGAGCTAATTCACTGCCATTGCTGCATATTGTGGTGCCAACATTGGCATCACCGCACAGTGCTCGCATGATGTTCCCCGGAGTATAGAGATTGAACACCACCACCTGCTCCAGCACATGCCTGATTGTGAGAACTCCTCATAGCTTGACTCATCTCACATCTCTTCAACGAGGTAATTGATGGGAAGCATTGCTCAGCATTGCTCGGCATCTAGATAAAGGTGCAATTGTGTGTCAGGGACCCCCTGAAGATTGAAAGATTTGCACCAGAAGCAGATGCATGGTGGACGTACCGGAATCTCATTCTCCTTGCACAGGGTGATGGCTGTCTCGTCCATGACCCTCAGATTCTGGGTCATGACGTCGTTGTACTGCAAGCGCTTGTGCATCTTTGCATTCGGATTCTGCACAACGTCAACAACCATTTCATTAACCAAATAACACTGTAGACATCATCAGTGGAGATGTGAACATCAAAGCATATGATGTTCTTATGCTACCCATGTACAGTGTACATGTGCATGTGTCCAGATCAACATCTTAGTGTGCAGTTCAGAACGCACCAGAGCCGGATCGCAGTCATACACGCCGTCCACTTTTGTGGCCTTCATGAACACATCCACATCCAACTCGGCTGCTCGCAGTGCAGCTGCAGTGTCTGTTGAGAAGAACGGAGCCCCGGTCCCCGCGCCAAAGATGACCACTCTCCCCTTCTCCAGATGCCGGATGGCGCGGCGCCTGATGTATGGCTCTGCTATTTCCTTCATCTCTATGGCCGTCTGCACGCGCGTTGCCACTCCCTGCTTCTCCAGAGCGCTCTGAAGGCCACAGGACACATCGTTGGACATTCAGAATGCACCACTGCTCCTTGTGAGGAATCTTGTCATGCGGCAATCAGCAGTCCTTTCCAAGGAGGCTGCAGCATGGCTGTGGACATGGATGCAAAGGAGAATGCTCTTAGCCTGCCAGCAAGCGAGGTCCAGTCAGGACCCATACCTGCAGCATTAGCGCATTCATGCATGTTGCCAGCATGCCGACATAGTCTGCCGTGGCTCTTTCCAAGCCGTCCCAGGCTGAGGTCCCTCTGAAGTAGTTCCCTCCGCCTACTACAATGGCAACCTCCACCCCCTGCTTGGCTGCTGTGCCCACCTCCCGAGCAACTGCAGTCAGAACCTGCGCAAAGCGTGGCAATTGAATAACAATCCATGACTCATTACCACTTGCGCAGCAGGTGGCAGACAGCTTTGTGTCCTGCGCGCCATCCAAAGCCACCACCTGCTCTTAAATATGCTGCGCTTGGAAAGAGAGTACCCAGTGTGCAGACTGTCTCACCTTTGGGTCGACGCCAAATCCCATACCGCCTTGCAAGGCCTCTCCACTCAATTTCAGCATCACGCGCCTGGTTCAGCTTTCGTCCTCAGTATTGACAATATTGTATGATTGAGAAGCACGCTGCAGCCTAGTACTGCAGGCTAGGTAGCCTCTTTGAAAATTCTACCAGCAGTGCATAGTCTTGATAACAAAGTTTAATCGAATAAAATAAATTTACATTGTATATGTTGAGGGAACACTTGCCTGTATTGTAAACTAGAAGGAGGGAACAGGGAAGTACTAGTAGAGGCTTCATCCGAACAGGAGCATGATATCCGCATTCCTGCACCATCTCTCAACCCATGTACGGTGAGTTTGGTGATATTCCTAGCTTTACAAGGATCCTGCAATCGCTGACGCGTCGCGCGCCAGGCGGCTCCTCCAAGAAACGATCTTGTCAGCACGCTCACATGCTGCTTGCAAGAACTCGACGAAAGCGCAGAGGAGACTGACAGCTGACTCCAGCAGCCTTCCATTGTGCTTCTATGGCTGCCTTGAGAGTTTTGACAATTTGCAATGGCCAATTTGAAAGCCATCAATGTATTACCAATATGTGGCGTGTTCTGACTAATGAGTATCATCGATGTCTGGCGGCGTTCCATGGCCAATGGCAGGCACTCACGCTTGCCCACATCCCAGACACTTGCACCACCTGCAAGTCGTCCCTACTGTCTCAACCCGATCTTCTTACAAATTTTGACAGGATGGCAGCGGTGGATAAGGACTACACAGCCCTTCAGGATGAAAGGAAGAGGGCAGAGGGTGTTGCTGCAGACTTGCAGCACGCAGTGTTCGATCAGGAGCTGTATGGTGGTAGCACTGAGAGATTCGCTGGCTATGATCGGTCCATCGGTCTCGCGGACACGGAGGAGGAGATGGATGAAAGGGAACAGGCTGTCCGGAGGTGCGCAGGACTTTGTCTGCTTTCTGCGATTGCAAGCTTTGTGTTGCTTAAGGACAGAGATTGTGTCTTCCTGCTTGTCATCAGATCACTGACATATTGTTCTGTGTCTTCGCAGCAAAATGCAGTCCTATACTGCCCCGAAGTCTGTTATAGGCGACCTACCTGCAGAAGATGGTGAAGATGTAAGGCTCTCACCCTCTGACCCATGGGCTCTCCAGATTTATTTTTGAATCCATGCGTTGCTATGGTTGCAAGTGATTTCAGCCCGGACTGTGACCCTTTGATCTATTATTGTGCGTTTTGCTGCTTATCTTTACAAGCAAGCATATGAAGCTGAGTTGACTACTGGTTCCTGGGAGTTTTTGTTGCCACAAAGGCCTTTTCTGATTGTGCTCACCATACTGTCTTTGCGGGCGCAGGCATCAGGATTCAAGCGGCCAGGTCGTATCACAGACAGGGAAGACGACTACAGGTGGGGCATTGCGCTGCCTATATCCCATTTTATCTGGTCGTGAGTCCAGTATTGCTTCCCTTACTCATTGTTTTATTTATTGTTGATAAAGCAAATTCGGTTCCTGGGCTCAGGATGTTCTTGGTTACTGAGACCGGATCTTGACCTCAGAACATCTTAAGATTTTTTATGACAATGTGTACAGGCGCCGGCGGCTACAGCGGATGCTGTCACCCTCGCGAAATGATGCGTTTGCGATGGGCGACAAGACGCCGGACAACAGTGTGCGGACGTATGCGGACGTCATGCGTGAACAGCAGCTGGCTCGCGAGCGGGACAACACGATGCAGAACATTGCGGATAAGCTGCGCAAGGAGGAGGAGGAGAGAGAGCTGGATGCGCGGCCCACCAAGGCCTCCGGCGTGCAGCTGCCGCCGCCTCCCGCGCAGCTGCCGCCCGCGGCGACCTCGGCGGCCTCCGGGGAGAAGCGGCGTAACCGCTGGGATCAGAGCAATGGGGTGGACGCGTGAGTGACAATCCTCCTATCAATCACATTACATGCGCTCCTTCTTCCTGCCTGTGCATTACAGTTGGATCTTTTCATGTCTCATGTAGGAGTTGAGCGATGTTCAGCATGTGGTATTTTATTGCGTGCGCAGGAAGAAGGCGCGGATGTCGGAGTGGGATGCTCCGGAGGCAACACCGGCAGTGGCGCGGTGGGATGCGACGCCGGCGCGGCCGGATGAGTTTGGGGCCACGCCGGGCAGGCAGGGCAGCAGATGGGACGCCACACCTACTCCAGGCCGCACCGGCTCAGAGGCCACTCCCAGACGGAACCGCTGGGACGATGCCACTCCCACCCCGGGACGGGTGATCATTCTGCTCAGCCGGATTGCAGCCCTGGACTTTCTGGAACGGGCTGCTTTCCTGTCCTGCAGGGACAGTGTGATATTCAGCCCATAGATGAATGTCGCTGTTGCATTTTTGTTGAAGTGGGAAGTGCTGCTGTGCAGGTGGATGGTGGAGCTACTCCAGGGTGGGCAGCAGGGGAGACACCGGCAATTGGCGCGACACCGGCCGGCAAGCGGGGGCGGTCTCGCTGGGACGAGACGCCCTTGAATGTGGGGATGGCGGGCGGAGCCACGCCGATGATTGGCCAGACCCCCATGATGGGCATGACACCTGCCATGACCCCTATGGGCGGCATGGACATGCCCACACCCTCCCCCAGCAGCCTGGGTCCTTCTGTTCCCCTCACCGCTGAGCAGTACCAGGTGCGCAGTCTGTGCTGTATCTTTCTTATTCAGCTCAAACTGCTTGAGAAGAGGTGCTCTTGTCTTGGTTCTTGACTGTGGTCACGCAAAGATCCCTTGCGCTCTCAGTTGTTCCCGGTCAGTTGTTGAAGTGAGATGGGCAATGAGTTGTGAGCATGTGCGCGCAGACGATGCGGATGGAACGGGAGATTGAGGAGAGGAACAGGTTCTTGTCAGATGAGGAGTTGGACGCCATGCTTCCCACCGAGGGCTACAAGGTCTTGGAACCTCCTGCAGGGTAAGCGCTGTGCCATATCCTTTACAAATCCACATTTAAAACTTGCATGGGAAACTTCTTGACGCTTCTTAACAGATCTGGGCTCCATTCTTTTCCAAGAAGTTGAGTGTGCTTATGAGAAAAATGGTGCGTCGTGCGCAGGTATGCACCCATCAGGACGCCAGCGCGCAAGCTGATGGGGACGCCGACGCCCATTGGGGGCACCCCACTGTACCACGTGCCGGAGGAGGAGCATGGGCAGAAGTTTGACGTGCCCACTCAGCTGGAGGGCCTGCCCGAGCTCAAGCCAGAGGACCACCAGTACTTTGGCAAGCTCTTGAAGGAGGTGCGCCCCAGCTCCTTCCATCCTCCCCAGCTTATCCACCTCTACCAGTGTCATCTTTCACTTCTTCAAGTGAAAAAATCTGTACAAATGTGGTACCAGATGATTATATATAACTTTTGCAGTGGTTGTAGCCCATATTGTCCTGGGCTGGTCTTGATTTGATGATATTGGTGTGCAGGTGGAGGACGAGCAGCTGACAGTGGAGGAGATGAAGGAGCGCAAGATCATGAAGCTGCTGCTCAAGGTGAAGAACGGGACGCCCCCGCAGCGCAAGTCCGCGCTGCGCCAGCTCACCGACAAAGCGCGTGAGTTCGGGGCTGGCCCGCTCTTCAACCAGATTCTGCCCCTGCTCATGTCCCCCACCCTGGAGGACCAGGAGCGCCACTTGCTGGTCAAGGTGAGCCTCCTGCCTTTAGACCCCTCTCTTGGCACATCTCTGTTGCTTGGAAGTGAAAGGAAGCACCCAGATCAGAGTTGCCTTGCCTGACACCTTCCTTGCTTGACAGGCTTACATGCAGCAGGTCATCCTGCCGTGTACCCTGCTCTGTGTGCTGTGCTTCTTGTGTTCTTTGTGAAGACCAATGCCTTCCACTGGGCATTGAAGGCAATGCCTCCTCGTGAAGAACACAGGATGTGCACCCAGCAGGCGGTGGCACCAAATCAAATACTGTACTGATTGGGCCTGGTATCTAAAACAGTGGTTGCGCTGCGTGTGCAGGTGATTGACCGCATCCTGTACAAGCTGGATGAGCTGGTGCGGCCGTTTGTGCACAAGATCCTGGTCGTGATCGAGCCGCTGCTGATCGACGAGGACTACTATGCGCGCGTGGAGGGACGCGAGATTATCGCCAACCTGTCCAAGGCCGCTGGTCTGGCCACCATGATCGCCGCCATGCGGCCTGACATTGACAACATTGACGAGTGAGCCTCCCACCTGTAGCTGTGACCCTTAAAATTGGCACTGTTTCAGGGTTCCTTACCGCTTGTTGCATGCATGCAAGAAGTCTGTCTTGTCTGCTCTGCTTCCTCTGTGAGGAAGATGGGACCGTACAAAGGATAGACATGTCTTCAATCTTCCGTGCCCTCTGATGTATACAAAATCTGGTCGGCTCTGATCCGCTATGTTTTCCTTGGAGAACAGGGTTTGACGTGTGCTGTGCTGCAATGCGCAGGTATGTGAGGAATACAACAGCGCGCGCGTTCAGTGTGGTGGCATCTGCGCTGGGCATCCCTGCGCTGCTGCCTTTCCTGAAGGCCGTCTGCCAAAGCAAGAAGAGCTGGCAGGCGCGGCACACGGGCATCAAGATTGTTCAGCAGATCGCCATCCTCATGGGCTGCGCCGTGCTGCCCCACCTAAAGGTCTGTCAATCGCCAGCAACCCATGCATTTGTTTGCAGGCTATTTCCACACTAGCTGGCTGCCCTTTTGCATCTGGGCATTCCTGAGTTCTGTGTCTCAATCTGTGGGCTTCATAAGCAATTTGTGCAATGACAACCCTCTCTAGATCAACGTTTTGCCCTTATTTTTGCACAACTGTCTAGAAAGGTTTTAGGCCCCCCTAGCCCCCCGCTAGACCATGTTTGTGTTGCCTTCACGGCATATAAAAGCTGAATTGAGAGTGCTGACTGTCACGTGCAGTCGATGGTGGACATCATCAAGCACGGGCTGACGGACGACAACCAGAAGGTGAAGACCATCACTGCGCTCACAGTCAGCGCCCTGGCCGAGGCCGCCTCGCCGTACGGTATCGAGTCCTTTGATGATGTCCTGGAGCCTCTCTGGAAGGGCATCCGCCTCCTGCGCGGCAAGGCAAGCTCTTTCCCTATGCTTCCTTGATGTTCTACCTTCACCCTGTCAGCTTGCAAGACCTAGGGATGCTCGTTTTGGTGCTATCAAATTAGCAGCAGCCGGTCTGAGAGAAGTGGGCATGGGATGCTTGCAGGTGTTGGCGGCGTTCCTGAAGGCCATTGGGTGCATCATTCCCCTCATGGACGCCATGTACGCCTCCTACTACACCAAGGAAGTCATGGTGGTGCTGGTGCGCGAGTTCCAGACGCCTGATGAGGAGATGAAGAAGATTGTCCTCAAGGTGGGCTCCCGCCTTCGTTGTCCCACACTCCTTGCACTACCCAGTGCTGCACACTTCGCACGCTTCCTCCTGAAATCAAACTTGCCACCTCATGTTGGTCACTGCTCTGTATTATGTGGACTTGAAAAATGCATAGGTAGCGCCCAAGTGGGACAACGTGGGATATGGCTGACATGTGCTGTGCTGGGGCATTGTGCAGGTGGTGCAGCAGTGCGTGGCGACGGAGGGAGTAGAGCCGACCTACGTGCGCGCCGAGATCCTGCCGGAGTTCTTCCGCAGCTTCTGGGTGCGGCGCATGGCGCTCGACCGCCGCAACTACCGCGCGCTCGTTGAGACCACCGTCGAGCTCGCCAACAAGGTGCAGCCTGCTACCTACCTCGCAAGCTTCATGTTGAAGTTTCTGCTCCTCACTTCCACTGCGGCCATGAGGAATGGCAGCGTGTTCGTCCTGCATTGATAGCTCTTTCACATTGATATTACGTGTAAGTCAGCTGCCATGCATGTAATGTACTGTCAATGTTGAAAGAGCTACCAATGCTGAGGCGGCCGTGGGAAAAGTGGCGTTCTGCGCCGGTGAAAGAGGTGACTGACATGATGCGATTTGGCAGGTGGGCTGTGCGGACATCCTGGGGCGGATTGTGGAGGATCTGAAGGATGAGAGCGAGCCGTACCGGCGCATGGTGATGGAGACCATCGACAAGGTGGTGCGCGACCTGGGCACCGCTGACGTGGACGCCCGCCTGGAGGAACTCCTCATCGACGGCATCCTCTACGCCTTCCAGGAGCAGGTGTGTATTTATTCTTCACCCTGTGCACCTGTTCCCAAAAGAGGTATTCTTGTCCGATTGTCTCCTCTTGCTCTATTGCATGGTGCTCCTCTGAAGCTTCATGCAGTAAAGGTCGGCTTTGCAATGCTGCTATGAAGCTGAGGTTTCCACCACTTCATCTTATGTCCTTTATTAGAGGTCATGCAAGGCTGAGATGTTCTTGCATGATAGAGGGTGTAACGCACGGAAGGGGAGCTGTGGCTGATCCCCTGCTGTGGTGCATGCGCAGGTGAGCGACGACGCAAACGTGATGCTGAACGGATTCGGCACGGTGGTGAACAGCCTGAAGATGCGCGCCAAGCCGTACCTGCCCCAGATCTGCGGTACCATCAAGTGGCGCCTCAACAACAAGTCCGCCAAGATTCGCCAGCAGGCTGCTGACCTCATCGCCCGCATTGCCGTCGTCATGAAGGTGGGCCCACGGCCTCTCTTCTCTGTTGCAGCCTTGTCACTGTCCACATCTTTTTCTGTGCACATGTTCTTTCTGTGCTGCATGCTTTGCATTTTGCTCGAGACCTTTGCAACTAATAGTGAACAGTGCATCGTTGCATGGGTTCTGTGCTTGATCTGGTGCTATGTCCTGCACTCTTTGACATGAACAAGTACTGTGCAGGCATGTGATGAGGAGAAGCTGCTGGGCCATTTGGGTGTGGTGCTGTACGAGTACCTAGGAGAGGAGTACCCAGAGGTGCTGGGGTCCATCCTGGGAGCGCTCAAGTCCATCGTCAACGTCATCGGCATGACCAAGATGACGCCCCCCATCAAGGACCTCCTGCCGCGCCTCACCCCCATCCTGAAGAACAGGCACGAGAAGGTGAGACTCTCGCTGATACTGCCCTGGTATTAGTTCTGATGTTGCGCAAGCTGTTTGTCTCCTGCCATCCTTTTGCCATGCTCACGTGAGGTGCATTCTTGGCGGCTGGATAATTGCAAAGGATCTTTATAATCGTCGAATGATCATTGTACCAGTGCCCAGGGTGGATAATGCCTTCAATCATTGCATTTGTTGATGCTTTGATCCATCGCGCATTCTGTGGATGACCCTTTGCTGCTGCGCTGCGCAGGTGCAAGAGAACTGCATCGATCTTGTGGGGCGCATCGCGGACCGGGGGGCGGAGTTTGTGCCGGCGCGCGAGTGGATGCGCATCTGCTTTGAGCTGCTGGAGATGCTCAAGGCGCACAAGAAGGGCATCCGCCGCGCGACCGTCAACACCTTTGGCTACATCGCAAAGGCGATCGGCCCCCAGGACGTTCTGGTCACCCTGCTGAACAACCTGAAGGTTCAGGAGCGGCAGAATCGCGTGTGCACCACGGTCGCCATCGCCATTGTGGCCGAGACCTGCTCCCCCTTCACCGTCCTGCCCGCCCTCATGAACGAGTACAAGGTGCGCGCCTTTCCCCCTCAGCCGGTGCCTGCCTCTGGTCATTATCTATGGCATTTTGTCTGGCCAGGAAGTGAGAGTGTGAGTCAGCATGCAGAAGCTCAAGCAGGCATCCACACGCAGACTCCCATCTTTGTCCAGACCAAAGTCTATTCATGTCAATGTCCAAGAAGCTTGGCAGCATGTGCAGTGCCAATCTGAGACAGCGCAGCAGCATATGCGTATTGCGATGTGCACATGTGGGTGCCTCTGCCTATTGATTGCTCGAGTGTTCATGTGCTGGCCAGCAGTTGGCATGTGCATGTAGTCAGATGGGATGGGAAGGCTTGGTGCTGGCAGGCACTGAGATTCGGGTGGTGCGTGTGCAGGTGCCGGAGCTGAATGTGCAGAACGGCGTGCTCAAGGCGCTGAGCTTCCTGTTTGAGTACATTGGCGAGATGGGCAAGGACTACATCTATGCCGTCTCTCCCCTGCTGGAGGACGCCCTCATGGACCGTGACCTGGTGAGCCCTGTCACCCCCTTTACACAGCATGCACTTCATGCTCAGTAGCCTGTCTTGTACCCAATCAGCAGTGCTGGGCACTCTGTTCCGGATTTCGTGTGTGGCTGTCAGTGCTGCAGATCTATTGCGGGTGGCCAGATGTCAGTGCCCTGTGCTCTGGATGTGTGGTGGGTGGCATTTCAGTGACAAGCTGCATTTCTCTTGGACCTAAGGGTCAATATGATACGCAGACTACACATTACAGTAGGCTCAAATACCCTGGCTGACAGCGGGGGATCTGGCTGCAGGTGCACCGGCAGACGGCGGCGTCGGTGGTGCAGCACATGGCGCTGGGAGTGGCGGGGCTGGGCTGCGAGGATGCCCTGACGCACCTGCTCAACTACGTGTGGCCCAACATCTTTGAGATGTCCCCCCACGTTGTCAACGCCGTCATGGGCGCCGTCGACGGCTGCCGCCTCGCCCTGGGCCCGGCCGTCATCCTCAACTACCTCCTCCAGGTGCATTAAATACCCAGTCACCCTGTAAACTTTATAATGTTCCCTGAGAGCAATCGGTCTTTGCCCTGGCCCTGTCTGTATCATAGCCATATGTCTGCATGGCCATGCTAGCCAAGAAGGTCTGCAAATGGAATTCTGTGACTTCTTTCAGAAGTCTATTTTATGCGTTGAGGGCAATTCAATGAAGGCCACCAAGGGGCACTTTCTGTGGGGTGGACGCTGAGACTGGAGTGGGTGCATGCAGGGGCTATTCCACCCGGCAAGGAAGGTGAGGGAGGTGTACTGGCGCCTCTACAACAGCCTGTACATTGGCGCGCAGGACGCGTTGGTGGCGTGCTACCCGCGGCTGGAGAATGATGGCATCAACCCCTACGCCAGACAAGAGCTGGACATATTCATTTAGACTCTGCGGGCGTCTGCATGTGTCTTTCCATACCCGTTTGAAATTCTTGTTGCTGCAGTCACCAGGGTCGTTGCACGTGTGATGACTGGGCAAGCCTGGCCTTGCAATCCTAATAGCGGGTTTTTCTGGGGCTGTGGCGGCGTGTGTACAATATCTCCTCAACTGAGTGTGGTTGCTTGGTCATGGGAAGAGTAGCAGGTCAAACGTAAGGTTTAGGTTGAGCCCTGCCGGCAAGGAAGGTGATTTCAACAAGCAAGTCAACTGGCTCACAAACGTGACATTAGCCGGCGAGGCACACTGCTGTTTTCAAGAGATGTAAGCACAGTTTTCTGGAACAATGTGACGTAGTGTAAGGTTGCTCGAGCCTCCTAGCGTCTCGAAGGACATCGCTGGCGAGCAGTAAATTGCACTGGGTAGAACAGCTGCATCTGAAAATCACTGCTACATCTATATGGCATTACATGGCGTCACCTCTCTTGCCCAAGCAACCTTGCTGTTCCTTTCATCCTACCAGACCTGGGGTTAGTTGCTTAACCCCAAGGACCTGGACAGAGGGGTTAGAGAGTGGATCTCCCGTTGGACATCGAGGTTACTGATCGCTTCGAGCAGTCGTGCGTTCGTCTGGAGTTCTCTTCACAACGGAGTGACAATATTCATGACCTGCAAAGCGACAAATTGGATGTGGTAAGGCCAGGATACTAGATCGCTCGGCTGGACAGCAGTGCGGGGGTGGGTTGCTAAGAACAGCCCTTCTGCATTGCTAGCCAACGATACTTAGCATGAGATGTGAGGGAATCGCGAAAGTTCTTGGGGAAAGATGACTTCAACAAGATATCATAGAAATTTCATCGGGATCATCCGCATGCTGCAGTCATCACCAGCTAAGAACATCAAGATTGCCAGAGCAGTATAGCATCTGATGAGGCGGTACTGGGCAATTTTGCTGTTGCTAGCCTTTGCAACAGTGATCAATTGCCGGGAAAAGTCCCACAAACTTGGAGGGGGTGATGAGGACATCGCAGGGCCAATCGTGAAGAGTCACCGACTTGCAGTTGTACCAACTAGCTCTGCGAATCTCACGCTACTGGTTAATGGAACCATTGGCGAGGAGAAGAAGAAGACCATAGCACAGATCATTGACGAGGCATTGGAGCAGGAGTTTCCTGAGGAAAAGAAGGAGAAGATCGGGAAGAATTACAACGAGACAGCTCTGCAAGACGACGTACGCACCACTTTTACATCATTTTCCAACTCTCAAATGTCAATTTGATGAGATCAACACTAGTTGAAATTGCTGTTGCCGTTGCACTATGCGATAAGCAATTGCAATGTCTTCTAGGGCTCTGAGACAAGCCGAAGCACTCTGTCTCCATCACCAAAGGGGACTGCCATCTGCGCAGGCAACCGTGGAGACAGTGATCAAGGTCAGCGGAAACAGGAAACAAGAACCAGAGCCCGTCCCAGAAGAGACGCCCGCTCCAGTATCAGCCTCCCCAGACGCTGAGCCCAACACCATCAACTCCATCATTCACCATTCCTGGGGCCATCTACATGACAGAAAGGCCATCCCTGAGGTGTGTGCCCTGCGACGGCTTGCATGAGGAATGCCGCCTTGATTGCTGCAGTCCATGAAGCTTGGCTCAGAGATGAGGGACTGAAGCCTTGATGGGGGGTTTGAGCAAGTGTTGCTGCATGCAGGTCATGGCTCCGCCGCCAAAGCCGGCGACACCGGCTGCTGGCGCAGCCACCAAGGCAAAGCAAAGGGAACGCGCACGGATGGACGCCAATGTCGAGAAGGAGGTTGATCGCATCATTGACTCGCAGGACAACGAATACGTCCTGTCACGGCCCAAGTGCGGCTCTGATCCCACCCCTATCATCCGTCATCCCCCGGCCCACCGCAACAGCGACAAGGCCTCCTGCATCTGCACAATGAGCTGATGAAGAGCAGTCCCAGAGGGCGAGAATAGATAAATGGTGGCCTGAAGGGGGAGGCCTTGGGTTGGTGCAGGGACGGAGCAATGGGGCTGACGCTGGATCCACAGCTCATCAGGGATTTGACGGTGCTCATAACATCCTCCACGATCGGCGGCATGCTGATGGAGGCTGTGCGGCAGCCCATCATCAACGGATTCTTCATTGCAGGGTCCATTGTGGGACCGGGCGGCCTCAAGCTCATCAAGGTGCTGCAGTGCATGCCTCGCTGCCTGAAGAGCCAGCCCCTGCATCCACAACACTCCTGTCATTTGCAAGTTGCCGTGTCGCATGCAAAAGAAAGGGTTGAATGGGCGTTGTGGCGGCAATGAGCTCAAAACATGCGCTGGCATGGGGTGATGCTGCGCTCAGGAGCTTGATCTTAAGAGCCAGCCTCTGCATGCAAAGAATATATGGTGTCTCTGCACAGAGATGTTGCATGCAAGGGAAAGGTTGCATGCAGTTAGTGGCAGGGATGGCTCACAGCAGTGTGCTGATGGTATGGGTGGGTGCTGCGCGCAGGAGCTTGTGCAGGTGGAGTCGCTGGCGCAGGTGGGGGTGCAGCTGCTGCTGTTCACGCTGGGACTGGAGTTCAGCCTGTCAAAGCTGAGGGCTGTCAGGAGTGTGGCCCTGCTGGGTGGGCACCTCTATTCTTTCTGGGCCAGAATTGCAGTGCATAGCAACATGGCGTACTGATTGGATCAGCGGTAATTGTGGGCAATAAGGATGTCTTCCGAGCAGTTGGGTGCGCGCAGGGGGAATGGTGGAAATTTTTCTTTTCATTATAGCGGCAGGGGTGATAGCACATTTCATTGGGGCCTCTGTACACGAAGGGATTTTTGTGGGCGCACTGGTGCGTCTCAGCTATCCTGCAGCATGCACCCTTGTGCGTACCTGAACTGTTCTCACATGATCCGACACAGTTCTGATGAACTCATTTGTTGCAGGTTTCGATGTCGTCCACTTCGATTGTGATAAAGTGTCTCCATGACAGCAAATCGACGGGTTCGCCGCATGGTCAGATCACAATCGGCACCCTGATTCTGCAGGTGCGTTGTGTGCACAGTGCTCTTGCGCTGAAGATAGCAAGTCTATACTGTTTTGTGAAGGAACCCAAGAATGTCACTGGTGACGCGACATGGTTTGCCCTTGCAGGACTGCATGGTGGGCCTTCTGTTTGCCTTCATGCCGGTGCTGGCCAACAACAGGAGCGGTGGCGAGGTGGACCACTTTGATGTTCTGCGGCTGCTGTTCAGGTCCGACCTGCTCCCGTCCCTGGAAGCCTACCTCGCAACTTTACAACGAAATTAACATCAAGAAGCCCTTGTTCCAGTGCATGTTATAAACATGCAGAGTCGGCACCTTGAGTAAGGCCCTGTGCACAGCATTGCTTGTCATGCGCTGACTGGGCATGTATGGGGCTGGCTGTGCATGCATGGCGCTGACTGGGCATGCATGCGGCTGACTGTGCAGGGTGACGCTGTCACTGGGGTCTGGGTTGCTGGTGGCGGTGGTGGTGGCGCGAGCGGTGCTGCCGCCGGCAGTCAGGCTGCTGGCCAAGCACGCCTCCACAGAGCTCTACCAGCTCACGCTCATCTCCTTCTGCCTCTGCGCCTCCTGGCTCTCTGGCTACATGGTGCGTCCGGCACCATCCCAATTGCTGCTCTTCACTCAAAACTGCCAAATGTTGACATTGCCGCATAAGATTCTATGACCTTGTCAAGGAAGCAGTGGCACAAAGCCATGTCGCACTGCTGCATGCATCGTCACTGACGCTGGTCATAATTGCAGCTGCCATGCGCCACAGAAATGCATGCTAGATCATTGTAGCAACCCCTGGGCTCTAGACATCCCTGAGATGCTGCTGTGAAAACAAAAAGTGGTGCATGGATGATCGGTTGTGGAGTCTGAACAGTGTAACACTATATTGTAAGCAGCAGAACTTTATGCTCGAGGTGCTTCAAATCTCCTCGTAGACTGAAACACCTGGGATTTTCAGGGGTTGTCGACGGAGCTGGGGGCGTTTGTGGCGGGGGTGATGCTGAGCGCGACGGAGCAGCAGGAGAATGCGTTGCACCAGCTGGAGCACCTGAAGCAGTTCTTCCTCTCGCTCTTCATCTGCTCTACGGGCCTCATCATGTCGCCCACCTTCCTGGCCCAGCACCTGCGCGTCCTCGCAGGCGGCCTCGTCGTCACAGTGCTGGCCAAGACCATTCTGGTGCGCTGCCCTATACACTGCTTCCGCCCTGGTGCCTGAGCCCACTGCATGCAGCTGCCCTCACTGACAGGCATTGCCTAAGACCCTGATGCAACCTCAGGCAATGTAGCAGCTAGGCATTCAAGCCGAAATGTCTCCCCGAGGTGTCACCAGACATGTGACAGGCTTCCCATAGCCCCAAGGAACAAAATGTTCATCCATTGCTGTTCGCAAACTGCCTCCCTTGAGATTAAGGAAACCCGTGTTGATATCATTCGAGATATGCATCTTACTTCTGTCATTTGAGCCAGGCGGATGGAAGCTCAGTAGATGTGATGGTGACAAAGCAGTCAAAGGACTGTGCATGTGATGTTTGGTGATGTCTGGTGTGCAGATCAGCGTTGTGGTGTATGCCTTTAAATACCCTGTGCGCACGGCGCTGGCGGTGGGCCTGAGCATGGCCCAGATCGGCGAGTTTGCATTCGTGCTGCTGTCTGTCGCCAGCCAGCTGGGCCTCCTGCCGTACCAGGTCTACATGCTGCTCATGGGTGCGTCCCTGCCGATCGCACCGCTCATCAGCACACCTCTCTAAACGCATCCAGATGCTGACATGATCTGGATGTCCATGATTGTCATGCTGGCTTTCACCCAATGGCAATCCAAGCTTGTTTTGGGTGAGTTGAAGGACACTATATTGTTGCCCAAATGCATGGTAATGATGGAGTGAGTGTGTGTGGCGTGCGCAGGGATCACAGCGCTATCGCTGCTGGTGACGCCGTTCCTGATGCAGGCGGCGCGCCACATTCTGCGTGAGGGCCCAGACGGCGTCACTGCCTTGCCGACTGTAAGTCGCCCTGTAAGCCGTCGCCCCGTAAGCCGTCGCCCCTCCGTTTCTCTTTCCCCCTTTGCTTCTTTCCTTCTTTTCTTCTCGTTGTCCTGTCCTGCTGCGCTTAAGAGGGGCTGCCACTAAGTACAGAGCATTATGTGGTGTTGCAATCGCCTCAGCGCTGATGTTCCTGCCATGTGATCTGCATCCTCAATATTTTGGTAAATTCTACCGTGTTACGCATACACTGTGCCCGATTGAAAAAACTGGAGCCAGCAGGCTCATGTATGAGGTTTGTGCATGTGCCCAGGCCTGGGCGGCCAGAAGTCGGGTGGGCATAAACAAGAGGGCGGCCAGCGGCGAGTCGGTGCTGGACCCCTCCAGCGATAGCAGCCCCGGCAGCCCCAGCCCGCGCCTGGAACAGCGGCACCACAGCGTCTCCAAGCAGAGCGTATCCGCGCACGGCTCTGCCTACCCCAGTGAAGTCCAGCTGCAGCAGGCACGCACCTGTCCCCCTCCCGCCCTAGCTGTACTCATTGGAAGTCCCCCATTTCTGGACATATGGGACATGTGGCCATGTGCGTTAGAGAGAGAGAGAGAATCTTTACATCTTTGCCAGCCAACAAGGCTGATTAGATGTGGGATTGTGTGTGAAGTTGAGTGCTGAGTGTCAATCTGCAGACCGGTGGCTTAGCAGCTTGAGTGCCAGTATATGTGATCTTGCTGGTGGAGATATGCTAAGGATTTATCTGTGCGCTTCTGTTGACAATGTTGGGGTGTTCTGGCCATAATCCGTCCGTTGCCTGTTGCAGAGGTACCCATTCTTATGAGAAGTGGAGAAGCCCATCAAGGAAGTGCTCAGAGGAAGACATGCAGATGGAAGCAAGTGTTGAGAGACAATATAACTTCCCAGTGCATTTGAAGAATATGAAAGGTGGGCACCTGAAGAGGCGACTGGGTGCTGGAGAGCCCTTGCACATGGCAGCGCAGAAGATCAGCACCATTCACTCCTGTAAATTCCTGATCAAATGAGGACTTGTGACCCACACGATGACCTTCTATTGTGGTCAACCTTACATTGACTGTCTATCATATTGCCCAGCCTGAGACATTGTGTCATCGATGGTGGCCTCTTTCCATGAGGGTCTGTGTGCATGCGGCGTTTGGGAGACAGCGCCACATCCTGACTGTCGAGACTCCATCGAATGTAATCAGAAATGGATTGGTGTATCTGTTAGCAATAGTGCTGGGCAACATGCTGATGATATTGCAAGTGGGCAAAAGCCGCGCTTGCAAGCGGCTTGCCAGTGACCACTGGCATATGCATGCCTTGACTGCTCATTCTGGCGGACCACATGCTGATCGCCAATCTCCTTCTACCGCCCTCAAAGCATGCCTGCACTCGAGGGAGAAATGGCAGAGTTTCAATTCTTGTCCTGTGAGGAGGCGCCAAAATGGGCAATCTGAAGGGGAAGCTTCCCTTGGCCATCTGTCATCTGAGCAGAGCCCCTCCTCAATTCTATTTTCTCCCAACAATTGTTTATTGAGTTCAGATACAAGTTCCTGTGCCTTCGAGCTGCAATATATGTTGTGATCTGCCGACCGCCTACAGCAAGCGATGCAGCCCCCTTTAGTAGAGATTATTGCTCTTCATAGTAAAGTAAACAGACTCTGAGATAGTGCGATGGCCAATCTATTATTCAGTAAGCTACATTGAGTAGCTACAAATTCCAATGGACGCCTCAGAACCCGAAGATCGGGTTGTACGCAAGCTAGATGTCTTCCTGTCCAATGGTCAACTGGGACAAAATACAAAGGTGCTTACTTGCGAAGAAATTTGGATCAGGAAACTTTGCCCCATTCTGCATGAGAAAAGACCTCAATTGACGCTCTGATTGGTCACAGCCAAGAGGTTCCAGTGGACTTTGAAGGGGGTGTCACTGCCTGAAGTGTGTCCTGTTTCCTGCAGCTCTGCCTCCTACAATTCCCGCTAAGGCCTCCCTGGCGGCCTTATGAAATGGATTACAACCGGAAGGTACGCCAAGTCACATCTCGAACTTCCATGCATGCGCACTCATTGCATCATTGACTGTTCTATCAGGTGCATCAGGGGTGCCATGCCTCTACATTCTGGGTCGATGCTGCAGGTCCAGATGAAGCCTGTGGCGAAGCGCATGCAGATTGATGTGCCGCTGCACAAGGAAACAGACAATTACAACACAAACGCTGATGCCAGCCTGCAGCTGGACAAACTCCAGCTCAGCTCATCCGCTGTCGACATGCGCACATCCTATGCTGTGGCCTCCATCATGTGCGCTGCATTTCTAGCTAGACATTCTCACACATGTCATGCACTACCAGCAGCTCACGGCTACTGATTCTCACCGAGGCGGTCTGTCATGTGCGCAAGTTTGGATATGCTACTCTAGCCTGCCATAAGTATAATATAGCTGGACCATTCATCTTGACGACAAGCAATGGTCGATGCAGAGGCGACAATGTGGTGCTGACACCATTGGACGAGGCCATAGCGCTACGGCCGAGCCTGGCCCATCTGGCGACGGCTCGGGCAGAGTCTGATCCCAGGAGGGGTGCAGCCAGCATGCAGGATGAGGACGAGAAGCCTTCTGAGCTGCAGCCCTTGACGGTGTGTCCGCTGGCCTGCTGTGAATCAGTATCTCCTGGCACCTGCCACACATGTTCTTGTCTATCGGTGCAGGTCGTCCTGCTGTTTTGCATGCCCCTTAACACAGGGCTCCTCTCCATGAGCAGCAGACGGTCATGCTGTACTCATGACCATCTAAAAGCGATGAATTGTAAGGCCATTACCGCAGACCTGCCAAGTGGCACAGCACGCAACCCTGAAGCAGCTTCCTCTGCGCTGCATGATCACGGTCTTTGCCCCTGCACGTAGGTGCAAGTGAAGCGGCGGGAGACGGAGCGGCAGGTGGAGATGCGAGTCAACAGCTACGCATACCTGCAAGGCATCGAAGCGGACGAGCCCTGGGTGGAACTGGACGCGCATGCGCCCGACAGCGGCGCTGCACAGAGCGTGTGGTCCGCGCTGCACCGCACAATTGACGCCGACGTGCCCATGTCGCTCAGCCGCGAGGCTTATCTGGACGCCCTGCTGCCAGGTGAGGGTCCTCGCTGTGCGCTGTGCTTCTATCAAGTCCCCTGGCTCCGAGCATGGGAGGAGCTCCTCTGCACTCTTGCCACCGGTGAAGTGCACAATACAATGTGGGTGTTCTGGGGACAAGCTAGGAATCCCATGAGCTTCAGCATATAGAGAGCTCACACGGCTAGCAGGCCACCAGTGTGGCATGAAGGATTGCTAACTGGGGCTTTGCCTGCTTGACACTGAGAGACTTTGCCTTCTTATTTTGGTGCACCTGAGCTCCTGCATGCCCCTTGAGAGGCTTGTGGGGTTCTGCAGGAACCGCATCAGTCCCTTATGATTGTTTAAATGATTTCAGGGCAACTCTTGCTGCGCATCCTGACTGCTGAATGTCCAGAAAGGCGGTCTCAAAATACTTTTTATATGATGAATCAGGCCCTTCAGCCACCCAGGAGGCACTGCCAAGTGTTGAGGCTGCCTCGCCCATGAGGGCGGCAGCAGCCGCCAGGGCGCGCAGGGAGGAGCAGCCTCAGCCTTCCACAAGCAACCAGGCGCACGTGGAAAGGCCCTTTATACCGGCAAAGGCGGAGTCCATTAGCCGGGACGCTCAAAAGGCCCTGGCAGACACTGTGGTCGCCTTCTGCAAATCCTATCCGCTCTTCAGCCAGGAGCAAATGAGGTGCGCCATCATCCTGCAGTGTGTCGGCACCGATCGTGGTACTCTTAGCTGCAATCATATTCTTTGTAGCTCTGGCGTCCAGGTGGTCTGTCAGGTCTGGTAGCTGTGCGCGCATGCATGTTCAGGTGAGTGCATGTGTGGATGGAAATGTGGTGGTAGGCATCGATCACTTCCTCCGCTGGGCAGGACGACAGCCCCTTGCCACGCCTGCAAGGCTGTGTGCATGGATGCAGGGAGTTTTTGAGGAAGTACAAGAATGCTGGGGTCGCGCAAGGGCTGGCAGACTACCCAGTGGTGCAGCTGCGGGAGGCCATTGTGGCCACGGGGCTGGTGCTGCACTGCAAGGGGGTCTTCATCCAGGCCTTCACTGGCAACACCAGCTATGATCCCCTGCGCAGCCTCATCATCTCCCTGCTGCAGGTGCCGCTTATCTCCCTCTGATGCAGCGTACAGCTTGCATGTGTGCTTACAGCGATGCTCTAGTCAAGTGGGAGCCTAATCAATCGAGGGAAACTTCACTTGCATTATTGTGAATGTTTTGAACACAAGTAGCTTTGACGACAAACAGTTTGCTGCAATGCAGGACAGCGACTTCTTGCGCAAGTCAGATGTGGCGGGTGCAGCAGCGGCTGCAGGGGTCGCGTTTGATGAAAAGATGTACAGTAAGGCCATGAAGGAGCTGTGTACATCCAAGGGCGGCATGTGGACCATCAAGAAGCGAGCAGAGTAGATCTTGGTCTTTTTAGATGCACAAATCAATGCTGTGCCATGTATGCATACAGATCATGTGATGATCAGTGTACTGTATAAGCCCAAGGGCATATGACATTGCTGCTTAAAGATTTACAACCCTTGTAATTACTTTTATAAAGCAGTCTGCCATTGAGTGACTGCGTGCCTCAAGCAAGCTTGTAACCTTTACAGAGGCCACATCTACCTGCCAAGTTTGATGTCAGTCAGAATCCCAAAGTCAATAGTATCAAAGCTCAGCAATGTTTGTTATGCTCCTAAGTTGATTTCAAATTGCACCAGATTACCAGATCCATTGCTTGTCAATGTCATCGAGTCCGAGCTGATCGTCATAGGCTTTGACTCATAGCCCTCCACTTAGAGGGAGATTGTGATCAGTACCATTTGAAGCGCAGCCTAAGTCAATATATGCAGCGATGCTCACAGTCTTTTCCCTCGCCCCTGACGGGAGGTTAACATGTTGTCTCACATGCAGCATGCCTTCTAAAATTTGGCCATGCCACGTGCTAAAGTATCGTACATGATTTGTTCGCCAAGAAATGACTGAAGGGCCAGTCAGGCGTCTTCCTTCTTGTCCTTGTCCTGGTCTTTCGGCTCTGCTGCACTCTTCTCCTCCTTCTCTGCGCCTGTGTCTGCTGCATCCTCTGCAGCTGCAGGCTCAGCCTCCTCTTCCTCTTCTTCTGCGGGGGCACTTCCATTGGTGCCCTCCATCCAACTGGCCTGCACCACCTCTTTGACACGCCGGTTGTACTCCTTCCTGCACACACCAAAGATGCCTTTCAGACATGATCGATTGTCAGCTAGTCTGCATGTAGAAGGTTGCAAGTTGATTGACAGGACACAGCCCTCATACTTTGGAATGCACACGCTCAGTGGCCGACAGCATGCATTGAAGATCAAACGCTACATCACAATCATGCAGATTCTTACAGCATGAAATGAAGCCCGTAACATCGACATTCACCTGTTCTCGCTGTACAGCCGCGCAGCTTCTGAGTTGGCAGGGGAGTTTGGGTTGGGGTCACTCAGCAGAGACTGCAAGCACAGCATCACTTTCAATAAATGATCGACGCATGCAGCAGTTGCCGCAGAATACCTGGTCTGCTACAAGTAGTGCACAAGCTCAGTGTTGAGGGGCTGCACCTGGATAGAAGTTAGTATTGCGGACACGTCATAGATCGGGCTCCATTGGTTCTGAAGGATGTCCAGGCAAATGCCCCCGTCTGCGTACACTGCACGAAGAAAGCACACGGAGGATAAATCTCTGCTTTGGGGGTCGACCTTGCAGACACCTGTTCCGCAACATTGAAGGCCTACATGACAAGATGGACATACTTGAGGGCAGAAGCTTGCCACATACCGTTTGGGTGAAAGATGTTTGACACAAACTTGACAACAGGCGCCTTGTTGGGATACTCCTCAGTGAATTGCAGGCTCAGCTTGAACGTGCCTGCAAGACACACAGGACCTGAAGAACTCCAAAGAAGCCAACTGTGCAGTGCGATAGCATAGCAGATACACTGCAGCAGACCACACACACTGCCAGATGTGCCGGCTGGGATCATTGTTGAATCTGAAGCGTACCACCATCCCAGGGTGTGTCTTCAGGTCCAAAAATGACTGCATTCCATAGCATGATATTGTCTAAGTTTGGAGAGCCATCAATGCCTTGAGGAGGGTCTTGCTGCAGCCGCCGAAAGTCGCGCATCAAGCGCTGCAGATAAAAGACACAACTTAGCAGAAACAATTGCATGCAAGTCAAGAAAAGTCAGACGAGTCAAGAGATCTACAATAACTCTGGCTGGTTTTCAAGATCAGACCAACGTGCACGTCACCGATGGGGGCAATTTATATATAGTGACGTTGAATTCACCTTCCTGGCGGGTGTAGACATCGCGGCGATTTCCCTGCCACTGTTGGCAGGCGATCAAAGCCTTTCAATACTAAATACTTTAATGACACCACGGAATATGATTGGTCGCGTGGAATGTTTGATGTGCTATCAAAGTAAATTACTATCTAAAGATCCTTAGGGTGACTTAGAGAACTAAAGCAGAATGACTGCAGCAAGATGATTTCACAAAAGTAGTGTAAGCCTTTCAAACGATCTGCAATCTTTGCAATTTGGAGGTCTCAACGACAGTGGCGTAAAACCTGCAGATTATCTTGTCCTTTGAGCTCGAAATGGAGTTGAATATCGTCCGTTGGACAGCGCTTGCAAGAAATGCCGTCGGAATAGTATGGCGGCGATCCTGCTTTTGCTCCGAGATAAATTTGTAGTTTGTAACCGTCCTGCTTTGTTTTCCAACGTCACTCCACTCTGGGATAGGGAAAATCATGTGATGGCTTCAAGACTTGTTCAAGTCATGAGACAAGGTCCCTCCGCTCCCAATTTAGAAATATACGTGGAACGCGTTCAGGGATTGCCGGCCGAACGGCTCTCCCTGAAACCAGATACGGATATTGAGGGGTGCATCTGCTTAGAGACTTCACAGCATGTTAATAATAACAGTCAGACTGATCGGGTCTCGATAGATGGTGGTTCAAACGTGAATCTCGGTAATAACAGTGCACCTTAGAGGGAGCAGAGTTGTTTATGGATATTAATGAGGAGTGGGATGCAGTGCTGTCGCAAAATAGGGAAGAAGAAATACGTAAATTTACAGTGAGTGCTTTTCCCCCCTTTCTCATATCCCAGAGCCAAATAAAAGCTTGCTGTGCAAAAGGAATCCTTGGCCACTGGCCTCTGCTCAAGATCGGCCAGCTTTGATTTCCTCATCATTCAGGTTGCGGAGAACCTCTCCGACATTGAGCGAGCTCTTATCTACATAGACAGTGGGCATGCAGTGCAATTGCAGAATGTTCTCGACAGGCAAGTTATCGGGGCTAGGCATCTTCAGCATATTAGTTTTTTTACCCAGTTTCTGCGATCTGGTATTAGCTTGGTCATATGAATTCTGTGGCGTGTCAATACAGCTTGCCAGACTTGGTGAGGAACAATGGCTGGAGTGCCTTCCAAACAGTCGTGCCACGCCTCGTCAGGCAGCTGCTCACCTTGGAACCTGATGCTCAGGTTCTTCCTTGCTCCGTCCTCATTGTTTTTGAAAGTACCCAACCTGACATTGAACACCTAGATCCTTGATGCCCTTTTTCCAGGTGGGCATGGCACGGGCGTTGGCCCTCCTTGCGGCTGAGAACAGTTTGGCCCCTGCAGACCTCGCTGACTACTTGCTACCTGTGGCCTTCACCAACATGTGCCTGCCTTCATCTGAGGAGGTACGCTGCATCTTCGCAACATTTGCCACTGTACAGAACACTACTGACATCCCCTCTCTTCAGAGAGCGAGCTTGGCTGCTACTTTTCCTGCAAATATAACAATATAACAAACATAACTACAGTGGTTCGCCCAACAAATTCTCCGTGCAAATTTCTGGGTGCGTTGCTTGCAGGTGGTTGACGCATGGGTGCGGGTGGCAGTAGCTGTCATTCCACAGATGGAGCGTGCAGCCGTCAACAGCAGAGTGGTGCCATTTGCTCTGGCCAGGGCGCAGGCTCACGGGCAGACGACGCAGGGGCGCCTGATGTGCTGCGCCCTCCTCGGAGCCGCTGCAGTCAAGCTGAGCAGGGAGGACATCGAGCTGCAGTTCCTGCACAAAGCAGTGGCTCTGTGCCAGGTCCGCCTTTTGGCGCCCCTGCTTGCCCTCCTCTTGATTATGCACGTCCCTAAGCATGCACTGGTTTACAAATTGCTTACATTCCAAGCTGCTGACCCACATTGCGTGATCCATATTGCATGACCCACCAGGATTTGAAGTGCTCAGCAGCATCTGCTTGGGTGACAGTACCGAATCTGTGCAGCTATGCCTCTTTGACAGAAATGCCGACCCACGTGCTCTCAAAATTACTGCCATTGCATAACCGCAAACATTGGGTTAAATAGGGAAACATTGAGAAATTGCTGCAACACACCTATGTTTGGATGAGATGATCTGCGGATTTACTAAGTGGTGGTTGGGGGGCCTGCCTCCCACACCCAGGAAATGCTAGGCTCCAGGGTAACCGAACTAAACTTGATATTTGGGTCTCGTATGCTGCGCGTCATGATAATAGTAATGGATGCCGCAGGACACGGAGAAGCTGGTGCGGCAGTGCATGTGCGAGCAGCTGCCGGCGCTGGCGCTGTCCCTCGGCCGCGAGCCGTGCGTGGACGTGATCCTGCCGGAGGTGCTCGAGCTGGCGGAGGACGAGGAGAGGGCGGTGCGCTGCGCCGCGATCCGCGCGCTCGGCTGCGTGCTGCACCTTCTGCCAGGGGATAGGCGGCGGTCGAGGGCGTTCCCTTTCGTGCGCGCGCTCTGCGCGGCCGCCGACATCAGCGCCGAGGTGCAACGCTGCGTCGCGCGCCTCTTCTGCGGCCAGCTCATGCAGGCGCGGCGCTATCTCTGTGTTGGGTGTTATTCGTGACATACGATGGGTGACCCGCAGATGCAGCCAATCCAAGGGCTTGCTTTATTGTTGGGCCCGCCTTAATGCCTGTCGGGGACAGTCGGAGGTTGTCTGCATGTCTTCTGAGAGAGCGGTACTAGTCTGACAGCATGAGTGATGTTGATGTGAGCCAGCGTGTTGATTAATTCGCGGAGAGCAAACACCGGCAGCCTGGGTTTCAAGAGCTCGCAAAAGGTAAAGAGTCCAGTAATGTGCACAGACGCAGGAGGGGAGTCTCAATATTTTTGATCAGCCGCAGCAGAGAAAAGTGGACGAGACCCAAAAGCTCAGTGGTATTTGTTTGAGGCGGCGTATGAGAGTTGTAGAGGTCCGCATACAGGTGGCGGCAGACTTGGACAACGAGAGCGATGTGGTGATGCTGCTAGCGGCTTTCAGGAGCCTGGCTGCTGCGAAGGACATCCAGTGCCGTGCGTGCTGCGCTGCCGCCCTCTCCACTGTCCTGCGAGCAGCAACCCCCCGAAGGTGCGCCTCCCACCCATTTTAAATTGTACTCAGACGTAATCTAGGATTTCCCAATGCAATTTACACAATAACTGGCAAAATTGTCTAATGGGTGGGCTCTATTTGTCTGGCAACGAATCTAGGACAGCCGTCATTGCAAAGCACATGCATGCATGTTTGAAGAGCATGCGCCTCGGCGTAAGTGCAAAGGATTTGCAATCGAAGCGGTTCACTGTGGGTGCAGGTACTCGACGCATCTACACGGAGCGCTGACAGCACTGGTTGGAGACACGGAAGTCGAGGTTAGGTCGCAGATGGCTGCCGGGTTTCACGAGTGCGCGTTGCTCCTGGGCCGGGACCGCTGCGTGCAGTACATGAGAAGGTGCTCGGCCTCTCGCCAAGGGCATCACTGTAAATGCAAAGACTGTGCATGCTTGTGGCCAGTGGCATTTCTAGCATATTTCAACATATTGACATGGCGGTGTTAAGGGGTTCATGTTGTTTTTCTGGGCGCCTCAAAATTTCCAAATTGACGGTTTAGCGCCACTAAAAACAGATTGCTTGTGGTACTCCATCCTTGTGAATAGCTGCAGGGAGGAGATTTTCAGAGATGTGAGTGTGATGGGAGCAGGCCGCTGCTGCACCTGTTGGGGGATGGGAGCGCAGCGGTGCGCGAGGCGGCTGTGCGGCAGCTGCCGGGGACTCTGGAGCTGTTTGCTGCGCCAGGTGGTGTTGATGATGCGCGCGCTGGTGCTGAGCTAGCGCAAGCGCTGGTGAGCCTGGACGCCAGCCTCGGCCTGGACTGGCGCTCGCAGGAGGCCATGCTGCTCTCCTTCCCAGCCCTAGCCCAAGTAAAACCTCCAATCCCTGATTAATGGTTCCTTGCCCCTACCACACCTGGTGAGTAATGTAGCGTTTAAAAGATGATGATGGTCAATGCAGATTCTGAGTGGCGACCAGATATACGAGCGCCTTCTGCCAATCACGCTGCGGCACATGGCGGGCGGTGCCGCGCCGATGCGCGCGGCCGCGGCCGGGGCTGCAGTGGCGTTCCTGCGCTGCCTGCGCAAGCCATACCAGCAAACCGAGCTCCTGGTGCGGCTTCTGCGCGAATTTGCACGCAGCCGATCCTGCTCCCACCGCCTTCTCTTTGTGGATGTGTGCCACGCGCTCCTCAGGCTATTCAGCGCCAGGTTTGGCTCTCGACAAATCTTTGTGCTGAGATAAAGACTAAACTGCCCTTCCTCCTCTGAGCAATTCAGCATCAATGCATGCATGCAGAAATCCTTCGTGTCATATGCCACACAGTTGAAAATCACTAGCATTCCAGGTACGGGCTGAACTGTCGGGCTTGAGACTGATGGATTTGTTGAATGTTGCCATTTTTGCTGTGCCTGGAGGGCATGGATTGGTGCATGGGTTGAGAAGCTTAAAAGTCGAGACCTTTTGCAAACGGCCTGCTGTTGAGTGGGATTGCAGGTTCTTCAAGGCCCACGCGCTGAACCCGGCGCTGGAGCTTCTGTCAGACAGCGTTGTGGGCGTGCGGCTGCGTGCGGCCACCCTTCTCCCATTGCTAAGGCAGATTCTGCTGCTGCCGAGCAACGCGGAGGCGGCTGCTCGGCTAGACGCGGCTACGGCCGCGCTGCAGAGCGATGTCGACCGGGACGTGCGATTGGAGGTCGGCAGGGCGCTAGAGCAGATTGAGGGCACAGGGAACGCCTCCAGCGCGTGGCGGGAGGAGGACGGCAGGAAAGAGGAGGAGGAGGCCGACATGCACTTCATCCCCGAGGAGATAGAGAGGTAGGGCAGGTTTGTTTTGTGCAAACCTGCGTTGTTGTCCTGGCCTGGCAAATTCACGTCTCTTGCGCTGCCGATCGGATATATATCTACCCTCGTGAAGGTCTGTTCTCAATAAATCAAGACGAGCAATGCCACATTGTCAGCAAGTTTGGCTGTGTTGTGGAGGCCAGACACTGCAATGGCAGATGCCTTGGTGATATGCTGTGTGCGGTCAGGCTGCACAACGAGGACACACCGGAAAAGCGCCGGCTTGCGGCGGCGGCCGCAACGGCGGCGTCGGCCCGGCGCGGCCGGCCGGCCAACGGAGCGTCCGATGCTCTTGCGCGTGCTGCCGGGCGGCTGCAGCAGGGCCAATCTGGCGGCGAGCCCTGCCTCAGCAGCAGCACAAGCTTCAAGCGAGCCGCGGATGCTGGTGCACCTGCATGCGCGCAGCCACCAGGCAGCGGCCAAGCTGGACCTGCAACTGGAGCACTAAGCGGCCTGGAAGCGGCCAGCGCTGGAGGCTCAAAGCCGGCGAAGCCTGCTGTGCTGGCGGCTGCCAAGGGCAAGGGCAGCGATGCTGCCAGGTGCGGGTTACATCAGTAACATCACAAGAGAAGGTGTAACTGTAAGAAATGGTTGGCATGCATGAGTACCACAGAATCTTCATGAAATGAGACTTCTCTGCGCAGGCTTGCTGCCAGGTTGGCAAAGCTGACCGTTGAGGCAGATACACAGCTCACGCGCACAAGAGGAAGCTCACCGCAGCCGCCCCCATCAGATGTAGCTGCAGTCAAGACATCGCCTCCAGCCACGGCTTCCAGGGCTATGGCAAGCAATGCATCTGCACCTGTGGCCTCCACCATGCCCAAAAGGTACGCATTGGTGCGACCAGGCCCAAATGCATATTCGGCAGAACTCAATGCTGTGGCCGCATCTTCTGGCATATCTGGGTGTGGCATGACGAGTCTGGCTCTTGCACTGCAGGTTTCCGGCTTCACCAACTGGCAGAAGTACTTCACCGACTGGCAGAAGTGGTCAATTGTTCTGATGCGCATCTGAATATTTCTTGTTAATATGAGGGGGCTCGCCATTTGTTGACTACTCATCCACATGCTTGAGCCCGTATATACGATTACAATTGTGGTGGGAATGAGGAAACATGGGCAAAGCCGCGATGAAGATGTCAGACACTGTAGACACCTGATAAGAATTGGCAAGATCCGGATTGGCTACTGTTGCCTTTTCAACTGCCAACTTGACTTCTGCCAATGCCAATTATAACAAGTTTGGAGGATGGTTTCCATGCCTGATTAAGTGCAATGCAGGTGGGACATACACATGGACTTCCAAGCATCATTACAATACACAGGAAGCAGGCCATGCGCACATCTAGCTAGCTATAGCTGTGGCCGCATGGCAAAGATGCTCAAAAGCACTTGCATACAATTGCCAAAACGCTGGAAGTACATCACATATGCATATGACTGGATACAGCACAATGCCACCATGGCGACATGCCAAAATTGTCTTTCATAGCTCAACAGAGGGGAGTCCTTCCCAACACAATGGTCCAATAGCCTCCAACGACAGCCCAGATCCCAGGACTCACAAAACCACACAGCAGCATGCAAATAAATAGAAACAGCCTTGCGACTCCACATCGATGTTTTCAAACACCAGACTGCTGTGTCACACAGCACACACACTGTCACAAAGGAAGGAACTAAGGAGCCCTGAAACATCCCCACGCAATGTACATGTACCTCAGACAATAGTAAAAGAGAATTGCAGGGACACCTTACGCCCCTGAACCCATCTATCCACGATGCTTTTTCTGGCGTTCATTGCACCAGAGCTGCTGCCGGCTGAAGTGCTGCTCCTGCGGCCTGAAGGCTCTCAGTTCCGGCAGGCGGCCCATTCTCCCCGATGACCGCAGGCTGATTCTCTGTCTTGGGAGCCTGCATAGCACACCGCATATCTTTACAGTTGTGCCACTGAGAGGAACAAAGACTTAGCAGCAGCCCTTTGCGAAAGGCCGCAGTAACAAACGTAGCATGCACGAACAAATCTTTTAATCTGCTGCTCAGAATCAGTACAGCAAGTCTTTTTTAAAGTGTCAATGAACACACAAGCATGCTCAATCACACACCTCTGGCGGCTGTGGCGGGGTGGCCACAGTTGTAGCTGGAGCCTTGTCTGCAAGCCCATACTGCCCGCTGAGCTGCGCTTCCTGCCAAGCGGGGTGAACTGGCGGCCCACTGGGCTGAGCCTGCTCTGCAGCAGGCTGTGCATAGCTGGGCTGCTCTGGTCGCGCTGTGGTCTCTGGTGCAGCAGCGGGCGCAGGCTGCTCCACCGGCGGCGGCGTGGGGCTGGGGCTGGCCTGAGAGGAGCTCCTCTGCTGCATCTGCTATATACAAGCCAACTTGGTTCAACCAAAACTCCGTGCAGAACACCACGCTCATGAAGATTCCAGGTGCGAATACATCTGTCGAGCGCTCAACACAAAGCCCGTATTTGGATTGCACACAAGCCTCATGCGCAAGTGCACGCATGGCAGGGGCAGCAGCTCACCCCGGCTGATGTCATAATGACCAAAAGCATAGCAAATGGTTGCTGAGAGAGTGCAGAAGGACAGAGCAGGAGCAGGAGGGAGGTTGCGCACCTCAGCGCTGTGCTGCAGCTGCATGGCTAGCTGGCCGGACATCTGGCTGGCAATCTGGGCGGCCACCTGCGGCGTCATCTGCAGCGCCAGGCTGGGCTGCGCCGCCAGAGCCGACAGGTTCCCCTGCACCCATGCCCAGCCAAGTCAAGAAATCAGCTTCTCTTGTGCATTTCAGCAAGCAAAGACATGCACTCCGCAGGCCTTACAAGGAATTCTTCCTTGCGTTGCAGCACTAGAGAGAACCCTCCAAAGGCCTCCCAGAGATGGGCTTCAAGGTGCTTCACACAAGGGGCCCACCTGCAGCTGGGAGGCGGGGAAGTGGCCGAAGAGGCCGGCGGCTGCGGCAGGGTTGGTGTGGCTGAGGGCGAGCGCGGCTGAGACGCTGCCCTGCAGCTGCTGCTGCCCCTGCGCTGCCAGGGCGGCCAGCACCCAGTGCGTCTGCTGCTGGCTCAGACCCATGTCTGGCGGCGGCAGGCTGTACTGCAGCCCCGCCAGTACCTGCACACCGCCACACAGCGGCTTATGTCGGGCACTTTTATCAAATGTTTTGTCAACATCTTGCTGAAGCCCCATTTTTGAACCATCGGCGTGTGCAGAGGGCCGTGGAAAGAAGAATGCAAGGTTCTCAAACCAAGACAACCTCCTGACGGTCGACCAATGCCCGTGGCATAAACCAGCAACCACCTCAATGGCCGGGAAATAAATACTGCGCATCTGCTGTCACAGAATCATATTTTATGCAAGGTCTCTGAGTGTCAGAGCAAGGCTACATACCTGCGGCAGGCTGCCGGAGATGCCGCCAGAGAAGCCATTGGTGGCAGCCCCAAGCGCGCCGTTGCCGCCGGCCTGCACAGGCAGCTGCGCGGCAGCCGTGGCGAAGGAGGAGACGCCGTTGGAGACAGGCGCGCCGGCGCCGGCTCCCCCGCAGAACTCGGCCTGCAGCGTCACCAGCGACCGCTCCGGCACCCGCGCCATCTCCGGATACGGCTTGCCCTCCTACACACACAATAAATCACATAATGAGACCTCCTCTTACATACCTGAATCAACCCCAGTGCCGAAACCCTGATCTGTCATCTGCTGCTGGCACCACCTCAACGACCACATCCACCTCCTTTCGCACTTCCCACCTTGGGGCACCGAGTTGTTGTATACCCAGCCACTCTTCATCACTGTGCGGGTTTCTTCAACATGGTGATTGTTGTATTGATAAGACTGTCAGGAAAAATTTTAAGGTGGCTATTGTGTGCTTGTACAGCCGGGGAGCTGTCAGGTGGCTGTTTCATGTTCAGGCTGTCGCAGGAATGTCAGCTGGCTCTTCTGTGGTACAACAGCCAGAAAATGGTGAGAGAAGAAGAGGGCGCGCCTTGAGGCAGCAGGAGGGGCAGCGGAAGTCTGGGGGCGCCACGTCTTCGTCGTCCTCCTCGTCGCCGGGCGGGCGCAGGCCGACGCAGTCGTAGTGGAACCAGTCCTGGCAGTAGTCGCATGCCAGCATCGGCCGGTCCTCATTGTACGGCAGCTTGCACAGGCACCACAGCTTCGTCGCCTCCTGCGCACCACCATTGCACACACCTTCAGGCTCTTGCCTACCCTGTGGCACACCTGTTACATGCTGCCAGGACAATGCTTGCAAGAAGCAACCTGTGTCCCTTACTAGCGAGCTCTGTGTATTTCCTTAAAACAAGCAAGTCGAGGAAACATTATTCCCGGCAAGGGGTACCAATCTCGACTAAGAACCGCCCGCGCATGCATGGAGCAGGTGCGGTATTGCAGGAGCTGGTACCAAGCAGCAGGCGCACCTTGAGGCGCTCGAGGTCCTTGGTGACGTTGCAGGACAGGCGGTCGGCGTCGGCGGCGAGGGCCTCGGCGCGGCGAAGGGCGGCGTCCAGCGCGGCCTGGTCTTTGGAGGGGTTGCCCAGGTCGGCGATGACCAGGCGGCAGCGCTCCAGCCACGACTTGGCGCCGGCCGCGCGGTAGCCGAGCGCGCTGCCGATCAGGTCGCGCGTCAGCACCAGCCCAAACCCCTCCGCCTCCCTCACCAGCTTGCACAGCGTGTCCGCTGCGCACCACACACGCAGACGGGGTCAGCAAATGGCATATGCGCCTCAGCACCCTCAGCACCACTGAACATCCGAGGGATGCCACTGAGTGTCATGTCTAAATTGACACCCCACACCTCCCGAGAAGAGGTGTCCACAAGATAGGTGCACGAGCATCCCAAGGTGCTTGCTAGGTAAATGCATGCAAGCAGGGCCGTGTGATCTGAGGAGGGTAAAGACAGGTGTGGGCAGGGGGCACCTGTGGTCTTGGAGGGCGAGCGCAAGGCTTGCTCCGCGGCCGTGCGCCATCGCTCGGCGCGCAGCGCCGTCAGCACTCGGACGCCCAGCTCGCCCATCTCCACCTCCATGCTCAGCCCGCTCTTTGCCAGCTGCGCACAACCCATCAACCCCCTTTCATGTCCTCGCTCCAACTGTTAGATGGCACAGAAATGTGCTTGTGGAAATCACAGGGCTTCCAAGAGATGCCAAGGGAAGAGAGGGATGGGGGATTACCTGGCTCAGCATCGACACGCGCAGCCGGCCTTGAGGCTTGGTGTCGGCAGGCAGCGTGCCGGGCGGGTGGTTGTCCGGCAGCACGCTGGACTGCTCATGCGCGCGCACCGCCAGATCCACAGCAGTCTGGAGGCAAGCAGACACAGCCATTCGTCAGTCCCTGCCAACATCTCCCTACACATGATGCGCTTGCGCCGTCGCAACATACGCCACTGTTGTTGGCAAAACCTGAGACGGCATGTTGTAAGTGTGGAAGAGAGCCCCTGCACGGGAAGAGGAAGGTAAGTGGAGCTGACCTGCCACCGGTCGAAGCAGCTGAGGATGCGCGCCATGGTGGCCTGCTCGGGCATCACGCACGGCAGCGCTGCCGCCTCCTGGATCAGCTGCGCCAGCGTGGCACGGTCCGGACGCCTGCAGCAGATCGACACAGACACCGTGAGCACTTGGCAGCCTCATGAATTCTCCAACAGCAAATACAACTGTGCGCATAATGCCTCCTGAACCTCCTACAGTACAGTACCACGCAGTATCAATGGGTGTCAGTGAGGATGGAGCAGTGCTCACCGGGTGCGGCGGGTGCGGCCGATGGCGGCATCCAGGTCGGTCGGCTGGTTCTTGAGTGCCATGCAGAGCGGGCAGGAGTACTTCTTGAGACTTTTCGCCGCGCCCTGGAGAGCAACATACACAAAATCACATCAGCTACCCTGCAGCCAGTCTATCCAAACCAACTCATTACTTTCCTGTGAAGGGGCTGCTATGTAGGCCTGTCCACACATGGCAACACAAAGCCACCCGACCTCGTCCTAGCACTTCTGTGATCTTCACTGTCACGCATCTGATCGAAGTGTAAAGAGCAAGCACTGCAGGCAACACACGACGCAGTAAAAGGCTGGGCGGGGCGTGCCTGTGTGAGGCCCATGCACTTGAGGTGGTACCATTCGTTGCACAGGTCGCACTCAATCATGGCCGTGTCCACGTTGTAGGGCTGCTGGCAGACGCAGAAGAGCTCGTGTTCGTTCTCTACATACACCTCCTCCTCGGGGGACATCTCCTCCTGCTGCATGGCCTTGGCCGTGCGCCGGCGCCTGCCGTCCGCGACCGCCTCCCTCTCCTCTGCGGAGGGCGGACTCGGCGTGGACACGTGCTTCTGCTGCTGCGTGGCCGACTGCTGATTCTGCCAGTACAGCCTCTTCTCGTCCTGCACAGCACGTTCAGCAGCGTGAGGAGCCTCTTAAATGCTGGTGCTCTGGGCTCTGGCGCAGTGCAAGCCAATCCGAGAAAACCAGGCTTCTTTGAACGGGACGCCAGCACCATAGATCAGACCCAAGAACGCACAATCCATCAGGTGAATAGTGTGTTCTGGGTATGTGTTCTGCAGTGCTGGTGTCCCATTCTGGATAGTATGCTTTAGAACAAAGAATGCAGGAGGGATGAGGGAAGGCGGTTGCAGGGGCAGCGCACCGTGACGCGCATGGTCAGCTGCTCGAGGGCGCGGTCGATGGAGGAGGCGAGCCAGGAGAGGCACTTGGACAGCTTCTGGCCGCTGTTGCGCTTGGCCATGGCCCGCCGCGCGCGCTCCTGCCAACCCTCCGCGGCGGCCACCGCCTCCAGCACCGCCCCGGACATCGGCGACACTATCGGCAGCTCCGCCGCCCCGTCAGCCAGCGCCGCCAGCTCAGCGTAGCTCGGCTTCTCTCCACCTGCTTGCAACCACTCAACGTCAACCACCCAGTGCTCATTCTCATCACAAAACCAGCACACTGCAGGCAGGCTCTCTTGCCTTCTATACTGGGCATGATCAATACAGGGCACATCTGGAGTGCGCCTCTGGATGGAACTGTGCACCGACCAGGTGGTCTTGAGCCTCTGGAAGAAACACAGAGCAATCTAGGCAGACAGCCGTGCAAACAGAGGGGGGTGAGCGCACCGGAGCGCAGGGCGCGGGCGGCGCGGACGTTCCAGGCGCGGGCGGCGGACATGGCGGAGATGAGCTTGGGCAGGCCCTTGAGCTGCAGGCCCAGCGCCTTGCCCTCCTCCAGCAGCGCGCCCACCTCCTCCATGCTCAGCTCCACCGCCTCGCCCGCCCCAGCCTGCACACACCACAATGCACCCTCTCAGTCAACACCGCCCCCTCCTCATAAACACAGAGGACGGCAGTAGGCCTGAAGAATGTGACAGCTACACTCTTCAGTGTACCAAATGTACCAGTACTTAGCTAATTGCGCACCGTGCTGCGCACACCATGAGGTGCGCACTATAGGCACCGTCCGCCAATTAGTGGTGCATTGAGCACCCATCACAGAGGCCAACTGGCTCCAAAGCAAAGAGACATTTTGGAACTCTACTTTGATAGTGTAATGAAATAGTGACAGGCTTGAGAAAGTGCGCACCCGCTTGGGGTTGAGCACTGCAGCGCAGCGGGCCTCCCAGTCCTCTCCATTGTGCACGATCTCCTCCAGCCTGCCTCGCAGCTCCACGTCCACCGGCAGGTCCTCTGCCTCGGCCGCCAGTGCCGCCGCCTGCGCCAGCGTTGGCTGGGATCCCCGCCGCCGCGCTGTCTCGCTGGCCTCCTCGTCTGCCGCAGCTCTCTCATCCGCCAGGAACCTGCAGTGTAGAGTTTCTAAGTCAGCTCTCACCTTCTGCAACCCTGCCCTGTCACTTAAGGCTCTATTTTGGTAATGTGTCGATAACCTTCATATCATGTCAGCCGCCACTTCTCCGATCAACTGCAGTGTCAGGGCCAAGACCAAGCATCAGAACAAGGTAGAGACTGTGGGAGGAAAGCACCTTTCAGCGGCTTTGGTGGCAGGAGACCGCAGCTGTGTCTGCGCGCTCTGCGGCTGTGGTGCAGCAGGTGATGCCAATCCTGGTGGTGCTGCAGAACACATGATATTACTGAGGTCAGGCAAACAGTCTGCCTTTGTCAAGAAATGCACAAACCGGATGTACAAGAGCCACACAAAAAAGGCAGGGCTGATATGTTCAATAAGAGCTTTTACAACATGATGTGGGCCACTACCAGGGTCAGCAGATGCAGGTCTTGGGGCGATGGCATCCAGCATGGCAGCGTCTGCCTCCTCGTCACCGTCACCCAGCAGAGCCTGCGTCCAGGGCCCGCTGATGGCCGCTGGCGCTCCCTGCGCCAGCCCATCTGCAGCTTGCCTGCCGGTAGACTCCTCCAAGCCCGCCATCAAGTCCTCAATCGTCACCTGCAAATCCACACATCTCCTCAAAACACAAGAAATCCATGAAAAGTTGTCATGCATTTCTGCAGAAAAAAATATATGAAGAGCCACACCAAAGTCTGTGCATGTCATATTTCAGTGTGAGGTTTATGAAGGATAGAGGCAAAGGGAATCGAGGGACTTGCCTTGCCGTTCGGCCCAAGCTTCATGGGGGAGACCTTGGTGAATATAGCTGAGCCAGCAACGACTTCCAAGCCACCAGTGACGCCGACGACTCTGGCAGGCGTGGCCGGCGGCACCTGCTGTGCTGCTCTGCCTGACGGCTCCGACCGCTCTGCAGCCACTGCTTCATCTGTCTGGCTGGGCGCCGGCAGCTCCCCTGCCTCTGCCATGACCACATCTGTGCCACTAGCCGGCTGCTCAGGAAGCGCAGACGATTCAACAGAGGGCCCAACAGCCGGCTGGGCTCCTTCTGTGGCTGCTGCGCTCCCAGGAGTTTCCTCCTGAGGAGCGCCACTCCCATGCTCTGCTGCAGCAGCCGGAAGCGGCTGCGGCGGCGGGAGCGCGGGTGCGGCAGCAGAGGCTTGTGCCGACTCCGGCGCAGCGGCCGAGTCGGCTGCGGCGGGTGGCGGCTGAGCGTGCGCCGATGCAGAGGCCGGGGCGAGGCAGGCGGGTGCCGGGGTGGATGGCAGGGGTAGCTGCGGCGCGGGGGCGGGCTCGGTGGCCGTCAGCAGGACGCGCGCTCGGGCCGCCCACTGGAGCGCGGCCAGCCGGTCCCGGGCGGTGCTGAGCTCCAGCATGAGCAGGCCTACGTCCATGCCCTTCTCCACCAGATCCTGCGTTATGGCAGCATGCTTTTAAGTCTTCTTCAGGCCTCAGCAGCTCTTCACACCTTGTCATGACAAGGGATGGTGCACAGATGGAGAACCACATGCATAATGCTCAAGGGCCGCTGTCTTCGCTCTGCTCAGCCGAAAAGCAAGCACTGTTCAATTTATCATGCAGGCTCCTCACAGCAAACAAATAGAATGCACCGACTGACCTCCAGAATGGGGCCGTGCTCTTCAGTCGGGGTCTCTGCAGTGGAGGGGTGCTTCTGCGCCTCAGCAATCCAGGAGAGTGCCAGCTCGTGCCTGGCCTTCAGCTCTGTCGCTTCTGGCAACTCCACCGACATTTCCTCATACGTTGCCAAGAGCTTCCCCACCTGCGCCCGCAAACCTCTGCTCTGTCAGGCTTATCCCATATCGAGGGTTGCACCATGCAAATCTCACTACATCACAAAGCAGGATACCGTAGTCAGCACCATATTTCCCGCATAAAATAATTAAGAGAAAGGGTCGAAAATTAAGGCCCTTAAATGCAAAATATAAACCCTATGGCAATTTTTAGACCAGATTTAGTAAGCTCTCGCTGAGCCCGACCCATTGGTGATAATGAAAGATCATTTCAAGGAAGAAAGAGTCCTAAAAACAAGTCCAAGCATTTCACGCGTTTTGAGGGGTGCGGGAATTATGGTGCTGACAATGGTATGCTGCTATCAGGTCATGTCTGAAGTGCTGTTGGATGGAAGTATGTTCACCCGCTCCCCTGCTCTGGTGCAGATGGTCTTTCCGCCCAGGGATGTCCCATCTCTCAAAAGACTGAGTGTCCCGAATATCCCTGACCGAGCCAGGCTTTTCCATGCATCCCCTTGCCTTAGTACGTGCCTCAGCAGGTAAAGCTGGCAGTTTTGAGTCCAGTGGATTACAAATGCAGTGATTGACGGCAGGCTTGCCTGTGCAAGGGGAGGCCGTCTGGAGTAGGGCGAAGTGGCAGTCGAGGGCGAAGATGCAGCAGCGGCAGCTTTGGCCCAGGCCTGTGCGTTGGTGAGGGCGGTGTTCACTTGCGCCAGGCTGCCCATCCTCACACCCATGCTGTTGCCCTCCTCCGCCAGATCCTGCACAAGTGCAAAACATTACTTTCTCATGATGTCCTGAAACCTGCACAACACCCAGGTTCCTGGCCGAGTAGATACCACAGTCTATAGCTTCAGATACGCAGGCTCCTGGGGCCTGCTCAAGTATTGTTATGCATTGTTCTGCGCAGGGCAGGCCAGTATAAAAAGCAGCAGAGGAAGGCAGAGAAAGCAGAAAGCATGCGGCGCGCACCTCGAGGGCCTTGAGCTCGTGCTTGGTGGCCGAGGCGAAGAATGCGTCGGCGCGCTGCTCCCACTCCTCGGCGGCTGCGATGCGCTTGCGCAGGCCGTCCGCGAGGCTGGTCTCCTCCGCGCCCTTGGCTGCTGCCTCTGCCAGCAGCTCCTGCAGCTGCTGCAGCGACTGCTTCCCCGACAGCGCCTGCCACAGCAGAAATCACCATTTCAGAGAAATGAGATGGCGCGCTTGCTTGCACACCCGATACAGTACTGCGCAGCGTGCTTGTCACTTAACACCAGAAGTGAACGACGGCCATCAGGGATAATACAGGCCACCCGCCACCATCATGACACTTCCAGACAATTTGCCAACCCAGGAATGTACAACTGTCACTAGATACAACTCGTCAGCAAACCCAGCATGTATTGCTGTCCTGGGCATGCACTTTTGCGGCTCAAGAGACCCCAATGGAGGACGCGAGCTTGTGCAAAGGTTTAAAATCAGGAGGAGAGCAGGCGGGTACCTTCTTGGCTTGTTCCTCCCACTCGCGGCGGCGGATTTCCAGGCGTAGCTCGTCGACCTGGGGCACTTCCACGCCCAGGCGCAGGCCAGCGTGCAGCACCTCGCGCATGCGCTTCAGCGGCGCGCGCGACTTGGCCGCACTGCCCGCCCACGCCAGCCAGTCCTGCGCCTTCGCCAGCAGCCTGCAAGACGAGCGCATACAAGGTGAGCATTGATAACCGCCCTTGAAGGTGCCTTACATGCATTAGAACAAGCAGCAATGTCCTCCGCAACACAGCCAGCACCATCTGAGATCGCAATCTGCAACCATTCTGTTATTGCTCGACAACCAGGATAGGTGGCTTAATTTTCATCCAAGGACATGACAGTTGTAGCACAGGGTAGTCAAGGCATGCATAGACGGTGCAGGGGAGCCGTCGGTTGTGGTCTTTGTACCTGCTCAGGTTGTCCATGTCCAGGACCACTCCTGGCAGCTCCTGCGCCTGCGCGTCCAGCTCCTCCAGCTCTGCCAGAGTCGGCACCACCTTCTGCAGGTCCTTGCACCGAGCCTGCGAGCGCAGCAGAGACAACCTCAGCACAACCAAATCATAGAGGTTGATTGCAACCTTGAAGCACCTTTCAATTTGTGTCAGCTGCAAGAGAAGAAGGGGCATTGAAATGTAGCACTACCATTCAACCAGTGTAATGCATACCTGGAATGCCGCAAGCTTGGTGACTGCGTTGTTGAGGACATCAAGCTCGGGAACGATGATCTGCGTGTGGGCTGCCTGGGCTTGCAGCTGCTTCAGCTTCTCCAGCGTGACCGGCTCGTTGCCTGTGCAGCAGCATGGAGACAGGACATGAGCGACATTCTCTTCATACAAGTGACACCGGAAGGGATGATGCCCCTCCTCTCACTTGCTGCCCCGCAGAAAACCAACCACGGAAGAACAGAGTGTGTGTTCCTATCATGCCGCACAAAAAGGACCCAGCTGTAGGAATTCCAAGACGGCTGGCATGGGCAAGAATGAGATTGTGTGAGACCCCCTTTGTGAGGTTTGAGCACCCTTGGCCGCATTGCATGTGCACAGCAGAATTCAGCAGTCTTACCAGTGGTCTTCTCTGGGGTGCCAGCGTGGCGGTGGGCGCCGTATTCGGAGCGGGCGCGCCGGGCACGGTGGCCGGCTGGCGCCTCGACCGGCTGCTGCATCACCGGCAACGCCGTCAAGATCGCTTCCACCAGTCTCCTGCCCGTTGCCACCCGCTCTCGCAGAATCTGGTCCCCACACACCTCTTCAGAATTGCCCCAAAGATGTCTTTTCACAAGCACAACTCACGCTTCTAGTCGCATGGCAATTGCAGGCCCGCTTCTTTAATTACACAAGTGACGAACTAGTTTGGCCACAGCTGCTGCCAATTCACCTGGAATGTCTGGCTCATTCAGGACTGGGAGTTTCCACTAGACAACTTAGGATGCAGGGACGGTGTACCTTGGCGTCAGGGAGACTGACGGGGATGCGCGAGGCCTCAGACACCAGGCTCTCCAGGGTCTTAAGGTGGCAGGGCCCCTCGGACGCCAGCACCTCGGCCGCCTTGGCGATCCACCCCTGCGCGGCGGTGTACCCCTCGCGCAGCTTGGTGTAGCCCGACACGTACACCGGCGCAGGGTCCCATGCCACCACCGGCTCCAGCTGCTGCATGGACCCCTTGTTCTTCAGCAGCCCTGTCACCTGTCCCCAGCACCCAAGAGTAAATTCAGCCCTCCTTGCATGCATTCCTACCCTTGCCTATCACTCTGGAGGGCGCCATGGTATGCAGAGCAGAGATGCAGATAAATCTATTCGATTCTTCATAGCTAGATGAGAGCAGCAAGGCTGCAGGCGCTCCTGCAATGTACTTCAAGCAAGAGAGCGGCCTTTTAAATTACGCGTGAGGTGGGAGCGTGCACCTGGCCGACCCAGGCCTTGGCATCCCTGAGGCGCGTCTCCAGGGGCGCCACATCTTCCTGCACATCCTCTGGGCCCCACCCAAACTGCTCCCCCTCCGCCAGCAGCGTGTCCAGCTCAGCCACCTTGGCGCCCCCCGTCTCCAGGAGGGCCTTTGCTTTCTGCACCCACGACCTGCAGCGCACAGAAGCGCACATCATGCAAATGCCCCTGCAACATGTGGCAACCACTGAATCGGCACGCTAATTTCTTATATGCATCAGGCTATCATCTCAAAGGCTGAGCAAGTCCGTGCAATAATGAGCACAACCGGTCGTCGAAAGGGGACAGCCACAAACCTGTGCTTGTCTCGAAGCTGCTCCGTCCACTGGTCCACCAACTCCTCAGTGGACGGCTGTGGAATGCTGGGCTGAGCAGCGCCGTTTGCCAGATGAGCGCCTTCGTCAGCTGCTGCATCGCCATTGGCTGATGGCTCTGGCGCACTGCCATCGGCTTCTCCAGCAGATCCTGCTTCCGGCTTGGGGCTGGCCCTGGGAGACTGGGAGCCCGCCTCCCTCTCAGCATAGTCCGCCAGATCTGCAACAGAAGATGATGCACCTCAAGCTCAAGCTCAGTACATAGCATTTTACATGACTAAAGTCACACGCATGCCCTGCTCAATGTGGATCACAGGAGAATGCACATCTACCCTAAACATCCACCCACGTGTGCATCCACAAAGGATACATGCAATGATACACAAAGCAACACAGCTTGCCCAAAAAAGAAACGTCTATAACCAAATCAAAGCAGTGACAGACCTGCTAGTGCGCTGAAGGCGTCCAGGGCATCCATGGTGTCCGCATCCACCTGCATGGGCTCTGCCTCGGCCTGTGCCTCAGGAGCAGGAGAGCCCTGGTATTCCTGCTTCTCTGAGTCTGGCTGAGTCTCTGCTGGCTGCTCTGGCGGCACAGACACTGCAGCAGCAGCAGCGGGTGCAGAATCTGTCTGCTGCTCTGCCTGCGGCTGAGGCTGCGGGGAGGAGCGCTGCTGCACCTCCATCTGAAGCAGCAGCACCTCCTCTTCTTCCAGCGCCCTCAATTGAGCCCTGGTCTTCCGGATGGTGGGCTGTGCCCTGCATTGTGTAGTATAACGAAACCATCTTAGTGGACAGATCCTCTTGCAGCACTCAACTCTCCTCTTCAACCACGACAAAGATGTATTCTTCTGGTACTCAAAGTCTATATCTCTACACAAGCAGGAACAGCCAACGTTTCATTTGGCGGGACATTCAGAGGGCAAATAAGAGACAAGAAACAGGGGCAGGCACCTCTCCTTCTGGTTCTTCCGCTTCTTCTGCTTGGGAGCCTCTGGCTCCGCCGAGGGGCCCAGCTCAGGATCGAGCTTGACGCTGGGCTGAGGCGCCTCAGAGGCGCTGCGACTCCTGCTCCTGCTGACAGGCTCCTCGCACTTCACACACTCCGCGGCCTTCGGTAGCGCCGCCCGGGACTCCATCTTTGTGGCAAAGTCTGCCGGCCACAAGCATAAGGTCAAGTATGCGGCAGCTGCTACTTTTTCAAATTGAAAAGGCTGGAAAATTTGCGGTGTAAAGTAGGAAGGGACCAGCAGGGGCATGCAATTTTCTAAGACTCACTTCCAAGTCAAATCATTACACATCACAGGATACAGTACTAGAGAAGTAAGACAGGTGCACATGGCGGCTGCATCTGATAAGGAGAATCTTCTGGATGTGCTCATGGCGGCTGCGATTCGATGAAAGTTGTTATGGAAGGCACTCACAGGGGCTGCGGAAGGATGAGAAATTGTCCAAAGCACACCTTCAGGGATGCGCTGAGCGACTTGGGAGAGCAGCGCATGCAGCTCGGCGAGGGAGTGGCGGAAGGCGATGCGCCATTTGGGCGGCGGGCATTCGCACAGCGCAGACGCGTGGCGCAGGCAGGTGCGGCGGCGCGGGCAGCAGTCGCATTCCACAGCGCTCTCGTGGCAGTACAGGTGGCAGATGACGCACTCTGCGTCGTCCGTGTCGCCCTCATCCATTCCGACTTCCTGCACCACTCTGCGCGAGCGCAGGCAGCCTGCACAGCAGCACACAACCCGCCATCAGCCTCCGGTCCAGCCCTGTTGCCTCACTGTTGCCATCCTTGATAGGCCCGTCAAGAATCACAATTCAACTTCTGCTCTCATCCACTTGTGAAGATTTCTGTCCCTTGCACGTTGACAATAGAGTGGGAACTTGTAAAGCAACTTGTAGCACTGTCTCTGTGTCGATAGAAGCTGCCCCATGCGTACTGGTGAAATGTTATGAAGGCACAGGTATTGAGGAATGCAATGGTCACTTACACCATGCGCAACAACAGGGTGAGAGGCAGCTGTGCTGGTTCATGCAAGACCTTGCATGTCTGAGGAGCTCACCTTGCGACCAGAGCTTGAAGCGCCACTCACGCTCCTCCTGGATGACGCGCTGCAGGTCCCTGTGCACGAAAAAGGATGCGTCCGGGCTCGTCTCCTCCCTAGCTACCTGCGCAGCCCATGATACACAATTAAGAGGCAAAAATTTGAGAAAACCACTGTACACAACAATACATACCTTTAATACAGTCTTACACAACACTGCACATTCTGCCATGGTCTTAATGCTCTAGAGGGCTCGACCTGTGATGATGGGAATTCATCATACAAAGCATGTGATTTACCTTATTACATCATGCAGATGGAAAGCACGCATGAACATGCAGGGTGATGGGCATTACAGGGGCTCCTACCTTGAGCAGCAGCCACTCGTGGGAGAGGAGGGAGGGCTTGCGGAAGCAGCGGTAGCGATCCAGCGAAAGCGCCGCAAAGCGCAGCCAGTCCGCCGGCGCAAAGTTGACCGCCTCCGCGCAGTTCAGCCCCGTGTTGAACCCGCCGTGGTACGCGCCCGGGAACGTGATCACAAACTCGCCCGGCTCCTGCCCACACAAATAGATTGTCACGCATATGCCTTGTGTTTAGATTCCGGGTAGTCACTTGGAATCAGGCTTAGCAACACTCCCCGGCAATGTGTGTTGCAACCAAAGTTCTGCTGCGCTGTCCTGGACTCAAGATAAACATGCTGATAAATCCAGGACGACAAATGCCTCTATGCAGGCTTTGTCTTACGATAGCATGCTTGCTGAAAAATCCAGGTCATGAACAACAAACACCGAGTGGCAACAGGAGAACAGACCTGCAGCACGCCAAAGACAGGGACGTCGTGCTGGCGCAGCACGCGCGGCGACAGCATGGCGGTGAGGTGGAAGAGCAGGTCCGGCTGCATCTCAAACTTCTCTGGCAGCGCCTTCTTGAACACCGTCTCAAACGCGTTGGCCGCCGCCGATGGGATGCCGTACCACCGCTTCGCGTCCCCCCAGTGATGGTAGTTGACTGCAGCAGGCAATGCAGGCTCAGCATTCACTTTTGCACATAAGGATCGCGACACTTTATGGGGTTGAGAGCAAATTGCCCGCTTGACAGTGACAAGAGTGACCCCATCAGAAGGTTAGCAATGGGGTAAGAAGGGGGAGGGGGCGCACTGGAGTAGAACATGTGGTCCTCGATGTGCCAGGCGAAGGAGGAGAAGAGCATGCCCATGTAGACCCAGGGCACCATGACACCTGGGATGCTGTCGTCCACATGACGCAGCATGCTGCCGTGAGAACCTGTCACCAAGCAAACGAAGCAATCAGAATCTGGCTTGAGAAAGCACAATCCATTAGCGTTTGGCAGAGATACATTGGGGGGCCTAAGGGACAAAGGGCATGAGCACACCTTGCAGCCGAGGGAAGTTGTTGAGGTTCCACATGGCCTGGGCATACTCGTTGGTGCCCATGCGGCCGCCGACGCGTGGGAAGCCAGAGCCCAGCTGCGTGGAGTCCAGGTCAGCGCCATAGATGACATCGATGCTCTCCTCGCCCTCCTCCACAATCTTCCAGAAGGCTTCCTCCACCTCCTCCCAGCTCACCTGCACACACGAGGGGATATTTATTTCTCCTCACAGAGTAGCTGTGAAAAATATACTCCTCGAGTGTGTTACGTTGACTACCATGCTTGTTCCACAGCTTGCTGCTCACAGAAAACAAGAAGTAGCCATGCAGAGCACAAGAATGAGGTGCCTTAGAGGGTGAGGAGAGGCTTTCTGGAAAAGGGTTGCACCTCTTGGCCACCAAAGTAGTGGTCCTTGAAGTCGTTGGCAATCTGCTCAAACTCTGCGAGGGAGTACTCGTGGCCCTCCTTGAAGGCGCCGCCCTCTGCCTCCGCCTCGCGGCACAGGGGGCAGACCCAATTGCCTTCTGGCACTGTTTCCAGTGGCGGGTTGAGGCAGAACAGGTGGCAGCCCCTGTCGCACTGGTCGCACAGGATGATCTTGTCCTCGTGATGGCCGCCCTTGCACAGCTCGCAGTTGAGCTCATAGATGTTGGCAGGCACGCGGATCTTGTCAGCATCCTGCGCCAGGGTCAGGAGGTGGTGTCACTCTCACTCCCTCTTCACAGCAAAATGTGCTGCAAACTTTTAGAATAAAGCAGAATCGTGATCGCACCTCGGCTTTGACTTCCTCGCTCTTCAATCGCTTGAAGGAAGGCTCATCGCCCTCAGCAGACCCAGCCCTGTCAAAGGACATCAGGCTCCCAAGAATTTCGGCTGCCTCCGTTGCGTCGTCCACAACTGCCAAAAAAGCGTTGAATCTGCTCCCTCCGTCAGAGGTGGTCGCCCTCTTGCCATTCTTCTTTTTATCTGCCTCAGGGTCCATCCTCTGCTGGCAGTAAGCCTCATATGGCAGCAGGTGCTTCTGGTACGTTTGTCGCAGCGTGGACATGGCATTGCCAGTCTTGTCGTCAATCTGCAAAGCACGCTCAAGGTTCAGCAGGAGCATGCAAGATCGTAAAGCAGCTTAAACCACTTGCACAGTCAAGGAATTACCTGCATGATACGGGCAACATCGCGCCAGAGCTTGTCGTCGCTCACACGCTCGAAGCCGCCACGCCCTGAAACAAGGCGATATAGCTTGGCGAGATCCACCTCATGCCCGGCCACCACGGGATTGCGCTTGGCAGCCTTCCCCTGGCTCCTCAGCCACGCCTGAAATCCTCTGTTGAAAGACTCAGAGGCTGCCGAGAAGTCTGTCCTCTGCTGCAGCTCATGGACAGACTGTATCCGAGTCCGGAAGCGGTAGTTCCTCTTGTCGATGGCGAAAGGAGGCTTCCAGCCTGCAGGAGGGATGACCTGGGCACACCAAAGAAAGTCTCAGCAAGAGGGAGGCTGAATCTGCACACGCCATTTTAAATGGTTTTGGGAAGGTCGTGTGTGCCTTAGGCATCACACGATCTCATTCAGCAGGAGCAAGGCCCGCAAAAGCTGGTGGATTGCCCAGGCTGAGGCCTGCAGATTGGCCATACTAGAGGGTTGGGGGTCGCTCAGGCTCACCTTACAGATGCCGTAGGATTCCGCATGCTCCCTGATTGAGGCTATATATGCAAGTGGATCCTCAAATTCCTCAGGCGTGGGACGGAAGACTGGTGCTTCCGGAACCAGCATCTCATCCGTCCTTCAGTGGAGTCGCTGTGTGTGCCAACACAGAAACTGATCACCAATCGCCAATGCACATCGCTCGCAAAATAACCACTTCCTGCATCATTTCAACAAATGATAGCCCTGTATACAACGCGTTTTTTCACCGAAACAGAAGTCCGGCAAAGCAAGACTGCAGAGGTTTTTTGATGTCGAGAACTTAAAACCCTATTTATTGTTGTGGTCCCCTCGAAAAACCCTGGCTTCTAGTGATGTGTTGTCGTGAATCCCAGAGCCATATACGTCCCTTCAACCTGTTGTAAACACGGTGTTTAATCTTAAAACTGTGATTGGATGGTTTGGTAGGAACGAAGACAGCACATTTGACTCTTGTGACGCGAAGTGGACTGCACATGCCTTCAGGGCGCATGCATTTTAATCCATGAGCAGTAGCAATCGATCTCCTCCTTCTCATTGGGAAAAAGGTAGCGGAAGTAGGGGCAACAGCCGTCATCTGGAAGTCAACGGCCAGCGTGTGAAATATATCGGTGCGATAATCTGGCTTTTCAGCTCGTCTTGCATGGTTTGCCGTGGAGATGGAGCTTGTAGTTGTTGATATAAGCTGCAAACTGGCTGCGAAGCTTGTGTTCCCCTTGCTCCAGGGCCAGGAAGTGCAGACAAGGACGCAGCGTGTGTAAGAGCAAACACATACGTCCCACTCTCCCAGGCGATCTACTACTTCGAAGTGCAAATCATCAGCAAGGGGAGGGATGGGTACATTGGTGCGTGATCTTAGACATCACATGCAGAGACCTGGTCGATTACACCTTTGACGTGAACTTGAGCCCAAAAGTGTATTCTTCTGGCTATAGGGGTGGGCTTCTGCACAGCTGATGTAAACATGGATAGGCTCCCTGGCTGGGAGCCACAAAGCTATGGCTACCACGGCGATGATGGCAATGCCTTCCGCAGCGATGGGAAGGGAAGGCGCTATGGCCCAACCTTTGGCACCGGTATGCCCCTCCCCTGTTCCTATTTCATCTATCAAACATGTCAGTCATTGTGGACAAAGACCCGATCGCTTATCTCTCTGGTGTCCAAATCGCAACCACAGTCGTTGTTGTGCAGGGGATGTCGTTGGAGCGCTTTTGAACAGAGCCGAGCAAACGATAGCCTACTTCAAGAATGGCATTGATCTGGGCACTGCCTTCCTGGGTGTGGCTGAGGAGAAGCTCTATCCCTGCGTGGGCATGCAAACCCACGAAGAAGAGGTAACTAGTAACACCCTCCTGATCAGGCACTGCTGCTCGGAGAGGGTTTAGCCCTCTTGCAGCAGGGTTGACCTCGGGATGGCTGCAGGTGCTGGCCAATTTTGGAGAGGCGCCCTTCAAAGCTGATGTGGAGAGCATGAAGGTGGAAGCAGCACGCAGATTAGAAGCGCAGATACAGGAGACAGTGCTTCCCGCCAGGGGCAAGGTGTGGGATCCCAGCTGTCCTGCGCATGACAGCATTATCAATTCGGGGGCTCCAATTTTGACTTGAGCATGCAGAGCACGGCACACTAGCAGCTGCACCCTGGTGTGCCAGTGCACTGGGCTGTCTTGCATTGTGTCGCCAGCTTTTCAAGAAGCCAGCACAGCCAGGCAACCCTACAGCGAGCGTGAGGGGCTATCCTAGATACTTGCGATCCAATGCGTAGGTGGGGTCCTTGTTGGCGGAGCTGATCTTCGACTACATGGTGCACAACTGCTACTTTGAGTCGGCCGCGGTGGTCGCACGGGACCTGCTGGACGGCGCGGTGGAGGTGTCGCCTCAGGACAGGGACGAGGTGCGGCTGCGCGCGGGGGCGGCCGAAGCGCTCGTGGCCGGCCGCATAGACGACGCCATGAGCAGCGCCGAGCACGTGGCGCCGGGCGTGCTGCAGGCGCACCCCGGCATTCTCTTCCGGCTGCAGTGCCAGAAATTCATGGAGCTGGTGAGCGCCTCGCCTCTTGTAGCTTCAAAACACCCCACTAATATGAGGTGTGTAGTTGGATATTTGAGTCCCAATTTCAGGTTGTATTTTGTACAGCATTTTGCAAGGGTGGAGCTGCTCCTCTTTTGGCATCGTCTAGGTAATTTCTTAGTATCTTTGAAGCTATTTATTGATCGGACCAATGATGATTTGACAGGTGCGGCAACGGGACGATGAGGGGGCCGTGAAGTTTGGGAGCACAGTGCTGAAGAAGTCTGCTGCCACTGGCGAGGATCAGGAGCTACTGCAGGACGCCCTCAGTCTGCTGGGCTACAATGACCCAGCCAGCAGCCCCTGTGGCAGCCTCCTTGGCACAAAGGTGGGCCGGGCCACGAACACAGCATATTCTCGCCAAGGAGTCGTCCAATCCCTCTGTATTGCACAGCATAGAGCATGTAGATCCATTGCGCCTGTCAACTTTGTGAGCAGTGGTCATTTTTTGCGCAGGTAAGAGAGGACTTGGCCAAGGTGCTGACTGCAGCCATCCTTAAGCACACCGGCAAAAGGGAACAGAGCGCCCTGGAACGCATTGGGTGCCAGCTGGCAAGCTTCTCCATCCATGAACTCTGAATTCCACGCCTGGCCTGTCTGAACACGTTGGAATCCGTACCTGAAAGACTTCTGGTTTCAGTCTCTGGTTGAACAGCAGTAGCTGGCCTGCTGCTTGCCGCTGACCCCCAGGTGTCTGTGTACTTGACACAGGACCACATGTTGAGCTAAAAACAAGAGTCGTGCTGAAAGGATGTGTTTGGGGCGCGCAGGAAGCATCGCTGGGCACATTGCTGAGCTTGGGCGACCCTCGCATTGCTCTGATCGAGAATGTTGGGCCAGGGAAGGGTCTTAAACACTAGCAGCCCGTCCCAGCCTGCTCCCTGAGCAGAAATGCATGCATGCGATCGCAATGAATAAGACTCTGCGGCAAGCAGCGGTGCTTGTATAGAACAACGTCAGGGACTTGATGGAGGGTGTATTTGTTTGTTGTGCAATATTTGCAAAGAGAGTTCCCAGGAGACTTCCTTGAAGGCCCTTCCGGGACTTTCCTGTATACTGTACTTATTCAGATAAATGAAATGTAAATGAATGGTACTGGCGGTATCATATGCAGTCATGAGATATCTGTGCTGCAACCGCTATCATGATGACTTTGGTACAATCTGTTTGGACTTTCAGGTAGTCATCCGACATTAGAATCCAGGGACTCGGAGTCATCCAGTGGTTTCAACCAAGTTGACATGCGCATGCGCAGTGAGTGAGCCATCAACATTCAACTTTGATAAGACTTCTTGTCTCTTTGCCTGTCACTGAGCTTGGCAAGACTCTGCCTCCTGCTATTCGAAGGCTTCCACCGGACTGAATCACGCTTCATCATGTTCTCAAATAGATGCAAAGGTGCGCATGATGATGCAATGACTAACCGCCGCGCTGGCAACATTAGATTACTATATTGTGGGACCCCGCCCACAAGATGAGGCCAGCGAAGGTGCAGACGGCTTGGGATGCAATTCTAGGAGGACTGTTCTGATCGCACCCACAATTTTGGGGCAGACCAAGTAGAGGCAAATGGCCGCGCCGGTGGCCCTGAAACCCGGCCTGAATGTGCACGGCTCCTGCAAGGCATCTTTCAGGGGTTTGACAAGTGCATTTCAGAACCTCAGAGTGTCTTCACCTGCGGGCAGAAGACAGAGACTTTGCGTAGAAGGTTTGCTTCACATCCTCATCGGTTCATTCATGCATGTCACGGTGCCAAGGTGCAAGGTGGTGAGGCCAGGCTTAGATGCATGTTGCTGGTATCACCTTCCGCGGAGTCTTTCTGTGACTCGCGCTGTCATTGTTGGAACATGTTAGTTTCCACTATCGCACAAGGAAGCGCGCCTGGCATGGTGGGGGAACTTCGGAAAGGAGAAGCCTTTGCTTGCCAACCAAGAACTTTCTTTTCGTGTGTGCTGTTCTCAGTTGGACAATATTGCTGCCTCGTAAGCAATGCGACTGATCGATTGGCCTTTTTATGCAGCTTCAAGGACGTGTCAGTTGACTGGGAAGAAGGCCAACAATGGATATGTTGGTGAGTGGTTCTACACCTCAGTAGCTCTCTGGATTTGCATCTGTATGCCTGCTACGTATCTGTCTGCAGAGCCATGTGCCTAATCCGTTATGTGTGGAACACAGTGACCTTCTCACACAAGAGGAATAAGAAGCTTCAAGGCGCTAACCTCCAGTACAAGAGGTTGTTCTGGCCTGAGGAGAAGCGATGGGTCCGCATGCGCATCAGCACTAAGGTACTTACCTGGAAAGCAAGTCATCAACCGGCGTTGGCAAGCCATTAAATTACCACAAGGCTGCGGTCCATAAAACACGGCATACTATCATATGCCTCATATCATCTGCGCCAGTGCACCACTGTGTGCACTGTCACTACACTCTAACTTTGCAGCTGTCGCTATGTAATTGCTCGCCAAATCTAGTGTACAAGGGTGTGGTTTCCGTGTGCAGGCCATGAAGACAGTGGAGAAGAGGGGGCTGCAGGTGATGGCCAAGGAGGCTGGCATTGACCTGTACAGCCTGCCCTATGTGGACGCGCGGCCAGAGCGCCAGGAGTGGCTTGCCCAGCAGCCCAGGCACCCCCCTATGGTGAGCGCAAGGCTTCGTACTGTATCTCATCGGCGCGGTAACTCGGTTCTTCTGTGCACCTCAGAAGGAGACACTGCTCTGAGTGTGCTTCCTCCGACTGCAAGACATTCCAGAAATACCCTGGAACGCTCTCTTGATTGTAGTTAACTGCAGGCAGCCCTTTCTGCTTCCTTTTGGCGCTTTGATGTCAGCATTTCAAATTCTCTAATTGCTTTCTAGGAAGCAGGGGAATTTGAGGGTGCAGCTGGTGTCACTGAGCTATTTGCTGTTGTGTGTGTCAATCAGGCCAAGGACCACATTGGCAAGTCGCGGCGCATGAAGAACCCTGAGAAGCTGGCGGCCAGCAAGAAGAAGCCGCTGGTTGCACGCTACATCATTGGTAACCGTGTCATCTTGACGCGTGACCCCACGCACGTGGCTGAGTATGCTACCTAGAGAAGTCCTTTGAGGCGTTGCCGGCGAAGCACGGCATTTTAACTGCAGCTTCCAATCCCAACCTTCTTTTTGTCAGTGTGGGACCTACTCGAAGTGGCAGAGCAAGCTTTGGGCTCAGCATGGCTGATGAATGCGCTTGTTTTTCGGGACATTCAACATCACGCGGTTGCAGGCTCTCAAGTGGATTTAAACACTTCACAGTAATTATTGAGCTTGGGACTGACAGCTGTAGAAGCCCACGCTGACGGGACTGTAATGTAACTCTGAAGACCTTACATTTGCCGGTGTGATGCATCAAATGTTGCCCTGCAGTACATTAGGCATCTACTGACATCCATCATGCACATGCACCACATGATCAGCAGACTTCCACCGGAAAAAATGTTCTTATAGTTCGACTCCGAGTTTGGCTATAAGTATTTGGCCAACGACATTGATAGGACAGCATGGTTCTCCTCACTTTGCACAACTTCGTGTGTACCAGCAATGCCACATAGTTGGAGAAAGACTCTCTAAGACGAATACTGGCCTGAAACAAACTGTGCACATTCAGGTGTCTCAATCAAGGTGCAGGCGTTTCAGACGCCTTGGGGTAAAATGCGTATCCTTCCCATCTGCTCTTTGGAGGTGGACATACAGTAAACATCTACTAAATCGCAGAACTGAAAGGTGCAGCACGCTATAGCAATCAATGAACCAACGGATATTTCGTTAAGGGTTTGGAAATTCTCTACAAGCTGCTAATCGCAACATCTTTGTTGTAAATAGCAAAGGTACACTAAGCCACTACAAACGAAAGGGTTCGAAGTGATTGACGAGCAATCTTGCCATTCCAAACCAATTTCAAGCTTCTCTCGCCTGTTGCATGGCAGTTTGAAGCAGCTCGCGTGTACTGATGGTAGGAATTCGCTTCAATCAAAGTCTTGGGTCCAAGAATACTAAAGTCTCATCATAAAAAGTTTGTTTGCTGCCCTACTGAACCCTCACTGCTTTGTGTCGTTTGCCTTGGATGCGTGCAGAGAGAACCTGCATAGTCTTATTTGTCACAACTATAGACTCTGTCTTGTGCACGACATTTTTGGATATCTGGCTTGATATGAAATAGAGGAATTAAGGGACCAAAATTGAGAGAGAGAGGATTGTATCATGCAGAGCCTGCCTGCTCCCAGGCAGGTCCAGGATACCATGACCTGACCTTGTGTGCGGTCTTGGCAGGCTGTCAGGTTCGTGCTCCTGCTGAGCCGGCAGGGCAAAGTACGCCTGTCCAAATGGTACACCACCTACAATCAGAAGGAGCGAGCAAAGATCATCCGAGACATCACACCGCTTGTGCTGGGCCGCGCACTTAAACTGTGCAACTTCCTCGACTACCAGGACATTAAGGTGATCATCTGCATGAGCTTCCAGATGACCGGGATGACCTGCAAGTATGAGGAGCACTTCCCTATTTGGGAATGCCTAGAAGGATGGCTTCACCTTCAAAAGCGGTGAAGGTTATCAAGCTGGCATGACAGGGGCATTTACCTGCTGTGGTGACAGGTGGTGTACAAGAGATATGCCAGTCTATACTTTGTCATGGGCATTGATGCTGGCGACAATGAGCTCATCACCCTGGAGCTTGTGCACCACTATGTGGAGGTTCTGGACCGCTACTTTGGCAATGTGTGTGAGCTTGATCTCATCTTCAACTTCCACAAGGTGTGCAGTCCTTCGTTGGCTCTGCGGTGTAGCACACAAGAATGCAATGCAGCAATGCGTTGATGTCAGTCTGTATGTCTATGAAGGCAAGACAGTGCCTGAAAGTGCGTTGAGTGGAGCTAGAAGAAATGTGCTTTGCTCTGGGCGCAGGCATACTTCATGCTGGATGAGATGCTGATTGCTGGGCAGCTTCAAGAACCCAGCAAGAAGGTGAGTTTACAGCTGAAAATACAGGTCAACTGCAGAACAGATAGACAGATGAAATATTCAGCGCGATGGGGAGATCTGGCTGGAGAGCTGTGAGTGCTGCGTGCAGGCCATCACCAGAGCGATAGAGGCCCAGGATCGATTAGTCGAGGAGGCCAAGACTGGCATTGTGGAGACTGCCCTTGGCACCAATGAGTGCGCACCGCTCTTTTTATAATTGAAAAGTCTCTTTGCAGCATCACCTCCTCAGCACCACCAAGTGCTGCTTCTCAAGGTTCTGAGGCGGCATGCTCTTCATGAAGATTTGCATCAGGGAAAGCAGCACCATGGATATTGCTGTGTCTGCAGGGTTTGAATGTACGAGATGGGATAAGAGGCCGGCTGCTGCTCCAGTGGATAATAAAAAGCTCATTGTCAGGATGAAACTTGGGACGGTATGCTACATAGCTGAAGATATCTGTATCATTTTTGTCGGAGATATATTACAGAATATCACATGGGAGGTCCTTGTTTGGGGACAAGCCAGACATCTGATTTCCCCTCCTTGGAACAAGATGCGGAGCAAGAAACAACTTCACAGATTGGCAATTGCAGTCCTTGATTTAACTGCCGTGTGATATATATTTACTGCCATTGAATTGTATACTTCTGTGCATGAAAGGCTCCTCATGCTCATGCACCTTCAGCTCAGCATTGTCTTTCTAACATCCTTCAGCATGGATAGAAAGATTGAGTATGCACATTGAGTCACACTGTCCACCTTGGGCCTGGGGGCCCCATGCATGTCATACACGCAACCGGTCCAACACACAGCCTCAAGCGGTCAGCTTGAACTTGATGCCGGGCTTGAACTTGGCCGACACATCATCTGCCAGCTCCTCCTCCTTAGCCCAGGAGCCATTCTGATGTGTCTCCTCGTGCGGGGCTGCATGCTCAGCTGGGCTAGCATACGGGCCCGCCGGGTCTGCATCGATAGCCATGGCATCCTGCGCCGGCTTTGCGGCGGCCTCAATTGCCATCCTGCACAGAACATCATGTTCCTTAGAAGACTGTGGCCGCCAGAGCAAAACCCTGAACTTACAATTGCCACATACCAGGCATGGATTGGTCCCAAAACCCAAGCCATCCCTATGGGAGTCTATTAAGCCCCACCCTTGCCGCACCACAATGGTGGCTACAGAACCTTCTAACAGAGAGGGGCGCCAATTCACCCAGTGGCCTGCTCGGATTGCACGTGTTCCACCTGGGGGCAGGACAATAATCTCACTGACAGGGCAACAAGTCCAAGCTACCAAATGGCACGCTCAGAACGCATAAGCAACAGACAGGCGACAGAGAGGGCGCTCACGTGTCCTTGTCCTTGTCGGTGCGGCGGCGGCGGTGCTTCTCGCGCGCGAGCAGGAAGGTGTCGGCCTGCTCCAGGAACAGCGACAGGTCCTCCTCGCGGCCCTTGGCCTCCTCCTCCGCCGCCTGCACCGCCTGCTTGGCGCCCAGCAGCGCGCGCGCGTACTCCGCCATCGCCTTGAGCCACTTCTTGTACTGCTTGCACGCCTCCTCGCTTTTCTGCAGCACCCGCCCAAGACACCCGCCTCTCAGCACCCACATTGGGGACGTGCATGCTCAAGGCAATAGCCACTTGGGGGCCTGGTCTCTCACTTTGACCCTACGTCAGGCTAGAAGACAATTTCACTGTTGTTTTTGCAAACTCTCTGCTACCAGGTGACAGCAGCCGCCGCCTCAAGGCAGAGCATCACTCATGCAGCTGTAAAGAAGAGGTGAGACTGCACTGGCAGGCTCTCTGTGTGGGCCAGGCCGCAGAAAACACCAGGCAGGCTGCAAGGGGCAGGTGCAGGAAAGTTGAGCTTTTATCAGGGGGCGTTGGGAGGGCGAACGGTAAGGGAAAATTCTAATTCATCAGATTGCAATTGGGAGGTTGAAAGGAGTATGCGCACCACAAGGCGCTCGTTGACCTCGGCGATCTGCCCCTGCGCGTTGCCGTGCGAGCCGCGCAGCGTGGCAAGCTCGGCCTCCATGGCGGCCAGGCGCACTGTCAGCTCGTCCTCGCGCCGCTTCGCCTGCACCAGCTCCTTCTTGGGCACCACCGCCGCCGCGGCCGGCACCGGGGCCGGCGCCTCTGCTGCCGCCCGGGGCACAGGCACTGCAGCATGCACACAAATCCTTCTGTGCCAGACCTCCAAGGCCAGTATGACAAGGTTTTTGGCGCCACTGGCTGCAGGCTAGACCATTGACAACTCATCTCACTGATATGGACGGAGTGTGTGTCCCTCAGAGAAAGCCTGCTGCAGGAGAATGCCGAGGCAACGCTCACCTCTCTTTATGCCGCCGTTCTCGCGCCGTCTCTTGAGGTCGGCCACAGCTGGTGGCCCGCCTGCACGCATGGACATGCTTTGAAAGGCTGCCTCCTCTGAAAACACAAAACAGCAGTACAGTCACAGCATGCTACACGCAGCGCAAGCGAGCCTGGCGCACCGGGGACCACACCCCTACTGTCATCGCTGCCAGTGGATGAGTAGGACCCGGAAGAGCGCGAGTCTGGTGAGCGGCTGACTGGGCGGCCGGCGCGCGGCGGGGAACCGCCTCGTGCTGGAGAGCTGCAAGCATTAATGCAGAAGTGGCAGAGTGAACTTCCAGGATCCAGGCCAAACAAGTGCAACCTTCGGATTTCTTCCATGATGTGTAGCACCAATTTTCATGCAACGCGGCATGATAGGGGCTGAACCCGAACTCACGTTGCACAGAGCAACCCAGCATGCCAGTTTACATCGTTTGCAGAGCTGTGCAGGGGCCCTGTGGCGCAGAGGAATGCAGCCTAGCTTCAAGACAGATCATGGCAGCAGAACCAGAAACGATGACAGCGGGCTCACCCAGCAACAGGCCGGCGGCGCTTGGGGGGCGGGCTGCCAGAGCGGGATCGGGGGGACGCAGAGCCCTCCGGCGAGTAGCGGCCCGGGGAATAGCGGCCGGGCGAGTACCGGCCAGGCGAGCGGGAACGGCCCCTGCGGAAAGGCGCAGGTCCGCCCCCAAATCTGCCACCCCTGCAAGGGTAGGACGCTCATCACGTCTGCCAAGGAAAACAGGATGGAAAGATGATTGTTAAATATTGCTCTGGGGCTCCAAACAACCCGCAGGCGAGGTGGTGGGCGGGGCCTTTTGAAAGCAATGCAGAGTCTGCTCTGGGAGGCTCTGGTCTGGTGCTTCACCCGCCGTACCTTGCCAACGGAGGATGATAGTCTTCTCATAACATTATCTTAGGTGACCTTTAACACCAACAAATGGCAAGCAAAGTATCAAGCAAATCCTCAAGAACCTCATTGAATAACGGGAGCTGGAACAAAATGTTTCCTGCTACTGTGTATTTCTGATTCAGTCCTGCACCACCAATTGTCATCAGATGATAGATTCTAAACCCATCAACCGCATCTCACATATATGACGATCTTGCCCGGGAGGTGGGTCTCTTGAAGGATGATATACCTGCCCTGCTGGAAGCTCTTTTCTCGTGTATCCACCAAGGAGAATTCTTTCTCAGGTAATCAAGACCCTCACAAGATGTCTGCAACCTTATCAGCTGCCTTTCAAACCCAAAGGTATCTCTTTCTCAAGTCTCAGGGGCAAATCAGTCCGCGCAGTGACCAGCAGGTGCGTGAAAAACCGAAGAATGGAACTTTGTGAAACCATCAAACGTATCAAATTTATCAGCAGCTCTAGGCACCTGCAAACACAGTGTGTCAAACGAGAGAACACCAGTCCTTATTATGCACCCTGCACACAGCGGTACCTGGCATTTGCTTCAGAGTGGTTTGTGCACTGCACCCACCTGCCACCTCGGAAGCCGCCACGGAAATCTCCGCGAAAGCCGCCTCTGGCAAAGCCGGGAGTAAAGTCACCGCGGCCACCACGGAAGGCGTGGGGCTGGCCACGATGCGGCTGGTACTTGGCAAAATTGCACTTGATCGTCCTGCCGTCCATAGTCTGCACAGCACACGAGCTCACTTTTGCTAATTGATGTGGCCCTCAGACTACAGTGGAAGCCAGCAATGGGATGTGACATGGTTTTACCTGGCCATCTGCCTGTTTTATGGCGTCCTCTGCATCCCTTGCGTCGTCGAACTTGACAAAACCAAAGCCCTTGGAGCGCCCTGTCTCGGGGTTGAAGACCACCTGAGAATGCAGTGTAACAAAGTTGGACATGACAAGTTCACCTTGAGATAGTTCCACAAATAGACACCATAAGATCGAAGGGCTATGGAGAGCAAAACCAGACAGCAGACAGGTGATATTGTTCATGATGCCTCACCTTTGTAGACAGCACGCGTCCATACTCTTCAAAGAACTCTCTGAGGCGTCGCTCGCTGGTCTCATGATTCAAATTACCCACAAAAATGGTTCCAGCGGTGTCTTCACGACCATCAGCGTCCCCACCACGGGGAGTTTCGCGGTCAGGACTGCGCCCTGCTCTGGAGCGAGGCGATTGGCTGAGAGAAGCAGACATTGAACGTGGCCTTGTCGTTGGGGTTCCAACTCGCCCTTCCCTTCTGCGCTTGTACTCAACGCTCTGATCCTTGGCGGGTGTCGGAAGAAAATCTCCAATCTCTGTGTCCTTCGCAAGTCAGAATATAAAATATATATGTCAACCAACTCGTATGCACGATCAGATCAAGATGCAGGACACGGTCAAAGAGTGCAGTGCTAAGGGATCGAAGTCGCTCAGTGCAGGAAGGGACGTCCCATTACAACAGAGCAAAAACTTGATCTTCCCTTGAAAATATGTCGGAATAAAGAATGCATGATGCGGCACCTTGATGTAAGCGAATAAACATCATGGTAAGTCAAGTCAATCAGGCCATGATCGGGGAACTTACGACGTTCTTGCCGTGCACCGCTGCAGTCGTTGACATTCCAAGTTTAGCAGACCTTTAGCTACCTTCAAGCCATGTGGTGTGCTCGGAACTTAGAGGTCAAATGGTGCAGATCTGCAATGTGGAAGTTGAGCAGTCTCGGTCCCACCTGTCTCCAAGGGCGTGCTTCTTGCAACATGAAATCGCTGACATATTCTTTCAAAGATATGCAAGGAAACATAGACAAAAGAGGCAAATGTGGTGAGTTGCGGATGCTTGATTCGCATGCTTTGTGTCCTGCTCCTTTGAGCATTTCCACGCCACTGCACATCAACCAACTTTCAGACATTGGTGATCCATTGAGAAGTTCTACCCTTAATTGATGAACAACCTTGTGATTGTGTAATTTAACGATTGTCATTTGCGTTTGAGCAGCTGAACAACCAAGCTGAGGCGGAGTGCAGGTACTCGCAACGTAGTTTACCAAGCACTCAGATCCATTAGCTTGGTCACAAATTCCTTGGGCGAGATCGATTCACTTCATCCAGCTTCCAGGTCAACTAAAGTTGTTATCTCGCGGCGTGCTCCATGTTGGATTGGAATGGTCACCTTAATTCTTAGACATGACGGGAGATACCCAACGTACCTGAGCTCCTGCACCCTTGGAGCTTGAATCCAGCCATGATGAATGGTCTGCCGATGCCTATGGCGGCTGAAAACCCATATGCGGCTGAGGCCATCGCAGCTAGGCAGAGGATAGCCCGCCTGAAAGATCGTGTAGCGCAGAGAGCAGCTGCACGCCGCAGCTTGCTTTCTGACAAAGAAGCCACGCTTGGTCCTGTGACAGACGAGCCCACGGTATTGTCTCCTCCCATCACATGTACGCCAAAATGTGCCATCACTAGAAGAGCACATGTGTACTCAATGTTTCAACATGTGCACAGGAGCAGGAGGCTATCAAGGATGAGCCCATGGATGACAAGTCTTCCACTCTTCCCTTGCAGCAGATAATTGCGCGGCATCTGTTGGATCCCAACACAACCATTCCCACAGACAATGCCAAGCTCAGGACTGCGGTGTGACCCCACTAGCCCCAGTGTCCTCGGCTCTTTTTCTTTTTACTCTGAAATCCTGAGATATTTGCCGCGAGTAGGAAGGATGAGGAGACAGCGCAAGTCTGTCTGATGTTTGATGTGCTCCTGCAGTTTTCGCGGCCTGAGATGGCGCTCCGATATGAGGAGGCATTGCGCAATGCGGGGCTGTCGTCGATAGACCCTGTCATCAGGGACATGGGGGCAGGAGATGCGCCGGCGTTGGAGATTGGGGAGTTTGAGGTCAACAGAGGCACCCGGCTCATGGTCCTGGGCTTCAGCCGCCCGCAGCTCATCAGGTGCGCTTTCATGCGCCAAACTGGCCTATCATATGGTGCGATGAGGATGTGATTACCCTGCTTTGCAACAATATCCCAAAGACACCTTAAGTGGATGTTATGGTCTGCTGCGCAGTTTGGCGGGCTTTGACCCTGCAGCCCAGCCAGGCCCGGGGCCAAGCAGCATGGCCCAGGAGGCAGCGGGGGGACCTCGGCCACCTCCAGGGCCACCGCCGCTCAATGGGGGGCCCCCCTTCAGCCCGGGGGTGCCCCCCTTCGGAATGGGAGGTCCCGGCTCAATGCGGCCGCCGGGCATGCCGGTGGGGCTGGGCGGCCCCCGAGGTCCCCCCATGTTTGGGGGCCCAATGGGGGGCCTTCCCCCCGGCCCGGGGGGCTTTCCCATACGGCCATCCCTGCCGGGTCCTCCCGGCGTTCTTGGTGGGCCCGTATTTGGGGGCCACCCAGAGCAATTGGGTGGTGGGCTGCCGGGGCCCTTCGGCATGGGCATGCCGATGCCGGGCGGCCCGTTCGGGCCCGGACAGTCGCCGCAGCGGCCAGCCCAGAAGCGCGGCGCGCCCGCCAACGAGCTTGACTCGCTCCTGAACAAGCCCACCCTTCAGGATCGCCTCAAAACAGAGAAGTGAGTTCCAAGTCCTCATTACTCAAAACGACATTGAGCACTGCTCGCGCTGCGTAAGGCCTTAAGTACATGCGCTCACACTTGCAGCAATTCTTACTCGGAGCATGTGTGCAGGCTCGCTGAGGGTTTGGGGTGGGTTTCGCAGGGGTGAGGAGCTGCTTGAGCTGATAGCAAAGCCGACGGCAAAGGAGAATGCGGTGGTGAAGCGCTTCAAGACGGAGGGCGGCTCGCAGATCCGGGAATACTGCCCGCACCTCACCAAGGACGACTGCCGCAGGTTTCACTCTCTTGTTCCTTCCTCTGCCTGATCATACTTCCGTTCATGCCCTCTTTACAACACCAGATGCTCTCACATGAACCGTTTTGGCCGCCTCATGTCCAACTCCTATCATCCTCAAGCAGGTGCATCATTCCAGATGCAGTTCTAAAGTGGTACCATGTCCGCCATCCTTGGCAGGCGCCTAAGGAGGAACGAGGAGCTCCACAAAAGTCTGCTGACGTGGCTGGATGCATGTGCGGCGCAGGGCGCACGCGAGCATGTTTCCGTGCCACCGGGTGCACTTCCGGCGGCTGGTGTTCCCGTGGACGGACGTGTCCATGGGCAACTGCTCCTACCTGGACACCTGCCGCCACATGAAGACCTGCCGCTACGTGCACTACGAGCTCGACGACGAGCCTGATCTGGCGGGACCTGTCGCCACGGACGCCGCCAAAAGCCGGCCACCTGTGCCTGCTTACCTGGCGGTGTGCCCCGCTGCACACATGCTACTCCTCTTAACAAGCATGCACTCCCGCAACTGTGCTGCCCCGTAGTTCCCTGGACGGGCGTAGTCTCGCTGACATATTGTGCGTTGCACTGCTCTTTGAAGCGTCTCCTTGGTGTGGTTGCTCCAACGAAGTTCTGGTGAGCTATGTCTCAAGCACTTGTCGATGTATTTTTTGGGAAGGTAGCTCTTCAAACAGTGTCACAGCTGCTGCACCACAGGAAGCTGAAGCAGTTGTAAGCAGTTCTCTCGAGGGTCTTTAGATGCAAGGGTCAAGGAAGTTGATGTGCAGGCTCTGGGGGAGGCACAGTGGATAAAGTGTGACATCCGCACATTTGACATGACGGTGCTGGGCAAGTTTGGGGTGATCATGGCGGACCCCCCCTGGGAGATCCACCAGGACCTGCCCTATGGCACCATGGCCGACGACGAGATGCGCAAACTCAACATCGGCACCCTCCAGGATGAGGGCGTCATCTTCCTCTGGGTCACCGGTCAGCCCCTCTGCCTTCCCACACCCTGATTCAATACTTCATGACATGCATTTCTTGTGTGCGCAATGGCAAGCAATGGGCGCTCTTTAGGTTGCCACTCCTGCTGGTCTAGCGGCATGCAATCACAGCGGCTGTATTTTGCGCATGTGTATGGCGTGGTCCACTTTTTATCACTGACAATGTCAGTGAGATATCGGCATGCTTGCTGTCTCTGCCTGCTTTTTGCCACCCCAAATTGGGCACAAGAGCAATGTGCATCTGTTGGGTGCGGCTATTCACCGACATAATTGTCTGGCTGCAGGGCGTGCGATGGAACTGGGGCGGGAGTGTTTGGAGATCTGGGGCTACAAGCGAGTGGACGAGCTGATCTGGGTGAAGACGAACCAGCTGCAGCGCCTAATCAGGACGGGGCGCACGGGGCATTGGCTCAACCACTCCAAGGAGCACTGCCTGGTGGGCGTCAAGGGCAGCCCCAACATCAACCGCAGCCTTGACTGCGACGTCCTCGTCGGAGAGGTTGCTGCGGCCCCTTTCATTCACATTCACATTAATTCTGTGCAAACTGTCGAGAGAAATAATGAGTTCACTGCACTTATGTGACACTGCACTTATATGCTATGACATTGATTGGCATGGACCTTCTGCCGCTGTGTGCTCCATGCTTGAAGCCAACAAGATTGCAGCGTATAGTTTGCTGGCATGCATGTGAAGAAGGATTCAAGGCTCTGTACTGAAAGTGTCGCCGAACGGACGCCACAGGTTAAGGCAATATTCGCGTATTGTGAAGGTTCAATACGTGCACCTGTTAAGAACAAAAAGCAGCGCCTATCTAAGCGCGATCTGAGCGCAGTGGAGTATGAGTGTGTGACGGCTGGCGCAGGTACGGGAGACGTCGCGCAAGCCGGACGAGATGTACTCGCTGCTAGAGCGGCTGAGCCCGGGCACGCGCAAGGTGGAGATCTTTGCGCGCCAGCACAACGTGCAGCCCGGCTGGGTCTGCCTCGGCAACCAGCTCAATGGCGTTGTCATCCGCGAGCCCGAGATGCTCGAGCGCTATGAGGCCAAATACGGCCCCGTGCCAGCCCCCAGCAAGGCCTGATTTGGCTGAAGTTACTTGTGAGCTTTGACCTGCATGCACTGCAATACGAGTGCTCTGCCGGCGCAGCTGATTTTCCAGATGCATGCACTGAGCAATTTCGGATATAGCAGAGGGAGAGATTGCCAATCTTGTGGGCGCCAAAACACCGCTAGCCTGTTGTCTGGTGGTTTATTTTGATTGACAAGAGGAGACTCCGGATCTCTGTACATGCAAGAGTGCCATGTGTTGCTGTTGAAGTATAATCTGCGTTCGTGCGACGCAAGATGCGCATCATTCTGCCATACTCTGCTCATCAGATCTGGAGGAGCTGAGCAACCAAGCCCTCGTCTCACCACCTTTGATGCTCTTGGATTCTAGATCTAGACAAGCATGGTGTTCAAATATATACATTTGATCATCTGAGCACAGATCTACGTTAAGTGAGGACGGACTCAGTCTGCCTGTACTGACTGCCTTAGTCTGAGCTATAATTTGCATCACGTGGCAACATTGCAGCAGCATGCATCTGGGTATACATAAGCATTTAATATTTTGGGCATCAGCTGACCTGGCTGAATATATACACTGATGCCCTCCGGTAACCTCAGTCAGGGGGTTGTATATCTAATACCCTGCCTCAGTATTGGTCAAAACTGGTCTCCTGTCCATATACAATCGCAAGAACTCTTAGGACGTTCAATTTTTAAAATGTAGCTGCACTCAGCTGTGCAGCTGCTTGCCCTCATGCATCCCATTTCTTATTCACACCCCTTTCCAACGTTGCAAGTTAAATGAAGCTCGCTGAAATTGAAAGCAAATAGGTCACATGCACCTCAATACCAGTAAGCAGCTGTGGCTGCATTTATGTACATGCAACCATGTGACACCTTGATACCTCTATGCAGGTGTGGCTGCAAGCATGTAGATGCAACCCTGTGCAACCATGCATGTCCGGTATCCTGTGCATATATAAAAACAGACATACTTCTGGGAAACTTCATCCCTGTTTGCACAGAGTTTTTTGGGAGAGCAACACTGGAGGCCCAGCGTGCCCCATATGCTCATCCGACCATTGCTGAACGCCGAACAGAGCACTCTCAGGACGCATTGGCAGTCCATCCATTTGTTGGCGGTGCATGCAGCGTCCAGGATCAGAACTGAGCGTCCGAAGAGCCTGTGACCCCTCTAGCCCTGGACCTACAGACAGCCAGGTACCAGTCAGATTCTCTATCCATTCACACTCAACCCACATATAATTGATGCATCGTGCTTCGATTATCTCACTCTTCCACTCTTGTTCAAAAGTTGCCGCCGGCTGCTGCCACCGGGGGAGGCGGGGAAGTCTCCTCTGCGAATGCCCCTACAATTGGGGCAATTGCAGCAGTGGGCGGCAGGCCCTCAACTAGCGCGACCTGGGGTGGGCTTGCACCCACTGGTGCCACAGCCACCGGTGGGGAACTGGGCACCACCGGTGGCGGGCTGGGGGACACGGGTGGCGGGCTCGGGGCCACCGGTGGGGGACTTGGTGCTATCGGTGGCGGGCTGGGGGACACCGGTGGGGGACTTGACACCACCGGTGGAGGACTGGGGGCTACTGGGGGTGGACTCGGTGCCACCGGCGGCGGGCTAGGGGACACTGGTGGGGGACTCGGTGCCACCGGCGGGGGACTGGGCACCACCGGTGGCGGGCTGGGAGATACTGCCGGGGGCGGACTAGCGACTGGGGATGGAGGGGGCGACGAGGGTGGCAAGATGGGCAGTACCGGGGGCGGTGTGGCGGCCACAGGCGGCGGCTGGCCCGCGACAAACGCCGGCGGCGGCTGCCCCGTGAAAAGCGCGGGCGGCGGGCCCCCCGCAAAGAAGGCCGGGGGTGCGCCCCCCGCTGCAGCTGGCACGGTGGTCACCGGAGCGGGTATCGGCGGCGGCGGCGGGCTCGGGGGGCACTTTGCCTTATTGAGGCTGACGAGTGCTGCACAAACACACATTGCACTTGCTTCAGCATTCGCCCTGCAACAATGTTTGCTTACACATTACCTTGTTTGCTGTCAATTTGTTCTGAAGAGGCCCAAAAACATAAGACAATAATGGCTGCTGCACCCCTGCATCAATCCAGTAGCCACAACAATAGCCTGGTCTATCCGTCAACAATTGGTGCAACTTTATGCTCAGGCGCAGGGCACCACATAATCAGTACTTATTACTGACCCTGCTTGGCAAAGGCCGGTATTGTGTTGAGGATGTTGATAGTATTGATCAAGCCGTTATCGCAGATGCACCCCTGCATGCAAATGATTGTGTAAGCAGTACATACAGAGCGCTATTTGATTTACAACCGGATGTGAAGGGGGCACCTCTCAGAAAGAGTATGCCAACAACACAGAAACAGGCTGGATCGATTTTGTCATAGGACGCACCCCATTGAGAAAATTTGCAGCTGCATTGTAGCACCTGCAGACAGCAGACTAGCATGCTGATGCACATCACATGCTACAAAAGTATTGCCTTTCAAGTCATCATGCAGAGCATTGCTGACAGGTACTCTCTGCTGAATGATCCAAGGGGAGTAAAGTCAGTATGCAGCACTACTGACTAGCGCAGAAGTGTTAGACTGATCAATCTCCATCGTGAGGTAGCAGGAAGGGCTTACGAAATGTCCAAAGTCTTATTCCCGGTCAGCTGAAGGATTTGGAAGACGCTGGATTTTGACAGCTGGCCTCCGTTGGCGTTGAGGGCATTGAGGAAGGGCTGGCAGCCTTGTAGAAGGGTGAGTGCCCGCTGCAAACAGTCCGCTGCACAGCAGGCACAGTTGTCAGCACAGAGCCTTGGCAGTAATGCATGCGACACATGCACTGTCCTTGCAGAGGGATGCTTTGGTCCAACACTGATGCAGCGCTGCATAAAACCATTCTGGCACCCTTTCAAGTGGTGCACTGCTTTGCCCCCTGCAGCAACTGTGTCCTGAGGACTAGCTTACTTGAGTCGATATAATCAAGAAGGAAATAATGTGCAATCGATCGTTTCATGCTCGTAAAGCTACACCTAGACATCCGGGGAGCGGCCAAGGTCACGGGTTGTGTGATCACCGGCTGGGGGCGTCGTGAAAGGGAAGGCATTGACATAAATGCCTCCCACTGATGTCGGCGTGACGTGGGTAGGGATGCCAAAGAGTGGAGAAGGCTGGAAGAAAGCCGCTAGACGACCGAAGATGAAGGCATCTGCTGGCGAGCTCGCGCTGATGAGAAGGAGGACCAGCGAGCTGACCACAGCCCCTCTGTGCTGCATCGTCGACTCTATGGAGAGATCGATACCAAAGACAACCTGACGGTAAGCATATTTGAATGTCCAAAAGGCCAAGAGGGAAAAGGAAAAGCGATAGAATCTGGCATTTCAGGATAAAGGAGCATCCAAAACAGGTAAACGGAACCTTGGACTTGGACTTCATTACTTGGACGATGCCACCTGGTCACTTTTCGTTCATGCACACGTCACAAATGCGATCTAACGTAGAAAAAGAATCTGTTTCATAATTCTACCCAAGCCGTATCCATGACGACGATGTTCGACTCTTTTCGAAGAGGATGAAACACTAAATTCAAGAGCAGAGCGTATCCTATGGCAACTTCTATTCACATCACCTGCATGGATGTTGCTCACCATAAATTTGCGCGACATTACAGGTTGCATACCGTTCACTAGACATTGCTCGCGATTTATTCAATGTGAAAGATGGGATGCTGATGATATCAGGCTGCATTTATTGCACCTGCACTATGTAGCTTTCTGAAACCAGTCATCTGAACCCTTCTCAACACCGACCTTATGGCTAAACAAAGCAACATGGAAGAGGATCAGCAGTATGAGAGATTTGACATGGATAATGATTTTGAGGGAGGCCAGTGGGTTGGAGGTGAATATTTCTACACAGAGAAGAAGCGAAATCGCAGGCAGACGAAGGAGGAGCACTTGTATGGATATGAGAGCGAGCAGAGCGATGAGGACAGGCCAAGACGTGGAAAAGGTCCTCGCAAAGCCGCAGATTACACCAGACCAGTCGGCTTTGTGTCCAGCGGAGTGGTGAAGAGCACTGAAGAAAAGCCTGAGGATGTTGAGACTGCTGAGCATGCCGAGGAAGATAAAGGGATGCGAAATGGCTTGGGAGCGCAGCAGAACGGTACAGGACTGGGGTTCCCTGGGCACAGCATCAGCGCTGGCATGGGCTTCAGGCCAGCCAAGGAGCCTCAGATACAGCTTGATTTTGAGGAAGATGATGGAGTTGTGCTGCCAACCTCCTTTGGAAAGAGGTTTGTTTCTTGCCTCACAAGCGCCGATCCGCATGTGAAGTTGCAAAGTTGACAATCTTGCGCTTGACAGGCATAAGACTTCCAGATGACTGGATACCGGCACGCTATTGACTTGCAACTTTCTGCAACAGTGTGAAGCAAGCGGCAGAGGAGAGACTGAAGGAGAAGAAGAGGCGAGAGAAGGAAAAGAAGAAAGCATCCAGCTCCAGGGTCACAAGCGCGAATGGCGCACCATCAGTCGGAGAATTTGAGCGGCACACCAAAGGCATTGGAGCCAAGCTGCTGGCCGGCATGGGCTACAAGGTGCGAAACATGCTCAACAAAGGATCTCTCTTGTGTGTACTGCATCTGTGCCATTGATCACAGTAGTCCTTTATGAGTAATGGGGAGTTTGGAGAGGCCTTTTAGGCTTTTGGGCTACTGGAAGAGCATCTCCTGAAATTATCTTCTCATTTCTCAGGAAGGAGAGGGGCTGGGGCGCAACAGACAGGGCATTAGCAAGCCCATCGAGGTCAAGCTGCGTCCCAAGGGCATGGGCATGGGCTACAACGACTACGAGGAGCACAAGCTGATCCCCGATGAAAAGCCTGCCGAGGAGCCTGTTGAGAAGGTGCGCATGCCTCCCATAAAATCGGCTCCAATGTCATTCACGAAATTAACACATCTGAGGGCTCACGCTCATGTAGAAGACTGGTGTTCCTTTGGAAGGTTGCATAGTGACATCTGAACACCATGGTGTCACAGGCAAAGGAGGAGGCAGTGGACGTGAAACTGTGGAGGAAGAGGCATGCAGCTGCGCGGGTCAAGCGAGAGTTCCGTACCGCTGATGAGGTGCTGCAGGAAGCTGCCGAGAAGCCTGCAGGCGCCGCTCGGCAGACCATCCTCGACATGCGCGGCCCACAGGTACAGACCCGCCTTCATCCCCAATATCTGCCATTACAGCCCTTATTATTAAATGTTCTCAATGCCTCCTTGACTGCCACAACTCACTGACAAGAAGAAATTGATCAAATGGCGCGTGTTTGTGCTGGCGCAGGCGCGGCTTGTGACAAACCTGGAGCACCTGAATGTGATGGATGAGGAGGCGACCGGTGGCGATCTGGTGCCGATGCCGGAGCTGCAGCACAACCTGCGGCTGCTGGTGGACCTGGCAGAGGCGGACATCCAGCGCATTGACGGTAAGCTGCGCCAGGAAAAGGTGCGTGCACCGCTGCAGGGCCGTGTTGTCAGGATTAAATTTGCGCGGAGGTTGGATGCTCAGCATCCTCCTTTGCTGGCTGCATCTTGCTTGATACATGCATGGATTCTTTATGGGACATTGTTTTCTCCTAGGGTCATTTCATTCTAGAATGCAATATATTTTGAAAATATCTAGGTTTAATATTGTGACTGCTGACTGCTGACAACGCAATGCAATGCCGATAGGTGGTCTTTTTAACGTTCTCTACATTCTGTTCGGTGACTAGAAAAGAAAACCCTCCTTGGGCAGGCTCTGGGATGCTGCCGATCAGGAGATCAGACAGTGGCTTGACCATGCGTGCTGCACTGCCGGCGCAGGACACAGCGGTGATCCTGGGCCGGGAGCAGGCGCGGCTGCAGGAGGAGGTGGAGGTGGCACGGCGCCAGGTGGCGCAGGCGTCGCACGTGCTGCAGGAGGTGTCGCGCTGCCAGGCCACCGACGCGCGCCTGTCGCTGGCCGACATCGGCCGCACCTACGCCGCGCTGCGCTCCGGCTACTGGGAAGAGTACCTCATGTACAACCTGGCCGCTGCTGCGCTCTCTCAGGTGCCGCGCCCGTACAATGACTCCTTTGAGTGTTGAAAATTCCCTGATTGCTGCGCTATGCTATGATTGCTGCGCTGCGCTATGATTGCATGGTATGTGCACCATTTGAAATTTGTGTCGCCAGCATGGGGTGTCCATGTGCCTGCTGAGAGGCTAACAGGGGCAGCTGCTGTGGAGCGGTTGAAGTGAGGGGCAGCGAGTAAAGCCCAAGCTCATTGTGCAGGTTTTGCCTCGCTTCACTGCGCTGCTGGCGGACTGGCAGCCGCTGGAGGAGCCTGTGCGGGGCCTGCAGGAGTTGTCAAGTTGGCGGCCGTTGCTGGAGTCTGACTCTCAGAGGGATGCCATCTTCCAGGTATAACCCCTTGTGCCCCTGCATGGGAGCTGCAACAGAGCCGCTGCCTGCATTGCATGTGCTGCAACTGGGAGGATGTCGTGGGCCTTTCTGCCGTCACTGATGCAAGCAATGCACAAAATGTTGCAAGCCTTGTGCGTTGCATCCACAATCCAAGCCCTGATGCCACACGATAAACATGGCAGCAGGCCAGCTCCTTCATAGTTCATCTGTTCACTCCTGCTGACCACATTTCTGAAGTGCAGGATGTTGGAGATGACCCCTACACGCGGCTACTGTCAGCGGTGGTGCTGCCGAGGCTAGCAGGTGCAATTACTAACGCTTGGGAGCCACGCGATCCGGAGCCGCCACTGCGCTTCCTGGAGCAGTGGGCGGACGTCCTCCCCACCAGCGTCCAGCGCCACATCCTGGACACTCTCATACTGCCAAAGGTGCGCGCCTGCCCCGCATCTTGTCGAGCATTGTGCCGAACCATGATTCATTGACAAAGAGTGATACAAAGGGAATTATGGAAATGCAGCATCCGGACGAACCGCACCTGAATAACAAGGAGATGTGTGGTAATTTTTGGCATCAGGGGAAATCTGTACTATCTTCCCTCTGAGGCTGGAAGCCTACGGCGCAGCCCCTGGCTGAGCACTGCTTGAGGTTGAGGTGCAGTGTGCCAATGTTGTCCCACTGGTTTACCTGTGGTTGAGGCCCTGTAAGCAAGGCTGCAATTGTCTCAATTGAGGTTGTGGGGTATGGGCGCAGCTGAGCCGGGCGGTGCAGGCGTGGGAGCCGCGGGAGGAGCGTGTGCCGCTGCATGCGTGGCTGCACCCCTGGCTGGAGATGCTGGGGCCGCAGCTGGAGGACCTCTACCCAACCATCCGCTTCAAGCTCGCCTCCGCGCTGCAGGCCTGGCACCCCTCCGACGCGTCAGCCCTCGCCCTGCTATCCCCCTGGCACAAGGTATGCGCCTCCTCTGCTGCCCTCCTAGTTTCTCTTCAAAGCTCCTGCCAGCTGCTTACAGCTTGGGCAGGCAGGCATCGCATGGGCGTCGCGTGTGCACTCCTGACAAAGGTCTGATGCCTGTAGCATTGACGTGGGTGCAACTGGCTTCAGGATATCGCAGGACTAAGCAATTGATGTCTCATTTCAGGCGCCATCATTTCTTGATGTTGTTGATAATGTCGAAGGACGCTTTGAGGCTGCTCAGATGCTCAATTTACTGGGAACAAGCGTGTTTGTTGCTGGCAAGGGTTGCTTTGGCTGAGGGGGAAGCGTGACCGCAGGTGTTTGAGCCCAAGGAGTGGGCGGCGCTCATCGGGCGCTCCATCCTGCCGAAGCTGGCGTACACGCTGGACGCGGATTTTGCGGTCAACCCGGTGGCGCAGGATCTGACGGCGTGGCAGTGGGTGATGTCGTGGGCCGGCGTGCTGCCGCGGCAGCAGCTGATCAGCCTGCTGGAGGACCACTTCTTCCCCAAGTGGCACGCCGTGCTGCAGCACTGGCTGGCCCATGCCCCAGACTACGACGAGGTCACCGCCTGGTACCTCGGTTGGAAGGTGCTGCTCTCTGCACAGCCCACTATGCTGCTGGGGCATGCATGACACCGCGTACTCATACGCGCCACGCAGAATAGACTTGACGCATGGCAATGTACTGCCTTGTTTTGAGGTTCACCGTTGATATAGATTGCTTGCTCTAACGATGAGACATGCCTTGGTTAGCATCATTGCAATGTATACCAGGATAGGAAAGAGGAGGCTTAGCACAGCGATTATGTATTAATTTTTCGTGCATGATTGACGCGGTGGGGTGTGGGATGTGGCAGGGCATGTTACCAGCAGAGGCGCAGGACCACGAGCGAATCCGCGCGCACCTCAATTCGGCGATCAATGCCATGAACAGCGCGGTGCATGGCATTCCCCTGCAGTACTCGCAGCCGGCTTCAGCCGCCGCCGCTGGAGCCGGCTACGGATATGCCGGGGCCGCAGGTGAGATTTCTCCGCACTGCTCCTTACGTGGTGGGATACTCTGCGGATGGCCTGCCTGCTGTTGCTTGTCTTGCCCCTCAGAAGCGCTGTGAAGAACTCAGACGCTCAATGCCTGTATGGGGTCTGCTGGTGCCAGGGTGGGAGCTGAACGCGTGCTCTCATCTTTGCAGGGGTAGTGCCAACAACAGGCTATGCAGAGCCGAATATGTATGATAGCTCCAGGGCTCAAGAGCCTTCGATGCGGCAGCTGGTCGAAAATTTCGCGCAGGAGAATGGTGTGGTGTTTCTACCTAAGTCTGGGCGCCGGCATGAGGGCCTGCAGGTGACCAGCACACTCTGGCCTCCTTGCATCGCTGCCATGCGTTCGTGCCTGGCTTGAAACTCTTATACACAGAAAAATGCCGCTCTGGAACATGCCAGAATATGATTCATTCATCAAGTCTGCTCTGTTTCAGTATTGGTGCTCCAAGAAATATGACGGTGAGAAGCGCGGGAGTGTTGTGTGCACGTCTCGGATGGGATTATGGGCAAGCTCCTGAGGCAGCTGCTTCTCTTTGCAGGTGTACGGGTTTGGCGGCGTCAGTTGCGTGATAGATTCATCAGCAGGGCTTGTGAGGGCCCATATAGGGGGTCAATGGGTGCTCACAGGCCTGGAAGAACTCCTCAAAGAAGTGAGAAAGCGCCAGAAATTGTAGTATGTCTTGGATGGGTGTGTTTAGATTTTAGCTCAGATTTATATGCTTCGGTGCTTCCTGGTCAGCATTGGTTTGGACACTGCTAAAGCGGATATCACAGACAAAGTTTGTCAGATATGACAGGCAAGGCATGAACATGTAGCACCAGTCCTCTTTGTTGCTGCAGAGTTTCGGATGGGCTCAGAAAAAGTGAGTCAGAATGTTACTGATGTAACTCAGGTCATTGGCCAATATTTGGTCATGGTTCCGCTATGACATGCATGTGACCTCTAATTTGCATGCAAATTGCACTACAGCCACCACTGCAGGACCACAGTGATTAAAGTCTGTGACTACCCATTTTAAGGTGAATCACATGTCATACATTTAAATGTATTTGCATGCCTACCACCGTACTGAGTAAACCTTGCAAACCTTCCCAATTGGTAACAAAGCAGGAATGTGTAGATCTGCGGCACGTCTCCCAAGGAGTCAGACTTGATGCAGCACATCCCTTAGCACATGATCCACAGGCTTGGAAGCATGAACTTGACAAAGTCGACAGCATGCGCTAGTTGTTTATACGCCACAGCAGTCGCAATGCAATGTACACTTATCCACTCAGGAAGCTCAGTAATACCAACCCTGGCCAACACGTACATGCTGGCATCTCAACCTGCCAAATGTTGACAGGATGATGTCTATTTTGCAAGAATTTGAGCTGCCTTGAAGCTTAAACAACGCATATAATCCTTTGGAAACTGTGCTCATTGTTGGGCCGTCATCCCCATCAACATTGGCAGCCTGCACCGTCAGGTGGACAGGGACATGTAAATAGCGGTCATCTACACTAGACATGCTGTTGAGGGTCTTAGAATTACAACGCAGCGACAAGCTTGTTGTCTGCAGCGTGGCCGTTGTCCAATGCGGGCACATCTCCGTTTGTGACGGGTGCATCTGCGGTGGCGGGGGCTGCATTGCCGTTCTCATCCTCAAAGCTGGACCCATTCAGCTGCAGGAAGTGCTCTGCCTGCAGCGCTGCCATGCACCCTGCCAAAAAGAAAACATTACTCAATCCCTGCCCACAGTATCTCCACCCTTACAAAGTCTGAGAGGCACCCAATTGCGCTGCAGCAAAGCCGAGGGAAGACAACTCACCAGTGCCGGCTGCTGTGATGGCCTGCCGCCACTTCTTGTCCTGCACATCTCCGGCAGCGAAGACGCCTGGCACGCTCGTCTCTGTGGTGCCGGCCTTTGTGAGCACATATCCATCCTCGTCAGTCTCCACCTGCAGCACAGATTTGCATCTCAATCCAAATGCTTCTACACAGCCACCAGGCAAGGACGCATGATTGCATAATTTGAAGAAATGACACCGATGGCCTCGGGTTTGTACAATGATGTATCATGTCTCAATTGATGATGCACACCTGGTTGTTCAGGAACTTGCTGGCGGGCTCGTGGCCGATGGCGAAGAAGAGGCCGGAGACTGGCAGGTCGCGCACTTCCTTGGTCTTCACGTCCTGCACCTTGAGGCCGCCCAGCATCCCCTTCTCATTGCCATACGCCTCAACCGTTGTCGTGTTCCACAGCACCTGCACATTGGATCCATCTTCATGAGCCACGCCTTTTGAGTATTTATTTTCCAATGTATAATTTCCTGGAAAACAGACACCAGTCATCTGCGCCTTACAGATCCCTTCTGGCTCAGCACGCTTTCCAAACAAATGCTTTGGAAAGGTGCATTGTTGCATTTAACTGCAATAACAAACCCGTTTGGCAGGCGTGCCAGTGGTATCTTGCAGCAATGAAAAGCAGGAGCTTGGGCTCTGAAAAACCTGCTGGGCAACAGGAAAGGCCGTGTGCCGGAAGGGGCCAGGCGCGCGCACCTCGATCTTGGGGTTTTCGAGGGCGCGCTTCTGCATGATCTTGGAGGCGCGGAACTCGTCGCGGCGGTGGATGATGTACACCTTGGAACCGTACTTGGTCAGGAAGAGCGCCTCCTCCATCGCTGAGTCACCTCCGCCGATGACGGCCAGCGGCACTCTCCGGAACATCGGCGCCGCGCCGTCGCAGACCGCACATGCGCTGATGCCCCGGTTCCAGAACCCGTTCACCTCCCCTGAACCCGGGAATTCCAGCCGCTTGGCCACTGCGCCTGCAGGCACATGCGCAGGTTATGCGTCAATGGGTGTCTTTTCTAAATCAGGGACAAGGCAGAAGTAGAAGATCCACAGCGCAAGCCACGCAGGCCGATGTGGCAGATACCATGCATGTAAGCCATGCTGCTTGCATGCAGGATGTGTGAGGGCGGGACCTGGGGTTATGCTCGAGGTCAACAGGCGGGAAGCACAGAAAGTGATGCCTAATAATGTGCGTGCATCAGATGCGTCAGGATATATTACCTGTGGCAATGATGACGGTGTCTGCTTCCACGGCCTTCTTGCTCGTCCACACCTTGAAGGGCCGTCTTGAGAGATCAATCTTGTTGACTGTCTCAGAATATATCTTTGTCCCGAATCGCTCACTCTGCGCCCTATAGGTATATTCCAAGCATAAACATTATAAACTACTGATTATGAGCCAATCGCACATTACTTTGCCGAGTAAAATTTTGCCCTGAACACAAGAACATATACACGATGGGTGGTGTGGTTCTGGTGCGAACCTGAATTTGTCGGTTATTTCGCCACCCATGATGCCCTCCGGAAAGCCTGGAAAGTTTTCTACATCTGTTGTGGTTGTCAGTTGGCCGCCAGCAGCAATACCGTTTGCAAGCCATCCTTCAAAGAGAATAGGATGGAGTTCTGCGCGAGCAGTGTAGATGGCTGCTGTGTGCGCTGCAGGTCCCGAGCCAATGATGCAAACTGGCGTCTTCATCGTTTCCGATGTCGCCATGGCAGCTGCTTCGCGTACAAAAGAAGGAGCGAAAGGTGGTTTCGTCAAAAAAGAAACAGCTGCCCGGCACTTCAATAGCGATCTGCTGAGCATAAATAAGTATAGCTAACCAAATTATTTTGCGGTGTCATCCACGTGCTCTGCATCCTCTTTCATGTTTCTCGTGAGGCGTTCAGCGTAAGACTGTGCACGTTGCAGCACGTGCAACAACAGCTGCCAAGTGGAAGTCCCTTCATGCAGGTTCCCAGTCACCAAGCATATCATAAGTTTGTTGCAAACATTAGTGATGTTAGAGATAGCTCTCCATAAGCTGATACCTCAGTGGACACACTGCTCTCTGTCACGAAGAAGTCACAGCTGTGCACACGGGCTCAACCAACTTCAAGTTGAATTCGAAGTTACGATGGCCCATGGGTACCTGGCCAATCAACCGGGTTCGCATCATGCACAAGAACAGCAGCCAGGAGCCGCCAACGCCGCTGCACCTGCTTCAGGCAAACTGTGATGCAAGCAACTCGCAGTGCCTTAATTAATTTACTGCGCTATAGCCGCCTAGGCTGAGCCTAGGCGGCGCCCCTGGCATATATGTCTGGTTTGCATCGATGGGCTACATAGTAGAGTCCATACTCTGCCGCTGGCCCAGCTGTAGCCGGCCGCTGGATTTACAAAGGACACACTCAGGTTCCTTGCAGGGCACATGTGTACAATACGTCACGTTGCCGCGCTAATAGCGGAAAGGAGACAGACATTCAGACATTCAGAGAATTACCATACTCTCACTTAATGACAATCGCTCGCTTCAGCATCCACAACTTTTTGTAGCTTGCTCCAGTGAAGGTGCCGCTGACCCTGCCTAGATGATGTTACACTGTGTCTTTATTCCCATGACGACTCAAGTGTAACCATTGTTGTCATAGTCTAGCAAGTTTGACTTCTTCTTCCACTTATAGGGCGTTCCCATTGCTGGTGCAGGCTCTGACTCGCTGAACTGTGGGTAGCACACAGTGCAAAGGTCAGTCACATTGACTTGAACAGATAGCGACGACACAGTTCTGCTGCACGATAATTTGCATCAGAGGTCCATGAGGAGGCAGGCATGATGTCCTTAATCATCTGCTTCAATTCCTGAACACATGCGGCAGGTTCAGAGCTCACCTGTGTTCTCTCTGAAACATCCACCTGGTACTTTACCATGTGCTTCTTGTTTGTACCACCCACCAACTGCCCCTCCCTCCTTATGTCGCGCACTGTGCACAAAAGTCCATGTGAGCCCATGCTTATAACTCAGGTTGGCACCGTGGCTTCTGAACCGGTGGACCTAAGGAGTAGAGCAATGCAGGTGTTGGCTGGGAGCTCACCCCAGTATCTGATGTCATACACCTGTTCTGGCAGAGCTGCTGGCACAGATGGGCGTACAGGTTGTGACCTGCACAACAAGCAAGTGCATGTACTCGTCTGCAGTCTTTGACTACAGTGAGAAAGCCAAGTGACAGTAGCCGCTTGCGCGTTCAAGTGTGACAAGGGTAAAGACACGCACGCTGGGGCATGCTTTCTGTAATCAGGTGCTGAAGGCAGGTAATCCTGGAATTCAGGCGATGAAGCCACACCAAGCACCTGAAGCAGGCAAAGCCTTTACACATCCACAAGCAGCCCTGCAGCTTTTCAGTCTCCAGAATTATAGGACATCGATCGTTCAAAAGCTTAAATTTGCGTTCCATAAAATTAGATGAACCAAATACAAAGACCAGGAACGATATGTGGTAGTATGCCCTAGACCAACCTTCCACGGAGCTTTGATGGGGAGCTTTGTAAGCCATCCTTTCAGTGTGGCAACTGCTTTATTCGCCATTTCAAGGGTCCCAGGAGGACCACCCGTCAGCTGGGCCAACCAACTTGCTCACAGCAAGATTTCTCCCGACTCAGCGGTGCCTAGACAACCCGGAAGAATTCGGCACAAGATACTAGCCGTTGTGCTTCCCTTCCCTCACAATTTCGATCAAATGAGAGGCCCCAGGAATCGTTATTCTAGGCCAAATGTGGTCAGAGTGGAAATTTTGGTGATCGATTTCACGGTACGAGGTGCAGATCTGGGAGAGACCGTAGGACGAGATGGCTCGTCAGCTGCAAGGCGCGAATTGGCCTTGAAACAACATTTTGGATCCGAAGGAAAGGCTGTACTTGCATTTTGACGCTATTCTCTCCTTTAGGTTGTTGCAGTCAAGCTGCCTCCAGAGGCTCCTTATCGTCCACTGAACAGCCCCACATTGATGAGCTGGGCCCCATATCTTGTCCCAGTGTTGACATCACCACCAGACATGGCAGTGAAACTAGAAGAATATCCGTGCCGATTTGAGAAGTTGGCTTGAAAGGACATATAGATTGGCAGAGGGCACAGTGCGGAAGACACGAACTTCACCTCCATCAAATTTCAGATTACAACCTGCAAACAATGGGCATTTGGATTTCCCGATTGATGGCCGTTTTCGGCGAGAGGGAAGCCCGAATTCTCGTCCTGGGACTCGATAATGCTGGGAAGACTACTATCCTTTGTAAGCTGCAAAGGCTCTCTGTTGGTTTTGCACTGGCTGAGTGTTTCATTCACCTTGGCTCCAAATATCTTTGACAATGTTTGTTTCCTTGTAAACAGATCGCTTGCAAGTTGGAGAGGTTGTCTCTACCATCCCAAGTGAGTCCCTTTCGTACTCATGAAGAGACCATGCTTCTTTGGACGGAAGAGGCCATATAACACAGTCATGACTGGAGCAATGCCATCATCTTGGAAGGCACATCTCGCAAATCTTAACTGACTTCTTTTGCTTTCCTTCCTGCAGCCATCGGGTTTAATGTTGAGACAGTGACATACAAGAACATCAAGTTCCAGGTCTGGGATCTTGGGGGACAGACCAGCATCAGACCCTACTGGCGGTGCTACTATCCCAACACGCAGGTGAGCTGGGGCGTTGGGGGACTTTCAATAGATTCTGTGATGCTCCTTGTACTTTCGCCTGTGTTGACACGAGGCTTTGACTGACCCCTCTTGCTGCCCTCTGCAGGCCATCATCTATGTAGTGGACAGCAGTGACACAGAGCGCATTGGCACTTCTGCCGAGGAGTTCCATGCTATTCTGGATGAGGAAGAGCTGAGGGATGCCCTCATTCTTGTATATGCCAACAAACAGGTGACATCTTGTCAGTATCTGGCACCCCTCATGAGGCTGGAGAACCTTCTCTTTGGGAATGTTAGTTCGGAGGGTCGTCTTGAGTTGTGTTTGTCACGTCCAGGATCTACCTGGAGCACTGGACGATGCTGCAGTGGCTGAGGGCTTGAACCTGCACAGCATCAAGAATCGCGACTGGGCAATCTTTAAAACTTCAGCCATCAAGGGAGAGGGATTGTTTGAAGGCCTGGACTGGCTGTCAAACCAGTTGAAGACAAGGAAGCGATGATGCCTAAATCAGAAGCTTGCAGCTGCCAGCAGTGCGGCACTGCCGTGGTTGACATTAGAAAGGCATCTGTGGGGCATATTTTCTTGAAATTTCATGTTGTGCGCATAACCAGAGGCCCGGGGCGGGGGCATATCAGCCGGATATGAGGTAGGGAAGCAATGTTGCCGGGCAGAAGATTCCAGCTTTGTTCATTGCCTTCTCAAATGAGGATGGGTTGCATTCTATAGTTTGTTGGCTATGAGACTGATAAGGGAAGCCCACACTAAAATGGCCTCAGCAGCAGTGATCGGATCCACGTCCGAGGTGTACGGTATCCAAGCAGTAATTCTGGCGAGCCTGTAATTTTGTGTACGGAATATCTCGTGCCGCAATGTAGTGGAAACCTGAGGCACATCCACTTTATCATGCAGCAGTAGAGAGCTTTGATGGCTGCCCCAGCGCGGTACCGGTGCTGAATGGATGTGGAGTTCAATGGTCCACATGCAAGTAGGCAATTGCAAGCATGCACTGCGCATCCATGCATGCTCGCTGCTGAATATCAACATCGCCTAAACGTCCCGAGCTTTACAGAAAAGTGCTACTATTACAGTATATATGGCCGCAACAGCCAGTGGCCTGCCATGTTTCCAGTGAGAATGAAGTCTGTCCCACACCCCGATCTCAAAATCCACACGACTGGCAGACTGTGCTGACCACAATCAGGCGCTCCTTACAGGCCCATCAAGGTCTTAGAGGCATCGTGAGGCTTTATCAGGCAGAAGTGCCCAAGAATCTGGGCAGCTGTATTCGGGTGCGCGCGAGTGCGCTGGAACTAAAGCAGTTCTGACAAGGAGCGCCATATGGCTGTGCACTTGCATAGCCACATCACTTCTTCGTTGACGCTTTCCTCATCAGAGCAGACATCTCCTCACGCTTCTTCTTGGCGCGCAAGTGTGTGCCCAACTGCAGGACAGCAACAACTGGCCGTCAGCATGACTGTTTGGCAGCACAAGCAAACGAAATCCAGATGATACGCAGCTCCAGAGGAGGTGATCATGCTCAGAAGAGCACAGATACAGGGTACATAATCAGTCAGCACACCCTGGGGCAGCAGAAATTCACCTTCTTTTTGCAGAGCTTCAAGGCGCGCTTGTCCTTGCCCACCTTGAGCAGCTCGGTCACCCTCTTCTCATAGGGTGCAAGGCCTGCTACCTCCCGCACAATCTCCCTGACGAACTTGACACGCTTGCTGAGCCTCTGCAGAGTACACAGGAGAGTCAGCTTCAGCAAAGCAGGCTGCACGGTAGATTCCCCACACCGTCATGTTATGTGACAAAACGCACAATCCTTCACAAAAGCAAAAGCAATAAAAACAGGGATGCCGCAAGAAATCTCGAAAGGTCTCAGAAATCCTGCCTAAACAAACATCCTGATGAAGATCTGAAAGCCAAGGATGCTTCGTAACACTGGTTTTCGCCGCATTAATACATTGCTTATATCAAACACACTTACGATCGCCAAATTCCCAAAGGACAGATTTGGTCGTGAACACATTAAGTTATTGGGCCCTTACTCCCTTGCGCTGTGCTGGCCTGGCCACCTTCTCCTTCTTCGTCACGCCGTGACCCTTGTGAAGGCCAACTGCAATCCCTGTAGGTGCCATCCTTGCAGAATGGCCAGCATCCACCACTGTCAAGATCTGCAGCTACAACTCCATGAGATGGCGGCCCACCTTCGCATAGGGTACTGCAGCGACCCTTTAAAATTTTGGCCCCAAGAGAGTTGCAGAATTCCAAACCCTATTTTCCGTGACGAGATGCACTTGCGAGATTGGTCAATTGCTTCAATGTGAAGACTTTTGGGGTAGCTGGCCTCTTGTTATCAAGCACACTTTACTAGACTTCGCTCGCTTGGTGCTGATAGCGACTCACGTGAACAGTGGGGTGATGGATCAGCAGGACGGAACACCAAGAGGGCCTGCACTGTTTAATGAGGTCTGTGGAGCACCACAAGGCAGTGACGACGCACATTCTCAGGCCGCAACCAACGACTTTGCGGAGTGGACTCCCACAGATCTGTGGTTCGGTGGTTACACCTCCATGTTCCAGAGTCCCTCAGGAGGACAAGATGCTCGAGCATCGAAGCAGTCTGAGAGCCAATCAAGCCAAGCATCTGCAGCAGAAGGTTGTTAGTCCATCGATCCTCTATGTACAGGAAAGGATGCTGTTGAGTGTATGTCCCAGGATCAATGCTGAGGCCGTAGATCGTCGCTGTGGGTTTCGTCTGTACCGAATCTTCCTTTAACATGTAGGTGAAAGCGATGAAAAAGGGTCCAAGGGCAAGAAATTGGGGTTCCTGGGCCGTGCAAGCGAGAAGTTGAAGCGCTGGAAGAACAGGACACCAGCTCAGCAAGAAGCGAACAAAGCAGCTCAGAAGCGTTACAGAGAAAGGAAGAAAGGACAGGTGTCAGAACTGCAGACGCAAGCAGATGCATTGGCTGCTCAGGTACGCGCAAGACAGCTCTTGACAGATGTCCTGCCTGTTGAGGGCAGTGCTTGGATGATGCACAGAAACTCGTACTACAAAGGCATAAAATATTCCCTATCCCTTGGATGCCTTGATTTGTACATCCACTTCCTTGTGTCGCAGGTGAAAGCGCTGGAGCTTGTCAATGCAGACAATGTCTTCCTTGAGAAGTCCAACCAATCCTTGGAACAGCAGCTTTCAAGCACTGCTTCGCCTCAAGTGAGCAGTCATCTTCTTTTCTCTGACCTAATGACATCATATTGCCGCGTGCCCCAAGAATTGTTTTGCAGAAGCTAATGTAATATAGACGTCGCTCTTGTGTTGTGGTGCACTTCTGAGGAAAAATTGGATGGCATATCAGTCAAGGAGCAGCGCCCAGAAAACAACCTCTAGCGAATGGGGCAGCCCTGAATGGCTAAGCTTCAATGACAACTTCCTCAGTGTGGTGCGCCTCACTTGACTCACATTGCTGTCTTCCTGGCAGTTGTGCACATGCTTTGCTCATGGGCGTGTTACATGACTGGGCAATGCATCACACCTTTATTGTAATCAGATTTGCTGAGCTGACACTGTTCGGTTTTGAAGGTGCTTCAGAAAAGGTCATTCATGTTGGCAGGTAGAAGGATTGGGAGCATACCTGCGTGAGAAGGGGGTACAGCCGGATGTGATTGACAGAAACACCCCTCCCGAAGTGCTGGAGGAGATCAAGGAGAGGATGCTCCAAGCCATGCAGACATGCATGCAGGGTCTCAACCTTGGCGGTCTCAAATTGCAGCGCCTGATCGACGCTGTGACCACCAGGTGAGTACCAATGCATAGTGGAGCCTCATGCACTCATGGGAAACTCAATGTCCGTCTTGTGCGCAGAGCAGAAGCATGAAGGTGTGACACTTTGACCTCTCTGTATTTGAAACATGTCTCGGAGGGCTTGCTGAAGGTGCTCCACTTGGCGCAGGAAGAATCTGACATCACATGCTGGCACAGACGGCCGCAAAGAGTGCTACACAGCTGCTAGAGTGCTGAACCTAACAGAGGAGCAAGTGCGCCGGGGCCTGCAGTACAGAACCCACGTCCTGGGAGTCCTGGATAAGTGGGTCCCTGTCAACTCAGGAAGGAGTTCATGCGCTTGCATTGGTGGTGTGACATGCTTGTTCATGGGAGGCCAATACTGCGTGGGATGCCAAAGGAAAGGCTACTGTCTGTCATGCAGGATCTACATGGAGAGAGACGAACTCAATCGGCGAGTTGCACAGCTGCTGGCTTCTGCTGATAAGGGTGCACAGCAGCAGCTGCCAATAGCTCTGGCTAAGCTCAAGGCGAATCTGTCTGCAGAAATGCGTGCATGGTCTGAGCAGCATTTCCTGCTGTTCCGCATGTTGCTGTCTCCAACTCAGGTAAACCTGTCCTGTAATTCCATCATCTTGTTCATGTCTTGGCCACTACTAGTCAAGACTTGCTGCCTTCTAGTGGCATCCTCGATTACGACTCATATTTGCATTTGCTGCATGTCTTCATCTATGCAATGCAGCAGCATCCTTGCCCCTACGTGAAGGTTCTTTGTGCTGGTCTTGTTCTTGACAGGGCGCCTGGCTGCTGGTGGAGTCTTTCCCCTCGCATTGCGACTGTTTGGCCTTTTTCAATGGTCTTCAGGATATCTTCCCTCCAGAGCAGAAAGCCTAGGAATGCTGGATGATGGAGAAACTTGACAGGTGTCATGTCTATGATTTACTGTAGCTGCTAATGCTTCTCTGAATCAGATGAAATCAGGACCAAGTGCAAATTGCACACCTGTCGACAGAGATGTGGCGTGAAAGGTTCAAGGCACCTGCTCTGCCCAGAACTGAATGGGGCATGCATACATCGTGATGAAAAGAGTGCACTTGATATCAATTTGCAAATTGAAGTATTTAAAATGCGAACTAATTGCCGGATGCAATAGCTCCAATCTGGTGCTTTGTCTGCCATCCATGGAGATGCATCTCCAGGTATCATCTGTCCAGACTGCAGATCCATGCATTTGCTCGGCAGGCTTCACCATTTCTGCCTCAGGGATTCCGGTCATGTGTGCCTCAGTGAGATTATAAGTGTAATTAGGAAATGCGCGTGTTTTCTGCTGGTCCGTTTTCACATACACATCTGCAATAATGAAAGCAGTTGTTCCTTTTACGAGAATGCACGGACGCTGGGACTGTTGCAACAACTACTGAGAAAATGCATGTAATCAATGCCGACATTTGCTGAGCAGGATCTTAACAATGTTGTCCATCATCAACAGAGATGTTGTTATTCACTGCCAATGTTTGTGATCGATTTTGGACTGTACAGTCTGGTAGTACACAAAATATGCCAGCTATTGTACACCCTAACAGGGAGCCTTTAGAAGGGCATGCAGCAGCAGCAGACAATCGCACTGCATAGGGAACAAGGCAACCAGTAGCTGTGAGGTCTGAAGTGGAGCAAGAACCTGAAGCAACAGCGCGCCACCCAGCTGAGTCTTAGCTTCCTGCTCACAACTGCGCAGAATCCAAAAGTGGTTGTAAAGCATGATGAGGGCTTTATAAAAGCCAGCATGACAGTTGCACATGGGCAGCTGTGCACAGCTCCAGCAAAGAATTCAATTCAGTGGAGCCTCACCGGAAGTTTGCCCGGAGCTTCCTGATTATGTCCCTTAGTAATGAGAGGGAGCTGGCTCTCTCAAAGAATCCCTTGTCAGCCTTGCTACAAACGCTCATCTGCAAAACACTTCCTCTCAGCAATCTCTTAAATTTCTCAATAAGCACAAGGGGGAATACAGAACAACATTATCGAGTGAAGGCCCCCGCTTGTACCTGCGAGCTAAATATTCCAAGCGCTTCTGCATTCAGCTTGCTCCTGTGCTGCATGATAGCATCCAGCCTTGTGGCGTACTCGCTCCTGCGCAATTGAAAGCCATGCATGGCAGGAGTCAATACCCGCAATATCACTGCAGCTGCGCAACAGCTTTTATGGTGTCTGCATACCACAATTTCAACTAGGAAGCATGCATAACTTAAGGGTCACTGCTGCACCTGTGTGTAACACATCACAGCCCTGCCAGTGAAAATTTTGTCCTCACCTGATCTGGAGAATGCGCTGCACCTGACCCGGAGTGACCTGAATGTCTCTGACAGCTGCCTCCCAAAGATGTGACTGCATGTTCCTTTCAAATGGGGCAATTGTGCCTGGCACTGACTTGGCGCCTGAATATTAGCAAGCAAGTGATGTGAGCTCATGTCATATTGTTAGAAGCAGAGACCTCCTGTCACGCTGAACGTTATAATATGACGCCAATGCAACATTGTCAGGAGTGGCAACCCGTTACCTTGGTCACAGCCAATGCTCACAAAGCAGTGCACAGCCTCCGACACCATCTGACTGAATGCAGACCTGCAGCTTGCCTCCTGCTTGTCGTTAGATAGACCTGACATGCCCTTCATGCCATCTTTCAGCAGCAAGACCTGCACAAGTCACCATACAGGTTCTACCTCAAAACATGCGCACTGCAGATATGCACTCTACCTACCATGAGTGGAGTCTTCAGGACATCCTCCAATGTTTGTTCAAAACGGTGGAGTGATCTGCGAACACCCTCACATGCTAAAGACATTGTCAGCATGTCAGCAGTGGGAAGAGGCGCGCCAGGTCATGCAGGCGTTCTTGCTGGTGGGACAGCAGGAACTTCCCCTCCTCATCTGCAGCCGCGCCGTCTTCATCCGGCTCTTCGCCAGGGGACCCCGGCTGGTCACCCAAGCTTTGCATATCAGGCCCAGTCACACTCCGCGCAGCCTGCAGGGATGGACGCTCCGAGGCTACCTGCTGAGTCAGCGCCTGCTGCAGCTCGGCGTTGCGCCTGCGCAGCTCAGCATTCCTGTGCTGCGCTGTCGTCAGCTCCTGCATGCGCTCAGACAGCGCCTGGATCGCCGCCTGCAGCTCGGCTGCCTTGGCCTTCTTTCGCTCCCTGCGCAGAATTACTATAGTTATAGTAATTGCACGCTTTCCCTGCCAAGAGGCAAGGTGAGTCCTGTATTAATACCGCCCCCCGCCAGCCGGGGCAAATTAATCATCCAATGTCGGCCAAAGTAAGGAGGCATGTGCATTGCAGAGGGTAAAAACCACAGTGAGGACTGGTGGCGGCGCTTACATCACTGGCATGGATCCACTGAACACTCCAGACCTCGTGCGCAAATAAGAGTATATCTAATGTCAATGACCACTGACTGCTCCCAGTGTGCCGGCATAATGTGTGAGGTAACCTGTGCAGGTTGGGAAGCAAGACAGCACCTGTAGCGCACTTGAGCGAGTTTATTCATTGTCTGTTCTCGCTCAGACCGGTTCCTCATCCTACGTTTCTCTGAAGATGGCTGCTTGCTGTCATCGCCGCTGCCTGGGGCTTGCTGCATACAAAAAAGTCAGCGATGTCAGGTTGCGCCAGAAAAACCCGAAAAGAATACACCGTGGCACAGCAGAATTATTCTGTTCCAAAGAGGCGACCTTGTCTCAAGGCAAGAGGAAGGACCAGATCACATATCACCAAGGAGTATCACCTCATCTGCAGAGCTGCCCAAGACGGGTTGGTCTTCCTGCAACAGTGATGCAGCTGCCAAAGAGTATTGAATTCCAGTCTGCTCAGGTAGCCTGATCTGCTGCGGAAGTTGATGCTGCCACGGGAAAGATCTCGGCATGTCAATGCCCACTTGTGATGTGCCTTGCACAGTGGCTGTTGTGGCGGGCCGAGTACCCCGTGGCTCAGCACTCAAATATGAAGCGGCCTTGGTGGCAGTCGCAGCTGCACCAGTATGTGTGTCCCTGCGAGGAAATCATACTTCAATTCCACTGTGCCATGATTCAGCATACTAATGGCAATGATGCGTCCAAGAAAGAAGAGTTCAGTGGTGCTGCAGTAGTGCCATGAAGAGTTTTGTGGCTATTTTGTAAGGCTTACGTCTTCTGGAAGGAGGATGCCTTCGCTTGAGATGGCCATGAGGCATCCAAGACTGCATCTGGTGTAGCAAACTCACGCAAAAAGTCTTGATCCAGATCAAAATCTGGAAATTGGTCCAAGTCAATATCCAGTAAAGAAGCGGAGTTGGAGGATCCCACGTTCATTCCTACGTCTGGTAATGTAACAACAGGGTCCGCAGCACCTGTCGCCTCAAGGCTACCACCTGCAATGCCCCATGCTCGATCAGAAATCATGACATAGATAGCCGATGAATAGAGATTCAACAACAGTACCGATACACAGAGTATAATGAACCATTCTTTCAGACCTTGCTGGTGGAGCGGCAACGGCAGAGACGGCAGATAGTCCTGCAAGAACCAGTCGTCTGAGAGAAATTCGGGCGCTGGAAACGTCGGCTGCGATTGCATCGAGCCCCTTGCACACTCACAAAAGATTATCGAACACTACCGCATCAAGTTGGGGGAGCACAGCCAGGCATTCGGTGTGTATCCTTGCTAAATTTGATAGCCTTCACGAGAAACAGGGGAATTGGAAATATAGAGCGTGCGAGATTATGGCCTGCAGATGAGCTTTACATCTCAATCACGGAATGCCTCATGCCAATGGTATTTACGATCTGGGACCCACTTGGTTGCACATCACTCAAATTAATGGTCAAACAGCTTGACAAGGTCATCTACATTGGGATCTGTACAGAAGCTACAAAGGAAAATTGCCACAAATGACGGTTACTGGAGCTGCGCATGTGTTCACTCTATCACAGGCCAGATCGTCATTGATACCGTTGCTCGCTGGACGCAAAACAAAGTCTTTCAGGTGTACCCCCATTCCGGCAATGGCCACAGCAGAGGTGAAGCTCAGCCAGGACGAGCTGAAGAAGCAGGCTGCATGGAAGGCAGTTGAGTATGTAAAGAGCGGAATGAAGCTGGGACTAGGAACGGGATCCACAGCAGCGTTTGCTGTAGACAAGATTGGGCAGTTGCTTAAAGATGGCACTCTAACGGACATTGTCGGCGTCCCAACATCCATCCGCACCTACGAGCAGGCCCTCAGTGCGCAGACGATTTCCTGATCTGATCCTTTTGTGCATCTTGTCTGAGGCAATTGAAGGGAAGAGGTCAAAAATTATGTGAGATGTTTCAGTATATCTCGGTAAAGTATGGCACTGTGCATGCTGGCCCTCTGCTCACCAACCTTGGCATGACTGAGTTTGGTCATGATCTGGCCTTCTGCAGGTCTCGGAATTCCGCTGGCCACTCTTGATGAGGTGTCTGAGCTGGACCTCGCCATCGATGGTGCTGATGAGGTGGACCCGAATCTGCATGTGGTGAAAGGCCGTGGAGGAGCCCTGCTGCGTGAAAAGGTGAGCAATCCTGCTGCATGGAGGGCTGATGGCTTCCATACATTTCCCTGTGCAGACAAAAGCACTCTTTGCTTAATCTGGCATGTCCACTGCAGATGGTGGAGCTCGCCTCAAAGAAGTTTGTCTGCATCGTGGACGAGTCAAAGCTCGTGCAGGGCCTGGGCGGCAGCAAAGGTGACTGGCATGAGCATGAAACACATGGCTTCCTTGTTGGATCTTGACTCTCTGTGCTGCGCATGCACTTGCTATGCTTGTAAAGGAAAGTGCTCCATCCATTCAGCTGTCATTCAACCATGCATGATTCTTGTTTTTGTCTGCATTTTCCAATGTCGCGAGTTTTGTGCCTCAATCGGGAATGACCATGAAGGCGGCATGCACATGATGTCCTTTCCTGCTGCAGATGCGATGCCAGTGGAGATCGTGCAGTTCTGCTGGAAGTACAACCTCAATCGGCTGCAGAATCTGCCGGAGCTGGCCGGCGGCGTGGCCAAGCTGCGGATGGACGGCGACAAGCCTTACGTGACAGACAACTCCAACTACATTGTGGACCTGTACTTTGAGGAGCCCATCAAGGACGCCCACGCCGCTGCCGAGGCCATCAGCAAGCTGACAGGAGTCGTGGACCACGGCCTCTTCATGGACATGGTGGATGTGTGCATCGTTGCGCGCGCCAACGGCATCGAGGTGCAGGAGAAGTGAGAGGAGCAGTTGCAGAGGCGTTACCCAGTGGGACATTTTTTGTAGATGTGTGAGCGAGGAGGGCAGAGGGTGCTGAGTGACCCATGGCCAGTATGAACAGGCTCCCGGCAATGTTGTCAGTAGAGCGAGGAAACATTCAGTTCTGTTGTATCTAGGAGCAAGTATTTTGATGCCATAGTCTTGTGCTGTGATGTTACCAGAGCGCCTTTGCGAAGAAGTCCGACTGATTGAGATTGAGAAGACCGATTGAGTCACATCTCTCCACCCTTCTGCATAATGTGTTTCAGGAACCACTGTTCTTACAGAGGCAATGTACTCGTCAAATCGTGTAACTTAGATCTCAATCAAGGTCAGATGTAGAGTTGCAGGTCACACTGAAACATTGGAATATTTGTTCAGCTTCTTGAGTTCCCAGTCAGTAAAACATCACGTTGCAGCCACCATACAATGTCTAGTTGTACACCATGTACTTGGGTGTTGCACTAAACTTCTGGTAGCCCTTGATGACCTGCGCACACAGCCAACAATCAGCAGGCTCACCAGATGCAGCGAATTTCATGTTCAGCAATCTTCACAAGAAAGCGGACAAACTGCTCGTGAAGGAGCTGTTCTGACAAGGACGCTTACCTTGTTGACAGCATCCAAGAAGTCCTTCTCTGTCACTGTCTTCCTGCGAGCCCTGATGGCAAACATGCCCGCCTCCGTGCACACACTCCTGATGTCCGCACCAGTGGAGTTTGGGCACAACCTGCACAAGCAAACACGCTCCTCAGGCAAAGCCCAACAACAAGAACAGCACAGCGGCGGCCCTCTTGGACACCAATGGTTTGCAGCACCCTGTTTAACAATTACAAGCCAGCCCTGGCTCCCCACATTCCACTCGCACTGCCTTGTACGGTATGTCTTCACTCACTTTGGCTCAATGGCGTTCTTCAGCTGCAAAATGTTCAGCATGTCAGTGCAGTGACAGGGTGCACACCGCGAGAGCAGCTCGAAGCGGATGTCGCGCTCGCAGTTCATGGTGCGGGTGTGGATTTGGAAGATCTGAGTGCGCGACTCCAGGTCAGGCAGGCCAAACTCCACCTTCCGGTCCAGCCGCCCCGGCCGCAGCAGCGCTGGGTCCAGCGTGTCCGGCCTGTTGGTCGCCATCAGCACCTGCCATGCATGCCAACATCAAAACCCCTCTAATGCCATTGCAGTGCCGCCATGCAATTGGTGCGTTTCAAGAGATCACTGGTGCTTTTCTGACACCACGGGGAGAGGTGCTCTGCAGAGGTAAGGGCAAAGTCTGCCAACCAGCCACGCTTCAGAACAGCATTTATAGGAGAGAGAGTCAACCTCAAAAATCTCCCATTCAAAACAAGGGGCTAGCTGCGAAGCTGAGTGTTGATCTGGCTCTAATAGGAGATCTGTCTAGACCTGTCACCGATATATGCAAAAGCACCATTTCATGCCATCGCACGGCTGCCATGCATCAGATGCATGCAATGAATGCACAGCAGCTGTGGGGGCTGTTGAGTGAATTGCGTTGCTTGTCGAACAGCAATTCTGAGTACCAAGCTGTGTGCACCTTAATGTTCCCTCTCGAGTCGAACCCATCCAGCTGGTTGACAATCTCCAGCATGGTCCTCTGCACCTCATTGTCGCCACCTGAGATAGTGGTTAGCAAACTTAAAATTGGCACGATCAATTGAGCAGCTAGTCATCGGGCAGCAGTTGTCAATAAGCAAATTATCAGCATGATGGGCTTCACCAATTCTCACCTGCACCGTCGTCAAATCGCGCGCCGCCGATGGCGTCAATCTCATCGAAGAAGACCAGGCACGCCTTCTTTGACCTGGCCATCTGCAGCATTCCCCCAGCACAGCGCTCTCAAGCCACACTTCTCCAGCAAACCGCCATTGCTCTGTGCTAGCACAGAAGGAGCTGCAGACAGCGCACGTCCACTTCTATGTGCCAAGGGAGGAGAAAGGGAGTGCTCACCTGGAAGAGCTCGCGCACCATGCGTGCACCCTCGCCCACATACTTCTGCACCAGCTCACTGCCGATGACGCGGATGAAGCAAGCGTCCGTCCTGTTGGCCACCGCGCGCGCCAGCAGCGTCTTGCCGGTGCCTGCAGCACAGCGTGCACCGCCTCACGCATGGCACTGCCCACATTAAACATCTCCCGGTATGATGAGTAGTTAGACAATGGCTGCACTAGATTAGTGGGCAGCATGCTCTGTGGTGAGACTGAGGTCATGCTGCCCAGGAAGAGAGAAAAAATGCATGCCTGTGAGTACGGAATCTACTGAGGATAGTGGCGGCACCTGGGGGCCCATAGCAGAGGACGCCCTTTGGGGGGTCAATGCCCAGCTGCACAAACTTCTCAGGGTGCAGCATGGGCAGCTCCACGACCTCGCGCATCTTCTCAATCTGCTCCTTGCAGCCGCCGATGTCAGAGTACGTCACGTCTGGCTTCTCCTCCACTGTCATCATCGTCACTGTGGGGTCGATCTTTGGCGGCAGCGGGATCTGTATTTGATACTTGTTGCGGTCCACCCTGCATCCAGCCAAGTTTGACCTTTTTATACCCTTTTTTTCAACAGAAGAGCTACAAGTCTGTAGTTTGTGGGATCAACCACAAGACCTTAGCCTGGTGCGGGGAGCAATTCAATCCCTGAGGAAAAAGTTAAGCAGCATTCAATGCGGTGAGGCCTGTGCTGATACATACCCGACGCGCATCCCCTCCTCAATATCAGTGGGCGCCACACGGTCACCCAGGCCCACCACAAACTGCACACACAGTTGGAGCGCTGCTCAGTGTGCCAATTTGGATCTGAGAGCAGCTCAACCAAGATCCCAACACAATAATGAATACTCCCTTCGTCAACTGGCAATTTAAGTACTCTGATGCTTTCTCAGCTGCGCACCTTGGCGATTTGCTTCACATTGATCACATACTTGGCTTCTTCTGTGCCAGGCTTGATGATCTTTGTACACCGCGCCACCTACAGAATGCACGGCCCACATGTTTGATGCAGAATATTAGACCAGACATAAAATACTTTACTTCGAAAAATGACACGAGTGTCCATCATCAGGAGAGTCCGGCCAGGCATCAATTCCAGGAGGGCCAGCAATTACTCTCACGAAGACATTGCCACCGCACAACCATGCACTTCGCTTCGCACCTGCAGAGGCTGCTCCTCCTGCATTGCCTGCTTGTCTGACACCAAATCCCATCGACTTGGTGGGGCCAGGCCTGTGTCTGATTCTTTCACACCACTTACTTCGTTCACTTTCTTGACGATTTCCTTCACGTCCTTTTCAACATTTTTAATGCGAACTGAGTAGGGACCTTGTCCGTAGGTCTTAAGCAGGGCAATGTCATCCTCATCGAGAGCACGCACTTTCTCCTCCTTCTCATCAGGAGGGTCTGACGACATTTTTGCCAATGATTTCTACAGGGTCTTCAGCTACCCATGCCAAAATGACTCACAATTAAATTAGCTCGCCAACACGCTCTATTTTCAATCAAGGCAGACACCACCACGCCCTGCTCCTACCTCGGTTGCATGACCAAATGGTGTAGGGTTACAAAACCCGGAATGATATCCCCCAAGAAAGATCATCGGGGGTCATCCTGTATCGAAGCATGGGCGTGAACCTCGTCAAGCGGAGCACAGCATTTACAACTCCTTCCTCAACCTTTACATTGCTGGAAGATACCAAAGGGTCTTATGTGATTTGGTGTGACTGGTTGGCGCTATCCACGCTCGGTAAACTATAAACAAGCGACGATCAGCGAGGATTCCAAGGACTCGGCTGCTACAAGGGCTTTGAGCACAAATATCTGCTTGAAAGGCGTTCACTATGGTGTTCGAGGTTGTCAGTGACACGTGCGGCCTTTCAGGTCCCCTGCAGCAGCCTGCTCGGTGCCACAACCTCCAGGCAGCGACTTGCTCCAAGGGTCACGAATGCACCCGCTTCTGCAGCTTTGAGCATGTTTTGGCCAACGTCTTCACATGCAAAACCAGCGGAAAAACGCACATCTGTGACTCGACCTGCGAGGAGCGCATACAGCTGGATTCTCATACAAGTGTCTGCCGTCTGAGCAAGCGCGTCTTCTCCCAAGCACCAGCCTTCGAGGTTTCAAGGTACCCTTCTTTGAGTACCCTCTCCATGCCCGATGAACGTCCTGCTATATTGAGCATGTTTTCTGCAACACAAGCCCAATGTCAGCGACCTTTGAGCGCTGGTGTGCTTCACCCATCAAGTTCTTGCCTGATCGAGCTCAGCTTATTCGCATTTCCCGCGTCCCTATGTGCTGGAGAGAGTCTCTTTTATCATTGAGGTTCTAGGAGGGCAGTGCGTCATGACCAGCATGCATATGAAACAATTGTTTTGCTGTCCAGGAAGCGATTTGTGGAGGACCAGTCTTCCTGTGCAGCTGGGGTCGCCAAGCTCTCCAGGTTATGGTAGAGTGGTCTCTTCTGTAGTATTCAAGGATCAACTCTTATATTCGAACCCCTGGGAGCGGCACTTCACAGTCTGACAACATCAGTAAGGGATCACTGCAGTGAACTGATGCTAGAAAGGGCTGAGACTGGGCCCATTGAAAACGGCAGTGAAGACTGCACACTTCTTGTCTCATAATTTGGCCGTCCTGATGTGCATCCGTTCTGCAGCCTCAGCTTTTCAACGAAAGTGTTTGCAGGCTTGAGCTATCTTTTTCTTTTCAATAACATCACGCGCCTTAGGTGGGACTCTATCCTGTACATGACATACAGACTCTTCCCGGGCCGTGGCAGCCTTCTTGAGAATACCTTTGTGCTGATAAGTCTGTACAGTGTGTACATTTGATTCTTTTGATCCGTACTGAAGCAGCACTGTCCAGACCTGCGTGGCAGTTGTCAAACCTCATTTGATGCGGACAGTGCCGCAGGCGAAACGATTGTCCTATTTGTGGCCAGGTTTTGGCTGGATGATGAGAGATGGGTTCAGGCTGTTTCCTGCCCCCTGTTCAATCAGACTAAATGCATACTTGGCAAGCAGAGCAAACCGTTAGAATTCTCGTTCTGATGAGAGTCTAGATCTAGACCGCCTGCTAGTAGCTACTTGTAAGTAATTTGAAATATAATGCAACCTGGATATACGCACAATGCATGTCCAATTTGCAAAGAGTGGAGCGTCGTGTTATATCGATGTACCAGCTGCAGCAATTGCCTGACAGTCTGGAAGTTGTGATCTGTCATATTGCTAAGAGATTGCACATGTTCTGCACCGCAACATTCTCATGATGTAATAGCAATCAGCACAAATAGTGCGCTGCCCTGCTGGGCTATTGTAAGCGTGGAAGCGTGGCTTGCAAGCGTGGAATCTTCAGGGCATAAAATGACATCGCACATTATATGTGCTTCGAAAGGAAGGCACTTGCGCTTATTTATAGCTGTTGACATCATAAGCATAGAATGTTCTGTGATCATGCTTTTCAAGCTTGCGCGAATTACAGTGGAGGCATTGGAACAAGCAGGCACATTTCAAAGCGTCCCTCAAATGACCCATTACTGAAGTCAAGATTATTGTATGCAGTGATCACTGCAGCTGCTAAGCATCATTGCACAGATGCATGCCAAGCCAGAAGGGCTTGTTCAATGCCACGTGCATGCAAGGGGTCCATTGAGAGAGCCACGAGGAAGAAAATCTATGATACTTGCTTGCAAATACAAGAAACAATACAGATCAATTGCAATGAAAATCGAAAACTACTCTATTGACACATCCCAACGTTATATCATGGCCGTTCCGTTCCAAATTTCAGTCATTAAGTTCTTCACCTGAAGACACACTTCAAGGCGGCACTGCCACATCTGCAGCAGCTGCTAGTACGTTCTAAAAGCATCAGTTGCCAAATCTCTTACTTGCACAGGTCCACACACTAACAGAGAGCCACCAGGTGGAAACCTACAGGACTTATTTCATGACTGAATCAGAGTACACAGAGAAGGTTTGCGTCTCCACAAACTGCTTCATGAAAAGACGGTCACGCACACTGAAGGACTCGACAAAGGAGTCCTTCAGGAGTAGAGACACCCGCTCCGCCGTCTGGACATCCGTTATGGTGTGCTGGTACAGGTTGGAGCACAAGCCGCCCAAATGGTCCTGCACAATCTGCGCAACACATGCAAGCCCGTCATTCCAGCGGCCGCGTACTGCTCAATGCCTTGCAAGACCTGCATTGACATCAAGTGTATGGGGCACCTGCTGCCTTCATATGAACACGCTATTCTCAAAGCCTGAACGCCGCAGCAATTGGCAACGAAAGGAATGGCTGCATGACTGGCACAACCCAGCTGCAGCAAGCGTGACCTGAGCCGGTCCCCGGCTCTGTTCCACGGGCATTAACGGAAATTGACGGTAACTTAACTGCAGATTCACTCCTGAATGCTCATGCAGGCGATCACTCACTCATACAATTTCGATGTTGACGATGTGTCACCTGCAGGAACGATTCGGCGGCGTGCTTCTGGTCGTCAGTGATGGAGTACAGGGGACGGGACTTGGCAGCGTCGCGGCCGATGGAGTGCAGCGCCCAATACGCCGGCGACAGCGCGCCCACCAGGCTGCCCGCATTGGGCAGCGCGGGCAGGTGCGCCGCGTTCTTTATCCGGTCCTTGTAGATGTTCACGCGCATCAGCGATTTGCACCGCGCCGCCACCTCCGCCGTCTTGTACTGCACGGACCCACGCATGCACCTCAAATTTGAATCTCAGGAGAAGAACAGCCAGCATCCCAGAACTAGTACAGCCACAGTTAGCATACGCAGGCCTCCAGAGTTTTGTGAGGATGTGCACATGGATGTTGCCAAGAGAGATGAGCAGTCACATAAGCTGCAAAAACGGACGAGTGGGGAGTGTGTATGTGTGCGCGCACAAGAGAGCAGCCAGGGCTACCTTGATGCCGAGGATGAAGGGCACGGGGGCCTCCAGCAGGTCGAGCATCTTGTCCTGGACGGGCAGGACTGGCAGCAGCAGGGACTGCCACGCAAAGGGGCGCATGAGGGGAACGAGCGACAGCACCGACGCGCTCAGCACGCCGATGTTGGGGCAGAACACTGCCATCTGCCGCTCCAGCAGCGCAGCTGCACCCCACCCCGAACACATCATCACGCTTCACTCCAGCCACAGAGACCCTTCTGCAGACCTCTGTGAGCACTGCAAACTGGTACTGTTTTATAAAGCACGTTGAACTCTGGACCGACCACATTGGCCCCTGTTTGCATTAGAAAACTTGCTTCTTTGGGCAAATTGCTAGGAAAGCCCTCCCCTGATATCAGACACTCAGGAGCACCAATCTGGGGAGGTGCTTTGTGGGTACATGCATGAGGTAGCACAAGGGGAAGAAACCGTACCAGTGATGAAGGTGAGGATGTTGTCGAGGGAGAGGGAGCGGCAGAGGCAGGCGACGGTCCACGTGCGCAGCCCCAATGCCGCCTCGGCCTCGGCGGCGGCGATGGCGGAGCGGCGCACAAAGCGCTGAGTCAGATCAAAGATAGCCGGCCGCGCGTAGTGCACCGGCTGAAGCTCCGCGTCCGGCATGAACTCCAGCTCCTCGCCCGGCGCCGGCACCGGCGTCGCATAGTATGCCTTCATCACCTGCGCGCATGTGCCACGCCCCTATCAGTGCCTGTTTCACCCTCGTCCGCACGCGTACAGCGGCCCATTCAGTGCACATGTGACCCTCTTCAGGGCATGTGAAGCGGCCCCATCAATCACATAACCTTCTTGTCAGCGTTCGTGTGCACATCAGCAAGACCTCCAGTCCTACATTCCTTCCTCTTCCGAGCAGGCCTCAGACAAGCATGCTGAGTTCATCAGCATGTGTGCCATGTGAGTTGTTGCCTTCCTGTTGAGAAAGCTGGACTGTCTTGGTAGCTGAGCTATTGAAAATCATGGGCAGCGAATGTTCAGTGAGCACCTGCAGGGCGGAGGCTGTCTCGCTGGGTATGTGGGTGGGCATGCTGTGCAGCGCCGGCCGCAGTGACATGCTGCGCAGCTCCCTCCTGCTCCGCTTCTGCTCCACTAGCAGCACCGCCGCCTGCACAACATCACATATTCTCTTTGCACGCTGGCAGTAACATGCAAGGCAAATTTGCAGTGACACACCACCGTCGCATTTCACACTGCGTTCCTTCAATTTCCTCCCAGATGGAGCGTCATACGAGCTGCCTCTGGAAAGAAATACGAGAACGGAGTTTGGAACAGCATTTGCACCAGTGTTGGAGTGCTTAAAATGTAAAAGGGCACAGGGCAGAGAGATATGCTCACCATGGCGCCTTCAGGGTCGCCCCTGAGAGGCTGCCCCGGCGGTGCAGATCTGCTCTCTGCCAGCGCCGCCTGCTGCTGCTCCCCCCAGGCCTCCAGGCTGCTGCGCTGCGGAGCATCCGGCTGCTGCCCATTCTCAGGGGTTGCGTAGGGGCTCTCAGGGAGGTTCTGCCGCTGAGCCGAGGCCCCCTGCCTTCGCAGCGCCTCCCCTGTGGCATCCAAGGGGCTCGCAGGGGAATTGGGCAGGCTGCCCTGGCCCTGCACCTGCCGCTGCAACCTGCATGCCAACCACAAGAGTTGTTATCAGGCATGCAAGCTCCAAAATCACGGCGCAGAGAGTCTCTAGGAGCAAACAATTTACAACCCATGCATAGCATGCCTGTCTTAAATGTGGAAAATGATATTCTCAGGTCCATGCGGGTTCAAGAATCCAGTTCAGTGAAGCCATCGTGATTCCTTAAGAGATAGGCGTGACTTGCAGCCCCACCTGCTCATGAAGTCTCGCGGGGGTGTGTCCAGCTCCGAGTAGCCACCCAGGGACTCGCCGCTCAGGTTGCGCCTGTGCTGGGGCGACGCATTGTGCATGGGCCCCGAGGTGGCGGTCCGGTACGAGTCATCGCTGGAGGCAATTGACGCGTTGGACACCATGATGTTCACCTGCCACACCCCGCATGCAGCATTCAACAAAAACAACTCTCTACAATCAAACATACCGAACACATGGTTGCTTCACAGCGGTATCAACAACTTTCTCAGCATTGTACACCCCCATGCCATTCCTGCCTGAAGACCAAATGTGACTTGCTTTTCATTGGCAACTCATCCTTGTCTGTGAAAAGGACAGATGCAGCCCAGGAGCATGAGATTGCCCAGAGGCAGACAAAAACGGCCCTGCCCACCTCAGTGTCCTCGGTGCTGCGGCCGGAGAAAGTCTCAGAGCGCTCCACCTCGGCAGCCAGCACAGCGGCCTGCATGCGTTCCTGCGCCCGCTGTATCCGCTGCGCCGAGTTGCGCACCAGATCAGGTGCCAATTGTGTTGGTGACGGCGTTGACGGATCCACCGGCGGCCGCTGCCGCGGCGGCGTGCCGACAGATGCCCCTCCTAATGCAATGATCAGTAATTATTGACTGAGATATGAGTGCACGATTTCTGATCCCTTATCCCTTATCTCTCAAAACTTTTCCTCATGCCACCTGCCACAACTTGCAATCAGACATGATCGAGTCCGCTACACCAAGGGTAGCATTAACACAAGCCCTGGCTAAGTGCAGGGAAGAGAAGCGTACCAGTGAAAGACAGGGACTGTCGCCGCATGTGGCCATTGGTGAGGTTGGTGGCGCTCCCATCAAGGTCTGTGGTGGCAGGCAGAGTCGTGGCTGCAGAGCTGCTGCTCCTGCGGGGGAGCTCCCGAGTGTTCCCCAGCCTAGTGGAATCCCTCTGTCGCTGCAACTCCAGCAAAGCCTACATCCCCCCACAGAGTATTCTCAGTATTTCAAGCATTTGCCCCGACTTGCACTTCCATGTCCCCCGGTGATAATGTGATATTTAAATACACTGAACAGTGCGACAACATGACTGCAATGTCTGTATGAGAAGATTTTGATGCAATGCTACTTTGTGCATGTCCCCTATTGAGGGTTGCAAACATCCGGGGGAAGCACCTGCAGCTTGGCCAGTCCAACGCTGCTGACAGGCGGATGCCGGTAATATCTGTCGGGGCCGTCCCCAGCGGCCGAGGCTCCCTTGGCGGGGGAGGACAGCTGCGCATCGCTCTGTGAGCGTGAGCTGACGCTCGGCACATCACTGCCGCCGTTGCTGCCCCCCTTGTCCTGCTGCCGGGCCAGCCTACCGTCCGCATCATAGGCTGAGTCGCAGGGGCTCAAGTACGGGACGCTGTGGCTGCGGCTGTGGCGGCTGCGGGCCCCGGGGGTGTTGCCGCCCGGCAGCGGCGGCTGCCCGGAGCCGGGCGCGCCCCGGGCCCCGGGGGCCGCCGGATCCAACTGCCGCGGGCTGGCCGCTGCGGAGGGGGGCCCCGAGGGGACCGCGTCGCGCGGGGAGATTTGAGGACTGGTGCGCGCGCTGTTCTGTCGCTCCTGCAGCGCCGCTCGCGCCTGCTCCCATGCTAGCGTCAGGCTCCGCACCCGCCCCTGTGTTGCCAAACGCTACTTGTTCAAGTGCCGCTCAATGCGCCTGTCATAAAATGAGGCTCCATCTCATCTATCTCCTTTTCAGCTCGATTAAAATTATTACACAGCTGCTTGCCAGACAGTAGTAGGGTCATTGCATCAAAACGGTGCATATACTGATCAGTATACATCATCAATGTTGTCATGAGCTCTCGGACAGACCTGGCCATCAAGCGACTCGGTGTGGCTCTTCCTGGAGTCGAGCGCGGCCACCGCCTGCGACAGCTCCTCCCGGATCTCCAGCGAGGCGATGGCTGCATTCACACGGTCCCGGCCGGACATCCCGTCGCCGCTCGTCCCCGCGCCAGCCGAGGAGGCCAGCCGCTCCCTGCTGGCAGCGCTGCTCTCCGGCCTTAGGCCGCCGTCCTGCGCCCGGCTCCCACCGCTGCTGCTGGGCTGCGCTCCTCCACTGCTGTCCTGGCTGTGGCCTCTGGCAGAGTCCGACTCCTGGTCCTCCTTGATGGTGCTGGGAGGGCCGGGGTGGCGGGGCGGAGGGAACTCCACCGGACGCATGGGGCCTGACTGCTCCTCCATGAATGCTGTGATGCGGTCCAGCCGCTCCAGCCCCATTATCATGTGCAGCACCTGCAATCAGCGCCCGGTCTCATTGCAAGCTGTGAGCCTACTCAGCAAGACGTCATACCATTCCCGGTGCTTTTTTTCCAGATGGCACCCCTACATCTCATCTTTTGGTGTCCCTACCGTTAGTGCTCATGTTCTGTCAAACGATGCCTTCACAGGCATTGCTGGGTGGGGGCAACTACGGGCTGTGATGAGAAGTAGCAGCACCTGCAGATCATGGGCGGTGCAAAAGAGAGGCTCAGCTTGCAGTGATGGGGAGAAGTGGTCACCTTGAAGTGCAGCGGGAAGAAGGGGTAGTGGGTGAGGAAGCAGTAGCAGCGGGGCGCTGCCACGAGGTAGCGGCTGAGGGGTGTGAGGAGGCTGTCGGTGCTGCGCAGCACCGTGGGCGGCCGGTGCACCAACTCATCCATGTAGCAGCACACGCCGTAGAGCGGCAGGTTGTCTGCCACCTGCATGCATGTGCCCAGCACTCAGCGCCCAAGATTCTATGCCATTATTCTACTTGCACCGACTGCTAGGAGCCATCTTACAGCCTCGAGTGGGCCTAATGCAGGCGTAGCGCAGCTTGGGTTGGCGCCACACGCACAGGACCCGTGAGAAGCATGTAGGCCAATTTCAGAGACGTGAATGCTGTCAACTGAGTAGTTTGGCTTCCAGGCTCCACACCTTGAGGACAAAGATGAAGGAGTTGCCATCAGAGTGCTGGTACTGTTGGCTGTACACCAGCTCATTCAGCGCAGACATTGAGGGCGTTCTTTCCAGCAGCATCGGTTGCACGCCATGCGGGAAACAGAAGTGCGCCGCATCTGGCGTGATAGGCTTGTTCTCTGGATACTGGTACAGAACCTGCAGAAGTCACAAAGGCACAAGCGTCACGAATCACATCTGCGACATATAGCTCCTACTAAAGGAAGAATTAGCAATCACTTGCTGACAAAGGATTGCAGGTTGAAGCAAGAGAGCCAGGATTACCTGGGGGACCAGAGGTACGCCCCTTGAACCTCGGTGCCTCGTCTGGCCGGTCACTTCAGGTGTGACGGAAACATTCAGATCGCCGGTTTTGGCTGCACATACATCATTCAACAATATCAGAAGGCGACGAACACGGCATGTACATGATCATGAGCAGTACACCTTGCTTAGACATGCAGCTCACCCCTCTGCAGTATCTCCGGCTCTGCAACCACGCTCTTGATGTCTGTCGATGGTGGCAGGCCCTGCGACAGGGGCACATCGCAATTAAGGGATGCTCCAGAGCATAACAGTGCAGGTGGCCTGCATCAGATTTCCAATTGTGGTGCAAACCGAGATGTCCTTCACCCAGACAAATATAAACTCACCACAATGATGAAGCTCTCGAAGGCCTGGCTGGGCCAGCCCACGACCTTGTCATCATCTTTGAACTGCTTTGCCCACTCTCTCTGCAGAACACACAGTGACAAGTGAGGCCACAACCTGACAACGTCTGGTTGATTTGAATACTATCCAATCATCCGAGCATCGAGGGGTTCTTGAGGCATGCCATCAGCAGTCTATTTGGATCCTTGCACAGAGAGGGGTAGTAATATGGCAGGTTCAAGACGCCTTCTTCGCATCAATAGGATTTCCTATGATGTTGAAATTTCATTTTTTATTTAAGAGTGTGCATCTGGGTCACGATGATCCCCAAATGCTTATGGTGTGGGGTGTAGTGTACCTTCTGCTGAGTAAACTCCTCTGGATTAAACCACCGTCCCCCAGCTGTCGCTGCTCGTTGCTGCGCAACATCATCCAGCGTAAATATTTTATGCATACTGGGTCATACCTCGAGCATTAGCGTGCATGGATACAACCAGCAGTGCAAACATCTGCTCTGCGGTACCTTGAAGGGATTGAGTTTGTTGAGAGTTTTGTTCAGCTTTCTGCTAGCTCCTCTCGTGAGGTTCCTGGCATTGGAATCGTCCGACATGTATCCTGAACCCTCGGGTTGTGCTACCCGCTCCTCGCGCAGCGGTGACGTTGCAGAAGCTGTGCTGCGGTCAACGTTGATATCACTCCCGGCCTGGAGCCAGGAGGACGCCATGCCCCTTTCCTACCCTAACTCTCCTTTGCGACGCCATGCAGGACGTTCTAGCATGCTCCTCCTTGTAGGTTCAGCGAAAATCTTCGGACTACTATTGCTTCTGTTCATCGCCAGGGAATTGTGTTATCGGTAATGGTCCACTGCCTGACTAACCTAGATCACATGGTGACACCTCCCCCACCTTCTCTTCCAGTTGCTTGCAATTGCCATGTCAGCTGCATTCATCTTTCTCTAAATTGAGAATAATGTAATAGTTGTGGGGGTGCTTGGGGATATGCTGTCTAGATGTACCCACCCATCAGACTGCAGTATGACTAGTACTAGTCATACTGCATGGGACTAGTCCCATGCATCATGATATCATCGATGATCAGCTGACACCGGAATTATAATTCTGTAGATCTAGAGGCCAGCCGGGCGCCCCTCAGGGGTAGATCTAGGTCTCCATAACTCCATCATGATGATAATGCTGAGGATATGCATAATCATATGAATAATCCATTAATGGCTAATCATCAGCATGATGCATGCAGTTGCAGAATGATTCTCCAGGTTGGGCTCAAATGTTATGCAACACTTTTACAGGTTATCTTCTCCACTGCAACACTGGGTCTCTGATATCATGGCGGTGAGCTTCTCACTCAAGTGGAAAGCATACAAGACATCAGCCAAAACTCAAATCTCCATATGGATTTGGACAATGCATGTGGACCAACGTACAACAGAACAGGAGGCAATCATTTACAATGCCGGCTCTATATGAGCGGGCGAACACATCTGAAACATTGCGGCATCACTGAGAACTCCATCCATAGGAGGCTCATGGTACGCGTTGGCCCTGGTAGCCGTCTAAAAAGTCAGTCTGCAGTCCCCATACTGTAATTTCATTCCAGGAGGTCTGTGATGAGCCCCATGTGCGCAAAGTCATCCAGCCCGGGACTCTCCACATTCGCTGGCTGGTCCGGCCTCTGCGCACAGCAAATTCAAAATCAGCTTAATCTCCCAAACCATTGAGAGGCACACCAGCGATGAACAGCAGCAAGAACAGCAACTGCCATTCCACTCATGTGCTGCAGGTACACGGGCACATTTGCCCATCATGTCTGAGATCACTCGAATCTGTCCCAGTCACTCGCCCGCCAACACGAGGCTTACCTTTGACACGAGTGGAGTGGAGTAGCCCTGCTGCGGCTGGGACTGCGCCATGCCATATCCCAGGCCGTACTGACCGTCCGAGCTGGACGCCACGTCATTGCTGCTTCCGCCGCGGGCGAGCGGCTGGTCATTCGGCACCGCGCCTGCACTGGGGCTGACTGGGGGCTGCCCGCCAGAGCCCTTGCTGCTCAGGTGGTGCGCAGCGGGACCTCCCTGAGCAGACGCTGCCTGCCCGGCCTTGTTGCTGGGGCCCACCGGCCGCATGATCGTGCCGTTGTTTGGCCCGCGCCGCGGCGAGGAAGCAGCAATAGGGGTCGCACTGCCGACTGCACACCACCCCAAGCCTCGTCAATGGACGCTTCCGGTTTCACCTGTGATTGACAATAGAGGGGACAACTCGCCATGCAAGTGTATTTGAAGGCAATGAAGAAGGTGCTGTGCTGACCGGCAGCGTTGCGGTAGGAAATGCTCCCGTTGGGCAGGGACGCGGCAGAAGCGACGCTGGTTGGAGGCGGCAGGGGCGCTGCCATTGTTGGGACAAAGGCTGCCGCGTTGCCGTTCAGCGACTTGGACGACAGGTGCTTTCCCATGTCGCTGCTGGGCGCCGGCTGCGCACCGCCAGACTGCTTTGCATGACCTGCCGCCGTTCCGCGTCCCGACCCGCTCGCGCCAGCATTCGCCGCTGCAAGCACAGCAGTGCAGTCAGCACCGAGAAGCCTAGGATTTGCTTGAGCATCCTGAGGAGAGAAATTGAACACCGAAAGTACTTGTGCAACTAGTTGGCAAGCTGACAAGTGTCGTCCAAACAGTATTAGAAGTGAGGCGCACCTGCGCCGCGAGGCGTGGGCCGCAGGGCTGCGGCGGCGGCGGCAGTGGCGGCCGCGATGGCGGCGCTGCCGTCCTTGGACAGCGGCGGCACGGATGCTGCTCCGCGGCCGCGGCCGGCCGCGCCGCCACGCGCGCCGCCTGCGTCGCTGCCGCCAGAGCTGTGCTGCGGCTGCAGCTGCTGCCCCGACGCTACGTGGCCGCTCTGGGAGCGCATCGGCTGCGAGTCACCAGCGGCGACACCATTGCGGGCCTGGCGCGGGCGGAAGCCCATGTGACTGGTGGAGGATGAGTTTGAAGCGGTGCCGTTCTCCAGCGTCTGGCCGCTGTCGGCCCGGGGCGGGTGCGGCGACTCTGACGAGGCTCCGTCCATGGAGTCATGCTGTGACACCGACCCAGACTTGTGGTGCACCTGCAGCAAGCAAGCCCAATTCATGCTTGGTCCAATGAAAATGATGTCACTTCACCAGCCCACATGTCATCACAAGGACTTCCTTTGGGGTTCGGCGCAGCACCAGAAAGAGCAATTGTGGAACAAATGTGCCTCAATGTGCGCACCAGGGAGGCTGCCTGCGCTGCAGCGCGAGCGTGCGCTGCGTGCGAGTGCTCCGGCCCGGAGAGGTCCAGGGAGGATGCGCGCGACGCCGGCCGCGAGTCATTGCTGACTTCGCTCATGCTGCTCCTATTGTCGCCAGCAGTCGGCGTGCTGCGCGACACACAAATCTGTCAGTTCTCCCAAGCTTGGGCTACTCAGCAGCAAATTGCTGACCATACTTCCTTGCACCTATTAGGAGCTCTGCAAGGGACGCTGCGTATTGGGCGGCCATTGGCTGCTATTCTCTGAGCAGCCAATGATTGCCCAAGATACAAGCTTCCCTTGCAGAGCTTCACATCAGTTTGTGTGGCATGGGATAATATATCGATTATTTCTAAAACAGCTTTTGCGTTGCGGCTGGAAGCGCACCCAGAGGAAGCTGCCCTCAGGCGCAGCTCTGTGAGGGCGGCGCGCAAGGAGGCGACCTCCTGGGTGCGCTCGTTCAGCTCCTGTGTGCGGTCCGCCAGCTCCTTCCGCGTTGCTGTCCACCCATGTTTTGCCTCTGCCAGCTCCGCACGCAGCGCTGCCAGCGCACTTGTGCTTGCTGCCAGCTGCGCCTGCACAACCAAGACGCCTCGTCAAACTCTGCAGTGACATCACCATGCCAGGCATGGCCAGGGCCAGTTGCTGGGATAACATAAAATTGTTCCAGTCCAGGCATTTTGCTTGGACAATGCGGCCGCAGAAGCATCCCAGTCCAGAGGTGGACAGTACTACACCATGAAGCGCTGGAGTTTGCAAGAGCAATAGGACAGGGCGCGTTGGGATGCCCACCTGCAGGTACTCAACATGGCCGCGAATGGGCCCGGACGAGCCCTGGCGTTCGACCGGCCGCGCCGGCTGCGGCTGCTTGCGGGACGCCTGCCCGGGCCCGGGCGAGGGGGCCACGGCGGGCTCCTCCTCCTCGGATGTTACGTCCCCAGAGGACACCTCCGTGCTGAGTGAGGCGTCCTCGCCGGAGTGTGACCCATCGTCGCTGTAGGGGCCCTGGCTGCCGCCGTTGCGCGAATCGACCGATGCGGTCCCCGGCTGCGCGTCGTCCTCCACGCTGGCCGCCGTCCCGGCGCGGCCTGTCGTGCCGGCCGCATCCTCCGGCGATGAGGACCGCGCGCGCACTGCCGGCCGCTCCTGGATCTCCGCCGCGCGCACCTTTGCCGCCGCATCGGCCGCCTCCTGCACGTCGCACATATTTTCAAGCTGCAATTTGAACAAGCCAAGAGTGCTGCTCGGGTGATGGTATTTCTACATTTGTCCTCTCTCTCGATGCTTGACTGTCTGTAGTGCCTCTATGCCAGAGCCAGGCCTGCCTTTGCATCCCTACCCTTCATGCTGGGTGCCTCCATGTACAGCAGGTAAAAACTGGTTGTCAGGGCAATATAAGCTACAAACTGCAAGAACTCTGGTGCCTTGTGAATGTGTGGCAAATGCAAGGAGGAGGAGCTGCGGCAGACCTGCGCTCGGGAGGCCTCGCGGGCGCGGAAGGTGGCGGCCCTCTCCTTGAGCGCCTCCTGCCGCTCCTTCTCGCGCTGCGCCTCCTCCTTCTTTCGCAGCAGCGCCAGCTCTGCAGCCCTCTTCTCAGCCTGTCCATGAAAATTTACGCTTGCTCAACAAAAAAGGGCACATGCAAGAACGAACTCATACAATGGTCACAGAGATGTGAGGAATCGCAACGTTAAATTTGGCTTTTTGCCATTGCACTTTAGGATGGATCTAGGGCGCCCATGGCCCCCGTTGAAGCTCTAATCTTTCCAGCTACACACAGACCTGAGGCCCAAAAAAATTATTGTACCTCTGCCTTTCGTTGAGCCTCCAGCTTGCGGCGCTCTTCGTCCTCGGCCTCCTTCTTGGCCGTCTCTACCGCCTTCTTCTGCCGCTGGCGCTCCTTCTTGCGCGCCCGTTTCTCCTTCTCTGACGCCGAGCGCGCTGCCGCCCTCTCATCCTCCAGCCTCTCTGCTTCCTCCTCCTGACATTCACAACAGGGTTGGACAGGTCAGTGAATTCCATGGAGGAAGCACAAGGTTAGATTACCTGTCAACCGCTGGACCTACTGTACTACGTAGTCTGCAAAAATGCGGCAGAACACCTTTGGACACATGCATGAACCAAGCTTCTGAGTTTCAGTAATTGAAGAATGTAAGTCTAGGATCATGAACAAGGGCTCAGCCACACCTCCTTGATGAGGGCATCCTGCCGCTTGATGCTCTCTGCTTCACAGTAGGCGCTCTCCAGATCGCTGAAGACATGGGCCACTGCAAACATCTCAACTGCGCGCCTGCCCAGCTCTGCCAGCCGCCTCTCATCGCGCTCCACATAGTTGCTACTGTAGTCATCCGAGTCCTGCAGCCCAGCAAACACACTGCTGACCTCCGCTGTCTTTTCAACTATGTGGCACAGTCTCTAGCTCTCTCCTTTTGGGACTGCTGGTTGGAGTGAGACTTTGAGGGATGAAGCCATCCAATTGGCAGGAAACTGAACCATCCTGTGGAGATAGGTAAACAATCAGTGACGATAGAGGTTAGGCAATGCTGCAATGACGTGCAACTACTGACCTGGGCATTGCGGACAGCCAGGGCATCGCCCGCTTTGTCATCCCTAAAGGGAGGGATTGCTTCTGAGACCGCGCGCTCCAGCACCGTCTGCACATCCCCATGCAGCGACCAGGTGTCGGCGTGCACTGTCACCACGGGCGGCTTCTCCTTCTTCCCCTGGATACACATAAAGCACCCTGTCAAGCTCTTTCATACACTGATGCATCACCCACATGAGAAACATTGTATAATTGCCGGGCCATGACAGCATGCGTCAGCAACGCCACCATGTGCTTGGTCACATCTAAGAAATGGGGCTGAAGGGCTACACCTTCTTGGACTCCAAGTTGCGAGAGGCTTCCTCCAGCTGTTTGCAGCCACTGAAGAGGGCGTCCATCACCAGCGTGGAAGTGACCTCCTTCTCATTGAAGAAGCGCTTAACCACACCCTGAACCACAAATAAGAGTCAAAGCACATCACTACTTGCTTCAATGCCCTTAGCAGGGAAATGAGGCAGGCAGTAAGCCAGGTCATCAATGTATTTGGCGGGTCAGGTTGACGGCCATTCGACATTTTGGAGCAAAGCCAAGGAGGCACCTTGAGCACAGTCTCTCCAGAGGTTGTGGCGAGCTGGCGGCGCCTCTTGGGGTCCAGGCTGCCCCAGAAGGTGCGGAAGCCGCTGTCCTCGCTGCGCAGGTGCAGCAGCGCCTCGCGCTTCTCGTCCACAAACTTGCGCGCCAGCGTCTCCACATTCGTCAGGTACACTCGCACAAGCTCCCGCCGATACTGCGCCTCCAGACACCGGAACGGCGCATGCGGCCGGTCCCTGCACGCATCAGCGTCGCAGATTTTCAAGGAATGTGTCTCCCCTGGGCCTAGCCGTGCTGTCATCACCGCTGAGACACTGTTCACTGCTCATGAGCCCTGCACGATGTCTGTGAAGTGCATTGTTGCTTCTCTGTTTTGGAAGCGAACTATTTGACATCTGTCCATCTGATCATGCAAGTACATGTGGCAAGCTCCCCATGTTGGACTGGGAAGCTGTGTGAAGCTAGGTGTAAAGCACACCTGATGACCTGGACCTGGGCCTTGATGACTAGAGTGTTGGAGACTGTGAAGCCCTCCAGAACCTTGTTCAGCTCCATGAATTTCTTCCACCCCCAGTCGTGCTCCTTCTTGCAGAATCTGTGCAGCGTGTCTGCAAAGACAAGGGCCATGAGAACGCCTGAAAGAGTGAGTGCGAGGCCTGAAATCAGGACTGGATGACCTAGGCTGCATGCCGGTGGGCCAACTCACCTGAGTATTTCGACTTCTTGGGGTCCTTGTTTACCACTGCAATGGTGAATTGGGCGAAATGGCTCCAACCTGCAGCAAGCATACAAGAGTGTGAGAGATGAAACCATCTGAGGATGTTAGACAACCTGTGCATGGTGAGCTGTCGAAAGTCCACCTGGCAGCAGCTTGTCGTAGTCCGCCACACAAAGGAAGAGGGAGAGGTGGTTGCACACATCACAGCCTTGAGGATACACGAGAATGTACCTGCGTTCAGGCGTGTTTGAGTCAGCTGTTTGCTGTTACTGAGCCTATCTGAGAAAATAACAACGAAGCAAAGGAAGGGAGCAAAAATTTCTGATCAGATACGTGCCATTTGTAGCTGCCGACTTCAAAAATGGTGCTGCGCAGCTCACGCTTGCTAATTTCTGAAAAGTTTTCAATCTTCCAGGTGAACTTTCCATACAGCTCAGACGGCTTAGGGCCTGCGTCCGAGAAGAGAACAACTTAACACCTCTGGGTAGAAGCAACCGTCTCTGGTACACTCCAAATCACCAGCAGCCCAAAGCCATGGGAATCACTGCCAATCCCTACCATCGTCGTCTTCCAAGTAGGAAGACGATGCTCCAGCACTGTCTATGATAGATCGCCGTGTGCGCCACTCTACTGCTTCCGGGGTGTCTGGAGTGACTGACAGGATACCATCAACAGGCTGAGGGCCCTTTTCCTTCTGAGAGCCTGGGCCTCCGGCGTTCAGTGCCTCCCTCAATCTTGCTTGACCTGCCATCTAAGTAAAATGCTCTTTGGCAGATTCAAGATCTTCCACTCATGCACCTTGGACTGCGAAATGTCTGAGATAGTCTTTTGTAAAAGCTACAGTGCTGGGGTTCTATATTTTCGCAGTGATGCCACCAGCCTTCTCAGATGCAAGCGCGTGCTGTACTCCAACAAGCCCCACCGGAATCCCCTAGCTGCTGGTGACTACAGCACAGTACTGCGCATGCAGCAGGCAGAAATACTCGAGCAAAACTGCAGGCTGCTTTCCAATCTCCTGTAGGGGACCCCCCTCTTTTTTCCCATGGTCCCCTCGCTCAAATCAACGCCTCAGGACGGAACCCATCACAAACCTCACTCCAACAGCTTTTGATTGACCACTTGCAATAGCATTCCTCCATGTCTGCACCCATATGACCGGGGCACAGGGCCCCTCTTGGATGAACAGGTACGCAGGTACACTAGGGGAGGAGGTGAAGGCAAGTGAAGGGGTTTCCAGGAGCCCAGTTTAGATCCCCAGCAGCAAAAATGGCTGACATTGCCGTCCTGGAAAAGGAGAACCTTACACCTTCGGGACGTAGCACCACAGCTGCCAAGCGGTCAGCGGAATGGAAGGCTGAGAAGGCCGACCCGGCGAAGAAGAAGGGTGGCCTTCGCCCGAGCACCCGTGTCATTAACAATCCCAATGTCGCCAAGGACGCCTCACAACCGCCCAAGCCGGCAGTCATGGGGCCACCGCCGCCTCGAGTACCGCAGAGAGCGGACGATGGTGCTACGGCGGGACCCAGCAAGGCGCCCGTGCAGGTGAAGGCACTTTAGACGTTAACACTGAATTCCGCTTGAATTCGCAAGAAAATATCGCTCATTGTACATTTGGCTTTTCCTGAACATATTTGCTGGTATTCCTTTCTGATGCCTTGCTGCAAGTTGCTCAGGGCGGCGTCACAGATGCCCGAGCAGGCTCCAACGGTGCAGCCAGTTCTATCAATAGAGACAGGAGGTGGCAGCTTGCAGACTTCGACATTGGCAGGCCCCTTGGACAGGGAAAGTTTGGCAGTGTGTACCTAGCTCGAGAGAGGAAATCCAAGTACATTGTGGCCCTGAAGGTACTCAACCACTCATTGACAGCTCTTCCCATTGAGGAAATTTTTCTATCCGGTCTTTGCGTTGCAATATGGACTCATTAATTTAAATGTCCGTTTTCTAGAAAATATGTGTATGAACATGCAGGCCCTGTACAAGACGCAGCTGCAGCAGTACAAGGTGGAGCACCAGCTGAGGCGAGAGATAGAGATCCAGTCCCACTTGAGGCATCCCAACATCTTGCGGCTATACGGCTACTTCTACGATGAGGTAACAGCCTGGCTGCTTGCACAAGTTGTGAGGCTTTTTGTCCACTCTGATGCCTACCTATCAATGCTGACATCCTCCTGGAGGCGATCCTCACCTCTTCAGCAAGATGTGTTTTGCAGAAACGAGTGTTCCTCATCCTGGAGTACGCAGCAAAAGGGGAGCTGTACAAGGAGCTGCAGCAGAAAAACTACTTTCCAGAAGACCAGACAGCCACGTGAGTCTCACGGTCCCTTTTGTAGCATCAGCAATTCCTGGCTTGCTTTGCTGCTGAAGTCAGCACATGCTGGACACCTTCCATTTGCTGCACCATCAGGAATACGCAACATGCACGGTTGGGCTTCCGTTCTGCATATTTATGCAACTGCATGGTCAGCGCTTGGAAGGTGACCTCCTTCTGACTGAGTGCTCTGCGCAGGTACATTGCATCCCTGGCGCGCGCACTGCTGTACTGCCACTCGAAGCATGTCATCCACAGGGACATCAAGCCCGAGAACCTGCTGCTGGGCATGAAGGGCGAGCTGAAGATAGCCGACTTTGGCTGGTCCGTGCACGCCCCCAACAGCCGCAGGTATGCACCTCATACCTCCTTTCTCTTACAATGGTAAATTTCGTCCTGTGGTACCCAGATGACCTCTAGTTGGGGGTACCTATTGAAACATGCATAGCAGGTATGTGCAAAATAGCATACCTGCTTGGGCAAAGGGGCACAACATTTGCAGCATGCAGTGTCACAACGAACTCTTTGTAGCAGAGTCAGGCAAGCAGGTGTGGCCCCATTCAAGATCTATTGCCCTGCAAGCAAAACCAATACGTGGGTCTTGCAAATTTTCCAGCAAGCTCGCACATTTCTGGCCAAGAAGCCAGGCCTGCTGAGGACGCCTTCAGAAAGAAAAAAGGCCCGGGCGGCGCAGCCTGACCTTAGAAGTGCTGGTGTCTGCTTTTCCTGCGACGCTCTCAAGCCGTCAGCACCTTCCACCAAGTCTTTGCCATAACTCGATTCGCCATGGCATGTGCCATGCAAGGGGCGAAATTTGTGGCAGCCTTCACCTGCAGCTTGGCGTGAAATAACAATGGTAATTTGCCACGCAGGAAGACGCTGTGTGGGACGCTGGACTACCTCCCCCCTGAGATGGTGGAGGGGCATGACCACGATGCCAATGTGGATGTGTGGAGCCTGGGAGTGCTGTGCTACGAGTTCCTCTGTGGGGTGCCCCCCTTCGAGGCGGAGGGGCACAGCGAGACCTACAAGCGCATCCTCAAGGTCGACCTCAAGTTCCCGGCCAAGCCACGCATCTCCGACGGGGCCAAGGACCTCATCGGCAAGGTGTGTTTTCTACCTGTCCCGCTGCGTTCCCTGTGGCTCCTTTTCTCGCATGGTTTGTCTAATTCCCTGCCATGCAGCATTTCGTCTTGCTCTGCCTCTGGCACATGCACGGAAAGCGACAGCTCTCGATCCAGATTATGTGTCCTGCAAGACAACGATCACCTGGTGTGCTCCTGGCAACCAGGACAAGGTGTCTGCAATCAGGACGATGTCTGCAAGCATTGCATGCATGATGATTCAGGCAGGCTGTCTGCTCTGGGCAGCTTGTCTGCTGTGCAACAAGCATGCGAAAAGGTCAGAGAAACTGCAGTGGTTTCAGTGCCTCGTCAAAGTGTATCGACAAGCCTGATGGTGTTCTATGTGCTGGTGCGCAGCTGCTAAAAAAGGACCCAAAGGAGCGCCTGCCGCTGGCTCAGGTCATGGAGCACCCCTGGATCATGGGCTTCTCCAAAGACAGCCCCCTGGCCAGCTCATGATGTGGCACCAGCACATGTCAACTTGCTGCCAGCTTGTGCAGAAATAGGCCTTCAGGATGACCTGACAAGATAGAACCCCTGTTGTTCTGATCAGTTCTTCTGATCGTGATGTAGGTTAGGCATTGTTCCAGCAGCCCTCTGATGTGTTTTCAAATGACAGCAATTGTGAGGATGTCTCAAACAGGCAGGCATCTCGTAGCGTGTGAGGGAGTCAGACAGATATGTGTGTGACCTGCACAGACATGCACTGATCTTTCAGGCTGTCATGTAATGAAAATATGGGGTTAGGTAGCAACATTGTGAGGGGAGCTACACCTTGCAACTCAACTCTCGTGAGCTCACTACGACTGTAAAGCGCTCTCGGGGCGAATTGCAGCAATACCGATGCTGTAGCTCTAGATTCATTGGAGAGGTTTTCAAAGTGAGATCTTGAGTCTTCTTCATAAGAGTTAGTCGCAACTGTGAACATTTTTTGCTCTCTCCAGCTGGCTATCTTATGTCTTATACACATGAGAGCTGTGTCTACTGGACACTGTCCAGACCGGAATCCTGTGATGTATCTCGTGCTGAAATGTAAGAACAAATATCCTTAGTATGATGAGCCATATATTTGGTCAAGTGTCAAGACTGCATGTATGCATCCGGACAAAAGTTTTTGGCCATGAAACTGCATCAGTGCACACTGCTGTGCCCAGTGAACTCGAGTGGCATTGCCCAGCACAGTTAAATTCAAATTCACACTTGCCAGAGACGTTCAGAATTGATCAACTACAACTCATACAGCAGGCTCTATCTAATTAGCCATTGATTTCATCCTTCACTGCTTGTTCCTACACTGCTTCTAACATGCGTTTTATCTCCAATTCTAGACAGAGAGTTTGGAAAGGCACAATAAGGCACCCTGATCCAGGATCGATAAGAAAGTACAGGACATCTGTCAGGCCTGCTGGAGCAATATGCCAATGTCTATCCAAGGACCGCTCTTTCTGCCCCCTGTGGCTATCCTGGCCACTTCACTGAGCAGCCTCTTGTCAGCCAAAATGCCGGTATGACTGGCATTGCCGAAGGATTTGAGGGTCACATTGTCTCCCAGCCTGCATAAACACACTTCAAATTAAGCCTCAATCTGTACCTCAGGTCTAAAAGTTAATCAACTGCTCAAGCATGCATTGAACGCCTACTCATATACACTATAATATTTTGCCTCAATCTTACAGAGAGTGTCGTCAGCAGATGCAGAAATGTACATGCTACAGGTACTTGGAGCACGCACCCTTTGCAGGCCTCTAGAGATCGCTTGTTGACAGTGCCATCGCCCTCCCCATGGAATATCTTTTTGGGTGCATTGGGTGCTGACGAGTCAAATGCATCCACATCATACATGTAGCCCTCATCTGTGTCCTTGCCCAAGCCATACATGCAGTGGATCTTGAAGTCCACTTTAGGCAGTGGATAGGTCAGGTTGTGCACTACTGGGTACACCGCCGCCTGCATGCAAGACACAAGCATTACAACACTGCAAGCATGCACATCTTGGCAGGGTCTTCTATGAGTGAAACCAGGCTGCACATAGAATGATAAATGGGGTTTGCCTGCTGTGTAAGCTCCAGATCCTTCAACAGCTGAAGTGCATCCTTTGCTGTGTAGTTTTTCCTGCCAGTCTGCACCAGGACCTGTGGGCACAAGCCAATGGCTAGATCAGACGACTGCTAATGCTCCCACAGCAGACACTTCATCATGCCTAGACGCAAGACTTGGACTGCAAGTTGCTGGAGAACTAACCGTGTCTCCCCATTGGTCTGGAGATGGGAACAGCCAAGGCCCACTGGGGGCGGTTGACTGGACAGGCCGCAGCAGCCCGTGGGGAATAATAGAAATATCAAAATTATCCCCGCTGATTGAGCCTGCAAGGGCATGTCTTTTTCATCAAAAAGCTCACTTTCAAAACAGCTCAGCAGTGGCAAGCATAGCCTTGTCAAGAGATAGGCAGGACACTGCTGCAAAGCAAAAACACACAACAAAGAAGGTAATGAAGCCAGGTGTCGTGCCTTTTAAGGCTGTCACTGAGCCAGCCCAAGGAGCAGAGATCGCCACCAGACTGCTGACATGCTTGGTCAGCCAGCCGGCTGGCTTGCCAGTCAGGAAGCTGAGAGAGACAAGGCACCCAAGGGAGTGCGCCACTATAGTGGCTGGATGGCCTTCATTGCTAGCCACAGCGTGCTCCACCAGCTGAGTCAAATTTTGGAAGAAGCCGATCTGCAGAAATGAACCCATTTCATGCTGATGCTGGGCGTGTCCGGATATTGGACTGGGCCAATATAACAGTAAAAGTGGCTGTCACCGGAGACGAACACTGAGGGAAGCTGGACTGTACCTGCTCAAGGCCATCAGCAGCAAGGCGGAAGTCATATGGGGCGCCGAAGAGATCCACCCTCTCCTTGTACCCCGCCTTCTTCAGCCCCTCTGTGAGTGACTTGTACACTGGGGTGATCTGCGGCAGACTGGGATCTAAGGATTCCACGCCCCCAAGACCTCCCCAATCCACCGGTCTGATCTCCACACCAGTTTGATTCCGATACCTGCAATCGTTAGAATATCTTTTACTGCCAGATATTTACTGATGATCAGGCCGCACGGCGTGGCAAAGTGCTGAACAAGTGGTGTTTGCTGAAACACTGGAGGCTCACCTTCCTGTTGTGGCATTGTAGAAGACCGCAAGCTCATCCAATAGGCATACAGGGCGGGCAGCCTCTTCCAGAGACAACCAGAGTAGGCGCCAGCTCTCAGACTTCTTGGAACAGTACCATGCTGGGGCTTCAGTACGGTTCAATCGTGCCTCGAGCACAGAGCCAGCGAGGCCTGGAATGTATCAACTGAAATATCACGATCATATCACGTCATCTGAGTGTGCACAAGGCAATATAGTACAATGGAATGAGAACCAGTGGCCATCAAGTTTAAGACACACCTGGTACAAGGATCACGGGGGCAAACCGAGCCTGTGCTGTAGAAAAGATAGAGACGCTAAGTATGAAACAGCTAAGCACTCGTATAATGTGCATCATGCACTCCGCTGTGACTTCGTATTGCGTACAGAAAACGTGAAGGATTGTCTTGAAGGACTCTTCAAGAAGGGATCGTGCCCTAGTTTCTGAGTATTGTCAACGATCGCCAACGATGTGTAGATTGTTTCAATTCACTGGGAGGAAGCCACATAATCGGATTTAATTGTGCCCTCGATGGAGCGACATGTCCTGATGACGTGCCCGATATTCGATGACAGGCACTTACCTAAGCTCCATCTTATCGAGATCAAGCGAATGAATTAATTCAGTCCAACCTCAATTTCACATCCAATTTAGAAATCAAAGTTTGGTTATTGTCCATCAACCACGATTTGCGGTTCTATCCTTGCTAACTCGATTTCTTGGTGAACGTTTTGTGACAGTCGGCTCCCCCTCAGCATTCCAATATGCTGCAAGCACTTCCAATCATCGGAGTACCTGTACTTTCTTCTGACGCACATAGAAGATGCAGCAGATCATCGATAAGAGGGCGGACAACCAGGGTGGCGACAGCGGGCAGCATCGATGGAATTGAGGCCAGCTGCAGCGGGCGTGATTGCCAAAGTGCACACTCAATCATGTTGAGTAGAAGAGGCGCCCTTGCTGGAGCGGCACTGGCACTAGCTGGACTCCAGTGCAGCCCAGCCAAATCAATGATGACTCCACCTCCAGGTACACCATCTCAAGTGACCGGCATCTGCTGATTCCAACAATGACCATTTCATAAACGAAACCAGTTTCATTCCCTCGCTTGCAGGCTTCAGTGTGCACCAGGACAAACTGGACGGTTATCTCTTCTTTGTGCCAGAGAGCTGGCTGCCTGTCACGGTGCGAAGCATGAGTCACCTCTCATGAAGGTCAAAGCATTGCTGATGATGTCCCCAGCAATGGACGCTGTAAATTCTACTCCAGATTTCTGATGCCCTTTCGGAATGCCTTGCGCAGACTTCTGGCAATGACATCTTCTACCGGAACCCCAGAAATGTGAATGAGAACCTCTTTGTGGACGTATCCTCGCCGTCATCCTCGAACTTCTCAACTGTGGAAGATCTGGGTTCCCCAGAGGAGGCAGCTAAGCGCACCCTGAACCAATACTTGGAGGAGCTCATGTCCACAAGGATTGGTGTGAAGCGGACTGGCGAGATTCTGTCCGCAGACAAACGCACTGGCCCGGATGGCAAGGAGTATTATGACATTCAGGTGGGCAGCACAAATCCCTTGCGTTCAAACATGTAGCCTTCCACTTGAGCAGTGCGCTTTGTGCCTGTGGTACCTATTGTTTCCACCCCATAAGGCAGTGAACACTTGTGGGGCACTGTGAGGTGTGCTGTAGAGAGTTAGTCTTTCGTGGACTGATGCATGAGTAAGCGCAAAACGGATTAAGCATATCTTTGGATCTGCAGGTGCGGGTGCGCTCCTTTGCATCGAGGAATCAGTTGGCGGCGTACCCAGGAGACAGGGAAGCTTCACAGGAGCTGGAATGGGAGCGCAGATATCTGACGGTGCTGGGCGCTGCAAACAAGCGGCTGTACCAGTTCCGGCTGCAGACCGCCGACAAAACATTTGAGACTGCCGCGGTGAGTGCATATCTATGTTTCTAAAGAGTCTGCCATCGTATTATTTCACTGGCAGATGTTGCTTGGCACAACCATGTCAATTGATGGATCACTGATGGGTGTTATGTTTAACCTTGCAGGACAATCTGCTGAACATTGCGCAATCTTTCAGATGCAAGGAGGTGGTGGTTTGATGGGCAATGATGACAGACACTGTAGCAAATGCCAGATATTGTGTGCATTGGGATGCCATGTGTGAACAAAGACATCTTTGTTATTTTCTCAGGAGGATCCACCGTATTCTGAAGGAGGCATTCACCCCAAGAAGATATATAATTGTCCCTCTGTAGCCTACAGAGGGTAGAGAGTCTTGTCTCAATAATCTCTGTAAGGCTGCCACACCAATACAAGCAAGGGACTATTTTCTGCCTTGCATTGAGGCATTGTTTGGTAATTGAAGCGTCAGAATCTTGATGTACGATATTTTGCTCTGTCACCTTGCAAAGAAATCCGTTATGTGCCGGACTTTGTCATCCTCCTTGGCCCTCTTCTTGCTGCCAGCTGCCTTTGCCTCATTGGCAGCTTGGGGTGCATCACCCTCCATGACCTCGTCCCTTCCAACGTTTCCCCTGTTCCCTGCCTCCTTCAATGGCCCCTTGCCCCCTGCCTCTCTGAACATGTCCTCTGCCAAGACCTCCTTCAGCCCAATCTCCACCAGTCTCCGGTCCATTCTCACTGGTCGCACCACAGGCAGGCATCAACAAAGCCGCTCTCCAATACCTGTGCGGTCTCAAGCATCGAGCGCACAATTCTGCCAGCAGTGTTTCTGACCTCATCGAGGGAACTTAAACTGCTACTGGTGTATAGATCACAAGCCCAGATCTTGCTTGAGAAGCCATGCTCACCTGCCCGCTCAACATCACCAAGCTTGATGGTCTTGCGCTTATGCGACAGCGCCTCCTTGGCTGCTCTGCTGCCCAAGATCTCCACCATGAGCTCCGCTGCCTTCGCCACTGCCTTCAGGCCATCACCTGGCATGGTGTATGCCATACACCTTCTTTGAGCTGAGTGCTTTGTGGTGGGCAGGTATCAAATGCTTGCGATCGGTCGTTACTTGTCCTCACGTGGGGTGGGGATGAAAGGCACCTGAGATGCGGGTGACATCAGGATCAAGGCACATGATGCGCTTGATCAGAGAGAGAGGGAACCCAAAGGGGTTCGTGTTCTGCTGCGCATCTGCATGATGATCCCTCTCTTGCTCCTCACCCACATGGTCCTCACCCTCTCCCTGCTCACCTGCAGCACAAAATCCAAATTCAACTTAATATAAAAGAAGCAAAGGCCCATCCACCCCAAAGAACCCTGTTGTGGAGATCCCAGATTAAGTCAAGGAACGGGCCTCTCAAAACGCAGGCAGAGCAATACCTGCAGCAGGAGCGCTATCTGCTGCTGCGCTGGCCAGTGCCTTGGCACGCTCCGCTACTTTTTCCTTGTAAGATGCTTTCTCTTCATCTGTCAGGGCACGCCACTTCTCCCCGATGGCCTTGGCTACAGCCCCCACGGACACCTTAACACGGGGCTCTGCTTGTGCCTGGCATTCTGCCCTGGTGGCCTCCCTCTGCTCCTCTGAGAAAATGAAGAACGCTGTGGGCGCTCGTTTGGCAGCCATTATTCCGGCCAGTGATACCTTTTCTGCATCGAAGCATTGAAATAGAACGAAATCATGCTCCCTGTGAAAGCTGAGCATCTAGAGCAATTTAACGGCAATAGAAGACAGGTGATTAAACAGAAAAGCCTTACCTGCGCAGATGTCCAGACAGAAGATCAGAAAATGTTTGTGTCCCGAATCAGACATTCATATTTCCCACCTTCCACGAGTTAGACATCAAGATGATACTCAGAAGCTGATGGATTGCAAGTCTCACATCAGCAAAGTTTCCTTGGAATGGGGACTCTGCAGATTACACAAATTTTGGCGTTGCACAAATGCGAATCGCATACACGACGTTCTTAAGATAATAAGCTGGTTTTCCACAGTGCACATCCTTCAGGTGGCCCAATCTGCGATGCGTGCTTCGCGCTACGATATGTGCCACTCTTTTAATGTCGAGATGAAAGCGTATTGTTCTGAGCAGTTTCCTGGAAGCACCTAGCGTTCAGAAGGACAAGAAGCTTTTAAAGGGCGATGACTCAGCGGTGATTCAGCATCATCGACAGTTTCTCTGCAGGTCTCCTTCTGGCGACTTTGGAGGCAACATATGATTTGGAGGCTTCGAAGATAAGAGAGGTACGACACGATCAGAGAATGAAACACGCTATTGTGAAGCAGGTCGTTGCACATACCCACCCAACTGCAACACCAGGACGGATGTAGTTGGGGGGACTTGCTGTTCATGCCCCGATCATGGAGCATGCAAACGGCAATACGTTGTCTAAAGAAACGGCAACGGAGTGTTTGGCCGCGCTGAGAACCTTCCAGGTATTGTATAGTACTGGAGGTCGTTGGAATTGGATGTTTTTGCCGTTGCCATTTAGCGTTATCGCACCCCATCCAGTGGTAGAAATAGGTCATCAATGGCTTGATGAGATTCTCGTGCAAGTTCCATATGGCCAGATAAATAGGATGTCACATCGCCAGGAGTTCACAGTTCATGCTCATAGTATGGCATTTTCGTGTTTGCAGGATCAATACGTGGGCACCGAGAGCCAAGTGCAGGCTCTTTCCACGCTAGCAAACTGGTTGCAGCGATTGGAGAGAGGTTCACACACTGACGACGAGGAGCCCTTGGATGAAAACTCTCGCCAGTACTTGCAGTCGTACCATGACCAGTTCACCAGGATATCTCTGTTTGAGGTGCGCAGCCCATGCAGTAACATGTTGCTGACGGAGTGCTGCTCCAGAATGTATGAGATTTCCATGAGGACTGCAAGGCCCTGAGGGCCTGTTCTGGTGCTATGCAGAGGGGCCACGGAGAACTAGTGGGTGTGTCTCCAAAGGTACTCATCTTCCTCACAGAATGACTTCCTGATATGCTGCATCTGCCATGGCTGTGCTGTGGATTTCATCTGTAGACCTCCTCGAACTGATATCTCCTTGTGCAGGTGGTTGGTGGCTCAAGAGAGAGGTGGAGGAATCCAGCACTTGCAGCTGAGCTGGAAAAGGTCCGACAGGCTCTCTGCTGTGTGCAAGTCTTGATTCAAAGGTCCAAGCTGCGTTTATGCACCCCAGCAGGTCTCTGTTCTCCCATTTGGTGCATTGATGAGACGTCCGGTCCTTCTGCACAGGTGGACGACTGGGATGCCTTTGATGTGTTCAAAGTGGCGAGCTTGACGGGAGACCGACCTCTGGAGCCAGTCACTTTGGCTGTCCTCCAGCACTTTGATCTTGTCGACAAGCTGAGGCTTCCAGACAAGAAGCTGCGCAATTACCTGCGGGTGCACACATCTCCATAGGACTTCATTGATCTTGCGTTGCAACTCTGCTGCTTGTGCTTCTGAATTGATGAGAGCTAAGCTCAAGAAGCAGAAATTTCCTGTCTTTGAGTGACAGTCACACAATCGAGGGGAGCCAATTAGCAGAGGAGATTTGACATGGATTGTGGGGTGCATCAGGGAGTCGAGGATGCTTACCTGAAGAATCCGTACCATAACAGCACCCACGCAGCAGATGTTGTGCAAGGGCTTGCCTGCCTGTTCTCCAACAATGACTTCACCTCTCAGCTCACAGACCTGGAAATGCTGTCAATGATCCTGGCGTGTGTAATTCACGATGTGGGCCATCCAGGTGCGCTGCCCAGCAAATCTTACCAGTACTCTGTACATGGTGCATGACATTTTGGAAAGCTTGGGTGAATGTTGATCCACAGCAATGCAGACTCTTTACTGTGCCTATCCTTTTTATGTGAAGATGACGTGATATCTTGTGCCTTGCAGGGGTGACGAATGAGTATCTCATAAATACGCATGCGGACAGTGCCTTGCTCTACAATGACCAGAGCGTGAATGAGAATGGTCATGCTTCTGTGGGCTTGCAGCTGCTGCGGAAGAGCTCCAACAACTTCATAGAGGTTAGTAATCTGCAGTGCAGAAACCAAGCCCCAAATATTTAGATTTCAAGTCCCAGAGTACAAGTTCCTGTTTCCTCAGGTCTTGTGGCGTGTGATGAAAGAGGGTTTGTGTCTGCTTTTGCAGGGGCTGTCTGAGGAACAGTACAGATTTGTTCGGCGAACAATAATCGGCATTGTGCTTGCTACGGATATGGTCGGGCATGCGAAGCTCGTGAAGGTATGCTGCTCACTTTAGTCATCATCCAGCTCATCTTTTGTGCACTGAGCATCTCCTTCACACAGCAATGCTGAACAGATAGCTTGATGTATCACCTTATTGTGAGCAGGACACTGCAGCCAACATCAGGCAGCTGGGGGCAGACCTGCAGAGCTGGCCAGAGGAGAAGAAGCAGAGTGCGCTGCAGATGATTGTGCACTGCTGCGACATTGGCAACCCAGCCAAGCCCTTGGAGTACAGCCTACAGTGGACCAACCGCATTATGGCAGAGAATTTTGCTCAGGTGCATTGCTGCCTGCAATCCTGACCCCCACCTCCTTGGCTGCCCCTTATGCCCTGTAGCGCCATGATTTCTTAATATGTTGTCATCTCATCTGGCATACCTGATCAATCAGGCCCTCAACTTCTGGCATTACCAGCAGTCCGCTGCATGCACCAAGTGCATCTGCATGGTGAGGGCACACTGGCGCCAGTCAGAAGGCAGTGCTCACGAGGCATCTGGTATTTTTGTCCCTCTCAGAGTTGCACTGTTCATCAACCCAGGCTTGACTTCATGTCCCTGTCTTCATGTCATGCAATAGCATTCCAAGTCCTTCTGGATCCCTAGGTCAAGAGGTGTCTACTACCCCTGATCCAGCTACCTCAAAAATTGCGCGCCTCGCTCTCCAAGGCAAAGCCGTGCTGCTGCATGCGGTAAGCCTTGCAGACCTGGGCCATTATACATTTAATGTGAAAGCTATAACTGAAAGTAGAATTTTACTACCTGCAGGGGGACCGGGAGAGGCGGGAAGAGCTGCCGGTGTCGCCGCTGTGCGACCAGGATCGAGTGGACGTGCCCAAGAGCCAGCTCACCTTCCTGGAATACGTCGTGCGGCCCTGCTTCGAGGCCCTGCGCAGCATCGCGCCCGTGACGGCCGCCCTCGCGCTGCGCAACATCGAGGCCGGCTGCCGCCATTGGCAGGCGCAGCCCCGCCGCAGCCCCTCCACCCCCATTTTTCCCCTGGATGACCTCCGATGAACCCCGCCTCTGCAGAGGGGATCTATGCGTCAAATTAGACACAGATCCCTCTGGTCTTGTCTAGGCAGGGCACTCTTACAGTGATTTTCCCTGAAGTGCCCTGGGCTGGAGTGCGCGGCGGGAGCAGTCAGCTGCTGTGGAGGTACCGTCTGGTTGGGTCTATTGTGGACTTGTGTCGGCCCTGACTCCGTTGCAGTGAGGCCCAGTCTGTGTGGGGTCCAGTGGTTGGATCACGCATTCCTGCTCAGTTGGAAGACTGGAACTCCGGATGCGCTGCGATGCAATGACTGGTCTGTTGCGTGGACCACATGATGGTCCATGTCACTTGGGTTTGTTTTGGTCTGTGGTCTTCGTGATGAAATGTTGAGACTGATGTTTTTGGCTGCGCACGTCGAAAGGTGCATTTTGGGCTGTGAATAAGCCATGCACAAAATGCAGCAGGAGCATGCGGAACCAGACACTGTTCTTTTCCACCCCATTTTTGCTGGTATCTGTTTCTGGTGAAAGAGAATTTGTACTTTCCACAAGCTGGAGACTTGATCATGATGTTTTCTTCTCTGATTGTTGTTCCTGTAATTAGAGTGTGTTCCTAGGAGGCTCGGAACTGTCTTGCTGGCCAGCATCGTGTATTCAGGATTGGCGATCAGTTGTGTGTTCAATTCCAAGTGCTTTAAGTTGTTCTCCAAGTTGGCTGTCAGAAGCTAAACAATCTTTGCAAGCTACCACGTTGGCATGCATCCATGATGTGCCTACAGGCTGTATATGTAAAATCTGTTGATAGCTGACAGCCTGGTACATCTTCAAACGCGACTCACTCCAATCATGATCAGAGGGGCCGCCCCTCTTTAACTAAGCGGCTTGGAAGTTTTGTACACTCAGTGCCGGCACCATCCCGACCGGGCTGCATGGTTTGTGCGCGCTTCAGCATACCATATATGTCCCCGTGGAGCAGTAAGATGGGCCAGGAAAGATTTCATTCACTACATTTGAGGTCTCAGTGGCATGCTCCTGCCTGAGGCTGCCAGATGCATGTAGCTAATCGGGTTAATTCACTCCATGATGGCATGCCTTCCACCTTACGCCACAATATTTTGGTGCAAGCCATATTCATTCCAAAACACCGTGAAAGACTTCACAGATTGAGATAAGGACATACTAGTGTTGTGATAGTCAGAGCTGGTTGCTGTTGCGAGGGATTGCCCACTGGAAACTTGAGGAGAGTGTTATTGGGGGCACGTCCACCTCTGTTGTTCTCAAATCACTACATTACAATACTAAGAATATTCTTGAATAAAAGTAGCTCACTTCACCAGCAGCTATGGAGGACTGCTGCGCAGTATGCGCAGAGCCGCTCGAGTGGACAGCATATGGGCCATGCGGGCATACAGAAGCCTGTTCAAAGTGTGTGACACGCCTGAGATTTACCATGGATGATAAGCGCTGTGTTATATGCCAGCAGCAATCGCCCAGTGTATTCGTCACCCGCTTCATGGGCAGCTACACGTCCACCATACCCTCCGAGGAGTTCGCTCGGTTGCAGGTGATTTGAAAAAGAATATTTTTATAACGAGACTATCCTAGTTCTTTTAAAAATGATCAGGAGTAAATAGGAGCATGAAGACTGTGTCTGTAAATATGACATGCATGACAAGCTTGTTAATGGATGGCAGGCGACGCCAGGATTATATGATTTACAGAGCGTGGAGGCCTATTTTGATGACAAAGGCCATTATGAAGACATAAGGTGTGCCCCATTTCCTTGAAAGGTCCCAATTCTATCTAGCTGTGGGCTGTCGTGAAGGGCGCTCTGTCACTTTGTGTGGTGTCTACACATCGTAGCTTCTAATGTACCTACTGCGCACTCTGTCATACAGGGCACTCTGCAGCTACAACCACCCTGCTCTAGAGGGCGTTGCCCCCATCAGCAGCTTCAGGTCCCTGAGAGAGCTGAAGTACAACCTGCAGAATGCGAAACAGCTGCATTTCTGCGACATTTGTGTGGAGAGCAGGAAGGTCGTCATCCTGATCCCCTCCGCATCCAATCTTGTGATGTCCATGGCACAATCTTCTAATTATAACAGATTCCCTCGGTCTCAGTCGTGTTGACTCAGCAAGATGTCTCCTACAGGTGTTCATCCCGGAGCAGATAGCATACAGCAAGCCTGAATTGGACCGCCACATGCGCAGCGGCGATCTGACAGGCCCCATGGCAGAGAGCGGCTTCAAGGGTCACCCACAGTGCCGCTTCTGCCGCAAGCGCTTCTACGGGGACAACGAGCTGTTTGTGCACATGCAGTCCGCGCATGAGCAGTGCTTCCTGTGCCGACGCGCGCGCCCTGACCGCTACGTCTACTACAAGGACTACAATGAACTGGAGGGTGCGCCCCTCTGCGATGTGTGCACAATCTGCTTGACGGTTCATGCTGCGTCATGCTGCGTTGTGAAGCTGGATCATCACTTGGATACAGGCGGTCTGCCCATGCATGCAAGATTCCCAGGTCGTGAGTTTATTAGGGTGCAGGCACAGCCGCATCCTTATCTAGATGGTTCTTTGATGAGTTATACCCAGGATTCCGGCATTTATGGAATTGCTGCTAGTAAGAAGATGAGTGATAAAGAAGCACACATCCCGTATGTGAGTTTCAAGATGTTGCCTGGTGCTTGTGCAGAGCACTTCCGGCACGAGCACTACCTGTGCGAGGACTCGACCTGCCTGGAGAAGAAGTTTGTGGTGTTCACCAGCGAGCAGGAGATCAAGCAGCACGTGGCGCGCGAGCATGGCGGCCACATGTCGCGCGCCGAGAAGCGCCAAGCCCTCACCATCCCCATCAATTTCCAGGTGCATGCCTTGGGTGTTTTCTGACTCAATCTGGTATCTTCAACACGCTGTCCATCACACTTCCTCTCCTTCCAGCTGCACTCATGAACGCGCTCGCACCTTCCCGCATAACACAAGGCATGTCTCTGGATTTGAGTAGTTTAGCGTCATGGTTGCGTGCTTTCTCCTGCAGTATCGGAGAGGAGAGGAGCCGGCCGGCCCATCTGGGCCTGCGGCCGGCGCCGGCATTGTGATCGGCGGGGCCGGCAATGTCCAGTCCAGATTCAGCCGGCGGCCACCAGCAGAGGTGTTCCCTCAACCCCATACGTTCCCTCTTCGAGTGATGTTCCTGCCTGCATCCCTCCTCGTTTTTCTATTGCTTGTCATCTTATTTCCGTTAGCATCTCTATGCCCGCACAAGAGAGGTGCTGCCAAGGGGAGTATAATGTGGAACTCCCCTTGGTGCTGCGGACCCTTGAAGGCAGAGACTGAGACTTATTTGGGGCGTGGCCAGAGCGACCGACGGCAGATAAGCAGCGCGGTGCAGGCGAGCATAGAGTCGGCACAGACGGAGCATGCGCTGCGGTCCTCTGCCACTCCCGGCTCCAATGGCAGAGCGGCGGAGGAAGCTGCAGAGCAGCAGCCAGCCTTCACGGGGCCTGCCCACTGGGCAGCTGCTGCGGGCAGGAGCGGCGGCACCGCCCAAATGCGCCCAGAGGACTTCCCTTCCCTGCCAGGTGGGCAGCACGCCTCACACAGTCTCTCCTGCTCCCTCCACTCCCTTCATTGATGGCCGATGAAATGCTGCGTGCGTCTGTTCCGAGGAATGGAGCATGCTGAAGGAACGAAAATATGATGCAGGGGCGTCCAAGTCTTCAAAGAAGCGCGCGAAAGCAAAAGAGAAGGCGCAGGCCTCTGGTCTGCAGGACGGCAACCGCTCGGCGTCAGCCGCCAGCCTCAGGGGCGACGCACCCCCCAGCATGTCCCAGAGCACATCAGCGCCTGACCTGCAGGTCTGCCCTTTTGTCTTTGAAAGACTGGAATGAGGCAGACATGTGTCTTTGAATATTCCGATAATTAGTCATTGAATGATCTGAATGATCTCTTGTAGCTCAGTTGTCTGTCGTGTGGCCATTCTGTGTCACTCCCACCAGATTGCCACTTTCAATGAGAGGACTCCAGCCTAGTAGCATGGGGAGGGCTGCTTGGGGCGCTATTTGACAGATGGACGGTGCGCTGTTGCAGGCGGAGGTTCTCAGGGAGCCAGAGTGGCAGGAGGTGGCCGCGCCGCAGCCGAGACAACTCCAGCAGCAGCAGCGGCTGAGCGCGCTGCAGCGGCGAGCGGCCGCATCCGCATCTGCACCCACAGAAGCCTTCCCTGCACTCCCATCCGCCGCACCCAGCAGCTCCCAACCACCCCCTGCTCGACCGCTACCGCCCCCATCTGTGCCCGCGGCGTCAGCGGCACCGTCTGCTGCGGCATTCCCTCCGCTCCCCACGGCGGCTGCGCCAAAATCCGGCGCGGCGCGGGCGGCCCTCTGGCGCGCACCGGCGCCCTCGGCGGCCAAGTCCAGCGCCGCGGCATCGCAGCAGCGTGCGCCGCCGCGCATCATGGAGCAGGATTTCCCTGTGCTCGGCCAGACAAGGAATGCTGCCACGCCAGCTCCCTCGCAGCCTGTTCCTGTTTCGGATTCGCTGAAGGCTGCAAACAAGGTGCGCGCTCACATCCTTGGTGCCCAATCCCATGCTTGGCGGCATCCTCTGGCTCAGCACAGATCATTGGGCTGTTTGACAGCTCATCTGTGGAGAATGATCGAGATGGTGACCGCTTCTGTGTGGCAGGCCTTGATGGAGAAGATCCGCGGGCGGCTGGACGCAGAAGATCTTACCACGTTCCGAAGCCACGCAGCGGCGTACATGCGCGGCGACACAGACGCGCACTCCTACTACGCCGTTGTGGACTCGCTGGGCCTGGGCCCACTCGTGCCTGAGATGGCCGCCCTGCTGCCCGACGCGGGCAAGCGGGCAGAGCTGCTCTCGCTGCACGGCGCAGCTGCGGCGTCCCCGTCGGACGCTGCGGCGGCCGCCGTCCACGCCTCGCAGAACGCCAGCTGGCAATGCGCGCGCTGCAGCCTCATCAACGGCCCCGCCGCCGGCTCCAGCTGCGAGGCCTGCGGCTCCCGGCGGCCATGGCAGGCCGACAGCAACGGCGCCGCGGCCGGGGACGACTTCCCGGCGTTCGGCAGCAGCGCGGCCGGCGAGCCGGAGGCGGCCAAGGGGCCGAAGAAGGGGAAAAAGGTGTCAAAATTCGAGCGGCTGCGGCTGACGGGGGGCGACCCGGAGGCGACGGCGGCGTGGCTGAACACGAGCGGGGGGACCAAGACGAAGCCGCAGAACATGTGGACGCAGGGGCGGCCGGCGGTGGTGGGCGGCGGGGGGTCCCAGCCGCGCGGACAGTGGGCGGCCAAGGACAAGCTGGCTCACGAGTGGCGCAACATAAATGATGCATGGGACAAGAAGTAGGGATGTGGCTTATGATGATGACTCTGGCTTGCAGAGTTGCATTTCCTGTAGTTCAGGGGGCAGATCTTGAGCAGATATGCCACTTGACGCCTTCCTCAATTGACCAAGCTCGTTCAGCTGATTACTCCATGCCCTCAGTGGATGCAAGGTGCTTCTTCCACCAATTTTGGATCTTCATCGCAGCAAAGGCTATTCACTGTGGCTCTCGTGCGCGTGATCTTGACGTCAGCTGCTGGGCATTAAAACTAGAGTAGATCTGATAGTGCTAGCTGTAGCACAGGACTGGCTGCAGGTCAGACTCAGCTGGTGTGCATGCTCATCCACTGCAGATTGAATATATGAAACCAGGAGAGAATGCATACATGACAGACAGAGCGAGCATCAAAGTAGGGAGGAAGAACTGCCTCGCTGTGTAAATAGAGTTCATCAAAATACAAACATCTCCCGGCCAGCACTTATGTATTTTATGCCCAAGATCATGCACATGAACAACCAATGGCGCCATACTTTACATGAATAGAATCTGAAGAAGGATTTGCTTCCCCAAACCCCATGAAAAGTCCAGTACATCTTGTCGATCTTTGGCACATTGCAAGTCCCTCTAGAAATAGCATTCCCCAGACGGTCATCAACTGTGTGCTCCTCAGTAATGGTACATCATGTCAGTCAGCATTGCACTGCAATCTTGTCAACACTCAGCACCACTCGTAATGCACAACAAGCACCCCACACCACGCTGTTTGTACAGGTGACCCCCTCGAATTACCAATGCGGTGATAATTAACAGCCGAGTCCTCAACAAACATAATGCCCCAGGAGGAGGAGCGGTGGCAACATGTACAGGCAGAGCGTACAGCATCCACGCCACATACCAGGCCTGGTAAAAAGAATGTGACACAATGCATTGCATCTGTCCGCCCGCAAGAATCATACCTGTCCTTATATGTGCCATGCTCTTCTCAGAGAAGGGCGCATTCTGATGACCCCAATAGGATGCTCCCCCCAACAGATTTCTTCATATGTACACCCAGCTCCACAACCCCAGGGGAATCTATCAAATGTGCTCTAGCTACGAATTCAAGTGGGACACAAGGCAGCCACACGGCTGCCAAAAAATACATACATCGCAAGCCTTACAAGCTTCTCAAATCATCTAGGTGTAAGCAGGCTTCTTCCTATGTGGTAATTGAAAGTGAAGACTCCCACGTGTTTTCCCAGGTAAGAAAAGCAATACCTACGGCTACCAACAACAGTCTACTGCTGCTTCCGCCGGCGCTCTGCCTTGGCATAGGAGCCAGAGGTGTAGGAGCTGGACTCCAGGTGCTGCCTGAAGACCTCTGTGTTGGTGCGGGCCATGTATTTGGGAAAGTCAAATTTTTTCATGCCGCCTGCCAAGGCCTCACGCGCCACCATCACCCGGTTTGCCAGTGCAGGAGGGCTGATGTAATGGTCCCTGCCACTTATCTTATCGGTCGCGTACTTGGGCCGCTGCTTCAGCAGTTCCAAGACGAACTGCAGAGCAATCATCAGCTGCTCAGCTTCAAGTTGTAGTCTTGGGTCAGCATTTGAAGAGTACATCAAGGACAAGGTGCACAGGAAAGAAAGCAATGGACAATGCAAGGGGAAAGGAAGGTCAGTCCTTCAATATAGGAGCAGCACTCACCTTGTCGCCGGTCATGGGCGGGTTCGCAGAGCAGTATTCTGAAAACCAGTGGGCGACGAACAGATCTGTTTCTTGAAGCTGCAGCAGCACCTTCTGGACAGCTCTAGAGGTGAGAACTCTTGCCACGATTTTTGCGGTGTCACTGCAGAGCACAAATCCCTCACATCATGTTTCTCTCATAATTTGCTCATATACTCAGACAGGTATCTTTCAGCAGCGCACCTTGCAAAGATCAAATCGTCCTCATTGATGCCTTCATCTGAGTCATCGTCCCGGGCGTCTCTGTCACCCCTGGCAGCACAAGCAGTCGATCAGCTGAAAGGTGAGCACCTGCATCACTGACAAGATCCAAAATGTGCTTGTCTTTGTATCAAGATCTAAGGTGAATGACACTGAGGAGGAGAAATATGGGTTGAACGCCCCGATTTATCACAAGGTCAAGAGTGCTTCTTCCAATTTCAGGTGACATACGCCCAACACTCCGTGAAATATCAAGGAGGCAGCTTGAAGATGAATTGTATTGCGCAAAGCTGGTCACTGATGCACAATCGCATGCACAAAAATGAAAGTTGCCCTCCTAATATTACCCTTGTCACCTTGGAACCCAACTCTGGCCTGCGCCATGCAAGGCTGGTGAAAGACGTACCATTTATTCAGCTCGTTGTTCTGGATGACAAGGGTGCCCCTGGCACGTCCAAGGCAACGACGACTACTCTTGCTTACAAGGACACGCCCCCTAAAGTTGACCCTTGTCAGCTGGAGACGAGCTGGGAGACTGGATGCAGTCAAGCTGTACAGGATTGCCATACGTGGGAAAAAGATCAGGACTTTCTGCTTCAGCTTCGTGCGAAATCAGCTTCCCGCTTAATAACGTGATGCACAAGGTTGACTACCCTCTTGACTTCCTTTTGCTTCTTGCAAAGAGCTGGACTGCGACAGATACAAGTTCACAAACTACCTAGGAAGCGACCGCTTCTTTTCGTCTGTGGCAGACGCAGAGGGAGGAAGCGAGTGTCTCTTCAGCACGAGTCCAAATCTGGAGATATTTGTGAGGGCAACGTCATCCGACCACGTGCACGGGGATACTAACGTCAGTGGGAGCGCTCCTTCTTCTGGGAACACAAGCCATTGCATGCTCACTTGTGACAGCAGTAGGGACTGTGTTTGGTTTCTAAATTGGAAGTCGAGCGAACTTCAGTTCATGAACCATGGGGCTGGCGATGCAGCCTTGTGTGCTACCATCAACGGAACTCGCATGTGGGCACCCCATCGGAGGTCGCCATGCCCGGGATCCGAGCAGATGTGTGCGTAAAAGGCGCTGCAGGTACAACAATTTAATCTGCTACCACAAGCTTGTCATTTGCCAGGGATGCTCTCACCGATGCGTTCAAGAAAAGGCTGCCCTAGTGATGGTACACCTGAGGTCAACGCATTTCATCGTTCCTGGTCGATACCTTTGAGGAGTTAAGTTACTAAAGCCATGTTTTTCCATTATGCCATGTTCTTACACAAGTATTACCTTAATATCGCATTCTATGCTTCTTCCTGAGTATTGAGGATGTCTGCAGGCACAGAGGGCTGAGAGTGAGCGCAAGTGCATCAAATCAGGCAGCAAGGGAGAGGCAAGTTCATTACTTTAATCAAACTCAACCGAGCTGTGATCGAGACCAAGACTCCGAGATTGGTATGTGCATCTTCTGCTAGGCAGCTCTTACTCTTTGGGTTGAGAGAAACTGTGCTGGATCTGGACAGGCCATCAGTCCTGACTTCCCAGGACAACGAGGGGGAGGACTGCAAGGTGTTCGTGTCTCCAGATGGCTCAGTCCAGGAGGTCATGTGCTGCGATTACGGCTTCCGCTCTGGATTTGGCCGCTTGTACCAAGGCGGCGACGGCGAAATCCCCAAAAATTTCTTTGCTCTGGTGACAACCACAGACCAGATTGCCGTAATGCAGTGGCTTTGTCATGCCATCTGTTAACAGATTGTCCCGGTCCCTGTGGATTTCAGGATCCCAAATTCGCAGCATTCGATCATTGGCATGGGATGCAGGGCGCGGACAACTTCAAGAAGGAGTTCAAGCAGTTGCGTCGGTCATTCCGGTTCAATGACTACAAGGAGATCAGAGAGCAGAATCCACCCACAAACCCTCTTGCACGAGTAAGCATCTGAGTTTCTCCCCTGCATCTTTCGTGATGTTTGTTGTGAGGCTTATAGCAACTTTACAGGTGTGCAACTCGCCTCAAACATGCAGCATCATGCATGCAGGTGGTTTCATCGGTGAACAAGCAAGTCGTCCGCGGCTTTGCCAACCTGGACCACAAGCTTGAGGACATTGGCGTGCTGCCACCAATAAAGCAAGCGCCGCTGCCAGAGGAATTAATGGACGAGGATGGCAACCTTGCCTCCGACTGCTCCGATGTGCGTCAACGCACCCTTGCTATTTCTTTTTCATGTGCTCCAGCAGTGCACCTGAACTGCATGCTACCAGTCCTAGGCAGCATGCCCTCGTAACCTCCTACCGCCCGATGACACTCAAATTTTAAATCTGATGACTCCCTCCGCAGGTCGCTGATAGAGTCAGCAACAAAGTGTCTGCACCCTCAGAGAGGTGGTGCACTGCAGTCATTACTCGACATGTCCACTGACAGCTCAGCGCCTGTGTGCATGGCAGGTGCGCGAGAAGCTGAAGATGCTGCGGCTGGAAAACGCGCCGGTGTGGGAGCGTGAGAAGCGGCGCGCGGCGGCCCCGGGCCACGCCAAGGCGCCGTTCATCATCAACGTGGCTTACACAACGCTGTGCGTGGTGATGGACGTCCTGTACAACAAGCGGCCCATCCAGCGTTTCTGGTTTCTGGAGGTCGTCGCGCGCATGCCCTACTTCTCCTACATCTCCATGCTGCACCTGTACGAAAGCCTCGGCTGGTGGCGCGCCGGCGCCGAGCTGCGCAGGGTGCGTTAGCACTCTTTGAAATAGCCAGGCACTCAGGCATTTACACAACTCTTCTCTTCTGCAGCAGCTGAATCGGTGCATGGGGGTGAATGGGTTCCTTGTGACAGTAGCTGCGAGTGCAATGCACAGATTGTCCTGGATCCCATGTATAATTGCAAGCTGCGTGGCACACTTTGGATGGGATGCCAACTATGCACAGCCTGGCACGTGGACACAGGCCATCTGCTTGTGCTGCATGCGCAGTGATATATGTGGATCTTTCAGTGGACATTTGGTGGAATAGAGATAAGGAAGTGACGGAATGTCGCCGCATGCGCGCAGATCCACTTTGCAGAGGAGTGGAACGAGCTGCACCACCTGCAGATCATGGAGTCGCTGGGAGGGGACCAGTTCTGGATTGACAGGTTTGCAGCGCAGCATGCGGCCGTGTTCTACTACTGGGTCATTGTTGGCTTCTTTGCCTTCTCGCCGCAGCTAGCCTACGTCTTCTCAGAGCTTGTCGAGGTGGCTCTCATACCTTTCTTGTCTTCCAAGACAATCTGCATGACAGTCCCTACCTCCCGTCAAATTGCCATGCATGCATCAAGGCAGTTGCCTGTCAGGGTTACGTTTGTTTGCACACAACCCTGCCAGTTTTGTGTAAGTTGGAGCTTACTGTGTGAACAATCATCCTTGAAACTGCTGGATCTTGGCCCTGACAATCTTTGAGGAATTTGAAGCTCTGACTGTATGTGTGCCTGGGACAGGGACATGCGGTGGACACATATGAGGAATTTGTGGAGGAGAATGCAGAGCTGCTGAAGACGCTGCCGCCTCCAGTTGTGGCCCTGGAGTACTACAAGAACGGCGACCTGTACCTGTTTGATGAGCTGCAGACCACTGGCACCGACCCCAAGCGGCGGCCTTCCTGCAAGTGCGCTCTTTTCTGCACTTGCATGCCTTGCTTGCAGAGGTCGCCGCTTCAAACTGTACTGAGCAACTCCTGCTCAGCCTTTGTCCTGCAGTAGAGTCTGGGGCATGCCAAGGAGGTCTGGGCTTTTCACTGGGTCTGGCACGGGGGATTGGGTATTTAGAGAAAGATGTATCGTTGTGCGCAACTAGCTGAGTCTGCGAGCTGAGTGTGGGAGTCATGCTGTGCGCGCAGCAACCTGTACGATGTGTTCTGCAACATTGCTGGCGACGAGAGGGAGCACGTGAAGACGATGAGGGCGTGCCGCACCTACGAAATCGTTTCTGACATTGCGAATCGCAAGCTGACGAGGACAGAGAAGGCGGATGCAGTGTCGCCCATTCCGACGTCCAATGGCACTGGAGCGGGCAAGGAGATGCCAAGCGGTGCTGGACAGGTCAAGCAAATGGACACCAGCCAGCTGAACTAGACAGCATCACCTTTGTGTCATCATGATCACTGATCACGGCAGTGCCATCGTATGCATTTGTAATCTGTATTTGTTTTTGTTTTTGTCTATGAAAGAGCCGGTTTGTCGATGCAGATCAAGGCTTATCATGACCGTGCCAAATTCTTTAGGTATCAGATCGATTGAAATTTGACCACCAGTTATAGCATGCTCCCCATGGGCAACAATTTAAATTCAGCCCTGCATTGCTGGATCAGCGAGTTGAGTTCTGGATGTGCATGCATAAGATAAGCAATTGCCTTGTGTGTATCCTGAGGCGACCACGCGGTTGAACCACCGTGTTGATTTGCACAGATGTGCGTGTAAATTATGATATCAGATCGGTGCATGAGCACTTTGCTACACATCCTGATCGACTAGTTAGCTACACTGTCCAACTTAGCTTGGAGCCTGGAGTCCTTCTTGGAGCTATCCCGCAGCAGCACTCATTCTGGATTGTCTTGTGAGCCCAACTCACTGTATCGAATCTCGTCAATCAGTCCTGCTGCATCTCTTATGTTGTGCCAGGCCTCGCATGTACCGCATTGTACAAATACCATGCCCCTGTCCCATGCAATGGGATTCACCATTCTGGTGGTCTTGCCATCTGCAGGGAACACACCTTTGCAACTCAACGCACAGGATATCTGGACAGTCTGCACTCGAGAAATTATAGTTCTTTACATCAAAGAATGGACCATAGAAATGATCACTCACCACACTTATTGCAAGTGAAGGTGACTTGACGAGATCTCCTGGGCATGTCCAGTTGCATGCTTGCCGCAGAGTCCCTTTCTTCCGTGTCATTGGACTCACTGCTGCCTGCATAGCAATACGCTTTTTGCCTGAGCCAAACAGCAGCGCCTGTGGCACCCACTGCGTGCTTGAAACAGCGCATATCCAAGGCCATGTCATGCCAACCTGAGGTGCTAGGAGCCGAATCATCCAAGCTCGACTGTGCTGGATGTCCACAGGAGAGCAATAGTTCCCTGTGTGGATTGCTAGATGTTCCTTGTGCTGTCCGAGATCGCATGAGCTTCTGTGGGTGCCGCAAGAACCGTTGCTGCCTTGCATATCCAGTGTAACATGCTCTGCTTGCTGCTAATGCAGAAGGTGGAAAATTTCGGGTTGCTGCTTTCATACTCTCCATCGTACACAAGAACGACGCTTCTTATTTAATAAAACAGGTTTCGAGTTGTCCAGATCAACACTATCTGAATCTTACCAAAAGTAACCTTCTCGATGCACAGACTGCTACACAAGAAACACAACAATTACTTGAACGATGATATGTATTTGAAAGGTTCCAAACACGAGCGTCTCCTTCCTCCGAGACCCAGCACAATATCGAGTCTGTGTGCGACGGCGTTCCAGTGCCTACGCCTCAGCTTCCTAGCCCAACTGCTTTCCCAATTTGCCCAAGAAGAGGGAGAAAAGTGCTCGTTTATTGGTGAAAGAATATGAAAGCGAGCTTTAATGGCTTTCATACAGGTTGAGCAAGACCGTGGAAGGTCCTGATGCATGGGTGCAAGGTTCTATATTTGAGAGCAATCTAGGCAGTGTGAAACAGGCATACGCACGCCAAAATGTTTGAGGCACAACTTGCCTATTACCTGAATAGGTATATTGGCGCCTATGTGCAAGGCCTGGACACGCAATCTCTGAAGATCTCCGTTTTCAAGGGAGATGTGGTACTGCGGAATCTGAAGCTGAAGCCCGAGGCTCTGGCTGACCTCAATCTTCCAATCACTGTGAAGGCCGGCCTTCTTGGCTCTCTCACATTGAAGGTTTGTTTTTCGTCACTCGCCGTATTATTTTTGATGAGACTCCGGAATTACACTGGAGGCATGCAGTAGGCCATCACTTTCTTGGAACAGACTTCGTGCTTTGTATCGATGGCGAACAATTGATTTGACCAATTATCTACTAATCTAGGGTTCTACGGAAATTCCTGTACTCTACAATGCCAGACCTATTTCGCATGCCAACCTGCAGGTGCCCTGGGCAAATTTAGGCAGGTCGCCCGTCATCATTACCATCGACCGCCTCTATATCCTTGCTGGACCGAAGACAGAAGAACCATCAGGTGAAGAAGAGCAGTATGAGGTGAGCGATGGATTCCATGCTGGGCTGGCGCATTAATAGTGCAGTGTGCTTTGTGCTCATGCGGTAAATGATACTGTGATGGTGCTCAGGCTGAGGAGCTGGAGAGAGAGGCCAAGAGAAGGCGTGTGGATCATGCAGAGCTGACTGCTCTGCAGGTGTTGCTCAGGACCACCGTTCTAATACCTTCTTGACCTGACTGTGCATATGGAGATGAGTCAGCTTTGTGTTACAGACTATTGACTGTTTGGCAGTGAGGCATGAAGTAGTCCGTAAAAGGCATGCAAATTTCCTCGCAGGACAAGTCTGATGGCCAGAAGGGAGGTGGAGGCGGGATGTTCAAGGGCTTGGTTGACACTATCATCGGCAACCTGCAGCTGTCTATCAGCAACATCCATGTGCGCTATGAGGTGAGTCCACAAGATCCTTGACACGCTAGGTGTACATACCTACATGCATGGCTAGCGCAGACCTGTTGAAGTGCTCCTGATTTGTCTCTGATTGATTCTTCAGGATGATACCAGCAACCCCGGCACAACATTTGCTGTCGGCCTCACGCTCGAGTCTCTGAGAGCGCACACTGTTGATGAGAGCGGGAAGGAGGCTTTTGTCACACAGAACCCCATGAAGCTCCTGCGCAAGGTAGGTTTCATTATACCGCGTGCAACACCCTGCAACTCGAGACAGCCTGGCAGCATCTGCAATGCCTGCACATGGTTGCATGCAACGCAACATGCATGCATTGCTTTCACCACTTGTTCTTGCATGAGACGCAATGCCAAAATGTGTTTTGTCCAGAGTAAGAGCCACCACTGCTGAGGTCCAGGATGTATTGTGAGCAGGCTTCAGAGCTGCGGCGCTTGGCGCTGTACTTTGATGTGGGCACGAAGCTGTGGGAGCCAGAGGAGGACTGGCACAAGCTGTCACTAGACGCCTGGGACGCGCTGTTCCGCGCCGGCATTGCCGAGGACCCTGCTGTGAATGGAGAGGGGATGGGCAATACTGAGGAGGTTGGCAGTCCGGGCTCCTACGTGCTGAAGCCAGTGGACGGCCGGCTGATGTACCTGCGGCGTGGCAGGGAAGTGCGCAAGAGCGAGGATGAGGCCATCCAGGAGGCAGACGTCCAGCTGGAGGCGTTGTCTCTGCATCTGTCCAGTGCGTGCATGGCCTTCTCCCTGCATGCTTCGCGACTATGCCTGGAAGTAACTGCTATACGAGTAGATGCGGCTCTACGAGTAGATGCGGCTCATGCTAGTGCAGGTAAGCATTAAGAGTGCCATGCATGCATGGTGTCATTGACTTTGTGCGGTCGGTGTGCAGGGGCGCAGTACCAGAGCCTGCAGAAGCTGCTGGAGGCCTTCAGCTCGCTGTCAGCGCGCGCGCCGAACCGCTACCTGCGCCCAACTGGGCGTCCGGACAGCCCTGCCAATGTGCGCAGGTGGTGGCAGTACGCCGGGGCTGTTATGCGCAAGCAGATCCGCTCGCAGGGCTTCAACTGGCGCCAATTTGAGAAGGTATGTGGTTCATTGCGTGCTTTCTAGTTGGCGATGAGAAATGTGCATGCACCATTGTTCTCCCCTGTTCTTTCTTTCTACCATGACCAACCACCGTGTTTGAAGACTGGTCTGTGTGCTGAGTATGAGATGTGCTGTAGGCGATTGAGCTGCGGAAAGCGTACGTCGCGCAGTATGAGAGCTGCCTGCAAGATGGCCAGATGGGAGGGGACGAGAAGATCTGGGACATGGATGCGCAGCTGAACGAGCACACCATTCTGGTGTTTCGCAAGCTTGCGCATGCCAAGGTGATCATTCTGTCTTCCTGGTGCTGCAGATGTCTCATCATCACTTTGTGCACTACATGGCATGCGCATGTGGGTATGACATGCAACTTGTACAGAGAATCTGCAATACTGTTTCCTTGCTTTGGTCTTTGGGGCTGACAATACTTTGCGCAGGTTGAGATGGCAAAGAAGAGGGCGGCAGCGCAGGCGGCAGCTGAGGCTCGAGAGAGGCAGTCTGAGAAGGGCTGGCTGAGCTGGGCGTGGGGTGGTGGAGGCAAGAAGGGTGGCAACAAAGCAGCTGAGGACACAGAGGAGGATGAGGACATGCGAGGGGGGCTCAATGAGGAGGAACAGGAGGCCTTGCAGAACCTTGTGTCTGAGCAGGAGGATGCTCTTGTATCTGGTAAGTTGCCTCACATCACTCATGGAATGATGTATATTCATCAATAATTTGCTGCATGCATTCCAGCTTAGCATGGCCATCAATGTGGACATGCCTCGCATGTGCAGGTATGCACTGCCTTCATTACTGAATATGGCATTGATGTGCAGAGAGTGAGACGCCCTGGAGCCTGCGGATGCAAGTGCGGCTGCATGTCAACTCTGCTTCTCTTGTCCTGGACGGCTCCGACAAGTCTCAGGTAAGTCCCGGCGTAAGTCCCCCCCCAAATATGCAGCTATGAAATGAAGTTTACTTGTATTGATGCCCACAACCCATGCTCGGATGGCCCAGCAGGTGATGCGTGCTGGCATGGAAGGCCTGAGCTCCACCACAAAGCTCTACCCCAAGACCATGCATCTGGACATTGAGGTGGCTGCCATGGGCGTGGTTGCGCCTGAGGGCAACCTCGTGCGCACCGGCGGACTCTTGCACCCAAGCAAGAGCACGGTTGGACTGCCAGGTATGTGACCAATCAGAAACTAGTGAAGGCGGTTTGTACCATGTTGTTCATGTCTTGCACATTTGTCCATGCACTACAGCTGTAAAGGTGGCCTTCGTGAAAGAAGTAATCTAAAAGATTCATACGGACATGTGAAGGTGCTAGGGAGGAGGAGCAAGAGTGGGCCAGCAAAGGCCAGGCCATGCGGCTGCAGTTCATCCAGCACCCTCAGGACGAGAGCGCTGATGCAGCAGTGCATCTCAACCTGGCACCCTCCTACGTCACATACAATGCTGTGGCTGTCCAGAGAGTCATGGAATTCTTCAGGACAGAGGAGGTCAGTCTTATCTTTCTGTGCATCTTCTAAAGTAAAGGATAGCAACCCATAACACATACAAACAGTATTCCATGGGGAGTGTCTGCCTATTTTAATACTTGCATTTTATGGCGCAGATTTTGGACTTCTCTGCTCTGGGAGCGCAAGCAATAGCGCAGGTGGAGCGTGCGCAGAGAGCAGCGCGTGATCAGCTGGTAGCTGCTATGAACCACAGGCCCAAGCTGTCTGTCAAGCTGGAGCTTGTGGGTCCCAAGGTTGCCATCCCTGTGCCCAGGAGCGACTTTGAGGGTGAGTGATCATCAGCCTCCTGGGCCCCTTTGTTAGCTGCGGAGTGCATGGCAACCCATTGGCCATCAACATCGGCAAGGGACTCTTGATGAAGGGATCTTTTGTCAGATGGGTGTCGTTCCTTTTGTGCAGGAGAGCTGACCCTCGTGCTGGACCTGGGCTCATTCTCAGTCGAGAGTGACACTGGCCTCATAGCACAGCTCCCACAGGAAGAAGCAGCCCTGTATGAGTGCCTGCGCCTGCGCTCCCGTGACATCTCTGCCTATGTTGTGGACGGAGAGTTCTCATTCCAGGCCCTTGAGCAGGCAGGCGTGGCAGAGCTGCCCGAGGTATACACCCCTCCTACACAACTCTTGCATAAGGACATTCATTACATTGCATTGCAAAGCAAAGGAAATGTTGTCACTCAGTTGTCTGATTGGGGTTTGAGGCTGAAGAAGGTGTCACCCTGTTTGCAGGAGGACGCGGAGACCAGCCCTGTGACAGAGGCCATCACTCTAGCCGTGCAACAATCGGGGGGTAGGGCGCTCGGGGGCCGAGCAACCTTCATCCCCCTGTTGGAGCGCTGCGGCACAGAGACAACCTTGCAGTTCGCTCGATTTCCCCACCCTCAGCTGCCCAGCCTGCGTGCCCAGCTGAGCGTGCCCCAGCTGCGCTTCTACATCAGCCCTGCTCGCGTCAGAAGAGTGCTGCGTGTCCTGCGCGCTGCTGTTCCGGGTATTACCATCCTTCTTACTAATATTTTTAATATTGACATATCATCTCGTTTCTCCAGCAATCTTAAGACCGACAGTGCCACTCCCAGTCCTTAAAATAGAGGGGAAAACAGAAAGGAAGATTGTCCAGGATGCCATCAGACGAGGTAGATGTGTGCCAGAGCTCAGCTTGTCATGGTTTCAGGTCAAGGCAAGGGTGAGCCAGGGAGGCCGCCTGCACCAAAAGAGGTGCCACAGTGGCGCAGGGACAGCGAGTTTTCTGGCAAGGTCAGGGTGCTGGAGTGGGGAGGCCTCAGCCGGACCACAGCACAGTGGCCCACCCGCTGGGTGGCTCTCTACAGGGGGAGCCTCTACGTCATGCCAAAGGAGGATGCCGACACCTCACCGACCACTTACAACATCTGGACAAACAGGTGCAAAGCTAACATGTACTTGCATTTTGCTGCTGTGCTTGTAAATGCAGGATTAAGCGCCGTCCTGACTGCAGTCAGCTACTTGCATGATATGATGCTTCACAAAACGAAGCAATTGCTCTGTTATGCAGGCGGGTGGTGAAGCTCCCAGAGGACACCTGCGGAGGCGTGAAGAATGTGCTGGCAATCTGTCCGCCGACAGTGGAGACTGCGCATGCAGCTCAGGATAGCAGTTCCCTGGTCTTGCGCTTCTCAACAGAGAGCCAGGTTTGCATGAGATTTGTCTCCCCAATACTTGGCAGAGATCCTCTACAGGGTTACTCCACTGTTTCTGCCTTCTTGACAATATGCTCAAATCTCATCTATTGACATTTCTGAGCTGCCCTGCAGATGGAGGAATGGCGGACGCAGCTCCAAAGGTCTCAGCACAAGATGAAGGATTTGGCTGGCGGAGCGGATGAGACTCTAAACATAGACTTTGATGTTTCTGCACCTGAGCTTGACAGCGAGACAGCCAGCACCACTGTGGAAGGTGAGTCCCAGCGGTGTTATTTCAGCCAACTTCAGCCTTCAAAGAGATCCTTATGCTGTAATTTTCAAGAAGCAAAAACTTTCTCCACACAATATTTGTATGCCTACCCAGGAGCAGATGCAGGAGCAAAGGAGGCAGGGAGCAAGGCAGAGCTGCCAGGCTTTTCTGTGCGCCTGGCAGCCGACTTGGGAGAGTTTGCCTTGTTTGTTAGCGGCCGGACTGCGGATGTATGGTGGCCTGATGACGTAAGCATCAGCCTGTCCAGCATCCATGCAAATTGTGCATAATGGGTGTTCAGATTGGTGCTAAACGAGGGCACGAGCATACGTGGACTTATCGTGTGGTTTGCATTCCAGGATGGTGTACCTGACGGTGCCAGTGATGACACTGCCTTTGCCTCCCCAGCCGCCGGGCACAAGCTCACAGATTCCAGCTCAATGGTGAATGTGGACGGCGAGCAGTCACTGATAGTCATCAGGGCATCGAGCGGCAGCACTGACCTGTCTCTGGGCGGCGGCCACTTCAGCACCAGCCTGGCTGTGGGGGCCTTTGAGATTGAGGACCTCCTGGTTGGCAAGCGCTGCCCTGAGCATGGCTATCTGGCCAGGTCCTTTGTGGTGACACGTGAGCATCTCACTTTTCTTTTTATCACCTCATATTGCACAAAAAATAAATGTAAATGCAGTTGACTGGTATGTGAAGTGGCTTGAAAGAAGGATGACGGCTGAAGGGGGTATCATCTGCAGGTGTGGTGGATAATGAGGGGGATGAGTTCTATGACGCCAGCGCAGATCCCTCCTCTCCCACATTCCTGTCACGTGCCGCATCCAAGGGCAGCGGCCGGCTCCCCTTCTCTGACCAGGACTCGCAGAGTGTTGCCTCGAGGGAAGGCTCCTTCAAGGATGCGCCGGGCCCTTCTGAGCTTTGGCGCTCCCAATCCCAGGACCAAGGTCAGTGTCACCGAAAAGTGCCATGATTTCTCTTGATTTTCAAGAGTTGAAGCCATAAATGCTCATGCTTATTGATCAATTTATAAAATGAGGCCCGCATGCCTTGCTGAAGCCTGTATTGTGCAAGCTCTTCTCATAGGTTGCATTTTCGGAGCAGGTAGCGCTGCAGAGGTGCCAACGCCCAAGAAGAAAAGCGCATGGGTGCTCGACTTTGACACATGGGCGCAGACCTCGTCAGGCTATGCTGGCGTGGACGCTGAGATGCGCATGCGGCTGAAGACGCTGTATTTCTATGCCAACCGCCCCACCATTGGAGCGCTCATGGGCATTGGTGGCGATCTGGCTGCTGCTTTCAAGAGCGGCCAAGCAGAGGTGCTGTACAAACTCCCTGCATTTGTCATGCGCATACCTTCTACCTTCTGAATGCCGTTACTCGGCACCTTTGCCAATGCTCTAAATCTGATATCTTCATTCATACAGGCTGCTCCAGGAGCCACCCCCCAGACAGCAGACACACCTTTTGCAAAGGCGGCTGGATCCGGCTCCGCCGCGAACCTACAGTCCGCGGCATCTTCAGCCGTTGCTGACGAGGACAGGAGAGACGCTGACGCATCCGATGACCTGAACACCGATGCGGCCTCAACCGTCGCTCCTTCCACCCTGCGCAGCGAGAGCGGAGATGTAGATGGAGGTAATGCATGTAACTATGCATGTGACACATTTTGCCCTTATTGGCAGCTGTTCTGCTTTTGAACACATCTCAATGTAGTGCAGAGGGCAATGCAGTGCTGCTGTACACGTATTGCATTATGCTCAGGCAGCATTGCAAGGTTTTTAGTGTAATAGGAGATTCTTCATTGCACTGCAGGCAATCTGGTGATGGAGGGTGGCAGCGAGCGGGTGGTGTTCCGCCTGCTGGTAGAGATGGAGAGGCTGGAGGCCAGTCTCAACTATGAGTCGTGCTCAGCCCCTCCTCTGCTGCTGGCTGCCATTGAGGATGTGCACTTCAACCTCAGCGTGCATCCTGGCACCCTACTCATCAATGCCACCCTGGGCAACATGCGCGCTCAAGACGGCGCTCTGCCAGAGGTAATACTCCTGTCTGGAGTCAGCGGAATAGCACTTGGACTGGAATTCTGAGAATGACTCGGCTGACCATATGAGCAGCCTTGGATAAATTTTGTACCTTGATTTGACTTTGTAGCCTTGATTTGGTGACAGGCTTGCACTCAAAGACTGCCAGGCATGTGCATCTGACTGCCTCTCCATCAATCTCTTTGAAGCCGCATGGAGCTTATTGTCGTTATGTGCACCTCACTATGGCACCACAATCCATGTATTTGCAGTGTCAGGGCCCTTCTTTGACATCCATGTGCTTCATGCAGGGACATCCGTACAGGAACATCTGCGATCTGCGCCATGGCGCTTCCACGTCTCTGATAGAGCTGGAGTTTGCGTCTCACACTGGAATGGATGCTGACACCAGCCCCCGCGTCCCCAGTGGGCTGCCTTTCTATACCCTCAATGCACAGCTGCGGGAGCTCGAGCTTTTCTTCCTTCATCGCTTCCTCCAGGTGGTGCATCTGGCCATATCCCTTCTAATCTGTGATCTTTGACATTAAGAGGCATCGGACTTTTATTGCTGTGCCACTTCTTATTGGGGCATGCATGACTTGCATTTGTGACGTGCAGGAGCTTCTGCACTACATCACCCTGCTGCTGGCCATGCAACCCCCGGCTCTCAGTCCTCCAGGCCTTGCAGAGGCCAACAGCACAGCAGGAGAGCGGGTGAGCCATCAATAGGCACTCGAATAGTCCATGGCCTCTGATGTCTTGGGCAATCTGACATGCACATGCGTGGTGGGCTAGAGCATGGGTTGTGTCTTCTGGATCTGATGACATGGGATTTTCAATGGCGTGCAGGCGAGCTCGACGGGCAAGGCAAAGAAGGGCAAGGCAGACAAGGGTGTTGGCTTCTTGCTGGTGCTGGATGTGGAGATGAACGCGCCTGTGATCACCATTCCCCGCAACACCGACAGCCTGGATGCCCTGGAGGTGGATTTGGGCACGTTCACCCTCAGCAACCGCATAGCCTGGATTGGCGGGAAAGGGAACGCCTCTGATAGAAAGGTAAAGGCCGCCATGATCAATATTGTCTTATCGCTGAGTTGAGCTGAGCTGCACTGTATGCCTACAAGTGCCTTCTGCAGAGAGCGCTGAATCTCAAGGTGCTCATCGAAAGCTGCCCTTACATTATGAACTTTTGATGATGTTGCTACAGTCTTATGGAAAGCTGATTGATGTGTACTGCCCTCTCAGGCGGTGCTGTACGAGGAGGACACCATTGTCCTGAGCGACCTGAGCGCAGTCATGGTGCATGATGGCGAGAGCGGCAACAACATGATCCGCGAGTTTGACACTGGCCTCACTGTCAACATGCAGCGCCCCATCCGTGATCTGCTCCAGTGCCTACCCCGATTCCAGGTAAGCATGCCCGTCACATTGCCCCTCTCAACCTTCCAGAGTTTGCTGGGCCCCGCCTGTGTGTGTGAGACTTCACCAAAGATGCGGCATTTTGCTTGGAACTCAAGATGACCTCATGATACTGATGCAAGGGTTTGTGTGGCAGGTGGGCATTGACATACCGTCCATCAAGGCGACACTCTCAGACAGCGAGTACCGCTTCATCACTTCCGTCGCTGGCTCCAACTTTGGAGAGCCGCTGCGGCTTCCTGCAGCTGCCCAGTGGCTGGAAGATGCCCTCATTGATGAGCCCATGGAGGATGCAGAGTCACACCCCTCGCTCCAGGTCAGACTTGTCTACCAAGCAATGCTCCACCTGTTCATGGCAATCTGTCTTGTCTGCTTCTTGGCTGGTAAGAAGTACAATGTTGAAGGACCAAAGCTGACTGCTCAGAGCTGTTTCCATGGTGCATGTTAGACCTGAAGGATGTACTGCCTTCCTCAGGTGTCACGTAGCGCTGAGTCCCCCTCTGCGGAGAGGCAAGGCAGCCATGCGGCAGGCCAGCCTGCCGCGACGGCGTCCGCGGCAAAGAGTGACAAGACAGCCATTCGCGTGGTGATCAACCTGGGCAAGTCTGAGCTGGAGATGCTGCGCACCAGCAATGCAGCAACTGGGGCCCTGTCTCCCCTGGCGCGCTTCACCATCGGCAACCTTTGGGTGGCTTTCAGGTGAGTCATTGCCTTTCCAGCAGGCATCGAATCCCTAGCAATTTTTCATGTGCATTTTACCCTAAGAAGGAGGATGCTGGTGCTTGCTCCATTGCTTGCAATCTGTGAATGGCTTTCTTGTGACATTCGGCTTTCTGGCATCCATTGAAACGCCAGCTACTGTTTTCAAGCATTCTAGCCCAAGAAACAGGTTGCTGGTGCTCCTTGTGTATGAATCAATATCTGCACATGTCGACAGGACAACGGCAGGAGGTGCCATGTACCTGTCAGTCTCACTGCCGCGAGTGGAGGGGGTGGACCTGCGGCCTTGGGTGCCGCCAGAGCATTCCCTGGTCATCAGCTCCGAGCAGTACTCAGCAGAGTCCAGGCCACAGGACGTGGGAGCCGGCGATGGGAGCGCGCTGGACTGGGAAGCTGCATCTTTCCTGACCCTGGAGTACAAGGCAGCTGCGCAGATGTCCAAGCAGCAGATTAGGGTGCATGTCCAACCTTCTCCTGTGCTTCTCTGACTCTGACTCTGCATAAAGGAAGCAATTCAGTCAGCCTGCTTCTGTACGCAGCCACTCATCTCAAGTTTGGATGCTCCTGCAGGTGAGACTGCAGAGGCCGACCATCTCTGCGGAGATGAGCTTCCTGCTGGCTGTGGTCAAGTTCTACCTGCCGGACTTTGCCATTGGCAGCATCACTCCTGTGCCATTCCGCACCCAGGATTTCCTGCTCACAGGTACAAATGCCTGCTTCATCACTGTATCAACTTTTGCTCTGTCAACGTCAAGGGGAACCTTAGAGCGTGGAAATGCATGACATGCATGATGTCGACCTGTGGCTTCATAAGGTTCTGGCCAATCTTGATGTTGTGTTTGCAGAACAAGAGCACAAGGCAGCTGGCGATCTGTGGCTCAGTCCCCAGACGAGGCTGCTGGCTGACTCACCAGATGGGACAGACTTCGTGTACGATGGTCAGGGCCACCGCCTGATCTTGCCTGAGGGCATCAGCGATGGAGCTGCTATCCCTCTGATCATTGTGGGTGCTGGCAAGACCCTGCTGCTGCGGGACGTTAAGATTGTGCATGCAGAGTCTCTGCCTGCGTGTCTGCAGCTTGGCTCAGGTATGTTGCATGGGCACCTGATGCTGCATCAAGCCAAACCACAGCTGCCTAATTCAGAATTCTGGTTGCTTATGAAGACCCAGAAGCTTAAGATTACACACTAGGGTGAGGATGGTAATATATGGCTTTTCCCTCTACACAGGTGCCCAGTTGGTGGCCCACCCAGAGAATAATGTGCACCGCATTGAGGGAGACGACCCAACACTGGCTCGCAGCCCTGGCGATAAACAGCAGCTCTTCCGCCTGGGCAGCCCATTCGGTGCCTCTCCAAGTGGCAGATCGCGCTCCCTGGGCAAGGTAAATTATGGACGTGCATGGCAGGACTGTCTGTCTGCTGTGTACTCTGCCCTTAAAAACAGACACTCTAAGCAACATGCTGTTTTAAAAACGTGACCCTCCCGCACTTGTCTGCAGGCTATTTCTCGGGGATCGCGGGGATTCTCTGGTATGGGGCAGAGGAGGCGGTCAAGCTCAATTGGAAGCGTTGACGATGCGTCGCCAAGGCCAAAGCCGCTGGACCTGGAGATGGAGGTGGTTGCTGTGGGCGTTGGCCTGCGCTTCTTGGAGCTTGAGGAGGGCAAGCAGGTATCTGCATGTGTCTTTTGGGGGCAAACAATTTAATCAAAACTAGTCCGGAGTTGATTATCAGTGGAGACACCTTTCTGTTTATTGGGGGCTGTAGAAAAATGAGAGATATATATGGATCGGAGACATTGCCTGTGTTTTCAAGGACATTCTCATGAATGCACTGCAGGAGAGGGATGCGATGCGTGTGAGCGCGTCCAAAGCAGAGGCGGCACCCCGCACGCGAGGCGATGCAGGCCGCTCTGTCCGCATGCTTGCGGCGTACATGGATCTTGGGGCCCGCTACAAGATTGCTGGAGACCGCCAGAGGGCCAGCGCCGAGCTCCGGGGCTTGCATGTCGAGACCCAGGTTGATGTGGGCGGCCACAAGGTAGATCTCATATCTCAATCATGATATACTACAGTCTGGCTGTATTTGAGGTATTTAATCATCATATATGATACCAAATGGACATAAGAAGAGACTGATTGGCGCGTGCTGGCTGCGCAGGGAGGAGAGGATAACAACAAAGTGCATGGAACAGTGCTGGAGCCTTGCAAGGTGGGCATGATGATGGAGATGAGTGGAGGGAGCGGCGATATCCAGCTGAAGCTGTCAGATCTGCGCATGAATCTGTCCCCAGACGTTCTGGAGCTGGCAATGTCCCTGCAGAGCTCTGTGCTGGAGCCCCTTGTGCAGCCGGCACCTGACAAGTGGGTCATTTCCCCTCAAAATTCTGTGCAATTCTTGTGCCTCCATAGCATAGCATCATTAGATTGCACAGTATTTGTGTGTTATAGCATTTTACATGTGTTGTGTGTTGGTGCTGCAGGCCTCTGGCAAGGTGCACGCGCTTCCTGCAAATCTGGAGCAACCACCCAGAGAAGTCTGGGCCAGCTGGGGCTGTCATGGACACCAGTGTGCTGTCCGCTGAGCGTGGACTCACCTTCTGGCGCCCACAGCCCCCCATCGGCTATGCCTCCCTTGGGGACTGCGTGACCACTGGCACCATGCAGCCCACCTTCCAGGTCAGTATCTGTCCCTCCCTGTCTTCTTGTATAAGACGTGTTGCAAGTCCTCTGCAGCCGCTTTGATGTACCCCATGCATGCCGTTTGTGGTGCATCCTGATCGATAGTGCTGAAGTTGCAATGCCACTGATTGTCAGCACCTGATATCTGGATCGTGTTTTGCAGGTGGTGTCAGTTGCCGTGAACAGCGGGCTGGTTGCATACCCCGTCAGCTACAAAACAGCATACCAGACGTCAGGGCTCACGATCTGGGAGGCGATCCCGCCGGAGGGCTATGTTGCGCTCGGCTGCCTGGCAGTCCATGGGGACGAGCCTCCAGCGCTCACAGAGATGGTGGCGGTGCATGCCAGCATTGGTGTGGAGGCCCCGCTGGGCTCATGCCTGGTCCTCAAGGAGGAGAAGTCCTGGAGGTCTCTGGAGGATGACCTGGGGCACCTCACTGAGAAGCCCAAGGCCAACGTGTGGTTTGTGGAGAACGTGGGCGCCTCCTTTGTGGTGTGCAGTCCAGAGACCGGCAGCCCTGCAGGTAATTAACCAAGTTCCTAGATGAATTACTGATGACTCGTCTAAATTATCTCGCTCCTCGGCTTGCAATTTAGTCTGGGCATGCTGCCGAGTAATCAATGCTGGTCTGCGCAGGTCCTTTTCTGGATTTGCGGTCGCCCTTGGGAATCACACCGGCTGCGCTGAAGCTGCCACCGCCTGCAAGCCCGGTGGTCACGCCTGAGTCCTCGCCAGCTGAGAAGCCAAGGAGGACGTCAAACTCCACGCCGATTCCCCAGAGCAAGGGCCCTGTCAGGAGCGGTATGAAGCTCACCCCACATTGCATGCTTCATGTGCCTTCAAAGAAGATGCACTTGATATTAAGTGTCAGGTGCATGGCAGGGAGGTGTAATGCCCCTGCCATGCACTGTCTAATATGGCACAATCGTTTTGTGATAGTCCCTGTTTGTATGATGGTGTGGGTTCATAAATGGAGGAGACTTCTCTAAAGCTTGAAGGGACACGGCTGGCCCCAGGTTCAATGACACAAGGCGCCAGAGAGGCAGCAGCTTCTCTGAGGGACAGGCCGGTCAGCTACCGCTCCTACGAGGAGTTCCGCCGCAGCCGTGCGAAGCAGCTCAAGACCGCCTCTCAGCGGCGCCTGCAGAGCACGGCAGTGGACTTCCGGCGTGTGTGGTGGGACAAGGATGCCCGCTACCCCTCAAAGAGCGGCCTCTCCTTCTGGCGCCCCATACCGCCGCAAGGCTACATCTCACTGGGTGCGCTTACTACTCCATGTGGTGCCTTTCACAATACCTTAGAGTCGTTGTCCATTGAGTGATCTGCCAAGCAGTTCACAAGGTGGAAACGTTTACAGCTGTGGCACCTTGTGGCAATTGCTGCCAGACAAAGCAGATTTGAAGTGCAACTTACAACACACATGCCATAACATCAGGAGAGAAGCACGCATTCAGTTGTTGTTCTTCTGCAGGTGACTGTGCGGAGGTGGGCTATGATCCTCCACAGAGCATTGTGGTCCTGCTGGACTCAGAGCTGGCCGAGATGGAGCACACTTCTACGCCTGTGGTGCGGCCGCCGCGCGGCTTCGAGCTGCTCTGGCGCGACGAGTCTGACAGGCCCGACCGGTGCCTCTCCATTTGGCGGCCTGTGCCTTTCCCAGGGTGAGCCCTGCCCCACAGTGCCCTTGTATGCATTCTAGGCCTTTCTCTCCATCCTGTATAAGTGCCATCCTGTATAAGTGCTGTCAAGGTCCGTGCAAAGGGCTTGGTCGGTAAGTTTGGCCGCCGGTGTGAATATTGATGACAAAACATTTCTCATTAACGCAGGTATGTCGCGATGGGCTTTGTGATTGGCCGCGGCCCTGAACCGCCATCCAGGAATGCCATGCGGTGCATCAGGTGACCTGCGTTTTACCATTCTCATTAATCAAGGAATTGTCTGCTTGCACCTGCAGCTTAAAATTTGTGAAGGTTTCCAGTGGCATTTTATTGGACAGCTGTGTTAAATTTATGCATATTCGCACAGGGCAAATGAAGCGGCAGCGGTGGATTTGAGAGGCGTGCGCGCTTCCACCCGCTTGCCGCAAGTCGGCAGGCGCACCGGCTTCTCTGTGTGGACCGGGGACGAGCGCCTGAGCACCTTTGTCATCTCCTCCGTAGGGGCACCCCCAAGGGACAGAGACCTGCAGCGCCTCAAGATCCTGGACTCTAGGGAGCCTCGCCCTGCTGAGGGCCCTGTTGAAGCTCCCAAGGTGCTCAAAACAACATTACATGCCTCTGAAACATGCGCTGTCTTCCACTCTTTGCACTGCCTTCACACCTTCTTGACCCATTGCATAAGGCTGAAGCATGCTGTTCTTTGCAGGGTGGCATGAACATTGTCCTGAAGACCGGGGCGACGAGTTTGCTGCTGAGGGACGCTCTCAGGCGGCCTCTGGCAGAGATTGAGCTGGGGGAGGTTGACGCAAGTGTGCGGCGCATTGATGGCAATGTCACACGGGTAAGGTTTCTTGTGTACTTGCTGGCGCTTGTATTTTTTGAGAACACACTCATTGCCGCATTCAAAGAAATGACACTGGGTCTTGTACTGTGCAGGCGTACATGGGAGTGCTGACCAGCGCCTGGAGCTACAACGCAGTCATCCAGGCCTGGGAACCCATCTTGGAGCCCTGGAAGCTCATTGTCAAGATGGACATGAACACGTCTGGCATCGTGAGGCCCATCTCAATATGCTCACACCAGTAATCACCCAGGTTCAGCAAATTGTTTCCACTCACAAGGGAGCCTCTGTCTGGCAACGAGCAGTCTCAAATTCTGTGCAATGCAGATGGCGCACGGCGTGGCGCCTGGCGCAAACGTGAGCATCAAGAGCACCAGTGAGCTAATGCGCATCACGCTAGCGTACGCCGCAGTGCAGTCGGTCTTCAGGGCCCTGCGCCAGTGGCGCGAGCTGCACGCATCCGGCTCCGACGAGGCCTACAAGCGCCAGCTTGCAGCTGCGGACGCCGCCAGCGTGCACACGCATGTGCTCAACACCCTGGGCGTGGCTGCAGAGATGCAGCTGGACTTCGGCAGCCATGTGTAAGCACAAATTCCTCTGTCCCATCAGCATATTTCTCCTTGCGCTGTACTGTAATGACCAGGGATACTGAATACAAGTTGTGTGTAATATTCCCCTGCAGTGACACTACATGTGATCAGGATATGTTGATGTCTTTGCAAAACCATTTCACAGTGTCACTGTCTGTCGTGCACTGCTCAGGGAGACAGCCTCGCTGGCCCCTGGCAAGTCGACCGCCATGCTGCAGCCCCTTCCTCGGCCGCCGCAGCGCCACTCCCAGCGCCTGGCTATCCCGGCAACCGCCCAGCCGCCAGTGTTGCTTGTGGCGAATGTGGCATCTGCCTCTGGCCTTGCAGCCGTGCTTGGGGATGCAGCAGGGCGGGGAGTGTCCAAGCCTGACCTCTACCTTAATCTGACGCTGCATGGCGGGGATGAGGCGGGATCTGTGACTTCCACCGCCGACAGCTGGGGGGTAAGCATTCCCCGTCTCTGACTGCCAGGGACATGCAAGATACAGTATGTTATCATTCATCTGACTTTATTGAGCAGAAAGCTGACTCATCGACGTTTCTTGATGTGCACAGGCCAGGACCCGGGCAGTGACGGTCAGGACGAGGGAAAGTGCAGATGCTGGTGCTGCACAGCCTAGCAGAGAAGCTTCAGGATCTGCAGGAGAAGCGGGGATCAGCGAGGAGGCTGCAATAATAGACTGGGAGGAAGTGCGGTGGAATGAACGCCTCATCCTTGAGCTACCACCCGATGCAGAGCAGGAGGAGGTACAGATGCTCTTACACTTCTGCTGATGCCAAAAGTTGCTCTCAGCTCTCCTACAGGCATTTAGAGGCATACCACGCACCATAATGAGGCAATGCAAGATCTTTTACACATGGCACAGGTGACTGTGGAGTTGGAGCTGTGGGACACTGCTGGTGCCAGGGCAATGGGCGTGAAGATTGCAAGCGCCTCTGCTGCGTTGGATTTGGCAATGTTCAAACCCTTCGCTGCACAGCCAGCCACCATTGAGCTCTGCGGCGAGGACGGCAAAGTGAGTGGCTCCTGCCTTAGCTGAAGTGTCCCCGGATTTGTTCAAGTCGCTGACATAGCAGAATGAAGGGCCTCACACAAGTGACACACCATGCTGTAACCGTGAGAGCGCTGGTGTTAGTAACAATCTGGCGTTGCCAGTAAATACTGGAGAAGCCTGCAGAGAATAGCAGGAACGCAACGAGTCTCATCGAAATAGTGGTGGCCTGCTTTTGTAGGCGGCAGAGCTGGAGCTGCAGTGGGCGGTGGTGCCTCAGTATGAGCAGGAGCGCGCAGTCACAACGGACGCCTGGAGCGCTGGCAAGAGCACCGCTGGGCAGCGGGCGCTGCGCCTGGCGGGGACCGAGGATTGGGCCCCTGTGTACACCAACGCTCAGACACTGGTCAACGCCAGCTCCCAGGCCATGAAGAAGGTGACACCAATCTCACCACCACTACTTTGCAATATTGATCATGCAAGTAACCAAGATCTGCAAAAAACTCTCTCTTTCCTTAGAGGCCCCTTGCCAATTGCCTTGTGTCCACAAATGCAGCCGCATCCCGCCCCAAACCAATTATCTCACTTTCTCTACTCATGCTTATAATCCTTCAGGAACAATAAACAAAGGATTATATTTGGTTGCGCAGGGCTCAAGGGGCAGCGATGACATGGCGTCGTCGGTGGTGCCGGTGCGCATGCGTGGCGGCGTGGTGGCGCTGGAGAGCAGCTTCCAGGGCGGCGTGAAGCGGGAGAAGCTGCGCTCTCTCTGCCAGCTCGTCAATGACACTCAGCTCAGGCTGGAGGTGGCCCTTGTAGGGGACCCCAGCCGCTCCCGGTCCTCCAGCGCTTCCTCCTCCAGAGGCTTTGGCCGTCAGGAATCCCTGGTATGGCCATTTGCTGCTACTGCTCGATTGCTGCCCCTGCTGTCAAGGACTTGCCCTCCAGCCATTTTGAACGTGTGGGCTGCTTTGCTTAAGTGTGAAATTCTTCGTCAATTTCTTTGTCCTTGAAGGTGCAGATGCTGATCGCCTCTTTTGCTGCAGCGAGAGAGCCAGAGCGACGGCAAGGAGGAGGAGATATTTGAGAACGAGCGCTTCCTGCCGCTGAAGGGCTGGGGCTCGCGTGGGAACCTGCTGCCGACAGAGCGGAAGCGCTACAGCACCAGGGATGGCTTGCAGAGTGCTGTGGACTTCCCTTCCCTGCCCCTCCCTCAAGGTGAGTTTCTTGTAGTGCTACTATCTTGAGAACCATGCAATCAGCTTTTTGACTATCAATATTGATAGTTTGTCGCCTGCTAAAAACGCTGGGTCAGCACCACCAATTTGAGAAGTGATCATGCATGTGTGAAATTGCAGGATGGGAGTGGGAGGGTCCATGGGCAGCAGAAGATTGGGCCTACAGCCCGGATTGGAGCATGATCACGTATCCTCCCCACCCAAACTCCCTGAAGCGGGGCATGATGGACTTTGTCCGGAGGCGCAGATGGGTGCGGCGAAGGCGAAAGCAGGCCATGTCAGGTAACATGTTATGCATCCTTGCGGTTTTATATTCTTATTATTATTATTACACGCTTTTCTCGCCAGAGGCAAGGTGCGTTTGCAGACAAGCTGCATGCAAAGGCTGCCAAAAATCCTACCCCTTGATGGACTCGCCAGATCTCGCGATTTTATCAGGGATTTAATGCTGCATTCTCATGATGCCTGTACGCACACATTGACAAGATGCCCACTCTTTAGGTGCAATCAGCTATATCAAATCAGAGACTGTGTGATGGTGTTCTGCAGCTTCAAGTTCGGCGGCTGATCTGGCGTCTGCCCCATCTGTCGGTGCCTTGGCGGAGACGGCGAGCGCTGCCCAGGACAGGGATACCAGGCAGGTGCTGGGGATTGCAGAGCCAGGAGACAGCCTGCCAGTGCCATATGGCTGGAGGAGCTCAGGTCAGGCTCTTTGAACTGTAGCTCCCTAGTTCATGCATTTTTTGGTCGTCAATGAAGACATACAAGGTGTAAAAAGTGTGCTGATCGGTGTTTTTTATTGTGCAGGCAAGCAGCTGGTGGTCAGGCCAATCCTGGAGGGCTTCCCCGACGCGCATCTCTGGAGCATAGGAGGCAGCGACGGTGCTCACAGTGTCCGCTTGGACACCCTAGACGAGGGCCAGACCCGCCTCCTGGCTTGTGCACCCGCCTCGCCCTCACAACCAGGCAAGCATCGGCCTCTGAGATCTGCCAATATGAGACATTGAGGCCAAGATGTCTATTCTTCTTATGCGTTCCTCTTCTGCCCTCGTGCTTATCATGGACTGAAACGTCGCCTTAGCTCCCATCACAGGCTTTCAAGACACTCACGTGGTGTGCTCATATCGCTGCAGAGACTGGGGACAACTCAAGGGCGGCGGCGGCAGCTGCGGTGGCGCGCAGGAGCGGCGATGGCGGTGCAGCTGAGCTGGCGGCTGCAACGGTGTGGGTCAGCGTCACCGTGGAAGCCGAGCAGCTGCCGGGACTGTCGCGAGCAGAGACTCTCAATGACTGGCGGATCGTCGTGGCCCCTCCCCTGGTGCTTGACAACCAGCTGCCCCTGCGCGGCTCCTTCCTAGTGTGGGAACGCCCCAAGGTATGCGGATGCTCTAGATATTCCATGACCACGCTTACTCATTGATGAAGTTCGACCATTCCTGCCATTCATTCTAGGGGCAGTGGTGCACAGCGTGAAATACGAGTCCTGAAGAAGAGAGTAAAGAGGCAGGACATGTGACGCAGGAGGGCGATAACCTGTTGCTGCGCCAGAGCGGAGTGATGTCCAGCGGGGACAGGCGGCATATGTATGCAGCAGACATGCGCCGGGAGGTCAGCCTACAGTTCTACCCAGACGGCTTCGAGTGGGTGGACAGCGACCCCCTGCCTCTCAGCCTTGGCTACTCCTCCCACCGGGTGAGTCTGGGTGGTTTGCCAGTCTGGCTTTCATAGTGACGAGCCAACTGTTTGGGCAGCCTATTCTCATCGCTAGCGTGCCGTATCCATAAGCACATGAGCCGTGCTTCTAGATTCAATCATGATAATTGCAGGCGGGCTTGGACGGTGACCAGAAGCTGCCGGACAGCTTCCAAGTTGCTCGTGCAAACGGCAGCGAGGCCCCGCAGGCTGTGTACATCAACCGAGAGCTGGACCTGGACATGTGGCAGCTGGCTGACAAGGTGAGTTTTCTGCCCTGCAGCTTTTCTGTCCTGCAGGTGCCAACAATGGGAACGCGTCGAAGTGCCAGGAGCAAGCTCGAATGTGTTGCTTGGAGGAGGAAATGGTCTAATGGCAGGGGTGTTGCACTTGCAGAAGCTGGATCCCGGGGCGGCTGTGGCGCTCGGGGCGCCTCTGCATGTGCGCATGTTCGTGCCACTGTGGATTGTGAACGCCACATCGTTGCCGGTGGCGGCCCTGGTTGTGCCGGTGGCGCCGCCGCGGCAGTCGAGCGAGCGCGAGGGGCAGGAGGGCCAGGATTTGCTGGACGCTGCAGAGTCCATCCGCCTGAAGGTCCTCGAGACAGATGCCGGCGATGGAGCGTCATCTTCTGGCGCCAGACCCAGGAAGTGCGCGCTCTCTCTGCTGCTGAAAAGGTTTTCCGTCTTTTGGAGGACCATGCCAGACTGTGAGGTAGCACTTTGCCACAACAACAGTCTACATGTCATACATTTCCTTCAAGTTGTAATTTTTCGATGACTGCAAGCACAATACTTACAAGGTTGTGTGGACAGCTGTGTGCTGAACTACGCTCCATTATTTGTGCTGCAGTGCCATGCCAAAAGGAGCACGTCATGTGCTGGCGGGGAGCGTGTCCATGGTGGCCTATCCAATGCAGCAGATGGCCGCCTTCAGGCGCAACGCCGCCCAACAGAGCTACGGCCTGCGGCTGAAGGTATCTTCTCAGCAGTCTGTGCATCACTGCTGCCTAACTTAAGCTCTATTGTTTGGACTTGCATAGGATCAGGAAGAAAGTTCGCAAAATACTCCATGCTGCTGAGCTTTCATGCGCGATATGGTCAGGTGGGCGAGTCAGGCTGGACATCACCTCTGCCGCTGGAGAGTGGTGGCGGTGGCGAAGAGGGGCCGGATGACATCAACACCAAGCCGGTGCTGATCCGAGCGCGCATCCCCGAGTGGGGCACGGTGCATGAGATTGTCGCCCGCTTGGAGCTTGTTGGCGGCGGCTTTGAGCGGACCCTGGTGCGTTACTCCTCTGCCCAATTGTTCCTGGCCAGAATCCACCAATGGCTGCACAGTCCACCACATTGAGCAGTGCAGTTTGGCACTCAGCATGTGTTGCCGCCTGGCTCTGACTGACTGTTACATGCTTTTGTTTGAATGCTGCAACGGTTTGTCTGTCAGTATGGAAGGGAATTTTCCAGGTAAAAATTTTGACTGATTCTGGTCTCGGCTGCACAGGCGCTGCGGCTGGAGCCTCAGCTGGTGATCACCAACAACACCGGCATCCCACTCCAGCTGATGCAGCTGCACAGGGGCGGCTACACGCAGTCCATTGCCGGAGTGACGCCAAACCCGGCCACGCTCAGCGGCCTGCCCAGAGCTGCCGTGCCGCCTGCAGGCAGCGGCCGTGATGGCTCTGCACAGGGCGCCCCTGGGCTGCGCTCAACTGTGGCCAGCCCTGACGCAGATGTCACATCCACCCTGGACCTCCCGACAGGTGCTGACAGCCTTGTCCATCCAGCCTGACTCATCATCCTGTGGAACAAGCGAGACTCATACCTTGCTGGCCAGTGCCAGTGTGCCGCAATGGTGCCATCCAACTAGAACTTTCTGTCCTTTTCGAATGATTGAGAGTCGAGTCTTGTAGGACGCCACCTGTGTCACAATGGTGCTTTGACTGTTTTGCGCTGTCGCGTGTAGGTGGAACTGGAATACCGCTGCACTGGAGCCTGCAGGCCGACACGCGCGCAGTGTGCTTCCGCTTTGCACCGGAGGGTCCCAACGAGCCGGGGCCCCAGTGGTCGCACCCCATCGAGCTCGAGAAGGCACTCAACTCCACTGCGCGCTTCGTCAGCCTGCCGGTGCGCCCGGCCGCGGCCGCTGCAGAGCCCGAGCCGCCCTTGATCTCGATGGAAGAGGACGGCGAGAGAGATGAGGAGGTGCTGGAGAAGAAGCCTGCGCCACAGAAGAAGCAGGGGTCCTACCTTCGGGACATCACCACACTGCAGACGGCCGCGGCGCCGCCGTGGGAGCTGCATGGGCTGCAGATCCGCGTCGGCCGCCGTGTCCGCCACTACACAAGGTGCTGTTTGGACTATCTTTTGCAGCCTACACGTTTTATGCTTCATTTGCATGGGGTCTTATTTGCCTGTTGAGAGCTACTGGCATCTGGACTTCACGTCATAATGACTGTTTGTGTTGCAGGGCTGAAGACAGTGGGGGTGTGATTGAGGAGGTGGAGGTGGTGGTCCTCCGCTTCAGGAATGAGCTGCGCGCTCCAGGCTGCATGCATGTCATCCTGGAGTGCGTGTCTCCCAGGTTAGCCATCAGCCCCTGCACAGATGACTTCTCACACAACTGAGCGGAGCTGTCGCGGTGCAGTGAGCTGCTGAGGGTAGTGCAGGCGGGTTTGTGGCACCCGGGGTTTCTGAACGCTGGTTCCAATCAATCTTGCAGGGCGCCTTACCAGCTGGAGAACCGCTCAGGGCAGCCGCTGCGATACCGCCAGAGCGGCATATCCGACCTGCCTTACATTCCCCTGCCTGCCTACAGCGCCGCTGGCTTTGCCTGGCAGAATGAGAACGGCAATGGAACCCCCAGGGTCAGTCCTTCATTTGTCCTGCTTTGCACATGATGGTTGTCAGATTATGCAGTTGTCAGACGTGCAAACAATTCTGAATCCTTGAGCCGTGGATCAAGTTGTGCTTGTCTGTGCTCCTGCAGATCGAACTGTGCAACACCTACAGCAGCAACACGCCTGGCACATGCTGTGAGCTGGACCCAGAAGTCCGGCCGCGCATGACCGAAGACACTGCAGCATCACCGTCTGGCACAAGCACCCAGCGGCTGTCTCTGCCATCGGGCACAGAGCTGCAGGTCCGCCCCCTCCTTCACTTTACATGCAACAGTGCATGTGTTTTCTTCTTCACATACCTCGCTGCCAGTGTAGCCAGTGCTGCACACCACTCAACACTCTTATGTGGGATGCGCAGGTCACAGTGTCAGACAGGGAGCAGGAAATAATGGGGGCAGCAGGGCTGCTGACCATTGGCGGCAGTGCTGGGGTCGGCCGAGGCACTTTGGAACGGGTGCTACGAGTAGCACCAGGTCATTTCACAGCTTTCTTGATACACAACAAACTTGGTTTCCAGCATGGTGCAATCTGCTGTGTATGAAGCTATCATACTGACGCCCCAACGTGCTTGTGCGTAGTGTCCAAGGGCGCTCAGGCGCTGGCTCTCACGGGGGCCGCTGCGGCTGCGGAGGATGGCGGCAGGCATGCATTCCATGTCAATCTGGACATTGGATCTTTGGAGGTAAATAACCTCGTTCGTACTTCTTGCAGCCACTTATTGAGCTTTAATCATGCAATTTCAGTACATTTGCACGGCTCTGCTTCCTCCATATTTGCTGCAAGATGAGACTGTTTCTAATCCTTCTAAAGATATCTGTGCATGAGTGCAGGTGAGCGTGATGGACCAGAGGCCAGAGGAGCTGATTGCAGCGGCGGTCCTAGGAGTGCGTGTGCAGTATGCAGCCGGGCTCGGCCCCTTGGGCAACTGCAGCAGCCTGCGCTTCTCAGTGGACAGCGTGCAGGTTGATGACCAGATCCCTGGCACCAGGTGCGCCCACCCACACCGAGACTGAGTCCTTGGCAGGACCGCTATCCGCTATCAACCATCTCCTTTCATTGTTGACTGCCTCGCATGCTTCTGCAGAAAATCTGCCGTGCTCAGCGCAGACGCAACCTCTACTCATTCGACCTGATAGTGTCACCTGCTTTAGTGCAATGCGGGCACTGCATGCTGCAGGTTCCCTGTGGTGTTGTGCCCGCTTGGTGGTGAGAGCGGGGCAGATGGGCCCTCTGGCAGCGCAGCGCAGCCCCTTGTCCAGATCACCATCGTGCAGCAGACGGGCGGACCCCGCGGCCAGATCTACTACCCCTACCTCTCCTTCAGAGTATCACGCACCCTCCAGGCGCGCTCCTCTCAAGCAGACATGAGCCACCTCCTGTCGGTTATTTTTCCATGTAGGAGTGGCTGCGATCTGGAACCACTCTCAGAGCCCGCACCAATGCGTTGCTGCACCTTTTTAAAGCAGGTTTGACGGCTCCCAGGAGGCGACTGATGCCCAAGGGCACTTGATTGCATGGATTCTTTGAGCGTGCTGATATTGAGAATGTGCATGGGGCTGCGTTGCAGGTTGCGATAGCAGAGGGTCTTGTCTGGCGCGTAGTGGAGATGGCCCAACGCCTGGACCTGAAGGCTCTGTCTGATGGGTCAGGCGAGAGGCACGTTGCAGCCGCCACAGATACCCCTGTCCAGATCTCCCTGGTCTCTGCGGCTGACCTCTCTGCCGCTGTCAGGTACAGCGGCACTTCCTGTCAGTCTGTTTCTCTATCCTGTGTTGCATGCAAGCAGTGAGCTTAGATGCCAGAGACTGTGGTCGCTTGAGTACAACAGAACAAATACCGTATTTATAAACTGACTAGATGTTATTGGGTTACTGCAGCTTCCGAGGAGACCCCTTCGCGCGCCCCCGGTGGGCTTCGCATATGGGCATGGCATCATGGGCGCTGCAGCTGGCCAACTTTGAGGGCATCCCTGTACGCCTGCGGGGCTTTGAGATGCAGAACATCTCCATGCTCTGGTCTGCCTTCATCGCACAGATCATCCGCCAGATCAAGGTGAGCCTTATCAGCCGCCCCAGACCCGCAGAACCTTTCCACTATTCGCTTGCCTTTTCAGACCAAGCCAGGCATACCAATTCGCTCTTGCCAGTGTGGACAGTCTGGTTGCAGATGTCCTGACATGTACAGTAACAGGATTGCATGAGTGTAGGTGGAATAGGCTCTCCCCACTATTACTAATTTGCCAGAAATAATGTGCAGTGGGCAATACTTTGTCAAGATCTCAAAGAGGTTGCTCTGTCCGCAGGGTCAAGTGGTAGGGGTAGCGCTTAGCTTCCTCTGGAACTTTGGCATCTTCTCAGGAGCCTCGGGTGTCCTGGGTGCACTGTCACGCAGCGTAGCCGCTCTGGGCGCTGATGACAAGTCAGCGAATGAGCGGACAGCTGCGCGCCAGCAGCGCACGATAGGGAATGTTGGCGAGGGGCTTGCAGAGGGAGGCGACGCGCTTGCAAAGGGCTTTGTTCGCGGTTTCACAGGCCTCGTCTCCAAGCCCCTCCAGGGGGCTCGCACTGGCGTGGGAGGTATGCCCTCTCTCCTCTCCTTGCTGTGCAGAGGTCTTCTAATCTTTCCTCTTGTTGTATGAATATCATTGCACCCTTTGCAACCTGTCTGTCACCCCGCTGCTACCGTCAACCATGGCTTGCACCAATTTGTCTTTCTTTACATAATACCAAAAGAGTCCCCTGCAATTGCCCTCCAGATATTTTCAGTCCACTGCAGCTGACAGATCCAGCTGCGCAGGCTTTGTGAAGGGGCTGGGCCAGGGCCTGGTCGGCGTGGCGGCGCAGCCGGTCAGCGGCGCGCTGGACTTCATGTCCTCGGCCTTCGAGGGCATCGACGCCAGCAGCAACACCATCCGAGGAAAGCTCAGCAACCACCCCCGCGCCGTCTTGCGCCGCCGGCTGCCGCGCGCCATCGGCGGCGACCGCAAGCTGCAGCCCTTCGTGCGCGCCGGCACCGACGCCCAGGTGACCCACCCGACAATATCTAGCGGAGTCTCTGGCCCAAACGGTTGTGAATGAAAGTCTCTGGGCGTCATGACGCATCAAACAACATCGCCCCGAAAGCCGTTTGACATCTTAACTCCAGTAGCGGATTTTCAAGGGAATGATGATACTGTATTGTATTCTGTGACACCCGCATCACATCTGTAGCCAAGTGAGTCAGCTTCCTGCGATGCACTGTCTCCACAGCATGCATGCTCAGCCCTGTCTTGTCTGAGCAGGCGCGGATGGAGGAGGTGGGGCAGGCGTTGATGTGGCGCGCTGTGGAGGCGGCCCCGGGGCTGCCCAGGCTTGGCAAGCGCAGGCGGCCCGGCCGGGCAGCGACCGACGCGTATGAGGAGCACATGCTGCTGCTGGACGAGCGCGTGGCGCTGATGACCAATCAGCGACTCATGCTGCTGCACGCCCCCGGCTTCCAGCGAATCCATGAGGCTGCCAAGGAGGGCGTCACCCCCGGGAATGAGGACGACATTCCGGTGGCAGAAATACGCTGGTCTGTCGAGTGGCAGGTATGTCCCTTGTCTGTCAGCTCTTTATCTGGCATGTCACATGTCTTGGGGGCAATTGTTTACAAAAGGGACTTCTGTCGTGTGGTAAGCAACCTTGGAATGCGCTGGAATGCAGGTGCATGCAGGTGCATGCTACTCCCATGCTTGCACCTGCAGCCTTTCTTGCCATCCCTCAAGGGTGAGGACAGCCAAGATGCAGTGTTTGTCTGAAAGCTGCCCCTGTGCACCAGGATTTGCTGGCGCTGGAGCTGAGGCGGACTCACAAGGAGCTGCCTTTCTACGACCGCATCACGGTCCACCGCAAGGGCGTCCCCGGCCACGAGGAGGACGAGCCCCTCGCACATGAGCTGCGCTGCTTCCCCAATGAGTCCCAGGTGCCCCCTCTCGATTTGTACTGAGCCCAACATAATGTTATATAATACCCTAGTCGTTGCAATCATAATGTTCTCCTTGCATACCAGTAGGGACACTGCTAATTGAGGACTTGCATGCTGTGAATGCCTCACGATCATCTCTCTATGAGCAGGCTTGCATGGTTCCCTTATCCATAGTTTGAGTTTCAAGTGAGAAGGGTCGCGCGCGGCAGGCGGAGGAGCTGAGGGACATAGCGCTGAAGGTGCGCGACAAGTACTGCGTGGAGCCGCAGCGCGAGAGTGCCATGTGGGCGCGCAAGCACAAGCCTGACCTGGCCGCGCCTCTGCCGGGCCTGCCTCCCCAGGCCCTGCCCCCAACCATGCCCTCCCTCGACTTCCGCCTGGTCTGGCACACAGGCAAGCCCCGGCTGCACTCTCCACTTCCATGCCTATCATAAATTTTCCCTTAATTGTCAAGAGACAGATGAAGGAGCCACCAGCACTTGGCCTCGTCTTATTACCTCCATCAGGAAGACCTTGTGCCTCATGAAAATCACATAGTTAAAAGGATATGATCCCCTGGCGGGGATCTGCAAGCCCTTTCAGAATGGGCGGAGCTTGTGGCTATGGAATGGACTTTGTCAGTAAAGGTGCAGAAGGAAGACAAATTCCCTGTTTGTGTAGGGCGCATGACTGACAATGGCATCATCAGCGTGTGGCGAGTGGTGGCGCCTCCAGGCTATGGAGCCCTGGGTGACGTGGTCTCTGTCGGCCTGGACCCACCCAATGCGCCTGTGCAGGCAAGCCCTTTTTCCCGTTTTTCCCTTTTTGCATGCAGCAGCTCTTGACATGAACGCTCTCTATTAAAAAAACCCGTAATGATTCCCACCCTTGCCCACAGCCTCCTTTACATTCATGGACAAGCAAAAGGTGTGTTGTGACTTGCGCCACGGATGTTGGAAACCTGAAAGCAGATTTGACAAGCGCTAATCATGTGGATGGTGCAGGTGTATCGCGACGACAGCAGCGAGAAAGGGTCGGGCGAGCGGCCGCGGCTGGCGCACCCCGTGGATTTCCGGCTGGTGTTCCGCATCAACGGCCGCTCTCCGGTCACCATGTGGAAGCCGGTGGCCCCGGAGGGGTATGTTGCGCTGGGGACCATCGTGCAGGGAGCGCCCCTGATGCCCGACACCTCGGAGGTGCTCTGCCTGCGCGCTGACCTGGCCGCCTCCACGCGCTTCTTTGACTCGCCCATCTGGCGCTGGGACCCCCCGGCCCTGCAGGCGAGCCTTCTGCCCTCCAACTCCCCTGTCTATCGCAACATATCACACCCCCATGCCCCACCCTGTGTAATCTGTAGCTTGCATGGTACAGGGGGTTGGGCATGAGATGCCTGCATGCCCTTTCCCATCCCACAACCCTGTCTGCAACAGTGGATTACATGTCCAGATCCCACCCTGTGAAACTTGTAGCTTTGCGTTGTGCGGGTGGGTTGGGCATGTGATGCCTGCATGCTTTTTAGATGTGAAAGATGGGAAGGCAGATGAGCTCCTCTGTCGTATGGTCTGAGAGTACCCACCATTATCTGTGGCATCAGGGGGCCGCAAGACCCTGGCAGTTGCGAGGATGGGATGTCTTGTATTGGTGCTACATCTTCATGTGCAATCCGAAGCAGGTCAGACGCTGTCAGGTTTCTGGTTTCTGAGCTCTTTCCCAACTGGCAATGATGCACTTGCACTCAACTGCTGTGGCACTGATCTCCAAAGAGAACAGCGACTCCAGGCAAACCGCCCACTGGCTGCAGTTGAGGCATGCACCTTCTTTTCCCCTTGTCTTCTGCAGAAGCTGGCTTGCCCTGCAGCTGATCACACTGCTTTGCTTGGTTTGCAGGGTGGTCTCAACCTGCAGCGGATGCACAAGTGGGATCCCCAGACGTGGCACTGCACAGTCTGGCAGGTGGACAACCCTACCGGGACATTCATCGCTCACCATGAGACGAGGCAACCGCCAGACAGCGCAGCACTGACCCTGAGTCTCTGATCGTCCTCGTGGAGATTTCTAAAAGAGCTTTAGTTTTAGTGCTGAATTGTTGCATTCAAATGCATGCCCAAAGTAGGTCAAGTCATGTTTCAGAAGTGAGCGTATCTGCAGAGAGGCGAGACAATCTGCTGCATTTCTGAGGCTCTTGTGGGCTTTATACTTTGCGATGCCATTGTGTGCATATTGTATACAATGCCCATGCATGTGTAGGAGAAGCATTCTGTGATTTTTGTTGCAGATTTGCATGGTCTTTAGAACGCTAGTCACAGTATGTGAGCTCGGCATTTTTCTGATATTTGTAGCAGGCAGAATGCAATTGATATGTAAAAGCCTGGCATTTTAACAAGCCAGGACACCACCCGATGGCCACTGAGTGGCCACACCGTCAGACCTGGCTCCACAAGATCAATCCTTCGGTAGACTACTACAAGAGCTTTGACGGAAAATTTGTTACATGGTCTTGCAGAACTGCACAACATGCCATGTTCAATGTCCGGACACATGAGTTTCTCAGCAAAATATTTACTTTCAGCAAGGAGAGGCAACACTGCCTGTAGGAAGTCGGCGCAATTAGCTAGAGAAAATTGATCAACGTATGTCTCATTGAGTCTAATGTATTTATTGGTACACATCAGCTAGCAATTCTGCCAGCCCTCTTGATACTCGTGCGCCTGGAAGAATTTCAAGGCACATCAAAGAACAGATTCCCTAGGACTCTAGTAGACAGACTTGGACTCATGCTTTCACAGTCTGGACATACACTCCAGGGTATCCAGCATGCTCCTTGAAATGACTGGGCATTGGACTGATCATGAATTGTCTAGGCTGTTGCAACCTTCTCTGCCTCCACCATTGAGGGGGTCTGCTTCATCCGCTTGGCCTGGATGTCCTTCACTGCTGCCTTGATGGCATCCTCTGCGAGCATGCTGCAGTGGAGCTTGACAGGAGGAAGACTGAGGTGCTTGGCGATATCCCTGTTCTTGATGGTCAGGACATCATCAATCGACCTGCCCTTCACCCTGCACACATACAAACGCCGCCCAGGTCAGGAGCAATATCTAGGGACCCATTTCCCAAAATATGTAAAACTAGCACATAGGCCATGTGCAAGGATTTTGACAGAGAAATCCTCTACATCTTCGAGGCAATATCCCAAGCTGTTCTCAAATTGTTCTGGACAAAAGTGGATGCAGCAAATTGCAGCGGAGCTCACCACTCCGTTGCCACACTGCTGGATGCAATCGCTGAGCCACAACCGAATGTCTTGAAGCAGCTATCAATGATGTTGCCGTCCTCGTCCACCTGAGACAGCACACGACACTTCGGTGAGTCCCTGCAAACAGTCATACCACGTCCCTCGACCGCTTTCCTGCAGAAGAACGCCTTTGCGAACATTTATGTGTAGCAGGAGGACGGCATCGCACCTTGATCTGCAGCTTCATCACGTCTCCGCAGGCGGGAGCTCCCACAAGGCCAGTTCCCACAGATGGGTCTGTCTTATCGAAGGAGCCCACGTTCCTGGGCTTCTCATAGTGATCCACAACCTGATACACGACGAGAATATCACTTAAGTTTTATGCACAACAGTATAAGTGATGATAAAGAAGCACGTTGGCCAAACAACACAAAAAGTGACAACTCCTGGCAGCTGCTAAAGGACAGTTCTACAGGGCTGGCGCCCACACTAGCTGCTCAATCAACTACAACATGAGGATATTACGACGCAAAATAAAGAAGTATCCCTCACGTTCTTGTGGTACAATCTTTGGCTAGCAGCTCCTGTTGCTTGCACGGAAGGGCTCACGCTCCTCAGACTCACTGCCGCTTGCTTGGCTAGCTTCATCATGATCACAGCCGCACACTTCTCAAACGGTTTATCTTTTTGATAGCTGTTTTTTGTGCGAGCAAGAAACAGCATCACCAAGGCCAGAACTCCTTGTGGGGCACGTAACCGCTGACTCACTCTTGATATCATGCAAAATTTCAAAACGAGATTCCAAGAAATATTGGAATGGAAAGCAGCTGTTGTACTCAAGATTGAGACGACATTACGCGGATCTAGATCCACATTTCCTAGGCGTGTCGCGATGTAGGACATTGCTGCTTCAAAGTTGTCACCTGGTACGATGGATACCTCTGTCTGGACACGAAGCCAGCGATTGTCACTTCCGATCTTGCGAAGACAAGAAGCATTGTGCAACAATGGATTTATTTGGAATCGTACAAATGCTCGATCGTCCTTCTGTGCTCTCAGAAGAACCAGATCAGCTAGGAACAAAGGACGCATGTCCATCTCTGGCTCAACAGAAGGAATCGGCGAGCCACCTGTTGAGAAATCATCCTCAGACTCAATAGAAGATTTGAAAAGCAGCGTTGCGTCCATTGTTGCCAACCAGCAGCAGAAGTGAGTGCAACCCTCGTGGTTTCTGGTCCCATGATCTCTGATTTTAAGACATTCCTGATAGCACTAAGAAACAATACCGAGTCTCCTCAAACGCCCTTTGTGTCGAGAGGCCCTCTGCCAATGAGAGCTTGACCTGCTGCAGCGTGTTGGACCCTCTCTTTTGGAGGCGCCTGAACCTGGACGAGGCGCTGAGGCAACAGTTGTCGGAGCTTCCAGGCACCAAGAACTTGTCAGATCTCTCTGACAGGGCGTCATCATTGTCAGACATCAGGGTGAGATTTCGAAATTGGTCATGCCATGCTTGACTGAACCTCCTTGATTGCATGGACTGCTCTCCCAAACTCCAGAAAATGTGCATCTGATTCATGTTCTAGCAAGGATCCTCACTGACAGAGAATCTACTGGGTGGTGAAGGCGCGTTTGCGGAAAGGCCTGCTGCCGAGCCCATCAGGAGAGTGGCCTGCGGAGCCCTTCAGGAGCGGCTTCTTGGCAGCTCTGAACAAGATGGAGATGCCGCGCTTCACCCGCCGCTACCCTCAGCTGCTCGATCCCCTGCTCAAACAGATGCTCTCCCTCGTGCATGTACGCTCTCACCCTATTCACCACTCACCCCATTCATTACTCTGGTGCACATCTCCTTTACCTTTCCCGTTTTGTCATGTGCCTCTGCAAGCCATGATGGCTGCTGGCCCACAAATGCGACTAGCTGTGAAGCTGTGAAGAACAATGTAAAAAATCACATCTTTCATTTCGGTGTACCATGTGCAGGATTTTGAAGCAAAGTTGGAAGAGCTCGAGCAGCAGCAGCAGGAACAGCAGCAGCAGGACCAGCAGCAGTCACAGGACCCCATGCAGCAGCAGCAGGCTAGCGATCAATCGCAGGATCAGATGTCCCAGGGCGGCGCAGATGGCCAGCCTGACTGGGAGGTGAGCAGCTCCTCCAATGCACCCCAGTTTGCGTGCAGCATGTGCAACTCAATTACCATCCACACAGTAGAGTGCTGTTGCAAAGCACGGGCACCCAGTGGTGCTATCCAGCCTCGGTAATTGTCCATGGGCATGCCAAGGACAAAGATTCACCACTGCTGGACCCTCTAAATATTCTTGGAGTTTTGGCTTGGAAGCTGGATTAATCCGTTCACCGCGACATCAATTGAGGTTATGAGGGTGCCATGCAGGAGATGACTCAGGAGCAGATGGAGGAGATGATGCAGCAGGGCGGGTCCTCTGGGCAGGAGGGCCAGGAGCTGCAGATCTCCCTGGAACAGAAGGAGGGCGGCTCACAAGGCGACGGGAATGAGATGTGCGTGCCATCACCTGTTCTCGTCGCACAGCATCCAACAACCTGACATGCGGCTGTCGCTTGCTCATCACCTGCCTTTGAATTCAGTAATTTGCGACATGGCAACGGCTTGGACTTGAGCTGGTGTCTAAAAAGGGATTTGTTTGTGAGGTGTGAAGCCTGGAGATGTGCTGGTGGTGCAGGGATGAGGAAGCAAAGGAGAGCATGGAGGAAGCCATCCAGAAGGCGGCGGATGACCTGGTGGAGAAGTTTGAGGAGCAGTGGAAGCCGGCTATGGAAAACTTGCAGGAGGCTGACGCCGCCTTTGACAACCTGGAGGGTGGCTTGCCTTTTTCCTGCCACAGGCCTGTATGATGCCTTAGAAAGCTGACAAGAGCATGCTGCCGACTGTGTGCAAATATAGATCATCTCTCATAGATCTCTCAAAACTTCCCTTAAGAAAGGGCACTCCTGACAACCCCGAGTTCTTTGGCAGATTTGATGGAGGGTCCGGTGGGGTACGACCTGTCGCATGCGCTGTGGAAGAGCGACGGCTGGCGGGAGATGAAGGAGCTGCGGAAGAAGCTGGAGAACCTGAAGGAGCTGCGCGATCTGGTGCGCCAGCTGGGCCGCGCCAGCGGCAAAGGGCCCAAGCGACGCGCGCCGGAAGAGGTGCTGCCCCACCTTCCCGGGCACCTAGAGCCCCATCAGGGGCCATAGCTTGAAATTGAGGCGGTAAGCCATCAGGAGGCAACGAACAAGGGCTGTCTTGCCAGCACATTAAGGCTTGCGATCATATGCACATGAAAGTGTCTTATATTTTTCCACTTGCTTGTGTGGGGCACCGTGATCATGATTCCCTTGCCGCCGCTGTCACCTTGCATTCTTCTTGAACTGGGGCATAAGTAGGCGGAGGCCAAGGGTGTGAGCTTGCATGCATGCGCTCAGATCGAGGCGCGGTCGCAACGGAGGGGCGTGATCCGGTCGTCGCTGCAGCCGGAGGAGACGGCTGGGCTGACGCGGTCCGGCGACCTGTCACGCATGCTGCCCTTCGAGGCGCACCTGCTTGCAGCCGGCTGGCCGCGCGACAGTGGCTCTGACGGTGCGCCCTCTCTCCACTCGCCTCTGTCCAATGTGATTTTTCCCCCTCATCCACCGGTGTGAGGGGATGCGAACCTCTGCCACACTTCCCTTCAACAGAGCTTCAGGCAGTGACCTACCTTATCAAGCGCCTACTGGGGCTTTCCCATGCAGGCTCACCGAGCACCCTGTGAGATGCATCTATATTGACGTGCATGCGCTCAACGCAGAGGCAGCTGAGCAATTGAGAGGGAGGGATAGATCCACTGCCCTTGGCGATGTGCATTGAACTAAAAAGCATTTCACCTGGCGCAGGGGAGCAGAAGGAGGGGTCGCGGGCAGCGCGGCTGCTGCACATGGTGCGGCGCGCGGAGCGGGGCCTGATGAGCTACGACCGGCAGGGCTGGCTGGAGGACGAGCCCTGCCGCCCCACGGGCCCCCTGGAAATCCGCCCTGCCGCGCAGCTGGGCCCCATCATCGTCTGCCTCGACACCTCCGGCTCCATGGCCGGCGCCCGCGAGACCGTCGCCAAGGTGCTCGTCTTCTGCTTCTCTCCCTCCTGCCACCCCTCACCAGCTCTCCACCCCCTACACAAAACTGCTGGACTCTGCTGTTTCAGAGCTGCAATCGGGCATCAGGGCTGTTTCTGGATGATGCTCAGCATAATCAGGGCCTCTGTGACATGCACCTCCCTGGTTGTGGTTAGGAAAGCTCTCATGTTCTCGGCTTTTCACTGTGCAATTATGGGGGGTCCTCAATTGAATGGGTTTGCCATGCTGGCTGTCCCTGGAGTGTTGTTATGCTGTGTTGTCGTATTGGGGAGTACCAACAAATTTCACTTGTGCATTGCGGCACAATAGGCGGTGGCGCTGGAGTGCATGAGGGGCGCGCACCGGCAGCAGCGCGCGTGCCACCTGTACGCCTTCTCGGGCCCCAGCGATGTGAAGGAGCTGGAGCTCAAGGTGGACGCGCCCTCCCTGCTGGAGCTGCTCGCCTTCCTGCAGTACAGCTTCGGCGGCGGCACCGACGTCGACCGGCCCCTCGAGCTCTCGCTGGACCGCCTCGAGCAGAAGGACTGGGCGCAGGTGTGCACTGTTTGCCATTAGTCCCATGTTATTGCCACATGCGCACCTGACTGCTGCCAGCCCCTGGAGGCGGCGCCGGCTAGAGTATTTGTCATCTTTTGAGCCTCAGAGCTGGTTGTTACCAATATGTGGGCTTGTGCAAGATCGTCATCATGCCTACAGGCTCCTCAAGATCCAGCCAAGCAGTATGTCTTAGTCTCGAGACAGCACAAAGATATGCATCGGTGGGTCTTGGACACCTTGATGTCCTGGGGAGGTACACAGTGTACACGGGGTGACGCCTGCCTGCTGGCATGATGCCCAGGCGGACATTGTGATGGTGACAGACGGGGAGATTGCGCCGCCGAGCGACGCGGTGCTGCATCGGCTGGAGAGCGCGAAAGCCGACCTGGGTCTGGAGGTGCACGGCCTGCTGGTGGGCCGCTCTGACAGCAGCCCTGCCATGGACCGAATCTGCACGCACACCCACGTCTTCCAGTCCTGGAATGCCGTGGGCAGTTCCCGCTACGACTACTGACCGGTCCGGCCGATGACCTACTGCCTGCAATGCGCTTGGGATGTGGCAAAATAATCTGGCCGACCAAATGCGGTACATGCGCTGGCAACCAACGCATATAATCAATTAGCAGGGAATCCTGCCGGTGTAAGAACAGCTGTAACAAAACGTAGCTACAGCGTTGGTTTGCGCTGCATGCCTCAGGCTGGTGCTAGGCAAGGAGACGTCAATGGAAGTAATGCCGCAGCGGCTGCGGGCTGCCATCAATGTCTCTGACTTTGCAAGTGAAGCTATCATTGTTACGGTGTGATATGGTAGGTGACGCCATCATCATTGGCAGTGTCACCAAGATTTTGCCAGCAATGGCCTGGGCTACTAGCCTGACCTCTAGGCTAGAGGCCTCACAGGACTATAAGAAAGATTCAATGTCTCATGCGTGCTACGGTGTGGATTGCATTTCATAGGAAACAAAGAGATGATGCAAGATTCTGAAGGCATTTCTTAAATTTGGGATTCGAAATGTGGCTACAGTGCCGCGGCCCACCGCGGTGATCGTATCGGCAGTCTAGTCAGAACTGACTGCCTCTAGCCGGCTAGCCGGGCGGGTATAGCTATCAGTGCATCTACTCCAATGCAAGGCTGTAGCTATTGTCAAGCTGCCCACAAGAAACTCCAAAGCACGTGAATGTGAGGCGTGCATAGGGGTCAATCATGCAGATGCTGGCCAGATTCTGCAGCTGGTGCAGGCACAGTCATTGGCCGTGGGGGCACGCGGCAATGCCGGCATTCGGCCGATTCCCAGGTTCCCGCCAAGGCATACGTGGCCTCCGAGGTCATCTTTTTATTGCGGGGGGTCCCTATAATACGTTATACCCCTTGCAAATGCAGACGTGGCGGCACGAGGTGGGCTTAGGTGAGGGTCCATGCTTACATGAGGGATCAGTCACCACAACACGGAACAACTTTTGGGAGGGCACCTTCGCTCTCTGGCAATCTTCCCCTCTGGCAGCATGTGCAGGCGGCCATAACTTTCGCCCCCATGTTGGCTGCCGTCAGCCCGCCATTTCAGGGCCTGCGTTCACCTGGTTGCGGAATGACGGATGCTTCCTCTGAGCAGCTCAGGCGGAAGACCAAGCAGCAAGTTTGTGAGGCATTCCTGCAGAAACTCAGGGAGAAGAAAAGCATTGACCTGGATGCACCAGGCGTCGTCGAGGGGATCAGGCAGCACTTCCAGACCCTGCCAACGAGATATGCGCTCGATGTGAATATAAACTCTTATGACATTATAAACCATCAGAGGCTGCTCAACTCAGCCCGGGCAGACCCGTCAGCGGTGTCCTTCCAAGTGCGGACAGTGGATGTGTCCCTCTACGGCACCTCGGGGATGACCAACAGGCCCTCATTCGGCGGACTTGATACCTTGCTGAGCGAGGTGCGTGCTGTACTGTGCCCCCGTCCAAAGTAACGCCCAAGATTCCATGCCCGATGCTGAGGCCTCGTCCGGTGTTGCAGGCCGCGTCTGCTCAGGCAGCAGCACGTTCTCTGACGAGGCACAGGAGCCTGCCTCGGCCAGCTTTCGGAAGTTCTCCCAACCTGCAGGTCCGTGCGTTAGGTGTCGATTGCCTTGCTCGGGGAAGGTTTACTGCGGCCGGATCTTGGCACCAGCTGCAGGCTGAAGATGTAACAAGCCAACTGCATGCTTCACAGGCGCTCGTGGTGGAGGCTGAAGAGCGCGACAGGAGTTCAGCAGACGCTACATTCTATGAGATCACGATAGCGTCGGTGGACCAGCCGAGGCTCCTGTGCCGCCTTTCCGAAAGCTTGGTAAGCCTGTTGATCAAAGATCGAGTGCAGGCCAGGAAGCTGGCGTGTGCCTTCTACTTTTGTTGGGGCCTGTTCGGGGATGGGCTCTTTCTCAGTCCTAGTCAGCCGATTTCAAGCAGACTGCGAGCACCTGTCAGAGGCTCATACACCCGGACCAAGACCGATTGATTGCGTCTGCTTCCTCAAGCTTTATATGGCCCTTGATTTTAGCAGACTCTAGGCCTGGCTTGCCAATATTCTGCAGCCTTCGTTGAAATTGGAGGGAAGGTTTTGACTGGCAAGAGTTATGAGCTGGTGTATGCTAGTGTTCCTTCCACAGCCTTGATACACATCGTATGCACCGTTCTCTTCCCATCGCCCCAATCTGATGCCTCCTTTTGGTCAGTATTAGTAAAGGTGAACTGGGCTGATCTGAGGAAACGATCTAGGTCAGAAGCTCCTAGAGATGCTTGTCTTGTAGTCCTAGATGCCTGAAAAATGCACACAAGCTTTTCATGGATTGGCTGATGCTGTTGCTGCATGTGTTTGGGGCTCTGCAGACATGGCTGTCTCTCAGTGTAGGTCTGACGTTTTGGATTCTGCGTGGCAGGGCGACCTGAATTTGAACATATGCGAGGCGCATGCATTCAACACCACAGATCGCTTCTCGCTGGACGTGTTTGTGGTGAACGGCTGGAGCGGAGAGGTGTGCTTCACCAGCTGGAAGCAATCCTGTGGGCCAAAAAATGGCCCCTCTCTCTTTTGTATATTTCACTCAGTGCTTTGAGCTGGCCTGCCTCTGCGCTGTGGACCTTTGCCTTTCCTGAAGGCAAATACGGCTGTAGGGAGTGGATGACTTGGAGGAAGTCCTGAGCGAGAGGTTACAGCAGCTACCCGCTCCCACGAGCCGGCAAGGTTCTGGCAGTGTAGCAAAGCCCCCAGAAGTGCCGCCTGTGGAGATCCCAGATGAGTTGCCGGTGGAGGAGAGGCAAAAGGTGCGCTTGGTCGAAGCTTGATCCGACAGCTGATCACAGCTTGTAGGTGACTTCGAGCAGCTGCTCCTGTCTGGTGCACCCTGGGTGGGCCATCTGTTACAGAGATGCCTGCTCATGGGCTGAGGAGGACGCATTGGCGTGCAGAGCATTGAGGAGCAGAGGGCAACACCTGAGGTGGCGTCCACATCAGAGCCTGATGACTGGGAGCTAGATCCAACGGATATTGTCTTCGAGGAGAAGATTGCTTCTGGCGCGTTTGGGGACCTGTACAAGGGCACCTACTGCGGGCAGGAAGTGGCCATCAAAATCCTGCGCAATGTGCACACAGACAGCCAGCAGTATCAGGAGTTCCTTCAGGTGGGTCTTGCACTCATAATGCATGATTTGCTGTGAAATTAGAGGTCACTTAGCGGCTGACACTCAATTTCCTGCTGCTGGTAGTTATTGGACACGTCAGTTGCAACACCAATGGGGGGTTTCAACGGCAACAAGGGAAATGAATGAACACCAATGATTAGTCGGCCGCTGTATTGATGTGGGCATGTCTGGGCTGGTGCAGGAAGTCGCAATCATGCGGAAAGTGCGGCATAAGAACGTCGTGCAGTTCATCGGCGCGTGCACAAGAAAGCCCAATCTGTGCATCGTTTTTGAGTTCATGTCGGGCGGCAGCATCTATGACTACATGCGGAAGGTGAGCCACAGTCCTCATTAGTGCAATGTTGTCCCCCTGCAATTGACCTTTTGCACTCTGTACTGAGGAGCATGGACTTGAAGATTGCCTTCATGTGTGGGATACAGTGCATATGCATGTGTGACATGAGACTGAGATTCCGTCCTCATGCATTGTTGTGTGGTCCATGCGCAAAGGGCTGCATGCTGATTGAGGGTGATGCTGTTGCAGGCGGGGCAGCTGAAGCTGTCGCTGGTGCTGAAGATCGGCACAGAGGTGTGCCGGGGGATGGACTACCTGCACAAGCGCAAGATCGTGCACCGCGACCTCAAAGCGGCCAACCTGCTCATGGACGAGACGGGCACCGTCAAGATCGCCGACTTTGGCGTCGCGCGTGTCATCAACACAACCGGTGTCATGACCGCCGAGACCGGTACCTACCGGTGCGCCTTTTGCCACCTGCACTCGCACCGCAGTACTTATCTATCCGTGAGAGCTTGCAGTACACAACTCACCCCTGTGCATTGCTGCATGAGCAACTGTGTCATATCACGCCTGCATGCACAGCCCTGCATGGTGTGTGTGGGAGAAATCCAGTTGCTGGAGAAAGGGATGCACATGGGGTTTGGAGTGTGCGTGCTGAGGGAGTCTGGGCTGGCGCTTGCAGGTGGATGGCGCCTGAGGTGATAGAGCACAACCCGTACCGGGAGAAGGCGGACGTCTTCAGCTACGCGATCACGATGTGGGAGCTGCTGACGGGGCGCGTGCCGTACGAGGAGATGACGCCCCTTCAGGCCGCGGTGGGCGTCGTGCAGAAGGGCCTGCGCCCCGTCATCCCGCCTAACTGCCCCGAGGGCCTCGCCTCTGTCATGCGCGACTGCTGGCAGCGCGACTCCAAGCAGCGGCCCTCCTTCGAGCTTCTCAAGGTCCGCCTCTCCTGACTTCGTAGCCGCTAGCCAGCGCCGTAACATTTGCAGAGTCAAATAGTGACCCCTGCCGTGCATTACATATTCGTGCACATGGCATCATCAAATGCGCAGCTGGTGTTGTAAAGTTTGCTGCTCTGGTGAGAGACTTAAGGTTGCAAAGCCACGAGTAAGGCTCAGATGCTGGGGTGGTGCGTGCAGGTGCGGATGGAGGAGTTGTGGCGGGCGACGCGGCAGCAGGAGGAGAAAAGAGCCGCGACGCCGGGGCTGCTCTCCAAGCTGCGCAAGAACATGGGCAGCGGCAGCAGCAGCAGCAGTCGGTGAGCGAGTGCGGCAGGCAGGGAGTGTGAGAGCGTCGGTGCACAGCTGACAGGCAACAGAGACTGCGCGATGAGATTGACAGTGTGATTTTGGCGGTCACAGGGACTGGCAACTTGAGAGTATCCCAGTGCCAAGCCAGTCAGTTGGTCAGCCGGTCAGCCCTAGCAGGGGCAGAAAGCGGTCAAGACAATTAGCTCATGGCCTGCCGCCACATGTGCGGCAGCCTGACTTGTGGTGGAAGGGCATGAGTGTGCGGCTGGGGCAAGCTGCTGTTAACCAGCAGTGACCCCGTGTGTATATTCCTTGTGACTCCTGAGCGCGCGTGCGGCAAAACATTTGAGAGACCCTGGCATCCTGGGAATTTTGCAAACAATCTTCGATGGCCGGCAAGGAGTGGTGACCAGAGTCCCATCCCGAGCCCGAGGCACTTGTGAACAGATGACAGTGCGCGTCCTTCATCATGCCTTGAGGGAACTGTCAGTCTGAAAGGGTATCCTTTCGCCGGCAGAGGGCGGGGAGTGCATGCAGCCTCCGGTGAGCATGTCTTGTGAGGCATGTGTCAAGATCCTGAAGAGTCGATATGTCCCGCATTCTGGCACTGCAGCAGTGTTCCTTTTTCTTCCTTTGAGGAGTCCTCTTTCAGCGGTAGTAGTCCCCGCCCGGCCACGTTCGTAGCGCACACTTGCGACACGTGCTGAGACAGGTCCGTTGCAGGGCTTGTGGCTCGTTTGTCTTTCTGTGCCCACCTTGCGGGGTTTGTCAAGTGAGGCGTGAATGTTGCAGCTTGTAGGGAAGGGTGGGCGCTTGTGCAGCATCATATCAACTGGTGCCTGCTTCATGCTGCCCTGAAACCTGGACCTCCTGCGCTGGGTTTGCGAGCCCTGTCTGAGCGGCGGCCTGTAGGTAGCTGCGCTCTGCCAGGGGCAAGAGCTGCCGTCTCATTTTGTTGGCATTTGGAAACAGCAGGCAGCTCCCACGAGACTTAGATGTCAGTAGAAAACTCGAGAGATGCATTACATTTGCATGGCGGGATTGAGGCCTCGTAGGAAGGAGGAAGGCTGGTGCTGGGCCCAGTTAGGATCAACTGCATTTCATTGTGACGGTGAGAGATGGAACTGGTCAGTCGCTGAACCTAAAGAGAGCACCTCATAAATTATGCTGGGTGCATTGGTGCCTCCAGCCTCGTAGGTATGCCATTGCTGTATGATCCTTGTCATGTTCAGAACGTTTGCATATATGATGCAAGTTTCTGGTTGCCAAGCCATATGGTATCCGAGGGCCTGATAGATAGCAGATATGTAGCGCGGCCAAATGAACGAGGATACAATTTGTGTCATATACTGTGCAGCATGATGCCTTCAACTTGGCTCTGCCAGTACTTTGCATTTGAGCGACATAATCCTTTTCGTAATTTTACGGGTGAAGTAGCCTTTCTTCTGCTTTTGACTGATCAGCGCTGATCATGATGTGTGGACCCAATCTTGATTACACAGTGTGCTTTTGCTACTAGTTTTGGACCGCCCACTGTGCAAATCGAGGAATGTGGCCTGTTTGAGCGCATGTGAGCTGTAACAAGTTTGCTAATGGCAGCACAGTGGTACCACTTGCGCACTGCTAAACAATCATCCTGCTTACGTCCTAGTATCTGCCAAGCTAAACAGAAAGGAGTCCTCCACAGCCAAAAAAGACGAATTGATCAGTCTAAAGTTAGGACTCCTACTATATGGTGTTCCATCTAGGTAGGTGCTACCCGCAATGGTCTGTCAACACGGACAAATTGATTCCCAAGAACAGCCTGAGCTCAGGCAACACAGTTGGGCCCTCATAGTCCCACGTAGTATGAACGTCCATTTGAGTTGTGGATGTGCGTGATGGCAGTGGGGGATGTGAGGGCCCACTCGTACCACACCTGGGGGAGCAGCAAGAACAGCACACAGTGAGACAAACACCCTCAGATCTATCTGAAATACTGCAGTCACAGACATGCATTAGGAACAACAAGCGAGACAAAGAAAATGAGCATCTCAGCGTAGCGAGTGTTCCTGAGCATGGGCGTGCAATCCACACCCACCTTGTGATGTGCCCCGCAGCGCCAGAGGTGGGCTTCGATGGGGACGTCGGCAGGCAGGGAAACAGGCTCCTTCAAGGGGAAGTAGATGGGGAACCAGGAGTACATGTCAGGCGTATGCGTGGGAGGGTGGATGCTCAGGTGCACCGACCCATACCTGCACCAAGCACCCATGCAAAGCATCAGCTTCTGACAGCCGGCACGGAGGCAGCATCATAACCCACACACCGATCCAAAAGACAAGTCATGCCAAAAGTGCTGACCCATAAAAAACAAAATTCAAGAGCACAGGACAGCAACCGCTTTTATGTGAGTTTGTCCCTGCATGCTGCTCGCCTGAAAACATATTCTTCTAAGATAGCATTGCGCCCACAAAGACAGTTGGCGGATGATGATGGCTTGTCTATATCCCATTGTGAAAAAGGAAATCAATGGGTGCAAGGGGCGCTCACAGGCAGGCGTCAAAGTAGCCGGCAAAGCCGTGGCAGACGGCGGCGAGGCGGCCGGTGCGGTCGAAGCGCAGGCACGCTGCGCGGGCATTGTCGATGGCGGCCTCGCGGTTGGGGTGGCGGAAGGTGAACACTGGCTGCGTGTCGGCCAGCGCCGTGAAGCGGTGCAGCTTGACCACGTACGGCGTCTCAAAGTGCTCCAGATCGTTGTAAACCTGGCGGCAGCGGGTTTGGTCAGCCGCTTATGGGGGCCAAGCCTCACTCACACGCGGGTTAAAATCTAATGGGGCCTACTGTGTGCTACTTACTCTAATGCTGCTGCCACTTGCCACTGTAGCGAGTGGCAGGGCTCACTACTGCCACTCGCTACAGTGGCAGTAGTGACTATGTGCAAGGGGAGGCAGTGCGCCATGTGCATGCACCTCAGAGCTAGGCAGGCACAGCTATGTTTGCCGAATGCTGATTTTGACCAACGATTGCCGTAGCACTCAACAAAGCTGTGCCTCGAAAGCAGAGGTGTTACAAAAGGGGGAGGGGAGCGTGCCTTGACATCGTTCCAGAGCTTGGCGGTGGTGATGGGCTGCAGGTAGGAGGTGTAGGAGGCCGGGATGGAGATGCCGTCCGGCTTGAGGCAGGCCTGAGCGCCGTCCAGGCACTCGGGCGACAGCTCATTGTCCCCAAAGCTGCCCAGCAGCTCGCTCACCACAATGTCTGCCAGCTCTGGCGCCTGCCACCTCCTCATGTCCGCGGGCACCAGCGTCACCCGGTCACCCCACCTGCAAAGCACAGCATGCATACTTCACATTGATTGCGAATCGTGGAGAGTCTCCTGGCCCCAGCAGACCCTCCCACACCGCTGCAGCATGCGCCAGGAGGTGCATCATTTCCACAAATCCACAGCTTGCAAGCACATTCCCCATGAGCTGAAGGGGAAGGGAGCCAAAAAAAGTGAGTCAATCACGTAGCTTGGCATTGCTGGACCTTCTGCTGCTCCAAAGCAGAGTGCGATACTGTCTTCTGGATTGTTATTCCCTCTCTGGCATCCAATTCCTTTGCAGAGCATGGTCCATCGGCACTTCAAGCAAATGAGGAGAGATTTTGTTGTTGTGCTCACCCCTCGGTGGCGATGAGGTTCTGCAGGCTGATGATGGCGTTGGGGTTCTTCTCCACAGCATAGATGCGCAGCTTGCGCTTTGCACGCTCCGCCGCTGACAGGGACGCCCTCACCAGCGGACCACGCCCCGCGCCCACCACCTGAGCCGACAAAAGCAGGCTACCTTGACATTTGACATACATATTTCATTGCCAATTGGAAAATACTGTGAAACCGCACAAAGAGTCACAGGGTCGGTGACCAGAAAACGTTTGACACTAAGAAGATGTGATCATAAGGGGTGTGGCTGCAAAGAGGTTTCACTGTATGCAACTCTTGCCTGGCACCCCTACACACTTCTGACATGCTTTGCGCCACCGGCATGAATGTGCAATACCTAGCCGGGCGGCTCTGGACCACACAATGTAATGCAACGGCTGTGAAAGGGAATTGGGACACAACATACCATGAGGACAATATCGCGAGTGGCAGCCTCCTCTTCGGGCACGCGGTCCAGAAGAGCCTCCAGCACTGCCGCCTCGTACTGAGTGTACTTCATCAGATCCTTCTCAAAGGTCTCGTACGTCTGCATCTCCAAATTATCCTGCAGCGGCTGCAGCGGCGCCTGCAGTTCCCCCACACTCAGAAGCTCAACCTCCCCAGTTCGTAGATCTTTGTGTATAGTTTCACAGGATATTCCTGGCGCTCCCAACAGATGAGCAGCTCTGCATGAATCTTTACACAGGCAGCCAATCAGATGTCCCACAAGAAAAAATACATTTTACAGACTACCTCACTTTGTGCAAACATGATGATGGGCTCCTGATAAGGGGCTGCCCTCCATGAAAGATACAAGGTGGGGGGTATGTGCTTTGTTCTACCCTTCCTGAAAGAAACAAAGTGGGGGATACGTGCTTCCATGCAAGCAAAATACTCAAGTCCAGAGGATTACAAATTAGTTGGAGTCAGGGAAGTGGGCAGGTCACCTGCAGGTAGTCTCTGTACCCCACTTCCAGCTGCTCCTGCCCGTCTGGCATGGGCGGCTTTCTGAACAGGTACGACAGGTACTCGCAGTAGACACGCAGCGGGTGCACGGCAGCCGCCGCAGCCTCGGAGGCCGCCGACTCCGCTGCCGCCTGGCTCGGCTCAGGTGGCGTATCTTCTTGCTTGGCAGCAGGCGGCCCGGATGGCTTGCTCTCCTCGTGGCCCTCAGTGGACGTGAAGGCTACTGGCACCTCTGACTCGCCGGTGAGAACAACCTGTAGCAATGAATAAAAATTCCATCAGTGAGGGTCTCATTGGTGTTGATACTAGCATCTGATCCCAAGCAGATGCTGCAGGCCTGCCACAGCAGACATGAAATCCATGGGCTATATGAGCAATGCACTTCCCTGCATCCCACCAAGCTTTTACACTGTGCACAACTTCAGAGTACTGGCAAGAAGAGTGTCGATGCGCTGCGCGACGGCAGCTAGGTTGTGCTTACCTGGACGCCGTGGGCGAAGAAGGTGAGCAGCATCTCCTGGTGGGCCTTGGTGAGGGTGGGGTAGCCGCGCTTGTTGTTCAGAAACACTGATGTGGGCAGCATGAGCGCCTTAACAGGCTCGCCGTACCACCTCACAATCTCCTCCTTGGGCGGCAGCACAGCAGGAACGTCCAGCACGACACCAAGCTTAGCATTGTGCCATGTCAGGCACCTGACCTGGTTCCAGCGCTCCCATGAGTCATCCTCCTCCACGCCTGCGTGGCATTCATACAACCCTGTGGCTACATGTCATTCTGGAAGTACACGCGATCCGCAAAGCAGTCATGTCATTAAGTAGAGGGGACTCACAATGAACGGGAATGTTGCCAAGTTTCCTAGGTGCCCTGCCAAATGAACTTTTACCGAAGCATTCACTTTGGAGTTCATTTGGGAGGACTGGACAGGGGCGTTGTCAAGACCAGCACTATCTGATGCTTGTTGTCTTGAACGTGTAACAAGGGTGGTGATCAAGTGCTAACCTGAGGATGGCGCTGTTGATGCCTTGCTGTGCGCCTCTACAGCAGTGCTCGGGAGGTCTGCAGATTTCCCGGACATGAGCGGTATGCGCAGCCACATTGCCATTCCGCTCAGGCCGTGCATGACCTGCGGGCACATGATGAGACAGAAACGCTACAAGCGCAGTGATACAGAACTAAGAGTGTCTTCAACTGTAGAAGGTATGTAGGCAGGCGCATGCCTGGTTGACAACATGTGCAAAGTCGGCGCTGGAGGGCGAGGGGGGCAGATGCAGTATGCAGGCTTGCAGGGAGAGGTGCGTGGCCCACTCCAGCTCCTGCCTCAGCGCTGCCTGGCTGTCCATGCGCAGAGCCTCATCGGCTGCATCTGGCTGTATCCAAGGGCTGACCTTCCCCACAATCTGCAAGACCGACAGCTGTGTGATGTGCATGCTACGGGAGATACGTAATTGGGCCTATTTGCTATGCTTCAGTCCAGATTGCATTATGACAACATGATGAGCCCTCATAAAAGGTGAGGTGATGATTGACTTGGCGGCAGGTGGTGCCTCACCTGACTGCCATACTGGGCAGACACCAGCAGCAGGTCTGGCCACTTGTATGGCATTGCGAGCTGGCCAGGTGTATGTGGTGGTCTTTGAAATGCTGGATCGACCAGTGGCACCGTAATGAAGTCAAACCCGCATTCCAAGTGGCTCTGGACAAAGGCAGATCAGTTTCAGATCGCTGGTTGAAATTGTAAAGGACGATGGCCGCAACCATACACAAAGATATGAACGCATAGCCAGCATGTAAGTGGCCCATGAATAAGAGCTACATGTACGTTTTGGTGATAAAGAGTGGCTGCAAGCCATCGGGAGTTCTACTTACTTGTAAAGATCCGACGACATTGGATGTGAACTGAATGTCCACGCCCGAATACTTTGCATCACCACAATCCGTTCTTTTCCCCAGAGGCATGGTGCGTCTTTCCTCGACTCTTCAGCAAGCTCTTGAAGATGTGGATACTAAAAACTATAGATTACCTGCGAAAACACCTTTGTTCGATGCAAGAATTGAAACAAATAGATTGAGAGATAATCTATAAGAGCAGGTGTCTGTGAAATAGAATGCGCATGATCTTGCCATTCCCGGCAGCCGCTGTGGAGGGGCTGATGAAGAATGAGTCACCATGCCTGCCTGTGATTGGCCTCTCATGGAAGAGAACTTTCCCTCGATATATACTTAACAGCGAAGCTATCAAAGCGCTAAACTTTTATATTTTATCTTGATACTTTGTTTGTCATAAGGGGACATCAACAACGTATGCTGCGCCGAAAGGTTACCCGCATTGAACTGAAACCGGAGGACAAGGAAGAGGTGAAGACCAATCATATCGCCCTGATGAGCAATCTGATGCCCCTGAGATACTTGCTAATGTCCTGTGTCTGTCTATATGGAAATTTGACATGGCACACGTGGAGCCATGGCATCTGATGTAGTTGTTGCGTGCCGTACACATAACATGGCAGAGACTGAAGTGCTATGGCCTTGCAGTACGAATCCTTGAAGAAAGCCAAGGCTGACGCTGTCATCGCGCAACAGGCTGCCTCAGGGAAGCAGCCCTTGGATCCTTTGGGACAGGTATTTCTGGTCCTACAGTGGTGGATACAGATGAAATTTATTTGCCAAAATCTATGATTGTTCGCACATTGCTTGTTGTACCACCAAGACGTGGTTTGTGCACAGGCTGACCGGAAGGGGACAACAGCTGCTCGCATAGGTTTCACTCGCTGATGGAGGTGAGTCAGCTACCGCATTAATTTAGCGTAGCTTTCGGTGTCAGATAATTTTTATTGATGCACTGGGTAGCGATAATGATTAGAAAGTAAAGGTGCGCCCATCTCATGCAGGGATAGTCATTACAGAATGAGCACAAGCTGCCACCTGCGGCCCTTCTCTAGCCCTGCACGCTGCATGGCTATTCTTGCTTCCTCGTACAAGGCCCTAAGCCATGGAACACAGAGTATCCCAAATGCCAGCTCTGGGGGTTTTTGTGGCAGGCCGCAAGCCTGCCAGAGGCACAGGCTTCATGCCAAAAGAGCCATGCATGCCCTGCAGATTGTCGCGCAGACAGGGACCGAGGTGATCAGTCAGCCAGCACCACCTTCAGTCAGCGATGGAGATATGCTTTTGCTTGTGTAAATCAGGATTTTCCCCAGTACCACCTCAGATCCGCATGCATACCATCATGATGATGATTGCTGGTGGGACATGCCCCCGCATGTGTACTCACCCTGAACTTGTCAGTCCCTCTGGTCTTGCCCCTGTTCAGGATAGAGACTCTGCTGCCGTCAGGTCGCCTCTACTGCGTTAACAAGGCATTTACCAGTAGGTAGAAGAAGCGGGGAATGAAAGCAGACGGCTCATGCATGCATGTGGGCGCAGGTGGAGATCAAGCTGCGGCTGCCCAACAAGGAGGCCCACGACAGGGTGGCGCACGAGCTGCGCTCGGGCTTCCGCGAGACGCACCACCAGGAGAACTACTTCTTTGACGGCAAGAACGGCGAGCTGGGCAAGCAGCGCCAGGTGCTGCGCTGCCGCTTCTACAACCATGACAAGCGTGCCATCGTCACCCTCAAGGTACTTCTATTCCTTACAAAATAGAATTTCTGGGGTTTTGTATATTCATAAGTTGGATGTTCATTTCTTTATCACTTGCTTGTCCTTCCTGTGGCAGCGCTGCGTTGTCCTGCTACCGCTGAGCCCCTGCTGTACATCACCTGGCAGAGCTTTCCATGAGGCTGTGTTCAATACACTTGTTGTTCCCCGTGATCCAACAGGCTTCTGGCATATCAGGGAGGTGTGCCACGGTCGTGTTTGCTTACAAGAGACAACAAGTGCACCTCTGTCATGCTTGCTGGGGTATGATACCTGTTCCCCCAGCAGCACTGATCAGTATACATGTGTGGCAGGGAGGGCAGGTGATCACAGACGGTGTGGGCCGCGGGTCTGAGGTGGAAGATGATGTGGAGCCTGTGGCTGCGCGTGACTTCCTGACTGATCCCACCAAGCTGCTGTCTGTGGGCCTGCCTTTTGTGGAGGACCTGCGCACGTAAGCACCCTGCCACAACATTTCTGCTGCCCAGTTTTCTGCTGTAGCCTTATATCACCTCAATCCAGGGAAGTTCTCGTGTAAATCTAGCTTGCAGAGGATTGTGCAATGGACACTGTATGCATGAAAGGCACTGCTGGCTATCTTCTGGAAATGCAGGGAGCCTATTGCCTAGCATACCAATATGGTGCCTGGTTTTGCAGGAAGCAGAATGTGACCGAGTTGGTGAGCTTGGGGGGCTTCAAGAATGTGCGGAGCGATTTTGACTTTGAGGGTGTCAAGCTTGAGCTGGACGAGACCCAGTTCGACTGGGGCACTGTGTATGAGATCGAAGTGGAGACGGTGAGTGTACCAACCTTTTCATTTCCCTGCCGGGTGCAAAGATCATGGAAGACTCATCTCTTGTGATTACTGATTTTTCCCGATGTGTTGTGGATGTGCATGCAGCCGGAGCCAGAGAAGCTCAAGCCAAAGCTGGAGCTATTGCTGAAGAGCAGGGACATCCCATATGCCTACAACACAACAACAAAGTTTGCCAATTTTGTCAACCGCACTTTGAAGTGACATGGACATCTTTGCCCTGCCATTGAAAGGCAGGCGCATACTCTCTGCGAGGCCTTGAAGACTCCAATTGTGAGTGGTGCTCTCAGATTTGCAAGCAGCGTGACTGTTGATATACATGAAAATAAACAGTTGTGATTGCTCACAGTATCAGTCTCCATATGTGTCTCATGATCATCTACTGTATAAAAATTGGCCATACTACAGTAACGTTGAATTACACCTTTCTTCTCTGATAAAACACCAACACCCTGGTCAACATGGTGTCAACTGACAGATCACAACAACTCTGCATCAAACAGCAAGCTATGAAATATACCCCGTTGCGCATCCCCTGCTCAAGTTCCATAGCGATGCCTATACAATGGTGGTGGGAATGTCTTTGTGATCTCTGCCCAAGCCTTCTCCACCTGAGCAAGAAGAATGTCCCATCTTCAATCCAGCATGTTTAAAACCCATGCAGACCTCCCTGCTGTTGACACAACTTGCTGACCGACCAATGCCGAAGCCTTCTGCATTATCATTACCAAAAGTCCCGTGCCTGTGACTGGTGGAGAGAATGCAAGGAACCGAGAAGAAACAGCACAGTGTGTTGCTTGACGTACCTGGTCCTGAGGAAACATGTAATATTAAAATAAGTCCCGAGTCAATGACTCCCTGCAGCACTACAGATAAGGAGTAAGGATAGTTACCAGCAAAGCGGCATCAGTGGAGGTGTAGGTGCAGAGGAGGCAGGGGCTCTCCAGGGGAAGCACTCGGAAGTTGGCCCCGGCCGAGCGCGCGGCGTCCGGCTGCGGCAGCCGGCTGCGCCGCCGCCGTTTGGCCGCCCCCGCCACCGACGGCGCCTCAAAGTCAACGTGGCAGAGACTGGACGTCGTGTGCAACACTGCCGACTTCACCTGCACCCACAGTTATGCGTCAAGGAAGGATTGGGTCGTTAGCCCAGGAGATCAGAGTGCCGCTCCACTTTACGTCTTGGATCAGGCCCTCGCTGGAGTGCAAGATGGTGTCTTTGCAGGACAGATGTGCCCCTCGTAGTAAATATTGATGATTGCTCAGAAGCTCGTAGTCCCAACTCCCCTTGTGGACATCAATAGTCACCTCGGCTGAGGAAGCCCTCAAGAGTTTTGAGAAGACATCCACAAAAACGGTGACCAGAGACATCACGCAAGGGGACTGGATTATACGCAGCTGCAGTCATCACAAATGCACGCAAGCCTAATGATAAGTAATAAATGAAGGTGTCACCTTGGAGTCAGGGCAGAAGGAGATGCCACAGACAGAACCGGGCATCTGCAGCAGACGCTGCGGCGGCCGCGCTGTGTTGGCGAGAGACCAGGGCGTGTGGCGCAGCGTGGCGGCCTCAAACAGGGCCACATGGTTGCCAGCTGTTGCCAGCGCTATCACATCCCCTGCCGGCCCAAACGCCGCCGCTGTCACTGCCCCTCCCTCCTGTTTGATCACCAAGGGCAGCGCTCTCAGCATCGAAACTCTGTGTGTCCTCCTTGCTAGAAAAGATTGCTCTACAAATTCTAGTGCAGTGAATCAAGCAGCCAGTACTGTCAAATCTGGAGAGAAGCAAGTGCTGGACCTCAAAGACGGGTAGGCGGCCCTGGTACTTCATGGCAGCAAGGTCGTAGAGATGGGTCAGGCTAGGGGTGACTAAGGCTGCCCATCGACTGTCTGGGCTGACCAGCAGCTGAGTCACCAGTGTGGCTAGCCTGGCAGCTGCTGACCGCCCTGAGGCCCCTGCACCCCCCGAGCCCCACGCTGCTGCATCTTCCTGCTGGGCGGCCTCCGGAAATGTTGCAATCACCTGTGCATGGCATTGCCTGTTTAACAATGCCCGACAAGATACATTCGCAGACCAGTACAGCGGCTAAGAAGAGGAGATAAGAGCAATCAGAGTGCTATTCTGTCAAGCCACCTTCCAAGATTGCTAATGTGTCCTGCAGGAACAGAGCGGAATGGTCGTCACTATAAGCAGACATCTTGCAAAAGTGCTCGATTTGGTGTATGCCTACCTCTTTATCATCCAGGTCGATGACAACGACCCTGGCCTCTGGGGTGGCGATGAGCAGCCTGGAACCATCAGCGCTGAAGGCCAGGGCAGCTGCGGCCGGCAGCTTGTCAGGCAGGCTCTGCCTCGACAGCACCACTGCCTCAGATTCCTGCCAAACCAAAAGATTGACATCAGTGGAGTGTCAAAATCTTCCCCACTCCACAGGGGGACCCATTGCAGCATGTTGACATCCCCCAAGTGCCTCTATAAGAATACATACTGGTAATCCAGTAGGGGAGCCTGCAAGAAGGCTAAACTTTGGAACTGCTGCCAATGAAGAAATGGACACAGACATGAACACTCAGCTGAATGGGGGCTTACTGGGGAGGAGGAGAGCCTGAAGAGGCGCAGAGATCCAGGGCCGGCCTCGCAGAAGGCGAGGGCATTGCCGTTCGGTGACAGGGCGGCGGCTGCGACGTGGCCGGGCCCCTTTGCTGCGATCCTGGCCAGGTGACGCGGCTCCTGGCCAACATCCACCGGCGCTCCCTCCGCCCATGCCCACCCACTCAAGCTCGCAGCCTGCACATATATCTAATACACCCTGAGAACCCCAGCGCTGCAGCATCAAGCAGCACAGTCGGGCATTGACCTCACTTTCTGCACCCTGTGCATCACATCAATCTGTACAAGGGCATGAGCCGTGACGCTGTCGATGGCGCAGGCTAAGGTGGGGATCAGACATGATCACACATGATCCACTAGGACAAAACATGTCAATGCTGGCCATGCCGGTATCAAAATAAGCGCACATGTTGCTGCCTGTTGTGGGCCGTTCCGAGGCGCCAGAGATCAATTTTCGTCCCCTGAGAGCTCAGCAGCAGAGGCCGAGCCGCTGCGGAGGCATGCGCCAGCAGCGGCGGCTGCGGGCACTTGCACACGCGCACCGGATGCTCCTGCAGAAGCACATAAAAATCTCAGGGCTTGTTGCCTTGAAACAGGAGTACAGCTTTGTTGCGGAGACATCCTATGCTGTCCTGCTGGCTTCACTGCAGGTGAACACCTCTCCAATGGCAGCCATGACTGGGGGTGCTGTCTGTGAACACACACGTCCAGAAAAAGACGACAATGACGAATTTTAATGCTCCCTGAGGCGATTCAAACGGCCCTCCCTATCTGATTGCAGGCGTAAGATAAAGTGTGGCGCACCTGAGAGAAGCGCGGCGCGGAGTGCACGAGGATCTGGGCGTCGTTGCCGGCGCTGACGAGGACGGGGTCGCCGCCAGGAATGGTTGCCACAGTGAGCGTGCGCACATCATGGCTGTGCGGCCGCTTGGATTCTGTGTACACCCACCGTTCCGGCTTGCCTGCATCGGACAGTAATATGAGATGACGGCATTGCAAGCTGCAGCCATGAGTATGGACGCCGGCAAAAGTGCGCCTTCAAGAATTTCAGCAGCATGCCTCTTCATGATATGGCGCCACAAAGGTACTCCGCCATGTTCCCAGGGAACTTTGCCAGAGACATGGTGCCCCTCCAGAATCTCCTTGGCAATCAAATCATCCGCGGAATCTCAAACAGCCCACATCGGGAGTGCTTCTGTTAGACTCTTCACTCCTACTGCTGGCTTTTCAAGATTCAGCTGATGGGATGAAGGCCAGTGACCTTTTGGGAAAGGGCACTAACACTGTACAACACTTCTTTTGATGTCATGGCAGAGACAAGACCATGCATGCAGCATGCGCATCCACCAAACATACTGCACATGCTGAATTTGTGCTAAGACCAGGTAGAAAAGTGTAGAATGCGGCATCAGGGCGCACCCTTCTGGCCGGTCACGAGCTTGAAGGCGGCCAGCTGGTTGTCCACGCCGGCAGCAAACACAGCGTTCCCTTCTGGAGCAGCCGCCAGCGCCAGCACATCGGCCGCGTGTCTGTGGAAGCTGGCCAGCCTCGTGCCTAATCTGGCGTCCCAAAACTGCACGCCCCCCGCCGCATCCCCGCTCACCATCGTCCCGTCTGGCAGCACCAGCGCTGCCCACACGCATTGCTCCTTGCCGCCGCCATCCCCTGCAGGTTGCAAACATTATATTCTTGCCGTGGACATGATCTCGCCATGATCACCCAAATCTGTGGCCGGGCCCTCGAAGTCTGCGGTTGACTACTGTACTGGCTGACCTCCCAAAATCCTATTACAATCCAAATCAAGTATCGTCCCAGCGGCTCAGATGCTCGTCGCACTCTGTAGCCCATGGCACAGGCGAGAACACAACAATGCAAGGTGTTGAGGGACAAGAGATTGGGGCCGTCTCAGCGGAAAGGAAAGCCAAAAAGGCAGAGGACACGCACCAACATTGATGCGCATGAGCTCGCGGTTGGAGGCTAGGTCCCATGCATGCATGGTGCCGGCAGCGGTGCCCACGACCACGGAGCGGCCGCTGGGGTGCCACGCCACAGACAGCAGCCGGCTGCCCAGGGCCGGCATGGAACGGGCGTATGTGAGCCCCGGCGATAGCCCCTCTGCTGCAAAGATGCGCAACACGCCGTCGTCGCACGCCACTGCCATCCTCGGCGCCTCCCCTGGTTTGGCAATTAAAGCACACCCGTCAGAGGCCTTCAAGTGGGCATTCCAATGACACGCACTGTATTCTTTTGTCATATCCACGGAATTCCCAATCCTGAAACAGCGTCTCACATTGCCTATGGGAGTATTTGTCTCATATGGAGTACCAGGAGACTCTGCAGGATTGGGGGTTCCCAAGGGCCATACATGCACAATTTAGGATGCTGGCAGCAGGGCCACTGACGCTTGAAACACCACAACCGAAAATGATGAACAGGTAAGAGAGGGCAAGCCAGCAACTACCTTCTTTCAGCTGGCCCCTGGGCTCTGCGGCCATGGCCCATATGGCGCCCCCAAAGGAGTCCCCCACATGAATTGGCCGCCGGGTCCGCACATTCCACTCTGTCAGTGCGCCGTCCAGGCCGCCTGTGAACAGCCGCTCACTGCCATCCACTGGATCTTGAGCCCACGCCATGCAGCTCAGGCTCGCCTCTTCTTTGCCAGGCAGCCTCTGGAGGACACACCATCAGCCCCTTTAATATTGTTATACGTTTTCTAATTCCTAGGCATCGAGGATCTAGGTACGTCCAGCTACATGTGCATCAGATTTCTCCATTCTGTGTGTCATGGCACTTTCTCCACCAATGCAATGACAATCAGCCCTTTAGATCCCAGTAAGTCAGGCATTGCACGAAGAGCCCAGATTGCCGTCATGGGGACTCTGTCACAGATCACAGGTGCCACAGTGTGCATTAGTATTGATGGAGACACTGGGGCATTGTGAGTTTAGGCTGACCTGGAAGCAGGTCCATGTGGCGGTCTCCCACAGCTCAATGCTGCCGTTGTCCCTGGCCACAGCCAGCACGCTGCCATCCGAGGAGGCTGCAGTTGCAATGGCTGCTGTGGGCTGCCATGGCACAAAACGCACGCGATGCAGTGCCACAAGGTCCTCTGACTCCTCTGCTTGGGCAACGGGGCCTCTGACAACAGCCTGGGCTTGCTGCTGGATATCAGCGCTGGCGCCTGTGTGCTGCTGCGCATTGAGGAGGGCCACTGCCTGGTTCTTCGCCTTTGCAGACGACGTTTTCGCCTTCTTTTGCGCTTTTGCAGAGGGCAAAGAGCTTTTTAAGCCTTTGCGTTTCCTAGCCATACCTGAGAACAGCATCCTGCAGGTGTTTGTTGGCGCTTTCTAACATTCCAGGATACAGATGCAGGCTCACAAAATTTGTTGATCTTTCAATATGATTTTCACTTGTATCCTATCAAAGGTGAGAAGCTGCACCTACCCAATTCGGTGGCCTAGTAACACGATGTCCTTCCGCTCCTCGCAGTTCCTTTTGGAACCCGTTCTTGTTCTAAGAAGCAATGAGATACCGCGTATTAATGATCGAAATTGACATGCAGGGAAACAATTTGGGCACCTTTTACGCTTGACTGGAAGACCGATGGTGTCCTGCAGTTGTGAAGCTCGACAAAGACGCAGATCAAAAGCTTGTCATGCACTTAGATGAATTTCTATCTGATGTATATTGGTTGGTTCTGATTGAAATCCAATTACATCTTCGACAGTCGGCCTCTCCATGGCTTGCATTGAGTCATTCACCCCTCCGAAACCTCCCTATCAGCCGCCAGTTCCGGAAGTTACTCAGACCCTTGGATCTCAGATGGGCTGAAATGGTCCCCTCTTGTCCCAGGACATGAAGATCGACCATTCCTCAGTTGACGAGAGATTTGAGGTATGCTGAACCATCAAGGGGGATTGCCAACATAACATGCTCTAAAATGCATCATCATGATGCAAAAGCCTCTGAAAGCGTGATGGCGCGGCACCGGCCCGGCCCGGCCCGGCCGCGGCCCGGGGGTGGGCGTCACTTTAAACCAGGAGATTCTAAGGACATGTAAGTCAGTGCAAGCAGGAGAGCAGGGAGAAAGGGATTCCTCGCTATGTAAACACAAATGTATCCACAATTGTTTGCAAACCCGGGTGATATCAACAATCACCCGGCCCAGGATGTCACATGGTACGGCCCGTAGGGTACCGGGTACCCTACACTGTATGGCATTTGTACAACACTGTCATTTGCACCTGCGCAGGCTGTAAGAAAAAAGGGAAGAGTCACTAAAAAGACCTTCTCTCCCATGTGATCCCGCTCATTACACAGGCTTCCGCTCTAGTTTTGATGATCTCAGAGCCTCTCTATCATAGAGAGATGATCTGAGATGACGGAGTCAAGCGAGCTCGTGCAGGCAGTCATGCGCTCAGCTCTTGTATGGAAAGGCTGCACGTATGTCCAAGTACATCAGACGCCGTATGGACACATAATTTTCTGGACCATATGCAATTGGGACTCCTAACGAGGCCCAAGCCTATCCAATCAGCTTATCTTGAAAGGAACTGTCGATGCACCAACGTTGAACATACTGCACCAGGCCCTAGGGAACACTGATGCTCAAATAAGATCAAACTTGTAGTGCGTAAGCATGATCAGAATCAGGATGGGTTGTCATGGCTTGCCCAGGGACACTGGCTCTTGGGCCAGGATTCCCCGAGCTGACCGTGCTTGTACATTGTGTGGACCCGGCAGTCTAGGGGATGAGAAACATTTAGTGTTTGAGTGCCCACACCTGCAACCTATTAGGGACAAGTATTCTTCACTTTTTCAGTGTCCTACTATGTTGCAGTTCTTCTGGCAGGCTGACTTGATTGGGGTTACCAAATTTGTGTCAGAATGTTTGGATGTGATGCTGGGCGCTGACTCTGACGATCAGAGTCAGACATCTGATCAGCCTGAGGTGGCTGGAATAGATGTAACCGACTGACTGACTGAGAACCCCAGAGCCCCAGGTTCACTGCCTCAGTGAGACTATAATGCTGTTCAGCATACCAATTTGAAGTGGATTGTGCTGATCCACTGATAAGCTAAGCATCACTGCTATTGGAAATTGTCATGCAGTCCATGAATGCACGGCTCCGGGCCATGGAGCAGTATTCCAATCATGCCTGCACAGGCGCGGCTTGTCACCATCTTGTTTTGCTGCATGCATCATAATGTCTTTCGTCATTTGATCTGCACAACAGAAAACGTGATTAGCACGGCAACTAATGGAAGTGCTGGCCCTGGCTTGTGGTGTCAGGAGGTTAAACTTCTCACAAATTTGTAACCTTGGCCACAGAGAAACTTGACAAATGGACTCCTGTATGTACAGCACCTGTATTTTACAAGTCATGTTCGAAGGTCCATAGAACGCACCCCGAGTGCAGGACACCACATACCTATGGAATGCTGCGGAACGTTCTCTCCACAAGGAAGCTCAAGCGGGGCTCAAATAGGACGTAACCTCTGGAGGAGCTTGAGGTTCCAAGGGTATGCCAAGTTCTCGTCCAAGCTGCTCATACCTGGCAACTGCTGCAACCTGTAGGTTGCCTTTTGGGCTTCTATATCCTTTCCTTTCTGATCGCAACTCTCTTTCAAATCTTTACTCCACCGGCGTTGTACGTGAGCCTCAAAGTAATCGAGTTCCATTTGCTTGAGCTCGTATTCGACTTTAGCGACATCCCTCTCTATCCTTACGATCTCTAACCTTGTTGTTGACTCAAGTGTAAGCATATTTTCTGCACGGCATACGATCAAGGCAGCAGACCCCCTCCAAACAGGGTGCAGGCTCAATACAACCTTTAAGATCGGTAAACACATGGTGCTTGTGGAAAAGATAGCCTCAGGAACCCACCTTAACAGGAAGATGTTTTATCCTTCGAGAAACATAATTTTAGAAGAGTGCTGAAATACTTGAGAATGCAGAATTGTAGATCAAATTTGATCATGCTCTGACATTTGGGCGCTCGATCGGCTCCCACGAAAACCCTTCTAGTCGGGCAAGGGTCTTCAGCAAACCTGACCTAGGTCTCAAATTCCAACAACACAAGCCGCAAGTGAGGCACCTGTGGTAATATCTGTAATCTTAACCTTTCCAAGTCTGCAGCATCATGAGGTCTCTATTGCGCGTAACCCAGAATGTGCTGCGCGCCAGTGAGCGCGCCTACACCAACGCAGCAAATCCTGACAGGAAGGTGGCTATTCTTGGCGCTGCTGGTGGGATCGGGCAACCTTTGAGTCTGCTCATGAAGGTGTGATGTTCATGCTGCATAAATGGAGATCTAATCCTGATGTTTGCTGCTTTTCATGATGATTGACAGATACTAGCGCTCAAGACTTCAGATCTGGCGCGACCTCTATGAGAATCAGGGAAATGTTGCATGTAATTTTTGTGTTCAGTACATTTGTTGTTGGCCAACACTGTGCTCTGAGGCTGTCCTACTTCCTCGTGTTATTCTGAGCAGCTAAGACTCATCCCTGCAATGCTGCTCGCAGATGAACCCCTACGTCAGCGATCTGGCCCTGTACGATATCCAGGGAACTCCTGGTGTGGCAGCGGACATTAGTCACATCAACTCCAAAGCAAAGACAAAGGTACGCTTCTGATCAGCAGCTGTGGCCAACTCAATAAATTTCACATTGATCTCACTTGGGGTAGCTTCCTGCTGCAGGGCTATGCTGGCGCGGAGCAGCTTGGGGAAGCGTTGAAGGGCGCTGATGTCGTCATCATCCCTGCCGGTGTCCCAAGAAAGCCCGGCATGACTCGTGATGACCTGTTCAAGGTGCATGCTTCTTCCATATGGCAATCTTCCTCTAACATCGACAATTGTCATGGCTCAACCCTTGAAAGCATGTGAACACTTCTCGCATTGGAGCCGAGGGATATGGTGCAGTGCTCACGACAAGCGTTGTGGTGACAAAAACTTTCTTGTGCAGACCAATGCAGGCATCGTGAAGGATCTGATCACCGCTGTTGCCCAGCACGCTCCCACGGTGCGCTCAACACTTGCCTGCTCAAAACAACTTTTGAACAGCCCATGGCGCACTATGCTTATGGCATCCTGGGAGAACCTGAGGAATGGATCTGCATCACGAGAATCTGGAGTCTTCCTGACCTTCTCACATGACCATGCAGGCCATCCTGAACATCATTTCCAACCCGGTCAACTCCACAGTCCCCATCGCTGCTGAGGTGCTCAAGGCAGCGGGTGTCTACGACCCCAGGAGGCTCTTCGGCGTCACCACCCTTGACGTTGTACGTTTCTGTCCCCTGCTTCACCTATATCGCGACAAGCCCAACCTCCAATACATCGTCCCAAGACAGCAGTGGAAATCCAAGCTCCTAGTGGAAGCTCTTAGTCTGATGCAGAATGTGGACCCAGCAAGAGCTGCTGCCCACATGGTGCTGCTGTGTATGCGCATCACAACTTTACGTCTTTGCTCGCTGCAGCATCTGCCTGCTTGTGCGTCAGCGGGGGGCGTATGATATTGCATTCAAGTTCCCATACCGTGCGTGCGGCGCTCATATGGCGGCATGTGCGCGCAGGTGCGTGCGCGCACCTTCTACGCGGAGAAGAAGGGCCTGCCGGTGGCTGACGTGGAGGTGCCGGTGGTGGGCGGCCACGCGGGCGTGACCATTCTGCCGTTTTTCAGCCAGGCCACGCCCTTCCAGGACCTGGCCCAGGAGGAGCTGGTGGCCCTCACCAAACGCACCCAGGACGGCGGCACCGAGGTCGTGCAGGCCAAGGCCGGCAAGGTGCACTTTATTTCCCCCTTCGTTCTGCCCCTCACAGCCTGCATCCTGGGATGATGACATCTAGGGTGGAGCACTGTTTGCGGCATGCACGCTCGGTGGACAAGGGCAGGGAGCAATGGGAGCTCTGTGGCTGGCAAGTGTGGCAGGAGGCATAAGGCATGAGAGCATCCTGATGGCTGTGAAGCTGCATGTTGCACCAACAGGAGACTGCTCAGCTGTCTGGGTCTATTGCATGCAGGCTCAGCGTTCAGATTGCCATCAACCACTGCATCAGAGTGAGACAGCTGCACTGCAGGTTGCAAAAGCGTATCCTGATGTGTGTAATGATGCGCAGGGGTCAGCCACTCTGTCCATGGCATACGCTGGCGCGCTGTTTGCTGACGCGTGCTTGCGCGGCCTGAACGGCGAGTCGGACGTTGAGGAGTACACCTTCGTCGAGTCCAACATCGTCCCGGAGCTCACCTTCTTCTCCTCCAAGGTCAAGCTGGGTCCCAACGGTGCGTCCTCCAGCAATCCGTTCGCTGCTCTGTACTGCATGAAATTCTTTTGAACATGATTTCAGTTTGTCTGTGTGTCCTTGACTGGCTGTAAAATGTAGGCTAGCGTTGCGCTCTTTATGCTGCATGTCCATAGCATGACTGGTGGTCGGTCCGTCTTGACTGAGGCGCTCTCAAGTTTCTCACATTTGAGTGAGTGCATAACACTGATGCCCAGAGTAAGAGCTTGCTGCTGTGTGATGTGCAGGTATCGAGAAGGTGATGGGTTTGGGAGAGCTGACAGAGTTTGAGGAGGCTGGCCTCAAGGACGCCATCCCCGAGCTCAAGGCATCCATTGCCAAGGGCGTCGAGTTTGCCCACAGCAACTAGAACGGCCTCAGCAGTTCTAGCTTCTGCATCAAAGCTGCACAGGACGTAAATTTTGAATTGTAATTGGGTCCGGGTTTGGGGTGTGTTCAGCATAAAGTACAGCTTAGGGTCGGCAGGGAGGCTCATGGTGAGCCACTGCTATAAGGTTAGGGATGTGCATAGGAAGCCCTGAATCGGGCTATTATGCACAGGTCACTCTGTGAAGGTGGTCAACCAGTGTCTTTAGGTGTTGTGTGAACATGCATCCTAAGTGCAACTCATGACTTGAACTGGACGCCTGGCAAAAGCAGTAGTGCTTCTTGAGCATTGAACAAATACATCTTTAATTTGTTGCCATAAGTGCCCAATCACCATGGATCAGCAGCTCATTCAATGAATAACCTGCCTAGTGACTAACAAATCATCCCGACCAACATGCATCATGTCTACACTACATTTGAATTGTGTCGTCATTTAATAAAGAATATGCAGTCCTGAGATTCCAGTCATGTCTTAGCCAGAAATATGGATCGATTGCAAACGCAAAGCCTCATACAATCTAAAATATTGCTACCCAGATGGGCACATAAGCCACACAAGCACACAGCCCTTTTGGTGAGACGTTTGCGCCATGGTGGCAACACATTGTCCTCTGTTTTCTGCTGATGCTTCTCTAGTGTCACTGTGCAAAGTTACCAGGGGGGTTCAGTCTTCTGCTGGTCCATGGCCAGGCAAACATGCCCCACTCGGCCATCCCAAAGTCACTTAAAAACATGACATGATCACCCCAAGGGTCACAATCACCCATCAGCTGATGTAATTCACACATGTGGTATCATGTGAATGCCAGCCTTGTCACAGCGGGGGCAGCCGTTCAAGTATAAGGCATGGAGGCGCCAGCTAAATGACTGAAGCTTAGTCATTCGCCGGGATGTCGCACGCAGTGCTGATGCTGGGGTGGCTGTCGGACGTAGGCGTGTGTGGTAAAGGCCGCCTGACTAATGCTTAGTCTTCGGCCTAGTCATCGGCTGGGATGTCATAGGTGGCGCTGATGCGGGGGTGGCCCTCGTAGGTGGGGGTTGATGCGCCGTCGGGGGAGCCGCCCTCGTGGTGCAGCAGCCCGTGTGCGCGCAGGGCCGCGCCATCGGGCGCGCTGGCCGCCAGGCTGGACGCCGCCAGCTGCTCCTCGTCGCTGCGAGCGCGGTCCAGCTCGCTCCACTCCAGGCGCGACACCAGTCCCCCTATGCCCCCCGGGTCCCCCCCGTTCTCCACCGCCGCTGCACGCCCCACCACTGTTCAATCTTTATGAACCCCTTATGCTCAGTTAGGAGGGCTGACTCGTCTGCAGCCTCAACAACCCTTGTATGCGTTGCTCAGCCAGGTTAATAGTCAGTCCGCATCCTCAGAACACCATGCATTCTATGAAATATCTGCAGCACCTGATAGATGGCTGCAGGTAGTGCACAAGATGCCAAGTATTCTGAGGAAACAGACAAGCGCGTTAAAAACAGCTTCCTGCAAAACATTCAAAGCCAGCTGCGGCACTCAAGTATGTTTGTGGGTGTGTAGCAGAAGGCGGTGTGCGCGCACCCATTATGTCAGCAACGTCGTCCTCATGGTCGATGCCGTCTTCCAGGTTGACTCCTACCTCGCCGTCGCTGGCGCCCTCCAAATCATTCCCATCCTCGCTGCTGCCGCCTAGCGCCGGACCCTGACATACCAAAACCAATTTTCAGCTGACAGAAAGAAGCAAGCAGGATCCTCACAGAAGCCGCAGACCGAGGGGTCATCATGTGGGAGCTAAAAAGCTGAGAGCAAGGCGCCTGACAGCTGCCCAGGCAACAACAGCCGCGTGGCAGTGTAGTGGAGGGCATTGCGGCTGAACTGGGGGCCGGCATACCGATACACACGGAAATCGAACACTTAAATTTGAAGAGCTTATTGGTGTGGGGATGGACAGGTGCACGGGGCCCAACATGCCGGCTGCCGGCATCTGCAGGGAGATTTCAATCTCACTGAGCCCATGTCTAAGCTGCTCTGGGCGGGTGGGTGGCTGCTCGAAGATGCCACTGCATTGCGCCCACCTGGTGCAATTAAGGGATACATCAAGGTGCCAGGGCATGTCACAGTAGAGGACATCAGCGCACCGCGGCGATCCGCATGCGTGCGGTGCGGTCGGAGTCGGAGTTGTCCGGCAGCGCCAGCACGAGGCTGTGGCGGCCGCCCGACGCGCAGCAGATGACGCGCCACCGCTCCGGGCCGCCTGAAGCACCGCTTAGTCACCTCAGTCACCCCGCTGACCTCTTTCAAGGAGAAATTTGGCAAGCGTATTGTTTGGAGATTTTTTGGACCACTGGCATAACTGAAAAAAGGATGCTAGGGGAGAACAGTTAACACTTTGTACTACCACCATGTCATTGTTGGCTGGCTCCTCTCTGTCATGCACCAGAGTGTAGATATCACAAAGCCCATCTGACCTGACTTGGACAGTGCTCTTGAGCAGATATGATGTTGAGAATGTACGCCGCATTTTGTCATGAAGCATGTGCTGGCCAATTTGGAGTAGTTGGTAATCACCTGGGAGGAACACTTCAACTGGGGAGAGGTAGTCCTTCTCGGTCCCTGTGCCCAGCCGCCCGAAGGAGCCTCGGCCCCAGGTGTAGATTCGCCCCTCCGATGTCAGCACCATCGTGTGGGTTCCCCCGCAGGATGCCTGTGCATGCATGCATGTTTTCAGCAGATCCCTTCTTCGCACTGGAGATCCTACGGCTTCTATACACCAACGCAAAGGTCTGAGACCATGTAGCCATTTGAATCTGTGTATGACATATGATAGCCAATATGCAGAACAGCAGAGGGGGGACATGGTGCTCGCCTGCACAATGCGCACGTCGGGCTCCTTGAAGGCGACTCCTGTGGCGCGCAGCTTGCTGGACCCTGACCTGTCGCCCAGCCCCAGCCTGCCGTACTCTCCGCGGCCCCACACAAACACCTCTGCACCCCAAATTGCAGCACAGAGTCATGCTTTGCCACTAGAGTCACGGTGGCTGGACGCGAAAGACAGCAACCTGCCTGCAGTTCTTACTGCAGCTGCAAGCACAAAAACTCCTTCGTACCTCGCTTATGCCCAACCATGCAGAAGGGTGCAATATCAGAGCCCTCTATAATGTGACTCCAAGGTAAGGACTGCACAGTCGGGTTGGGGGAGAGCTATCACTATTTGGCATAAGTGGCCAAATGTGGCGTGTGACTGCCAGCAAGCCATGCATTCAAATCAATGCGTGTGACACCATCTTCCCCGCTTTTGCGCACTCAATCTGTGGGTGCGCGCCTCCTTCGGTGGTGAGCGCGAGGGAGTGCCAGCCGCCGGCAACAATATCGGCCACTCGCACATCCTCCAGGCCCAGAACTTTCGTGGGGGAGGTCTCGTAGAAGGTGCTCCCATTGCCCAGCTGCCCAAAGTCGTTGATGCCCCACGCCAGCACCTCCCCAGCCCTGCGCAAATTAAACCTAGTCGCTGCTTGGCATCCCATACAGAAAAGGAAGCCAAGAATAGGCATGCATAGCCTGAATTAGATTATCTGAGCAACACATGCCCGGCCCTGCGCCAAAGTCTCAGCTTCACGCTTCCACTCGAAGTGCTGAGCTGCAATGTTTTTCAACAATAAGAAGGTCTCAAACCCCTCGGCATGCCTCACAAAGATGGAATCAACAGTAGGCAAATGCATCGGCTGCAGAAATACATTCTGGCATACCAATTAGCTGGTACTCATTATCTTGCAATTACTAAGCACCGTCGCATGAGATTTTCACTGCCAACTCTTGAGGCCATGACTTCTTCATGTGCGGCACAAGGCACCCCGCTCTGCTCTCAAGCAACGTTGACAAGCGATGCCAAGACGCAGGTCAAAGCATTGTACCAAGACATAGGAGTACGTGTTGACACAGCAGGCTGACCCAACTTCTTACATCACTCCCTTTCTGCTGCGCGAGCGCAGCTGGGTGAAGAACAAAAGGGGTGCCGCAGATGGAGGAACAGGGAGGGTCCATGTGGTAAGAAGGGTGCAGCTCACGCGTTTAGGGCGAGGTTGTGGAAGGCGCCGCATGCCAGCTTCACGATGTCGATGGCGCCCTCCACCTTCTTGGGATGGCGGTCCACCTTCATGGAGAAGTCCCCCCACGGCTCGCCCCATGTCCACACCTGCCGCAGCCATCAGACCCATCAAGAGCTTGAATTCATATCAAGGACAAATGAAAGGTCTTACAAGAGCAACACTGGTTGTTGAGGAGGGGACATGCAAGTTTTCAAGGAAAGTCGTGGATGAGGTCAGAATGGCAACTTTGCACCGTTTTCAGCACTACACAGCTGCCAACAGGACCAATTCACCACATTTCTTGCCACTCACTAGGACGTATAATTACATCTGTATGTGACACCTAACGCCAGGTGGCAAGCCACACCTCGCCAGTGTCGGTGAGCACGCAGGAGTGCATGCCGCCGGCAGCCACCTGCTTCACGCGCAGCCCCGGCACGCACGGCGTCGGCTGCACCACATCCCTGCACAGGGCAGGCTTGCTCAGGCAGAGCCACACTAGGCCACCTCTATTTTCCTGTAATCTGGAGCTCTTGTGCATCCTCCGATTTCTTTCCACCGGCAAAACCTTCAGGATAATGTAAACAATGTGGGTAGAGCCTGTCCCCACCATAGTATGTGAATCGTGCAAGTATCCAACCCCCTATATGGGCACAAGAAAAGCAAGCTGCCAGGGGGATTAGGGTTACATGCCAAGCAGCAGCAGATACCTCGTTAATCGTTAATGGACATGCATGCATCCTTGGAAGACAGTATACCAAAGCAGGCGGCTCTAGTAGGGCTTGCACCTGACATTCCACTCCACATTACACTGCCCATACTCGTTGCCGCCCCAGGCGTACACCAGGCCGGCTGAATCCAGCGCCAGGCAGTGCCATCCCCCTGTGGACACCTGCGTGATCTCCATGCCTCGCAGCGCTGCCACCCTCCTGGGCTTGCGCTCATGCTCCCTGCAAATGCAGCAAAGCATGTCATCATTCACAGTCAACTGCAGGACAGTCATGATGAATGCTGCTCCTTCTTCCTCTTCTGCTGGTGAACAATCGCAGCGGCCTTCAGGGAGCCGCGGTGTGGCCTTGCAGTGGCCTGGCAGAAAAAAGAAAGGCAGTATTGTCACGGGCACACAGCAAATTCTGCGGAAATTTCAGACAATTGCATGTGTACACCGTGGGCTGATGCCTGTTGAAGGCCACCCGAAGGATGCAAAAGTAATAGTTGCCGGGCCTTCTGGGTTGAGTACCTGTGACTGTGGCCCAGTGTGGCCCGGTCATTCCATCCCCACGACAACACCTGCAAAGGCAACAACCCACTCTCACAGCTCAATTTGATGTACTCAATTTGATGTAATGATACAGAGTGGGTAAAGGGTCTGATGCAGGTGGCAAGTGTAGGTTACCCACCTGCCCATCAGCATCAATGGCCACAGTGCATCTGCTGCCGCAAACCTGCAATGTCACAAGAGCCCATGTCAAGAAATGCCGGAGTGACTGGCTGAAGGTCGAATGTAAGGTGCACAGAATGCTAGTCTGGAAATGGCTACGCACCAGGGGGCTCTTCAGAAAGTCCCTCCCCTGGAATCGGGTTCCCAAGAGCGCCTCCAACACTTTTGGTGCCATCACATTCTCAGCCTCATCCAGTGCCTGCCAATGCACTTTCCTGCTCAGTCCGCAGTGCATGCTAAACTTCCTCACAGTATCAAGATTGACATGCCATGTCTGCAGCATGTGAGGAAGGTGCTACTGGAGAATTTTGGGATTCATACCAGCTGGCCGTCTTCATTAACACCCCATCCAAAGACCACGGCCTCGATTGGGGGCTTCTGCACATACTGTGGCAGAGACCTGCACAGGAAGCCCACGCTGCTGCTCTGCTTCAGCAGGAGCCGGTGCTCTGGGCTGCCATTGCTGCTGACGCCGCTGTTGCCTGTCTCGGGTGCAGGAGTAGGCATAGTGGTGGGCAGCAACAAGTCCCCTGGACTGTAGTGTGTCACTGAGAAGTGCACAAGGCACACGATCGAGAGATTTATAGCCTTTCAAGCTCTCTGAGGATTACAATTAACTGGGGATCTGGACAATCCAAAGGCTTCTGGCTGTTACACCTTATTCCGTGCCAAGGTGTCCGATTGCAGATCATCACGGCAAATTGCTTCTGCACTGCAATACGGGATCCATCCAATAAGAAAAAGATGCCTAAAAAGAATAAGACTTTAACCCCATACAATAGCAGAGGCCTGACACAGCTAGATGATTACCACGTATATGAAAACCCTCAGACCTCGTTGTGCCGAGCGACGTAGAATAAAAGTCACAGCAAGCAGGCTGTATCTTCAAGAAGCACGCTGTTCTCTGCGAAGGGATGCCGAGCTGCAAGGTGTTCTTCTTCGAGCTTGGGCATTGATCAGTCTAGGTGACTCATCCGATCATGGTCTAGTCACATCAGAATCACCACTTATTGTTGCCATTCAGATACTAGCTATATGATGTTCCTCGATGCAATTTCAGGGGCAAAAACAAGCCATTAGAAGCAATAGCTGGGGTCAAGTGTGTGGAGGCACGCCATGCCTCACTGTATATCAGACGTATAGCTTCTCTATGCCAGCAAAACTAAATTCTAGATATATTATTTCTTTAAATCTGGTACTAGACGGATCCTAAGGGCCACACGGTACGAATTTTTCAGCCCCACTTGTGAAGGTGCCGTCCATGAAAGGGCTGGGCCCAGTCAGCTATCAAGGAGCTCCTGTGAACGGATCCCACAAGGTGTGCTAGGAATTTTCAAATGAATTAATGGATGTCTTGTCCTTGCCAGGCACGGTATATCCAAGCCTAAAACCGATGTCATCAATCTTGACAGGCTGATGGCGTACTAAACCTTCAGCTGCGAGTTGAAAATGCTGAGAAGCTTGGCCTTGAAACTAACGCAGGTAATGTTAAGACTGCTAGTCCATCACCCAAGTTTCAAGTTGGACCAACCCTGGCATTATTACCCAACAACACTGCCTTGTGGTACAGGTGAAGCAGTGCTGCACCCGGCAAGCTGTGGTGCATGGCATGCTGCGCTGCAGGAGAAATATCGATACCTTTGTCTGGCTAAAGGCTCTGATTGCCTCCTCAACCTCAGGTTTGAAAGGTCACTCCTCTTGTTCCCAGCCGAGCAAGTGGATGCTGCAAGCTCAGCAAGAATGCAGGGCTCCATCATGATGTTCCAGAACATTCTGCAGGCTGGACACCTCTGCACCAGAGACTTGCATCTGCCTTGATACAGTCCAGCAACACAACCTTCATGTTGCCCCTGGCGAGACATACGACTTCAGGTGCTTTTGTATCAACTTATCTGGCTTGCTGTCAGAATTGCAAAAAGAAATGCTAAAGACCCTACAATGACACAACCAGTATCACCTCTGACGATTGCTGCATCGGTTCATGTGCAGCCTCTGGCAGCCACCTGCAGAGGAAGCCTTTGATCTGCACGACTTGGAAGGAGAAGTGCGTTTGTTCAGGAGCAGACAGGCATCCACCAGTGGCACACTTCAGGTACTTAATATGCCCATCTTTGCAGAAATGTTACTCACTCATGCATGCTATGCCGCAGTTCTAAGCGCTTGCAGGCCTCCTCATTCCTCCCAACATGGACAAGCCAGGGGGTACTAGAGACTACGGCGATTTCTTGCATCCCCTAGACAACCCATATCAAGGGGGGATTGATCATACGCATGCATGCAGGTGGACGCGCAGAGCTTGATAAAAGTGCTCGGCAAGCAGCTGTTTGGTCGAGTGGTTGCTGTGAATGAGTTGGTAATGGTGCATCTGGATGGATTGGCGCTGGTGGTGAGGATAGCCAATCTGAACACACTGGACGAATCCGCGAGAGAAGAAACTTTGTCCTACCACTGCTACAGGGGACTGGTCGCCCCCGACACAACCCTTTATTTGACAGAAGGCAAGCAGATGTTTCCTTGACACTCTCCCGCCAGTTCCTGTATTTCGAAACAGCCTTGTGCTGCATCAATTATTGTTGGGTTGTAATATCCTGCAACAGATGCGTCGAGCTTGCATTTCTCAACTGTGCAGGGGATGTGATTGGCGGAGCCCTGCAACAGATCTCATATAGCAGCCCCCAGCTCTTGAGTGAGGGCAATCCAGCTACAGGCCCAGCCAATCCCCCAGTGACCGGCAAACTTGTCCTACTCAATAGGAGGTACGCATGCTGAGGCACCTTCATCCATCTATGTGGTGCAGGAAAAAGACTGTCACATGTGACTTTCCCTCAGGGCATGCATGTACCCTCAAGCCGAGTCAGGGCTGCATTTTTTTTGAACAAGCATGTGAATTGTATTGGAGCGCCTAGACGCTGCTTAGGGTGTGATGACGTGACACGCTGTTGCAGGTCAAGACCTTCTGGGGACAGGTCCCGTGCAGTCATAGATGTGCTGACGAGGGATGGCGAGGTGTTCCCAGTCAAGCGCAAGCTGTTGAGGCCCTGCATCAATCTCACTCAGGCCGTGCGCAGCGATGTTCCCTCCGTCACCATCGATGTGGACACCCTGGTCTTTGACAGGTACCTCAGCCCTTTCCAGCACTCATTAATTGGCAGATTTTGAACTTATCTGCCCTATGAATACAGGCATCTAGACTTTGAAAACTGGGGAATGTATGGTGTTTTGTGAGAGGTCAGAGGCAGCCAGAGCCAGGGGAAAAGGATTTGGGTCTTGTAAAAAGGAGTGCAGAATGCTGAGGGCAGAGGTGCTGGCAGGGTCCTCATATATCTGGAGGCTGGCGCAGCGGGGCAGCCAGTGCCAGACTACGCAGTGCATCTCCTGGGTGACCTGCTGCATGCTGGAGAAGCCCTGGGCCTATTGTCTCTGCAGGTGAGAGCTCCAACTGAAAAAGCCAGAGGGTGCATTGAGATGCATCATGCTGCCCAGCCATTGGCACCATCATAGTTGTCTGCTTGCCAGCTGGCAAATGCTGGCCAGTCAGTGGTAGGGGCATCAATGCATTGCAGAGCTGCCTTCAAGGGTCTAAGAAGAAAATTTTGCAGGATTACTGCCGCGCCAAGCTGGGCAGGCTGGACTCGCGTATCCAGCTGCGTAGCTTTGAGGAGGTGAAGGCGCACAATGCTGCCGGCCAGTGCTGGCTCATCCTGGACGGTAGGGCTCTTGAATCCTTCTCAGTCAACTCCTCATTACAGCCTTGCCAGAGACTGTATGGGGTGCTGATAGAAATTGCGTGAGGAGAGCAGCGCAAGCGCTCTGATGATGCATGCAAGCATGCGGCACAGGTTCACTGTACTCAATGGCGGTAGTTTTGGGTCTGCAATACGGCTTGTCTGTTGCATTACTGTCTTGATGGCATGCTGCAGGATCTAGGGCTCCGCTGGAATGAAGGGTCTGGAGGTACCAATGTGGAACTCCTTGCATGTCTGGCCCCTGCAGGCTCTCACAGCCGTGCCCTACCGTGCAGGCATGGTGCTGGACGTGACGCGGTGGCTGCCGGAGCACCCCGGAGGCGCCACTATCATCCCCAAGCAGTCGCTCAACCTGGACTGCGCACGCTTCTTCGAGGTGTACCACTCCTCGCGCGAGTCCTTCCTGTACCTGCGCGAGTTCTATGTGGGCGAAGTGCATCCCGGGTGAGTTCTGCACCTACTGCTTGACTCTGCGCATCCAGTGCATGGCTTGAGAGGGCCTCCGAAAATTTTAAGGTGCCCCGCATAGTATTCACTGGCCTCCCTGGGAAATATAAGAGATTCCCGTGCATCTAGCACTTTTGGCGTAGAAAGGGAAAGTGTTCTGGGCAGACCAGCAAATGATCCCGTAGCCTAGAAGGCTCGGGCCAGACTGACAAGGATACCACTGGACGCCAAAGCTCGCATGCAGTATCATATGGCTCTGCTTCAGATTAATTTTCAAGTGCTATGCAGTCTTGGGAACAGGGATCACCTTGACAGGTCTGCAGAAGCCGCTGCCTGGCGTGTTGCATGGCTGGAAAGAGCACATGATTAGCAGCAGTGCAGCTGATGTTACTTGATGTCTCGTATGTAGTCAAAGCAAGCAGAGTTGCCAAAGATGCCTTTCCTCCTTTTGATGATTCTTGTGACCGTTATATCTTGCTGGTGCAGGGACGTGGCCGCGGTGCCCTGCAAGGAGCGGCCCTCACCGGAGTTTCTAGCGCAGCTGCGCGGCTACAGGCGCTTCCGCATGCAGCCGCCGGACGAGGACTCCTTAGTCAAGGCCTTCAAGAGCTTCTGAGGAGCTGCGTGTGGAGACGAGCAAGTTGCTACGTGAATTTGCAAGATGCTCTGTTCTTATAGGCGTGGATTTTGACCACTGCAGATAAATTTGGGAGGGCTATCATAATATGCCATAATCAGTGATACTAAGAGCTTGTGAAAGCTGGTTGCAATCAGTAATTGATGGGCAACGCTCGCCGATGCATACTCTACACAATCTAGAACCTATTAAATATGACTACAAAAGTTTATATCTTCGTATTTGTCGGATGGGTCATGCCAGTCTGTTTTACACGCGGATACCCAAAATGATCCATTGCACTGGGTGGACTGTGTGGTGACTGCCATTGCCACAATGCCGGCACACGATGCACGGTGCAGTGGATAGATTGCTGCAGCCGGCGGCACGTGCATGCGGCAAACACACTTTGGCATGCATGCCATGGCCAGTACTGCCACTAGTGCACGCTGCATCAAGCGGCGTCACACATGTATGGACGGTAACTTTGCTGGTCTGCGCAAAGGCATGCCGCGGCTGCAATAGGTACGAGAGAGCAGTGCTTGCTGTGCTGTGTAGCATTGTTTGGTGGTGGGTGTGGTGGTGTTTTCCTTAAAACGCACGCCTCACTTGAACTCAGACTATTAGTCTGATACCACATGGACTGCAGACAGACCTTCAGGCCCCACAGATGTGGCTGCAGAAACTCTTTGTGTATGCCCTATGGCCTTCGGGCTTTGGGTTTGCCGACATAACAATAATAATAATAATAATAATAATAATAATAATAATAATAATAATAATAATTCTTGATCACCACTCGTGGCCTTTATCCTTCCATTCTCCTCCCGAAAAGCTCATTCCACATCATCGGGAGGACGACGTCAGGACGTGATGTACCCTGTTTCCTGTTTTGGAACGCCTTCGGCAGGTCAATAATGTAAACAAACGGAAATATTCCTTGGCCCGAGCATCTTTCCCAGAGATGCTTCCAAGCAAAATATTCCTCTGGGTCATGCCATCTGCATATCCTCCAAATCGCTATCGACAACTCGGAATCTGCGTAATGCGCGTTGCACCGCATTAGCTGTTGACAGACATCAGGCGTCGGCCTGGAATCTCAGGATTTGAATTTGCGACAAGTGTGTCACCCCTCCTGCGTTCGAAAGGGGTTCCATTTGTCTAGCCACAGCCAGGCTTCTCTCGAGAGCTCTAGCATCATCCAGCAATATGGTGTTGGTCCACTACACGTGGATATATGTCTTGTCCATAATCGTGGCGTTTATTGGCGCTTTCGGGATCGGCGCTAATGATCTCGCCAATTCCTTCGCGACAAGTGTCGGCGCTAAAGCCTTAACGGTGAGCTTGGCATACCCAGCAATGTCTGTCGCATGGCTATCACTCATCATCTGTCTTCGCGAGCTCACTATCCCATAGCGCTATCTGCTACTGCTGAATTGCCTCTGCTGCAGCTTCGCAGCCTCGGCTCAAGAATTCGGCGGCCTTAGGGATTCTGACATTCTGCTATTGGTGCAGATATCTCAAGCCATACTTGTTGCTGCTGTGTGTGAATTTCTTGGCGCCATCCTCTTGGGAGCGGGTGTGACAGACACCATCCGCTCCAACATTGCCAACGTCTCCCTCTACACCGACTCTCCAGCGCTCCTGCTCTACGGCATGTTCTGCGTGCAAGTCGCAGCTGCCTTCTGGTGAGAAACTTCCTTCATGCTGTATTGCTTCTCTATTGCAGGATGTAGCTGCTAGGGTTTACATGCTTTCTTCCCATACACTATGATTCAGGAAGCCACTACGAGGCCCCTGTAAATTAACCGGGACCTCAATTTGGCACGCATATAGCTATGTGGGCCTCTCCCCCTTGCCTCCCAGGACTTTGAAATAATTTGCTTGCTCCAAGGAAGCCAGCTCCAACCTAGTAACCTTGCTGGGAGGTCCCAATATCCCTACTTGTGAGACCCCTCGTTGTGCGTAGAATTGAATGCTCAGGTCTCAATGTGCGTTGCAGGGACAATTTTGCATGCCACCTGGAGCTGCCGGTCTCCACCACCCACACCACAGGTCTGCACTACATTCAAAGACAAGACACTCTGTCTGTGCAGATGTATTTGAAATGTCAGGATCGTGCAAACAGCACACCTTCTATGAGACGCTGATCATCTCTGCATCTGGTCTCTCTAGGCAATGATTCATTCATTCATTCATGAGCAATATACTAATTTGAAACAGTGTAGCTCCTTATCATTGGGACTTGCCATTGCTTTGCGCTTTTGTCGGAAAGTTGATGAAAGACACCAGAGAAAGTATGAAAGGCTAGCTGTAAGTTTCTGCCGCAACATCGCAGGGTAAGAATCTGAAAGAACGCATGATGATAACTAAGTGTGCCTTGTAATGGTGGCTACAGTGGCTGGTGTGATTGGTATGAGCCTGGTGCTATTTGGGGGCAACAGCGTGGTCTGGCTCAAGCACACCTCCACCTTTATCTATATCACAGGTCAGGCACTGCTCTTCCTTTGCTGCCAGCCTTGCCTTTCCTCTACCAGTGCTATATCCGCACAAGGCTGCCTACAGTGTACTCATTGTGTGAAGGTTTCTGGCATGCATCAAAGAGGTTCAGGCGCATCTCACCGGTCACGCTGTGCATATTTTGCCACAATCCTTGGTCATGCATATGCTTTTCTGCTGCGAGTGATTGCTCCGGGGATGCTTGCATGGTTCCCGCATGTCCGTCCTGAAGCTGCCACGCGCTTGTGCAGCCGTGCAGCTTGGATTGTGCAGAATCAGCACACGACAGCATTTGTTGGCTGGAGCGCGGTTTTCACTCAAATTTTCCCTGCTGTTCAGGCTTTGTGCCGGTGGTGTTGTCGTGGATTGTGTCGCCCATACTCTCCGGCATCATTGTGACCATCCTGTATGGCCTCGTCCGCACCTTTGTGCTGCGCTCCAAGCACAGCTTCAAGCGTGCCTTCTACGTGAGCTCTGCTGCCTTCATGACGTTTTCCCAATTGCACTTGCCTGTTGCTTTTGCCATGTCTGATGTGTGCTGCCCACACTTGAACCCCTGCACTACCCTCTATTTGGGAAGCCATCCCCAGTTCTCAATGGTCTGCGTATTGGAGTGCACTCACTCTGAAAAGCACATCAATGTTGCCTTTCCGACTTTGGATTGTCTGCATACTTTAGCAGAGGCTTTTGTTGCTCTTGTATCCTCCCTTGACATTTGTCTTGATGCTCAAGTATGTTGAGACCATGACAGAGGTAAAACCTGTCAAATGATCGACCAGGCAACATTATATTACAATATTGCCCACTTGATGGCTGTGGGTGCTGCCTGCAGCTTCTTCCCTTCCTTGTCGCCCTGACCCTCTTCGTAATTACCGTATTCATCATCCAGACGGGTGCCAAGAACAAGCAGTAAGCCCTTCTACCGACAATTTGATACCATCACCGTTGCCTTTTCCTTCTTTAGACAATGTCGTGTAAATTTCACCATGTGTGATCCATTCTTGAAATATACTTGTCGCTGATGTGCATCTGTGCACTGCGCAGATTCAAAAACAACAATATCCCCGATGGAAAGATCATCTGGATTTCTGTCATTGTTGCCGCGGCCTGTGGTCTAATCACCCTTTTGCTGGTGATGCCCTACCTGCGCAAGAAGGCAATCCTGTGGGACCAGGAGCAGCAGAGGTGTGCTCATGCCTGTTGCTTAACGTGCTGTCGGTGTTGGTCGCCATGCTCTCGCAATAACTCATGACCGTTTAAGCATGCAAGTGTGCAGTACCCATGCTTGCAACCATCCGCAGACTGTGGAGGGATGATGCTGCAACGCAGCCCATGCAAGGACCTGTCAGCTCTACTTGCATCAGCACTAAGGCTTGTAGGCTGACCTCAATGATAACTATGTCAGGCTTGCTTGAACTGTCTGGTACTTGTTAGTCTTTCCGATGCAGGCTGGAGGATGAAGGCAGCGACACAGCAGTCTGGCTGATTATGGACAGCGAGGACCAAGTCCATGGCCCAACACCACAAATGAAAAGCTTTAGATTGAGCTGCCATCAAATCCTGACCTGTTGGCCTCTCACACACAGGCTGGAGACAGAGACTGGCAAGGCAAGGGTGGCTCGCGCGCCTGCTGGCACAGACAATGCTGCTGACAGCCAAGTGAAGCCTGCAAACACGACTGCACCCCACAGCGAGCCCAAAATGGACACTAAGAAGGGCGTGCCTGAGTCTGGTGAGTGGCCGGTGACTGATGGGGTAGATGACCTCTTAGCAAACCATTGCTGCACCCTATGCTGTGTGTCCATGAGCGGAAGAAATGCTCTAGCCATGATGCGTTCATGCACCCAACTAAAGCGGAAAGGCAGTCTTATGAGGCTATGCTTAATGTGATCAGAACAAGGACACGCCGCTCCCTTCACACTCATTGATTGGGCCTTTCACTTTGAGGCTTACTAAGTGAAGAGATTGTCGTGCAGGCATTCAGGCCGGTTGCCTTTCACTGTGAGGCTTACTAAGTGAAGAGGTTTGTTGTGCAGGCATCCAGGCCGGTCAGCATCCCGCCCGTGTGATGGAACACGAGCCTGTGCCCAAGCTGAACGCCTTTGAGCGCAGCATGGAGAGCATAGCGTCCAAGATTGGCGCATGCTTCAGCGGCATGGGCAACAATGGCTGCGTTAGACTTCTCACCAACAACCCCGTTTCCAATGCCGTACTCCATGTGAGACTCATCCCTCAGCTCCCTTCTCTCCCTAGCTCTAAACATGTGGTGGATGTCTGATCGTGAAGGGCGGGAGTTTGATGGCAACATTAACTTTGGCAGCCATTCCTGAATAGTGATCGAGAAGCCTTATGACCGATCTCCAAGATGAGCTCTAGCAAGAATAACGTGTGCAGGAATTGTAGTGGTGCGCCTGCTAGACATCTCTGGTGAGTGGCTATGACTCATGATCCTCTGAGGCGCAACAAGATGTGCCCGTTTGAAAGACGTTGCTGACCTGCAGGGGTCTCGCTACAAGATACACAACACCTTGGATGAGGACGATGCCAAGAATTACCGGGCCGATGTAGCCGAGATCTGGGATGCAGGCGAGACTTTTGACCCCAAGACTGAGCGCCTCTTCAGATACCTGCAGGTGAAGGACATCGCATCCAGCCTGTCGTCATTCAGTTGCCATGAGGGCCATGCATGTTTGATATCTTGGGAGAGCTACTACCTTAGTATGTTAATTTTTTTACTACTCCAGTATGTTTGTTGCAAATGTCTGTGCGGTTCCCGCTTGAGCCCTGCAAAATCTAGTTCACTGCTTTTGCAGTTGAGACCACTCTCATGCTTGCCATCTTATTGGGCTTGAGGTCTTGTTGCAATGGCTATGTCTTACCAGTTGCCATGATTTATGGAGCCTCTGAGCTTTGAAGGCAATGGGCGTAGGTGTTCTCTGCCATGGTGATGTCCTTTGCGCATGGCTCCAACGACATTGCCAACGCCATGGGCCCCTTTTCAGCTGTCTACTACATCTGGTGCGGCCCCTATTGTCAAGCTCGCCCGCCTTGGGCAGCTATCCCACAAATTTTTTGCACGCTGTTGTTGAGCAGGAGTGAGGCAGCCTGTTCATTTGCTCCTCACTTGATACTTGTGAAGGTACCATGTTACCATGCTTCCTGCATTGTGTCCAAGGACAATCCCACGCAGCCGTGCAGAGCACTGGCAAGGCACACAGTGTGCTCATCAAGGCAAGGATCCTTGCATTTGATGCATCTGCGGTGTCATTCCGAGTCATGCACCTTTTTCTTCACTTCCCTTCACTATTCAGACTTGTGCTGAATGCTCATGCTGTCACTCAGGAGCACCGGCAAGGTGCCCAAGAGCGTGCCCGTTGAGACCTGGATCCTAGCTGTGGGAGGAGCTGGCATCGTGCTGGGGCTGGCCACCTACGGCTACCTCATCATGCGTGTGCTTGGCGTTAAGGTTGTCAAGCTGTCCAACGCCCGCGGCTTCTGCGCCGAATTATCCACTGCCATCACCGTCGTCCTGGCCTCCCGCTTTGGTAAGTGTTACATCGCTACATCATGATGTTGCTAATACATCACTGACAGGTTCTGGTTCTATATATTTTCGAGACTGTAGTGTCATGCGCATGCTGGGCGTCAAGGTCGTCATGCTATTCATTGCGCATCTGTCGAGCCCTGGATCTTCTCACGGATGTGCCAGTATTGAGGTTTGCTTGTGCTGCAGGCCTGCCTGTGTCAACCACGCAGGTCATCACTGGAGCGCTGCTAGCAGTCGGCTTGTTTGAGGGCCGCAAGGGCGTCAATGTCAAGGCCTTCATCCGGGTGAGGCATCCTCGGACACATCCCAGGGACTGGCAGTGATTTCTCTGCAAGGATAGGCTTGGTGCTTTTATAACGAGCAATGTGGAATATTCCAAGGAGAAGGGTGAATCAGCTTGCTCTTCAAATGCATGCACTGCCCTTGAAAGTTCTTTGTGCTCGCAGATCTTTGGCGGCTGGATTATTACAATCATTATCGCTGCCCTGGTCGCTGCCGGGTTCTGCGCCTATGGCGTGTACACACCGACGAAGTTTGCTCCTGCATCCTGGACCTGATGTAGTGAGTAAACACTGCTCTTAGACAAAATGTAGGAGCACATCAAGAGTACTCTTACACCCAGCTGAAGTAATCGGAGGTGATCATTTGCGCCATTTCCAGAGGAGTCTTGAGGACTCTTGCAATCAGGAGAACGAAGTGCATACTTGCAATAAGAAGAATGAAGTGCATGCTGTGCAAGTCCCTGACCAGAAGCATACTGACGAGTAGAAGTAGCGAAGCAGCATGGTTTGAATCTGCTCAAATACATTTTGGAACCGGGTTCCAAATTTAAGCCCAGGGTTTCATGTGTAGTGATTCTGATCTGTCAGCAAGCATGCTTTGTGCTGCCACGTGACACCCATGAAATTTGACCTTGATGAAGATTTCCTTTAACGACCCATATCCCAGGTCAGTTTCGATCCTCCCAGGCGAACTCTTTGTTTACTATATGCCGCAGTCACCACTTCACACACCTGTTTTGCACTGGATTTTGACGCAAATATTGCAGATTGATTCCCGTCTCCCAACGCTTCGGGTAACTTTCTCACCTTCACTTGTTCAGCTTGTCACACCAAATGATGTATTGCATGCTGCTTTGTTTGTGTTTGGCATTTTGGGGGAAGTAGGGAACACCGTTTTCCTGCTTACCTGACTGACACACAAATTTGACCTGCCTGGCCCACAAAGTCCTGCTGTGAGTGCTTCCAGATCCAGAGATGTGGGCTCGAGACTGAACTCTCAGCCTATCAAAAAAAATCGGCATTGCTTTGCTCTGACATGATCGCCCAGCATCTCCCAGCCTACTGTAGCTCCTGATATTGAGCAGTCTTCTGATCGTACTGGACACGTATTGAGCATCTCACGCATGGCTGAGGGGCTCTCAAAAGCCCTGACCTTCTATGAGAAGGGTTAGCATCGTCCAGAAGGTGAAGCAGGCCTACACACAGTGTTGTTCTGCAGATTGTACCCCATCTGATGCTGATGACATCCTGCAGATTGTCCAGACCTGCTTCTTGCCACATGTGCGGCAGTTTTTTACCACTGAGCTGCAGCTCATGCTCGGGCGCTCCCAAGCAATCACTATCTCCGATTTGGAGAACTGTGCAGAGGCCTGGGATGAGAACTCACGTGCTATGGCTGAGCAAAACAGAGCGCAGTCCTCACACCCCATGCAGACACGTGCTCGCGCTTCTCAGAGCGCAAATGCATTTGATGCATCTGACGAGCATGATGATGCCATGTCTTCTGTGAGTGTGTCTCAGAGCAGGGGCCGTGGTGGTGGCGCTACAAGGCCAAGGCCGCGGCGGCAGTGGCAGAGGCGGTGGCTTCCGTGAGAGCCACCCGCAAGGCGGCCAGGGCCAAGGCCCAAGCCCCTCTGCCAATAACAGCAGCGCGCCTGATATGGCCGGGCCGGCTCCTGCTGACATGGCAGGCGCTGAGTCATCCGGCGGTAATGACGTGGCAGAGCGAGTCATTCTGGCGGGCAGGACGGCAGTGAGGGCACTGCTGGCCCAGGCGGGCAGTTTGAAGCAACTGGGCAGGCTGCCCTATGCCCTGGAGGCAGGCAGTTGACTTTGAGGGGAGCGTGCGGAGAGTGCATGTGGCACCATTGGAAGCAGAGATCGCTGCTGCACGGACACAGCCATGAAAATTGTCCAGTCGGGCTGATTACTTCATTTCCTGCACCCATTGGTGCCTGAGGAGGCAGCAAATCATTCGTTGAACACTCTACAGTACTGCAGCCCTGCTTGTAAACATGCGTGTGTCATCAGCTGGAGAACACTTCACCTACTTGCATGTACAAGACCACCATGCACCGGTAATGCTGCTCATGCAGTCATCACCCAAGATGGCATTTCTCGTGCTCAAGGAATTTCATGTTCTTAAAGCAAGCAAGCAATACGGTATGTCATGTGCTGTGCTTCATCATACCATGCAAATGTACTGAAGGAGAGCCTTCAGAAAGAGTAAAGGACTTGAAGGGTACCCACAAACTGATCGCATCAGAACTTATTCCATGTCCCCTACGTCATTGTACAATTTATTTATTCCACAGCATGTCTGAAAGGTCGCTCTAGAGCTCTGCACAGGTGCATCGACGATACAGTATCGGCGACCTCTGCATATTATTCCTCCACCACTCAGCAGACCGCTCACTCTAGAAATTGCAACGATCCTTATATCCTATTCTTTCACCCTCCATCACTCAGCGGCACGTTCAGTCTGGACACTGGGAAGAGGCATTCAAGTTTCAAAATTCAACATAGATCCTCTCACGCTCCATCACTCAGCAGGGCGCTTGTTGTGGAAGCTGGGCAGGTCTTGGGTGCCAATGTAGGACCGCTTGCTCTCAGTCCAGATGTGGGCCTCCGGCTGCAGGACATCTGGCATGTCCAGGCTGGCGATGGTCACGTCCAAAACAGGACTGCCCACTGTTTGAAACACCAGCTGCGTCCCACACCGGCCGCAGAACTTCCTCACCCCCTCTGCTGTCGACTGGTAGATTTTTGGCTCCCCCTGAATGACCCTGAAGTCCTGATCAGGCACGGTCACTGAATTATTCAATTCTTGGGAATAGAAAGAGTGAGCTTTCATGCGACATGTTCTGCATGCAGTGTCCGTATCTGGCTTGCCAAAGTGCAGCGTGCAGATCGACCCAGGCATGGGGTGTAAGCTAGACCACTTAATGCCTGGCAGGTGCATCCAACTGCAGACAGGATGGAGGGTGGCGCTATTCTTATTTTGACTGAGCCTCGGCAGGAACACTTGCATATTGAGCTTTTGGCTCTTCATCTGTGATACCTCATTGAATGTGGCCCAAGCTACCAGGGGTGCTCCTGTAGAGCGCTGGAAGATGCGGCAATGGCACAAACAAGGCGACTCCTCAGTGGACGGGTTGCCATCGATTGAATAGCGCACATCGCCGCAGAGGCAGCCCCCATCGAGGTGCATTGCCCTGTGGCCAATGTCAGCACTGCTTTGTTGGTCATTGGCCCAAAGAATTCGAGAGGGTTTGAAGGTTATCAAAGGCTCTAAAACACAGTCTCGAAGATTAAATAGCCAGATTAATTAAACAAGGAAATTAGGCACCAACCCTAGTTTTGCACTGCCGTCTGTGTGCTTCTGGCTGACGACCGAGCGTTGTAATGCAGACTAGCACACTACCTCAAGCGATCCGTTTACAACCTTAGAATGAAAATTTACCCAATCAGATAGCAAGGTCAAGAAATGGCACAGGCGCCTGATCTGGGTCAACGTGGGGACTCCTTCGCTAGCTATGAGCGGCTGAGGCATCTCCACGGTGGCTCCATCTTGAACTTGGTTCGCAACAGATGCAAGCTGAAGGTCCGTGAAGACCATTACACTGTTCTAAAGCATCCTCTTGCACTCAGAATTTGCAGAACTAGTTAGCTGAAACGTTCTACGACAACACTTCAGACAGCTTGCAATATGGAGTTCGGTCGCGTGCTCACAGCTAACCGCTCGGTGTTCCCCGGCACAGCCAGCACACTACAATCCACACGCCGATCGAAATGCTCCGCAAAGGCGCAGCGGCATCTCATTCCCCTCCGTGCACAGGTAAAGATCCTGTCTTGACGTTCCTGTTGTGACTACAAGTCCCTGCTGCCATCAAATAGCGGTGAACACTGCGAAGGTGTTTGTACGTCATTTGTTCGTCCTTGATGGTGCAAGGAACGTATTCCTTTCATTGAATGCACTGTGAAGCCATGCAATGCCTTATGGGGTGCTCTGGGTTGACCCTTGGCTGCTTGATGCGAACAGGCAACAGAGGAGGCGAAATTGGAGTTGACCGACAAGGAAAAGGTCGACAAGCTCCTAGCAGAGCGCCAGCAACAGACAGCGAAGATTGTCGAGCAGCAGGACACAGCCTCACAGGCAGAGCTTGTGACTGAGAACCTGCAGGCCAGCAGTGCCGCAGCGAAGTTCGAGGTGTTCGGACAGACGCAGGAGGCCATCAACGGTGAGCCCACCGTTTTCTCCTAATTTTCTCCTCATTTGCACCGTTTTATTCTCATTTGCTCATTGAATTGGCATGGAGGCTTGGGGAGGGGTGTATTGCCAGATCGTGCAGAGGATGGCCCGATCTGAGGGAGCTCATTTTTGTGTTGCAGGAAGAGCCGCCATGCTGGGCTTTGTGGCAGCAGTTGTGGCTGAGTTGCAGACTGGTCAGAGCGTGTGGAGCCAGCTGGCTGGCAAGTATGTAGAGGGAGACCTCAAAGACCTCTAGGCTTCGGTGCCATTGTGGCTCTGCTCACCTACGCCAGCATAGCACCCCAGTTCCAAGCAGGCAAGCTGCAAGTCCCCCCCTGATTGTAGTCGCTGTCTCAGACGACTTGCAACTGCTCCTTATTGCAGTTGATGCATCCTAGGCTAGCATAGGCTATATTGACACCCATTGCCCCCTGTGCCTGGTGAAATGCACTAGTTGATATGTACAGTTCCCTGGATCCGAGGAATCCTGGATCCTATGGGAGCATGCAGTGCTGTTGTGGCAGCACAGAATGACGGTTGCTGTGCGGAAATTGATCACAGCGTAGGTTGCAAGCACCTGCGCGTGCAGGTGCACCTGCTTATCATGGGGGTCCTTGACTGATCGGTGGTTTCATGCCACTGCAGGGGAGAAGCCCGACTCGAGGTCATTTGGGCCCTTCACTCCCTTCCTGGAAGCCTGGACTGGACGCGTTGCCATGCTGGGCTTCTCTGGTCTGCTGCTGGTGGAGCTCATCAAGGGAACGACCCTGTCTTCTGAATGCTGCAAGCAATTTTTGAGAGTCAGCCTGATGCATAGAAATGCACCTTGTATAGTTCGCTGCGCTTCTGAGTGCATGCTTTATTGTTGGTGTTCCCATACTGTGATACAGAGGTTTGGATGTCGTTTTAAGTAAAATTATACTTTGCTGAGAGCATGGGCATGCATGAAGGGAGAATTGCTTGCAATATAAAGAAGGAGAATTTCGCACCGGTGTCACAATACTGATATTGTTTTTTGAGCAGAGAACAGCTGTGTACAGTATATACTTCTAAAGTGCAATTCCATAAGTTGGTGCTTTGAAAATTGCACATCTGTATGGATTCCAAATTGTAAGCCATTGCCAAGATTCTTTGAAAATAGCAACTGCAACTCTTCTGGCTTGCTGTTGCCTGAACTCTTTTATTTATCACAATGCATTCGCTCTTCTGCGCGACGCTCGAGTGTTTCCTGTGTCTCTTAGGCTGCGTGTATGCCTTCTCTTGCTCCTTTCGTCAATTGCACTTCCACTCGCACCCTTCACACTCCTCTTGTCTGCATGCAATGCACCACACTCTTGATTCAAGTAGAAGTTCGCTTCCAATGTATTGTATGAGCCAGCTGCCAAGATATCTCAATATATCCAGATCCACCAAGATTAGGAATCTCATGGACAAGCCTTTTTAGGCTGCATAGGCTGTGCGTGATGCAGCACTCAAGATAGCTAATAGATGTCAGCTGGATGTGTACATAGAGCAGAAGCGCACCATTTGGCATTCTTGGTCTTGCAGGCTTTGGATCTTTGAGGCTCCCAGTGTTCAGCCATCTGAGGTAGCGCAGCAGAACTGCATCTTCCACCCCTTTACTCGCTTTCACCCCCCGGCAGAAGATGCGCCAGCTGTCTGATGTGAACTTACCACAGCCATAGAACTCCACTGGATCCTCCCATTCCTGCATGCACAGATCTTGACTTGAAATATTCCCATTTTGGTAATGCAGATGCCACAGCGGGCTATTCAATATTTCACGTGATCGAAGGCACGTTGACTTGTAAAGCCACCCCTGTTCTACAGGGAACTCCATCAAGCTGACAGCAACGATTATTCAATGCACTTTTTGGGCAGCTGGCTAAAGAAAGGCATCCTGGGAACGAGACGAACGGTATATTAATCGAACCTTCTCGAAGAAGGTCTGAGACATCTGTTTGACGGCCTTGATCCGTGTCTCCTGAAGACCCAATGGGTCTATGAAGCTTTCAAGCTCCTCATCTGGTGCCTCCAAGACCATCGATGGCGTCCCATAAGTCCCCAAGAAGGCCTTTATTGTCATCTTGATCACCTGGGTCCCACTCGTTCGACTGCTCACACACAAAAAGCTGGCCATCAGTTGAGCAGAAACAGATCCAGGAGCCTGATAGAGCCTTGCATCTTTGAGATCATTAACAGATCAGCTGCACACTTGAAAGGGATATAGGTGCGTGTTGATACTACACGGCATTGATAATCGAAGCACCTGCACAGCAGGCAGCAGACCAGATGCTGCCAAGGATCATGATATTGCTCTTGGATGAGGTTAAGAGGGGAGATCCTGCACACGACACGCCATGCAGTCAGTCAGCCACATCGCTTCTAGCCAGTTTAGGGCAGATCCGATATCTGACTCTGGTACATGAGGGTGCCATCAGTATCACAGCACATGCACACTTTGCGTCGTATGCTGTGCGTAGGCATGCAAAGATTCTGAGCAATCAAATATCAACAGGGCCCAAAGTTTCATGACATGTTTCAGGCAGGTGACTGCGCCAGTGGCGGCCAGCAGAAAGGGCGTACGGGTGGCTTCTGATGCAGAGCCTGTGCTTGCAGTAATCAAACCACCCTCCCTGACTGTTCTCCAAAGGTTTCTGACCAAGATCAACAGCCTTCTGGCCCCACTTTGCAGCTGCCAGCTGCTTCCACAACATATCTTCCTGCATATCGTTCACGATTTTGAGGAAGGCACAGGACCTGTTTATAGCTGTCCTGCCACATAACCCAGTCCTGCAGGCTCTCTCTTTCAGTGTCACGAATTCCCGTCGAAGCAAACTTGATCCCACATTACTGCAGCCTGAGTCTGAACCTCTGCCTCAAACGGTAAAATGTCCGCTCCGGGATATCCACGCAGGAACAAGGGCAGACCTTGATCAACAACTTCATGGCCGTGCAAGTTGCAGCCATTCCAACAAGGCTGACAACATCTAGCTTCGCAAAAATCAGAAGACACGTCTCCCGCGGTAAGCTCAAAAGGTCTGGAGCTGGCGCCATCGAATCAATCAGATCAGATCTTGCCCTCTCAGAAGGAAATTACAGCTCTGAATTTTGATCTGAGTATTACTACCCACCAAGGACGTTGAAATTGAAACTTTGACAGTGTGCACCTGATTGTCTTGCCCTAAATTTCCCTTTGATGCTCTCTAGCTAGACCCTTCAGGTTGTCGAGATAAATAAAGGTCTCCTGCCTTGAAATCTCCAAGACGTGGTGGCATTACATGATCAATCAGTGCTTCACCTGATGTCTCCGCAAATTTGCCAACGATCCTCTTTTCTTCAGGGGACACACAACCTACTCTGCTCCAGATTACCTCGTGTAGCAGCGCTCTCTGCGGAAAAGTTGCCAGGTCTCAGATCAGTACGTGCCCTAACCGTGATGTCAGCGTCGTCTTTCAAGTATGTGGTTCTTGGGGGTGGTAACTCTAGCGGGTAACATGACCTAATTGATCCTGCTCACATCTGTATTGCCCTACGCCAATATTTGTGGATAGCAGGGTGTGGACCAATCGAGCGCTGCGTGGAAGCTGTAGTTTCCTCAAAGAAAGCTTAGAGACTGCGTTGTCCACACTTGGAATTTGTTTACGTGTGAATATTGTTTCTATATATCGTGCTTTGGCAGGTATGCTGCTCGCGAGTTTGTCCAGCGCGGAATAGGCAACGGAGAGCTTGCAATCATCACTGAGGAGCCGGTGTGCTGCGCATGCTTAATGAGAACGTCAAGTTCCCATTTAGACATCACGCATCTGATCATACCAATTCATGCATAAGTTGATCTCTGTGATGAGAAGGAGACAACCAATCCTGAAAGTGAATGTTGCCTGCAGTACGTGGCATACGAGAGGCCGGCGCTGAGCAAGGCATACCTCTTCCCGGAAGGTGAGCATGATTCCTGTGATGAGAGGCACTGTCCTGAAAATTCCTAAAAGATCATTCCACTGCATCCAAGGGCGAGTTTTTGAACTCCTCCTTCTGCAGGTGCTGCACGCTTGCCTGGATTTTATGCAACAGTCGGGGGCGGTGGTGAGAAGCAGACCCCGGAGTGGTATGCGGAGAAGGGTAAGCACTGTGTGCATCTTTGCCAAGCTTTTAGGACCACCATGCATGCATGCATGCATCTTGTGTAGTACCATCATCGCTCGCTTGGTCAACTGCCATTCTACTCTTACAGTATGCAGGAAGCACCGTTGCTGATGTACTTGGGCATGGGTGCAGGCATTGACTACAAGACAAACACATCGATTACTGCAGTTGATGTGTCAGCCAAGACCCTGACAGCAGCCTCCGGCGACACCATCTCATATGAGAAACTCATTGTTGCCACTGGCGCTCGTGTGAGTCACCTCTGCTTCCAAAACAAAACCAAACCCATGTCAGCATAGTTAATCCAACTTCCCGGTAAGTATAAATTGGCCATAAAGGAGGAGAAAGGAGGCAGCAAGACTGCCACAAAATGAAATTGAGGCCATGTGTGTGGTGTGCAGCCAATCTATCTGACAGACTTTGGGACAGAGGGTGCGGATTTGAAGAACATCTTCTACTTGAGGAATGTGGTTGATGCTGACAAGATCGTGGCCGCCATCGCTGACGCCAAGACCAAGAGCAACAAGGTGAGGATGTCCATCAGTCCTTCCAAGTATATCTAGCATCTCAAATGTTATGCACATCAATCCTGCAATGCCCCTCTTGATATTGCAGGCAGAATGCCGTCCTCCACTTCCTGTCCTGCGCACATGTGGCAGCTCTTGTTGTGGAAGTGCTCCAGGAAAGGAGGGAGTGCTGTTAACCAGGCTGATGTGCATAAGATCTGCATTCTGCAGTGTCAACTCCCTACAGGGGTCTGCTCCCTACAGGGGCCTGGTCCTCACAGGGCGATAGATAGGAATCAGCTGCATCAAAAAAACACCTGGACACCAGTGAAAAGTGCAAGTGTGTTGGGGGCAGGCAACTATAGTTGGTGGCGGCTACATCGGGATGGAGACAGCGGCGTGCTTGTCCAAGAACGGGCTGGAGGTGACTCTGGTGTTCCCAGAGAAGCACCTGATGGAGCGCCTGTTCACTGCTGAGATGGCAGCATTCTACGAGAAGGTTTACACTGACAAGGGCATCAAGCTCTTGCCGGGCTCCCTCGCCGCCTCCTTCGAGGGCAAGGACGGCCATGTGAGCACCCTCAATCTCCCTTTGACTTTCTTTGTCTTGGATTACATATATGATGCTCTGTGGTTAGCTGCCGCTTTAGCCGGGTAGTGCAGTATGATTGCATATGCAAGAGCTGCAGCTCTCAGGAGAACTTATCGTTGAAAAATGATGCAAGGAGAGGCGGCTGTATACGGCATGCATACCTGTCTATGAAATGCACTGACCTTCGTTTGCATGAGTCCGGTTGGAAGAAAACCAGAATTCGTCCGTGCCGGAATTCGCCATATGAGCCATATGACGATGGTGTACCACTATGGAATCCACTGGTTAGTATGCCGGGATATCCGAGCCTAGTGCAAATCACACAAGTGGAGGCAGCTGTGTATGCTGATGTGGCCATTTACCGTGCAGGTGACGACAACGGTGCTGAAAAACGGGGACAAGATTGAAAGCGACATAGTGCTGGTGGGGGTGGGCGCGCGGCCCAATGTGGAGATGTTCAAGGGGCAGCTGGACCTCCTAGAGGACCGCCCTGGCGGCATCAAGGTGAGGGTTGCTCATGAGTGCTGCAGAACATACCAATGCAACCCAGAGGGGTGGTTTGAAGATTGACAGAGCACTGGAGGGCGTGCATTGCAATGCGTGCACTGTGTGAAAGGGCGCATTGCCTTTCACTGCAATCCTAGCGAGCAGCTAGGAATCTCTCAGTAAAGTCGTCAAAGAAATCCTTGAGCTTCTTGTCTAGATCAGAGAGTCAAGGTGCAGCAAGAGGGTTTTTACCTTAACTGCCCTGTGGGCTTCCTGTCTTGATTGCACATGTGTTCCCATGACTTGCATCTTGTAATCTTGAGATTGACTGCCGAGAAACTGAAAGATGCTTGTGAAGCATTTGACCATGTGTTTTCAAGCCATGAGGAGAGCACCAGCATCATCAAGTGATGCTGCCTTGCAAGAGGGCACCAGCTGATATTCTCAGGGGTGTCTGTTTTTGCCTTGCTAAAACTGAGCTACTTTTCTGGTCAAGCGTCTGGTGTCTAAGTATTTTTTATGTTAAAGGAGTGTTGTATAGCGGTTGAAAGGACAACGCCCCTGCGCAGGTGGACGGCAACCTGCGCACCAGCAACCCGGATGTGTATGCTGTGGGTGACATCGCTGCATTCCCCCTGAAGAAGTATGGCATCACCACCCGCCAGGTGCGCCCTCTACTTCAAGAGTTCTTTTCCCATTCCCTTCATCTGGCTGAGCCTTCCCGGCTCATTTCTGGATCCATCCTGGATTTTTTGAGCCATCTTGTATTTTTGGATGGACGACCTAGGTGACAACAGTTCTCTAGTAACCCCAAGGGATTGCTTGAGTTGTGCCCATGTTTTTGACGCCCTGCATATTGCAATAGATTTCAAATGAAATGCAATTGAGACAGCATAAGTCGAGCACTCCCTTGGAACTCAGATTCTGTGATACCACATTCAAGGCGTACATCCTTTAAACACAGAGAAGGTTGTTTGGATTGCCGCAGGAGCACGTTGCAAACTGCAGAGCGAGCGCAACGCACGCAGTGGCGTCCATCATGGACCCTTCCACTGGGGACTATGATTACCTGCCCTACTTCTACTCCAGAATCTTTGATTTGTCCTGGCAGGTAAACCACTCAGGCTTGCCGCGTCTTCCTTCCGCGCAGCTCAGTCCATCATGCTCTGCTCTGTTGGCCCGTAAAGTTGAGCCCGTGTATTGCTCTTGCGGCAATTGCAAGTAGTGGTGTGTACAATCTAGCAAAACGTGTCCTTAAAATGCAGCCAGACCTTCTACAGCAATGACGTGCAGCGAAGATGGTCTTTACAAAGTGCCAAAGCAGCATCGTGCATGTGTCTGAGTGAATGCATGTGGCGCAGTTGTACGGAATCAATGAAATGACGACCCCCACACTATTCGGCGACACCAGCAGCGGGAAGTTCGGCACCTACTTTGTCAGGGACGGCAAGGTGCGCCCCTATATGCAGCGGCAAACAAAAGTCTCAGCTCAGCAAGACCATAGAAGTTTCGCAGGATGCAGTCCATGAGTGCACAGCTACCAGTGGTTTTAGCTCAATCAATGCCAGTGCGCGTTCCCCTTTGCTGGCCCTGTTGATGCATGCTGCAGCAGTGCCAGTTACATCGTTTATGTGAAGTGGGGAGCATATACCCTTTGTGCTAGGAGCAAGGGAAGTCGCAAGATAAGAGATAGAAAATTTGTGTTACACTAGGTCCCATTCTGGCAAATTCTCCATTCTAATGCTTCCAGGATTGATATTATGCCATGCACTGCGCAGGTGGTGGGGGCATTCCTGAAGGGTGGATCCCCCGAGGAGCAGGAGCTGATGAAGAAGGTGGCCATTGAGCAGCCGGCAGCACCCGAGGACCTGGCAGCTCAGGGCATTGCCTTTGCTTCAAAGCTCTGAGCGCCTCAAAACTTCAAAGCGCCGCCCATGGAACTATTAAGTGCTCAGCCTTGAACTGAGGAGAGCAGAATGCATGACGAAGCGTGGGCTGTGTCACTGTGTCGAGCAATGTGATTGCCTGTGAAGTTCTGGTCACTGTGGTTTGAACAGAATTCTAGCTGGTCTGGACAGTTCCATGACCTGCCTGCATTACCGGCACTAAAGTTCAGGAGGAGCAAGCCTGCTGTCTGTTCGTCCAAGGAGAGCGGCTCCTCTCTGGGCTGTGAACAATTCTTTAGTACTTTCAATCATGGCAGACAGTCTGCACAGATGCGTCGCCATCTCAGTGTTCCTGTGGGGTAGCTTGTATGCATGCGCTGTGGTTTGCAGCTCGCTGTGTATGTGTACATCTTGTATCTAAACGTAGAAGTGGTTAGTGCAGTTGTACGCTATTATTGCAACACGTAGCAGTGGTCAAATCTTCAATGCGTGAGTCAGCAACTTTCAGGATCGACGTGTATCAGCTTCTCCGATATCCTGGAGAACTTCGATCGTGAAGGAAGGAAGGAAGATTACATCGCTCCAGCCGCCTAGGGCTGATTGGATGAACTGGCAGCATCCAAATAATCAAAACAATCCATCACGAAATGTGCAACACCAACAATGTCCAACTGCCACATGAATTGCTGCATGGTCACAATGTCTGCACCAAACAGCCCAGGATATCTGCCCCGAACAGATTGCAAGGCAGGGCACTCGAACACAAGGTGGCGCTCATCCCCAAGAACCTGCTGGGCACAACGCATGCACAAACGCTGGGGCCGGGGAACCCTGGCCCAGCGGCCCGAGACATTGGGCAGACTATGACAACCAATCCTGAACTTCAACAGTATACGCAAGCAACGGGCACTCAAAGGCTGCTGTAAGAGCTGGCGAGGGTGGCGCACACAATCTGGCCTAGCAAACCATCTGTGATATGTACACAAGGTGGCATTGCTGGACGGGCAGGTCCTAGGGCAAATGTCAATGTCATCCCAAACCTGCAGTGCTTGCGCATCTAGCAGCTGCATCACAGCATCAACTTCCACAGGAACAAGGGTGTCAAACCGAATAACAAACTCATACCCAATCCGGCGCAAGCCCCGCATGAAGGCCCAAGCCCAATTCTTCACATTACGGGTGATGGCATCCCAACAATCATCAAGGGCCACTTGCCCGTGAAAATTAATTGCAGGCAAGGCAGCCAAATTGTTCCAGAACTTGATAATGCGCCGCCACCACACACAATCAAGGGTCTGCTGATTCAACTCCTTAAGCAAGATGGCACCATGCACAGAGGTGGGGACGCCAGCAATGTCTCGCAGAATTTTCAGGTGAGAGGAGGCCAAGGCAGCCCGGCCCCGCCGGCTGTCGCCACCAGGAAGGCTGCGCAGGCCCCACACCTCACAACCGTAGGAGGCAGTCGGCGGCACACATGCATCATATAGGCGCAACAATAGGCCAGCTGACATGCTGCAATGCAACTTCCCATATTGCTGCCTGAGCTGTGCCCACGCACCCCACATGTTCCTGTGAAGCTTGCCAAAGGTGAGGTTCATGCCTTGGACACCGTCAAAAAGGGCACCCAGGTACTCAAACTGCTGAACCCAATGTAAAGGCGCACCACCACAAAGCCACTGAAAAGGTCCTGGCAAACTTGAAGAGAACACCACAACCTTTGTTTTGTCAACACTGATCACCATTCCCGTTTGTTCACAAAACTCAGCAGCTGCATCAATCAAGCGTTGCAAATGAGCAGGTGTGGTGGCGAGCAAAGCAAAGTCATCAGCATAGCCTAGATCCGGTACACAACTGCCGTTACGCAACTGAGGGCCAACCCCAGGGCACCTCTGCAGCAAGTGCCTGTGCAGGCCATCTGCAAACAAGCCAAACAGCGTGGGGCTAAGGGGGCAACCCTGCTTCAATCCTGTCGCAGAAGGCAAACTAGGACCCTTCCTGCTCCCAATCTTCATGGCAACCGTAGAATGGGCATACAGAGACTGAATGGCAGAGAGCAGGCGGCCATCAATGCCCAGGCGACGCAAGCTTTCCCAGAGCAACACCCGATTCACTCTGTCATAAGCACCCTTCAGATCAAGAAAGCAACAATACAAGGGCTGCTTAGCATGGTTTTGCCGGTCGATAAGATGCTGCAAGGTGAATAGCTGGTGGGCCGTATACAGTTTTGGCCTAAAGCCAGCCTGTGTGGCTGCACGCAATCCAGCCCCCTCTGTGTACTTCAAAATACGAGCATTCAATAAGCCAGCGTACAAGCGCATGATGGGCTCAGTGACGGCAATGGGTCTATAATTGAGCATGTCAAGCTTGCTGCCTTTCTTGTGCACAGGGGTGATCAGGCTACCATTCACAGAGGGTGGCACTTGCCCTGCCACAAATGCCACAAATGCAGAGTTCAACACAGCCACCAAAGCAGGCGCCAGGACATTCTCCGGAGGAGGCATGCCTGGTGCCCGCTCATCTTGTGCATACCGAAACAGCTCAGCTGGTAAACCTTGCACTCCGGTGGCACGACCATGGTGTAAACTTTTGAGCCCAGCAAGCACTTCCCCAAGAGAGATGGGTGCATTGAGAGCATCAACATGGGCGACAGGAGCACTGGGCTGGACAGGGAAAGACAAGTGGGGCAGCTCAGCAATGACTGGCAACTGCAAGTTTGCAACCCGCTCGAGATAGCCAGCCCACAATTGCACTGGCTTGAGCTGCTCAGGTATATCAGACTGCTGAGACTTGAGCCGCTTCCAGAAGGCTCGGGGGTCACTGTGCAAATCATCAAGCAGGCGTCGCAGTTGCGCGAGCCGGTGAGCGCGCCGTTTGTGGCGGACGGTGTTGTGGTAGGCACGCTCCAGCGCGCGCACTTCGGCTGGATCGCCCCGTGATGTTCGAGGCTAAAAGTTGTCCGATAAAGCCCATCAAGCCACATTGTTGCTCTGAGCTTCCATACGCTGATACACCTGGACCTCTTCGAACTGCTGATACAAAGGTGAGCTATTGCACTTCTGCACTTTGCTTACCTGCGACTACGTTTTGGTGAGTAAAAGCGTACGTTCTTTAGAACACACCAATGATTATTCTGGCACTGTGAATGAAGCAACGTCGACCTGTGTGCCGTCACTGTGAGACTAACTTTCTGACGCCCCGCTGCAGCTGCAGGAGACGTGTTCTGGACCAAGATGGGTGGATTCATGTCAGCGATACACAAATGCTTTTGCTTTCGTGGCAGGTAAGCAAACTTTTCACACCCTTCCACCTCCGAAAAAGCTTGAACGCAGCTCCTCGAAGCTGGCCGAAGTTGCCGCCACCGAATGCCACCAGGGCATACCTGAGCTATTTAGGGAAAGATCGTTGGCAGTGAAAATCATATGGCTTTTCTAACTTCAAATGAGCTGACCAGAAGGCTAGAATTGCCGATTCCACAGCTTGCTGCCACCTGGTCTGACAAGTTAGTGCTTGCCCGAGTGCCCATCGCCTCCTTGCAGCAGAGGAGCTGCAGAATGTAAAGTAGGCATCATCATATTTCTACAGAGTCTGCAGCGCAAACGAAATGGAAACTGCTTTCCTGCTGCACTGCAGGCCCATTGAACAGCGGGATTCCCCCCTTCTCAGAGGGAGACTTCAACCCTGCAGTAGGGGGCCTTGGGCAGAGCAGCTACCTGAATGCTCTAGGAAGGGTGTCAATCCAGCGACCCAGTGCGGCCCAGCTAGAAAGGGCCTCCATCGTTTTCATCAAGGACTGAGGCTCAGTCACTGCGCAGAGGCAAAGAAGCATGCCACTGATGTCGAGAGCTCTGTTCTTTCTGAGGGTACAACAGTGGTGGCTTGAGAGTGTTGAGGAATGTGCTGCAGTGCAGCTTATTGCTGGACAGCAATCTGGCGGTAGTGCAAAAGCAAGGTGGTAGATGCTCTGTCATCATGCTGATCAGACAATACTCTTACTGCGATGCGATTGGCACCCTCTTAAGGTGTTTTCGTGCTGATAGCAGCGCTGCTCTGCGCTAGCGCTGCTCTGCGCTAGCGCTGCTGTGCGCTAGCGCTGCTGCTGTGCCAGACAGGCTAGGCAGCGCTGCAATGCATACCCTGTACCATTTGATGCCCATGTCGGTCCGGCTGCTGCGCAACATGCGAGGCCAGCATAATGCATGTTCTGTAAGCACCCTCGAAGGAACCTGAGGGAGAATTGAACTTTCGAGTTTAATTCGCATGCTTTCCGTTATGTTTAATCGTTCTGGCTGCTGCATGATCTGCTTGTTAAGCTTCTCTATTTCCTGGCTTTCCTTTGCAGTTCACATGTGAAGTAAAGACGAAAGGCAAGTGTTGATGGATGATAAATCGGGGGCTCTGAGCTCGTGTTAGTTGATAGGGTGTGCCCCAACCTATGCAAAGTGTTGCTTGGTGGGATTGGTTACGTGCTCATCGATTTGGAATTTGGGTAGGCCATAACACATTGGGGCCCACCTCCGTCTGCACCCCTTCAGTCGCCTAGTCTCTCGGTTGCGATGAGTCAGGGAACCAGAAGTCAGTCGAAGCGCCCAGCGCAGGGCAGCCCAGGGCAGTCAGATGAGGAGATGGAGCGATCTCCTTCTTGCAAAGGTCGAGTCTATGATCGACGGCCTGGAACGCAAGCTTGACAATAGGCTGGACGAGAAATTTGGGGCCCTCTTCCCTCAGCTGAAGGCAGAGCTCAACGCAGAGCTGAAAACCGAGCTGAAGGATGAGGTGGTGGCTGAGCTGAAGGCAGAGCTGCTGCCTCTCCTGCGCGCTGAGCTGGCCAAGGACACGCAGACCAGAGCCGCCTCCAACGATGAAGCAGTGGTGAACAAAGTGCACCATCTGGAGTCTGTGGTGGAGTCTCAGGCCCGCCAAGCCAGGAGTGCCAACCTGATCTGCCATGGTCTGGCAGAGGACAACACAGAGAATGTCTCAGCCCGCGTGGCAGCGCTGTTTGACAGCAACAGCGGCCCCCCTGTTGTTGTCAGCGAAGCTCGCCGCCTCGGTGCCCCCAGCGCCACGCGCACCAAGCCGCGCCCCGTGCTCATCAGCTTCAGCGGCGTTGCAGCCAAGCACGCTGCCCTCAAGCACAGCAAAGCCCTGCGCCAGCGCCAGATTTTTCTGGATCCCGACCTCACCCCGCAGCAGCAGCGCATCCGCGTCAGCATGCGCCCGCACTATGTCGCTCTGAAGACAGCCGGCAAGCAGCCCTTCTGGCGCGAGGAGCGCCTCTTCGTCCGGGAGGGCGACCGCGTGCGCGAGCACATGCCTGTGCCTGGGCCTCCCCCGGCTGCCGCGCCAGGCGCCGCTGCCGCCCCAGGTGCTGCCGCTGCCGGGCCCTCTCAGGCCGCGCCTTCCTCCCCCGGCCGCGCTGACTCCTACGCCGAAGCAGTGCGCCGCTAGGAAGTCTCCAGCCGCCTATCGCTGCGCATATTGTACTGGAATGTCAATGGCTTACATGCTAGCAAAATATCCTTGTGGGACACGGCAGCCTATCTTGACCAGTTCGATATTGTACTTCTGACTGAGGCCCGTTGCTTGACCTGGGATGACTCGCTCTTGCCTCACCATTCTGTGACTTTCACGGCTGCTAGTGAAGAGGGCAAGGCGGGTGAAGGCATTGTTGTTGCGGTTCGGAAGCACCGTGATTACCACGCACAAGACTGGGTGTCAGACACTGACAGTGCCTTATGGGCGAAAGTGCAGTTTGATGGGGACCCTACACCGCTGCTGATTGGCTCCAGCTATGTGCCTCCAGCGGGCTCCCGACAATTGCAGACCGTGGACCTGACAAGACGATTTACGGGCTTATGTGCAGAAGTTGTTGCCGCTCGTGCTCAGGGCAATGTGATCCTGGCAGGAGACTTCAATGCTCGTGTGTCAAATTTGCCTGACGCTGATGAGAGCATTCCTCGAGGCTGCACTGATGAAGGTGTCAATGCTCATGGGGTGCGCCTGTTAGATTTGTGCAAGGAAACTGACATGCTCATATGCACTGGCAGAGTGCTAGGAGACCTGGAAGCAGTGCCTACCTTTAAGGCCAGAAACCAAACTCAGGCAACTAGACCTGATCATGTTCTCGTTTCTGCTTATGCGCTCCTCTTGATTTCTCATCTTGTTGTGAACACTGGTAGAAACGACTCTGATCATCATCCTATTGAGATGACATTGCAAGTGAATGTGGGTGCCAGTGTTCCCCTACCATGTATTGGGGCGCCATTGTTACGAGTGAAATGGCAGCCCAGTGCTAGGAATGCGTATGCTGCTGCTTTGCGCAATGTTGCAAGTGCAAGCCTTGACGCCTGCAAAGGCCATGCTGTGGCTGGGGAACTTGATGCAGCCTTTCAGACCCTGGAGGCGGGGATCCGGGAGGCCGCAGCCGCGAGCAGCATGCCGGCTCGCACCGGGCGCCATCAGCGCGAGGCGCGTGCCGACGCGCCCTTCTTCGATTCGGAGTGCCGCCAGCTCAAACGGGACGTCCGCGCCCGCGCGCGGTGCGGGGGCGATCCAGCCGAAGTGCGCGCGCTGGAGCGCGCCTACCACAATACCGTCCGCCACAAACGGCGCGCTCACCGGCTCGCGCAACTGCGACGCCTGCTTGATGATTTGCACAGTGACCCCCGAGCCTTCTGGAAGCGGCTCAAGTCTCAGCAGTCTGATATACCTGAGCAGCTCAAGCCAGTGCAATTGTGGGCTGGCTATCTCGAGCGGGTTGCAAACTTGCAGTTGCCAGTCATTGCTGAGCTGCCCCACTTGTCTTTCCCTGTCCAGCCCAGTGCTCCTGTCGCCCATGTTGATGCTCTCAATGCACCCATCTCTCTTGGGGAAGTGCTTGCTGGGCTCAAAAGTTTACACCATGGTCGTGCCACCGGAGTGCAAGGTTTACCAGCTGAGCTGTTTCGGTATGCACAAGATGAGCGGGCACCAGGCATGCCTCCTCCGGAGAATGTCCTGGCGCCTGCTTTGGTGGCTGTGTTGAACTCTGCATTTGTGGCATTTGTGGCAGGGCAAGTGCCACCCTCTGTGAATGGTAGCCTGATCACCCCTGTGCACAAGAAAGGCAGCAAGCTTGACATGCTCAATTATAGACCCATTGCCGTCACTGAGCCCATCATGCGCTTGTACGCTGGCTTATTGAATGCTCGTATTTTGAAGTACACAGAGGGGGCTGGATTGCGTGCAGCCACACAGGCTGGCTTTAGGCCAAAACTGTATACGGCCCACCAGCTATTCACCTTGCAGCATCTTATCGACCGGCAAAACCATGCTAAGCAGCCCTTGTATTGTTGCTTTCTTGATCTGAAGGGTGCTTATGACAGAGTGAATCGGGTGTTGCTCTGGGAAAGCTTGCGTCGCCTGGGCATTGATGGCCGCCTGCTCTCTGCCATTCAGTCTCTGTATGCCCATTCTACGGTTGCCATGAAGATTGGGAGCAGGAAGGGTCCTAGTTTGCCTTCTGCGACAGGATTGAAGCAGGGTTGCCCCCTTAGCCCCACGCTGTTTGGCTTGTTTGCAGATGGCCTGCACAGGCACTTGCTGCAGAGGTGCCCTGGGGTTGGCCCTCAGTTGCGTAACGGCAGTTGTGTACCGGATCTAGGCTATGCTGATGACTTTGCTTTGCTCGCCACCACACCTGCTCATTTGCAACGCTTGATTGATGCAGCTGCTGAGTTTTGTGAACAAACGGGAATGGTGATCAGTGTTGACAAAACAAAGGTTGTGGTGTTCTCTTCAAGTTTGCCAGGACCTTTTCAGTGGCTTTGTGGTGGTGCGCCTTTACATTGGGTTCAGCAGTTTGAGTACCTGGGTGCCCTTTTTGACGGTGTCCAAGGCATGAACCTCACCTTTGGCAAGCTTCACAGGAACATGTGGGGTGCGTGGGCACAGCTCAGGCAGCAATATGGGAAGTTGCATTGCAGCATGTCAGCTGGCCTATTGTTGCGCCTATATGATGCATGTGTGCCGCCGACTGCCTCCTACGGTTGTGAGGTGTGGGGCCTGCGCAGCCTTCCTGGTGGCGACAGCCGGCGGGGCCGGGCTGCCTTGGCCTCCTCTCACCTGAAAATTCTGCGAGACATTGCTGGCGTCCCCACCTCTGTGCATGGTGCCATCTTGCTTAAGGAGTTGAATCAGCAGACCCTTGATTGTGTGTGGTGGCGGCGCATTATCAAGTTCTGGAACAATTTGGCTGCCTTGCCTGCAATTAATTTTCACGGGCAAGTGGCCCTTGATGATTGTTGGGATGCCATCACCCGTAATGTGAAGAATTGGGCTTGGGCCTTCATGCGGGGCTTGCGCCGGATTGGGTATGAGTTTGTTATTCGGTTTGACACCCTTGTTCCTGTGGAAGTTGATGCTGTGATGCAGCTGCTAGATGCGCAAGCACTGCAGGTTTGGGATGACATTGACATTTGCCCTAGGACCTGCCCGTCCAGCAATGCCACCTTGTGTACATATCACAGATGGTTTGCTAGGCCAGATTGTGTGCGCCACCCTCGCCAGCTCTTACAGCAGCCTTTGAGTGCCCGTTGCTTGCGTATACTGTTGAAGTTCAGGATTGGTTGTCATAGTCTGCCCAATGTCTCGGGCCGCTGGGCCAGGGTTCCCCGGCCCCAGCGTTTGTGCATGCGTTGTGCCCAGCAGGTTCTTGGGGATGAGCGCCACCTTGTGTTCGAGTGCCCTGCCTTGCAATCTGTTCGGGGCAGATATCCTGGGCTGTTTGGTGCAGACATTGTGACCATGCAGCAATTCATGTGGCAGTTGGACATTGTTGGTGTTGCACATTTCGTGATGGATTGTTTTGATTATTTGGATGCTGCCAGTTCATCCAATCAGCCCTAGGCGGCTGGAGCGATGTAATCTTCCTTCCTTACATGCAAGGAATGCCGGTGGTGCCCTTCTCGAAATCTTCATGGGGCCTAGGCCTGGTCATCATGTTGTGCTTTAGGCGCCAACCATGCCAGCAGATGAACATATGTATGTGAGGCAATTTGTCACCGCGGTCATACTGTTGCGATCGCAGAGGTTCAACTGCAGGGTCGTATCTCTACTGTGAAAACGACCACTTTGCATAGACTCAGCGCATCATCAGCCCAGGCACAAGCAAGGAAGAGCTGTGCATTTAGCCCAACATAATGGCTGCGCTGCCGTCGGCCCTGTGGCTGGTCGTCGTGGTAAGCGATCCTGTGTTGTTCCTGGCTGTCCAATGGAGTGTGAGATCACTGCGTGCTCAGTGGAGTTCTGGCCACATGCTCTTGGACAAAGAATGCGCTGCTGATCATTCTGTTGCCGCAACCTGCAGGGAGCTCTTGCTTCCTGGGGATTTGGATGGGGAACAGGTGCGCCAGATTCGTACTTCAGTATTTGCAGTGCTGCTTTGACTGGTATAACCGTAAGGGCCATCGGTTTGTGCCTGACGCGTCCAACTGCAGATTGCTGACGCGTTGGCGTCTGTGAGTGCAGGTGCTAACGATGTCGCCAACGCCTTTGGCACATCCGTGGGCAGCAAGACTCTGACCTTGAAGCAAGCTGTGATCGTGAGTCCTTTCCGCTTTTCCCAACCCGTGGATCACTAGGGCTCTTGTCTCGTGATGATGTATCCTGTTGTTGTCTTGCGTCAATACCGCGTCTTTGGTTCTTTCATACAACCTATGATGCTCCATGTGGGAATTACAGGGTCTGGTATTCGTTGAAGGCGCGGTGAAGGCCAGCCCTAAGTTTCGAGAGGCGGACCGGTTCTAGTAAGCTGAGGAACCTTTGTGTTTTGCAGATTGCGGCCATCTTCGAGTTCGCTGGTGCTCTATTGCTTGGACGTGTGAGCACCAACACCATCGCTGGAGGAATCGCGTCCATCACCGCGTTCCAGAGGCAGCCCGAGGTGTACGCATACGGGATGTGCTGCGCCCTCGGAGTGGGCACCATCTGGCTGATCATCACGTCGAAGATGGGACTGAACGTGTCGTCCACCCACTCCATCAGTGAGTGGCCGCCCCTGTCCAACCTCACCCCGTGCAGAGGGTCAGATGGCAAACGGCATATTTCTGGGAAACGTTACGAGCATATTATGCCTTGTGACTAATGAAGGCTTTCCTCCCAGAATTTACACTTCTGTGCCAGTAATCTGTTCTGACACTGCTGCCTTCTGCTGTGCAGTTGGAGGCATCATGGGCTTTGCCCTGGTGTATGAAGGCGCTGCAGGAGTGACCTGGGCCGTGCGCGACCCTGGCGCCTTCCCTCCCTACAAGGTACGTCGCTAACCGTCCCAAAATCACTGCACTGTGCCTGGTGCAGTCAGTCTTTGTGTGCCTTCAGCTAGCCCTCATTGGGCATCGTTCCTCCAACGCGACCTGCATTTATTTGCCATTGTGTCATTTCAACAGATGCATAAATGCATGATTGGGTCTTGCTTGGATCTGGCGAGTCCATCAAGGCGGCTGCTTTTACCTGCGACCTGTGTGCAGACGCATCTGCCCTCTTGGAAGGAACAGCAACGTGATACTGTAATAAATTTAACATGCATGTGCTGATGGCAAGTGATTGTTGCCATGCAGGGAGTGGTGGCCATCATCCTGACATGGTTCATCGCCCCAGTGCTGACCGGCCTGGTGTCAGCCGTCATCTTCCTGCTCGTGCGCACTCTGGTGCTGCGCCGCAAGTTTGCCTACACAATCTCCTTCTGGCTCTTCCCTCTCCTTGTCCTCATCACTGTGTTCATCAACGTCTTCTTTGTGTTCACCAAGGTGAGTCACCCTTCCTCTCCCTGGCAGTGTCATTTCTCAAACGGCTGCAGCAATTTTGCAGACCAAGCTTCAGGCTTCCTTCAGTGCGTGGATAAATGAGCTTGCCTGACACTGGGCAACGTGCTGCACAATCTTGTTAACTAAGAGATGACTTGCAGCGATCACCTGAGATCCAGCTCAAGTATGGTCAGCCTTGAGCATGTTTGGACATTTGCTGCGGAGAGTGAGGAATTTCAAGTGTCTGAGCGGGGTTGAGATTCGTTGACAGGGTGCCAAGAAGTCCATCTCCGCTGACGACTGGTCCGACGGCAAGGCCGCCTGGATCGCCTTCTGCGTTGCTGCCGGCCTCGCTCTCCTGACCGCTGCCATCATCCTTCCCCTCCTCAAGCGCATGGTCGACAAGGGCTACACCATGTGAGGCCCCCACCTGCTGCTGTCCTCATGGGAGCAGCGGCGGCCTATGGGCTGACTGAAGTGCAGCGGCAGGCTCAGATGTCAGCGCCCTCATGTTGCTGGTGCATTCGTGCACTGACACTGTTAGTGCTTTGTCCAGTGCATGCACAGGCACAGGCATTGCCGGCTGCATCCTCACCAGCGCAACTGCTGCCCAGGTTGCAACTTTTGGCGCACTTGGAGCTGCACATACCTGCAAGTTTGCATATTTTCTAGCTGCAGGTCTTTGGTGCACGTCTGGGGAGTGTTGCACAGAGCAAGGCATGACTAATCCTTTTCACGCGGAGAATGCCCTAGTGCAAAAAATTGTCAGGGATTTGCAGCATTGCTGAGCAATTGATTTTTTTTATCAAAATGCAGGGAGGGTGCCGCCAAGCCGTCTGCCCCCAAGACTATTGAGGAAGACCCCGCAGCCACCAGCAAGACTGTCCCCGAGGACATCGAGGCAGGACCCAAGCCCACCAACGGCGCCAACGGATCCGTGCCGGTCGTCGAGGTGTACAAGGAGCTGAGCTGGGCCCAGAAGGCGTCCAAGGCTGCCATGCACGGCATGAACGTGGACATTCACCACCGCTTGACGCACGACGAGCACCTCAAGGCCATCCACGACCGCGCCAAGATCTTCCAGCCCAAGGTAGAGTACACCTTCAAATACCTCCAGGTGCGATGCCCTTCCCCTCTACTCTCCAATTTTCTCCCCTTGATGTCCTGCATGCACATTTGAACGTCACTGTGCATTTGCTTGCGTCAGTGCTCAAGCATGCTGCATGCGTATGAACTTTTCACAGGTCTAGACCAATCGGGAGTCCCAGCTTTGTTCACACATGAGTTAAAGACCATGGTGGCTTCCATAGTCGCAATTATGTGCCCCAAGCAGCGCATGACTGCATCGCTTTTTTTAAATTTGAAAAAAAAATTACAAAATTGGTTCCTGAGACAGACTCACGTTCTAAGCGGAGGTCTTCTCCGCCATCTGCGTGATCTTCGCGCACGGCGCCGGCGAGGTGGGCTACATGGCCGGCCCCCTGGCGACCATCTGGGACGTGTACCAGAACGGAGCGCTGTCCAAGTCAGTCTCCCCTCCCGTCTGGGTCATCCTGATCGGCGCCTCCGGCCTTGTGGTTGGCCTCGCCACCTACGGCTACAACGTCACCCGTGCGATGGGCGTCCAGCTGGCCAAGCTCACCCCCACCTGGGGGTTCTCCGCCGAGCTCGCCACCTCCTTCACCATCATGATCGCCGCCCAGTGAGTTTTTTTTCTCTCCAGTCGATTGCTATCACAGCACCAATTGTTCTGACTTGTGTGCATGCGCTGTGTGCTGAAGTGTCCGAGGCAAAGTGCTGAGACCCTTGTGCATAGCTGTGTGCTGCGATGACGGCCAAACCTCTGTGCCTGTTGGAGTGCCCTCTTCTGTTGGGCTGCATGCCTCTTGACTTGGCTGCATGCACAGCTTGCTGAGATTTAAGCATATAAGAGAGTCTCTCGTGGGCTGGTATTGAAGAACATGTTTGTTTGGTTCCTGCAGGTATGGTCTGCCCACCTCTTCCAGCCAGTGCATTACGGGCACTGTCATTGGCGTGGGCCTGTGCGAGAACATCAACGGCAAGGGAGTCAACTGGTGCCAGTTCCTGCGCCAATTCGCCTCCTGGGTCGCCACCCTGTTCCTCGTCGGCTTTGGCACTGCCGCCGTCTTCGCCCAGGTAACCTTACTGCTACGCTGCGCCCATCATGACAGCATGCCCTTTACGAGCAAGCTCCAGCGTGTTCTCCTAGCTCGTAAATAGCCCCCGTGGTCGCCCAGTCGTAAGCAACCACGCTGATGACCAGCAGAGCCCAGTGCAGTGGCACTGCCAGCGAATGAAAGCTTTGTTTTGGCTTGTCAGAGCCCATCACCTGCATGAAAAAGAGTAGGCCAGACATAGTGCTAGAAGTAGCACCCTGCATGATGAAGAAGAGGCCAGAGGAAAGGCACAAACAGCACTGCTACCGAGGCTCATTGCAAGTTGCCTGTGTACAGGGTGTGTACGCACCATCAGTGGTGGAGGGCCGCGATGTGATCACCTACGAGAATCGCATTGCCAACCTGACCACCAACCTGTCCAAGGATTTCAACACCACGCTGCTGTCCTACCGCAACGCGTCCGCCTCCAACGCTCTCCCCCTGCTGCCCCCCGCTCAGTGGGAAGCCCTCAACAAGACCGTCACAGAGGCGAACACCAAGGCCAAGAAGCAGGTCGACCCCAAGTACACCCAGTCAGGTGAGGCCCTCTCTTCTCCCCCCCGCTTGCCCTTCACAGTTCCGCTGCTCAGTACCCGTTTCCTTGAACCCTGCAGACACCATTTTGGCCCAGGTGGCATCGGGCACCTGTTGATTTTGGAATGCATATCTTGTGCCATGTTTGCATGGACATCTTTAGCCTGCCTCACACTGTGACACAACAGGTTACTTTGCTGCTGCATTTGCCTCTTCTTTCATGCAGGCGTAACCTGTCTCGGCGCTAAGAGTTGATCTGACCTGGGCATATGTCTGCTGTGCAGTGACGCCCAACGCCGTCCTGGACTCGCTGTACAAGGTACTCTCCCTTTACCAGCAGAACACGGTGTTCACCCTGGGCCAGAACACTGTCTACAACGGCTCCGCTGTCTGCAACAACAACGACACGGCGACCATTGCCAGCAACACGCTTTCGGCCTGCAAGGCACCCAAGCCGCTGACGACTGCCTACCAGACCAAATTCCCTTGAAGACCCTTGAAGTCAGCTCGCTGAAGTTGTCTGAGCGCTCCTATTGATTTACCTTTCATGCAAGCTAGACAGCAGAAGTCTGGTTCTAATGTGTTTCATCGCGCAAGCAAATATAAGAATTGGGTTGTTAATGTGTTTCATGCACGCAAGCAATCAATAGAACTGAGGAAGTGGATGCACGTGATTGGAAGTAGATAGAACTTAAAGCGTATCTTTATTGCTGTGATGCCTCAGGAGGCCAAGCGTCAGCTTGGGGTCCTGCTAGAATATCCTTGCTGTTTTGCGTGAGCTCTGCTTGAGGCGCATTCCTTCAAGTGGCACCTTGCCAAAGAATGACTTTTGCGGACAAGTTGCGACCCGTCCGCAGTTCTGACTGGCTGCAAGCTTTGGGCCTACACAAAAAGTAGACAGAAGTAGCGCTTCCGCTGCCCACCAGAAGTGGATCTGGTTTAAAAAATAAATTTAATGCGAAGAAGTAGACAGCATTGATGGGTGTGCTTGCTCTTCCACCTATTGGACTTCTTTCTTCAAAGCAGCACCCGCCCCTCCTGTGTTACCAGCTGTTTATGGCATTCCCCAAGTGGTTGTAGTCTCGTCGTACAGTACATCGTGTTTGAACAAAGGGGGCCAGCACAGCTGGAAATAAGTCACGCATGCAGTCACTGTGACCATGGTTGAAGATGTCATGGGTTTGGTTTGAAGATATTTCTAGTGTGCAGAGCTCGCTTTGCCTGCATGTCTATATCACCTGTGTGCCCTTTCATCAGATCAGATCGTAACAATTTTGGTTGGCGTGCTGGCTCAACGCACTGTGCAATATATGGTGCGTGGCCTTTCATATATTCCCACTCCAAAGCTTGGGGCCCTGCCAGAAATGTGATTGAATTAGATACATTCTTTAGATAGCGGATGTTTCCATGCAAATTTTTGTGGTGCGGCTATGAGCCCTCGAGCTGTCTCTCCATGTAACCATGCCTTTTTAATCCGATGGAAAATCTCTGCGATGCTACCGTACAGTGCTTTTGCTATCTTTTCATGATGTTGCAATGAATCGAGATCACCAGCACTGTGCCAGGAGTAATGTACCTTAATTTACATGCATCAAGTCCTGTAGGAGACACATCAGAGCTTTACATGCCACTCAATAATGGGCAAGGTTCCCACAGAGCTCAGACAAATCACGGGCACATATTAATATAAACGCACATGCACCCGGGCGTGGGGCATCGGATGATATCTGGAATTGCATATGAAAGCTTCTGGAAGGTGGGCGGTGCATGACGCCAATGTTTGCCAGCAAAGCAGCCCTTGCTTCCCAGTGTGCTTTGAACTCAGACATCACTTGCACAAATGATGCAGCAATCATTCAGGGCATGCCACTGGACTTGTTCCCACCACCGACAAGCCCACACTTGGAGCCAGTGCTGTTTATTTCAGGCAGCCGGCAGATGCGGTCAGGACTTGCACCATTGGGGCTGCCACCGCTTATAGCATGGATATGTCCCACTCTTCACAAGCCTGCCATTTGGCGCTTATGAGCCGACGCTGTATGTACAGCGCTGTCAATTCTCAGGGTGCAGCTTCGGACTTGGACACCGACTGTGTGTTCAACAGATACACCGCTCCCAGAGTCACAGTTGCGCCAGCAAGCTCCAGGGGAGTGAGCACCTCCCCGAGCACGAAATAGTCTGTGATGGCTGCAAATACAGGTGTGAGGAATGTGAGGCTGGACAGCGCCGTGAGATTTCCCTGGGCTGCGTTGAAGAAGAAGACGCCGTAGGAGGCCGCCGAGCCCAGCAGGGAGATGTACACCAGCAGCCAGCCGTCCTGGCCTGCAGCACAGCCAACATATTTGTGGTAAGATATTACATCAGGCGGGATTGTATAGGTGCAAGACAGAGCGCCAGAGTAAGGAGAACGGGCTGCCGTGCTGGGCGAATAGAGTGCATCAACACTGCAAAACAAAATTGTAAAGGTACTGCTGATGCCATGCCAGCCTTGCACACCTGCATGGTCCACATGCAAGCCTTTACTGTGCCTGCACCTTCATCCGTCTTCCAGGGGGTCTTTTCCTTTTTCCACTGCCCCTGCCGCTTCTCAACTGGCAACAGCAACTCAAGATGGCCGAGGGAAGTAGATATGCAACCCATGTTGACTAGCTGTAGCCCACCTGTGAGCTGGGGCAGCCGCTCAAGAAGCACGTCGCTTTCCTGGGCAATGGACAGCGCCAGAAGAGGCACCCCTCCCAGCAGCATGTGGTACCCCGTCGCCATGACCGGGTCTGCATAGCGACTCACCCAGGGCACCTGTCACCAGCAAAAACAGCCATACATGAAGCGACCAATCGGCAAACTTTCCCCGAGCTATAGCCCAAAGGATGTTGTCAGGAGCCTTTCCACCAGATGCACAGGGGAGTGCGGCTCAGGAAAGGGTTGTTCCACGCAGAGAGTGCTCCTCAATGCAAAGTGATGCATCTTGAGCTCCAACGAAGCCAAGACTCAAGAAGTCCGAGGAAAAGATAGCCTTGCTGGTATTTTGGTACAGGGCAAACAGGCAGGCGGCACTAGCTTTGTCATGTGACTGCAGAAGAAGGGGCAGTGGCACTAACCATGACTGTGCCGATGGCCATGCTCTGGGCAGCCAGCAGCATCCACCACTCCCCGCTGTCCCATATGGAACTCTGCCCCACCGACACAGCAGCCTCCGCCACCTGTCCGCTCAGCAGCCCTGCATGTGCATCCCCACCACACCACATCTCACCCGCAATTTCTGCCATGCTTGTACTGTGCGCGCCTGCAACAGAGACCTTGCTGCTGGAAGATCGCTCTTGAAGAGCGGCGGCCGCGCTGCATAGTCGCTGTTAAACAATGGCCTCTGCATAGCCGCTGCCAAACAATGGACCGCAGTCTTATGTGTTGTGTTGAGGCGAGAAATCCCGCGCTTCCTGGACCTTGCACTGATCACACCACAGCAAGCTTTGTTGTTCGTCTGGCCCGGAAAACGCTGTAGAGAAGAGGCAAGGAGGGTCATAAACCTGCAAGCGTGGCATGGCATGAACCCAGTTGCTTTGCAGCTCGCCATTGTGTTGAAGATGACGAAGCAACCCTATTCAGAACACATCACATGGGCAAGTTCCTGTCCCCTCCTTGACCCTCCGCTACGCCACTTGATAACGAGTGCCAACCCTTGATACAGTCGGGGTAAAAAAGTCTAGGAGAGCAAGGCATTGTATTTCCCAGGAACTTGAAAAGGGTCTTAAATTGAAAAGGGACGCTCCTGAGATGGCCACAGCTGATCTTCCTGGATGCACAGGCTGAGGAAGCTTGCCCCTTCACTACGCCACCCTATTGCAATGCCTATCCCCCAAGGGGGGTCCTCAGGGCCTTGATAAATAGTATGGGGTAATTAATGGAAAACTGTTCTAATAATTACCCCTATAAATAGTGGGGCTCAGAGGAGGCGCGCCTGAGACGGCCTCGGGGTGAGCTTCCAGGAGACACAGGCCGAGGACGCCGACGCCGAGGCCGGCAATCCCGGCCGGCCGCAGCCGCTCGCCGAAGAGCAGCGCGGCCAGCAGCGCCACCGTGAGCGGCTGCGAGTCGATGATCACGCTGCCCAGGCCCGCCGACGTCCGCTGCAGGCCCTCCGCCAAAAACCCCTGCGCATCCCTTGCCCCATCAAGCCCTAGTATGAATGAATACATGATACTGGGGAAAGCCTGTTTCGAACAAGATGTAACTGAGTGACTTGGTTCCAGCCGGGTGGGAAGATGCCTGTCACGGCTGAACCATGACCCCATTAGAACCATGCTGCAGCACGTGAATCGCTATGCACCTCAAGGCGGTCAGCCACAGCCCCGACCAAACAGATGCGATCTGCGCTGGAAAAGCACCGCGGCCATGGGAGGGGCGCCGAGCTGCTGAATGAGTGAGAGCTAGACAGTGCACATTCATTCAAAAACTCACAGTGCCATAGGCACGATGGAAGGATGGTGATTGTGAAGCGTGCTTTCAGGAGGCCGAGAGTTTCAAGAGCGCACCTGGAAGCATGCGCCGTCGGCGAGTGCAAAGGCGGCGATGGCGGCCCAGGCCATGCGGCCGGACGGCTGCGGGCGCCCCTGCTTGGCGGCCCAGCCGACCAGCACCGCGCCCGCCGGCAGCAGCCGCACCGCACTCACCCAAAGCGGCGCAGTGCGAGGCGCCAGCACCTGCCACAGCAGCACAGCGCTCAGGCTCGCGTAATTGTGTCCCGAGGCTGCGTCTTAGCTGCGGCCTTTGTGCCTTTTATGTGTGGCCTTCTGAGCATAGGAAGGGATTCGACCCAGCCTCCTACTGCAGCTACATTCGAAGCTGGGCAAGCACACAAGGATGACAAAGGCAGCATCTTGCATCTGCTGGGCAGGTGCAATGCTCAGGGAGGGACATGCGTCTGAATGGCAAATCAGGACACAAGGCAGGTTGCGAATTTTCAGCATGTCATGTTCTTTTGCAGCAGGGGCCAGACCTTCATGGCCACCATTGAGGTGCCCCAGAAAAAGAATGGAGATATAAGCAATAGAAGAGCCGCTAGCTGCTGCAGTAAGGAGGTGTCTACCTCTCCACCTGCAACCAGAAGTTCTTCAGCCCTCTTTGATAAGAGGACGTACCACAAATTATCAGTTCAAGCATTTCTGACAGAGATGATAAAGCATTTAGGGGCTGCAGATGAAGCACCTGACGCTGCATCTGCTAAGCCATTATTGGTGTCAGCGCCATCATAGGAGCATGTGACATCCATTGCCGTTCCCATACAGGACATGTCTGGCTTCTCTGATGTCTGTGTCCCTCTCTCAGAGGACCTGGACCCATTCTCTAGGGCAGAGGGCGCCTGTGAAACAACAAATTTTGATGCTGCCCATCAGTTACACGGCAATATATAGAGAATAACTGGCAGATAATATGTGGATCCTTCATTTCAGCGTCCTGCAAGCAAGATGGCTACCTCTGACTCACTGGTCTCCAAGGGATCCTGGTTGCCAGCGCCAATGAAAAGTCGCTGTGATCTTCTGATATGACCCTTGCTTGCTACTAACGGCAAAGTCATTCTCATATGCGACCTTCCCTGCCTTTGCAACACTGGACAAGTACGGCATCGACTTCCATGCTGCCGAAGCATGTCTGACGACAAGCCAGGCATGTTGCTCTGTAAACCCATAAATGTGCAGTTGTCACAACGAAGATATCTAATTACGGATCTCCTATACGTTAGCACAAGGAAAGTATGTTTGGAAATCTGTAACAGATAATGCGGACTAGATCCCAGTGTATCATTTCTTCAGAACACTCCTCGTGCAAGAAAAATTTTATTGCAGCTTGACTGGTGGTGCTGTTCTAAGATCGTGTTCAGAACGTTGCATCTGAATGGGCCATTCAAAATGGCTCTCTTGCCATTCCAAGTCCAACCCTAGCCAGCTGCAGAAACCCTCCAAGAAAATCCAGGAAGCTACTGTTTGACTCTTTGTCAAAGTCCTTCTTTCGCCATATTTTGAACCCCTGCATTAACAGGGACTATTGCTGGTATAGAAGATGGTAGAATGCATGGAGCATTCCGAGGGAGTGCAAGACCAAACGGAGGAATCTATATAAGCTGATCTACACAGATACAGGGGACGCTGCAGCAGAGGAAGTATGTCTGGCTGGAAAGTTCCAGGGATGAATCTCACAAACGATGCGCATTCACCGTCCTTCCCGCTTACTGTAGTGAATTGTCCCAGTCAGGCAAGTGACAATCACCATTTCTATCTCTATTTTGGGGAGGACTTTTCTCCTCTCCTGCACGTTGTCACTGCAGACATGATAGCAAAACCGACTAATATCGTGCTTACTCTCTTAGCTTTGGGCCGATTGAAACAAACCTCGTTTTTACAACCTGTGATTTACTATATTTCCTGCAGGACCTTGCCAAGACGAATCTTGCCTTCGTCTCTCCTGAGGACGAAGTTGCTCGGTGTCCTTATGTGGAGATCAACAAATAGTAAGCTGAATCGTATACTTCTTCTTCTGCTACCATGATGCACTTTTTTGTGTGTCAACTGTCTGCAAGTCAGCCAGAACTGTGCTTGTCCTGACGTTCTGCTGCAACTGCATTGCAGTGTCTTCACGACCAAGCCAGATCCTTCAGTGCAGCGGGGAAGCATTGCCCTGAATGGAAATCAGAGGATGGTGAGTGCCTGCTCGCCAGTGGGTGGCGCTGTACATGAGCTTGGACACACTGTTCAGGTGGCAAGCATTTTGACTCTCTTGAGTGTTGCAGGCCGCGAAGGTGTCAACTGGCGAAGCTATTGGCGCAAGAGTGTTCCAGCTGCCACGGAGTAGGTTTGAAGTCACCCTGTTGACAGCCGAGATCGGGGCAGTCACCAAAGGCAGGCCTCCTGAGGAGCTGCATGCTGCCGAGATCACAAACCACTTCATCACGCGCTTCAGGGGCCAGGTGACATGGGAGCCTACCATGTTGAAACTCTCTCATGCATGCGTACAGATACGCTTGTAGCAATATCCGGTGACATATGACTCCATGTTTCTCCAAAGCGTCCGTACCTCACGTCCTGGTGAATTTCTCAATGCGGTGGTCTCTGAATGCAGGTCTTGGCAGTGGGTCAGAAGCTCACTTTTGAGTATCAGGGATTCACATACAGATTGGAGGCCTCCAACATCCTAGTGCTGGATGATTCTACTGGGGAGCAGGTCTCAGAGCAGCGGGGCATCCTGACTGACTCATCTGCCTGCGTCTACATTCCCGCATCAGGTATATCCTGGTCGCAATTCTGATGCCTGCCATTGCTACATGCCATTCCCCTCCTGATGATATGCATGCCTTTTGATTTTGACCACATCCAATCACAAGGGGCTGTCCGATGCTATCTCATGCGGCTAATGTATCGAAGATTTCATGTAGGGGATACTGAGAACTCTACTGCATGCTGGCGATGGTACAGGTACCAATCTCACAATCGTGGGGCAGAGGAATGTTGCGGCGCCACAGCTGTTCAAGGCCAAGGAGTTCAACTTTGAGAAGCTGGGCATCGGCGGCCTGGACGACCAGTTTGAGCAGATCTTCCGGCGAGCCTTTGCATCGCGCGTGTTCCCTCCCTCTGTTGTTGAGAGGCTGGGCATCCGCCATGTCAAGGGCGTGCTTCTATTCGGACCCCCGGGAACAGGTGACTGCATGGTGTATATTGTAATACCTACGCCCATATTGGCCTATATTGGTTGCCTTGTTGAGAAAGAGAACTGTATCGATGGAGAATTGTATCTGCATGCGCGGTAACTGGCTGGGGCTTGCTTGGTGTGCAGGAAAGACGCTGATTGCCCGGCAGATTGGAAAGATGCTAAATGGGAAGGAGCCCAAGGTGGTGAACGGGCCAGAGATCCTCAATAAGTATGTCGGCGCCTCAGAGGAGAACGTCAGGAACTTGTTTAAGGTCAGCAGCCTTTCACAACTGATCGATGCGTGCCTGATAGAACATCACAATGGCCTACATAGGCTGATGTGTGCATGACGGGCCTTTAATGGAAAGCATACCTTGTGCAATGTGCAGCAAATGTGGGGCATGCATTCTTCATTGATCATTGCTGTAAGATGTGGCTACCAGGTATGCAGCCGCCAGCAAGTTTGCATCGATGGCATGCCCTGTCTGACACTATTCAAGGAACAGTGGGTTCATTGTGCAAATGGGTGCAGTTTTCATCATCTTTGTGCCGTTCCTTGTAGGATGCAGAGGCGGAGCAGGCGGCCAAGGGGGATGCGTCAGAGCTGCATGTGATCATCTTTGACGAAATCGATGCCATCTGCAAGCAGCGAGGCAGCGTGCAGAGCAGCTCCGGCGTGCATGACACTGTCGTCAACCAGCTGCTGACCAAGATCGACGGCGTGGACGCCCTCAACAACATCCTCCTCATCGGAATGACCAACAGGCGCGGCCGTGCCCTTGCAGAATACATGTCACCCTCTTGCATGCATGTCATTTCATTGTTGCTTTACATTCGGCTGTGCTTGCAAACGTGACAGACGTCAGCTCAGGGCCACAATCCCCAAGCATTCAATGCTGCTCATTATGGGCTATCTCGATGTGGCAATTGGCTGGCAATGGCTTGAGACTGAAAGAGCGTGCTATTATTTCTGTGGCGGTAATCAAGGTTTGCGAGGGTGTTGCAAATTCTTGTTGAAGCTCGAATTTGGTGGCGTGCAGGAAGGACATGTTGGATGAGGCGCTGCTGCGGCCGGGGAGGCTGGAGGTACAGGTGGAAATTGGGCTGCCGGATGACAAGGGCAGGCTCCAAATTCTCAAGGTCTGTCCGCCCCGCATGCATGCACCCAGCTGGTGCTGACAATACACTTGCTGCCATCTTCTTTGTTGTACCTCGTCACAACTCTCCTCCTGACCATGCAGACCGACCTGGGTACCGTTGCGCAGAGGTCTAGGTTCAAGAAATAGAACAAAAAATATCAGGAGTGCACTCTGCACAATTTGTCAGGAGAGAGACTTCAACAGGCCTGCTGTGTCCAGCACCAATATGGGTGCAGGTTGCAGGTTGGCACCAGTGAATATCTCAATGCTGTCCCAGCTGAGACACGCATCCTGTTCGCTGCATTCTGCTTTGTCGTGGGGTGATACTGGGAGCATGAGGGTGCCATTTTGGTGGTGCAGATCCACACAGGGAAGATGGAGGCCAACTCGTTCCTGGGCAAGGACGTGGACTTGTGGGACCTAGCGCAGCGCTGCAAGAACTTCAGCGGCGCAGAGATCGAGGGCCTGGTCAAGAGCGCCACCTCCTTTGCGCTCAACAGACAAGTCGACTTCACGGACCTCTTCAAGCCCATCGATGACGAGAACCTCAAGGTGTGAAAGATACTGGTGTCCTTCCTTGCCCCAGTAATCTAGCCGCCACCTTAGGACTGGCTTCTTTGTTTAATCTAGCCAGTCAATGTTGGCTTGCTTCGACCACGTCCACAAACCATACTACAGGTTGATCAGATCTGGCCTCCCACTCTTCCTGCTGGGTTGTCATGCAGTACAATCTGCTGCACACTGCCGTTGTAATTGCATAAAAATTCAGGAGGGCACCAATTGGAACCTTAGATCCGGACAGTCTTTGTAGGATGGTCTATGGACTTCACAATCGACATTGTTGCTTGTTGCTGTGCCAGGCCCCTGTCAGCTGTGACATCACGCATGCTGACCACTTTGCACAATGGCCTACGGAAGACAAATGGCTGCTCCTGGCTTGGATGTCAGGTGTGGCGGGGGAGTTCACAGTGAGTCTGGATCTCTTACTAATGGCAATGCGCGCAGGTGTCGATGGAGGACTTTGAGGCTGCACTAGCGGAGGTGAAGCCGGCGTTTGGGGCGGTGACAGAGGCGCTGGAGGAGTACCGGCTGAACGGCGTCATCGAGTACAGCGAGACCTTCCGCCACCTCCTCGCCACCTGCCGCACCCTCGTCGAACAGGTGCGGTCTTCCTACTTATCTCCAACAGTATCACGCAGATTCACTGGTTGCAGTGTGGCTCAGACCATTCCTTATCAATCAAAGCAGTGAAGCTTAGAGAAGTTCACCTCTTCTTTATCCATCTGCCCAGAGCTTCCAGCATTGGACAAGCGTACCACCGGGCAGCAGAACCATGCCATGTGAATGTGCAAGGATCTCACACCCCCGCAGGAGCAGTCATGTTGATCATTTTGCGAGCGGTGAACTTGAGTCAAACTGCTCGTGGCTGCAGGAGCTGCAGGGGCACCTTTTGCTGCCGAGCATTGTTTGCATGCTAGGAATCTGTATGTCTGGTGCATTGAAGAATTGGTGAGCTGTGCAGGTGCGGAGCAGCGAGCAGACGCCGCTACTGACGTGTCTGCTGGAGGGCCCTCTGGGCAGCGGCAAGACGGCGCTGGCGGCCACCCTCGGCCTGGAGAGTGAGTATCCCTTTGTCAAGGTCATCAGCAGCGACTCAATGGTCGGCTACTCCGAGGCCGGCAAGGCCCAGCGCATCGCCAAGGTCTTCGACGACGCCTACCGGGTGCGCGCTTTGCTTGAATTTGAATTTTATTTTCCCCTCAATTTGCAGTGGCTGGGTTTGAATTCAAATTTTGCATGTCATGTCACATCAGTCATTCTCATCAAGGGACATTTGATTAAATACTGACACGTGCTTGGGCATGAGAGTAGCTGCCGTGATTAAGGGGGCTACAAAGAGCCACTAAATAATATCCTGGTATAACTCAAGAAAAGAGGGAATTGCCTGATAGTAAGAACTTGTGTTGGTGTGTGCAGTCGTCCATGTCGATGATAGTGCTGGACGACATAGAGCGTCTGCTGGAGTACGTGGCCATCGGGCCGCGCTTCTCCAACGCAATCCTGCAGGTGCGCCTCGATCCACCGCTATAGCCAAGATTTCTATTTGGGGCGCTGATCTTCAGCGCTGACTTGTGAACCTTTTTTTGTGAATTTGAACCTGTAGAGATGCTATGGCGCACCTGTGGCAGCACCTTCCAGCACATCATGAGCACAGCACCATAGGGGGTAAACAAGCAGGCTTGGGGGCTCTTGCTGTTCCCATGTGTACCAACTCGCCACACATCACTTTTGTGCACACAAGAGAATCTGAATTTTCTGCACAACACGAACGAAGCTCAGCCTCCGTTTGAATTGCTGGTCGTCAATATCAAGCTCTATGCTGTCCCCTGATTCTTAATTGTGCGAGCTCTACCGCCCCTTTATTTCTGTCACAACCATCGCTGCATGCAGCCCTCGCTGAAGGCCAAGATGCGTCACCACACAGCTTTCAGCGGAGACCAGGTGTAAATACGCGGAGCCTGACGAGTCATGCCTTTTGAAATGTCAGCTAAATGCCTGCCCTGGCATGCGCAGACGCTGTTGGTGCTGCTGAAGAAGCAGCCGCCCAAGGGCCGGCGGCTGCTGGTCGTGGGCACAACATCCGCGCCGGCGGTCATGGAGGACATGGGCATCGCGGCCACCTGCAACATCTGCCTCAACGTCCCCGCCCTGCGCGAGGCCGACATCCGCGCCGTGCTCGCCGCGCTGCAGGCCTTCGCTCCCCAAGATGTGCGCTTCTTTTCTCTCCTTGGCTTCTTTGGATGCTGAGTCTGCCGCTGCTTGGAGTTGATCTCCAGAGAAACCATCACGACGGGAGCTGCATGCACGGCGATGAGTGCATCATCTGTGACAGCTGAGAATGGTGGCCGTGGCTGAGGTGGCGAGATTGAAGGTTTCGCATGTGCCGCTTTTGCCGTGCTTCCTTGGTGCCTGATTGTTGCCAGTTGTTGCTGATCTTGCTGATCTCTGCCAAACGCAACAGGGCAAGAAATGCCTGCACTGGAATGAGAAGTTAGGCATGGTCATTCTTACAACAATGGGTAATGCAATGCACCAAGAAGCCTTGCAGCAGCAGCTTCCAAGTTGGGCGCATTTGTCAGGGACTTTATCAATCTGCCTCGCTGGACTGATTACTATTTCTTGGAAATCATCATCACTTTGACAGCACCTCCCACTGTGTCTTTGCATTACTGTTTGCTTGCATGCTTTGCTGAAGCAAACTCTCTGCTGGGTGCAGTTGGAGGCTGCTGTGGCGTGCCTGGCAGATGCAGAGGTGCCCATGAAGCGGCTGCTGCTTCTGGTGGACTTGGCACGGCAGGGAGTAACGGATGGGCAGTACATACCCGTGCAGAGATGGTCCCAAGTGCTCACAGACCTGTCGCTCTCTTGAGCCTGCTTTCCAGCGCAGGTCTGTTGCAGGATGTTTGCAGGAAGGAACGGCGGATTTTTGGGAAGCCGTGATACATTGAACAAATGAGTCACCGTAACGCATGCACACATACTATCTTTAAAGTTTTATATTTAAAGAAATTTCAGAATAATCCGCCTCTCGGAGTAGTCTTTTGATGGGACATAAGCTAGGAACGCCAGTTGAATTGAGTGTCAAGGTCCAGTGTAAATAATCAATGATTGAGGTTCTAAAATTTGTGATAAATTACCAAGATTACCGATAAGTATTAGTTCACGCTGCACTTGTGGGCAGTTGCATGCAACTACACAGGAACATTAATTACAAGCAGGCAAGGCATCATGTGATAGGAAAACAATTCAGAATCGACTTCTTGCTCATACAAATTATTTGACAAAGTAACACGCAACACTCACGGGATGATCCCTTGCCAGTCACTGCTGTGGTGTACGTATAGCCTGGTGATTTCCATTCAAAGGACAGTACTGCACATTGTCATATCCAAACGCGGCAGGGCCCACCACTTCCAAGGCCTCTGGCGTGCGCAGGAGGGGATGTGCTGGCAGCCCCACAATCGACACCCTCAGCCCATAGCGCAGATCCTCCGTCTGCAGTGCCTGTCCCCCTGCCACAATGCCAAAGCATCCCATCAACAATCTGTCAAAACATCCACCACGATCTGACATTGAGGGGGTTCTGAACACTAGCAGTAGTGATTAGAAGCCCCTGCGACAGCAAAGTGGCATCAGACAGCTTTGACAATCACATGCAGAGTTCACTGAGTAGGTTGCAATGCAGAGCACTATGGCAGTGCCATCCCTCTCCTTGGAATGAGGGTGAGAATGTACTTATAAGCAGCGCTAAGGACCCATAAGCGTGAAAACTGCATGTTGTTCTGTAACGCCCTCAGACAGAAGGCAGTGCGTGCACCGTCAGTGGCGAGGCAGCAGATTAGGTCAGGCACACTGAGCACCAGGCGCCCATTCACGTGTGCAACCAGGTTCTCATTCTGGAACTGGATAGTCATGAGCTGCCCCCGGTTGTCTTGCAGGTCCTCGACGCTGAAATGCCCCCTCGCAAACCCCTCCGACGTGGCCCTCTCCACATCTGTGATCTTGCCTGCCATACCAACACACTTCTTTCTCCTCAAGCAGACCCTCCAAGATATGCTTTCTACCCCGCAGCTTCCCACAGGCCTGCAGGCGAGCAGTGGCTCTGATTTACCTTGAACCTCAAAAGTAGATGCAATATTACTATTGTACATGTGCCTCCAGACCACGTTGGACATAGGTCCATTACAACAGGTTTCCCTTAAACTCTTCCAAGTATAGGCCAATGCTGGCACCATCTCCACCAAAGAACAGCCAAATAGCCAGTTTCAAAACCCAAAAGAGCCAGAAGCAACTGAACAAGGGGAGCTAGCATGGCATCAGGTAATTGGCTCACCAGTGAACAGCACATTGCCGCCGCCTTCGGCTGCGGCCGCGCGGACGGCGTCGGCTTTTGCATCGCGCGCGCCAATGACGGCCCGGCCGAGGCGCCAGGCCAGGCTTACGGTCCCCTTTACGGCCACGCGGCGCAGCTCTCGGCCCGTAAGCGGCGCCGTGGAGAGCCCCGCCGCGCACCCCATTGCCGTGCACACCTGCAGCCGCCCACTTGCATGAAATTATCTCCACTCTTTCAAAAGGCTGCTTTTTCGAAGGCTGCTTTCCTGGAACCCAGCCAATTGAGATGAGAAACAATTTTTTGGTAGTAACGCGCACCATTAATAATTTGATGGTGCAGGATATCCCTGGGTACCATGGGGCTATGCATGCACATATGCACAGCTTCTCCAGCTAATGCTAGGAAGGCACAAGGTAGGAGGCTTTCTTTCCAGGTGTTGCAACCGTGCTGCAGTCATAGTGAGCAGACAAGGCAGACTCACAGGCCGCAGGAGGCGCTCCAGCCATTGGGGAGATGCGCAATGCTGCACCACAACAACGTTCCCCTTCTCGTCCGCCAGCGCTGCCGGCGTCAGGCTGTGCCCGTAGATGGCACTTGTCATCATCTGCACCGCATCCCAACAAAGAAATAGAGGCATCAAAAGACCAGTGATCGTGGTTCACACATGCGTGAAACAGGGCATTGAATCAATGAGACAATCGGGGTCACAGACTTGCATGCCCTTTCTTGTTGGTGGCAGCAGGGACAAAAGCACTTATCCTCTCAACAGCATGCCTTGTGCACCAGACAGATCACTATCTGGCAAGCAAATGTAGCTGCTCGCACTCCTCATGGGAGGAAGGCAAACATCATGCAGCATGCAGGAAATGAAGTTGGACCTGGACTTCAGGGAAGGCGCGTCCCATGAAGCCTGCATCCACGATGGGCGAGCCCATGCGCGCGCCGATGGCCAGGGGCTCCAGGCCGTTCCCTCCGCCGATCTCGCAGCTCATCACCGCATGCAGCGGCCGCTTGAGCGGATCTGCTCCACAACAGAATGGCATTTTTCAAGATATGCCACCTAGCCATGCTCGACCTTGTTTCTTCCTCGCGTCTCTCCCAGCAAGCTCTCCGCTGTTGGCATCACTGGGCACATCAATGCAATCTTCCTTACATAAATTCATTTCCACATATATCACCACAGTTGAATGTTGAAGATGCTGCAGGTCCGTAGCCAGGGCAATGTGGTTCATTGCCTTGTGAAACAGGTGCCCATTCATTGCTCCTGGGCAGAGCGAGCAGTCATCTGGTGTCAAGCCTTTCTTCTAGAAGTTCTGGTGTACCTGCTGCCGCGTGGGCTCTTAGGGCAGCCTCGCATTCAAATGCATCCAGTTTCTCACAGCCCACAGTGGGCGCTCCCATGCCGCCGGCCTCCGCCACCATTGCCTCATCAGGCACTGTGTCTGCTGATATCACTCGGATGACTCCACCTCTGCATCGCAATGCATTGCGTTAGAGTTGCCATCCATATTTACAGAAATCAGGAGCACAACACAGAAATGATCTTTGACTCCATGCATTATTGCGGATGCCATGATGTGGGCTGTGATGGCTGCTGTCGGTACTGTTGTGGTGGTTGCGCACCTGTCTAACTCTCTCATGACCTTTAGTCGGTTGATGTAGGGGCTCCCTCCACCGCCGGTGCCAAGAATGCCGCAGCCTGCACGCATAATGCAAGTTGATTTCAGGTAGTAAATCTTGTTTTTCGCAAATGGGCGCACATGCGGGCATTTGCAGAAATCTCACCAATGGAAATTGCATCTATGTCTCGCCTGCTCAGTATCCAGGCTCCACTCTCATCACGCTGCATGCAGCAACTTCATGTCAGTATAACTTACACTGTATAAGACATGTTAGGGCGATAGAGACGGCTGAGGAAACCGATTCAAGGTCCGCATGCATGTGCTGTCCTTGACCTGGAGCAATGACAGGGTGACATTGGAGGAAAGGAGAGGCATGTGTGAACTGGCCTGCTGTTCCCAGGTGTCACTGTGCTTTGATGGACTCGCGGTCTCCAGAGGTGTATCATCTGCTGCACCACTTGAACCACCTGAAGCTTCTGCATGGGTGGCCTGCCTGTCTGATATGCTCTCTTTGGTTGCTTTATCAGTCATAGATCCCACTGCAGGCTGGCTCTCTGGTGGAGACATGCTTGCCGCGGTGTGCGCAAGGTATTTTAGATCCCCCACAACCCTGATATGTACCCTTGCTACCCCTCCCGGCACGTATGCCAATGGAATCTCATCCTTCACCACCGTCTGCCCAGCACAAACTCTTCGTATCAGCGTGCAAAGAGCCATTATCAATATCATTCTCATGAAACGACATGATTTGTCGTTTCTTGAAGCTAGTCAAGACAGATCCCATTCCCATTTTAAACTGGCAGCGAAGCTTTATTTTGTTACCAGGGAGCGGGACCACCTCATCATATGGTGTGCCTTGGTCCCACAGTGCTCAAAACCAAGAAAAGCCCCACACGTAAATCAAACGTCAGCTTTTCTGGTGGGGCCGCACCTGACAGGTATCTGAGTGGGCGCCTGCAGCGACAGCCTGCGCCTTGGCTGCAGCCTCTGCCTCTGCCAGCACTCGCGCCCGATGCTCTCCGCCACCACCCAATGCATACACCCCATCCACCATGCCACTCACCTGCCGCAAAAGAGATCTGGTCTCTTTTTTGCCCTTTCCCTCTTTTTTGAACGTATTCGGTCGGAAAATTGCCTGTTGTCTCTGGAGGAGACATATGCCCTGAATAGGTTGCCCGGAGCACATGGAATATCACTCGGAGGAAAGAATGATTTAAAGAAAGCAGTGCATGTGTCCCGGCACCTGGGGGATTGCTGCTCCAACTGCATTTGCAACGGATGCGAAGGGCGGTCGGATGACTGAGGAAGCCCCCTCCAGTGAGTCATTGCACAGGGCCGCTCCTCCCCCCACCACCACCACTGGCACATCCCCTGTCTCATGCAATCCATTTTGGTGCTTCCTGCTAGTTTGTATCCGCAAAATAGAGAGAGCACGCTGGCACTTTGTGCGGGGGAAGGCAATGCGGAAGGGAACACACAATCATGATTCAGAGAAGATTGCGAGACCCACCTTTTGACGTCTTCATTTGATCTAAAACATCTTCAAGCTTCTGCTGCATGACACCCCAGGCCTCCAAAGCTTGCTCCTTGTCCAATACTGTTCCCACAGCCCACGAATGGAAACAAAAGTTCATGCTACCTCAAAGTCACACACCTGGCAATAAAGTTATGCAGACCCCATGTGCCTAATGTATAAGATGTACAGTGCTGGCCACCTGCTTTGACAAGCTCTGCATTACCAAACTCCATTTTGCGGAGCAGCACAGCCACGTCGGTGGCTGTGCAAGCGTTGCCCCCAGCAGCCAGGGCCTTGCTAGTCAATTCGTGCCCAACACTCTGGGGACCCACATCACAAGTGCCATTCTGCTTCCTCCACTCCACATGACTGCCTCCTCCCAGGCCTGCTCACACCAAATCACCACCTTTTCACAAGGTGCATGTATACACATCATGAAACTTCATATGTCCTGAGGAGAAGCTGCTTTCTCAGAGGCCAGCTCGGCATATTTAAGAATGGGCTTTATCACACCTATGCTCAGAACGTCTGGCAGCGCAAAGTTTGTGCGCACGCCAGCAATGTCCACCGTCGCTGCCGCCGGCCGTGGCAGGCCATTGATGAGCACTCCCACATCGGTAGTTGTGCCCCCTACAACAGTCCCGTCCACCTTATACCTTACAAAATGTGGAGATGCAGTAAGGCAAAACCACAGCACAGGCCAGCGAAGTACCAGGCAGTGAATGCTGCAACTGTCATGCACTGAGATGTCCAGGGGTGACATGTCAGAGGTACCTATGTCGATGACCAGGCCGTCCTTCATGCCGCTCAAGAAAACCGCCCCGCGCAGGGAGTTGACTGGACCGCTCTGAAAAGTCACTATCGGCGCCTGTGTGCACAACAAGTGGAACAGTTCAGACACCCCTTGTTTCAATACACATCACAATTCTTGTTTCATGCTTCTCTGTTTTTGCAACTTACCTTGACATACCTTCCAGCATGTGTTCGTAGCATGCAATGCTTCCTTGGAATGTCTTCCAGCATGTTTTAATAGCATGCAAGGCTACTTTAAAACACCTTCTAGCATGATTTGTAGCATGCAATGCGTCACCTGCATGGCGGCTTCGGCTGAGATGAGGGTGCCATCGTTGGAGGTGAGAAACAGGCGGCCGCCAATGCCAGCGCCCTGCATGGCCTCCTGGAAGGCCGGAATGAGCTGCGCAGCCAGGGGACGCAACGCAGCATTCAGAATAGCTGCATTCTCACGCTCCAGTATCCCCAGCTGAGCCACCTCATGACTCAGTGTTATGTGCGCTTGTATGGGCTTCCCTGCACTCATATACTCCTCACTACAGCTACTTTGGGATGACTCATCTTGAAAGAAGAGCAATGTCAACAGGTAATGAAGGAGGATCAGCGAAAGGGGCAGAGCAGGAGCTACCACCCTCGGTAGATGCCTGATGGATCTCATCCTCCAAAATCTGCTTGACCCTGGTCTCCTGGCTGCTGTTGACTGGGGAGAAGACGCCGCTGACGACAAAGGAGGTGATGCCCCTGTCAAGATCCTGCCGCACAGCTGCGCGCACCTCTGCCTCATCGATGGGGCTAATCTCAGTCCCTCCATCATACTCGTAGCCGCCTGAAAGGCCCCATTTATAGCCATCAGCACCTCAAGATACTGGAAAAAGAGGCATCTCCCAAGACTGTCCTGCGCTGGCTCCTACATCATGGCAACGGGGGCTTCATGTGGAATGGGCAGCACCTGATAACAGATGATACGAGGACCCGACGGACTCGCATAGGTCTGCTGGAAGGTCACAGAATGGAGGCAGCGCAACTGTGGCCGGCCCACACAGACGCAGGACTGAGACTCTGGCAAGTCCCTTGCGCCTCACCACTGCATTGATGAAGTGCGTGGTTCCCAGAGAGCAGAGCGTGATGCTGCCCGGATCTGTGCATCAAAGGGTATACTTAACCTTCACAACTACCATGCAATCGATCAGTACAAGGACGCAGGAAGCGTTGGAATATATCGAAATGCATGAGCGGGACGTCCAATTTGCCAGGGATGTTTTCACCGATTTTGGTGGCACAGAGAACCATCGAGATAGCTTCTTTGATGCCGCTGAGTACATCTGGATAGGTAGGGGCTTTGACGTATCCGATCACAGTGTTTTGAGCCCCTAGTACTGCAGCATCTGTGTTTGTCCCTCCAACGTCAATGCCTATCCTATACACCATCGTGCCCTACTCAAGCTAAAAGATGATCAGGTCGATGAAATGCATGATACAAGGATGGTTTGCTTGCCGATCTTGATCATGATGCCTACTGGCATCTGACATGAATCCGTGTGATAGAAGTTTAATTTGCACCATCAGTTCTCACATGACAGCTGATCACGAGCTAAGAGCTATGGAGTTGAGATCTGCATGAATTTATCGAGCATTTGTCGTGGTGCGGGGAATTTCCCCACTGCTTGCAATTTCCTTGGACGTGCTGCCCATGCTGCGATGAGCTGGCACAGAGAGATGCACCTGCTGTCTACGCCAGAGCTTTGGAGGACGCGCACAAGCTCAACAATTTGAGGAACTTACTATTTGATTTTCTGATTCGGAATGATGCAACGCTTTAGATTTACGCTCCTTCATACAATAGAAAAGTATTGATCAGCAAAGTCGTATGTCCTGTTCTGACCAATACAGATTTGGAAGTAGCTGCCAGTAGCTTTAAATTTAAGAAATCAATATTCAAGTTTATGTCTCTTAGTCCATGTGGATCTTCTTGAAGTGACACAAGGAGGGCATGGCTGACACAGTCAACCCGCAAGTGCCCAAGGGCGGGCCCTCATCGAGCACTGGTGAGCCTGCGCAGAAAAGTGAAGACACAGCAAACTGGCAACAATGGTCAGGGGCAGTCTTCACAAACGCCAAGGCCGGAATGGCTGGTGTGGACAAGGACAAAGTCAAGGCCGTTGTCTACGAAATGTCCAAGGTGAACTCCGATAACAGATTGCAAGTTGACGATCTCGACAAGCACTACAGAACAACTGACACCTATTGCTCAGATCTGAGATCTGGTGCCCTGGACGGAGCTCAGGACTCTGCCCACTTCAAGAACGAGGAGAGGAAGCAAGCCCAGACTCAGGAGAGGATCAGGAAAATGCAGGAGCGTGCCAAAATCCTCAGTGCATCCAAGATCGCAGGGCACACCAAGTAAGCTCTCCGCATGTTGATCCCTCCCTGAGTTCCCTATGCTGGACAGAAGTCATCGTGCTCTGGAGAAACTAAACAGAGGGAGTCTTTATGTTACCAGGGCAATGGATGCCAAGCTTGCTAACCTCAAGGCAGAGATGGATCTCACAAGAACATGGGTGCACGTGGACATGGATGCATTTTTTGCCTCTGTGGAAGAGCTAGATGACCCTTCACTGGTGAGAGTTGGCCTTGTTTACACTGTTCACCTTGCATCCTGTATGGAAGCGTCAACATGAATTCTGATGTATTTACTGAGCATACTGCCTGCGATCTTGCAGAAAGGAAAGCCCATGGCGGTGGGAGGCATTGGAATGATCTGCACAGCAAATTGTAAGAGCCCCAGCCCGGCTTGAACAAGAGCCTCGGATACACTCAGTGTGATTTCAAGCTTGAATTTGCTTGCTGCGCAATACACAAGGACATCTTCTTTTTAGCATGCTGTTCTCTGACGTCCTAGTATATGTCATGCCCAGATGCCGCCAGGAAGTTTGGTGTCCGCTCAGCAATGCCGGGCTTCATCGGTCGGAGGCTGTGTCCCGAGCTGCTCTTTGTGAAGCCCAACTTCCAGAAGTATACAAAAGCTGCTGCGGCCTCCCGCGCAGTCTTTTGCCTATTTGACCCGGACTTTGAGGCCGGGAGCCTCGATGAAGCCTACCTCGATATCACAGACTACTGCCGCGCCCACGAAACTACAGGCAAGTTCCAAGCAATATACCAATGCCTGCACAGAATGATGCTTTGGTGTCCATCCAGCCACACTCGTCTATCAGAGAGCATGTGTGCAATTGTGGAGCGGGGTACAGAGTTGCCTCTTGTCACCAACCAGACGACTCTGCGGAGCGCAAACGAGTCATACATCGCATCTTTGAGAGAAAAGTCGGTCTCTCAGTAGCAGCTCTGACCCTTAAATCTTTTGGATTTTGCACGCCTCACAAGTGGTAAGCATGGCGCAGGTGAAGCAGTGGCAGAGGAAATTCGGCGGAGGGTGCGAGAGGAGACACTGCTGACCTGCTCCTGTGGAATTGGCCCCAACCGTCTCCTGGCCAAGGTGGCTCCCACTGTGCACCGACGATATTTGCATTTTCTGTCACTTCGAGCCATGGAGACTCACTTCAAGCTCAAGCGGCCTCACTTGAAGCTGGGCCCAAGACAACTTGAAGCTTGGCATGACACATGTGACCACATGTGAGTAGTCATGATTACCTAATAATGTGCAGGTGGCGTCGGACATGCGCAAGCCGGATGGGCAGTATGCCATTCCTGGGGAGCACAGCGCCATCAGCCGCTTTGTGGACCCGCTGCCCATCCGCAAGGTCCCAGGCATTGGCAAGGTCTGTGGTACATTCAAAATTTAGTTTGCTTGGATCATGTGAGCTGGGTTGGCGTGCAACGTGTTTCATATCAGTGCTTCTCACAGTACGTATTCTTGTATGCATCATGCATGCACCAATGGACATCCTCAATCTTGAATGCATTCCCTTGTATGAGCAGATCTGCAGGGCACTAAGCTTTGCACAGTGCTTTTCGACATGTGACTCCACGCTGCTGCATGGTCTGAACACAAATCGTCTTTGGCACCCCAACAGGTGTCGGAGCAGGTGCTGAAGGCCCTGGGCGTGGAGGTGTGCGCAGACCTATTGGCCAAGCGCGGCCTGCTGGCTGCGCTGTTCTCACCCATCTCCGCAGACTTCTTCATGGAGGTGGGCGATTTCTCATTTGGCTTGATGGGTGAAGATCAATGTTACTGCACACTTTCCCAGCTTGAGTTTACAGCTACTCCAGGACATGGAAGACACGGTTGCAAAGACATGCCTGGCATGGTCTACAGACCTACTCTTATCAGTTGAGTGTCGCTCGAGAGGAACGAACAAACACATTGGGAGATACCCCATCACCTGCATCAAAGCGGGTTTGCAGAAGATACAGTACCCTGATTTTCAATGTGGTACCCCTTCCATCAGGCCATATATATTGTTGTCCCTGGCTGTTCACTGACAAAGAAAGATCAGGAGAAATCATTCATCTGCACCAGATTGGGACAGCTCATAACACGCCCCACCCTTATATTTATGTAACACCCCTCCCCTGATTAATCATCTTGATACTACCTGGCAGGTGGGCCTGGGCGTGGGCCGCACACAGCACAGCGCCCCTGTTGAGGACGGCGCAGTCGGCCGCAAGGGAATCAGCGTCGAGCGCACCTTTGCCGCTCTCTCCACCCCCGCCGACCTCGAGGCCAAGGTGATCACTATCCCTTGCGATTCGTTACTGACAGTTACTGCGCGCATTATCAAGAGGATGGCACCTCGCTGCAGGCACTGCTGCCTCCTTTTTTCCAGTCACAGGGTCTTGGAATCAAACAGGACTCAGTTGAGATATAGAGCTGCATGCAGGTCATCTGAGGTCAATGATGGAATGTCAGAAATGAGTCACTGGCCTGAGGCATATATACTGCGTGAGAAGCCCAGACAGGACAAATGAGACGTGCATGTGACGGTGAGCAAGTGCTGTGTCCTGTGCAGTGCGCGGAGCTGGCCGAGAAGCTGGCAGAGGACGTGACAGGGGAGGGGCTGAAGGGGCGCACGATCACTCTGAAGCTCAAGACGACCAATTTCGAGGTGCGCACACGTGCCGCCACGCTGTCGCGCCACATCAGCGCCTCCGAGGACATCTTGCGCGAGGCCCTGCGGCTGCTGCGAGCCGAGCTGCCCATCACCATCCGCCTCATGGTGAGTCACCTGCTGCTTGTCATAGTAGTCGTCATGCAAAACTGGGCAATCTGGCCCCTTCTCCCCTCCCTGCACAACATCTGCATGCAAATTGCACATTGCTCTCGGTGAAGACAAATGCATGTAGCATCTAATGTATCTCGGGAGGCTTTAGCAGGTTCAGTCTGCCCTATAGCCTAGTAGTCCTCCCCTGCATTTCTCAGTGGTTGCATTGTGCTTGCAGGGCATCCGTCTGTCTGGCTTCCTGGAGACAAACACAGAGCCGGGCCAGCGGACGCTGTCAGCCTTCCTCAAGCCGGACGGCGCCGCAGCCTCGACAACGCCGCCAAAGCGCAGGAACTGGAATCAGACCTTCATGCCCAGGGAACTCCGCAATTGCATCGATGAAGAGATGGAGAAGATCCAGGCCAGCCATGCAGACCACAGCAGGCAGGTGGATTGTCCAGATACTTCCCAGGGTGCACAGACTGCTGGAGTGCGGGAGCAGGATCAGCGACTGCAGCTGGCCGAGCCAGCAAACTGCAGCTTGGCGCAACTGTCAGCGGCCGACGCCGCGCAGCCGTCGCCGGCCCAGTGGGAACGAGCGCCTTCGCAGAGAGACTCTGTGCAGGGCAATAGTGGACCCTCGCAGAACCTGGAGCTCAGCCTCAGAGACTGGGCGCCTCCCACCGCCTCACAGGTGCTGGCTGAGAGCCAACAGCAGCAGGATCGGCCATCGGCATCCGCAAGCGACAGGGAAGAATCGCATGCGTCAGGGGACGGGATTATTATGTCAAGGGGCCGTGGGGCTTCCCAGGGGGACTGCAGAGACATCCTGGACACAGCAGCCCCTGGTGAGCCCGCATCTGATTAAGGAACCCTCATATGATCTCTTAAATCTCCTCTAGGATGTCAATGTTCTTAGAGACTGTGAGTGGATTTTCTGAGAAAGAGCCATCAAGTTGTAATGGCCATCTGCATCTCTAGCACCGCTGCACTCTCATAAGGCCAGCATTGGGAACAGATGGAATGAATTGACTGTGCAAGAATTTGACTGTGCAGATGAGGAAGCCGGGCCGGATCTGGCGCACGCATGGGACGAGGCGCCGAGCGGTCTCGGGGAGGCGCATGAGACACATGAGGCCAGCAGAGCGGGCTCAGACGCTCCAGCAGCCGCCAACGCATCCAAGCATTGGTCCTGCCAGGTCAGTCTCCAGGATCCTACTACACCTCAAAACAGCCTCCATGGGAAACCTAGTGCATACGCTATCTGGTCCCTTACTTAATCATCTGCAGATATGGGAAGTGTGCTCGGGAAGTGTGCTGCTATGAATCCTCATGGAAATTTGGGCAAAGGCTGTTTTTATTCCTCTTGAAAAACTTGGAAAAGGCTGATCAGCTGGTTGTGAGGGAATGCTGAAACCTCTTTCACTGCTCTGTGGAAGTCATGCAAGTATGATGGACGCAGACAGGAAGGGTGATGGGCTCTCTGTGAACAGGTGTGCACGTATTCTGGCAACCACTCGCGGATTTTGCGCTGCGACATCTGCGACTCAGTGCGAGGAACGCGGTGGGACTACTACCTTGGCCAGAACGCCGAGGCCAGCAGCGGCTCACAGCAGGCGGCCCCTGCGCGAGACAGTCCCACAGCCAGAGAAGCAGCCAAATCACAGGGAGGCAGTGCAGGAGCCCGGGGGCAGCGGTCTATCCTGGGCTTCTTTTCTGAGGCTGACAGAAAGGGCGTCGCAGCTAGTGCCAGCCAGCCGGCAGCAGAGGTCAGGGGAATAGTTTTAAACTCCGCAGACAGTGGAGGAACGGGCTTGCAAAGCAGAGGGATGGACGGAGGCAGTGGGGCGTCGCAGCAAGGAAGTCAGAGGGGTGTAGGAGAGAGCAGAGTGGAGTGGGAGCCAAGTATCGATGGCAGATGGACATGCTCGCGATGTGGGGCCAGCATGGCAGATGAAGGCAGAGCAGAGCATGAGGACTTTCACCTGGCGCTGCTGCTTCAGAAGGCCGAGTCGGGTGGGCTCTGCATCCATCTGCTGCTAGTGTCTGCATGATGGTCAGTCATCTAGAGTGATAGCCCATACGAGCTAAGATGACCATGGCTTACTTTGTTTCTCATTTTTTGGCGCTTGCAGGTCGAAATGTGGGAGGGGGACAGAGCATGCACCAGCACAATGACAAGGCAGGAGCTAGAAGCCTGTCCAGAGAGAAAAAACGCAAGAATACCTATGGCAACGGCAGTTCTCAAGCATTGACATCTTTCTTGAAGAGAGCCAATGTGCAGCAGCAAGATTCCTGATGTTTGGAACTTGGCAACGCATGTTTTGGTTGTGTGGTATCTTAAAAATGTAATAAGTTGCAATATACACCCGTCATAGCTTAGAGCATACACTGTGCTTTCATAGACATCGAGTATCTGCTTGCACAGTCATGATGATGTACTAATTGGGTTTTAACACAAGAAATGTCAAGAGAGTTCAAGCTTGCGATTTGAAATTGCCCATTTCTGTATAAAGTGTCAGAGCAGGGCTGCACACAGGGTGCTGTACTGCACAGCCAGATGCTGCGGCGAGAAATCTGCGGGCAGAGCAAAGTCATCCAAAGGAGCTGTCACCAGTCTCAGGCTGCCGTCAGGACCTGATGTTGCTGACTGCAGCATCTCCACAAATTCCTGCAGAACACAACCTCCCTCAATTGCAAGTGCGTCTCACTTGTACATCTCTGTGTTTCTGCCCCATACATGGATTTATCTTGTATTGAACATTAGGTTGAATACAGATACAACCCCTGGCAACACTGCCAGACGCTGAAGCTGCTGAATCACACAGCTTGTACGCTTGGGGTGAGAAGAGAACCGTGTAAAGGGTGACTGGTGCTGTGACATGCCTGCAGAGCTGGGGTCGCCTGTTGGGCCGTTGAGACAGGGGTATACTCCACTTCAACCATGAATCCCTTGAACTCCTCCCTAGGCCGCAGAGTCACCTTGCCCACCCTCACATTGAAGTCGCCCAGATTGTACGCCCACCCATCGAAATGAAGCGTGGCCCTCGCCTGCATGCGGAGGCAGATTCACTCTTGCATTGTTTCTCATGGAGGCCTGCCGCGACTAATATCCACAGGTAATGGTTTGTCATATGTGAGGCAGACCGCTACCTTGTAGGGTGTCACTTTGGTCAGGATCTCCAACACAGACTTGTCTGCCTCCATCACCTTGCCTGCCTGCGCTGAAAGCTGCTATTCATGCAATGGAAAAGAAGAATAGCCTGGTACATGTACCCTGCAGTTACAAGATATGCCCAGGCCACATTTGTGGAGAAGCAGCAGATGGGGCTGTTCTCGCCTGCCTTACTAGCAGATACGTCAGGTGCGGCGTATCAAGAAAGCTGACAACCTGCAAATCGACGGAGGGACCACCTGCACAAGATATGTGCTCTAAAAACTCCCTCGGGATCTTGCCTCGTTAACAAAACACTTGTCCTGAGCAGTGGTAAGAGGTGCATGTCTTGCTCGGCTATGGGGACCTCAAGCTGCACAGGGAGGTGCGCCGTGTACCTGCATCCCTTAGGCCCAGGGCCGTTTCTACCTGCCCAACTTTCAGCATGGCATTTTGTACGCCCCATCGTCTGCGGTTGGTGGTTTTGTAAGTTTCAAGGGCAGCACAAATGGTCTCAAACGCCTGGCGCCCAGGCATCGGTCCTGGGTGCTGCCATCTGAGAAGCCTGCGAGGAGAAACAGACATAATGTCCGGTGTTGCAGATTGAAGATGCAGAAGTCAAATGGATGCTACCTGCGATTTTTATGCTCACCATCTGTAGCCCATCGATAGATTTCACAAGGACAGAAAGCCCAGCATCCCATCCATTTCTGTCTGCATAGTGATAGCTTTGAACATAGATGCCTTCTTCACATCGGATGCACCCGGATTTATAAAGTTTGCAATTCACATTTGGGTGATCTACCAAAAAGATCGTCTCAATATAGAGCGTAATAGATCTCCTTAGGTGCGAAGTAGATGGCAGATGGGATCTTCTATTCCTCTTATCGCTCTTGTGAGATCTCAAAGCGCGATCTAATGCGTGAATGGAGGCACATGAAGCTCACGTGCAGACTCGTGCTCCAAATTGCCTTGGAACAGCCTCTTCACAATTTGGGCGACCTTTCCAAGCTCATTGCGTGGCTAGTAATGTCTTCACAGACAGCAAAATCTCACGATCGACATATGCGACCCGATCTGTTGTCGCTGGGCTATTTTTCAATGCTGAGTGCCTGCGCTGTTCCACTCCAATTGGCTTTTTAAATATATCGCAATTGGAAACGAAATAAATGTTCAGATTGTACCAAAGGTCTCACATAGGTATACACGCGCTGCATCATCATAAAAAAGTAGCTGACGATCTGCAGCGAATGCACCAGCAGACCGCGGCTAGCTGTCAGCTAATTGCCTCCCTGCCTGTTGGCAATTTTCAATAAAAAGACTTGAAGGACATGACCGCGGATATCTAGTTCACTAGTATGTTAAACAGAAGGTTGTTGAGCCGAGCTTTGCAAGCAAGCCTGAGCCAGCCTTCCACACAGACATACGCTGTTAGAACACTCTCTCAGCTCGTCACTAGCCCCACCAGCACATCCGGCAGATGCGTGGATGTAGTCGTCGTTGGGGGTGGCCATGCAGGTACTCCCACAGCATACTTCCTTTGCTGCTCAAGCACCACTTGCTGCGCATAGCAACACATGCGTGAACATTCGTGACGGGTCCCGTGCAGTGATTGCAGCACATTGGACTGAAATCTCAAATCGGTCTTGTGCAGGCTGTGAGGCTGCAGCAGCAGCGGCAAGGCGGGGGGCCTCCACGCTGTTGATCACCCCTGCACCAGCGGCCAGCATCGGGGAGATGAGCTGCAACCCCAGCATCGGTGGCCTGGCCAAAGGCACCCTCGTCCGCGAAGTGGACGCCCTCGATGGCCTCATGGTGAATATGTCAGCTTTTAATTGCATCATGGTCAACGGCATTGTCACTGTTGAACGTTGATTGTGGGTTTGCCACCATGGCTACTGTGACAGCCCCTGAGCAACACTGCAACATGCACAGCTGCATCTCCCACAGCTGCAGCACAAGTGTCTGGCATGACCTGATCTCAAAAGTACTACACCTGCCACTCTGGCACACACTGTCTGTGATCCTGTTTTTGTGCATGTGCTCCATCAGGTCATCACTTGCTGTATTTTCCTGTCCTCTATCTCGCTGCCCCACACCCTAACCTGCGGGCCCTTCTCCACATTTCCTCCTGTCTTCACGGTCCCAGACTATATCTATCAGTAACCATCGATCTCGTTCCTCTCTACTTGCTTAAGGAAATGCAGCATGCTTGACATGCAGCGTTAGGCCGGGGTCTATACAAACGCATGGGCACAGCCTCAGAATGAATCAACTCATGTCTAGGCGAGGGCGGCGGACGAGGCAGGGATACAGTTCAGGATGCTGAACGCATCCAAGGGACCGGCTGTGCGCGGCCCGAGGGCGCAGATGGACCGCTCCCTGTACAAGGCCGCCATGCAGCGGCTGCTGAGTGCACAGATGGGGCTACAAATACACGACGGGGCCGTCACGGATCTACTGCTGCAGCGAGGCGGCTCCGCCGGGCAGCAGGCTACCGTGGCGGGGGTTCTACTTGCATCTGGTAAGCCCCACGGCCTGTGATGCATGAGTTGCCATCTCTGCTGTCTCGACGTGCAGTAAGTAGACCAACCCAAGGAATCTGCTTGAGGGCAATCTTGAGAGGCAATAACTTTGGAATGGAATAGTCTGCTGAGGTAGAACATCAACATGTGCAGGCGAGAAGGTGCTGTGCAGCAGCGTGGTGATCACAACAGGCACTTTTCTAAGGGGCACCATCCACATCGGCAGCCAGAGCCGGCCGGCCGGCCGCATGCCGTCCAACGCCGCTGCAGAGGCGGCCGCCGGCGCGCGCTGCGCTGACGCCAAGGCCACCAACGCCGCTGATGAGACTGCGGCCAGGGCTGCAGGTGCCTGTTTTCATACTGTTTTGTAGCTCCACGGCAGCGGTTTGGTTTACTGAGGACACCTCATGCCAGCCCTGGATGTGTCGCGTATTCACTCAACAACCGTCTCTGAAGAACGCATCAAGCTAGTGTCAAGATGGCCAACAAGAAGTGCACTTTGCTGTGAGCATACTCTGGCGTGCAGGCTGACATACGCCAGATTTTGACCGAGACCAGACATTGCAATCGCATCAAAAATGGCATCATGACCTCTGAGGTATTTCAGGGGTTGTGAAGGGTGGTTTCTAAAGGGTTTTGGTGCGCAGGGTCCTTGGCAGAAACGCTGGATGCGGAGGGGTTCCGGCTGTCGCGGCTGAAGACGGGGACGCCGCCGCGGCTGGACGCGCGCACCGTCGACTTCACCGGCATGGAGCGCCAGCCGTCAGACGCAGAGCCCATCCCCTTCTCATTCCTCCACATGGCCGACATGGACTGGGCTCCCCCTGCCCGACAGGTGCGCGCAGCTTGAAACAGTACTGTAGTGCTCATTCTGAAACCCGCACCCCCGGCGGTGCTGGAAACTTTCAGAAGCAACTTTCAGGGGTCCTCCTGACTCCAAAAACACCAGGGTCATGCTCCATTGTGATTGGGCTTGTCGAGAGCTTTCCGAAATTGGTCTCAAAACTATCATAGGGGAAATATTTTGGGAGATAGGGTTGACTCAACCACCCTTTCTGGCCAGAAGTAATTATTTATTGCGGGTTTTAAAATGAGCACTACAGTACATAATTCCATTTGACCTGCTTGGCAGCTAATTTGTAGCCTGCCGCGTATGATACTTTTCAATACGCTAGGAGCCACAATCTAAGCCCCAAGGGACTTGGGAGGAGCTGCCATTGAGAGGTTGGCTCTGCTCTGAGGTTGGCCTTGCTTGACTCCCACTCTGATTTTATCTTGCAATGGTGGTGCTGATATCAGACTATCATCAGGTCCATCAATTCCCGACCTCACAGCAGCAATGAAACCAACAGCTCTGCTGTAATGTTGGCACCTCTTGTTGACCTGATGATAGCTCGGTATCCAGCACGACCACCGTTGCTTTCTACTCAGAGCAGCGGTGGAGCAGAATGCTGCAATTTACACTGCCGCAGAAGATTGGCAGTGGGCCAGCACCCTATCCACCCAGGTGCTTTGCACATGATGCAAGTCGCACATGTCTGGGCTTACTATCATACTGCGCTGTGAGGTTGGGTGATCAGCAACTGAGGCAGTTGCAATGCTCCCCAGGTGGAGTGCTACGGAACACGGACCACAGCCGCCACAGAGGCGCTGGTGACAGAGGCGATGGCCAGCGGCAGGGGGGCGCGCTTCGCTTCCGGCCTCACCGTCACGGAGGGCGGCTGCAGAGAGCCCCGGTGCGCCACCCTTCTCTCTGGCCGCACCTACTGTGTAGGGACACTTCTGTGGGCTGCAAATGCACTTGTGCAGGAAAAGGCCCCCTCAGTGTTTCCCTGCATTTCCCTATTCCGCTGCGTTGAGCATGGTCCGGTAGTAGCTAGAACAACCATCACAATTCAGACTATTTCAAGAAGATATCCAAAGCCTGGACAATGGTGCCTGTCCACAGGGAGACCATTCCAGAACCTCTGGCGGAAGGCCCTTCTAGGAATGCTTGCGCTCCTTCTGAATTTTTCAGCAAAATTATTGGATTAGCATATACAAATCTTGACCGGGGTTTGTGTGCGCAGGTACTGCCCGTCGCTGGAGACCAAGTTTGCGCGTTTCCCCGGGCGCAGCCACCACGTGTGGCTGGAGCCGGAGGGGCTGGACTCGCACGTGCTCTACCCCAACGGCCTCTCCAACTCCCTGGAGCCCGATGACCAGCTGCACCTGCTCAGGACCGTGCCAGGTGAGACTCATTTCTTCCAGGGGATTTTGTAGGAGAGCGGCAATTGTTCTGTAGGTATCTAGATGCAGTGCAGAGCGCACCTCACCGTCACCTCTTCACTGGGTGCTGGCCTTTAGGAGTCGCCAGCATTTGCCATCACTCCGGTACATGCCTTTCAAGTATTGATTGCAAATGCCGCAGATCTTTTAGAAGGAGGCAAGTCAGACCACTTGCCGGTCAATTGCATGTGTTCTGTCCACCGAGCCATCTGATGTGCAATGGCATCACGCATGTCCCTGGAACCATGATCGCAGGACATGTGTGGCTGAAGTCTTGGCTGATTGCTCCTCAAGCCTGGCTTGCATGTGATATGTTCACTGAATCAGCTGGCTGGCATCACACATGTTTTCGGAAGCAAGATCCCCAACATAGCAGGATCAAATTCCTTGGGTGCATGCTCGCCAGGCCTGGAGGGTGCGCGGATGCTGCAGCCGGCGTACGCGGTGGAGTACGACTACATCGATCCGCGCGAGCTGCTGCCCAGCCTGGAGAGCCGGCGCGTTGGCGGCCTGTACCTGGCCGGCCAGATCAACGGCACCACCGGCTACGAGGAAGCTGCCGCGCAGGGGCTGCTCGCCGGCGCCAACGCAGCCATCCCTGGTGTGCAACCTTCCTACACCTGCTATATGCCGCGCATCAAAAGTCATGATGATGTGTTGCTCCTCCTGGCAGTGTCAACTGTCAGCTCTGCCAGGAGTGGCGGGTGCAAAGGGGTAGCTGTTCACCTGCAGCCTAAATGCAGTCTCTTGTCTATGCGGGATGCCAAAGTTTGTCAAGCATCAGTCAGCCGTTTGCATCTGCTTCTAGCTGCACAGAATTCCATGTCAGCCCTCGACTTCTGCGTCGCTATCAAGTACAGCTCACTGCATGTAATCATGCAAGCTGTTCAGCTTGGATAGACTGCTTTGCAGACTTGCATGGCGCATTGAGTCCTCGGCGCTTTGTAGGCGAGCCGCTGGAGGTGGGCAGGGCGCAGGGTTACACAGGCGTGCTGGTTCACGACCTAGTGACCCTTGGCACAGGGGAGCCGTACCGAATGCTGTCGGCGCGCGCAGAATTCCGGCTGTCGCTGCGGCCGGACAACGCCGATGCTCGCCTCACGCCCGCTGGCATCCGCCTTGGCATTGTGCGTTCCCTCCCTCACTCTATCTATCTATTTCTTGTTGTTTAGGGTATTGTATGCACTGCCATGTTCCCCTGTGTAGGGGTGAGATCTCAAGGTTAGAACTTATCTGCAGAATTGGCAATATTCACCCTGGCAAAGTTGTGTGGCTCTCAGCCCATATACGTGCAGCAATTGATGCCTGTGGATGTTTCTTGTGTCTTGTGCTGGATCGTGTCAAATGTTGCAGAGCCTGCCATGAAGTGCTGGGATATTGGAAAACTTGTTTTGCCATGCATGCTTCCCAAGAGGTTGTGGGGAGAATTTTGCTATGTGCCCGCGCATCCAGGGATCTGCACTGCGGCAGCCTCTAGGCACTGGTCTCGATGGGGGCCTCCTTCTAAACTGGAAACTCGAATTTTCTTGCATGCGTGCAGGTGGGGGAGGAACGGCAGGCGGCGTTTGCCCAGCGCAGCACGGAGATGGCGGCGGCGGATGAGCTGCTGTTGCGCGTGCGGCTGACGTGCTCCGGCTGGAAGCGCGCGGGTTTCCCCATGGCCGGCGCCGGCGGCTGGTTCACGGCGGCGGACATGCTTGCGCGCCCCGGCGTCACCCTTGAACAGGTGCTTCACTGCTAGCCTTTCTTTACTCAGTTGTATGTTCATCGTTTCACACGAACTGCGCTGAAACAAAAAGTGTTCTCGGAAGAATAGTGCAGGCGTTACCCTTGACCAGGTGTGAGCCCAGCAGTGGACGCGCACTGGAATGCTGGGCATTGCACAGCAAGACCAGAAGTGCCATGACATACAACCTTCTGTGAGAGCCCTGGAAGCAACATTCAAGGTCTACAAATTTTCAACGGTTGCAAGTGTACTGACCTTGAGGTGCCAATCAAGGTCAGCTTCGCCTAAGAACATAGCGCCACTATGGTTCTCCAGCTGACAATCTCTGGGCAGGGTAGGACAGCATCGGCTGGCGAGATACTGTGGAGAGCGGTGCTGAAAACTGTCTGTGGGTGGCAGGTGGCGGATGCAGCAGAGAATGGCGAGGCGGAGGGTGCGGAGGAGCTCAGGGCGCTCGCACGGAATGGCGGCATGCGGCGGAGCTCCACGGCTTCAGCCGTCTACGACTGCCGCTACCGCCCTTACACAGCAAAGCAGGTGACAGCTGGGTCTCACCAGAATCTGCCTCGTGCACATGCTGTGTATGAGAGAAAAGTACTTTTGTGCACTTGCCAGTGGCCACCTATCCACATGTATTGTGTTGTACTCTTGATAAGAAGGTTTGATGAGGAGACAACTGAAGAACGATTGGTGAATACAATGCCAGAAGCTTCCACGGTGCAGCAAACGCATGACAAGCCAGGCGGCTGGGGCATGGTGGCGTGAATGACTGATCCACTCCACTCATGAGGGTTCAATCACACATGCCTTGAACATACTTTCAAATACAGGAAGGGCCTTCCTTCACCTCTGGAGCCCCCCACACTCCCATATATGCATTCTGCCAGTAAAGTCTGATCCACCTTATGAGTCGTAGATGACTAATCTACCCCTTTTATTACGGATCGCAGGCAGCGGAGGCGGCCGAGCTGGCGCGCGGGGAGGCGCTGCGGCTGCCGCCGGATCTGGACTACGGCGCGGTGCAGCTGTCGGCCGAGGACCGGGAGAAGCTCGGCGCGGCACGGCCGGCAACGATCGCCGCCGCGCAGCGCATCCCCGGAGTCACCCCGGCCGCGCTGCTTCTGCTGCTGCAGCATGTGCGCCGGCGCGAGCGGGTGCCTGCTGCTAGGCAGCGCTCCCACGCTTGAACGTGTCGATACCGTATCTATGTATGGTTATCCATGCATTTGCTGAAATTCCTAATGCTGCAACACTGTGCGCCGGCGCAGTGGCTGCTGGCCGCCAAGCAATCCTCAAATGCATTAAGAATGAAGAAAATCGGTACTTCTGTACCTTGCAAAAGCATTGCTGATGCTGCAACTCCTGATAAGGCTTGGGGCAAGAAAGCGCCAAGTTTTTCTTAAAATCCTGCGAGCTCGTTCGCTTGAACGGCAATGTTGTACCAAAACATAGTCTAGCTGATCATGGAAGGTATAAAAGAGATTCTTGAGGCTTTTATGACTTCCGGATCCGCGGTTTTGAATGTGTAGCTTTTGTTGCTGGTCAAATGCAGAAAGGTCATTACAGACGAAATGACAGAAGGAAAACCCATTCAAACGTGTAAACATGAAACAGCAGGATGTCTTGATCACTGACTCATCACTCAGCTGAAAGTTAGTCATTAAATTCTGCGCCCTTTGTAATTATAATGAAAGGCTCATCTGACTCATGTCAGTCACGCCTGGAAGAAAAACATGCTTGAAGGACCAAGCACCAGTCAATCAGTAGAGCATCCACCACTCTTGTCACAGTCACATTAGTTCTATTTCACTTGAATTATTCATTTGCCCCATGAGTTTGTCAAAAACTCACTGCAATTCTTACGCAATCTGATATTGACCTAGACAATCATGTGCCTGGTGAAAGGATTATTGCATGAAGGAAAGCACAGGCTCACACAGTGACCCACTTATTACCCCGCTTATTATTTTCGCACAGTGACTTATTACTCTTGCACAGAACACAAGGTCATACCGTACTGTGTTTCAGGCATGGCGCTTGTCGTTGTCAGAAAGTTCCTTCCGTCAAAAGCACTAATACACTTGTGCAATATGACTTGCTCAGCACAAAGACCTTGTCACCCCGCAAGAGTATCTAAGGCTAAAAATAGTCCTTCAACGTGCCTCACCGCAGGGTGACATGGACATTGACAGGACAGAAACTGCATGCATGCAGAGTCTGCCAAACTTGTGCTCTGCTTGCTGCACCAAATGCCGTTTGGCGAAATCAAATGTCTCCCTTGCCTGAGCCATGGCTCAAGCACACCCATCAAGCCCATAGGATCACATGTCTGACCAGCAGGCCCAGGCGCGCCACATTTAGGCTGCACCACAGCAATGACAAATACAAAAATTGTGGCGCATCTGCTGCGCTCATAAAAGATTTGGAGTTCACAACATTCTACACAAGACTGGGAAGCCACAGAAGGCCTTTGACTGTCAGGTGGCCATTGAGGGGCACCTGAACAGCCCCCTGTGTCAAATGCATGCCTGGTCCCATGGAAACAATGCATTGAGATCCCTGCAAGACTGCCACAACGGCGCCTGCATTCATAGCACAAGTATACGTTTAGAGCCCGATCTGACTAAGTATACCCACCCTGACCTGACTGGGACCTTATTGTACCTTGCATATGCTTACTCAGGCACGTGCAGGCCTTGCGAGACCTGCATGTGCATGCTAAACATGTATATATGCATGCCGAGCACAGCTGGCGTGACACATCACCTGTTTGGCCATGAAATATGGGCAAAGGCAGATGCTGAAAGCCACACCAAACTGCGGGAGACCATCCACCATGGATCACCCACTATCCAGGGATGGCCACAAGAGAATCCACAGAACATTGAAAAAAATACGTACTTGTCTGGCAGTACTTGAGTGCTAGGAATTGATCGGAGATGAGTACAAGCAAGCTGACCAGAAGTCACGAGCAGAGAGCGTTTGGGTCTTAGTCCCTACAGGAGATCAAGCTCGCAAGTGAGCCATGCAGTATTTGGCAGAGGGGTAATTTCCCACAGCTGCACTTCTGCTGTCCATTATTCTGTCTGGGTGATAGACGACAACACCCGGCTGCACTAAAGAGAAGAAAATAAAAGAGGGAGCGCAAAAGAGCGGCCCTCAAAACCTGTTGTATGGAGCGACTTCCGTGTCCACAGCTTGGGCATATTTCCCCATACAACGTGACGAAACTCCTCCATTGGCAGCGGAGTAACTGATGCTCACGCTTTATTTCTAGTAGCAGATTCTGGCGGTCCCTTTCCTGACACAACGCTGTCAGGCGTGCCGCACACAGAGCGACAGCTGGGTTCGTCATTGAATCCACAAAATCCTTCACAGCAAAAATATGCTGTGCAGTGAATTGTTTGCTTGCGCGCAAGCGCCTGTCAGAGGCGTCTGGCATTTTGTCTGTGGGTCTTGGCCGTGCGTACAACAGCTCTGGACAGGGCCCACAGACACAGCCACAACGAGTGAAGTGGTGACATGATCACTGATAAACTGCCCAAATCACATCAGGCGAGCGTCAGATGACATCAGCAGGCGGAGTGCGCTGACATCAGGTGAGCGACAGCAGCGGCAGGGGGGTCAGGGGGGATCCCAGGAAGGGGTCACAGAAGGCCTCGGTCAGGTCGGCCTCGCCACAGCTCTGGCGCTTGTCCCCGCAGTTCTGGCGCTTGTGTGGCGGCTCGTAGGATGCACTGTTTGCGCGCCACCCGGCCGTCAGCTCCGCGGCGTCGCCCGGCTCCTCCTTCCAGGGGCCCACAAAAAAATTGAAGTCCGACTGCGCACGATCGGCCATGCCGGCCTCTGCTCGCTCGATGGCTGCTCCTTCCTGCCGCACGCACATTACACCTCAGCTGAGATTGTACGAATATTACTTGTTCTAATCCATATTACACACTGTTCCTGCCAGGAGGCAAGATGCGTCTGGCTGAAGGCTACCACATGTCCTATCCAGATCCAGACTGGACTCGCCAGATCCAAGCAAGAACCAAACAGCCGTGGCCACGGTGCTCAGAGTCCATACCGCCCCCCGCCGCTCAGAAGTCTCTTAAATGCTCTCAAAGCAAGATACGAAGATAGAGAAATCAAAGCTTTCCGATGCTGGGATTGCAGATCTTAGTGGATCCCTTTAGGCAAGCAACTTTTGAGCGTGCATGCGCGCACCGAGTGGCCTGTTTTGGATGCGGAGGGCTGGCGGCTCTGGATTGCGTCTAAGCTGGAGTTGGGGCTCGTGGACCCCTGCGCCTGACTCAAATCCCCCGACCACATGCGTCTAATCAGCTGGTCCATGTTCAGCTTTGTCAGCGCCTGGTCTGCAGCCATGCAAAACCACAAAACAACTTCAGGCTGTGCGCATCCAAGATGAAATGTGCAAATCCACCATGCAAACAGAGTGTAGCGCTGCAGTGGTGTGATTTGAAAGGCTGGATATTGTGAGATCAGATCTTCCACAAAGACCACAAAGGACATTGCACGATTTACTAGATATTCATGCCTCATTTCCACACAAGGAATCTAAGGCCGCACGTAGCTGCTCTGAAGACACGCAGACCTGCAGCTTGTCTGCAGACGTACCTTGCCAACGTAAGAGAAACAGTGTCTAATATTGATAACTCTGCAGACAGTAGTCACCATTGGTAATGCAGTGGTTTGTGCGCGCGCACCGGTAGTGCTGGAATCACTGGGGCAGCGCTTCATGTAGAGGGGGCGCTGTGACTCCGTGGCTTCCTCTGGCAGCGGCATGCTCCGGCTCTGCAGAATGTCCTGCCGTGCACACATGGGCCAATGATTAATCTGCTAACAGTATCAGCAGAAAATAACCACTGTGTTCTTGGACAAGGTAGCATGCAAGAGATACATGACAGTGCGAGCGCCGAGAAGGGAGGAAGGGCTGCCTCAAGGCGCAAACAAAGCGCGTTGACAAAACCAACATGATGTGTTTTTCTAATGGTTCCCCTAATCTCTTGCTGCAAGCTCATATGCGCAGCATCTGTTAAGCCTTGCTTCTTTTGCTGCAGTGCCTTCCACGACCCTCTGTTCCTGCCTCTGAACAGAAACGTTTCTGAGGTCGAGAGGCTTTTGGCAGCCATGGAAAAGGCAGCAAGGGTGCAGGAGCAGGCATGATTGCCCTCAATAAGCCGTGGCGGAGCAGTGCCCGTTGTTGAACTCATGTACGCAATGTATTGCATGCATCTGAAGTCTCTATAAATAAATGGGGCAGCGGGCAGCAACGCACCTGCAGGAGCCGCTGGGAGAATGAGCAGTTGCGCACGGCCTCCATGGGGGTGTGAACAAGGTCCCTCTCACCCAGCCACTCCGCCTTGGGCAGCGGCAGGAACACCTGCGCAGACACGCAGCCTCTCTAATTCTCACTGCATGCACGGATTTTCGATTTTCGAAATGAGGCTTGCATTTATGCTTGCCTTTTGCAATCTCACCCATTCATAACCTTTGCAAAGATTGCTTTGGCTTCTCCATTGAACATAGATGAAGAATATGGTGCAGAGTACATTGATACAGAAGCCCACCCTCAGTAGCGGGTGTAGATCTGCACTGAGAGGTCACAAGAGGCAAGCAATGCTTAAAAGTCAGAGAGCATCATACATGGGGTTGCTTTATGTACCTAGTCATGAGAACTGAGTAGCAGAGCATGCAAAAGAAATCAAATAAATGAACGTGCCTGGGGTGAGGACCCCTCGGCAGGGGGTTCCTCTTGCGACTGCACGGTGACAGGTGGCGGCTTCTTGAAGGTGCCCCCCCGTCCCGGGGGGCATGAGAGCCCGATGCGCGCCGCCGCCTCAGCCGCCTCGCAGCTTCCCAGCAGGTCCTCGGCCAGTGCCGGCGGCGCAGTCGGCGTCTGGAGAAAGTCCTTCACAACCGCCTCTGCAAGTTGCGCACACCTCTTCTTGGATACACATCTTTCCCTCCCAACACTGCTCTGTTACATTGTCAGTAGCATTCCTTGAGGCTCAGAGAAGTTGTCAAATCAATGGTGCTGCCCCCAACCTATGGCACAAACTTCGTGAAACAGCTCTTGCTGCTCCAGAGTAGCAATTTATGCCCGAGGTATAAGAGACAATTAGGTATTACAGGGCCTGAAAGGTAAGCTCCGGCTGGCGGGGGGCGGTATAAATCCTGAGCACCGTGCCCACGGTTGATTGGGTCTTGCTTGGATCTGGCGAGTCCATCAAGGGGTATGATGTTGGCAGCCTTTACTGTAGCTTGTCTGCAGACGCACCTTGCTTCTGGCAGGAAACCGAGTAATAATAATAATAATAAGGTAAGCAAAGCCAGGAGCAAACGGCTGCAGTGAGGGTGAAGGGTGCATGTGTCCCAGCAGGCTTCAAAATTTACCATTCATCATCAGAGGGGTGTAAAAGGGTCGCACCGGCGTCGGTGCCAAAGGGGGATGGTGGGATGGAGAGGGGGGGGACCGCGAGGGCCCTGGCAGAGGCAGATGTGCGGTCCTGGATTCCCCACTGGAAGGGGGGCTCCCATTTGGCCCTGCTCCCAAACGCCTGCTCCGATTCTGCGCCACCCATCTCTGTCATTCAGCTCTGCATTGTCTGCTCGACACTGCTGTCAAGCAATGGGGTAATAATTATGAGACGGTAATAAATTATGAGTCAAGAGTCGGTCAGTTGTGCCTTGCAACAATAATAAAAGATTCTTCTTGTTCTTGACTGCTCCTGCCCCTGTGAGGCCTGTGAGATTTGTAAGGCACCTCATCACCTGGGAGGGAGGGAGGTTTGCCAATGCCTGCGCAAGGCACAGGTATTGGCAGCCAATCTAGGTCCCGCACTTGCCTGTACCTGCAGTCTTGTCTGTGGCCTATCATTGCCTCTCTTGGCAGAATACAGGTGTTCTGATCTTGTCAAGGAACGATCCCCCCAAAAAATGCGTAGTGGTTGAAGCCGGTGGTGAGAGGCTCTTGGGATCCCACTTATTGATGGCATGTCTAGGAGAGGGGTGAGAAATTCAGTCTACTCGGTGCCCCTAAACGGCTATCAGGGGCCCTGAGAAATCCCTGTTGGAGACGGCCTAATATGTGGGAAGCGTGAGTAATGACGGTGTGCTCATGCAATGCAGGCAGAGGGGGGATAGTTACCCTCTTTGGTGAAGGACTTGGTGCCGGCGGATCTGAAGAGGTTGGGCAGGGAGTTGGTCTCGAAGGGGCTGATGCTGAGAGCGCTCATGCAGTCAAACAGTGGCACCCGGCTGCTGTCCGGAGTCTGTGCACAAGCATGCCAAGCCACACACCTTGTCAGCAACAATGAGTCCTTCCGTGGTTGGCAGACCACCTTCAGCTGATCAAAAGTTATGCAGTCTGCACTTGCGGCAGCTGTGCGAGGCAGAACTAATCGATGCGTACGCAAGGCAGATTTTCAAGAAATTCCATGAAGCAGATGTTCAGGAACAGGAAGAGAGCACATGTTCTTCAAAGGGTGAGCTTCATCCCAGCCTGTGTCGGAAAGAAGTGAATGTAGAGCTCGTGCTTTCCTTCAAAAGGTTCCGGTGCAGGAAAATTGAGGAGGGAACGCGCCTTGCCGGTGTGGCCCTGGGTGGATTTGAGGGCGTTGAGTGCATTTTCCAGCACCTCGTCATCCTCCGGCTTGACCCACTGCAGGCACAGGCTCGCAGACGTCCTCCTGTCAGAAAGCGCCTGCCAACACCAAACATTCACATTTCACTCTTTAAAATCAAAAATGAGATCAGATTCAAAACCACATCACGCTCAAGTCGCACGCAGACAGGCTTTGAACTGGCCACATCTTGCTGGGCGGCCCCTGCAGCCTGCTGGCCTAGAAGAAAAGCTCAGTGGCAGCCAGGACGGAGTGCAGAGCAGTAATTCTTGCATGTCTTGAAGCATGACCAAGCACCCCGTGTCCTCCACTTGCAGCTGAACGGACATCAAGACCTCTGTCCCTTCGCTGCTCTGCCAAAATCTCCGCTGGTCTGTGGCCAGCAGATGATCACTAATGTGTTACTAATCGACAAAGATTGGTAATGCAGGGAGGGAACGCGCGCGCACCTGGGGGTCGTCGTGGGCGCCGTTGGGGATCTCCAGCCGCGGCGGTAGCCGCCGAGGGGGGGACGCGCCCCCCAGTATCGCGCCCAATTTGGCGCTGGGCCCACAGCAGGGTGATAAGTGTTCTTCACCCTCGGTGGCCGCCAGCGATGCTGCAGAGAGCAGCACCGGTGATACACCCTTGCGGAAGTGGCTGGAATCGCTCAGGCCGCTGTCCATGGCTGTGCTGCGGCGGCTGCGCCGCGGGAGCAGCAGCCCCTGCGAAGTGCCCTGCAGCCACGCCCCGGAAATGTTCAGTTTCTCCAGAGACCATTTGGGCTGACTCATAAAGAAAAGATCTCCTTGATGCAGTACATCTGACTCACAGAGAATCTCACAACAGGCTCTGTTCTGAAACACTGTGGACAGTGCTCCCAGCATTTTGGGAGGTTGATCGACAATGACCAGGTGTCAGACGCCCGCGCGGGCCAAAAGAGGCAAAATATGCTGATATTGCTAGACAGGGATGGGCCCACCATAAGAGTATTACTTAGCCGCTGATACTAGCCATCGTGTTGGTGCTGGGCCGCTCAGACTCACCGAGACAAGTATGCCCTTTGTAAGAGCCCATCACTGCATGCTTGACAAGTGCAACTGATTCCACCAAGCATGGAAAACACATTGACTGATGACACAGCATGTGGCCTAAACTGGCAGGACAGATGGCGTGCCTGGCAGGAGAGCGCTGCGGTGCGGCCCCGGGTGGACATGCCGCCGCTGGGTGAATTAGAGCTGAGGACGTAATTGGCCGCGTCTGCAGCGGTGTCCCCTACGCTCACGCTCAGCTTGGGCCGCTTGCCGCCGTGGCTGCAGGGGGTCGGCACAGCCGACGCACACGCGCGCCCTGCACCCAAATTGATCAGAAAATCAGTTTGTGTCAATCATGTGTCAAACATGTTTCCTGTCAATCAGATAATAAGCAGGCCGCTTAGTCCTCTGAGCTCTTCAGCAGGTTAACGCCAGACACTGCCAATTCGCATGCATGCCCATTGTATTGCAGGCACCTATGGTCTGCTCAGCGTAGATCTGTGCGTGACCACTGGTGCGGCTGGCCATGCACTCATGGCCAACTATTTCCCCTTGGCTGGGGTCATTTTGAGGTGCATAGGCAACCTCGTAAAGCAGTGATCGGGCCTCTCCTTGTCGCGCAGTGCGGCTCACACACTGTGAAGCCGTCATTGCCCTCCGCATAATAGACATGGGATTGGCGTGCTGATGGGAGCCAGAGCGCAGAGCTGCATGTCCGCAGCTGCGCGTGATTTTGCACATCTTATGGACCACTTAATCTGCTGAGGTTGCGGCATCTGAGGGGACTGCAGGTGGAGGGGGGCTGCACCTGTGAGGCATGATCTGGGGGACAGGCGGGGGCTGCGCATGGGGCTCTTCACAAGCATGGCATCTTTGCGCTTGCGCTTGTGGGGCAGCAAGTTCAGAGTCTTCATGTACTCCTTCAGCTTGGTCGTGTCCCCCTGCAAATTCCAGGCACGGACTTCTGCATTCCTAAGCTGAGAGAATTGGCAAAGGGCGATTGCACCATTCCAACACACTCAGGGCTGAGCAGATATCCCACAGCCTGTCAACCAGTAGTAGTGTGCCAACTGAAGATGCTCTGATATGTTCATGCAAGCGCAATGGATTGCATACCCGCACGCACTAAAAGCCTGCGCAACGGCTTTCACAGCCCAGTACAAGTGTCATGTAGAGGGCAGGTATCTCTTTGAAATGGAGGGGTGACTTGAGACAGTGGAAGAGCATGCCTGGTCACTGTCCCTGCGGCGGAGTGTGGCATTCCAGTGGTTCTTGACGGCATTTTCTGTGCGGCCTGTGATGACCTTGGCAATGTCCGCCCACCTGCAGGCAGTGGCACTCTACCTTTTCAAATCAGCCTTTTCATCGAAGCATAAAAGTACGTGGATAGACGATATGTGTGAAAGCAGGGAATGAGGTGTAAAGAAGCGTACTTGTTGCCAACCCGTCTGTGGGCTTCAATCAGGATTGTTTCTTCTTCGTCTGTCCAGGCCTCCCTCTTGATATCGGGGCGCAGCTGGTTGTGCCACCTCTCCCGGCACTGCTTTCCGATTCGGCCGGGAAAGTGGCGTGCAATCGCGCTCCATTGGCCCTCTCCTTCTGTCTTAACGAGCCTGTGAACACAGCACGCAAATATCAACGTCTGATGGCGACATCTGAAACAGACGTTGCTCCCTTTCTAAGCTCCTTTGCAACCCGACACCACATGGAGGCATATGACTACATTTCTCTTGATCACGGCATCCATGCAGCATCAAACACAAGAGACTGTTAAATATCCTTGTACACATGGATGCCGTTAGGGCCTTTGCGAGAATGTGCGGATGCCACACACTTCAATGTTAACCTTCTTCCAAAATCGTTGCTGCGTCTTAAGCACAAGTTTATCACATTTGCTGCATTGCAAACCGTTTGCACACTGCCATGGCCCCTCTACCTCGTTGGAAGCTGAGCACAGGTTGGGAGTGCCAGCTACCCACATCATACTCTACTTTCACCACATTAAAGAAGCAAAAGACTTACTGTTTGAGTCTGTCGTCCTCGTCTGCCAGCCAGTTGCCCTTCACTTTGGCAACAGGGTGCCTTCTCTTCTTCTTGCCGGACCCGCATCTGCCCGAACCACCGCCGCCTGTTGAAGAGCGGCTGCGCTGGGGCAAGCCAGAGGAGCTCGTGGGGCTCACTGGGGGCACCCTATGCAGCATACAGGCGGCTCTGAAGCCGTGCAGCCCAAGAAGGCTTCTTTGCGCAGATGCTAGGTAATACTCGCAATATGCGCGGCGTTAACTGGGGCAATGACACTGTCCCAAGGGATTCCTCCAGAATACTATGCATTGGCTCCGCTATCGATTGTCGTAGATCTAGACGAGTACTCTACACTTGGCGCGAAACAGGACATCTCCATCACTTCGTCTTCCAGCTCCTTTCCAGGTGTAGAGAGGCACAAAGCACTGCTCGGCGTTTGCCTGCGATGGCTGCGAAGTGCAAGAACATGATACGCAAAGGCACTATCTTTTGTAGCAATCGCCTGGACACCGCTCGTGTGTACAAACCTTGGTGATGATCCTTGCTTGGCGTCGTTGGCCTCTGGGCCGTCTGCCACCGGGAGGTGGGCAAGAGTAGCCTCGCTCATACCTGGCAATCTTGTCTGACCTCTTGGATGCGATTACCTACACAGACACTGCACATGTCAGTCCGGCTGTTGGCCCTGGAGAGATGCGAAGCCACTTGACCAGAAGGTGGGGAGCAAACCCTTAAAATGCGCCCCCGGTCCGGCAGACGCGTCTGAGAGTTCCAGATGGATCGCAGAACTACAAACCAGACCTAGTAACCCATTGGTGTTCACCTCTTTCAGCCGCTGGGGTAAATCGACGCGTGGGGTTGAGGGCTTCGTATGAGACTGCACCTTCTTCTCCTTGCCAACAACAGTACCACCCTCCCCAGGTAGAGCTCGTGCTGTGAAAGGTTCTCCCTGCCTTCAATCGAATGCTGTTAGCTTTCGGTTGGATTTCTTCTTGCAACGAAGGATTCCATCTTTTTACGAGCAACCAAACCGCGGGCCGCAGCCCACCTCGACATCCTACTCTGTCGGGCAAAATCCACTACTTTGGTGGACATGCACTCCACTACATTAGTGGATTTGGCTCTCTTTCTGAGCACGCCCCTTCGGGGCGTGCAATAACAAAAGCAATGCTGCACATCCTTCAGATTTACCTACAACAATCTCAGCATTGCATAGTACCTCCGTCAAGCTAATTATTTCGGTCAAGCCTGTATCTATAGGATCGTGCGCTACTCGTTTCTGCGAAGACAGCAATGCCATTTGCCAGGTTACCGTTGCAAAGTAGGATTTGAAAGGGGGGTGGGACGGCCGCAAATGTTTATGGGAGTAATTTAAACGAATTCTTGAAGTCTTCTGTCGCTGGCCATGTGAGGTTCGCACTTTTGCCGGTTTTTTGGCATCCCCATCCTTGACTTGTTTGGACTCAGCTAATCGAATGTCACGACCATCGACGTGCATGTCTACTTCTTTCGTAGTGACTGCATGCCCTGCCAAGCCAATTCCTTGAAATGAAATGCGTGCAGGCAACACAGAGCGTTCACCTGAATTGAGCACTGATGCACCGGACAGACACTGAAGTCGTCTACAATCTAAACCAACATCAAGTTCAATTGTTCTGGTGAGCGTTACGATCCCTCTGCTGCTGTGAGTAGCCGTGGGTGTCTGCCCTGACCTGGCTTTGCTTGGAATGCCAATCTGATGAGGAGCATCTGGAGAGGACTGTGCACCCCAAAGAGTAGCAAGTAGCCCAGGTGCTTGTAAGGATAGTTGTATCACTTGTACTAGAAGGCATGCTGCTGATGTACTTCTCATTCCTTTAATGTCCTGGTGGATCACTTGCAGAAACCGTTGTGTGATGACTTCATGCAGGACGAATGGTCAGGAACAAGAGGTGGAGGGTCAGTGTCAAGGTGATACCATCAGCCGACACTCCTGCTCTGCTGCAGCCAGGCCGCAGATTTGGGAGGAACCTAGGCAGCACTGTGGCAACATCTGCACCGAGGGGACCCCGGAGGCCGGCCAGCGCCCTTCCATCCTGGCGGATCCCTGCAAGAAACACAGCTCAGCAGGAAGAACAGCAGGATGGCTTTGCAGATGGAGATGGAGAAGCCGCTGCTGCCTATTATCAGCCTCCGCCCTCACGCCGGCGTCTGCGGAAACAGGCAGCTCAAGAGGATAATAGACGGCTGCACCAAGCATGGGATGCGTGCTTTGATGACAATGTATTCAGGAACACATGTTTCCAAGCTGGTCAGCCTGCACGCCAAGCAGCACTGAAGCAGCAGCTGCAGGCAGAGTTTTTGACAGCTGCCAGAGCAGCCCTGCCCGCTTGCAGTCCATGCAGTCAGGCTGGGAGGGTGGGATCAGTGTGGGAGCAGGTGGAGACGATCAGCAGGCTTGTGTATGTCTCGATCAGCGGCAGGACAGAGGTCAGCCCCCCAGCATTCAGGTGTGGCGGGTGCAGTGCCGCCTTCACAGTCGATCCTGTGAGCATGGGATGCTTTCCTGCAACGCCACAGAGGCCGCTGGTTTACTACTCTGGAGCGCTCATGTTGCAGACGCATGAGCTCAGCCTCGCCAGCCCAACCTCAATGGTCGCCTGGACTAGCGCCCTGGAGGAGGTGCACGTCAGGAACGGCTGTGTGCCGTACGGGCAACTGAGTGGCCTGCCCAAAAATATCTGGAGGAACCTCCCAGTGGCGGTCAGACAGTGGCGCAGAATGGACATCGCCACACATGACCTCAACAGGCTTGGCGTGCAGCCCATCTGTTCGGAGGCAGGGCTCAGCGGTGACTCAGACTTGCAGCTCGGCCAGCCGCCGCCGCCCCAGGAGAACACTCAGAGGGAAGCAGCAGCGTCGTCATCGCCACCAGAAATGGAAGCAGGCAGCCTCGCGGCTCAAACTGGCAGAGATGCAGCTGAGGTGGGCCCGGCGACCCAGGAATCTCTGGACAGTCGTGCCTCCGGGGGCCCCACTGTGCAGTGTCCTTGCTGCTTTCGCACTTGCGTGGCAGCCATTGCTGACGCCTGCCTGGGACTCACGCAGCTCAGGGCGGCGGGCAAAGCCTCTGATTTCCTGCAGCCGAAGCTGCCCTATAGCCCCTTCATTGCTGATGAAGAGGTGAAGGCCTTGCTCGCTCAACGGAAGGCCTTGGACCCGGCGGCGCTGGAGCGGCCGGTCTGCTCTCAGTTCGTTGCTGCCACGCCAACCGCCTCAGACACGCAGCTGCGCCTATATGTGCAAGTGAGTCTCCTCGCATTTTTCTGGGATCTTGTTGCGCTTACTGATGTTGGCATGCATCTCATATATCCATGATTTTTTTCTCTTTTTTTCCTGGCCCCGGCTGGCAAGGGTAATACTTGGCAGCACCCTAGCGTGCCTTGCTTCAGGTGGTAAAAATACTGAATACCATGCCCACGGTTGATTGGGTCTTGCTTGGATCTGGCGAGTTCAACAAGGGGTAGGGTTATGGCAGCCTTAAATTGCAGCTCTGCAGGATGTACCTTGCTTGGCAGGAAAGCGTGTAACAAGAAGATGTGCTGGTGCTTTGGAGCCGGTCTGACACTCCCGCATGTGCTTGTGCGTAGGGCGTGGCAGCAGCAGTTTGCCGCCACGGGTATGTTCTCGTGGCGGCAAACCTGTTCACACCGGAGTGCTTTGTTTACTACGAGTTGCTCCTGCAGCGTCTGCTGAAGGAGTTCAAGCCTGAGGAGGGCAAGGATCTGAAGTACTTCTTCATTGACATTGCTTGCCAGTTTGACCCATATTGGCGAAGGTATAATCTTTCGTCCATCATGCCTGGCGTTTACGTCAAGATGTGCCCTGTACAATTATTGCATGGAACAATTTCACTCCTAGTGTCTAGTACTAGTCATGCTATGAGTGTGTGGATTCGTCGGAGTGCACAGCAGCGTCCCCTTTGAATGGTGATGTGTTGTGCTGGCAGGATGGTTCAAGGAAACGTGGAGGGTATGCCTGGCCTGGCAGTGGGGCCGTGGCATGTGAAGGCTCACATTCCGGCATGCCAAGAAAAGTATGGCGCCCGCCGCATGCTAGCGGCAGGAAACTCCTTTGGTGACAACATTGAACAGGCTTGGGCACATTACAGGAAATTTGCACACATCTTGAAGCGCATGGCGACTGCCACGCGGGAGGACTACATGACGGACCTGGTGAGTTCTCCTTTCATATGATGCAAGCTCTTGTAGCCTTGCTCGATGTTGCAGTTTGTAACCCTGTAGGTGCGAGAAGTGACAATGTTGGTCCATGTGCAGGCGATGGCTTGGCAGCGAAAAAAGGAGCGCAGGTTGCCCAAGCAGCTGCTTGAGTGGCATAGGAGGGCTGCTCGACTGCTGGCACAACTGCGGCAGTCCACGGGGGCCCTCAAGCAGGAGATTGCCCAAATCAAAGCCCCCGAGTTGCAGGTAAAATGCACCCCTCCTAGTTGCTGCACCTGTCTCTACTGATTCTCTGGGGAGATGCCATCTTGATATATCCTGCAGTCTGCAATGCTTTGCATGCTCGCTTATTGGCTGATGAATCAGGTGCAGGGTGGCGGTGGCTCAGGAGGCGTCCCATCACCGGCAGGCCAGGATCCTCTCCAAGGCGGCGCTGGTGCAGGCGCAAGTGACGAAGCAGAGGTGTGTTGGTCCTTTTTGAAGGCTCTTCTCTAGCATGGAATAAGTATCAATGGGTATGCTAGTGAGAAGGAGGTGCTCAGAGGACTCAGAGTAAAGAGCTGCCTCAGAAGAAAGTATGCAAGCAGATTGTTTGTTTTGCACGCAGGGGTCTGCCCGGGAGCAGCGGCAGACATCGTCTGAGGGGGCATCAACAAGCGCGCCCACCATCCCGGTGCTGCTCCACTCTGCACCTTCAGTTGGCTGTACTGGTGCTTGTTCATATGACATGATAGGACATTTGACATGTGACTTATGACATGACAGGACAAGACATGACAGGATGTGCATACTGGTGGAGTTTTTGTAAAGAGCAAATGGGATGCACA